CCCATACTGACTCACCCTTTGAATTCTGGACCTCTAGACTCTAGTAGACTCCGGGACCAACGACCACCACTCGGATGCGGTGAGTGAGTTTTGTGTGTCTGTAACTGACTGGTTAGTAACTCCGTAGACCAAGTTAACTTAGTTAAAACTTCCCTGAATGCTCTTACATAACAGCTTCGTGACGACGACTAACCGATGCTTTCCGCCATCCTGGCCCGGTCCCGTGGCTCGCTCCCTCCACTAGCCGCGCCCCAGGCTTTGCCGTGTTGGGCCTAGCGTGCGCTCCAGGAACCGTCAGCCGCCCGCCGTACATAAATATCTCTTTTGAACGCTGCTGCTGCTTGTCGCTTTTGGGCAAACCTCACCTCCCCCGCCGTCTGTCACCGCGTTGCCAGCGTTACCCCCCGTCTGCGGATTCCATGGCCGCCGGCTTCACCTCGCTTCTCTCCTCCAGCTTGCCAGAGCACCGTCGCCAGAGCTCCCTGTAGCCGTCCCCCAAAGCAAAAGAAAGGAAAAACGTCATCGAAACCACTCCCTCCCCACCGGCTCTTCGCTAAGCCCGCGATCTTGCTCTGGAATTCTCCCCTCCTCCATTGTTTTGACCTCCACACATTTGGCTTTTTCTTCTTCTTTTTGTTTTTTTCACTTTGTCCTTTTTTTTTTTTTTTTTTTTTTTTTTTTGATATCTGGATTTGTCGCAAGTGTAGTATATTGTTCTTAATACAACTACATCATGTCCCCCGCCGATCTCACCCCGCAGAACGGGAACGGGGTCCCCGCCAACGGCGCCAATGGCCTTGCCCCCCCTTCGGGCTCAGGCACTCCTCTCGGCTTCCATCGCGTCCACAACAAACTGCTGGACAGCGTAAAGGGCACTCCCGCTCGCGAACCTTCTCCCCAACCCGTCCACCTTGGAATCCCCGGCGGCTCCCCGCGCGTCCTGTCTGAAGAGGGTCCCGGATATGTGGCAGCCAAGTTTGAGGGCAAGGGCAAGCAGATGGAACAAGGTAGGCCGAATTGGACCGCCCAAACCTGAGAAAAAAAATAAAAATAAAATAAAATAAAAATGGAAATAAAAAAATTACAAGAATGAAAGAAAAAAAAAAAAAAAAACACCAACAAAAAGAACTGTGAAAATGTCAAACATTGAAGAAAACAAAAGGACCTACGGTCCGGTATCTGACACTGTGTTTGATAGTGATGGATCAGCTGGAAGAGAGCGGTTTCATCCCCTCCGAGTTCATCTCCACCGAGACGGACTGGTTCTACAACATGCTCGGCATCGACGACATGTATTTCCAGACCGAAACCGTCGACGCTATTGCCAGCCACATCCTCTCCCTCTATGCCGCAAAGGTCGCCGCCTACGCGAGAGACGACAAGCGCCTGGACATCAGACTCGACAAGGAGGCCGCTGACCACGCCGTCTACATCGACACCAGCAGACCCGGCGTCAGCGCCGTCGGCGGCCCCCGCTACGAACAGCGCATCGACGAGAAGTACATCGACGGCTCCACCCCGAGCAACAGCTACCGCGTCGAGACCTTCCGCTCTGCCACCTCCCTGCCCGACGACAACCAGCACCAGCTCCGCTGCTACTTCGTCTACAAGTGCCACTTCAACAACCCCCACCCCGACCCCGGCGAGACCAACATCGAGGTCATCGGCGAGAAGCGCTTCCTGCAGAAGGCTACCGAGAACACAAAGGCTATCTATCAGGAGATCATCAGCAATGCAGTGGCCCGGTCTGGCCCTGTCATCGAGATGTTCGAGATTGAAGGAAGCCGCGAGAAGAGACTGGTCGTCGCGTACCGCCAAGGCTCCGCCATGGGCTTCTTCAGCGCCCTGTCCGATCTCTACCACTACTACCGCCTCACCAGCTCCCGGAAGTACCTCGAGAACTTCTCCAACGGCATCACCGTCGTCTCTCTCTACCTCCGCCCCATCGCCGGCGCCGAGGCCTCCGGAAGGCACCCGCCCATCGAGGCTGCCATCCACCAGATCATGAAGGAGGTCTCGCTCCTTTACTGTGTCCCCCAGAACAAGTTCCAGAGCCACTTCGCCAGCGGACGCCTCAGCCTGCAGGAGACCATCTACGCCCACTGCGTCTGGGTCTTTGTCCAGCAGTTCCTCAACCGTCTCGGCTCCGAATACACCTCCCTGACCGCGCTGCTCGACTCCAACAACACCGTGCACGCTGAGCTCCTCTCCAAGATCAAGAAGAGACTGCGCACCGAGACCTTCACCTCCGACTACATCCTCGAGATCATCAACAAGTATCCCGATCTCATCCACAGACTCTACCTCGACTTTGCCAACACCCACTACGTCCAGACCAGAGCCGCCGGTGACGACTTCCTCCCAACCTTGAGTTACCTTCGCCTGCAGGTCGATGAGGTTCTCGACAGCAAGCAGCTGAAGGACCTCGTCTCCAAGACCGTTGTCAGCGAGCACGACGAGATGGTCATGAAATCCTTCCTCGTCTTCAACAACGCCGTTCTCAAAACCAACTTTTACACCCCGACCAAGGTCGCCCTGAGCTTCCGCCTGAACCCCGACTTCCTGCCCACCCACGAATACCCGCAGCCCCTCTACGGCATGTTCCTCGTCATCAGCTCCGAATTCCGTGGATTCCACCTTCGCTTCCGTGATATCTCGCGCGGTGGTATCCGTATCGTCAAGAGTCGGGATAAGGAGGCGTATGCCATCAACGCTCGCTCGATCTTCGATGAGAATTACAACTTGGCCAATACCCAGCAGCGAAAGAACAAGGATATCCCAGAAGGAGGAGCCAAAGGTGTTATCTTGCTCGACGTGAACCACCAAGACAAGGCCAGAGTGGCATTCGAGAAGTACATCGACAGCATCCTCGACCTCCTCCTTCCTCCGGTCAGCCCCGGCATCAAGGACCCCATCGTCGACCTGCACGGTCAAGACGAGATTCTCTTCATGGGACCTGACGAGAACACCGCTGAACTGGTCGATTGGGCTACGATGCACGCCAAGCAGAGAGGTGCTCCTTGGTGGAAGTCCTTCTTCACCGGCAAGAACCCCAAGCTCGGTGGTATTCCCCATGACACCTACGGCATGACCACTCTGTCGATTCGCCAATACGTCGAGGGCATCTATCGCAAGACGGGCGTCGATGAGACCCAGATCCGCAAGTTGCAGACCGGTGGCCCCGATGGCGACCTCGGATCTAACGAGATCCTGCTCGGCCGTGAGAAATATACCGCCATCGTGGACGGCTCTGGTGTGATCGTTGACCCCCAAGGTCTCGATCGTGAGGAGCTTCTGAGACTCGCAAAGGCGCGTATCATGATCTCCAACTTCGACATGTCGAAACTTTCGCCTGAAGGATACAGAGTCCTCGTCGACGACGCCAACGTCACACTTCCCAACGGCGAAGTTGTCCACAACGGAACCGTCTTCCGCAATACCTTCCATCTCAGGAAAGGTGATTACGATATTTTTGTGCCCTGCGGCGGTCGTCCCGAGTCCATCAATCTGGCCAACGTCTCGAAACTCATCGTCGACGGCAAGACCACCATCCCGTATCTCGTTGAAGGCGCCAACCTCTTCCTATCCCAGGACTGCAAGCTTCGCCTTGAGAAGAGCGGATGTGTCCTCTTCAAGGATGCTTCCGTCAACAAGGGTGGCGTGACATCTTCTTCGCTTGAGGTCTTGGCCTCCCTGTCCTTTGACGACAAGGGTTTCGCCGAGCACATGTGCATCGGCGAGGATGGCAAGGCACCAGAATTCTACAACGCCTATGTTCGCGAGGTCCAGGAGACGATCAAGCGCAACGCTACTCTGGAGTTTGAAGCCATCTGGAGGGAGCACGAGCTGACCGGCATTCCGCGAAGCATCCTCAGTGACACCCTCAGCGTCGCCATCACCAAGCTGGATGAGGAGCTCCAGAAGTCAGAACTCTGGGACAACCTCCGCCTGCGCAAGGCTGTGTTGGGTGATGCACTTCCTAAGTTGCTCCAGGAGAAGATCGGTCTGGATACTCTGCTTGAGCGGGTGAGTTAAAACAAATTCTTTCTTTCGTTTGTTAGATCTTTTTTTTCCTTCTTGTTTTTTCCTTTTTTTTTTTTTTTTTTTTGGCTGTTCTTTTCGCTAACAATCCATCCACTGTAGGTTCCTGATAGCTATCTCCGATCTATCTTCGGCAGTTACCTTGCAAGCCGTTTCGTCTATCAGTACGGCGCTACACCGGGTCAATTTGCCTTCTTTGATTTGTGAGTTGAATTCCATCGTCATGCACACTATTTTAAGGACTCTCTTCTGACTGAAAGTATAGCATGTCCAAGCGAATGCCAAAAGAATAGATCCATAGACCTTTTGTGTGCTTTCCCACATCCGAGACCCCCAGCCTCTTCCCTTCCCTTCCCATTCCCCATCCCTAATTCACTCTGTATGTTCAAATGACACGACCTGTTTTCGAAAAGAAGATATCTTAAGAAGGGTAAACTAAACAAGATAAAGAAATGGAAAAAAGAAAAAAAAAAAACACCCTCAAAAAAGGAGAAGATTAGGTACATGGCCTTTTAGAGCGGCCCCCTCGTGTAAGGATAAAACCAGAAAAAGGAAAACAAAGCACTCTTAGTGGAAATAGAATGGCGTCTCTCCTTGATATCTCTCTCTCTCCTTTCAAAATTAAATAGTACCAGTAGCTTGTTGTTATAAAGGCTCACATGGACTTCTATACCATACCATTACTATTGTCCTTGGTATATTCTGATCTTTGTATCTCTCTGTTGTTAATGATAGCAGTATTGGCTATGTTAGATAGCCGCACGTAACCGTAGGGGATACTCTTTTTCTAGGCGGTGAAAAAGCGTTCCAGTATAGTGCTTTATGTCTGAAGACAGTAATGAGAACAGTGAAAAATTGTGTCTTACTTCCCCTAGGACCACTGACAGGTAAAACCTAGAAGGTATATGTGCTCCATCAAGTGGAAGAAATACAGTTTTCTTTTTCTTTTTTTTTTCTTTCTGATTTTACATAAAAACTTTTTTTGATGCTGTTTGCCCTTTTTTTGCCCTAATCCATCAAATATACAAGTATGTAACAACATAAAAGGGAAGTACAGCAACTGGTGGTACAATGATACCTGTGCAAACAAGGTGGTCGGTGTGTGTTTCAGGTGGACACTGATATGCATGTTACAGAGCCTCCTAGACAACAGCATGATAAGTTAAAGAAACGAATAAAAAAGGGAAAAGAAAGGTAAAAGAGAGAGAAAATATACATGACAAGATATGGAGCATCCCAAGCATATCACAAAATGGAAATATCGATATTTCCCTGACCTACACACATACATAGCGTTAAACATCAATATTCCTATTGATGTCGAAACTCTTTAGTCCCTCCTCATCTTCATGGCGTCCTCGCTGTTCGAGTTCCTCCCATAGTCCGGGATAAGTCGCCTGCGCCCACTCCTCGACTTGATCCTTCCAATACTGGAAGGGAATAGCATTATACAAGGTCCCAAGGCTGTTTAAAGGGTTTAGCCAGAGTTAGCATCAGGAAAAAGAAACAAGCAGTGACACTGGAGTGGGGGTAAATACATACGTCTGAGTGCTCGGTCCAGCACCGATCTTCGACTCCATAGCCTGGATCGCCTCCGTCGCCTTCTCCACCTGGCAGTGTCCAGCCAACGCGCCGATGTACGCATTGTATATACCCCTGTCGATCCGTACATCCAACGATTTCAACTTGTCCAGCATCTTCGTGGCTTCTTCTACGCCGCTATGGTACGTCTCGCACACGCGGAAGAATATCATCAGGGTCTGTTCCGAGGGCCCTTCTTCGGAGTGAAGGATCTCGCGGAAGAATCCCATCGCTTTCTCGGGCATACCGCACGCAGCGTATGCGAGCATCAGCCCGTTGAGCACCTTGGTGGTCAATCCGACTTCGAGATCGAGCTTCAACATATTGTGCACGAGGTGTAGGCCCTGGGAGTCGGCAGCACGGGATATCCCCTGTAGACACATCGCATACGTGTGCGAGGTGGGACGCCTGGGCCCGCGCTCCTTCTGTCTCATGTGTCCGAAAACGAGGCATGCGAGATCCGAACGGCCACGCTCGAAGAATTGAGTCATAATATCCGTCCTTATGCGGACTGAGGTGTTGGGAAATGCCATGTTCAGCAGCTCGTAGGCTTCCCAGGCGTCTTCCGTAGACTGATTCTGATCGGAGATGTACTTGACGAAAGATTCGCTGATCGTGGATAGTTCGTCGGCATTATACTGATCGATGACGGGGCGGAGGAGTCCGGAAATACTTTCTAGTTCGTGACGAGAGAGGAGGACTTGACAGAGTGCTCCGAGCGTTTCGGCTTCAAAACGCCCCCTTGCTTCGATTAGGCGGTCGACGAATGACAGTATGGTATCGTAGTCCACGTCGACGTATTGGGTGGAGCAAAGCTGTCGGAGAATTCTATTCAACATGACAACATCAGTTTGCTCGGCGAGACCCTCGGGGTCAACGTTTGCAAAGAGAGCGATAGCTCCGTCAAGGTCCCCCTCCCGCAACTTCGAATCCATCATTAGCATATAGGTCTGCGCATCCGCCTGGAGGCCCCACTTTCGTGCGAGCTCAGCGTACTCATCCACCAGATCCAGTCTGTTGGTCATGTTTGCGTGTTCCAAGAGTGGGTTGAAGGTGGCAATGGTCATGGAGGTCTTGATTTCGGGATTTCTCGCAGACATACTGTCCAGAATTTTCTGGATGTTTTCCGCTCCCTCGGATTTCGCTGCAGCTAAGAGAAGCATCGCGTCTCGGCTTTCTGGTGTCGGGTATGCGGGGAAGGATTCGCTCAACTGGCTTGCCCAATCGACCATGGAGTTTCGGACAGCAGTTGCTATCGCGAATGCAGTGGACGTAGCGGTAGGTTGGAGGCCATTGGGAAGCTCTAGCTCGAAAAGCTTCCTCAGAGCGTCAACGTTATTTTCTGCTGCAAGCAACTTAACCATTTCCTCGTGAGAGTTCGGATCCAAGACGACACCGCAACGATCCATCTTTCCCATCACTACCGGGATCTCTGATTCTTTGCCCTCTTTGGCTAGACCACTGATGATATCAAGCCACGGTATGATTCCTTCAGGGCTAAGGACCGTTTCCCAGTATGTCTCAACTATATTTAGGGCTTCCAGTGGTGATCCTGTAGAGGCCAGTATTGAGACGTATGACCTGAGAATTACCGGGGTGGGTTCCAGATGTGGTGACTCAGCCCGCTCATTCCGATGGGAGATCTGTATGTATATCGCCTTGGCCAGTTTATTCAAAAGCTCGACCGCATCGGGCTCGCATCCCGCCTGAGCCAAAACAAACATCGTATTTTCCAGGCTTTCAAGTCCCAAAACTGTGCGCACGGATCCCCGGGCCCCTTTGTATGGGTATTCGTTGACTAAATGCTGGAAAGTCTGTAGCAAGAATCGGACTTGATTTTGGGTTAAAACGGCCATCGACTCTCCTCGCTCTTGAATAAACGCCATAAAGGCCTTGGCAAGAATGAAAGGTGGTGGCGGCAGGGTCTTCTGCTCCAGCGCATTTACCAATTCCATCATCTGCTTGGCTCCATTGTCCGTAAGCTGAGACTTTGTGACATTGTCTGCGCGTGGGAGAAAGGGAAGGGAGAATGCGGTTCGGCTCTGGGTGATAAGGAATGGACATCTTCGGGGTTGGCGAGAGGACAACAGGAGAGTTAATTGTCTAGAACATTGAGAATGGACGTATGGCCTGTTTTCCACGATCGCCTGGAAAACCCCGCGAGTGAGATGGGAACGCATAGCTGTGTATTCAAGCTCCTAAGAGTTTCCGAGTTAGCAGACGCCTCAAGGTGGTTGATTGGGGGTGTTACCAGCCATGAATCCTATGGTTTCGATAGTAATGGGGTCAATTGTGTAATGCCAGGGCAGTCGCTTCAAACATTGCCCCGCTTTCAATCCAAATAGCCATTGAGTGAGACAGTGAGGGAGTTCTCTACAAATATGTTCGCTGGATGGTGCTTGGAATGGAATGAACAGAAGGTTTGGTGGTGATGGGCTTGGCATCCATCAAAAGTCAAAGCTGTCTGGGTCAAAAGATTGACGGCCTGGCATTTCCTTTAGTTTCTTCCCATCGCAACTCACGCCCTATCTGCATGGCAATCGACATTCTACTTTTCCAAATTGGTACAGCACGATCCTCACGATGTCGAGCAAATTGAATCCGTTCTCTTCGCACTCCTTTGTGCGCCCTGCCAATCTTCAACATATCCGCCGCCTCTGGTCGCACGGGCGCGTTCAAGACCCTTCAAAGGCGGGCGGTTACAGTGCTTATCAGGGTATGTGAAGCGTATAATCCCATCAAGGCAGCTATTTTCCAATTGGTCTTTAATTGAATTGAATTCTTAAAACGCCTCTAGAACGGAAAATGGCCATCGAACAAAAGGATCGAAGAATATCGCAATCAATTGCCGCACAAAGGGCCCGAGACGAAAAGCTGAGAACCATGGAGAGATATCAGACGCGTGAATGGAAAGCGGGAGACGTATACGCTCCTCACGATCTTAGTCCCGCGGAAATGAAGAAGTGGAGGAAGAGACATAGTCCTAATATCGATGTTTTCGACGCACTCGCCATGGATCCTTTGGATCAATACAAGGTACTTATTCCTGCTTGACATTACAGCGTGTCCATAGAAATGGCTTAGATGCTAATTATGGCAGAATTTCTCTATCATGTCCGAATACATGACCGAAATGGGCCGTATAAAACCCCGTTCTGTGACCGGTCTGCGACCTGTGAATCAGAGGAAGATGGCAAAAGCCATCCGGAGAGCCATCGGACTAGGGCTAATGCCTAGCGTATATCAACACCCAGAAATCCTGTTGTTGAAAAACCGCAGATAAATAAGAGGTCGGCCGTGGTGGTCTTGGAATCGATTATCGTTGTTTGCAATTGGGTAGCGGGAGCTATACACTGTATTATATCCTCTGTACATAGATAGAATCTGCATTCTATTTTTGCTGCTGTCTAAAAGTCTCCCTTATACTCGGGTGTTTCATAAAAGGGGATGCCTGCCGTCCTGAGAGCGAGGGGACGGAACACCACCGGCAACGTCATCCTCGCCCTTTATTGTTAAATCGAACGGCCTTCCCGGCAGCAAGAGAATCCATTCACCCCCAAAACTCTTTGGTCGCCTGGTAAACTTTTCGCTCAATGGCAATCAAAGACGGTATGGATTATCCACTTCAGGCTAAAGTGAATTGTTTAAAGCTCACTTTGTGGCGTAGAACTGATCTGGGCCGCCAGCCCCTCCACCACGCGAGGCCAGCCAACACAGCTTGCTGCTGACCCAAAAGGCGAGAGGCTCGCCTACGCTGTAAGTAAAGTCCAAATCTTTGTGTCTATGCTGTTTTCAGTTATTAACTCGGACATTATCTCACCCTTTCTTGCAGTCAAACAAGTCGGTCTTCCTCCGCTCCATAGACAACCCCGCATTCGCAACCCAGTATACCGAGCACAGGGCCGACACAACCGTCGCACGGTTCTCTCCTTCCGGATACTACGTTGCCAGCGGCGACGCAGCCGGGACCGTACGGGTGTGGGACTGCGTAGGGGAAGGAATCACGAAAGGCGAATACTTCATCGTGAGCGGAAGAATCAATGACCTCGCTTGGGACGGGGATTCGCAGAGGATAATTGCCGTTGGCGATGGAAAGCAGAGATACGGTCATTGTATCAGCGCAGATAGTGGGAATACCGTTGGTGAGATTACCGGTCACAGCCAGAGCATCAATTCCGTTTCTATTCGCCAACAGAGACCCCTTCGGGCTGCCGCGGCCGGAGACGACAAGACGCTTGTATTCTACCATGGAGCCCCTTTCAAATATCACACCGGCCATCGAGACAACCACAGCAACTACATCTACGGTGTGGCTTTTAGCCCTAATGGGGATAACTTGATCAGCGTTAGTGGAGACCGTCGGATCTGGCTCTATGATGGCAAGACTGGTGAACCAAAGCTTCAGATTGGTGAAGGAGAGCATAAAGGAAGTATCTTTGCTGTGTCCTGGTCGCATGATTCACGGAAATTTGTGACGGCCAGTGCAGATCGAACAGTGAAGATTTGGGATGTTGAGACCCAGAAAGTCGTCCAGAATTGGCAGCTTGGTCCGGAGCAAGGTCCTGCGACCGTTCCATACCAACAGGTTGGCGTTGTTTGGCCAAGTGGAAGAAGCGATGGGTTGATAATAAGTTTGTCTCTCTCAGGAGACCTGAACTATCTGGTTGAAGGGCAGCAGGAGCCAACGCGGGTAATCCATGGCCATCAAAAGAACATTACATCTATTGCTCGGGATGATACCGGCCCCAAAGAAACTCTCTGGACAGGAAGCTACGATGGTAGACTATGTAACTGGAACGTTGGGGGTGGCGAAATGGAACGCGTCGGCGGTGAAGGACATCCCGGATACGTTGCCGGCCTCGCGGCGGCCAGGCAAGGAGGTGGCCGCATTTATAGTGTAGGCTGGGATGATACAATCCGCTCTGTGGATATATCATCACACAGCTATGTCGGCAATGCGACTAAACTGTCGAGCCAGCCAAAAGGAATTGCTGCAGGAGAAAATACGGTGCTCGTTGCCAATTTCCAAGCAGTTGAGATATTCCAAGACGGAAAGAAAACCGGAGAGTTTCTCTCAAAGGCTTCATTAAGCACTATTGCTGCTGTTGGAACAACCGCTGCTCTAGGGGCCGAAGACTCTTCTGTCCAGTTCTACACCGTCACGCCAACCGGCCTGGAGCCAAAAGCGAACGGCCGAGTGTCAAGGAACCCCATTACCGCCATGGCGTTTAGCCCGGATGGCTCACTCTTGGCTGCCGGAGATTCAAGAGGTCGCATCGTGGTTTTCAAAGCCGCAGACGGGACGGTTGTCACAGACCGCTGGACAGCTCATACCGGCCGTGTCGCTTCCCTGGCCTGGAACTCCAAAGGAACACAATTAGTTAGCGGGGCTCTTGACACAAATATTTTTGTGTGGAGCTTGGAACGCCCTGGAGACTGGCTAGAGGCACCGAACGCTCACAAAGAGGGTGTTAATGCGGTAGCGTGGATTGCCGATGATTCGAAGGTGGCCTCCGCCGGTGCTGACGGTGCGGTGAAGATCTGGCAAGTAGAATTTTAAATGTCGTTGACTGACTAGTTACTCCGTGCTGCCGTTGGTATCGCAAGTATGTTAAACATATTTATTTTTTTTATTTTTTTTTCTCTTCCTTGAAATGATATCCTCGGGGCAAACGCCCGGATAGATAATATAATGGAAACCACCTTCCAGCCTATTTTGGTGCTGATTGAGATTCATATGGACCATTCCTGAGGTAACTAACTAATTAACCTGGTTTAATGCGTAAGGCAGAGAGAAGCTTGGCCAACCCCGATAGCAGATTTCTCAACACCGATGTTACTGATTTACTGGCGTTGATTTCTTTTCGGATCGAAGGTCTTTTATCCTAAAATCTTGTTTAATGGTCTCGTACTATGTTTGCTTCCTCACTAGAACCATTCCTTCAATTATAGCCTTAAATTGCTGGGGTTTTCCTTTGGAGTTTGCTATCGCATCGCTTTAGAAGACGATGCGAGACTCGATGATATACCTAGACCGTAGCCGCTGAGTATGAAGAGGCCGGAACATGTCTAGTTAGGATGGATACGGACACAGACGAAATTTGGGGCCTTGTCTTTAACTGATTTCACCAAATCCATCACCCAAAGTAGTCCATGCCTTAATAAAGTCTTTTCCGAATCATTTTGCACCGATCCAGGAGCCACCATCTTGGTTAATATTAATACAGTTATCGAAAAGTATATGGCCTCAAACTGCGCCGTTAGCATCCTGCATAGCCTTTTTGTTGAGCCCTTTCCAGTCACTGAACAAGCTGGTAATGAATGCCGCGCCTGCCCCGCCAATCGAAATCGCCAGGGCCACCTTGGTACCGGTCATGTACGCTAACACAATGCCGGGGACATTATTTGCGGGAAAGGTAGTCCGAATTTGTGTGGCACCTGTGGCCCTGGAAATAGACGGGTAGGTAATAGATGACCAGAAAGTACGAGCCACTGAAGAAAAAGGTATAAATGCAGCTTATCCCAACTGTGCGCTGCTTGAATAGACGTGGGATCACCATGGCCCGCTCTCCTTGAAAGCGCTCCCACACGCAGAACACGATTAGGATGACAACAAAGGCAACCAAAAGACCGATGACTTGGGCGCTATTCCATGCCTTGCTTTGACCACCATATTGCAAAGCAAGAATGTAGGTCACAACAGCGCCCATAATCATGGCTATACCGACGATATCCATCTGCAATAGCTTCTCCTTCCAGCTCGCTGGGACTGGCTTTGCGCTATATGGGGCATGAAAGAGGAGCAAGATTATGAGGGCCGAGACACCACCGATAGGAAGGTTGATGTAGAAACACCAACGCCACGACACCTTGGCGGGAAAGACACCACCGATAAGGGGCCCTGCATCGGAAGCAAAACCGTAAGACACTCCAATAATACCAGTAAACATGGCCCGCTCCCGGGGTTCGGCGACAAAAGCGATGATGGTATAGGCACCAGTTCCGATTCCCGCAGCCCCAAGGCCGGAGATCGCGCGGCTAGCAATCAGGGTTGTAGAGTTCGGTGCCCCAGCGCAGATCAGGCTACCGAGCTCTAGGACGAGGATGGAGAGAAGAAATGTCATCTTCAATGGAAAGTACTTGTAGGCCTTGCCCCACGAGGATTGGAAGCCACCATTGGTCATGAAAAAGGCAGAACCATACCACGATACCTTATCGAGGCCGTGGAACTCATCTGTAATCTTGGGTATTGCCGTGGCGACAATAGTCTGGCAAGACGGTGTCAACTTCTGTGTTCGCTACGAATCAAAGGAAGCGCACCCAATTACATACCATATCTAGAGAGGGTAAGAAGATACTGAGGATAAGGGCAATGACAATAAAAGCCAGAGTGGCGCCTCGAGGGTATTGGGTCTCATTTTGCCTGGAAGATGAGTTGTCTTCGACATCATCTTTGCTGATACTGACGCTGCCCGCCTCCGTTTCCTGGTCCGGCTCCTCCTCTGGCGCTGATTGTATGGACTGGATGAAGATTCATCGCTTGTCAACACCCAATTGCGCTGCTCCTTCTTAAAATCAAGAGAAAAATTCGCGTCGCTCGTTGCGTCGGAGTGTTTGGCGCCGGCCAAGGCGCTCTCTGAGGAGGCCATTAACCGGGTGATATTGTTGTTCTGCCGTGTGTTGATGGTTTTTTTGCCCTCAACCGAGAACGCATAACGGAAACAAAAATTGACTTGAAAATACTCTAAACAGAACCCGAAAAAGAATTGAAACCAGCTCAAGCTCACGGTATCCAACGAAGAATAAAGTGCGGCTTCTGCACACTCGTCGCGTACTTAGTTTTGTTCGGAGGTTGTCTGAGCCAGCTAAGGACTCTTCAAATTTGATAAACTCCGACATATTCAAGCTAGAATTGTCAATCACTGTCATATATAATATCTCTCAAGCTCTGGCAATGCTGCAGCAATCTCTGGTGCAGTGGCCCCTGAACCCCGGCATCATCGTGAATGTGCGATGAGCAATCATGAGCAATGTACGGAGTAAATTAGCCCCAATATGGTCTATTAACTACATAACTACTACTCCGTAGTTAGATTAACTAGTTTGTAACAAGCAGCGGCTTGGCAGAACCAGAGTTTTGGCGTGAAGTTCCTTACGTCATCTCCAGCTCGTCAGCTGCTTGCAACTCATCCAGCTTGGAGGAGAGCCAAACGACAACGCATTGTTGGAGCTTGTACGGAGTAGCGCATGTTAAAAATTCTTTCATGCCATGGCAATTATACCGTGACGGGCAACCATGCCCTCGTCATCAACAACCCAGCCCGCGTGGCGACCCCGACTTCGACGGCCCCAGGTATGTTTGTTCTGAGCTTGCAGTAGCCTTGATCCACAACAGTGTTTATTCTAAACATCATTGAAAACAATAGCTACGGCAAGCCACTGTTATAATCCCCCGAACTGGCCAACGTGTTAGAGGCACGGATTCCCTAGATGTGATTTTAGACTCCCCCGATGATCAAACTCCGCTACTGCCCCAGAATGAGCGGCCCTCTCGCATTTCCAACACCAAGTGGCTTCGCCGTGTCAACGATGCGAAAGCAAGTATTCTTACATTCTTTGCTTCCGAGACAGGCAGGGGCGTACTTAAATGTAGTCTAGCTTACCTTCTCGGAACTCTTGCGACATTTGTTCCCCCGATAGCCGCTTTGCTTGGCCAGCAAGATGGAAAACATACGGTGGCCACAATTACCGTCTACTTCCACCCTGCCAGGACGAGGGGAAGCATGCTCTATGCTCTTGTGTGCGCTTCTGTAGCATTCATGTATGCCCTCCTCATATCTATCATGAGCATGGGTGTTTCTGTGTTCTTTGAGGACGCAGTCCAATTTCTCCCACTTGGCCATGCTATAGTCGTCTTTGTATTCTGTGGAGGAGGGCTGGGGCTTGTCGGATGGGTTAAACAGAAAATGGGCGATCCGTTGGTGAACGTTGGATGCTCCCTAGCTTCACTCGCCATAGTTACCGTCTTAACAAAAGAAGGAGCTGTGCAGCGAGGGGATATCTCATTTGTCAAAATATCCCAAGTCCTGAAGATGCTTCTCATGGGTATCTTTGCCACCATGGCCGTGTGTTTTATTATATTCCCTATTTCCGCTAGGACCAAACTCCGACAGGCTTTAATCGAGGCGACCGACTCTCTTTCTGATATGCTAAATGTCATTACCGAAAGCTTTCTAGAAGGGTCAGAAGAGCTATTGGAACAGGATGAATTCCGAGATGTGTTTGAGCGGTACAACGGGTCCTCTAGGGATATTGATAAGCTGCTTAAAGAATCCAAGTTTGAACACTATGTGGCAGGCACGGGAAACGAATATCGCCTGGAGAAGAAACTTGCCTTGTGTATCCAGGATCTGGCTCAAAATATTGGTGGCCTCCGAAGTGCTGCTGCGCTTCAATTTGGCTTGTTGAAACAATCGTATGGCCCAATCCATTCCACAGGTATTCAAAAGGGCAGTTCGACGTCCCGGGCTGATGAGATGCTATCATCGATCTTCTCGCCCACGTCTACGATAAGGGATTACCCAAGCCCAAGCGAAGGCATCACTGAGAATGCAGGCCATAGCACTCCAGCACTGACTCGCATGGACTCCGGCACAAATACTGGCCCCAATTCTCCAGCAGATATATTTGAAAATTTTATCTTTCACCTTGGCCCATCAATGGTAGGTATAGTCCCTATTTTAACTTATTTTATAAAATTTTATTGATGCTGTTCAACAGAAGTCGTTGGCCTACACTCTGAGAGAGATCCTAGGAGAGCTACCTTATGGCCCGGCTCCAGATTTCAAAATCGCCATTAACAACAAATTCCGTATTAGTTTGGATCGCGCTCTAGACTTATACCGCACTTCTCGAAACGACGCCTTGAACGCCATCTATATGCAAAAAGATTTCATTAGGGTCAAGTCCGCAGAAGTGGAAGCTGATCTTGAGGAAGTGGCAGCGAGCTGTGGTCATTTCAGTTTTTCATTGCAAGAGTTTGCCGAAGAACTGAAGGATTTTCTTGATATACTAGACGAACTGCAGCTAGAAGTGGAGGAAAGGCCTGGTGGTCGATCGTGGACGTGGTTAATGCCGTGGCGGTCACGACCGAAGACCAATGGTGACGATGATATGACGGACCCTAGTAAGCAATAAAAAGCCTGAAGCAATGATCATAGGGCTTTTCAAAGTGCTGATTAGCATTTTAGGCATTCCAATCTCTTCCATAGATCCAAAATTGATGAGTGTTAGCCCTACTGGCACATCTGGGCCCAAGGAAAATCTCCGATATAGGTTGTGGAAAGCCCTGAGATTATTTCGACGTGATGAGACAAAGTTTGCGATCAAAGTGGGAGCTGGAGCAGCGCTCTATGCTCTTCCCGCTTTTTTACACTCTACACGCCCTATATATTCTCACTGGCGTGGAGAATGGGGACTCCTTTCCTACATGTTCGTCTGTTCTATGACTATCGGCGCATCGAATACAACGGGGTATGCCAGATTCTTTGGTACTTGCCTGGGAGCATTTTGTGCACTGGCAGCTTGGTATGTAGCCCATGCCAATGTATTCGGACTGGCGTTTCTTGGCTGGGCAATGTCCTTATGGACAGCGTACATCATCATCGGCCAAGGACGCGGGCCAATGGGCCGCTTCATCATGCTTACATACAACTTGGTGGTTCTTTACTCCTACTCCCTGTCACTGCAGGATAGCAATAATGACCAAGATGAAGGCGGGGAGAGTCCTTTGGTCGCAGATATTGCACTCCATCGGGTGGTGGCCGTTTCTTCAGGGATCATTTGGGGTATCTTTATTACGAGGATTATTTGGCCTATAAGTGCTCGAAGAAAATTAAAGGATGGCCTCAGCTTGCTCTGGCTTAGGATGAGCATCATTTGGAAGAGAGATCCTCTTTCAACGATGACTCAAGGAGGCTCGGCCATTGCATACTACACCACGAAAGAGAAACTCGAATTGCAGCGGTTCCTAGCTCGTCTAGAGACGCTTCGAACTGCGGCCAATTCTGAATTCTCCCTCAAGCGACCCTTTCCAAATGCATCCTATGGAACGCTTCTCTCCCGAACCAGACGTATGCTAGATGCATTTCAGGCTCTGAACCTCGAGATTATGAAAAATTTAACGGCGTCCGAAGGCGAAGCGGCCATGCTAAGGCACACGTTGCAGGATAGAAGGCAATTGTCAGCAAGAATTACTCATTTACTTGCGAGTATGTAAACGTGATTGTATCGGTCAAAGACAGTTACTGACGTCGGACATTTATAGTTCTGGCATCGTCAATGAAACTGGGATATCAACTCTATGATGCGCCGCCGGACATAGACCACTCGAGAGATAGACTATTAGCGCGACTACATCATTATCGTAAAGATGAATCCGCTTCCCGCTTAACTACCGACGAAGACTACGCTTTATTGTATGCTTATGGTACGTGCTGTCCTTTCCCCTTAGTCATTGGGCTCGTGGCAAGCTTACCCATCTCGTATTGCAGTATTAGTAACTGGTCAGCTCCGAAACGAAATCATGGCGGTTATAGATGAAGTGAGTAGGCTATTTGGTGTTGTAAATGAAGATATTATTGCCCTTCATTAGCTGCGACGAGAAACTATGTACTCAGTACGTATATACTTCATATGTACCGTACATATTTGGTAACAAAGTAGGCTGTTTCCTTCGGGATGAATGAAATGCCAATAGAATACGGAGTAAAATTTGCCGGGAGTAAATGTGCTGTGGTTGAAGCATGCCGGAGTTATACCAGTGTCCATGGAGCGCTCTCATCTCAAAAAGCCAAAAAAGCCAGACGCTGCTTCACCACATCGCTCCACTAAATAACCGAATCATCAGAATTCCATCGCCACTCATCGAAATTCATCCTCAACTCATGATAATCTATCATTCCATTTACTATCCAAGGGATCTATTGGCTTCTTCTATTGTAAATGAGGGTGTAGTTCAGTGATTTCTGGCCTCGCGCAGCCCAGGCGCCGCTGCCTTCTCTTTGGCAATGCAGATCAATCCAGCTGCGCTGACGGGGTCAGACTCTGCCTCAACGTCAGTCCCATCGGCAAAACCGCCCAGTTCTTCGCAAGCGACTACCCAAAAGACTACAAAAGCGCTGATATCCGTCCCCCGTCTCGATTTTGAGCCTATATATACGGACCTGAAGTTAGCAGTAGGAGACCATTGGGTCGAGTACAAGCAGGCCATAACTCTCTTCTTACTAGGTGTGTTTTGGACAAAAAATTACAACAATAATGCCGTGGCATGATAAGCTAACCCGCTGGATGTCTATAGGGCACTTAAACCAACATGAGTTCTCGAGACGTGTTGACCACTTCCTGTGCGCTGATGCCAAGCTGGAGCATTTGCACAATAACTTCATATGCTCGATAATCGGGAATCTCACTAGGGACCTTCCTGATCATGGAGTTGCAAGTTGGGTTTCTGCAAATGACAAACCGACGGTGGTCTCGAAACCCGCGTCGGGTGATGCTGCTGAACAGCGACTGAAAACGGAGGTTATGCAGCTGCAGCCCAAGGATAGGAGGAGATTAAAAGCCATACCGGAAGTAAGTCATAGCCAACAGAGATGAAGATGGGAGTGGGATATCTTTCTTTCTTTCTTTTTTTTTTTTTTTTTGTTCAGTTTGTGAGAGTCGGGCTAACACATCACTTTGCTCGATAGCCGGATCCCCACTCGATACCTAACCCACTCGAGGAATACCACCTTGCGAAGCAGATACGTATAGTGGATCAAGTCCCTTCCAGTGCAGGAGGCCTGAATACGCCAAGTGAGTCTTTCTCTACGTTATTATAGTTATGGTGAGGCCCCGACTAACGATTCATCTTACGTTCACAGACTGGGAGCTTGAAATCCGAAAACGATATGCCCAGCCACTTGCTTCTGAAATAGGCGAATTCCCAGACGCTGAGTCTATCCACGCGCGCATGGTGCCAATATGCTATGAAGAGTCCATAACAAACGGGGCTTCGTTTCCCTGTGCAGTTTTCATGTCCATCGCGACTGAAAACTTTGTCAAGGAATTCCTTTCGCACGTGTTTGCGCGAACAAGGTCGAATGGACCATCAGGAACCATCAACGGCACGATGACGAGAAGATACCGCCAGCAGCTGGAGAAGGAAGAACTTGCCTTTGCTCGCGGAGAGTTAGTAAAGAATACTGCCAATGGTCTATTACCCGTTGAAGCGAAAGAAGCTAGCACAAGGAAGCCCCTTGGTGTCCAAGATTTGAAGTTTACACTGGGACTTGGAGGTGACTTATTGGGCCACATGCCGCTCATTGTCAGCCAAATCATGGACGGTTACCTAGAAGGAGAGCTTGAGGCAGAACGTGACGATTACATCGTGGAAATCGAGGATGAAGATCACGAAGTACCAGAAGACATGTTTGATATAGACGAGATGGAGATCGATGATGCCGGCTGGGACTGGCAAGGCGCGACTCCTGCGGACCGAGATCAGCTGAATTCCGTCCTTGATGAATGCCTTAGCATGGCAGCCTGAATGCCTGATTGCCCCCTTTTTCTCGTATGTTTGGACTTTCAAAATCGGTGTTGGTAAACGATGCATGCTGCTGGCGTATACTGGATGGTGGTCTCTTATTTTTCCACAGCTTTTGCTTACAATATTCCCTTGGGTTGGGTTTGGGCCTGGAGTTTTCAACGAAGGGGGTTCTTATCACTTTGCGACCTTAATTCAGCGTGCACTCAAGGTGAATTTTAGTGGATTTTTTCTTTTCTTGTATCATATACTCTTACTCGGATTCGAGGTATTATTTTTATTGGAGCTTTCTTTAGAGCAGATCCGATTTATCATTCCTTAACCACTGGAGTGTTATGTTATTGTTAAATAAGAGTTCATTTATGATGATCTTGATACCGTTTGGATAAATACAATGCGTATCTTCAGTGAGTCGCAAAGCTGGCTCCCCAATTTGTATGAGACAGACCCTAGAAATCATATCGATCGGCTTTATGCCCTAAGGTATTAAACCAAAAGCGCCGTGCTTCCTATCAGCGCCATCGCCGCGGACCCGAACCCCTATAAAACACTGAAAGAGAAAAAGAAAATAGCCAGCCCCTGAATCTGTTAATTGCTGCTAATTCAAACGCTCGGCGGTGAGTTTGAGAATCTCTTCGGTGGATTTATACGCATTGGATGGATCTTTTGCAATAGATTGCCAAACTTCCCCATGCTTTGGGTCACTTGCTGTGCACTTGCTTACAACATCCTCACGTTTCTCCTGTAACGATATTGCTGTTAGAGATGATTTTGGGAAATGCGAGCGAAACCAAAATGCACTTACGTCTGTACCATGTTGCAAAAGGAACTTATAGTACCAGGCCCAAACATCTCCCAAGTCACTATTCGCTACAATTGCCTTCTCAAACCAAGTCATTGCTTTTTCTAGTCTTCGTTCGCCCCAAAATATACGGGCAACAGTCACAAAGAGAATCGGATCGTTATCAACTTTCTTGATTGCCTCGAGGCTTCGAGGCTTCCGGTGAGTACGAGGTTCTAAGTGCCAAATGCTTTCACTCCAAAGAAGACCAGAAGTCGGAACCTCTTGAAGGCCCTTCGCCATGAGTACCTTAGCCTGGCTAATGTTATTCGCTCTTCGTTCGACGCGGACACTTTCGGTCCATAACTCAGCGTTCTTCGGTACTGCGAGCCGAGCACGATCGAGGATGGATCGTGCTTTCACGACAACACCGAGTTTCTCTTCAAGTCGCGATGCAAGAAGCCAGAGTGGTACTGATTTCGGACACGCTCTTGTACCTGTTCCATAAGCTTCCCGTGCCTGCGGGTACCTCTTTTCCACTTCATAGATCTGACCCTTCATCATCCAAAGTTTGTCTGCTTTCGGGTACAGCTGCAAACCTTGGTTGACGAGATCAAGGGCAGTGTCTGAATTTCCCAATTGACGCTCAAACGCCACGCTTTTAATCCAAACACGGTCAGTTCCAGCTTCACGACGTGCGGTAGCAAGAAGCTCTCTGGCTTGATCTGTTTGTTTAGCATCCGCTTCTAGCTTCACAGCTGCAAGCCAAATATCCTCGTTGTTGGGGTTCTGGTTAAAGGCCTTGGCAAGCACTCGCCGAGCATTGTCAATTTCTCCAGCCTGCCATTTCTCCCTTGCAAGTTGCATCCATAGAACTTCACTTTGGGGGCAAGCTTCAACCGCCCTTTCAAGTAGCTGCCAGAGACTCTCTTTTGTGCCATGAGCACGTTCTAGGTCTGCTGCAGCTAGCCATATGGACTTCCGGTTGACGAATACTCTGAGTGCGTAAGCATAAATCGCCCGAGCTGTTTCATATTTGCCCCTGGAAATACTTGATTTTGCATCTTCCATCCAGATGTCCTTTCTGTCATCATCCTCGTCCAGACCCCAACCCAAAGTCTCGCGGATAATTGCACCACACGTAAGGACTGCTCCCTCTTCTTCACAGTTCTCAGCCTCTCCAATCCACTCTTCTCTCTTTGGCATTGCAGACTCTCGGGCAAGTGCCTGAACAGCTCTCTTCATAACATTGACCTTATTTGCTGTTCCCATCTGCTCCTGTAACCGTGCAGCCGCTATCCATACTTCATGACTAGTAGGAACCGCTTTTCGTGCTGCGTTCAGCACTTTCTGCGCATTTTCAGGGGTTTCAAGACGGGCTAAAGCCAACCATAACTCTACCGAAAGGGGTATCATCTCGGTTGCTTTAGCAAGCAACAGGCGAGCATCAGCAGGATCCTCCTCAAGATTCACTGCCTCTTTCCAAATAGCAACGGATTGAGGAATGTGCAAAATGGCCTGTCGAAGTACGTTCTTCTTCGCCCGGGGATCTGATTCAAGCTTCATTGCCTCAATCCAAAGTCGGGTTGAACGATCATTGTGTTTGATCGCATTTGCCGCAATGATTTTTGCATTATGGTTGTCATTCATTCTAATATTCTCCAACCACACGTCTTCGCTTTTTGGGCATAATTCGCATCCTTTTGCAATATACTTTCTCGCCGCCACGATCTTTCCGGCGATTTCTTCCAGCCGCGCAAGGGCGATCCAGCCAGGCGCATGGCGGGGGTTGGTTTTGGTAACAGACTCTAAAAGTACCCTTACCCGTTTAATATCTCCAATCTCGACTTCCCCGGCTTTTAATTCGGACTTTGACAAGCTCGTCAAATACCCTTTCGGATCGATATTCGTGGCACTTCCAGACGCAGCGTCGCCCGTAGAGCTTTGCGCAGCTCGATCCAATCTAGCCTGGAGCACTTTATCTCTGGCAGCGCCAATGTCTGCAAAATTGGTTATTGTCCCATCACCACCTTCTCCACTTCGAATCGACGTTTGTGTACCGTCCTCGGCAACCGTGGTCGTGAACTCCGCCGAGTCCCTGGCGCTTGCAATCACGCTATCTGGCACAGCGTAGAATCTTTGCCGTAAATTTTGACGAGCTCGTCTATTCTTGCCGGTAAGGTCTCCGACTTCTGGAATGTTCGCCCAGTCCTCATCCGTGACCGTGGCTAGCGACCGCTTCAAATCGGCAAATTGCTGTTGAATTTTAGGATTGTTTTGTTCGTATTCCTCTCGTTCTTGACGTTCTCGAGCTTCCCTAGAGATAAGGCGAAAAGGACGTCATATCGGTAATCTGTTCAAAATCTTGATGAAGACAAGATAAACAATGGTCTAAAAAAAAGGGAATCGGGACTAAGGATTGAAACAAGACGGGATGCTAACCTTCGTAGTTTTCGCCTCTTCTCCATCCTCTCATCTACCTGCTGGTAAATCTGGTCCGCCTCGTCGTCTTCTCGATCATATTGTCCGTACGCGAAGAGCCCAACTTCATTTTCAGGATCTTGGAATCGTTCATCGTCATCGTCTTCTTCTTCCCTTTGCTTTGCACCGCCTTTCTCGCCTCTCGCGGAAGCACCATAGGCTGTAGGAGGTGCTGTCCCTAGAAGCGCAGCCCGCTTCGCAAGAGCTTCCTGGATCTGCTCCGGTGTTGGCCCTTCTCTTGCGGGACCAAGATCGGAGCGAGTCGTAAAACCGGTCGCACCTCGACCTAGACCCGCGACATAATTTTCTGGGGCAGGCTGGCTGAGAAAATCCTTACGCCCGGACATTTTGCTTCACAACTGCAAATTGGCACATCGAAGGACGGAAGTCTTCAGTCGTGAAGGCGAATATCAACCTTCGACTCGGAGCTCTGGTTTTCACCGCCAATTAAGTACATTACTAAGCATGTGTGGCAGAATTTCGGTTTCGCGTTAATGTAATGCCGATTATGTTCCTTACATAATCCACCCAAAATTCCCACAAAATTCTGATAAGAGAGAGGGATCTCCACGCGCTTGCTTGATCACTCCGTCCTTGTCTACGAGCGTGTTTGTGGTCAAATCAGTATGCCAAAGGCGTCACACAAAAAGCGTAATGGCGCCTCTAAGGCTGGCCCTTATGCCCAAGCTGCAGCCAAAACAAGCGCTGCGAACAGCATATTTCGTATGAATACTGATATTGGTCAGCACGTTCTAAAGAATCCAGGTGTTGCCCAGGCCATAGTCGACAAAGCCGACTTAAAGCAGAGTGATGTATGAAGTCCTCTTCGTTAATATTAGTTTATTCAATTCTGGTTCTGACTTGAATGTTCTAATGAACAGGTCGTCCTGGAAGTCGGTCCTGGATCCGGAAATCTTACGGTTAAGATCTTAGAAAAAGCTAAGAAGGTTATCGCAGTGGAGTTGGACCCTAGAATGGCGGCAGAGGTTACGAAGCGAGTCCAAGGAAAACCAGAGCAGAAACGATTGGAGGTTTTACTTGGAGATGTGATAAAGACCGATCTACCATATTTTGACGTTTGCATTAGCAACACTCCGTATCAGGTAGAGCTATGCGGTCGATCAAACTGGTGGATTTGTCCCTGCTAACATCGACTAGATATCTTCTCCCCTCACCTTTAAGCTCCTTGCAACCACGCCCGCGCCTCGGGTTTGCATTCTCATGTTTCAGCGAGAATTCGCAATGCGCCTATTCGCGAAACCTGGGGATAAGCTTTACAGTCGATTGTCCGTCAACGCCCAGATGTGGGCTAAAATCGACCATATTATGAAAGTTGGGAAGAATAACTTCAAGCCCCCCCCAGCTGTTGAGTCAAGCGTTGTTCGAATTGTTCCGAAAACTCCACGACCGGACATTAGCTACGACGAATGGGATGGCTTGCTGCGAATCGCGTTTGTAAGGAAGAATAAGACACTTCGATCAAGCTTTCTTGGTACATCAAGCGTTTTGAGTATGCTAGAAAGCAATTACACAACTTGGTGTGCGCAGAATGACATTCCTGTCGAGGTCGGACCGGACGATGACGTCGAAGACGAAGGTATGGACATAGAGTATGGTCAAGAGAATGATGGCTTTGACGAGCTTATGGATGTCGATGATGAAGGCGACATTCCAGACTTCTTCAAAGATAAGCCAGATCCAACGACGCAAGTCCCCAAAACAAAACCGACCAAGAAACACGGGAAAGTAGCGAAACTGGTTCGCGGAAAGGTTCGACAAGTACTCGAAGACGATACAGGGCTTGCAGATAAGCGAGCAAGAATGTGTGATGAAGGTGATTTTCTAAAGCTTCTATGGTCATTCAACCAGAGGGGTATCCATTTCAACTGAGTGCGTCTGTGGTCAATGAAAGGCAATGACATGACGGCTTTTATTCGTGGTCTTGCCTTTCATTTCTATTATCCCGTACTCGCGGTGCTCGCCGTTCCCGATCGAAGGTGTGCACTAGAATTCTGGAACAGGCTCTGCCAGATGAACGCTTCGCTCAAGAGCAGCTCAATATCCTTTTCGGTCCAATCGCGTGTCGGCAACGCCTGCAAGAACATCATAATTTCCTAAAATAACGATCAGCCATTTATTCTTATGATTGGATCGCATTGCAAACCTGGAAGTCCATTTTGAGCAACTGGTCAGACCACTTTACTAAAAACGCTGCGCAAACATAAAGGTGGAAACGAGAGAAACCTTGCTCCTCGGCCTGAATGGAATTAGCTAAATCAAGCAAATACCTGGGGATATCATACCATATATGTATCCCACATTCTAATGGTGTTTTTGATGCTGATTTCCCTCATCAGTAAGCAATTCATCCACCGAAAGCTGAATTGCATAAACTCAATGCCCTCTTTCTCCAGGTGCTTTGCAAGTGTGGCATCAATGCGCCTGGTGAGGTCGTGCAACGCATTTACCTGCCGATGAATGCCTGGTTGAGCATATATATAATTGTCTTGTATGCCATCCAGAAGTTTCGTCAAACACCAGAAAGAATCAGCCTCAACAGCATTGAGAACCTGCTTTGGCAACTGGCCGGGGTCCATACCCTCCTCGATATCAAAATCCGTAACATACGAACTCAGAAACACCTGCCAGAACGGTGTAACAAGGTCATTTATACCTTGGACATATCCACTAGCTGGATGCCTTATGGCCCAAACATACAATATTCTTTCCAGCGAACGCTGAGTAGCTTCAAAGCCGTATAAAGGAATGTGCGGATTCGTTCGGGGTATGTCAATGCTAATTTGATGCCATATCGCTTCGTCCAACCCGCGGCCAGTTCCAGGAGGTGGTATTGAAGATGAGGTGTTTCGAGTAGAATGGCCGCGCTCAAAAGCTTGCTGGACACCATCCAAATACTCTTTTCGCTTTCTTTCCAAAGTTGTAACTCTGCGCTCACTATTTGTTGGTAAATAGCCCAGGAGAAGCTGCCAAGTCATTGCTCGAACCTCTTCAGGGATACCTGACCATGCCAGATCCCGAAGCTCAGGTAAAGAGACCGTGCTGGATTGAAGGATGCGTTTAAATTTGTTAATTCGAGTTATTCGAGCTGAATGCGCTTCCAACTGTTTGGGAGTTGCGCCAGATGGTGGCGGTGAATGATTTATTAAATGGAGGGAATTTGCCGGATCTTATTGCTGGTGTTAGAATGTTTAAGTGTAACCTTGGATCAGAAATGTTCTCACCATTTAATATTTCTTTGTATTGCGGCCTTAGAATCTTGCCCTCAGTGGATTTTGCATTTGGATATGCCAGAGTTCCCCGTTCTTCTGCAATGTCTGAACTATTCGCTCGGAGGCGCATACCGCCGAGATCGGGTACCAACACCGACGAACCGTTTGCGTGACTGCCGGTTTGACTCTCGAAACTACTTTCGGTAGCTTGCGTCCGGCGCAAACCTTGGAATTTTGACTTTCGTAGACTTGTAACGCTTGGGAGCCCGAACTCATCTTCGTCGTCATCATACGCAAGTTCATCCTCATTATCGCCGTCATCGTCGTCGTCATGCTCTCGATGAGCGTTCCAAAGTTCGCCTGCTTGCGGGAGTAAATTGCGATACGGCTGGCGTGGCGATGTTATATCGGAATTCGCTAACTTGGAATCGCTCGCATTACGAGGGTTTCGAGTTGGTATTGGGGATCTAGAAGGCGTGTGCGACCTTGAATGGGGGGATATAGTCCTGCCATCCAGCAACAGAACAATTAGTCCAGGGTTTAGAATCAAGCCATTCAGCAGCAATATACCAACTTTAATAAGTCTGCATGTGAGTACGATGCTCCCACCACAGTATTTGGGTCAAATATTCTATTCGGACTCTGTCGCTGCGATGAAGATTGGCTTCCCCAGAACGGAGGACCAGTCCTGCTACTTCGAATTCAGCCAAACGGTCTCAACACCAGTTGCTAGGAAATTACCATACTCGATCTGATCTATAGAGAATGGGTAGTATGTTTGTATTAGCTAGGGACTCCGGTAGAAATCTTGACAGCATAAATACTCAATGCACTGTCTACTCCATTATTTAATGTGAGGCACGGACCGACCTGAACCATCTCCTTTCATGTTATAAATGTTAGCAATGCCTTGAGGAACAGAGGCATTCACAAATACCTGCTGCTGCGATTCTTTCTGAATTTGGCCCCTTTTAGACATTTTTTAGGTGTAGATTAAAGCCTATACCAAGGCTACTTGACAAACAAAATGTATCACAATTGAAACACCCTCAGAACTCCCTCAAAGATGTCTTCTCTCAGTCATGTAGGCGTTGACGGAGGTGGGAGTTGACTAATTGGGTTTAGTACATGACCGCCCAGCACCTGTTGCCGCCAAGCCCTCTCGAGCACTCTTTCTTTCAACCTCGCCTTCTCTCCTCTCATTCCCAACACCGCCATCTCTCATCTTCCTGCCATCATTAACCTCGTCTGCAGCCCGTTAACTAGCTTGGAAAGCTTGGAATTGCAAAATTTACACTAAATATACCCAAGGGACATATTGAGATACCAATTTGCGACAATGACTGAGCCAGAAGATGTCGAAGAAGATCTTTTCGCTGATTTGTGAGTTCTCGGCCTCTCAAACCCCTGTTCCTCTGCCGAATGCCTATATGCTCATAGTGGCTTTTCGCTGACCCGTACGTTGCTTAGGTATGATGCTGATGAGCCTGTTCAAGCAGCAGTTCCCTCAGCTCCGGCTGCATTGTCAGCACCACCTCCAGCAAGTCAAGCACAGCCACAGACTGCCCCAGTCCTACCACCACAAGCTTCAAGTACAGAACAATTGGATGCAGGCTCTGTGAACATGGCCGCTTATGAGCAGCCATCCAATTACAGTGAACAAAATGGCATGCCACAACAAGGTGCGATGCAGGGTGATGCTTCAAGCTCAATAAGCGCACAGCAACCAGAACCCCAAGGCACTGGGATCAAAGAAGATGGGTAAGTTTCTATTGACATTGTACAATTTCTTTCTCTCTGGATGGTTGGGACCTTTGAAGGATCAGGCACGGACAAGTGGTTGCACAGGGCTCTGGGTGGGAAAAGCTTTGCTTGGTGTCAACTTTTTTCAGACCTTCTATCGGGGTTTGCCGCCGGTTCAAAATCTTGATACAGTGAGCGGAAACGAAATCACTCAACTGTTTGTCTGCGGTTCTTTTTTATCGCACCTTTAAGCACCACCACTCCCCGGCTTTACGCTTTCAGCTGTCATCTTCAAGTTGAGATGCGGGCGCCATTTGTGCATATGAAAAGGCTTTGATGCTTCCGTATGCAGCTATATTGCGGCTGCAGGGGGACTCGCCTGGTCGATTGTGTGGTTCTCCGTGCAGGCGTGTGGATTCAGAAGATTGGATGGGTTGCATGGGACCAGCAGTCATTCATGGGACGGTCGGGAAAGCAAGTTGATAGCATAACAAATGATGTCAACGGAAATTGATTCGAACCTGTATGCACGGGTTGTCGATATGATTTGAGTGACGGACATTAGTCTTGCGCGATCCGCTTTGAAAGCGACTATAGTACAACAGATACTATATAACTCCTGTCGATATACCTTGATAGACCAGAGCAAGAAGTTCAGGGACTTCGGCTCTCAATGTGGACAATCGAACATTACCTAGCTTCGGAGTCTTAGAGAGAGCAGACAGGATGATCGGGCAGAAACAAAAGAAAATCAAATATGTCTCTATTTTGAACTCCGGAGATTCAATCCCAATTCCCTATACATGTGCAGTACCGATTACCCAAGGGAGCCATGAGAACCTCAGCCTCGTCTGCGTCCGCAGTAAATTCCTTAACTTCGCCCTGCAAATGGATGTCGATATCATGCGTGGCAGGAAGGAAAATGGTTTAAGATAGCTCTAACGGGCGGTTCTCAACACATCGACGATGACCGGCAATATCGTCGATCATGCTTTGTATAATTACGACCCGATGGTGAAGCCACAGCTTCTCTTCGTCCTCGACTGCAACGGAAATCCAGGCTAGCCAACGAACCACACACGAGTCTGCTATGAGTCTACCACGAGTCGCGCCTCTCAAAGTGCCCAGTCCTTCTGGTGTTTGGAAAACCAACTACCCACATGCCTACCTTCACTTATCTGTGTACATGATTTAGGGAATTTGATGGCGGTTCCTTGCTGACAAGTTTCATAGCAAAATGTTTATCGGAGGCCTCAATTGGGAAACCACTGATCGTAGGTACACCGATATTTCTAAATAGTCTTTAATCGTGCACTGACTCTAGTTCTAGAATCTCTTAAGGACTACTTTTCGCAGTTTGGTGAAGTTCAAGAATGTACAGTAATGCGTGACGGCGCCACTGGTCGATCGAGAGGCTTTGGCTTTCTCACATTTAAAGACCCCAAGACTGTGAATACGGTAATGGTTAAAGAACACTATTTAGATGGCAAGATAGTAAGTTATAGCTTATCATGGTGCCGTTACGCTCAGAAGCCAAGACTTACGTTGATGGCAGATTGATCCCAAGCGAGCCATTCCCCGAGATGAACAGGAAAGAACCAGCAAAATATTTGTCGGTGGAGTTAGCCAAGACGCAAACGAACAAGACTTCAAGAAGTTTTTTATGCAGTTTGGGCGAGTTGTGGATGCGACTCTTATGATCGATAAGGATACGGGCCGTCCTCGAGGTTTTGGTTTCGTGACCTTTGATAGCGAAGCCGCTGTCGAAGCGTGCCTCTCCCAACCATTAGAAATTCTCGGCAAGCCGATTGAAGTGAAGAAGGCACAGCCTCGGGGGAACCTGAGAGATGAGGATGACCGCAGGTTGCGTGCTCGAGGCTTTCAAGGCGATCGGTTCAAAGACGAAAAGTCGGGGTCGACGGACGTTTCACAGCAGGGTGCGCAAGGCCAGACTAATCTCGCCAATACCATGACACCTCAAATGATGGCTCAGTATTGGCAACGTATGCAGCAGTATTTTGCTATGATGCAACAGCAAATGGCGCTTGCGGCAGCACAGGGCCAGGGGATGGCTGGCGCTGCTGCAATGGGTGGAATGAATCCTGCCATGGCGCAGCAAATGCAACAGTTGAAGCAAATGCAGCAAATGAATCCCATGGCCGGGGGCCAACCACAAGGAGCAGCCATGAACCAGCCAGCTCAAGGCGCAGTTCCACAAGGAATGCAAGGGATGATGAACCCAATGATGATGCAACAGATGCAACAAATGCAACAAATGCAACAATTACAGCAAATGCAACAGATGCAAAATCAACCTCAAGGTGGACCTGGGTACGGTGGGCCTGGAATGGGAGGTCAAATGTCTGGCGCTAAACCTGGGAATATGAATCAGGGCATGACCAGTGGTCCTGGCGCAATGGGAGGAGGGAACTTCAGTGGGCCGAGAGGAGGTCCAGGATACAACGCCCAGGAGCAGCTCGCATTCGAACAGCAGAAGTACGAGCAGCAGCAACAAGTGCGTCGTGTTATAGACCCACGCAATTACGGTGGATATCAGCAAGGAACTACCGGCAATTGGGACAATGGGTACGAGGAGCAGCCGAACATCCCAACTGGACCCCAGGCGGGAATGGGACGCGGGCAACCAGCTGGCCGTGGTGGCATGTCCCCAAGCCCAGGACTTGCACCCAAGCAGCCACAAAAGATTCCGACACCACAACCCCAAAGCTCCCCCCCTGCAAATGCTCCAACAGGTCCGCGAAATGCGGGAAAGCCTGGGGCCAATTATCGCGGTGGTGGACGAGGTGTTCATCGAGGCTTCCATCCTTATGCACGAGGCTAGTTCAAATGCGCCGTTCGGCTCGTTTTAGTCGACATCATGATTGAGCGACCTCTCGGGTATGGTATCGCAGGACTGTGTTATTCTATTGCTTCGATAATTCTTTTTGTTTCCCTCCCCCTCTTCTTATTGTGCTTTGCTTAACTATGTGTTTCACCAATAATTTAAACAACCCGTGTATGACTTTTCTTTTCAACTGTTGCTAGTGGGAGGTTAAGATGTGCTGGTGTTGTTTCGTGCCCTATTTATTCCTTGTTGAACCCAGCAATGCCTACAGGAGCTCGGGTGGAAAAGACCAGATTGCATATTTTCTCGTATTCATCACGATGGTTTCACTCTGTTTATGGCCTTGTCACGTTTGTCTGACCCTTTTCCTATCAAGGTGTAATCATTATAAAAATGGTAGTCTGCACAAAGCACTTTCCAACGGAAGATTATATTTCCCAGTGATGACTTGTGATTTTAAATTGCCTTGGGAGTAAATTTCAAAATTTTTTAACATATCGAAGACTGATTATTCGCTAACAGGAGCTACACAGTTCTCTGATTTGACAATAGAGGACAGATGTTAAGACATGCTTGTCGGGTAGGCTTCAACTGTCGAAAGACAGAGAATAAAGATATAAGAAAAAGAAAAGGAAAACTAGGAGCAGTAGAGAACGATCTTTCCTACTAGGTCTCCCAGGACTCGCGAGGTGATACAACGCAAAGAAAACTCAAAAGACTGCCAGATAATCTCAGACCCGAATTAAGAGCGCCCAGGCCTCAACCATGGTAAACCTGCGAAGCCCAAACGCCCGAATATTAAAAATGCGCTTTGTCGAAATACCGCAAAACAGGAAAACACAAGTTGGTTCGATGACACAATTCCAGCCTTGATGAAGAAACAAGAATACCGCCCATAATTATGTCGCCTCAACCTTTAAAAGAAATAAGAAAGTAAGTACTTCGTACATGAAGGAAAAGGGAAAGAGAGGAAGAAACGATCGGAAAAAAAAACCTGGTACTCCGTGAAATCAACATTAAACTGAAATGTCCCGTGCAAATATCCCCTGAAACACGCTTTAAATATGGCAACCGATAAAAGAGGCGAAAGGGGTCAGAAGGAAAAATATCGAAATTTAGGCCCTCGTCGACCGTTTACGGAGTCCGAACTCTTGTTCTTGTAATTCTTTGATTAGCTTTAGACTCTCCTCGTCTGCGTTAATCTCGGCGAAACTGACACGATCACGTTTGCCCGGTCTAAACTGATTTTGCGGGGATGTAGGGCTTGCATTGTGCCGCATATGGCTCGGAGATCCCTTTCTCTCAGCTGCAGGATGGGCTTGTTTGACTTCCTTGGCCATGAATTGCTTCGATTTATGTGAGGAGGACGGTCGAGAAGATGGCTTTGTGGGTTTTGAAGTAATCACTGGCGTTGAAATGACTTGATCTTTCGCTGAATCTGGTACAGCAACTTTCAGGCTTTCATACTCTTCTCGGCGTGGAGGAGAAATTTCCCGTACCGTTGGGTGGGGTGTTTTGGGCGACGTCGAAGCCGGAGTGTTAACATCAACTGGATATTCCTTAGCGTTATCATTCACAATAGGCAAGGTTTGCTCTGGATTGTTGACGATCTCGTCACGGCCATCAAGAAGGGACGTTGGTGGCGACACAAGGCTGTCGGTAGGTGGAGCAGGTCTTAGCTCGCCTTCAGGACGAGAAGGCCCATCTAGTTCAGTGTTCACAGCTGGAGATGCATACAACCCTTTATCCTGAGCCTTTCCATTTGTCGCCGGTTCTGACGCGTTGCTCAACTCGTGTCTCGGATGTATGTGGTCAGCTGGGTTATCTATTCGCTCCGGATTCAGGTGAGAAGCCACCATAGGCACAGCGCCGAATTCTTCACCTTTCTCTGGGCGCTCGTGTATACTCTGGCTGAGTCTGGACCTTTTGGATACTGACGAGTAACCATCGCTGGAACGTGGACGCTTTGTAATTCCGGTTCGCGGTTTTGCTCGTTCTTGGGCTTTAACAGGATCCACCTTTCCGGATTCATCATGGATGCAACGGCGCTAACAAATGTTAGAATGGTACTGAGGTAAATTTTGGGATAATGATAGGGAATAAAAACCTTGCTCTTTCTGCACTCATCACAAGCCTTGTTTCTCCCTTTTTTAGCAGAATTTGAGGAGTTTGGGCTGTTTCCACTGGCCCCAGCTGAATAATTAAGGGTCATCTCTTGTGGCACCGGACCAGAAGCGCTACCCTGGGCCAACTCCGCATAGTTAATCGACATATCCTCGTCAGTTGATGTGTTGATAGTACTATTCAGAAGAACCTCCGAGGCTCTTCGAACCTGTTCGCCGTTTGATTGGAAACTTATATGTTGGTTGCCCGAAACCACATCGCCGTTATATTCAGCTTTATGGCGACAACGAATACGGCGCTTTCGACATGCGTCACAGGCCACTCTTTTTGGACCAAGGTTAGTACCCTTGGAGACCGGTTTTGGCATACTGTCCTGCTCGAGTTTGATGTCCGGGAACGACACTTTTCGTTTTGCCGGAGTCGGACTGCCTTTATTCGAAGTGGATGTGGATGGGGCGATTGATACTCTATCGTCCAGATTCTGACCCTGCATCGGCTTGGATGTTTCTGAAGCCATGCTAGCTCGGCGGGTACCATTGCTGGCATTCCTTTCCGAACGCCTAGTCGGACGTGCCGTTCGTCTTTTATCAGAAATATCGACCTTCGCATCAAGAGATATTGCTCCTGGGCGAGTCCACTGAGCAGCAGGCTCATTACCCCTCTTCCATGCAACCCATATTCCAAATTTTACGACCGTCTCGATAGGATCGCCTTGGCCTTTTGGGATGGACCGACTCACGGCATTTCTTGTTTCCTTCGTTACGCCATCCACCATATATCCACCTGCAATTAGAGCAGTTCTCAATAAATATTTGGCGAGGTCCGGGAGACCGTCGAGTTCCGCTTGCGAATAAAAACGGGAGTTGTAATAATCTGAGCCTCTTTCTGCTTTACTTGCGTATTCTCCAAATTGGTAATAGAGGGGATATTCGCGATAAAATCGGTAGTTTTCATCCCTAGCAAAAGAATCCAGTACGCTTTGAGGAACGGGGTCTTCGTCGAGATACTTAAACGCGGTGTACCACATAATCTTCTGGAAGAAAGGGTACCGGAACTTTCTTGGAACTTTCGTATCCTTTTCGATCTGCGCAATCTTGATTTGCATTCCATAGTTCATTCTGGTGAGAAAGTTACCACCGATGACGAGACTATCTTCCGGCGTCCATACCGCATGGATCCAACCAGATGGGATAAGCATGGTATCACCTTCTGACAAGTCAACCCGATAGCATTCTTTGGTCTGGTCTGCAAGAAAGGTGGTATCTTGTGCGGTAGAATTGCACCATTCCTCATATTTTTTTAGATGCTTTTCCTTGGGAGGGATAAAGAAAAACGTTTTCTTCCCCTTAATGATATGATAGTACACGGACGATCCCCCAAAGTCCACGTGGAAGTCGGTGTAACAATCTGCCACGGACATTAAACAGTAGAACTGCACTTTCGGGTAGTCGCCAATTTCTTTCAGTTCATTGGGCCAAACCGCATCTTGTAGATCCAGGTCACGAACTATCTTGGGGCGACGGATTAGTTTTCCGAGGGGACTCTGCGACACCTCAAGGCTGATAACGTTTCTGACAGTCTTCGATGCGCTGCTGTCATAGTAATAGTCCACCCATTTTCGCATGTTCCATCTCTTATCTTCACCCTGCTGAGATTTGACATCGATAACCTCTACTCGCTCATCCAGGCCGTAAAGTTCACCCACCGTTCGAACCGTGAGGTTATTTGGGATGACCATATCGAGAAGATCCTGGCAACAATCGATCACTTCTTCACTATCGTCGTCGTTGGGAAGACTATCGATAATGGCATCGAATTCTTCTTGACTTGACGCTTCTTTGAACTGTGGACAGTAATTTTCCAAGCCAAGTGCAGAGGCAGGAGTACGAGGATTTAGATGAGCGGGAATAACGACAGGCTCTGGCATCCCTATACCATGTTCGAAATATTCTGCAGTCACGAATTCCGCAGGGAGGCGAGCGAAATGATCAGGCAAAAATGTCATCTTCCCCGCTTTAATGGGCTGAATATAATGGTGATCTGGGGCTTCTGTTGACGGCTTTACGAAACCTTGATTCAACCCAGCGTAGTCAATAGATGTTTTTGGTCGCGAAGACTTGCGCACAAAAGTTGTCGGCCCATGTACCGGTCGGCATTCTTTGCATATGAACTTATCCACGGTCCGAATTTCACGGTCGTTTTTGAATCCGGCACAAACAATGTGGAACCACCTATTACAGCCGTCACAGTTGACCCAAGTAACTTCGGCATCATCGCCATTGTTCATAGGCACTCGGACTAAACTGCATGCAGCACAATTTGTTTGGTTTGACGAGTCACTGTCAGCGTCTTCGCTTTTCACGGCAGTGTCTGACTGGCGACGGCGACCTTTGGACTTCGGGCCCCGTTTTGGTGGACGTGATTCGGCCTTCTCTTCAACAGTCACAGTAGCTCGCTCTCCTTGCTCTTCCGGGCCGTTTGACTCATCTTCCAGAACCGGACCCATCGGCGGTGGCCCTTTGGGAGGCCCAGAGTTGTATCCGTTAATCGTAGGTCGGGAAAGGGCCGCCGCGCCATCGGACCGGGATCGGACTCGAGCCAAGGCACCCGAGCCACCGAAAAATGCTGCAGAGACTTTGTTGCTTGAGATATTGAACGACTCGTCGGGAACGTTGGGGGGTGGTATATTCCACTTCGACTCCATGTTGCTAGCCTCCGGCCCACTGTTGTGGAATTGAGGGGCCGGTTGGATCGGCTGTCGTGGGGGGAAGTTAGCCGGCCTTGCGAAGTTTAGGAGGAGCTCTGCGTCAGTCTTCATGCTATCAAAGGACGAAGTATGGCTGGTCGCGGGCCTAGCACCAAATGTTTGCCAGGCTGGCGATGGTGACCGCTCCGACCTTGCTCGTTTCGGAGGTCTCTCTCTTGACTCATTGTCGACGGGCGCAAAAGATATGGTGGAGGCATCATTGTCGGGAGCAGAACTGTAGGTCAGCGGTCCAAATCTAGCCCTCGTGGCGAGAGCAATGGTGGCTAGCGTGTCGATATTCGAGCCGGTTCTTGAATGCCCCAATCTGCCGAGAGATTTGGTCTCAGCAGGGGGGTCTGGATGGCTGTTGTTCCCCCGAGAGGCGTCAAAGTTATTCGCTGCTTGTGGCTGGCAATGTTGCAAAGGCGTTGGCACTTTTTCAGAGCCGCTCGCACCGATATCCCACGGCGGGCGATAGCTGGCGGCGGATGCGTGGGGGGAGAGAGGCTCGACAGCGTATCTCGGCGGGGAAGGAGTACGGTACTGAGGAGGTCGGCTATTGGAGGGCCTGCGAAACGACATAGAGGCGGCCATGGCAAAGGATGGCTATGCGTTTCGAAGGAAATGGAGGAAGGCGGAGGCGAAGATTCTGTTCGAGTTCTCGAGGAAAGGTGGGGAAACAGAACGTATGGAGCGCGAACTTCGCTATCTTGAGGCGGTGGTAGGGACGCGGCAAGTCATCCCTGATCAAGAGGGGCGAGCAACGGACGTGGATGTAAGCGGATGGTAGAGAAGGGAGTCTTTCGGGAAGGGTTGATGGTTCAGACGGCCGACGATGAAGAAGGCGAAGGAGGACTGTCGCTTGCTCAGTTGTGCAGGGCGAGCCGCTGTGGTGCGGAGTCGAGCGGTAACCACCATGCACACAAGGCAACGCGTTCTCGGGGCTATACACTTGATGGACTCGGTACTTGCGGCAGAAGCGAGAGCAACAACCAGGGATTGGGATCACAACCAACTGTCTTGGTGATTATTATGGAGAGGAAGACCGAACGACGATGAAGGGACCTCTACAAAAGGCCTCCCGTTCGCTGTTCTGGTATTGGGAGAACGAATCAGGTTACTAATCCGTGGGCAGGTGCGGTAATAATACGGTTTTGCCAATACATCACCACATGAAGACGGGCCAGCGCAGTGACGGGCAGCGGGAGCATCAACAGACACCGTCAATGGATGGTCGGGGGTGCTAGCTTCACGAAGCTGAAAGGGAATTGAGGAGCAAACATAAGAGCTAGAAGTCTGGAGCCGAAAACAATGACGATTCTTCAGCCTTCGTACTGAAGCTGCGCGTTAAGACCGCATGGCCTTCTCCTCCCCCGGTTTTACAAGGCACACAGCTCCTAATTTTATCCCGCACCTCAAGAGACACATATCATCGAGGCCTGCAGAGGGTGTTTCAAACAGGTTATGGGATAGAGAACATGCTTGGACACGCCTCTAGCATCCATAATGCTTGTTCTGGGAAGTGTGAGCGGATGAAATCTACTTTCGTCACCTGTCTTCCGGACTATGTAGTTATATCGGCCACTGGACGTCATCCCGGCCGTGGAAAGGCACCCTTGAAAATCTGCTCTAGAAGATGGTGCTTGCTGTGGCTGCATTGATCGTGCCAATCAAAACATGGCAGCTCGGCGCGGGCTGCCTATACACAAAGGCCTGGACGTGAACAATCCCGCTTGCTCTCTCTTCTCTCTCTCTCTCTCTCTCTCTCTTCCCCCCTCTCCCCCCACCATCATCCTCCCTCCAACTTTCCTGCTTCCATCACTCACTATCACTACCTGAGGCTGTTTCGTTGCGCTCAGATTGCGGTAAGTCTCGTGCTTGGACCAGGGCAGTCCAAAATAAGAGTCCGGTCACGTGGGCGCTAAGAGGCAGCAGTGGACATTCTCCTTGCATCAAGCAGATCCCGTGGCGGTCCCTCGATCTCGTCTTCCATCTTCTCGAAGTTCTTATACGCGCGGTATTTGAAACAAGCCAACCTCTGCACCTCAGACTACAGAGCTATGAGCCGTAGCACCAAACTCGCCCCGGAAGCCAACAGGTATGCCCTTTGCCCCAGCACCCTCTCTTCGGCTCTTGCTCCTAAGGCCCTGCCACCCCGCTATCCCGGCCTATCCCTTCACTTGCAGCCCCCACAGTGCTTGGTGCGATGCTAATCTTGACGCTGCTTAGGATCCTCTTCGTCAAGAACCTTAGGTACGCGGTGGCGATCACTCCAACGCCTCGTTTCCGCGTCTCCCATCGTTACCCGAGTCCTATGCCGCTGGTTGCTAATCAACTTGTCGTTCTATTAGCTACAACGTTACCGCAGACGACCTATTTGATCTTTTTGGGAAGTTCGGCCCTATCCGGTATGCCGCGTTGCATCTCCCAACCGCCCTCGCACATTTAAAACTAACGATATCTGGCAGACAAATCCGCCAGGGCATTGCCGCGAACTCAAAAGGCACGGCATTTGTGGTATATGAGGATGTTCATGATGCCAAGCAGGCCTGCGACAAATTGAACGGGTTCAATTTCCAGAACCGATACCTTGTTGGTCAGTTGCCGGTTTCTTGGACTTGGTGTTTGTCTGTTGTGAACATATCTGACCTCCGTCCGGATTCGTATAGTCCTGTACCATCAGCCTGAAAAGATGGCAAAGTCGAAAGAAGACCTTGCAGCACGACAAGAGAATCTTGAAAAGCTAAAGCAGCAGCACGGCATTGAATAAACCTGCATTACAGTCTTTTTTATTCCTTCAGCTAGAGCCCTTTTCTTTTTTTCCCCCCAACCCGTCACCACCTGTCTAACGGTCGCAAAAGTTCGCTTTCGGAGTTACCTAGCGCTACCTGGTCTCTACGGCTATTGGAGTTTTGCTTCTGGTGTGAATGGTCCATCACTCTCCGGATGATAGGGCCCCCAGTTCCTGGCTTTACCTGAGTGGTTCTAGTTAATTTATGGCGCATGCAAAATGGATTTCGAGACGAATGAGTTCGGGGTGATAACACAGCAGATTAGGAATTCCCATTTTCTGCCTCAGGGTGCAGCGCGTAATTTTTGATCCGTTACTTCACCGTATAGAGCCAGCCCTGAAGCGTAGCAGCGGATGGGTGGTCAAAGCCCCAAACATATGTAGAAAGAGCCCGTTTCTACGGAGTAAAGGAAGCTGTAATGGTCATAGGAGCAAGTCGGGTCCTTTTGGAGTGATTCAGTCCTGCGCCCCCGTTTGATTTACCGCCAGATCCACCTCGCAAGACCGAAGAGGATCGAAATTGGATCCCACCCAAAGGGAAAATTGGGGCAAAGGCAGAGAAAGTGTGTTGTATTTCATGAAGGTCTGAATCGAAGGCGGAGGCTCAGGGAGCAGCGCCGGGTCGGCTCGTTCGTGATGGATGTCTGGCCAGCATTCCTGGCTGCATAAACTCGAAGGATCAATACATAGAGCAGCCAGTGGAGCCTTGGGACTCCCGAGTATGTCCCCGTTTCTCTCGGGTATCAGATTTCTGCCTCTGGTGCAAGCGTAGAGTGCGAGACGGTTTTCGTCCACCAGCGAGCGTTGATGCCAACCCAGCGACGAGTAGCGCGACCAGAGTCTCCCACGCGTTGGGCTCATGTTCCTTCATCGCTCTTCCGCAAACTGCCGGTGCCCGTGTCCTGGCCGAACGCGCTCAAACGTCACCACCGAAGCCTCTCGGAATTACATAATTCGAAACATGTGAAACGACCTTGTAACTCTGGTATCAATGTTACGGTACGCGGCGGTACTGAATTCAACGCAATACCAAGCTTTGAGGCGCGGCGGGCCAGGCCATGAACCGCTCTCACCGCACCCCTTCCCGCCTCCCAGAGAGGTGACTGACTCTCTCCCTCCGCTGACATCGTCGTCCTCAAGCTCAAAGCCCTAGGACAATTATGGGCATCTATATTGACCTCTGCCAAATCTAGCAGCGGGCAAACGGCGATCATCTCCCCTGACTATGAACTGAGTGGCTTGCCGCTCTTTGTTTAGCAGCCTCAAGCAAAGCCAGGCTACGACACAGACATCTACAAGACCCGATCCTCGAGCTTTCAGCCCCTGCATGGCCTAAAATGACCACAGCTGCTGGTCCCGCGGCTAGCTTTGCAACCAGCCTTGCCAGCAGGGTCGCTACGACCGCTATAGCTTCATCCAGCATCACCATGACGTCGCCGCCGGCGGCATCCACCTGGGCGTCGAGCGAAGGTGAGAATAACGGTAAATGCGAACTATTGGGACCGTTTTCTCTGTTTGTTCAAGCTGCCTTGGGAGCTTTGGCTATTCTAGTATTGGTTTACAAGAGATGGAAGGAAAGGCCACAGAGACCGGTGAAGGTCTGGGCCTTTGATGTATCCAAGCAGGTCGTCGGGTCGGCTCTGCTTCATCTGGCAAACCTGCTGGCCTCCATGTTTTCAGCGGGCCAGATACCAGTGACTGCTGCGTACGAACCAAACCCCTGCACGTATTACCTTTTGAACCTAGGAATCGACGTGAGTGATCCCCTGACGGTGAAAGGCATCCCCTTTACCAGTTTTATTCTGAACACCAGAACAATGCAAACTAAACCGACTATCTAACTTTTTGCCTTAGACTACCCTTGGTATTCCTGTTCTTATTCTCATACTCCGTGTCCTCAATCGTGCCGCCTTATACACTCCTCTTGCAAACCCTCCCGAGTCTATTGAGTCTGGCAACTACGGTGACCCTCCTAATGCCATATGGTGGCTTAAGCAGTCGGTAATATACTTCTTCGGTTTAGTGGGCATGAAAACATGCGTCGTGGTCATTATACACATGCTGCCATTTATTGTGGAACTGGGAGACTGGGCGTTGAGATGGACGGAAGGCAATACCGCTGTCCAAATCATTTTTGTGATGCTCTTGTTCCCGGTGATCATGAATGCCGTCCAGTACTACATTATCGATATATTCATCAAGAGAGCTATCCCGGAGGATCGGGGTCGCGAGGTTGACTCGCACAGCTTTGACACTACCTCTATCGACGAAGACCGGCATCATCAAAGTGCCTTGCTCGCAGGGTTAGACGATGACGAGGAGTCTGATGAAGAAGAACCTGTGATATTCTCTGACGACGAGGCCGTGGCGAAACAGTCGCTTGGTACTAATAGGCCAGGCCACGGCAGTCTGTCTCGCCAACGGTCATAGCGCTGCCCGTTTTACTATCTTAAATTCTGTGAGAAGCATCCTTGAGAAGCAGCACCGTTTCTTGGGTTTGTTGCCCGGATATCTTTTGTTGATCTATTTTGATACAAACCCACTTGGCGTTGGGCGTGGAAGCGTAACATGGATGATAACTTTAAACTTTGCCAGCGATGTCTTTCTCCTGTCCGTTCCCCCTACTTCTGAATATCCCTCGATCCCGGTTTCCTTTAACCTGCTCTGGAGTTCTTGTGCCTATACATGGTGATGTTTTCTCGATGCGCGGTGGCATGCTCTACATCTAACATAATAATCTAAGGCTGTTTCTCCTGTCGTCTTTAGCAGCCATGACAGCCTCCTAGAAATAGAGAACATTCTTGTCCTCGATCCAAGGGTTTTGTAACATCTCCTCCCAGTATGTCTTTACTCCTCGTCATGCATACCATCCCATTGTTGATTTCTCTCGGGCCACCTTTGCCCTGGGTTATCTCAGCCAAGACTAGCACTAAACTTTATTTCCTTTTGTCGGTCGGGGCTAGCAGAAAATAATACAAAAATTTGGGTTGAGCGCATAGCCAGCACGAGCTTGGGAGTAAACAACCAGCGATGAATCCGGAGTCGAGGCCCTTCGTATAATATTGCGGCTCTTTGTCAGGTTTTACCTGGAGTGAATTCCCTCCGCCGGACAGACAAACCATTATCTGAAAAATGGCTTCCGAGGCGCAGGTCCAAAGCCGATATTTGCGGCCCATTCATGATGACGATGAGTCCGAGTCGAGCGAAGAAGAAATCTTACCAAAAGACGAGACGGAAGAGCAGCTTGAAAAGCTGCTCTTTGGGGATTCCGAAGGTTTCCGTGGTGCATTGAAAGACCATAGGACGACCTCGACAGGCTTGGTTCTGCGGGAGGATTCAGAGGCTGAAGGAGAAGCCAACAGGGCAGCAGATGATGACGACAATGAATCGATTGATTACTTTGCAGGTTTGGACGATGCGGATGTGAGTTTCTCTATTTGTGAATGGCAACGGACTTTTCAGTCCCCCCCGGGTTTTCGTCACTTGAGATTTAAACCTTTGAACTATGTTAACCAATGCTCTAGCTATTCGTCCTAGATACAGGCACAGGCCAGGCGCCGCCCATAATTGAACCGCCCTCTGCATCAGCTCTCGCAAAGACCACGGCAGCCGGTGGCGATCTGCTCGAGGCCGACACCGTCCCAGCTGCATGGGAAGACAGTGACGATGAGCGCATTACTGTTTCGCTTGCTACAAACGAGCGTATGCGAAAGTTGCGATTGACAGAGGCTGAAGATCTAGTTAGCGGCAAAGAATATGCGAAAAGGCTCCGGAGGCAGTTTGAGCGGCTACAGCCTACACCAGAATGGGCAAGCAAGGCTACAAGCAGAGCCGCAAAAAGAAGAAAAACCGGAGATGATTCCGACCGTTCAGGCGATGGGTCAGGTGCCAGTGCAGATGAGATGGATACAGATGTAGAAGAAGATATGTCGCAGCAGCCTTTGGCGCGATTACTACAAAATGTGGGCAGCCTCTCAAGGAGAGATGAGCAGACGAAGTCAAACACAAGACGAAAACTTCGCCAAGAAGTACTAGAAATTCAGCGACTGAAAGACGTCCCGGGAAACCAACCTGTGAGTTTTTTTTTTTTCTGAGAGTTTTGCGGCCCAATGGTCAACGCTAACCATTACAATAATATTTCAGTCCACCATCGACTCTCTTACTTTTCACCCACATTATCCTCTGCTTCTCTCGTCCGGCCCTGCGTCAACGCTCTTCCTTCACCATGTATCTCCGCAATCCAGCTCGCCAAATCCTCTCATCACTTCCCTTCACGTCCGCCGTACCCCCCTCCGAACCAGTGCATTCCTGCCTCCAAGTGGAAATCGTATCTTCTTCTCCGGCCGTCGCCGCTATTTCCACGTTTGGGACTTAGATACTGGAAAGGTTGAAAAGGTTAACGGTACAGCAGATCGCAGAGAAGAGCAGAAATCCATGGAGCAGTTCAAGCTGTCTCCATGCGGACGATGGATGGGCCTAATAGGAAGCACAAGAAAAGGAGGGGGTGTTATCACCATCCTTGACGCGAGCACCATGCAATGGGTCGCCCAAGTGCGCATTGACAGTCGCGGTGGTGTGGCAGATTTTGCGTGGTGGAGCGATGGTGAAGGCTTGTGCGTTGTAGGAAAGAATGGAGAGGTTAGCGAATGGGACGGGAGGGAAAACCGCATTGTTGCTAGATGGGTCGACGAAGGCGCCGTCGGAACAACGGTGATAAGCCTGGGAGGAAAGTCAGGCAAACCGCAACTCGGTGGCGATCGGTGGGTAGCGATTGGGAGCTCTAGTGGTATCGTAAATATATACGATCGGAGACCATGGGCTGCTGGGGCTGCGAAAGCGGTGAATATAGCGAGAGCGCCGGCAAGGTCAAAGACAGCAGCTGGAGAGCCGGATGACATACAATCCGGCGTACCGAAAACACCCAACCCAACGCGGACGTTGGATCAGTTGACGACGCCGATGAGCCATTTGGTCTTCTCGAATGATGGGCAGTTACTTGTCATGGCGAGTCGCTGGAAGAAAGATGCTCTCAGGCTTGGTGGGTTGGATCCTTCTCTCTTTTTTTTTTTTTTTTTTTTTTTTTTTTTCTTTTCCCTCGCTTCCCTTTACTCGAAGTTTACGAAGGCTAACACGGGTTGTACAGTCCATCTTCCGTCTTGCACTGTCTACAAAAATTGGCCGACATCAAGCACACCGTTAGGCAGGATTTCTGCGGTTGCAATTTCTCCGACGTCTGATATGCTAGCGGTTGCGAACGAGCAGGGGAAGATCCGGCTGTGGGAGATTCACGGCTAGGATATAAAATTCTGATACAACGCAAATTAGGCAAATTCTTACATCCATACATTATAAAGTCCTGATTCATCCCAGATACTCGTTTTGAGTTAATTTAAATTTTGCTGCATGATCCATCCCAGGGGACTTCTGGACAAAAAAGAGGAGTTCTTGGAATGTTTGAATACCTGCATAACTTCTATTAGAGGTATATGCGATCTATAGTTGTGATATTTCAGAAAAATAATACTCTATAAGGGCCAATAGCGCCTTTCAAGCTAAGTAAACACCAAATCAGCCAATTAAAGAAGCAAATCCAACCTCTGTATGTATGGGGATATCATAATATCCGCTGTATGAACGACACCAAAAGAAAACGAGCAACAAGGAAAGAGGGAAAAATTCACAGCAGCTTCTTCATCGTGTCTGTCTTTCGAATGCCGGCTAGATTTCCCTGCTTAACTCTCTCGAGCGTCAGCGCTGCGATCAGTGCGGCACCAACACCAGAACCGTCCTCGGCAGAGCATATAATGACTTTATCTTCCTCATCATCAGCCCAGTCGAGGATCTCACGAAGTGCCTTGGCTCCGCGGGCCTTGAAATGGGGATATTTGTTGAAGACGGAACCGTCAGCTCCAACATGGCAAGATTTGATATTCTTCTTTTTGCAAATGGCCGCGACACCGCAAGCGGAGAGGCGCGCAGCGCGAGTACCAATAAGTTCTGCTAGGCGGCGGCAGAGCTCAAGCTCAGGCTTGGTGGCCTTGATTCCAAGATTGCGCTCGAAAAGGTCCCTGGTTTCAGACAAGTTCTCGAAAGGATCTTCTTCGATGTACGCCAGGAAGGAAGAGTCTAGGCAGTACGGTTTCCGGAGGCTGCTGACGTCCTGGCCTTCGAAAATGAGATTGCCTTTGTTGTCAATAAGGTCTAGAAGGACCAGCCGGAAGATTTCGCCAAGATACAGACCGGCGGTCATCTTTTCGAAGGCCTGTTGCCCGGGCCGCGGGGAGTCACGGTCAATCACGACGTCATATTGAGTCAACGGAAGTACCACACGCTCGTTATCAAAGGCACCATATTCACAGTTAATGGCGATGGGCATATCAGGGGGAAGGTTGTAATGAGCGATTTTTGGGATGGATCCCGCATTCTCCATGTATGCCGCGTTAACTCCTGTTCCGAAGATGCAGCCAATCCTCATCTCAGGATCAGTGTAAGCAGAGGCGATCAGAGTTCCGGTGGTATCATTGATCAAGGCAGCGACTTTGATCGGGAGACCCTACAAATCAAATTAATCAATCGTCCGTTCAAACACCTGCAGTATTGGGATTCTCTCCGTTTTTTCGGAGTATGTTAAGGGACCATACCCTCTTTGCAAGGGCCGCTTCTAACATAGGCACAACATCCTCACCCTCCACGCCGTCAATATCAAAGCCCTTAGTCCATCGTTGTAACACACCGTGGTCAATATACTCCTGAGTAGCGGGATAGGAGAAGGTGAAGCCCAGGGGTAGGTCCGGCAAATTTTCCTCCTCATGGTGGTATTCAATGAACTGCTGAACACAATCGGCGATGTATTCCCAGAGGTCATCGGCATTGCCGCTCTTCAACTCCTCCGGAATGCGATATTTGGACTGAGTGATGTCGAATTCACCCTTCTTCTCGCAAAGGAAGATCTCGCAGACACGGAGGTTGGTACCGCCCATATCAAGCGCGAGGAACGTACCCTGTTCATGGCCAGTGGGAAAGCCCATAACCCAAGTGACATTCATAGGCTGTAATCGAGGACGGTCTTCGTTAGTCATGGTCGAGACAAGTTAAAAAAAAGTGAGAGGAGGAATAGGGAGGGACGAAGACGCACGATGTTCCCACCCTGTACACTGAGACCTGTTTAATGCAAGTTAGCAACTACCGAACTCCAGGAGATCTCCCAAAGAGAGAGCAGTTACCTTTCTCCAGCTCTTTTACAAAGTGGTCCACGATTTTCTTCAACCGAGCCTGGTCGACTGTGAAGAGCTCCTCGAGCTCCTTCACCTGCTCGAGCAGGTCCTTTGGCATATCGGCCATTGATCCTGCATGTAACGTCAACGCTTCCGTTCCCACGAAGTGCTACAAGTCGAAGACCATGCAAGAACAAGCTCACCCTTCCGGGACGGCCTTCGGCGAGGAGTGGTGACCGTCATTCTTGAATCTTTCTGATACTGCGAAAGCGACGACCCCGCAGTCAAGGAAAATGAAATGACTTGCAAAAAGATCAACGGATGTCGAGAGAGTGTGTGAGATCTCTCGCAACTGTGCAATTGACCGACAGCTACTCCGTATTATCTGGGCGATTCTGAGAACAAGGGAGCAAGAAGACTTCAGGGCAGGAGGCGGGCTTGGGGTTGGCGGCTGCGGGCTCAAACTCAGTTGGGCGAACTATAAATATCTTTATCGGTCAGCGGGCGTGGTGGGGCTCCCCTCGTCTCGTCTGAGAGGCGACTGGGGATCTGGATTTGGCTTGTCGCCCCTCGTTCATCGCCGTCTTCGCGACATTTTCTCGATCCGTTGGCGATTGGCAGCGCTGGATGATTGTCATCGGAACCGGGAATGACTGCCAATCTACGACTTTCACCGACCCATCCATTCATCCGCCGCACCAGCTTAACTTAGTTCTTGCTTAGGGCCTATGACGAGGGATTAATCCACTGGAAGAAAAAAGCCCACTCCCGTCAGACTCCAGACCGTAATCCAGGGGGCAGACCCAAATTGCCCCTGACAGTTACAAAACTCAATACAAAAATCGACTCAAAGATGTTCCATTAGTATTGTCTACCTACGAATATTTAATGCCAAAATAGCTGCTTCACATGCATTGCCAGACATTCATCTGGCCGTCCCGCATACAATCATTTCCAAAACTCCGTCCCGAAAAGGAGAATCGAAAATGATTGAACTTCCTTTTATGTCGTTTCGTCGAGCCGAACATCTACACGGATCGGCCTGTTTAAATTTTATTCAAAAGCAGAACGCTCGTTAACTCATTATGGCTGCCTCTAGAGAAGCAACACGCAGCGTCAGGTAAGCTCCAATTATAAAAATTTGTTGGGAGAGGAAAAAGTAGGAGAGAATGGTTGGTAGAGAGGGTGGTTCGCGGTGAGTAGCGGATCACAGCGACGGATCTTGCTTCGATCTTTCCGGCTGCTGTTCCGCAGCATTCTGCTCGGTCGCCGCGATAGCGCCGTTCTGCGTGGGGTTATTCGCGTGCTTGATGCCATCAGGTTCACCTGGCGATGTACTGCCCACCTGTCTTGATTGTGCGTCTTCAGGTTCTTCAACGCCCCGGTCCTGCTTGGCCTTCATTTCTTGAAGCTGCGCTCGCACACGTTCCTCATGTGCCTGAGAAATATCTAGCGCATGCTCAACTTCTTCAGTCAACTTCTCAACCTCTTCTCGAAGCTGGTCGTCTCTTGTTATCGGGGTGGATTTCTGCTCTTTGCTTGCGATGGCCGCCGCCTTTTCCGGATTTACTGTGGCCCAGAGTTCCTCCAGTTCCTGCCGCCAACCCAAGGCATCTGCTAGCTTCATCACTCCATCGTCGCACTCGCCAAGAAGCAAAACATCGTCCGGTCGAGATCCAAGACCGCCAGCTTGAGTCAGGTTGATGAGAAGACGAGGGATGCCCTCCCGACATAAGCTGGGCAGACTGGAAAAGGGTTGCACACTCAAGCTTGTCCCCATAACGATGCATAGATCCGCGGCGGCCGGGAGTGTACGGTTCAGAAAGAAGCTGGAAGGGAGCGCCTCGCCAAAGAACACCACATCTGGTTTCACCAGGTTCATGCATTCAGGACATAGAGGCACATCATTCGCTTCCATCGCTTTTGTCATCAGTTCCCCTGGATACGGCGTTTTGCATTCGATGCAGCTCTGCGTAGCGAAGGTCCCATGGGCCTCAACGATCATTTCACTAGGTATGCCAGCCTCCCGCTCTAAGCAATCAATGTTCTGTGTGAACAGTTTAAGAAGCCGCCCCTTGTTGTAAAGGAGCTTGATAAATGAGTGTGTGATTGTGGGTTTGCACTTTCCAGGAAGCATCTCCTTCGTCAGGGCATAAAAGGGGCGTGGATCGGTGCGAAAGTATTGAATATCGAATACCGCCTCAGGAGTAGGAAGATTAAGGCGAGCAAGATTGGCATACAGTCCAGTATCCGGAGAGCGAAAGTCCGGTATTCCCGCGGCGGTGCTGATCCCAGCCCCGACCTATAAAATATATATGTCTCGTCAGAGCTCCTGTCCTATTTTATTTCCTGAAGAAGCATATATTGACTTACCAGGACGACTATTTTCCTGGCATTCTTTTCATGTATGTACTTGGCTATAGCCTCGAGCGTGCGGCTTTCAAGTGCTTGTGGTCGGACATCATCATCGACCATAATAGAGCTTTCGTTACCCATGATTAAGACGGGGATTCTTTGGCCAAAATCCCCTGGCGTCTCAGACAGTGTCGACGGCTCGCGAGGGAAGCCCTTTGTCGTTACGTCGTCGCGATAGAGTGACGCGAATCACACGCATACACCTAGCTGCGTGCGGGGGAGGGATCGGGAGAGGAACAAAACACGATGGCACACTCCCGAAATGCGGAGCTGGGGAAATCAAAAAAACGGTCTATTAGCTATTCAAAAGAGAGTATTCATTAGATTTACTACTAATTGTGAAAAGAGAGGAACTTCTATGACAAGGATTCGCGACATTGGCCTGCTCTCTTTCGGGAGATATAGAAGACCCATAACGATGTCAATTGGCGACTGGAGGTCGGCCTGAGCCACGCCAAGACGACGACCCCCTGCTCTCCACACTCCATGCGCTCAAACTGGCATCGTCAAGCACAAATCCACGAATATCCCTGACAGCGTCGATTCGCAGGCGACAGGGCCGAGTATCTTTCTCCTTTTTGTCTCGCCCGCCGACGACTAATAACCCCAGTCACGGGACCTTCTCACGGTAAATCTTCGAAACAAAGCGCCGTTTTCCTCTATTCATCCGAAATGCCTCTGTTGACAATCGCTTGAGTTTCCAGCAGAAGCGCGGCAACTCGCTCTCCCCAACCCCAATTCCCCCACGACTTACAAAATGAACCAGACGGATACAATGGCCAATGGCGATCTTCATCATCATGAAGACGTGGAAGCCGAGAGTTTACCAGACATTTTCAATGCCAGTTCCGTCGCCGACATCAAGGCTACTCTCTCCGCTCTCCATGATCGCGAAGCGTCCGTGACGGCTCGTCTCGAGGCCCTTGTGGCATCTCAGAAGGACTTCTCTCGCGAATTGGGTCGCCTCGATTTGCTTCGTGCACATATCGGTTCGCAGGCAGGCAATACCCGAGCAATTAGCCACGGCATGCTTTCGGAAACTGCCGCCACGGCCCAGCGAGTCTCCAGCGCAGTCCAACGCCTCGACCTAGAACAGTCGCGCGTGAATGCAACACTGGAAATGGTCGAGCAGGTGGCGGAGCTTAAAGCATGCGTGCTCGGTGTCGCTGGCTCGATGGGAGCCTCTCAGGACTGGGAGATGGCCGCTTCATACATGAATCGAGCATCGAAGATACCTCCTGAGATCGTCAACGGCGCGTTTGCTGCAGACATTGTACCTACGACTGAAGTTCCGGACCCTCCTGCCGTTACATTGGAGAATGCGGCGGAGTCGTTGTGCGGACTATTTCTACGTGAGTTTGATCGCGCTGTCAAGGAGAATGATGGTGCGAAGATTACGCGGTTTTTCAAACTATTTCCTTTGATTGATAGGTCCGCGGTTGGCCTGGACATTTACGGAAGATATGTGTGCCAAGGCGTTGCAAGTCGTGCGCGTGCGAATTTAAATACGGGTACCGGCGGTGCCCAGAGCAAAGACGGGTTTTTCTACGCCAACGCGCTCACTAAGCTATTTGAACACATCGCACAGATTGTTGAAGGCCATGGTGGCCTGGTCGAACGTCATTATGGCTCTGGTAAGATGACCAGGGTCATTGAACGGCTACAGGTGGAAGCCGACGTCCAGGGTGGCATCATTCTGGAGACTTGGAGTGAAGAACGACATGTTGATCGCAAACTCACCGACATTAAATCTTATGCGTTTACTTTTTTGGTTCAGAGCTTTTTACCGAATCCGCGGGGCGGTGGCCCTCAACGAGCCAATTCACCCGGGATCAGGGATGGCACATCTAATAGGACCAGCGAGGATGAGGGCGTTGATATGAAGGAGATTGACGGCATCCTTAATGAAATGTCTCTCATGCTCGGAAGATGGTCGCTGTACAGCCGTTTTCTGGCTGATAAATGTAGAGTAAGTCTAGCCTGTCCAATGCGTCTTTCTTTTTTTTCCTTTTCCTTTTTCTTTTTCCTTTTCCTTTTTCTTTTTTATTTTTATTTACTTTTATTTATTTATTTTTTTTTTAAATTATCATGTCTAAGTTGACCTGTTTGCTGATGGTGGGTTTTTTTCCCAGAATGATGACTCGGAGGAGTTCCTACTCCCGAACTTCCTGCTTGAATCACCTCTCGCTCAGAAGGTGAATGAAAGACTTATCTCGCCATTTAATGCGATGACAACATTCTTTCTTCGTCGCTCAGTCGAGAAGGCTTTCCAGCTCGACGAAAGTCCGTCGGATTTAACTCTGAACCTGCACCGGCCTCCTACGTCGAACCCGCCACACATAACTTCTGCTGTGGACGACATCATGTACATCGCGAACAAAGTCCTTGAGCAATCACTGGCCACCGGTCAGAGGTCGGTTGTAACGAATGTGGTGCCGACGATAGCGAGAGTGCTAGGTTCAGATTTCATCGGCATGATCCGACGAAAGATGCATGACGAAACCTACCCCAAGCCGGTGGTACCTGGAGGACCGCCTCCGGAGCCGGTCGTGGTCTCATTCCTCGTTCTCATCAACAACCTTGACGTTGCAATTGACTATGTCCAGCGTATCGTGAAGAAGATTTTAGAGCCATCGGATCCAGCAGCCGACTCTGTTTCTGGCGGCCCAGCCAATGGGGCTTCGGAGAGCAGGATCCCCACGCTGTTCCCGCTCAACAATGACGCAGAGACGGTGGTGAGCACACTGCGCTCGCTCGCCTCTTCGTTCGAATCGAAATCCCAAGACCTCATCGGCGATGGAATCCAGGTTGTGTTCAACCACGTTGTGAAAACCAGGCTGCGGCCTATCCTTGCGGACGCCTTCCGCGACCTTGAGTACCAGCCACGCAGCGGCGGTGATGGAGGAGGAGGAGGAGGAGGCGTAGGCAGTGAGTTCGACGACGGGGAGGTGGGATCGGCCGAGCTCGACGGCTCTTCGAGTCGGAGCGAGGTCCGCCGCCGCTTTGCGTCTTCCTGGCGGGAGCTTCTGGTGCCGATCTCGCGGATCCTGACCGGCCGAACGTTCGATCGGTTGCTGGGAGTGTCGATCGCGTCGTTGGCGCGGCTGCTGGAGAAGAGAATATGGTCGTATCACGGGCGCGTGAATGCCCTGGGCGCCACCCGACTGGAACGGGATGTCACGGGCATAATTTCGGCGGCGGTGGACATCGGGGAAGGCTACGTGAGTGGGGATGGCGGTGGTGGGGGAAGCCGGTATCGACACCGCGAGGCGTTTGGACGCTGCTCACAGATTGCGATGGTGATGGGGCTGGAAGAGGAGGAGTGGGAAGAGATCGAGCAGAGCGGCGGGGATGTGGCCGACAAGCTGTCCGTGGAGGAGCGTACAAGGGCGAGGGCGATGGTGGTATAAGTAAGGGCAGCTTTCCTATTGCTTCTATCTATTTTATTTATTTATTTATTTATTTTTTTTTTCAGGGTGTGCTACGATCAAAGCCGGTCCTACCAGCAGACGTCCCCCGACCGTATTTCTCAATGCTCAATGTTGTCTCCCAAATCTTTTTCTTTTTTTTTTTTCCCCCCAAAAAACACACACACACACACACACACACACACACACAGAGAGAGAGAGAGAGAGAGAGAGACAGAGAGAGAGAGACACAGAGAGTTGAGCATGATGACAGAGTACTTGAAGATAAGGCGGGCGTCCTGATTGGGTCGATTGTCGTTCCGCCGCCGAGATAAAGACCTGCCTTATGTAACTAACTTAAGAGAGTTGCTTTCTGTGGCGGTGCGCGTGCTCCGGACCAATCATGTCAGCTGAATCTCCGGTTAACCAGATAAGGAGGCGCGGAAGTCGTCCGGAACCGCTGGGAAAGGGAAGGTTCGCCCCCCCCCCAGAGTTTAAAAAAAGAAGGAAGCTTGTTTCCCTTTTTCTTTTTTTGCCCCGTTTATCATATCAAGCCTTTTTTTTTCCGGTAAGCTCGACGCCCTCCCGGCCCTTCTCTGTCCGGCTTTGAGTTCTGGAGGATATCGGAAGAGGGTTTATCTGGGCTCTTATCGGCCAATCGTGTGCCCCTCCTGCATCTCCAGCGAGAAAAGCTTGGCTCCCTCTCTCTCTCTCTCTCTGTGTGTGTGTGGGTCTGCGCGGGGGGGAGGATCCTGATAGCGATCAGGAAAGTCTGTTTTTTTTTTTTTTTTTTGTGTTGCAATTTTCATCACGAAAAAGGAACTGATAGGGCTGAGATCGTGATAAACCCCAGCTTAGAATTTCAGTGGTTGCGATGAATCCTTGGGACGTGGGGATGATGATGATGTTTGTCCTACGGCATGGAGGAGGAGAACTCGGTTCCCCCCAGTGTCTCTCTGTTCTGTCTGTCTTGCACCACAGGGTTTCTTTGGATTCAGACAGCGATCAGACTTGACTGGCTGACTGACTTGGGAGCCAGTGGCTTCATCTGGCCAGAGAAGGGTGGCCCTGGAAAGGAGGAAAAAAGTCTCCATCTTTTCAGGATTGTTGTGCTCTTCTCCGGTATCGAGGAAGCGTTTGATTCGGCCTGCTCTGACCCTCGACACGCCCCCTCGCATCTTCGGGGCCCTGCGGTACATGCTGAGGTGCCCTTCTCACCGCGGGGGGGGGTTTTTGTTTTATGTATTTCTCTTATGCTATCGGTCCTGATTATATATCTACTGCGTCTTCATCGGGACGAAAATAGATCGGAGCTCTCCCTCTGTCTCTCACAAAATGTTCTCGTGTCAATACCTACAACACACACGCACACGCACAGAGAACGAGAACACGCACGGACCGCTGTGGCGTGTGGCTCCTGGTTATCCCGTTTTCCGGAAACCATATCTGCCCGGACAGGAGATGGCGGTACTGCCTCCGGGCTGCTTCGACGCATCTCCGCTCGGGGGGCTGATATCGCTCCTTGTTGGTCGGGCACACGCTGATAGCCTATCTCTCGCTCCTCTCCCTCTTTCTTTTCCTCTTCTTCATTCTTTTCCTCTCTCTTTTCCTCTTCTTCATTCTTATCTTGCTTTTCCTGTCCTTTTTCCTTGTTTGTATGGACAGCTTAGCCCACTCTCCCCTCAAAGCTCCTGGAGTCATTCCTTTTCTCTCCTAGTGTGCTTCTGTATATCTTTCTTCAAGTTCTTCTACTTGTAGTGGTTATACCGGCTTTTTCTGCCCTAAAATTTCCTTTCGGGGGTGGGTGCAACTCTGCATTTTGCTGAACGACACTTGATCCCATTGATACTAGCATTGAGGGAAAGTTCCCCGGTGCTTTATCTCGACTGGTATGTTCTTAATAGTGAAGAACCAGGGGGGAAATAACAAAATGCTTCCTTTCTACTGTATATATCTGTTTTAAAAATCCGTGTCCTTGATTCGCTGACGCCCTTGCTGCAGATCATCTCGCTTTTCTTCCATTGACATCCTGCCGGTTACTGAATTCACGCCAAAAACCCCCCCCTTTATCTGATCAAGGCGATACAGAGAGCGCAGCTTCGAACAACTTGCAATCTCGTCTATCGTCAGGCCAAGAGGAGGGAAATCGTCTGACTAGCCGAGATAAGATAGCTGGTGGTTTCTGCAAGCAACGAAAAGAGACGGCAGTACACAAAGATACAAAGATAAAGCGTGAAGCGGCCTCGGGTAGCACGACCAGAAGATGTCGGCACCCTACGCTCCTGACTACGCTTCGTACAACTGGACCGGTGCTCCTTCTAACTTCTCACTCGCTACCGACCCGGTGCTGGGCGGTGATTCAAGTCAGTTGAATATTTTCCTCCTTCCCTTCCCCGGCTACACACAGGTCGCTACCTGTCTGAGTTCCCCCCCCCTTGTGAAAGCCTCGAGTTGACCCGTGTGGCTAACATTATAATCCTAACAGGATTTGAAAATCTCAACAAATGGTTTCAATCCGGCGACCAGGCTTACATTATCATTGCTTCGGCAATGGTCATGGTCATGATCCCTGGCCTCGCCTTCCTTTATTCCGGTCTTGCCCGCCGAAAATCTGCCCTTAGCCTGATCTGGGCGTGTATGGGTTCCATGTCGGTCGTTTTCTTCCAGTGGTACTTTTGGGGATACTCCCTAGCATTTTCGCCCACCGCGACGAACGGCTTCATTGGGAACCTTCGGAACTTTGGGCTTATGAAGACCCTTGCCGATCCAAGCCCCGGCTCTGCTCTGATTCCCGGATTGCTGTTCGCATTCTACCAGGTGAGGAGACCCAACGGATGACTTGGCACGGTGATTTTTCAAATTTCCCATGCTGATAACCTGTTTTAGATGCAATTCTGTGCTGTTACCGCGGCTATTATTATGGGCGCTGTCGCCGAACGCGGTCGACTCTTGCCGGCTATGGTATTTGTTTTCTTTTGGGCGACTATTGTATATTGCCCAGTTACCTGCTGGGTATGGAACAGCAACGGATGGGCAGCCAAGTATGGAGTTATGGATTATGCTGGTGGAGGCCCCGTCGAGATCGTATCCGGCATGTCGGGCCTTGCCTACTCTATGGTCCTTGGTCGCCGTCATGAGCACATGATGCTCAATTTTCGCCCCCATAACGTCTCCCTGATCGTGTTAGGGACAGTCTTGCTTTGGTTCGGATGGCTCGGGTTTAACGGCGGCTCTGCTTTTGGCGCCAACCTTCGTGCAGTGATTGCATGCTGGAACTCCAACCTGACGGCGGCGTTTGCGTCAATTACTTGGGTTCTTCTCGATTCGAGGCTTTCTGGGAAGTGGACGATGGTTGGCTGGTGTTCCGGTACAATTTCTGGTCTGGTTGCTGCTACTCCCGCCTCAGGCTTCATCCCTCTCTGGGCGAGTGTTATTCTGGGAGTAGTCACTGGTTTAGTATCCAACTACTGCACGAAAAGTAGGTCAAGCTCTTTCCCGATCTTTTCTCTCTTCGATTAGTTCGAACTTGCTAATTCGATATAGTTAAATTTTGGCTTAAGATCGATGACTCCATGGATATTTTCGCTGAGCACGGTGTTGCCGGGATTATTGGTCTTATCTTCAATGCATTGTTCGGTGACGACGCCATCGTTGGCCTTGACGGTGTCAATGTCGGTGCCATAAACCCAGAAACTCATACTCATGTGGGTGGCTGGATCATCCACAACTACCGCCAGCTATACATCCAGCTTGCTTACATTGTCGCATGCATGGGCTACGCATTCGTGGTTTCGGCCCTTCTCGCCTATGCCATCAACTATATTCCTGGACTACATCTCCGTGCGTCTGAAGAAGCTGAACTCCTCGGTATGGATGACGACCAACTTGGAGAATTCGCATACGACTACGTTGAGGTCCGGCGTGATCATCTTGCCTGGACGCCCCAGACCATGCAACCCTGCGACCATACTCATCAGGTTCCTCGTCCAGACCTCTATGGCTCCCAAGCGCATAGCGCCATGGCCGCAAGGCCTGTGCAGAACGGAAAAATCTCTCCAGATCGCAGTACAGACAATATTCCGGGTGAATCACCTTCTGATACTCAAGCGACATCCGGGCCTACAATCCGGAACCCCAGCCCGGAAAGAAAGCATCGATTGGCACGGGTCTTCGGTATGAAACGAGTGCCAGCGCCATCGATTCCTTTACACCATGTTCCTATCACACCCACGGCACCACCAGCGCACACACTTGAGACGAGTACACATTCAACCCCGGCTCATGAACTACCGCTGCCACCTATGACGCAAACAACTCCCTCACACTCAGTGACTCCACATGCAACAACAGCCATACCATCACCGCCACCGTCAACACATTCCCATCATACAGAGCAGGATGACCTGAATGAAAAGAGTGGATAGATCTACATGGCTTTTTTCCTGTGCATCCTTTCATCTCTTTCTTACATTTTGCATGATAATTTTTTTTTTTTTCTTTTTGGTTGGACTGTGATACCCAATAGATCTTTTGGTTCCCTCGTCTTATATGTTATCTATGTTGGCCGTTGGCGTTGGTATATGAGAGAGTGACTATGATTTTTTTTTTTTTCTTTTCCTTTCTTTCTCTCTTTCTTCTTCCTCTTTTTTTTTTTTTTTTTTTTTTTTTTTTCTCTGGCAAGGACCTTTTCATAACTACCTTTCCATATTTCTATTATTCAAACTTCATGCTGGTGTTTGTGGTATGGAATATGTATCTTAATTTTTATACGGCATTGAAGGCGGCGATATTGTTGCTTAAGCATAAATCCACATACTCTATATCCAGTATCTGGAATACTTTTGTTATTATAAATTATTTCATATTTTGGAACATTCATCTTTCACCAACATCATTTTATAGAGCAACGTTAGGAGGAAAGTATATATCTGAGACACAGAATTTAACCCAAAAAAAGGCCTTCTCAAAGAATAGCAGTTACAACGGAGGAAACAAAGGAGGTACTTTCTATTCTATTATACGTTAACGCTGTATCCAACGCCGGATAACTGTGGCAGGGAAGCGAAACCAGAAAGTGCGCCTCTCCGACCCCGAGTCATCAAATACTTCCGAAGCTCATCGACCCAAAAGACGGAACTAGAAATACACAGCAACGCAAACAGATCTCTTGGACCCAACGGCTCCGTCTGAAAGACGTCCTGCAAGATCGGAAGGTAGATCACGCACGCTTGGCCCAGGAGCGAGCCGAGGACGGCATAGTTGAACATCTTGTTGCCCGTCAGCGCGAGTTCTCCGCGGAGAAGGGATTTCCCCTCACTCCTGCACGTCAGGGCGTTGAACATGTCGAAGAGCACGAAACAGGTGAACGTCATGGTTGTGTCGCGGCGGGTTACTACGCGCGAGGTTATGCCGGAGATTTCGTCGGTGTGGTCGATCATTTCGTGGATGTAGACGGCAAGAGTGCCAAGCATGATGCACGCGGCGGATGTTAGGACGCGGCGGATGAGTGGCTTGGTGAGAACGCGGGCATGTTTGGGGCGGGGAGGGCGGACCATGATTGAGGGGTCGACAGGTTCAACCCCTAGAGATTGGGCTGGAGGGCCGTCCATGAGAATGTCTAGACGGTTATAAGTATCAATCAATCAATCAATCAATCAATCGTCCTGCCGGATGGCATGTAGGATAGGACTTACTAATCCATAGAATCTGCATAGCATTAAGGGGATTTTTGAATCCCAACCCCGTACTGATAAGAACCAAACTCAACGCTGCAACGCTAGTGCTCAATTGAAATGTGATGAAATTCTGAATATTGTAGAAAATGCCTTTTCCTTGCTCTATAGCCCTAAGAATCGTAGAAAAATCGTCATCGGTTAAAATCATATCGGCTGCTTCCTTTGCAACATCGGTTCCCAAAAGGCCCATGGAAATTCCAATGTCTGCTTTTTTCAATGCTGGTGCATCGTTGACCCCGTCGCCAGTCATTGCAACGACGTCTCCTCGGTATTGCAGGGCCTTTACAATTTTCATTTTATGATCTGGGCTGGTTCTAGCGAATATCGAGGTGCCAGTGATTGCTTGGGCCAGCTCTTCGGTGGTCATATGGTCGATTTCGTCTCCCCTCAAGAATGACCTTCCATTTGCCGACATATTTATTGGCATCCCTAGCTTCTTCGCAATGGCAACTGCGGTCGTCTCGGCGTCACCGGTAATCATGATAACCCTGACTCCTCCTGTTAGAAGCCTCCGAATCGATCGATGCACATCTTTACGGGGCGGATCGTTCATGCCAACCATGCCAGCGAAAACGAGACCAGTATAGCATTCTTCGCCATGTAGTTGAGAGTGGTCATGTGTGGGATGATGGGAACGGGGGTTATGACTGCGAGGTCCTCGTGTAGGTTTGATTGGGCCACTTGCGAAAGCGATCACTCTCAGTCCCTCTTGGGCCATAGACTCCGCGGCTTGCCTTGCATCCCGTCTCCTCCGCTCATCTAATATTATTTCTTGTCCATCTTTGGTCAAATAAGTATCGCAGCGTTTCAGGACTTCTTCCAGCGAGCCTTTGATGTATGCAACTTCATTTCCATCCCCATTGCCAGCAACGTCGTCTAACGTAGTGCTCCTGCCGACAACGACTCCCATCCACTTTCGCTCCGAGCTGAAAGGTGTTTCAGATAACCGCATGTTGATTCGAAGCCGAAGGTCATCTTCACCCAGAGTATCCAATAGATCAAGGAGGGCGACATCGGTTGGTTGCCCAACCCAGCGGCTTCTCACCGCTCCCGTGGACCGGTCGGCAGTCGACGACAAAATAGCGGCTGATGCCGCCGTTGCAGGAGAGTTGGCATGTGCACGCGAAAGACGGCTGTTATTGGCAATATTTCCAACGCGAAGGATTGTCTGTGCTGCTGCTGCGAGAGTGACTGCGCCATCTTTGGGGATCTCAAACGGGCTTTCAGCATCGAAATGCCACATCTTCGTAACAGTCATGTGGTTAAGCGTGAGAGTGCCAGTTTTGTCACTGCAGACAACGTTGACGGAGCCAAGTGTCTCAACGCTGGGTAGTCTTCGCACAATTGCCCCGCGGTTTGCCATCCTAAGGACCCCAAGGGCGAGCGTAACCGTGACAATGATCGGAAGTCCTTCGGGGATAGCCGCCACCGCAAGCGATACGCCGATGGTGAACATTTCGAGAATCTTCCTACCTTGAATTAATCCAATGATAACGATCAATCCTATAACAACAAACGATACATAGGATAATTCTTGTCCGAGGCGGTCCATTGACAACTGCAAGGGAGTCCTCGGGCTCTCAATCTCCTGGAGGGAGGCAGAGATGCTTCCAAACTCAGTATGGGGTCCGGTAGCAATGACAATGCCCTGTCCATGGCCAGATCGCACCAAAGTTCCCATAAAAGCGATGTTATGTTGTTCGCTGAGACGAAGATCCGTTCCAACGGTACCGGCAGCAGGAGAATCGTAAAAGGGCGAACGAGGAGGTGCGGGAGCATGGATTGGAAGGGACGCCTTTGTCGGGCTGCATAACGCAGCGGAAAACTTTGTTACGGGCTCGTTCTCTCCGGTCAAATTCGATTCATCGATGGTGAGATGCGTCGCACGTGTTATACGCAGGTCCGCCGGAATGCGGTCACCAGTAGAGAACAACACTAGGTCTCCCGGCACCAATCTGTTGGCAACGACAGTGGTAGATCCTTTAGCAGCTTCACTCCCGGAAGACGAGGAGCTGTCCGTAAGATCCTGCATCTCATACTGATCTTTTGTACTTGCTGCCCCAGGAGTCGTTCGGCCCGTGGAACCGGATGGAAGGTTGCGCACCAGGTGGGCATAATGAGGAACAAGTCGATTCAATGCCTCTAACGATTTCTCTGACCTATATTCCTGCACAAATCCCACCGTGACAACGATGGTAACGGCGAGGGTAATGCTAACAGCATCGTCGAAATTGCGCATAAAGAAGGATATCGCAGCAGAGGCAAGGAGTAGAAGGATCAACGGCTCCTTAAATTGCTTCAGGAACCGAAGCCAAAGCGGTTCCGGTTCCTCGTGAGGCAGCTCGTTCGGGCCATCTCGAAGCAATCGCGCTTCGGCGTCACTCGGGGTCAGACCATGGACGAGGTCTGTATTGAGCCGATTTGCCGTCTCTTGGGGACTGAGCTTCGAGTAGGTCGAGGTAATGGAGGAGGATTGCGCTGTAGATCGTTTCAGGGATGAAGCTGCGGGAGATGGAGTTCGTCGAGGGGGAATGGAGGCATTGTGGAGCGGTAAGGACGAAGGATACGATGCGGACATATCTCAAGCTTTCATGACCAGTAAGTATCAGCTCTGCCGGTTCACCCTCTCATCCCGCGCCCAAATTGAGGGCTGGCAAAAAGGCCAGATGCTAGAGAAGATATGCCACAAGCATGAACCTAAATGTCTGAAGTTGTGTGTGACAGCAAGGAGGCTTTGTTCAACGGTCACTGACAAAGTTCAGACGGAAACAGGAACACAAGGGAGAATGTTGAAGAGAGAAGGCCAAAAAGCAAAGATATTTCCAAACCACACTGGAACAAAAGATAGACGTCAATGATGTGGGAATAGATGGTAGACTGCTCTATTATGTCCTTTTATAGAAAATTGCTGCACTCACGCTTCCACGTCGCATCTAGCTGCCAGCCGAAACTCAACCGCAATGTTGTTCTTCTTGCGGCTCCAGATCTTGTGGGGCCCAGACCCGTTAGCGCCTATTAGGTAAGCACACCTGGCCTCCTGAGTGGTTGCACGGGATCGTATTTTTTCCGCTTCCGTTCATATCAGATAGGTACGCTAGTAAGAAAACGGCGTAACGTTACGGAGCAACTTTTTCATCACGTGACTCAAGCGTAACGGGGGCAGTGCTTGGCGCAGTTCTCCAGCCACCCGAGTTTGTTGTTTTGCCCTTCCTGCTGCTGCCTTCGCCCGGGGAACGGAGCAGCACCACGACAACTCCACTCCCACCCAACGCGCGCCAGAACCCCCTCTCCACACACCATCACAGCAACTCTGCTGCGAACCAGTTCGCTCCCTGTGTTGACAGCCGCAGATCGGTGTGCAAGTTTCACGCAGTACCCATACGCCTGCTCGACGGACTCTTCGGAGAGTCTTGGGTCTTTCGCTTCTTCCGTCGCGACTTGTTTGACCCCGTGATCGATGTCGTGGACGCCCGTTCGCGTCGATGCTCTCCGCTAATTGAGATTTTTTTTTTTTGACTTGACTTGACTTGACTCGACTCGACTCCCGCGCCAAGCCAGCAGCGACATCTCGACTGCCAGAGATTCGGCGATCGCGAGTTCACGATGTTCTATTCCGAAACTCTTCTGTCCAAAACTGGGCCGCTGGCTCGCGTATGGCTTTCCGCCAACCTCGAGCGCAAACTATCCAAGGCCCACATCCTCCAGTCTGACATCGAAAGCAGTGTCAATGCCATTGTAGATCAAGGCCAAGCCCCCATGGCTTTGCGACTGAGCGGCCAGCTGCTATTAGGCGTTGTTCGAATCTACAGTCGCAAAACCAGGTACCTTCTCGACGATTGCAATGAAGCATTGATGAAAATTAAAATGGTCTGTGTTCTTTCCTTCTTTTACGTTGAACCTTACATCTCTTGCTGACCCATCGCCTGCAGGCATTCCGCCTAACGAACAACAATGACCTTCCAGCCACCGTTCCATTGCCCCCAGGCGGTATCACCCTGCCTGATGTTTTGACTGAGTCTGACTTGTTTATGAACCTGGACACCTCCATTTTGTTTTCGCAGCCATTACAGCTCGAGCAACATGACAAAAGACCCATGTCTTCTCTTGGTTGGTCGAGTCAACTGCTCCCCGACAGCAGCTCGCCGGAAAAAGCTCGAGCTGTCGAGAGACCTCATTTGGAAGATGATACTGGCCTTGTCCTCGATTTAGGTGAAGACGAAGATATTCCTCTCGGCCACGATACTAGCATCGAAATTGGCAGAGAGGCTCCCGCCGCGCGTCCCGTCGGCGAAGACTTGTTTAGCGAAGAACCTCAATTGTTCAACGATGACTTGGATCTTGACCTTGGGATGGATGCTGCTCCGCTCCATAAATTTGGTGGTAACGATACTCGACTTGCGCAAGAGGAAATAGACAAGGCCGTGCAACAGGAAGAAGATGTGGCAATGGGTGGGATGGGCGAACTGGATGTCCCCATTGCAGAGGACACCACTATTATGCCAGACCAGGAAAGCGAGCTTTTGCGGGATTCACAGTCTCCTCTTTCATCTGCGCGCTCAAGTGTGGTTCGGGACTTGGAGGATCCTTTCATGAGTGAAGATGCTGTTACGGCGCGACAGCAGCAGAGAGCCAAACGGAGAAAGCTAATCAAACCTGATAATGAGACGTTCTTCTCGGCAACCAAGATTAAGCTGCAGCAGGATGATCGCACCAAGATTCTAAAGCCAGAATCATTCCTCTCATTCCTTCCGCGTGATCCCGTCCTTCTCACCTTAATGACCATGCAGGAAAAGGGACAATTCGCAACGAGCGTCATGGGAGGCAGCGGTGTATACAGCTGGGCTCCAGAACTAAGAAATATGTTGTCAATAGATTCCGTGCGACAAGCTGGTCAGCTAAAGCGAAAGAGGGACAGCGGAGTTTCCGACATGGATATTGACGGAGGAGAGAAAGCTCCACGTCTCGAATTAGAAGAAGACGAAGGCATAGTGCACCTTGACGAAGCAGTCGGTCTTGGATGCGAGTCATCAAGCGTACTTAATGCCACGGAGGTTCATCTTCCCGTGGAGGATGAAGCGCAACCTCGTCCGGTGGGTGAAGGGTGGAGTGACGAAGAAGGAATCGGTCACAGGGACGAATACGAAGATGGAGATACGACTATCCAGCCCATTGACAGTGGCCCAATCTCCCTAGGAACCAAGCACGCTGTCCATATCCTCCGCGATCAATTCGGTGCCCCACCCTCCGCCGATACTCCATCGCAATCAAGGGGGAAGAGTGTTCTCTTCCAAGACCTTCTGCCCGAGAAACAAACAAGCAAGAGCGATGCGACAAAGATGTTTTTTGAAGTTCTCGTTCTGGCTACCAAGGACGCCGTTAAGGTTGAGCAAAGCAGCAACACCATCGGTGGACATCTAAGGATTAAGGGCAAGCAAGCTCTATGGGGATCCTGGGCCGAAACAGAAGCTGGCGGCGAAATTGCGTCCCAGGAAGCGGAGATTGCCGCTTAAGGCCCTCAACTTGCGAGTGTGGTGATGCGGTGCCCCTCTCTTCGATGATTCCCCTATTTGGGTACTTTGATACTTACTTTGGTAATCCATGTACGAGCTCTCTTTGGCCGCGCCCTGATATTTTTGTTTGTTTCCATGCTTTGGAATCTTTTCTTTTCTTTTTTTTTTTTTCGTTTTGTCTTGTTTCCTTGTACGGCTGTTTCTCATCCAGGAATAGTGGGAATAGACCCAATACCCTTCCCAAACTCAGCAGTGTCAAGGTTTTGTGTATGATTTTCCCTTGTCTTCGTTGGGGTTCGAAAAATGTTTTGGTTGCTTTCAGTCCCTTGGAGGTTCATTGCACTGATTGGTTTTTCTCATTTGGACTTGAGGCGGATTGGTGCGTTGCGCATTTAGTTACTTCTGTAGGATTTAGGATCTGGGGATCAAATTCTTCAACTCGTATCTTTAATGATAGAAAGTTTAGCTTTGCATTCAAATACTCGCGACAGATGCGTGTTAAACGTCATGATTGCTTCGATGACATGAAACTCGCTGCCGGAAGACCGTCAGTTTCACTGGGCTGTTTCAGCTTCGCTGTGCATCACCAGGGCCTAGGCGTCCATTGGTCAATTGTTTCAAGCCCACACAAAAAAAAAGGCGGAGGAGTCCCGACGCGACATGACCGACCGGTGAACGCCAACACCACAATCTCGACGTGCTCCTCCCGAACTGCCCGTCTCTTTCCTATAGTCGCACCACGATTTTGTTCGCGACATGGCAGGCAAAAATTGAAACCGGGGGAAAATGGATACCTACATATCTTCCTGGACGCGTCCGGGCTTCTTGTCTTCCCGCCCTTGATTATTCATTTAGAATAATCGACTCCCTCTTCTTTTTTCACTGTATCTCTTTCGTTTCTCCCAGACTTCCTCAGGAAAGGAGAGTCTTATAGTGCTGGCCATATTTCATTCTTCCATTCAACCCTTCTGGATTGTCCTGGAGACTATCCCTATCCCTTTTCAGTCGCTTGTTTTACATCAACAATATCATGATGAACTGGCCACTGCTTTCAAAGGCCCAGGATTCTCGCTCTTCGCAAGATAGCAGAGATCCCCGCTGGGAGACGGATCTCTATGGCAGATTTGCAGCTGGTATATTTTCAGTAATTTCTATCTCCTTGTTCGCCGCCGCCGTGCCGCGTTGGGATTCGGGCTTGGTGGAAGCGACGGGCTCGACATTGGGTAAATGGCAGGATATTATACCGATTGTGATGGTATGAGGAGAGATGTTGTTTCTTTTTTACCTTGACTAAACAATTTTTTTTTCCCCCTACTCCCGATTCAAACCCTGATGATATTTCGAAGTTATCGGCGGAATCTATGCTATCATCCCATGTCTACAAGCAGAGTTTGGCTCTCAGAAACATGCAGTGGCTAACAAACAGTCTTGGTGCAGCTTGGCTTTTCATTTTTGTTTAATGTGACCAACATAGTGTACACCACATACCTCTTCGAATCTCTCCACCGGATTGCGAGACTAGTCGGGGATGCCCTCATTTGCGCCTCCTTCGTGCCCGCAATCTTTTTCGCAATATGGCACGCCAACTTTCGGGTTTGGAGACCCGCTGTAACAGATGGGTTGGCGGTCATCATCTGCACCGAAGAAAACAAGTTTGCACGAGAATGCTTTCCTAATTTGTATGAAATTGGATCTCTGGAGCTCGGTGCTGTGGTGTTTTCCGGTGTTGTATGGTATGAAACTGGATAACAGACTCAACCGCTGCGTACAATGTGACTAACAATGCAGTATAGGTTGGTGCACTTGATGCTGTTTCTTTACACTATATATGCGATCTATGCTCCTGAGCCGAAACAAAAGTGTCGTCCACGTTTCCACGATCATTATTATTGCCACAATAGGCATCACAAGCAACGGCATGGTGGTCACCGTCGCCATAGACACCGTCGACGCCGGCAAGAAAAGAAAGAGCGAATTTTTGTTCGACTGGATGACTGTGAGTATGGTGTCAAGGGGGATTTCTACACGCCATATCATCAAATAGTTGAGGAAGTGCGATATCCGGGGTCAGCGATGAGCTAAGGTGGGTGATAGGCTACAATGGAAGGAAAGGAGCCTGGAGTCAAGATTTCTATAAAAGATGGGTAGGATAGTTGAGTTCGAAGGTAAAAGCTGAAAAGGTGCTCGTGGTTTTGACAACCAAGCCATGGAGGAGCTCACGCGTTCCGAACATAACATACATGAAATAACGCTTGATGATTTAACAAAAAGGGGCAATTTAATTTTACGACGACATTAGGAATATTACACACTTTTTCTGTCTCAATTATCTAATAATCTAAGCATTTTGAGCTTCGGTGTATTTGCTACTCTGTATGTACGGGGTATCCCTTCGGACGGAGGCGAAAGCCAACCTCGCCAGTAGCGATGACATCATAGCCCAGAACCAGCTTCAACCCATTATCAGTCAGGTATGAAGCAAACCGGAGTGTCAGGCTACGAAGTATGAATTTATTTATCCAAGTCGTATAGTTTCTCTACTTTACGAGTCGCATTCCACCTTCGCGAGAGAGGCTTTTTTTTTCCCTCCAGTTGATAAGAAACAGTGTAAGCTCTGATGGCCGTAAGATCATCACAGCAAGGCATACGGAGTACTAACAAAACGGATCGGCAGCGAACGCACGTAATCGGCGCATAGTTACCTTTTTTTACTCTTCAAGATAAGCAGATATGCCCGATCCACCACCCTCAGGCGGTCCCAGAACTGGAATCTCATCCAAGGCCGCCACCCGTCGCGGCGGTGCCGGCGCTGAGCCCACTCCCGCCACAAACGTAGATCACGACGGTGGTCCCCATTCACACCAGCTCGACGCATCCCAATCCGAGGCCGTGCAAGAGAGTGCCAGGCGACATCATGGACACAGTGAGACGAGGTGGGCATCAAAATTTGCATCGCTGCAAGATCAGAAAAAACACGGTGAGGAGATGCATGGGTACGAGGGCGGTCATCCGGTGCCAAAGGAGCGTTCGTTTGCGGAGCAAAAGCCTGGCAGCAAGAGTCTAGCGGGACAGTTTATGGAGAAGTAGATTTCCCTTTTGCCTTTCTATGCTCCCGACAGAAGCTTTCGATTTGAATGTTTGCCTTGCGAGAGATCGGGCGATGCTGACTTTGACTTTCCCTCTTCGCAGATTTAGATGATCCGTTTGAAGTCGCCTGTTGTTGGTGTCTTCCCGTAGGAAAATAGCCTCTGAGACTCTGTCTTTCTTATATGTGCCTGGAACTATGGTGGAATTTTGCCCGTGTGGGATATCTTTGCTCAAGAATAGTCGAACGCTTACTCTATGTAGTTAGTGACTTGTTCCCTCTGCATATGCAGAGCACAAATGTATATTTCCAGCTGTACCACCTGCAAGGTTCATGAGGGCAAAAGATCCTTCGAGCGTCAATCAAATGTATGCAGGCGGATGTTGTGTTTGGGCATGTCTTGATCGACCCAAAGAATGCGCAAACGGTTTGTATGCCGCCAAACCTCACGTGGCGTCGGCCCGACGGCCAAGCTCGGCGTGTTGTTTTTTTTTGGGCTGAGGCCGCTCAAGAAAACTCCGAAGTCTACAGCACCGAGACGACGAAATGATAAGAAGTGTAGGTTGGAATGACCTTACAGAGTTCGACATGGAGATGGTCAGGGTTCGCTAGACGAACACGAAGGAAACCGGGCAATGTCGTTGAAGAGAGTGTTAATTATAGCTGTTAACTCTTCGTCTCAACGGAGTACGTGCCGTCTTCAGCGCCGAATCAATGCGAAAAATGGACACAGAAAGGCCAGTCCAAAGTCAGCCTCAATTCTGTCCGTTAATCAGCTGTAAGCTGCACACGGAGTAATCATTTGCCGGAATTGTCAACGGGACCCGAAGCGCTGAAAAACCGGGTGCACAGCCTATGAACGATTACTAAAATGGCGAGCCGGAGCTGGTTGACGTTATGACCCACTCGTGAGGAAAGCTTCAGCTTATTTACCTTGAGAAGCTAGTTAACTTGCCTTATCCTTTATTCATCAATCGCCCTGTGTGCTGGCAATGGATCTGGATTTCAGTCCTATGCCCGGTCTGATATCCCTACCTTCGACGCTCAATTCGCCCAGCCGATCGTAGTCCATTCGGCTGTAGGTTCATAGAACGATATGTCGGGAACAGAAGCTGATACTTCCGGTACAACCAATGCAAATAGCCTGAGCAGCACCGAAAAGGAGAGACGGTATGGACCCATCCGACAGTCGCAAGATACTGGTCGCATCTCGGCATTAGTACGCCAAAGCACCTCTAGGTCATTGGAAAGATCGACATCGTTAGGAGACGGATACACACACCCCCATGTTGACAATGACAGGTTACAGGATGTCGAGGATGAAGAGAAGTTGGAACAGCAACGAGCAGTGGATTTCGTGGTTGGGTGGGATGGCCCGAATGACCCTGATAATCCGCGAAATATGACCTACGCGCGGAAGTGGCTAATTGTAATCATCCTGGCCATGGGTTCGCTTTGCGTGTATGGACTCCCTCCATGGGGCCTCGCCGTTTGTTCGTGGAATCAATTACTTACTACGGTGCTTTAGGACGTGTGCCTCTTCCATGTATACAATGACATACTCGCAACTGACCGAAGAATTTGGTGTTTCGCGGCTTGTTGCTACATTGGGGTTGTCCACTTTTATCCTGGGCCTTGGTGGGTTCTGTGTTGTTACATTCCTATCACTTCACCAGCTTTGACTGACGATAATGTTTTATATTAGGGACTGGGCCTCTTTTCCTTGCTCCGTTGTCGGAGGTATGTCGATCTATCCTTCCCGTCCGTCTCGTGCGCATGAATACATCTGACTTTTAGCAGTTTTTTGGGAGACGCATAATTTACATTATCTCTTTTTCCTGCTTCGTGGTCTGGCTGGTTCCATGCGCAGTGGCACAGAACATTGCAACGATGGTCATCTCGAGGTTTTTCAATGGCTTGTCTGGAAGCGCCTTCTTAAGTGTGGCTGGTGGAACCGTTGGCGATATATTTGATCGGCGTCAGCTTGCAGCGCCGATGATGGTATATACAGCAAGTCCTTTCATGGGTCCGGAAATTGGTCCTTTGTAAGAACGTTTTTTAAAAAGGCGCAATAGCTATTAACACCCTGCTAACCCTTCATCTTAGGATTGGTGGCTTTATCTGCCAGTATACTACATGGTAGATACCTAATGTCTATTCTGGACGGCAGCTCTTTCAGAAATCGCTGACCTTCTCCTAGGCGCTGGGTCTTTTACCTCTTGCTCATATGGGCTGGAGCGATTGCAATTGCCCTCATCCTGCTTGTCCCAGAGACTTACCATCCCGTCCTGCTTCGACGCAAAGCTATAAATCGCAGAAAGGAGACCGGAGACAACAGATGGAAGGCACCTATCGAGAAATTAGGCCGTTCCTTGGTCCATACTGTGCTCCGCTCCATATACAGGCCCATGCTGCTACTGATATTCGAGCCGATGTGCCTAAACCTCTGTATTTTCTCTGCGATCCTGCTCGGAATATTGTATCTCTTCTTCGGGGCTTTCCAGCTTGTGTTTTCGACCATTTACGGGTTTGAGCTCTGGCAAATCGGGCTGAGTTTCTTGGGACTAATGATAGGAATGGCGATTGCAACCGCAAGTGACCCGATATGGTCGAGATATTATGCACGTCTCATTCGCAATAGAGCCCAAGTTGTGGGAAAGGAAGAGTTCGAACCGGAGTGGAGATTACCACCTGGTATGTGCATTCATAGCTTGTCTGGTCCTAATTCGTGACTGATGCTGTTCGGACAGCGATTGCTGGAGCTCCATTGGTTACAATTGGACTATTTATCTTTGCTTGGACAATATTCCCAAATGTTCACTGGATTGCGCCGATAATAGGGAGCTTAATCTTCGGAATAGGGTATGTCTGCATTCTCACTCTTCCGACAATCCGTGCGAGGATGAGTTGCTCCTTGACGTGAAAAACAGCATTACACATGACTTACCAAGCCTGTTTCTGTAGAACAATCCTCGTCTACTCTGGTATTTTCACATTCCTTGTGGAATCGTACCCCCTGTACGCTGCGAGCGCCTTAGCCGCCAATAGCTTTTTGCGCTCAAGCTTTGCGGGTGCATTTCCTCTATTCGGAATTCAAAGTAAGTTCAAATGATCTCTTTCCGATTTCCAGCCATTGAGGATGGCTATGTCGATGGCCTGCCGTGCGAGCCGGCGGAAGAGATTCTCTTTAAGATCTTCCACGTGATGCTTGATGTCCTCTGCGGCATCTAATGGCGTCTCGCTTTATGAAACATGACGCCTGCAATCTTCTTTCTTGTTCTCAAGTCATCCGCAGTGTTTGAAGTCGAGAGTATCCCACCTCCACGTGAATGTGCTTTGGCCTGCAGTTGAGCAACACGACGTTGCACAGAAACATAGTTGGATTGTCATGCTGACGAGCTCTTCTTCCATATGCAGTGTACCACAAGCTCGGGTACAACTGGGCAACCAGTCTCCTGGCATTCTTGACCCTTGTCATGGCTCCATTCCCGTAAGTATAGGCTTCCTTTGCACAACCTCTTCCCACCCTTCAAAAACGTCCCATGGAGCTGTTCCCGGCATAATTCTTGCCCCCACACCCTTCGCATGAGGATCGCCTCTCCGCGCGAGGAAGCTTTTTTCACGTGGTCCACGGGCGGCCGTATTGCCATTCTTCTCTCCGTCACGTCCTGTTGGCTCCGGCTGCGAAAGTGGAACTCTGGCCTCACTCTGCAAGCGCCGGATTTATCCGTCAAAATCTAAACGTCGCTACCACGCGTTCGTCCAACCCTTAGAGGTGGCTCCTTATATATGCCAGTAAGATTACACATCTATTGTGAAACCGACGTTCTGACAAACCGAATAACGAATCCTGGGCGGGATGGCTCGCATTTCAATCCGGGGCGGACCAGATCCTTGTTTGGAACTCCCTTTGTCTTTCCTTTTTTTTTTTTTTTTTTTTTTAAAGTTTGGGAGGGTTTGTGCGAAGATGTTCTAATTTTATCTTTGTTCCAGGTACATATTCTTTCGCTACGGAAAACGCATTAGAAAGAAGAGCCGATTTGCGACTGTAAAAGCCGAGTGAGCGAGCTTTTCGCGTCGTAATATTTTCAGGCAGCCTGTTCATCCCCAAGACACTCTCGTGTTCCGCGCTCATGGCTGTATTTTCCGATCTAGCCCGTGGCTTGACTACCCCGTGTCGCTCGTTGATATGTTTGTAGCTGCCTCATGCTTTTTAAGGACATGTGAAGATGATACGCATCAGCCAAGCGGGCGGCTGGCGCCGAGGGAGCAAGACCGATAGAGCGGGCTGGCGAAAAACCACTTTTCTTGGTCTAGATCAACCAGGATGGTTGACAATCCGGCAATTTTGGGTTCGGCAATGGGGTTAAGCTTATTTGCCCATTGCATTTTAGCTTTGGACCAAATCTCCCCTTCGATATTGGTTCGCTGTTTCATATCAGACCGAATATCTTTTTTGAGTGGCGCGGAACGAAATTGACTCGAGCAGAACAAATGTTTGGATCTACAAAAGACCTCAAAGCGAGTACATAGATAATTAGCACCTTAATACCCCATCTTAGTTACCAGATTTTGGATTGGCCTGATACCTGTGCTCTCGAGTGCAGATCGAAAGAGGCCTGTGCCAATTTCACAGTGCATATACATAGCGAAACAAAATCTCCATGTGCCGAATGCAGCGCTGAGCCGCTGCGCCTGGATATCGGTGAATGAACGGGGTTGGAAACGCGCCGCATGTTTTCAATTGCCGGCTTACTATTGAGAACTCACTAATGTAGATCATTTCTCCCTATCACAGTTCATAGAATCAAATAATGGCCGTGTTCCCTCGCCCTACGACGAGTGCTTGCTTGAAAGAGCTAGCTACGGAATACTTTTGATTGGGCATAGCTTTTCCCTCGCCCTCGGGGAAAAGCAAGTGGCATTCGGGCAGGATCAGAACGGCATCTCTCCCCCGCATGCTCTCCACATGTACAGTGCCGGATTGGTGCGTGAGTTACTGGGAAGAGAATAAAAGAAAAGAGAACAAGAAGAGCTGCCCAATATCCGACCAGTCAGAAACTAAAGGATGAGCTCTGGATGTCATATTTTTTGGGGAAATGTACGGAGTAGACGAATTGCTTCAGGCAACTCTAAAGACGAATCATGTTGTTGGAGTTGCGCGATGCAACAAATCGGAGCTTTTGGAATCTTCTTCGACTTCTTTTCTCTTTTGAGAAAAGGAGGGGGGAAAAAAAAAGGAAGCTCTCCGCGAGTCAGGTTTTGGCTTGCATGTTTGCTCAGATTAGCCAATGACCTTTCTCTTTTCTTTTCTTTTCTTTTTTTTTTTTTTTTTTTAATTCGGTTTTTGAGGGTTTTCTTCCCTTTTTCTTGACGCCTTGTGCTGAGTTGACGAGTCACCTTTCAAGCAGGGGAGCTTTATCGCACCACTTCTGAGCTTTAATGACAGTGAGGGTGACGGTGCAACGGCTGTCGCGTGCATTGTTACCTTGGCAATGAGAATAGGTACCTTGCGAGCTGAGCCAATGGGCAAGTATGGGCAAAGGCGGAACGGATGGATGGATGGGGAGTCGAGGACGAAACATCCAGATCATGACTCCTCGCAAACAAAAATAGAGAAATTCCTCCGTACGGAGTACGCGTTCGAAGCGCACAGGCCTCAGCGACACAGACTTGCGACCCCGCGACCGGTCTTGGTGGCTGTGATCCGCTTGGGATTTGACTAATATTTTCTTTTTAACTAGGCTTATGCACGTCAAAAGTGTGTGGTGATCCTGGGCTCGACCGTGGGTAGCCGGAAGGGAGGAACTGTCAACATGGATTGAACTGGCAGCCAAAAGAGATGGAGTTGTTTTGGAAATAAGAGTGCAGAAAGAGACCTTGTTCTCATTCGTTTGGAGGAATGTGTGAAAAGCCCTGGATCAACTACATGTGTATTTTGTGTCGCGCAAGGTTGGCCAACTAATGTCGCTAGTTCAAAGCCTTGACGCAAACTCGGGATGGTGAGGGCTTTTCAATTTGACAAACGAGCTAAATCTGGCGTCTTCTTTTTTAGCTTCGGGTCCTGGGCTCATGTGTCACCGATTTACCCGGCTAACTAGCGAGATTTTTATTTAGTGCCATGAGGGGGGGGGGGATGGAGTCAAGAAAGGGGGGAAGGATTGGACGAGGAAGAGGAAAGATTTGCGCCCAGGCTTGACCGATGCTGGTTTGAACGGGAAGACGGAGACTGCGCATTTGCAGGAGACTGTCAGTGAGGTGATGAAGACGAGTGAATGGACATCGAGCGAAGTTGATGGTCTGTTGGGCTGATCGTCCCAGAACCTCGGTTCGGCAATCGACTGGCGACTGGTCGTCTCTTGAGCTGGAGAGAAGAGAAGAGATACTTTTTAATTATGTGTGTATTTACAGCGTGCTCTGGCCAGCTCCAACCAGTTTCAGGGACTCGGACAGGAGTAGCAGGGATATATACTATGTAGTGAGGTTTGACAGCAGCGGATCTGGCTAGCAATCCAGTAGAATAACATGCCTGCGAAGCTCTAGACCATCCAGCATTAGGGGGGAGCCGATTGGATTCTGCGCGAGGAATGCAAGGAGCAGCAGGATCATTGCAGGACCTGCTTGATCCCATTCGACGCACAGCCCGGAGCAGCAAAAGGCTGAGGCGAAAATTTTTCCTCATTAATCGTTAATGTAACTAAGATGCTGCTGTTACGAAATGGGTCGAGGGAGCTCCAGGTGAAGTTGCACGCCATCGACGCATCCCCCAGTGACTCTCGGTACAAGGGTGGAGAGGCAGCGGCGGGAAGAGACAGGGTGCTATCTGGGGAAGACGGCCAACATCCGTGGAAGCTGAAGGGCGGGTGTGGACTGGGGCGGACAAGCCCGACGAGCTTCTGCCTTCGGGAACTAGAGCCTAGCGGACAGACAGACACAGGCTGCTCTGGAGGAGAGGACGTCCGTGTCTGGACTGAAGACATGTGAGAGGGCGCAATGGGCATTCATATGCAAGTCGAAGGGCATCGTCGAGGGCGAAGAGGAGCATACGACGGGGGCAATTCGAGCGCAATAAACAGTAAAAGCAATAAAGTGTAATAAAAAGAGATTTATTGATCTCGAATTTGGCTGTGGATTCCCGCCAGCCCTTTATTTTTTTTTATTTTTTCATTTTTTTTAATTATTTTTTAATTTTTTTTTGCTGTTGAATATTTAAAAGTCTTCCCCGCAGCGCCGCCGTCATCGATTGCCAAACCGCCGCCATCATCACTGAAAACCTCTTTTTTACCTCTCGTCCCTTTCGCCTCAATTCGCCTGCTCCTGGACGGCCTCAGTCCCCCGGGAACAGCGACGAGCCCGACAAACCCTCTCGACCCGCGCGGTTCTTGTGTCAGAGCCGGCCCGAAGCTACCAAACACTGACTGACTGCTCGCTCGCATCTCCACTCCGCCAGAAACTTTCACTCTTCATCCCATCGATCCTCCGAACCACCTTGTCACCCAGTCCTCTTCCTCGCCGTCTTCTGCACGCCAGACGGAGCCCGTTCCTTGCATTGAACTACACTCCCTCTACTCCTTGCATCGCACGCCATCCCGCCCCGTTCCTCGATCGCGTGTGAGTTCGGTAGCCGAGCGCTCCTGTCACCCGCACACTTTTTTCAGCCCTTTCAGCCCTTTCATCCCTCCCCGCGACGATCTCCCATATCCCGCTCCTCCTAGGCGCACCCATGAGCGCGTTGGCGTGATCGGATACCTGCCTGCCACTCGTCGACGGCCTCTGCACGTCGCTCTCCCTGCGTTTCCCACGTTCCCATTCGTTACCAGACCGTCCGCCGCCACAGCTTTCGCTCGCCCAGTGCCTCGAATTCTCCACCAGCTCGATTGTCCCATCATTGGCTCTCCGAACTGCCTGAACGAGGGAAGCATCGTTTCTTTTTTCTTTTTCCTTTTTCTCGCTTTTCCCGCACTATTGCACGTCAACCGGACCCCTTCTGCCTGCACCTGGCCTGCTCAAGAAACCGAGTTGCGTCGCACGACATACGCCTCTTTCCAACATCTCACCCTCTCCGCCCTCACTCCCTCGTGATCTGGGCTGTCCGTGTATTGTCACCGCTATTTCCAATTTACAGCCTGTCGTGCGACTCGACGGAACCGTCCCTTTTCCTTTTTATTTTGGCCTCTGCGCCGATAATTCGCTTCATCCAAGAACTCCTCACTCGTGTAGACACCAATCCGCCAAGCTGGAATCGCTCACTGACCCCTCGTTGCTTATTCCTGGTTCGGTGCTGTCCCCAGGTCGTCCGGACAAGAGACTATTATAACCTGCAGACGGTTACATGCAGGGCGGGGGGAAGTTTCTCCCGCAAACGTGGGCATCGATCGGCAACAAAGGAGACGCGCTGACTCTCCACAAGCCGTATTAGCCTGAATCCCGTTCAGCCACTCATCCTCACTCTATCTGCGGGGATTGCTATTCTTGAGCTTTGCCGCAATTATTAGCGCTTTCGCATCCAAAAGAAGACACGGGAGGAAAACGTAGGTGTCCTGCTACGCCCATCGCGACAGGGCATCCTCCTGGAAAGCTATATATTATGACGGCTAATGCCATAAACGGGCCCGTTCTTCCGACACCGCTTGCAACCCCTGGGGATAACAACAAGTCTGCGGATACAACTATGGCCGATCAGGGCACCCGGCCCGAGTCACAGCCTCAGGGTCAGAATAACGGTGCCAAACCCCAAAACGGCCAAACGAAACCCATGTCGGCCGCAAACGCGAAGGATCCCTTGCGTCCTCGAAGGAAAAAGGCAAAGAGAGCCTGTTTTGCCTGTCAGCGGGCCCACCTTACGTGTGGTATGTGTGGCCTCTGTACTTTTGGAATTGCTTGTGTTCTACTTTTCCTGGTTTTTTAACTTCTTTTTCTTATTATTTTTCTTCTCCTTCCCGTTTTATTTGGTGTTTGTTTCTTTTTGCTACAAACCGCGCCTCCAACTTTGGCGGTGCATTCTCGTCATGATATCAATGTTGCACTCAACCATGAACACCCGACCCTGACCACGTTGCGGACGATAACAATGTCCATATAATTCCTTTCCACTTTGCCTCTTTTTTTTTTTTTTGATAAGCCATTACTAAGCTCCAGTCAACAGGTGACGAGAGACCGTGTCAGCGTTGTATTAAACGCGGAATTCAAAATGCGTGTCACGACGGTGTGCGCAAAAAGGCGAAATATCTGCACGATGCCCCAAATGAAGCCCTCATGCCTCATCTCCAAGGACATTTATATACCACCCAGGCAAACACAGCTCGCAACACCATACCTCTCACCCGCAATGGCTCCAATTCCAAAACCAATTTCTACCCTCAACAACAAAGCAGTTTCAACAATTTCTACCAGAATAAACCAGATCCCACGTTAAACCAGCCACAACTCCATGACACCGGCAGACCCGACACCTTTCCTTCCCAGTCTCCCGTTTCGCCAACCTTCAACATGACAGCCAACCCAGCAGCATCTGGAAACCAGGGTCTACCCTCTTCCCTTTCTGCTTCGAACAGTAATGCTTCAGGCCAGGCCCAAAATGGATTCGGCTCTGCATTCTTTGACCCCAGCGACCCAGCCCTATTTAATTTTGATCTTGCAAGTATGAATTTTGGAAACCACTACGGTGCTTTGGAATTCGGTATGCTTGGACACATGGCGACCGGCGCTGGAGAGACACCGCCAAGCGACGGTGCGACTCAACATGGTTCTGTTGGCCGAAGCGGCTCCGGCACATACACGGCCGGGTCAAATTTCGGAGAAAGCCCTACGGGGCAGCCTTCCTTTCTATTTGGCGACCCTACCATTGGAGGCGATTGGACATCGTCTGTGAATACGCGGAACATATATGGCCAAAATATGAACAATATGTCAGAGACGCCGCACGCTTTTGCGATTGAGAGCGCACCGGCAAATTTTGCGAGTCCAAATTCGATAGAGAGTCCGCTACTCACAAACACCACAACATTTGACGATAACACCGCTCCAACGTATGCCAACCGTGCCAATATCAACTCAGTGCCCTCGCAGAGACAGCCAGTGGTTTCAACGCCACAACTCAAACATCTGCAGGTGGGAAAACGGAGACAACGAAATCCTTCCGCCATTTACGACAGTGTCAAGGAGCCTTACTCGTATACCACGGGCTTCCATTCCCTTACAGCTTTCATCCAACGACGTTTTTCTCCTCAGAACACGTTACGGATAGCGAAAGCTTTGGCGTCAATTCGTCCTTCGTTCATCGCCACGACGAAAACACTCAACCGGGACGATCTGATATTCATGGAGAAATGCTTCCAGCGCACGTTATGGGAATATGAGGATTTCATCAACGCATGCGGCACACCGACGATCGTGTGTCGACGAACGGGCGAAATCGCCGCTGTGGGCAAGGAATTTAGCATCCTCACCGGATGGAAAAAGGAGGTTCTTCTCGGCAAAGAGCCCAACCTGAACATCAATACCGGTGGGTCCTCCGGGGCCATGTCCGGAGTCACCTCCAGGGGAAGTTTCACGCCTCGCACAGGAATGGACATCAACCCCACCGGCCGAACGCAGCCGGTATTCCTGGCCGAGTTGCTGGACGATGAGAGCGTGGTGGAATTCTATGAAGATTTCGCGAAACTTGCGTTTGGCGATTCGCGAGGAAGCGTGATGACAACGTGCAAACTGCTGAAATACAAGACCAAGGCGGACATGGACATGCTCTCCGGGACCACCAGCAGCGCTGGAGGGGAAAACGAACATGGCGCTGCCGGAAACGGCGATGTCAAGCCCGAAAACGGTATGGGCGCGAGCAATGGACAGTCGCAGCACTCGTTGCAACGACAGCGGAAGTGGAGCAGAGGGGGAATCGCCGGCGAAGCAGGGATGAACCAGTTAGGGTTCAAAGATGGTAAAGTGGAATGCAGTTACTGTTGGACTGTGAAAAGAGATGTCTTCGATATACCCATGTTGATTGTTATGAATGTAAGTCCGATTGCTACCAATAAATGGTATCTTCTCATCGTCTTTTTCGGACAAACTTGCTGACATGTTTTTATTAGTTTCTGCCATGCATTTAATGGCTCGATCTATTTCCCATCGGGACCCTGTAGGGCTTGGAGTTTTTCTTTTCTTTTCTTTTCTTTTTTTTGGGAATCTAGGGATTCGACTTCATATACACCTTTATGGATTATGGGACATTGGTTTAACTTATTATAAGAACGGGAGTAATAGGGCGACCTACAAAAAAAAAGGAAAGGGGAAAGGAGACAAAAAAAGAAGACATGCGGGTTATATCGTGGGCCGCGGAGTTCGGATAGGGTTTTCTTTTTCTGTCTTATTCTTCTTCTGATTCTTTCGCTTCGACACCATGCCGCGGAGATTTAACGTGTGACCCTGCAGCGCATTGTCTCCGCCTCTATGGATATATATACCAGCAATGCTGTTGATGCGGCATGTATACTGAATTTCAGTTGCGTAGCTATATATACATGAAAAGATAACGACCTTGGGCTTGTGAACACAGGAGCGGACCCTTCATCAAGTTGTGAACTGCCAAAGCATGACTGAGTGTTCATTTTCACTACGGAGTACTCTGGATCTTTTCTTCATCATGGAGTAGTTAAAGCTGTGTTGCTTCTTGCCAGTAATCTGATTGTTGTTCTGGCCGAAGCCAACATGGATGATTGTTCTCACGCTGGTCCTCGCTCGAGGTTATCAGCAGGCGTCTCCGGCATTCCAGAGCCACTGCAGGTTGCATTGCCCCGGTCGCGACGAGTAGCTTCGGTTCAGCATCACAATTTTCGGTTTCTATTGCTTTTGTACTATATGTACGTCGGGAGCGGCGCGGGAAGAGTCAGCGTTGATTAGTGGACCCCGCCCGTTCCGCCCGCGATCCCCGATGGACGCCGATGTTCGCTGAAGAATTGACCTCATGGTTCGTTGGTTCGTTCTAATATATAATTCTAGCTTTGGAGATCCAACAAGTAATTTTTTCCATCCTTACACAAGTCCCCTCGTATAACTATTCAAGCTGTAGTTAGTTAATAAGCGGTTCAATCTACAAGTCACGAGCCCAAATCAAATCCGTGGGTAAAAACCGAACCCCTCGATTGAAGGAACCAAAAGGGCATGCCCCGGCTAACCATTCGTCCTGTCAACCGTCCTACAGTTTAGTCAAGAACCAAAGAGAAACAGCAAAACCACAGTCGTCAAGATGTGCATGCAAGCCACCTGCAGTGTCTGCGGTATGTCCACATCCGCCGCAAGCAACGTCTCTCGATAAACCAGCTTCGGAACTAACTCCTCTCCTTTTTCCCCATATCTCTAGAGAAGAAAACCTGGCGCGGCTGCGGCCAGCACGTCCCCTCAGTGATGGACCACATCCCCAAGGACCAATGGTGCACATGTACTCCGAAGACGAAAATCGGCGAGACCGAGTTCCCGCCAAAGGTGGGCGAGGGAAAGGCCCAAGCGGAAGAGAAATAGGTTGCTGACTTTCTTGGTGCTTCTTACCGCGCGGGAGGTACGAAAAGGCTGGGAACATGTGCCTTATTCTGTAAATGGAACGGATGGGGCTTGGGGTTGGGGAGAAGAGGGGAGGAGAGGAGCAGAGAAGGAAGATTGGGCTGGGCTGGGCGGTATTTATAGATGGTCGAGGAATGGCGAGTACCCTGCGAGGGAGTGGAGATGCGACGAGAAACTGGGCGGAGCAGGGAACGGGGGAGTTGGGCACATGGCAGCGGTGACTGGGATGTGTGTCGAAGAACTACGGAGTCTGGAGCAACTAAACTACATTGTTTGCATCTCTTCTTCAAACATGATTGCCCCTGTGGTGAGATGGGTGCTCAGGTGTGTGCCCAGGGCATACCACACATATTGCCCTATTAGAGTAACTGTGCGAACCTCTTAGAGTAGTTATGGGTAATTGATTATTATGTAGTAAATGAATGGCGCAACTTTCCAGTTAGCTATGGAGCAACGGTCAGACACTCAAAAATAAAATAAATCAAAAAAGCGGAAGCTTCGCCGCCAAACCAGTTGTCGCGTCCTGAGTTGAAGAGAATTATGCGTGATGAGAAAAAAGAAAAAAAAATGTTCAGCTGTTCAGGTCCTACCCGGAATCGAACCGGGGTCAACGGAAGACTCTAATGATAAATCAGAATCCGCTATGCTAACCGCTACACCATAGAACCGCTTGATGGCTGTCCAGACCCAAAACCACCGTTAATTATCAAGAATCCCGCTCTTTACCGGCGGGGCTCGGAACCTTATCTTATCTCCGCGATCTCGCGCTCGGCTGAACGACACCGACAGTGTCCTTCTTGCGGTCTGCCTGCCCGCCTGTCTGCCTGTAGCTGTGGGTGCCCTTTGTTCATCTTGACGGGAAAGATCTGCTGGCGGCGATCCGACAACGACCCGTGCTTTTTTGGAGCGACTACGAGGATCGAGGCGGCAACCCGTTGACCCCCGACGCGCAATGCGACCTGATACCCCGCGGGATCCGCTTGCTGGGCCAGACAGCGGCCCCGAGTCCCCATATCCCATCCGGCTCTCTGGACCCGTCATAAAAGGCTTTGGAAGGGGAAGTAAGGAGGTAAGTGCTTCACCTTTCGTGCTTGAAACGACGTTCCATCCTCCCCAGCGAGCCCTTTTGTCAGCCTGATTTGACCCAATCAACGATACCAATGCGCTGAGAGGACCTAGTGGCGCCATATGAGCATATAGTCTTGTGAAGCGTTGTGTGTGGGAGGCTTGAGAGCTATGAGAATCTGCGACTACCTTGAGAGCCCCATAAGCCCTTCAGATTCCATCTAATGTATTGCTTTTGGATCCTGTCCATTTGTCCCTATGCCAATACTTCCTTTTCTCCCCCCTCTCCCCCCTGTTTTCCCACCGCGAGAACCAATGACTGACACTGATCGCCCACATCAGCTCGGCATCCCGACGGCCAATATCCCAGCAGACGGACTTTCCGAACACCCCGGTCTCGAATCAGGAGTATACTACGGCGTTGCGGCTTTGGATCCCTCCAGATTCCAACCAACCGACGCCGAGATCCAAAAAGACCGACCCAGCAATGAAACCACAATCCTTCCGTGCGTGCTAAGTATCGGATACAACCCCTTTTACAAGAACACCGTTCGCTCCGTGGTATGTAGTAGAAAACATTTCGCTCTCCCTCCAAAAAGGCTCCTGCCACCCCCTTTCGATACATCGTCGCATATCTTTCGTAAATACAAAAATTAACCGCACTGGCAAGGAAATCCACATCTTACCACATCTCTCCCTTCAATCATCCCCTTCCGCCTCGCCTCTCTCGTCCACTCCTACTCCAGACCCCACCTCCTCTCCAGGTGACAACAGCGCCAGCAAACCTCCGCACACACGCCATCACTTCCACCACTTCCCTGATTTCTACGGCACGCCTCTTAACCTGCTCATTCTGGGATATATCCGGCCCGAGTACGACTATGTCAGTCTAGAGGCGTTGGTGGAAGATATCCGGGTCGACTGCGAGGTCGCGAAGAGAAGTCTGGCGAGGAGGAAGTATATTTGTTTTATACAGGAAGGCGGAGACGTGGATGATGAAGGGACCAAGGAAGCGAGGAAGTGGCTGAGGACGTTTTGAGCTGTGACTTATAACGCTGCTTCTTCTTCTTTTTTCTTTCTTCTTTTAAAAAGTGCTCTCTAAAGAGAACAGGTTGAATATATATATATATATATACGATAGATATAGAATTTGTCATCGCACAGAATTTGAAAACAATGGTCTTCTCTGATTCTTATTTACAATGGACCTCCCGAGATTAACCAATGCAAGGGAATGTATGCAAGAGACCAATATAACACATCAGACAACGCCCGGCTATGCAGGAATGCTACAATCCAGTCTCATGCTAGGCTGCTTAGATGAACGGCGAGAAAACAGACATGAGGAACGAGTTGCAGGTTAAAAAAGGAGGCCGAAAACGGTATTAAACGCATTCCTCATAGCTAACCCAAGACTTGTAAAATCAAAGGGAACAGTAGAGAAAAACAGTCAGAAAAGTGGAAGGCGGGTCGGCTATGCGCGAGAAACGTGTCCACGCTTTGCCGCGGGGTTACAAGGTTCCTCAAGCGCAAAACATACGCCATCGCCCTCGTGAGCATCCGCCTAGAGTTGAATGAGATCGACCTCCGAGAAATCAGGGGGGCTTCGACTGAAAATGGCACGACAACGTCCATCCAACGCCTGATACTCATTACTAATCCATATATGTTTGCTGAACCTCTGCGTGCGGAACACTTCATCGTCGCTCACACCTAGATCATCCCGTGGGATCCAGATCACAGGCCTCTTCATGCGAAGCGCCTCGTGCTGGAAGGCACGTTGAACAAGCTGGTCACGCTCATCGGGGGTTAAGTCTTCTAGCTCATCGTGGATACCGCCAAACAAGGCCTGGTTTATCGAACTGGTCGGTGCTTGGGCCTCGGTATCTTCTGCAAGCTTTTGCCGCATACGCTGTATCGTAGGCATGTTCGGGTCCGGCCTGCCACCAAAGTAGCGAGATCTTTGTTTTCGAGAAGGATCCGCCCAGGAAAGAGGTCTAGCGCCACTCTTCCCAGGGATAAGCCGGGTGACTGCGTTTCTTTGGGGCTTTTTGCTGTCAATACGGTTCAGCTCAATATCATTCTCTCGCTTATGCTTTTTGTCGTCAGGGCTGGTATCTTCCTCTTCGTCTTCTCCATCTTCCAGTCCTAGTCGGCGTCTCTGGGCACGAGCAAATTCCTCGTCGCGCTGACTGGCTTCGTCCTCCAGCGTTATCGGCAGGTACCGAAAGAGAGGTTGGAATGCCCGGTTTAAAAGAAATTGGAAAAGGATGGTAGCAATAAGAAGGACTATCATACAGATAGCTTGGCCTTCGCATGCAACCTCGCCTTTCTCGTCGCGGACGAGGAAGAACATACCAATAAGGCAAATCTCCATAACGTACACGCCGGTGAAAAGCTGGTTTATAGCTTTGGGAAAGAGTAAGCCGCCAGTATCGAAGCGGAACTTCGTCACATAAAGCGTGTTGTACCGGTAGACAACCCAAAACAGCGTAAATGTAAGCACGTTAAATATCATGATTAGGGGGGATATGACGCAGTAGATCAGCCCTAAACTCATTAGATGCCAAAGCCGTAAAGTGAATAATATATTACTAGCACATACCGATTGACGCGAGAGTGGTATACACCGGGAAGAATGTTCCCCACTGCATCTGATTCAAGTTTGTCGTCCTAGCCCACTTCATTCTTGCAGTGCTATCAAAAATCGGCGCCAGTATGAACCAGCTCACCAAATTGAAAATTTGAACGAGAGCACCGGCGCTGACCGACATAGCCTGGAGAACCATATAAGAGAAAAAGTAGTTGCTAGATTTGGGTATATTCGTTGCCAGAAGCTCAGGTACGCTTGTCACGTCTTTGATCGAATTAAAGATCGTCGAGAAGCCGGATGAAATAGAGACGACGAGAAACAGCTGTACAAATAAGAATGCAAAAAAATAGTTTTGAACTGTAAGTTCAATGGCCATGCCTGTATGAACTCCCTGGTTCTTCGAGAGAAAACGGAGCATAAGGGGTAATAGAGCCATCAAAATGGACAGGAATAAAGGCGGTAAGATGCCTTGGATGGCGGAAAGAAGCCATTGAGGGAGACGTGAAAGCCACCTAAGCCACACGATATTGCCTTCCAGGTACGAGAGCTGGGAAAGCAAGCCGGTGAATGCAACAGGGAATGCCCAGCCGATAACCATAGCAGACACAATAATGACAACGCCAAAGGTCCTCAAATACCTCTCCCACCATCGGATTGACATATTATCCCATATCACGTCGTCCGGTGAGATCTCGACGAGCCGTGGAGCCATTTGCTGGGGGATGTGATGGGCAACGGATTGGCAAGCCATATGCGCAGCAACCTGATGATTGAATTGTACGAAAGCCGAATTCATAAGAGGAAATTTCTCTGGATGTTGCTGGTCGATTTCAATCTCCAGGTTTAAACGAGCCAGCTCCTTGCGACAGTAGTATATCGTATCCACCTTCTTTCCAATAAGTGGCAAGGAAGGCATCCAGATCGAATCAAAAATTGGAACACGCATGGTTTCGCGATCTTTCTCCTTGATGTACTTCATCCAAAGTGGCTCGCCGTAATCATCTTCTTCGTATGCTTCGTTATAGGCAACTGGATATTCCTCATTGTCTTGATATTCATCTTTCTTAGACTTGTCGTGTTTCTTCTTGTGTTTGGAACCTTCGGTCTCGGCTGTCGTGCCGCGGGACACTGGGCTTTGAACAGTGAGGGGAAGCTCATCTCCGTGGCGATCAACGCCATCAGTCAGTGCCGCAGGCTTCTTCCTCCATAGCCTTGACCGTCGAGGTGGTTTATCAGCTGCTCCGTCAAATGTTAGAGGGCCGAATCGGGTTTCGTCAGGGACGTCCTCAGTGTCCTCATGGAGTTCTTCCTGGGATGGGAGTGGGGTTTCGTTTATGGACTGACGAAATCCCGTTGGTTTCCCAGAAGGCGTAGTATTCATAGTTGAAACTGACCCGGCAATGCTCTCGGATCGCTCAATAGTCAAACCACCAGTGTTTGTCAAGCGACCCTCTAAGTTTTGTCCAACATTCCTTACTCCCCCATGCACTGTACTCCCCATTTCTGCCACGTCGGTTCCAACTCGACGAACAGTTTTATGCTTTTCTCGTGAATCGTCTTCTGAATCCGAATCTCGATCTGCACCGGATCGTAGTGCCTGTTGAATGGTATGGGCTATTTGATGCGGATTGCCAGAGCTCACACCGGCGCTGTCGACGAGCTTAGACGCTCTTTTCTCCGCTTCTGTCTCTTCGCGCTGAAGGTCTTCTTTAGAATGCTTCCCTGATTTCTTTCTCTCCGACTTTGCCATTTTCAATTGTGCTTTCTTGCATTTCTTGATCAGCTCGGTTTCTGCAGCTTCAAGTACCAAAGCCAATTTGTTTCGTAATTTAATTTTAGCGCTTAGCTGATCAAGGTTCCGGTTCAGCCAAATATTTCGAACTCCTCCAGGATATACATCAAAAAGATTATCCAATGCTTCGATAGACAGCCATTTTTCCGGAATGGATGTTACGAGCACCGTGGTAGCAGATGCTCGCAGACGGTGTTGAGGGGATGTCAGGTAGGCTTGTCGCAGCCGTATATAACCCCGAAGCTCGTCAAAGAAGACAGCGCATACATACACAATCACGACAACAGCAAGAATCAAGTGGGCCCAGTAGCGGTTACTGTTTTCAGGCTTCACGTTTCCCCAGGCCAATTGATCCAGCCCGGTGACGTTATACCTTGCGCCACTGGCACCATGGAGGAAACTCCTATCCCTGCCATCGACTTTGTTCACCGGCAGAAGGGTCGGTAGAATGAGTAGCGAGAGGGGTATGAAAATTTTAAGTAGCATTCGTAGGTACCGTAAAAAGAAATAGGCATCAAGACCGCACTTTTGAATGAACTCCGAGTTCGATGTTTTGAAAACGGGCCCAATCCATTGGAACAGACCTGGAGGAGAGGGAGCGGTGCGTTCACGCTCGGGGACAAGATACGTACGTGGTTGGCTGAGAGAAAGTGAGCGTGTTAGCATGTATGAATGAACTGCATAACAGTGGGAGAGGGCCCTGTTTACTAGATCCGAACCAATTTCCCCTTGAGGGCGAGGAAAAGAAGAAATTCAACGGCAAAGACAATAATAGCAGTTGCCAGTGAGGCGAGAAATGTGGATATTGATATGCCTGCGGACCTCTGGCCAGTGCCGCTTTGAGCATCAAGGGCAGCACTCACGGCAGCTGTAACAGATGGACTTGCTGCTGCTGCCATGTTGGAAATCCGCTATCTTTTCATGCTCTCCAGCTTCACATTAGTTACCAATTAAACCACATGACGCGCGTTATTGGTGCTTTACTGAAAAGAAGAAGAGCCAGCTCCAGGCGTTGAGAGAGCTGCTTGTGGTGGACAAGGAGCCTGGATAAGTTAGTTAAAGATATTTTTTACAAGGGACAGCAACAGAAAAAAACAAACAAAAGAGTGTGCTAGAGAGAAAGACAATGGACCGCTGGTTCCCAGGCTCTCGTCAAGCGACAATGGGATTGGGTCGACGTCGAGCCTGAGAGCGCGGTGTTTGTGAAGTGAGATCGAAGTGGATTGACGCTGGCTGTGAGGCCTTCCCTTCCTGAAATTGCCTGCTGGGGGTCACCCTCCCCACAGAACAAGGGACGTGGTACTCCGATCGCCGCCAAAATAATTTTTTAATTGGCAGTGCAGAGCAGCAATCATATCTTCCAGCGGGTTCCACTCCTCACAAATCAAACTTCACTATCCTGCTCTGGAGCGGCAAACAACCGAGGAGTGCTGGCGTTGGCAGTCTTTACGCCACTGAGGGGATGCTCTCCAAGGTAGATGTGCTGGCTGATAAGTGCAGTCTGGCTGGAGTGAGTTAACACCCTTATCCGAAAGATTCACTGATTCTTTGTCCTGGTTGGTCCCTGGGCTGGCGAGCTGGGATGACATCAAAAGGTGCTTGCTGAAACTCCGGTTGTGTCATGATCGGCAACTGGGCACCCTGGTTGAAGCAGCTCTTTGGTTAGGGCTCCATGCATTTTGGCGCCGATGCGCTGATTGTGGCACAAGCCTGCAAGGATGTAATTCCATTGGTCTGGGCTGCGGTGCAAACAGGCAAACCCCAGCTGCAAGCGGCATCATGGTCTTCTGCTGCCACTTAGGACAGACGATGGACAGTCCAAAATATTGGAGAAAGACATGATCCACCTGAGGAGTAGGGACATCGTTCAGAGAATGCCATCAGTGGACAGCCTGCTTGGAGCTGGTTACACCAATGCCTTTGAACCAGGTCTCGGGAAGCTTGTTCGCCGCAAACTCTAGATCTTTTCCAAAGGCTGACGTCTGCCACGTGAACGGTTGCGATCAACGACCGAATTACAGGCTCTCTCCTTCATTCTAGAACATGAGGAAATCAAGGTCTATTCCTGAAATATGAAAGGCATTCACGAAACATTGCGCCGAAGGAGGAACTCTCTTCGTGAACGTTTCTCCCACCGACGTCAGCGGTCGTCATCCCAAAGCCATGAAACCGAATCATCGTGGCGCGAAACTGGAGCTCCCAAGCTGCTTCTGACCGCTAACGCCCTGTATTTTGACCACACTCTTTTCCAGGACTTCAGAGAAGAGGGATATGATATAGCATACCTCCCCCATGCTGCGCCTCCGAAGCAGTACAAGGAACAGCTGCAGAGATTCGCCGATGTTCTGGAAGAAGAGGATCGATATGCAATTGTTGGTACGCTGCTTGTCCGGTTGGGAAAATGTTTTATATTAAAGCAGCCTTTCTCTCGTCTTTGCCACCTCCTTCTAGCGGTTTGCCGAACAATATATCCCAGATACTGACTCGAGCTTCATGGATAGCCTATGGGGAAGCCGCTTCGGTTGTCCTCGATGCGTGCATGTCGCCAATGCCGAGACTATGCGCTGTCGTCGCATACTATCCTACCACCATTCCTCTTGCAGGCTGTGGCTTCCCATCTTCTCTAAATTACCTAATTCATCTCGCAGAGTCGCAGCCCTTCTCTGGTAAATTGAATTGTTACACATATCACCGGTCGGACGTAGGATTTGCAGAACACGATTCGGCCTCATATGACCGAGTTAGTGCACAATTGGCATGGGGCCGGACAATTGCCTGCCTAAGAAAGGGGTTTGAGGTCACTGTTGATCTTGCGCCGTTCTTGGAGAACCATATGAAGGTGAAATTTGATGCAAAAGATGTGGATGCGACCATGGAAACTGTAGCAGATGACGCATACGTAAATTATGTGCCTGTCATGATAGGAGGTTCGCTCTCCTCCCTCGATTTACACTTCTCTCTCTCTCTCTCTCACACACACACACACACACACAGATTGCAGCTATTTACTCATATTTTGTAGGGATTGGCGCAGATGAGCTCCGTCGCTTCTACTCTGAATATTTTATTCCCAGAAATCCACCGTCACTTGATATACGTCTTATCTCTCGGACAGTTGGCATTGACCACGTCGTTGACGAATTATACTTGTCTTTCAAACACTCCCAAGAGATTCCCTGGATCCTCCCAGGCGTCCCTCCAACGGATAGATTCGTGGAAATAGCACTAGTAAGTGTCGTTGGTATCCGTGCTGGGAAGCTATGCCATGAAAACGTTTATTGGGACCAGGCAAGTGTTTTGATGCAAATTGGCTTGTTGGATCCCAAATATATTCCACCAAGTTTTAAGCCGGTAGCTAGCTCCACGGGCAAAATATTCCAGTTGGAGAGATTACCGGTGATTGGACGTGAAGGCGCCCGGAAAGTATTGAATCCTGAATCAGAGAAAAGCAATGGCTTAATAACCAGCCAGGGAGTCTAATTTGGAGAAGAAGTGCGTATGATGTTGTTACCGGCCGGACAGGTTCTAAACAGGTAACTCAACCTTACACAAGGTCGAGTGTCATTCCGGAGGTATGTTTAGGGACAGTGGTCAAAAGTATTTGGATATAACCATTATCTCGTATCATTGATCTCTAATATCTAAATCTAGTGTTAATATACTAAGACTCAATATTTCCAAGATGTCTTCTCATAATTTCTCCAGCAACGGTCGCAGGCTCTTGATATCAGGGCTAACACCACCTTTGCTTTTCAGTGTTTTACTGCTCGCCTGCTGTGCTAAGGGGATGACATTTTCCACTCGCGTCTTCTCTGCCCTGCCGCTATTCTCTCCTACTGCTAGCGCCGATACAAGCAAGCCGAGCAAAGTGTCACCAGCTCCATTTACACTTACGACGTCCCCCTCTTCCAATTTCTCTACGGCTGGGAAAAGTCGCATATATACCCCTCCAATGCCAGTCTCGCTGTCGCCATCACCACTTCCAGCAGCCCTACCAAGAATGTAAGGGGCATATTCCGGGTTGGTAAGTCTCGAATCTCGACTCGGTAACAGCTGCGTAAGTAATGCTCCATGCTTGCCTAGCTTGGTGACGATGCAAGGGATGAACGGTAACAGTTGGATGCTCTGTTGCGGGATGCCTTTATCCACAATGGCTGCCGATGTAAGCGAAGTGAACCGGTCCCTTGAACCTGCGCTGGGGAGGGAAAAAGAATTTATGATTTTCCACCATTCTGGACTGTGGAAGAGGCCGGCCTCTCTTGCGGTAGTATGCATGGAAGCGAGCTCGATACTATTGGGTGTGATTATATCGATTAGATGGTTGGTTGGTGCTGTGTGGAGAGGATCGAATATCGGTTTATTCCCGATATTCCCGGATTTGGTTTTGGAAAACAAACGGGTTGCTTTCAGAGCAGAGACAGGTTCGAAGGCAATTTTAATCCCGTGGGCTTTGCATAGAGACACCCATCTGCTCATGGCCTCTGGACTCCAATTCGCGTCAATAACAGCCCACGTCGGTTTGGTACGATGGATCATTGGCTCCCAAAATTCATCAAACTTGAGCCTTTCGCTTGGAAGCTCCAGAATGCTCATGTCAGCCATGGCCAGGACAAGTTCTTTCTTAGCATCATTGACTGCAATGTATTGTGCCGTTCTAGCACCAGCAGCCGTTTCAAGAGTTTGAACACCTTCGAAGTGTAGATTTTTATCCGCTTTTTGAAGAGCTGCGAGAGCGCTGCGACCACTAATATCGTTTGCTACCACGCTGCAAAAAAGAACAGAGCTTCCTAAATAGCTTGATGCCAGAGCCACGTTGTATCCGACACCTCCTAGACTTTGGCTGATGACTGAAGGATTTGACGTATAAAGAGCGGGAGACACGGCATTGCTGCCACCAGTCGAGGGTGCAAAGTCGCAGGCTAAGTCAACCGCCAGCGAGCCGGCTATTAGGATGTCTACTTTTTCAATTGCTTTTGGTGCTGGTTTAGCACTAACGTTTTCTGTGGCTGGGTTGGTATCCTGCGACTCTGACTCAGACGTCTTAGCCCTTTGCCTTGTTCCATTGACAACGGGCATATATCTACATAAGATTTTCATCTAATCAGCCAGGTTCCTTTCGATAAATAGTCCAATACTATCTCACCGATTTCCATCATCCTTGCTCCCTGATTCCAATTTCCCAAGCTCGATAGCGACTTTTGTGCCTATTTCTACATTACACTCCACCAATGCCCTATTCGTCTCAACACTTCTTCCGCCACTTAGCTCTTTGATTTTTGCTAGTACGTATGGTGTGTTGTCACTTCCATGGACACCTTCAATATGAGAAAGCTCAACGGCTTTCGCAATGATAGCGTCCATCTCCGCCTTTAGAAACGAGTGCTTTTCAGGAACTGGATTTGTGAATAAAATTCCGGACGAAAGTTGGAGATTCGATTGAGCATCTAGACGATACGATTAGCATCATGAAATTGACAAGACGACAGCTGTACAAACATATTATTGCTGCGGCCTCCGCTGCATCACGCAAGGTTCTGGGAGACTGAATTCCACTATCTCTGGTAAAGAAAGCTGGAAAGTCAATAGGACCTTTGCGGCCGTCCGCAAACGTGGCTACCACAACCCCTTGGGTTTCTAAAACCTCCAGTGTTCGCCGAATGTCAAGAAAACTTTTGCAACCGGAACTGATTACCGCAACAGGAGTTCGTCCAAGTTCAGTAAGGTCAGCTGCTCCCCAGTCAGCCTACTGTATCTGGATCCACGAGGGAATTAAGGGAAGCCTACCCGATATATCCATGGAGCTCTCGCCACCACGGTGCACCCCACCTAAAGTGAAGTTGTTAGAAGCATTAACCACTTAAGCTAACATCGAGGTACGAACGCACCAAGTCCTCCTGTAGCAAATACTTTAATACCAGCAAGGTGGGCAAGGACCATGGTACCGGCGATCGTAGTTCCGCCGTGCATGTGTTTTCCAGCCAGTCCCTAGATGCCTAAGTTCAGTGTCCGCGGGAAGCACATTTCTGAATCATAATGTATTACCATTCCACAGATATAGCCCAAATCCCGGCGTGATACTTTTAGCACGTTCTTTTCTCGACAAGCGGACGTGAGTTCGGTGAGCTCTGCCGTGCTCATCCCTACTCTTGCAACGCCGTTAAGGATGCCAATTGTGGCCGGGACACCGCCATTTTCTCGGACGATCGATTCCAGACGTTTCGCAAGGTCAACATTTTCAGGGTAGGGGAATCCTAGGTCGCTTTGCTTAACGTCTTCACTTTCATGGAGCTCGATGGTTCCCTGCCGGTTGGACTCACCATGGGTATAAATGGTGGTTTCAAGAGCTACTACGGGCTTTCCGGTTGCAACCGCATCCTGAACCTCTTCAGATATTTTTAAGAACTTGTTGGCGGACCGAGAAAGAGTGCGGACGTGACGGTGGTTTCGTAGGAAGGTTCCCCGGACTCTCAGGTCCACCCGCGTCCCGCTACGGGCGGCAGTCCAGATAAAGGACATTTTGAGAGAAGAGTAAGGATGATATCATTCATGTATTTAACAATAGGGAGCCATTGAAAACAATTCACATCTTCTTGTCTCTGCGTTGTTGCTCGCTCTGGAGATCGCCGTCATCTCCGCAACGTCATGTGGCCGCTCCGGGCCGTAGTTAGCACCGCGTCCATCGGGCCAAGCTGGCGTCAACACAAACAGCTCAACTTGCACCGGGACCGATTGTCTCGCCTCTCGATATCTCTGGGACATATCTTCAATCTGGGATCCTCAGCTGCATCAAGGTGATCCTCTGGCAGCGATCACTGCCGCCATGAGGCTCCTCACCGCCGTTGCGCTGCTATTGACTAGCTGCGCGCACGCTGCAAACCCCAATTCCACATCTACTTCCTCCGAGGCCCACGTCCTCCCGAGCGACTTCAACCCTCCTCAGACGTTTAAGAATCTGAATATTATACGGAATATCAACCTCGATAAAGGCTATGTTAGAGAAACGATCAATGCTATCATAGAAAACATCGACAAGCAACCCCAGTCGAAGTACTACCTCCCCTTCTCAAATGCACTGATAGACAAAGTCGGGGGGCTGGAAGCATGGGAGAAGAACGCAGAAGACAATGGCAGATTTAAGGTAGAGCGTACACAGTTGCTTTCTCAGAGGTGAGCTCCCTGTTGCAGCATCATGACGAGGGATCTTTCTAACAGAATAACCCGTTGCCCAGCTCCGATCAATACTTCGTCATAAATCTCCCCAAACCCCTTCAACCTGACTCTCGATTGACCCTGAGCATATCCTACTATCTTCTCTCCGCTCTTAATCCCCTCCCTCCCGCCATTGAACAAGATGCCAAACAGTACTTTGCATACACATTTTCCGCCTATGCGCCATCTGCCTATGTTACGTATGCGCAGAGGACAAAAGTCAAGTTCCCCACGACTGATATCCCCGATTATACGACGACAAGCGGAATGAAAGTTGGTTCTGGATCGGACCCCGAGAAGCAAGGCAACACTTTCACCTATGGTCCATATAATACCAAGGACGTAACTCCTGGCACGATCGAACCTATCACTGTCCGATACGAATTCACCAGACCGATAATTACTGCTACGCTTCTTGAGCGCGACATCGAGGTGTCACACTGGGGCGGTAACCTTGCGACAGAAGACAGATACTGGCTCCAGAACAACGGAGCTCACTTAGCCAAACAATTCTCCCGCGTTGCCTGGTCCGTCAAAACGTTGCAGAACGCCCCGAGCGTGGCCATCAGCGCTCTTAGGGTCACGCTCAAGTCCGGCGCTGTTGACCCTTATTTCATCGATGAGATCGGGAATGTCTCGACCAGCCGATTTACTCGTGGCCAGGGAGCCCGTGCCTCCGTCCTTGACATTCGTCCACGATACCCTGTTTTCGGAGGCTGGAAGTATAGTTTCCGAATCGGATGGAATATTGATCTCTCTTCATTCTTGCGCAAAGCAACCTCCGGTGACACTTATATACTAAAGGTTCCCTTCCTCGATTGTCCGAAGATGCCAGAAGGCCTTCAGTATGAGAAGATTGATCTACGGGTGATCCTTCCCGAGGGAGCGAGAGGTGTAAAGTATGAACTGGTTAATGGTGTGGGCCTGCCAAACAACATCCAGTCGGAGACCACTCTCTACAAAACATACATGGATACCGTCGGAAGAACAGTTCTCAAACTGAGCATGACAAACGTCGCCGATGAAGCAAGAGATGCTCAATTAATTGTAACCACCTCGCTTTGCCTTTAACCTTTTGAAATACAGCGATTCCTAACATATTACCCGTAGGTTACCTATGACTATCCATTCCTCGCGTCGTTCCGCAAACCGATGGCAGTCTTCGTGGGCATGTTGAGCGTTTTCGTTGCGGCCTGGGTGATCGGAAATATAGACGTCAGCATCAAAAAGAGGTGAATAAATGGTTTCTTGCTTTTATGTTAGTCCCATGGTTATTTATGTTCAGTCCTTTTTCTTAATCAGTTTGGACCTTTATTGCCTTGATGATTGATCATGTTTATATATTTGGCCACAATGTAGTTTTATGTCTTTGTTGTAAACCATTTTGAAGTATTGGCCATCTATTAACAAAGGGCTTTTACGAGCAAGCGAAATCCGATTGGTACTTCTGTGCATGTTCCTATGATACATAACAATTTAGTGTGAGATCGGCTCCGAAAACCAAATCTCCCGGAAATGCCGTCATATCATATCATATCATATCATATCAAAAGGTATTTAACAAAGCATGATACACGCGACCTTATGGGGCGCAATGGAGAGAAGCAAAAGGTACTCCGCGATCTCTATGAATTCCCTCGAATTCTCAATCCAAAGTTCAACATCATAGCCACGACAACACCCAAGCACAACACTGTGGGCCCCCACTTCTCATAGTAAACGTTTTTGACATCCCTATGCTTTCGAATCTTGTCTACACGCCACATGTACAGAAGGAAGCTATATATCAGCGCTAGGCACGCAAGGATAGTGAACGCCCATGCTGAACCAAGACTGATTGTATCTTGCCCAAAGTTAAGTAAGGTGGCAGCGATGGTGCTGAGGAAGATGGAGAATTCAAGCCAGGAGAGAAATGTGCGCTCCGCGGCGAAGTAAACTTTAGGTTCCACGCGGATCGGGACATGGATTCCTGGAGATATGTCAGAATTGAGAAACATATCGTGGAATATAGGCACTGGAATACTTACGTTTACCCCTGGGAGCTTTGAATCTCTTGACTTCGATTGGCCCACTCCCCAAGACTTTGCGTATCCTTCCAGGTGTCGCGCCTTCTGGTAGCTCTGTTGGCCTTGGAATTGGCATGATGTATTTCAAGCTATGCATGACCCGACGTCCAGCATTTCGGACGTAGTGTTTTGCAAGCTTGGCGCAGTATCGCATTCCACCAATTTTTCTTGCTTCTTCGAGTTCGTCCTGGTCATTGGATTCGTCCTCAGAGTCGTACAGAGGGTAATCATCACCGCCAAGCAAACCCTGCACTGCGATGCGTTCCTCGATGTCCAATAAATTCCCTGTAGCTTGGAAGTCTGAACCGCTCGTCAAGTCGTGTCGAGTCACTGCACGGGCTTGCTCAGGGGACGGGCTGGTACGATCTTCGTGAGTTGGACTGGTCGGATGTGGGCCTCGACCTTCTTCGAAGGGAACCTCTCTCTCTCCCTCTTCCTCAGACTCATCATCGTCCATCATGTCTTCACTAGTCGAAAGATTGGATTGCGGAGGTCTCTCAATGCCAAAGCCCGGTCTTGCCGGTTTTCTGATGTCCACATCCATTTGTGGCATCCAAAATGGTAGAAGATTTATTCGGTCCGGAAACAAATTTGCAGTCCCATGTATGAACTTGCTGAACTTTGGAACAGCTTCAACCAGATGGCTTGATATTAGTTCTCGAATCCATTGAGGGGCCTCTTGTCCTGCTTGAGTCTGCAGTTTGACTTCTAAGACCGCATAAGGGAAGCGCTCAACGTCTTCCGCCGGAAGCTGGCGGAATGGGTAATCAACCCCGATGTCCATTCGCCTCCAATTGTCGCCTGCTCTTCTACGATCATCGAGGTTGTCTTCGCGAACCATCGTCAATTCGGTATCCAAAGATATCCGGACTCGTGCATCGCCAGGTAGCTGGAAAGCGGTTCGATGGTAGAAGGTTCTGGTCACAGGGACGAGTTTCCTAGTGATCACTCGATACTGAATTTCTCGGGCAAGTTGCTCCCAATCGGCGATTTGCTTTTCGCTCTTCTTGCCCTCCTTTCTCAGCTTTTCAAATATAGACTCCACGGTCATTTTCCCAGAAAGATAGGCATTGACATGTTTCTCCTTCATTGGAAAGCGCGCTTTGACAGACTTTTCCCCTGTCCAATCTTCCCGATGCGTTTTCCTCTCAACGAATATCTGCTCATTTTCCATTCCGCCGTACCAGCGAAGTCTGATGGCCTCTGCACCTTCAGTTTTCTTTAACCGCCCCATATACAACTCCCACGTGTCCGGATTATCGTAATAAATGGACGATATAGCTGCATCACGTTCTTCGAATTCTTTAGTAGGGTTGAAGACAAGTACTGGAAGATGCTAGTTTTATTTCCTTGAGTTAGCGTCTGGTGATCGAACACCTTGAGAAGAGATACTCACCTTCAAAATAATGAGTTTTAGCTCTGTAATATTATCCGGATGTACCCAGTATTTCGTAGTCTCCCGTATAAAGTTCTGCTGACTGCCACCGGCGGCATTGTCTCCTTTTACGGGATTCCCTTTCGTCCTAACTAGATCATACAGCTTGGACAGCTTGACGACAAATGCATCGTAGTTGTCCTTGAAGAAAGGTTTCGCTTTTAACCGTGTCGCAAAAACAGGTTTCAGGTACCATTTTGTTTGCTTCTGTTATTTACCACGGCTGTTAGCCCACAGAAGCTGCTGTCTCGATGACTGATGCATCGCATGAACGAGACTTGGAGATACCGGTGAGTTAGGAAGAACTCCACACTACTTACGTCATGTTTCTTGATAATCTTCTGAAACCCCGTATAGTTCAGCTTGGTATACTTCGCCAGATCATGTACGTCGGCGATTATATCGCTCAGATCTTCTTCCAAGAGCAAAAAGTCTGCATCTGTTGGAGCACCGCTGGCCCTTGCTGCACCGGCTGGCTGGCCACCGGTTTGGTCTAATCTCGACACCACATCGTTGACCTCTAGTTCACTGGCTTTGATTCTTCTTACGATCTCGTCGCTCTTGACTTTCTGGAATGTGGAGACTTTATCCAATTCACTTTCGAGCAGGGCGACGAAGCGTTTCTCGTCCTCCTCGGACCATGGCTTCCGTTTAGGGTTCGGATTCTGAGGGGTGGGTGCGGTCTCATAGTCGGTTTTGAGAGCTTCTTTGAGGTCGTCGTAGGCAATGTAATACCAGTAGTATTCTTTGACGAGCGAGGAACGGAGCTGCTCGCCGAACCTAAATCAAGTGGCAGTGTGTTATGAGCTGTTCCCAGGTGAATGTTTACTTGACAACTTACCGCATCTTGGTTCAGATATCACCAGAGGAGGTGGAGGACTGCGGAGCTATGTGTGTAGGTGTGATTTGTGTGTGCAGTGGGAGACAAAAGGCAACATGTGCCCTAGACCCAGTGTCTGTAGCCGAGAGCCAGGGAGCGCCGCTGATTGTCGGCGACACGGGGGTTGCACAAAACCAGAGCAGTGATAACTGGAGAGCACACAGAACAGTGAGTTTCACCCGCAGCACATCAAACTGAGGCTGAGATGTTTACCTGGCATGGTGGGCGGCCCCTTCTTCTCCTGGAAGGGGATGAGAGTTGCACCTTGCCACGCGCTCCTTCCGCTTTAGATAAGCTTGCTCTTGGGTTCCCAAGAAGCTCTTTCTTTGTCTGGAGCACTGTTTCCTCACAAGGTAACACGGAATCACGTGAATGCACATCCCAATCGGAAATGGCCAATCAGGCACCTTTCATGGCCCACGTGAGGCTGGTAGCTCGGAAGTTAAGCTGAAACTTTATTTTTTGCTGTTGACATCATCTCTTATCCATCAGCAGCACCAACGCGCGGCACAGGGAACACAACATAAATGCCCAAGCCAGTTGAGTACGAAGAACTACGCAATATTTATCAGAAGAAACCTTGCGCTGACCATGCTATTCCCTTGTGGAATATCCAGTGCTTGAACCTGACGCCCATACAGAGCAGGTAGATTAATTCCAAGAACCCATCCGGTGCTCACAACGCCCCAACAACCCGTCGAATGCTTCTTCTCGCGCCGTCGCCCACCACATTGACCAAACCCTCCGACTCCAAGGAGCGCACCGCTTCCGTAAACTCAGCTGCTGTGACTTCGACATTACTCTGCTCCCCAAACCTTCTAAACGCCTCTGCCCATCTCGTCCCGGATGCACCACGGCCCCCTAGCTCTTCCACCAACGCGAGTATTTCCTTCTTCATCCTCTCTCTGTTGCGCCGATCGATCGCTGTTGTTCCTTCGGTCAGCAGACTCATATCGATCAGACCCGTGCGCTGATCTGTTGCAGCTTGTTTGAGGGCGGAACGGATTAGCCGTACGGCCTCTTCGACGTCAGAGGCTGTGACCTCTTCGGATAGTCGCATTCGCGCATGAGCTTCTGCGAGTCGGATCATGGATTCAAGCTGACGCGTGGTTGCGGTGATACGGCGTTCGGCAGATCGGATGTCATCTCCAAGCTTGCGCATTTCGACATATGCATTTGTGAGCGCCTCACCTGCAGCTGGTGTCAACTGGGGGGATATGTTGGCTTTTGCGTAAGTAATGTAGCTGGTGAGGAATTCAACCGGCTAGGGAAAAAGTTTCACTTAGTGCTTGACTTCAGAAATGGGGAAAGAGAAGATGGGAATTTTAAAGGCATACCAATATCTCCTCAGTGCTGGCATTCTCGGGAGTATCCTCAAGGTACATTCCCACCAAATGTTTCGCCAGGCGACGATCATTCTGTTCGTCAATCCGGTCCAACACTAGATACACCAAGTCAAATCGTGATAGGAGAGTCGGCGGTAAATCGATATTTTGAGGAACGGGTAAGTTTGGATTGTACTTGCTTCCGATTGGATTAGCAGAAGCAAGAATACTGGTTCTTGCGTTCAGTGTTGTGATGATCCCTGCTTTTGCTATGGACACAGTCTGTTGTTCCATAACTTCATGTAGCACAGACCGCGTAGCCTCGTTCATTTTGTCAAATTCATCAATGCAGCAAACGCCCCCGTCTGAAAGAACAAGGGCACCTGATTCGAGAACTAACTGCCTTGATTCTGGATCCCGCGTAACATATGCTGTCAGACCAACAGCTGATGATCCTTTACCACTGGTATAAATGCCTCTGGGTGCAATTTTGTGGACATATTGCAGGATCTGAGACTTTGACGTCGATGGGTCCCCGCACAACAACACGTTGATATCTCCACGATATCGTGGACTTCCACCCTTTTCAAAAGTTTTATTTGTCCCGCCAAAAAGCTGGAGTAATATTCCCTTTTTTACGTCGTCCATCTCGTATATACTTGGAGCAAGGGATCTTGCGAGAAGTTCATAGATATCAGGCCTAGAAGCTGTAGCCCTGATCTTTTCCTCCTCTTCCTGCGAGATCTTCCTCACTTGCTCAACTTCACCCGCAATCTGCTCGGAGAGTTCTTGCTCTACGGTAGACGCGTCGATTCCGAGCTTTTTGCGGTCAACCTTTTGGACATGCAAAACATCGACATATGTCTTAAATAGAGCTTTGGTCGTTCGCTGACGCGGGTTGACCCTCACCGGGTTGCAGCGGAAAATCCCAGTTATTTCAACACGATCACCAGCTTTACAAACGTCAACCAATTCGTCATACGCACACAGCGACACTGAGTGCGGAGTTTGGCCATCAGGAACCGAATCAGGTGTTTCTTGAAGTTTGATAACTTGTTTATCGGCGAACGTACACCGGTTATGGATGAGTTGCATCGAATTTTGAGAGTCACAAATTTGTCGTGGGCATCTAGTTGGTTCAGCAATTTTACCATGCTCGATGTCGACTTTAACGCTGTGTTGACAGACATCGCAGCGGAAGAAAGCTAGTGTAAACTCCCGTGAGCCCTTTTAAGTTCACCGCGAAATTGATATGGACAGCCTACCTTCTTTCATATCAGGGATAATTGGGGTTGCTCGAATTACAAGCCCTTTGATGCTGATAAGTTTGTCCATGTCTGCCCATGTACCAGTCAATAAATGCACCACACAATCCCAAGACCTAGCCGCAGAATTTCTCACCTCCCGGGTCCAAGTCTCTCATGTTAACTGCGTTGTCCATACCAAACGGCAAGACTTTGAAGGTTTTTGTCTGAACTTCGGCGAGCATATTCGGAATTTCCGCTTGCATCTCTTGATCTGCGGCATTGCCAGGCTCCGAGCTCTGGTTCACGGCCCTTGGTTGCCGTCTTTGACTCGTTTGCTGTGCTCGCATAGCCTCCATCTCCTTCACAGCTAGTTCCGATATCACATCTCTCACACACTGATCCATAATAGGGATGATTTCTTGCGGATATGCCTGTACTTGGTGCCATAGCTTCGTCGTCGGTGGATATGCTTTCAAGTTTCGTATGTCCAGATTGAGGCCCGTCACTCCCAGTTGTAGCATGTCATTCAACAGGATTATATATTCTTTTTCATCAGCTATCGCACCGATTGCACGAGTATCTTCTTCTGTGGCACCATCTGCCCACATACGGTATTTCCGAGTGTAGTTGTAAAGAAAACTTTTGAATGAAGACATCGCATCTTGAATAGAGATATTCGTGCCCCAAATGATACGAGTAGAATTTCCGCCGAGAGCATCTGCTTCCGATGTATCTGGGTGTATATTTGAGAATGTTGTTTCTGATTGAGGGTCGCCATTGCGAACTGGCATCCCTCTCTCGTCGACAAATACTCTACGTCTGGCAGCCGATGAAGCGAAAGCGTCAGAATTAAGGCCACCCCGTCTAGTGTTGAGATTTGTGGCGTCCGAAAAATTGTTCGTCTGCGACGAGCGAACAAAAAGCCCGCTGCTGCTGGTCGGGATGTCTGTTGTTCGGCTTTGACGGTTATTTACGCGAGTAGGGCTAGAACTGGACATGTAGCGAATCGGGGAGGAATCTACAGCTGGTCAGCAAGCGGGCATCATGATAGAATGAGCTCTAGACAGTGGCGTACCTGCAACAGTTTGCCTACTAGCCCGTGGTGTCGCTTGGCCATCATCCATGTCCGATGGCACTCTCATCGGTGAGCTTCGGTCCATCCTTGCGCCTTCGCTGGCACTTGAAGACTGCCGTGCAGCCACAGGCGACGACTGGAAAAACATCGGCGATGACGATGGCACAGCGTCTTCCATTCGTCGTCGTGCTGCGCTTGGGGTGGCTCGATCAGGAGTCGATATCGCGGATCCTCGGGTAGCCCGTCCACGACGGCGGGAAGAGGCAGGCGATGACATTATGCTCCACACTGTGATAAATTATGCAAATGGAGTTGGTGTAGTTGCGGTTAGCCCGAAGGAGTCACTGATTTTTGGTCTCGTTATCAAAGGCGGAAGACAAAATTGGTGCAACGCGTAGATATCGCGATGTCGCGTAAAGTGGTTTCTATTTTGGGTTAGTGCGTCAACATCCGCTGGCTCGCGTCGTTCCCGTTCCAAATGCATTCGTCACACTCCCCATATCAGCATCATTATTCCGAGCCTGCGAAGCGATCATATCTTTTTCAAGGTTTTGAGGATTATATATTCTTTTGTGCTTCCATGTCAGATAGTTAGTCATTCTCGGGGGATTGCAGTGGCTTTCTTTGTGGTGTTTTCCCGATTCCTGATTTCCTCCGTCTCCACGCCTGTACTCGGACCAGAATATAAACATTCAGAGTCAGGAGGAAGCCCTGCCATTGCCTAATAAGTAGCCACCTCATCTGAAAAGGCCATAGAGGTGTCTAACAACTACCATTGAAAGAATGGTACTTGAGTCTAAGACGATTGCACGGATCCCACGTATCGGAGAATTGCGGCGCAACATGATCCGTCTTGACCGTGCTCCTGACCCACACATAAAAGTTCTCCAAAAAATTTGATAAGTCAATGGCCAGCCTAACGCGAGGGTCGAACTCGCAACCTTGTGGTTATTCTCGGTTTCTATGAACTTCGCATAAGAGCCACACGCTCTACCGATTGAGCTAGCCAGGCTACTTGTTGCTTCGCAGATGTGTGGTTCAAATTTATCTCCCCATAAGGCTGCCCACGACCGGCGGAGAAGACTCATCCGACAGCCTTTCGCCTCTTATTTCAGTCCAGATACCGACATACTGGCAACCTATAGCTATCTACGACCCAATATCTCCTCCGCACGCCATTCCATTCTCCCTCCAAAGATGGAACACCTATTTCCTCCCAATCGACATCGAAACCAGCTTCAAGGAGGTCCATTTCGACAACTTTCTGATATACATCGTAGCTGATTTGCCTATCCGCTCCCATTCCGTTGAAAAAGCTCCATTTGCCGTTCATGTCCAGCAGCCCTATAACTTGCTCCGAGAAGAAATCTCGAAAGTCCGAATAGGATTCAGCGAAGGTATCATAATAGATAGCGTCAAAGGTTTGTCCCTCATTCACCAGCTCAGGTAGAATATCTTGCCATTTGCCCTCATGGATGACCACACCTGGTCTCTCATGCCATCCTTTCCTTTTCATTTCCGTCACTACCGCTGGATGAGCTTCAACAATGTGGTGGACGGCGGGCTGGAGACTCTGAAAGATGTCATCGACAATCCCCATGCCATGACCAATGTTGAGCACTCGCAGCCCAGCTTCTGGAAGGATAGATTTTGCTGACCGCTCCATGATATCTGATTCCCATGACATCATGACACCATTCTGATCTTGATCTAGGAGGTGGTTGTCGGTGAAAGTTAGATTTGACTGGAGGTATCGAGAGCTGGTTACATCCGGCTCTTGCGCAGTCGCTGTGTTGCCTTCTTGTGCAGTTGCAGCTTGCTCATTTGGCTGCTGTACCTCAGTTTGTCCTGGAGCACCCTCTGTTGACGGATTGTCATCGTCGATCTCTTCGTCGTCGTCCTGCAGTGGCGCATACTCATTTAGCCTGTTGAGGAGCATTTCAGCTCGCACCCCTGCGTCGACCATTAATTGGTATAGAGCATCCAGCCCCATTCTCTTTGCCATGCATCCAGGGGTTTCGTCGTTGGCATCCAAATCGTTCCAAATGCCGCCCTCTTGAAGGAGAAACTTGATCATTTCACCACCAGATTCAAGGACGTCTGATGAGTCCACTTTGGGTAAGCGGTTAGGGGTATTTCCCAATCCGTTGGCTTCTTGTCTCTCATCGGGCTCTTCTGAGTCAGGCTCGCAAGCAGCAATCGCCGCATGAAGAGGGGTGTATCCTGTTTCTGGATCCTTCACATTCACTGGGTTGCCGGGTTTGTCGTAGGATTGAATCAGTTCTCGCATCCGCGAGATGTCATGCTGTGCTGCAGCCAACAGAACCTCTTGGACGTCAATATCCACATCCAGGGCCCCCAGTTGCTCATCGCTTAATTCCATTTTGGGCAATAAACGCTCTATAAGCGCATTTCAGTGACGAGGGTTTCAGTCTGGGAAATCAATTGTACGTAACAGCAAAATGAGAAACACACAAGTAATCAAAAGATCTTCCTTGAATCCGACAGCGATGTTTTATTTGGGGCTAGCAGCAAAGCGACTCGACTCAGAAGCAGTAATAGTGTGAGTTATTCTGCTCCTCAAGTTCGTTTGAGAAGTTTCACAGGGGCGGGACGGTAGTCACGTGACTCGCCCCCAAGCCAGCCCAGCTCGCTTTCGGCGGCATTCGGAGCGCATTCAATCAGGTTTGCCCAAGAGGGACGACTCTTACGCCGGGAACGGGCGACGGTGTCACTGTTGCATCTCAAACGGAGGTATTTTGGGGCCGGTCCCGTGGCTCAAATTCATGCGTTCATGTCTCAAGCTCCTCTCGAAAGACACAAGGTGAAACCCTACTCTTACAACACCACCCAGTTCTTACCAAATTGCACAAAGACGCGCTGGCTCCATGCAAATGTGGCTGAAACTGGGCTATAGCTGCAATGATGGTGTCGAGTCAGTGGAATCACGCAAGCTAACGGTCTTTTCCTCTACGGCCTTGCTGACACGGTGATTACTTGATGCTCTTCTCAGACGGATGAAGTGGAAGCAGCAATGGCCACTTCCACCCGCCATCAGTTTGAAGGGAGATTCATAGGTCAGTGCGCTTTGAGAGCGTGCTGACGAACATCGGGAAGGTGTACGCCCGCAGTCATTTCTCCAGGATCATGGCTATTAGCATCTAAAGCACCGACCAAAGTTCGTGAGAGCAGAGACTTGATGCTTGCTTTTCCCAATGAGGGTCAACGAAACAGGCCTCGTCGCAGGTCTATTTCCTTTTCTGGACCCAGTTGGCCTTCTTTGGGCTAGTATGGCCTTTCCAGGATTCCCACCGCAAGTTTCAGTGCGTCTGAACTACCAAATATATCGAGTTGTGACTTCAATGCGTTGGCCTGGGGTGCTTGAGCTGGTTGCCATCATTCCTCTCTGCTCTTGGCATCCTATGACAGCTACGTTTTACGTCGCAGATACACGCGGAAATGGGAAAAATGCCAGTGAATTCATGTCTCATGCTAGGGACACCTCTTACAAGTTTCTCCTTGGAAGCGTCCTGCATAACTTTGACGTTGAGAGCTATGCAGATTACTTCAGGCTCCTGGAGCTGGTGGAAGTCGATTTAAGGGAATGATCCGCCCTCCATAACCGTCTTTTTTCTTCAAGCCACAGTCAAACTTCAAAGTCGCTCACTCAGTTCCATTCGTATGGTGCGCTGGTCCCCATCTGCTTAATCAAATACTCATTTTTTTTTAAACCAAAACATTATTTACTTCATTCATTGACCCGGTTGTCATTCCTTCTTTTGTTTGATTCTTAATCATGAAGTTTGCCCTGCTTACCACCGTTTTCACGGCGCTTTGCGCCCCGAGCATTCTCGCTCTGCCCTTGGAGGCTCGTAATACCACGAGTATCGCCCCGAATACAAACCGAAGCACTACTCGTGTGACCGATGTTGACGTCCTTCAGTTTGCTCTCACGGTAAGTGCTTTTTCCCCATTGAGCCTATATGGAACCAAACCGCTGACAAGGTGAATAGCTTGAGCATCTTGAAAGCGTTTTCTATAGGCAGGGTCTATCCCGCTTCACTCGGGCTGATTTCATCCGCGCCGGTTTCCCTGTCAGCTTTTTTAATCAGTTGCAGTTTGTTGCGAGGGATGAAGCGTCCCACGTGGTGTTCCTGCAGAGGGCACTCACTGGCCTTGGCGTCCGACCAGTTTCGGCATGTCGCTACAACTTCCCATTCACAGATGTCCGCTCCTTCGTTGGCCTTGCATCTGTTCTTGAGGGCATCGGTGTCTCCGCTTACCTTGGTGGAGCGCCTCTGATCTCCAACAAAGATTTCCTCGGTGCTGCTGGTGCTATCCTTGCTGCCGAAGGAGTGCACCAATCCCTTTTCCGCAACTCCTTGAACCTGATTGCATCGGCAAACATTGCTGGCACCGCCATTAATCCCAACGCCATCTTCAGTCTTGCTAGTGCTTTTATCGTCTCTTGTCCTCGTGGAAATCCTGCTCTTCCGTTCACTGCATTCCCCTCGTTGAGCCCAAGAGGTGGTAGCCTCTTCGGTGTTAACACTCTCTCAAGATTCGTCATCGGCCGTGGCATTGTCATTCCGCCTGTCTTCTTTATCACTTTCGTCAGTGGCTTCGATATCATCAGTATTCCCGGAGTTTTCTCTGGCGGTTTCTACTCTGGACGTATCCCACGACAAATTTCCGGACAATCATTCGTCTTCCTCACCAGAACCGCGGCTAGAGGAACCCTTGTGGAGAGTACCATCCTTGCTGGTCCAGCTATTATCGAAGTCAACCCTACAATTCCCAACCTCAATCTGCTCATCTAAATGACTGAGTGAACCTCGACTAAGCTAGGGCCATCGCGGCTGTGGATAGACAAGAAACAATTTGGTACACTTACGCACGATACTTTCCAGCTTGCTTTGCTTGAGCGAGTCTCCATCTGTACTTCGATTCTTCTGATGTGTTATGCCCCCCACCTTTTATGGATTTGCCGGTCTCTTTCTTGTTTTGTTATTTTCTGCCATCCTTTTCCAGGCTTGGTTTATCTCATGCTAGGCAGGATATTCAAGCATGTACTTTTTCATTATACTGTGAGCTGATGAATAGTGTAAATACTATTATATCCGCTTCTGCGAAATATCGCCCTAGCTGTATCGAAATATGGGATGGTTGATGATAAGTGTGTGTCCACAACAGGTGTAAATAGAGTTCAACTATTCATAGGTAGCAAGAATGGAACAAATAACATAAACATTGGAGAGTGATGATTTTGTGAAAACCTTACAAAACAAACCAGATGCAAGAGTACACAGATAGTTATACATTTTGCTTCCTAATGAGGACATCCCTCACTTCAAGCTCCCTCTTGAAAAGAAACATTATTTAATCATGAAACCTCTAAGATGAGAAATGCTCTTTACCATGTCCACCAAAGTAGAGCATTTGCTATGCTTAAGACTTATCGGCACCATCAGCACCGGCATTGACATTCAACCCTAATCCTTCAGTATCCAAATACAATTTATTTCGTCCACCAGCTTCTTGAAGGATCTGGGCAATGTTGCGGGCGTTCTCGATTTTCCTGAGTTCGACGTAGCTTCTGCTCTTCTTGATGGCCTCGCCGATAAGTTGGGCGGAGCGGGCTTCACCCTGTGCGCGGACGATAGTGGCTTGTTTCTCTTGTCGGGCTTTGTCAACGAGGAAAGCGGCTCGTTGAGCCTCTTGCTGTGCGACTTGCTTGGCTTCGACGGCTGCAGTAAATTCTGGCGAGAACGCAAGATGCTAAAAAAGAAATAATCGAATGAGACATTTATCTGTGAATGAAAGAGTGCGAGTGCTTACCGTCAACGAAACATCATCGAGAAGGATATTGAAGCGAGCAGCACGTCTGGCAAGATTATCACGGACGAGTCTGGCAACATTCTCACGTTGGGTGATAAGTTGGCTGGCGTTGAATTGGGCTACAACGCTCTTAAGAACTTCGTTAACAATGGATGGGAGGACTCTCTCATCGAAATCTGTCCCAAGGGTACGGTAGATTTGGGGCAGTGCATCAACCCGCGGCCGTGAGAGCACACGACAGGTAATGTTCACCATCTGCAAATCTTTGGTTCCAGTGAGAGAAGCAACATTGCGGGGTTTTGCGCGGACATCGTAGATGATGGGCGTCTCGAACCACGGGATACGTAGATGTGTTCCTTCAGGCCATTTTAGCATGAGATAGCTCCTGTGCACAGGGACAATTTGAAAGTACCTTCATTGTAGATCTCTTTCTTCACACCACCTATTCTCGTATACTTGATCGCGCGGTGACCACCGTCAACTAGGACAAAATTAGCAAATCAGCTATGCCACCCACCGAGATTCGAAATGTCTACTGACCGTTAAATAGGGAATTCGATATCACGTATCCTCCAAGACCCAGCGCTACCAACGCTCCAATTCCCCCAAATGCTCGGCCTGGTCTGCCTCCCGGGAATCCACCGAATCCTGCTCCCCGTCCCCGCTGCTGCAGAGCGGTTTGCAATCTTTGCCAAGTTTCACGAGGATCTGCCATTATTTCAAAAGGGATAGAGAAAAGCAGGAATTTGATTCCCTGTAAATGGTAAGACACGATGAGCTGCCGTGATGTTCTTCAAAACTGGAGATCAGTGAGGCTAGTCTTCTTTAGGAAAGGTTCGGTTCAGCTGCCTTTTGAGCATCAACACCGTAGACGATGACGGAAAATAGATCCAATGCCCAGTTACTGTTAATTTGCGACGAAAAAATAATTTTACCGGGCCGGAAAGCTATTTTTGATGCTTTCTATTTGGGTTTGAATTGAGATAGCTCGTTATATTTGCTCCCTATTCTCGCGATCGATAGCGACCATCCCTCAGGTCTCCTGCTTCAAGATGGCGCCAGAGAGGACTGGGAAAAGCGTTTTCCTAGGGAATATCCCCTACAGTAAGCTTGGGGATCCATGAGTTGATATTATGTCCATGAAACTCGCTGACTGGATGTGTAGCTCTCACTGAAGAACAGGTTAAAGACATTCTCAGCTCTGCTGGCACCGTCACGAAGTTCAGGTTGATGATAAACCCCGAAACGGGAAAGCCAAAAGGATACGGCTTTGCAGACTTTGCAGATGCAGATGCCGCGGCTTCGGCGGTTCGAAACTTGAACGATTATGAAATTATGGGTCGCAAAATAAGGGTTGACTGGCCACATAACAACGAGAAAGACTCCGTGCCTCTTGACTACTCGCAACAGGGTCAAGCGAGCGCAGCAGGCCAAGATGGACAACCAGGATACCAGGGACAAGCTCCTCTATTGCCATCTCTTCCGCCAGGTACCGACTTGCCTCCGAATCTCACATGTCCGAATGCGATCTCCCAGACCTTATCAACGCTTCCTGCGCCTCAGCTGCTCGATGTTCTCTCGCAAATGAAATCATTAGTTGTGGCCGATCCAGCTCGGGCCACCGAGCTTTTGAGACAGGCGCCGCAGCTTGCTTACGCTATATTCCAAGCGCTTCTGCTCATGAACCTGGTTGATTACAGTACCCTTGGGGCTGTCGTTGAACAGGCTACACAACCTCAACCTCCAGCTCCACAGGCTCAGCCAGCCTCCCATATTCCACCACAATTCCAGCCATATCCTCCGATTCCAGGCCAGGTATCCACTCCACCCATCCATAGTACCCCATTCGCTCCACCACCACCACCCCAGCCTCAACCCCAAACCCAACCACCATTGCAAGCTCAGATACCAGGACAAGAAGAGCTCTTGCAACAAGTTTTGAGCATGCCACAGGCCACCATTGATGCTCTGCCCCCCGCGGAACGGAGTCAAATAATGCTCTTGCGACAACAGTTACTGCAAGGAGGAATGAGATAGTGATGATATATCTTGTGAGGAAGTGATCAAATGAAGGGGATTTTCACATTTTTCATATGGGATTGATGACCTTGGGAACTGGAGTACAAAATAAATGGCATGGATATGTGAACAGTGCTCGGCTCGGATTTGGCGTTGAATGGTTACTGCCTGCAGGGAAGTTTGTTTATTCGCTTGAATGCTCTCATTTTCCTACGTAGGCCTAGCGATCTTGTTCTAGCATATGTATTTTATAGGAACTGGGAATATTCTGTTCTCTTCTTTTCCCTTCAGAAACCAGTCCGCTGTGTGGAATCCACCTCTTACTCTTACAGGAGGTGGGAAATGTGCAGAGATAGGAAGCAAATGTCGACCATACCCAATTCAAAATGCATACTTTGCCGAACTCCATGTCACCTGTAGCATTAGATCTGCTATTTCGGTAGTTGATGCTTGACCTGACTTCCCACTGTAAACCTCAGGGGCCTTACACTTCACGTGATAGCGAATTTCTGGATTCGGTTTAGCGTAGTTCCAAACCTCAACTCAGATTCACAGTATATAAGGAGAGGGGGGAAATTAGCCTGCATTGTTTCTTCTTTTTGGAATTTCTTCACTCAGAGCCAGAAAGCATCATCAATCGCCAAACCTGGCGACGGTTGGCCATGTTGTTTTACCCTTGCGGTAAAATGGCATTTCAGGTTGTCCGGCCTCGGTTTCCAATTGCTTTCTAGCTCTCTCCCCTCCAGCTTCGGGGACAAGCTATGTCCTTGGGCCTGGTGCCTCAACGGCATTGCCATCGTTGATGGCGTCTATGCGACTGGCTTTTTGTGGTCCTGAGGTTCCCGGCATCCGTGGCACTGTGATATGTCCCCTGTTGCTTGTCGACGAATTCTTTTGGGTTCGTCCCTTCGAGGTTTCAAACGATTTCATTCGTGCATAAGTTAGCAGGCGAATAGGGCCGCATATCACCAGTTGCTAAGCTTTCTCTGGGTCGTTGACCTTGGGGGTGCTTCTGCCCCTGTGATGCCCTTGGGGCCCCGGTAGGCCCATAGGGAAAGGTTTTGAGAGGTAACAACTCCACGATTCCTTTAGCCGGATATGTCGCTAATGTGCCCCAGCGAGATTTAGCTTGGCGAAAAGGTACGCCCATGGGTGTTGGCTGGCTTGAACCTCTTGGAATTTGATCATTGCCCATATTCTCCTCTAGCAAAGAGTGTCTGATAATGAATTTTGGACAACAACCTTTGAGAACTTGCTTTTTTTGATAGGCTTTGCCTTGTGAAGGAGATTTCCAGATTTTCCCGTTGCAACCCTGCCAAAACAAAAAAAGGGCGCACAGCAACGATGCGATGCAGACTAGTCCCATTTATACCAAACATTGCTACCTCCATCCTCATCCTCTCAGCCATCTATCAAATTTTTCATTTGCCAAAAGTCGTTCTCCATCTTCTCTGCTTCTCTTGGTTATATTTCCCATTTTTCGCCGTATTTCTTATTCTGCTATCAAGTAGCGCATAACAACCCTAGACTCCTGGCCTTCTTGCTCCTGATTCAATCAAACTTATTACTAAGATGGAGAGTTATCCAGATATTACCCGCCGAAGTGAGCAGGAATCGGAGTTCGACTCCGAACCTGAGGGCCATGTGGCCGGTCCCACCTTGAGCGACGAAGTGGATTCAGAAGGCGATATCGAAGGCCTTGAATCCGACAAAGATGATGCAGTCGCCGAAGAGGGATCTTCAAAACGCGTCGCCAAAGCAGGCTCAAAAGATGGACAGGTCCTCGAACGTGTGAAATATCACATTGAAACTATGCCCCCTGAGGTGCTTCGTGGGACTTATACCGTCATGCCAATCCCTAAGCCCAAGCGCGGTCTTGATCAATCCCTACCGCCTATTAGCAGAATCGAAGATATCTTCGATGATCTCGTTGCTAAGGCTGAAAAGAATGGCTTTGACAGCTTTCTGAGCCATATCGGAAGTCGAGAGCTGCGGGTTGCGACGATGTGCTCTGGCACGGAAGCCCCTCTCCTTGCGTTAAACATGATTGCTGATAGTAAGAAGCTCGTTATCCCTTTTTTCGAAACGCGTTTTGCTGACTGCTTTGTAGGCTTCAAACGGCTGTTCGGTAGATCATTCCATTTGCACCATTTGTTCAGCGCGGAGATCGAGCCATTCAAGCAGTCCTACATCCAGAGAAATTTCTCACCGGCCATTCTCTTCAGGGATGTTAATGAGCTTGTCAACGACGAAGCGTAGGTTATGAGGCCTCCGAGGTAATGTACAGCAGGCTAACAATATCTCAGCACCACCGCTTTCGGATCGATGCGCAAGGTTCCAACCAACCTCGATCTTCTGGTTGCCGGTTTCTCCTGCGTTGATTTCTCGCAATTAAACGCACACAAGAAGTCTCTAGAAGACATGGGTGAATCAGGTCACACTTTCTTCCCCATTCTTCAATACGTAAAGCGCTGCAGACCGCCGCTGGTTATTCTCGAGAATGTTCATAGTGCTCCTTGGGCAAAAATTATGGAGATCTACCAAAAGATTGACTACAACGCATACCATGCGTTCATTGACACAAAAAACTTTTACCTTCCACAGACCCGAGAAAGAGGCTATTTACTTTGCATTGACCAGAGAAAACTTGAAACGGAACCACCCACAAAAAAAGGTGCAAAGACATCATTACTTGCTCGAATGATGAAAAGCTTCCAACGTCCAGCGAGCTCCCCCGTCACGCATTTTCTACTTAAGCACGACGATCCTCGCCTGCGTGTTGGAATTAATGATATATCTGTCCATGTGGGGAAAGATCGCCAAGCGGTCGACTGGACACGATACAAGGCCCGCCATCTTGGGTACAGAATGGAGAATGGGCTGGGGGATAAACGGCCTCTTACGAGATGGCAGGACAATGGCACTTGTCAAATGCCGGATTTCTATTGGCATGGCTGGACGAAAACCCAGACGGAGCGAGTTTGGGATACTCTTGACGTCAACTTCTTGCGAGCCATAGTGCGTAAATCGGATTTCATGTCAAAGTGGTAAGTCTATCTCTTGATGTGCAGTTGTTTTCATTTACTTACATAGATTTAGCCGTGTGATCGACCTTTCGCAGGGCTTGGATCGAGAACTTGATCAGCGCGCTTCCGGTATATCAGGTTGTTTGACCCCTCGTGGCCAACACTTTATCAGCACGCGTGGCGGACCACTTCTCGGTATAGAAGCTTTAGCTCTCCAGGGCATTCCCACCGACAGACTATTGCTGAGTAGTGAAAGCCAGCGTGATCTTCATGACCTGGCGGGGAACGCGATGAGCTCACCTGTGGTTGGCGCAGCAATTCTATGTGCGTTAATAGCGGGACACAAGGCGTTGCTACCCGGCCCGCCTCGTGTACACGAACCTGAGACACCACATTGTGTCTCACTTCCACATTCTGTGCGTCAAAATTGTCCGATGCGCGATGTTTCTGTAGAGCTATCTGCAATCGCATCGGAGCCGATAAAGGATCTTCTTTCTAAGGGGCATCGAAGCTGCAGACTTTGTTTTTGTGAGGGACAAAGTGGAACCAGAAGGAGAGACATGCTCAAATGCTCCAAGTGCAACCACACAGCGTGCGTCAGGTGTGGTCGGAATCCGAGTCATGTCTATGAACCAATTCCAGAAAAGCAGTTAGCTGTACGAATCGCTCCAATTGACTTTGAGATCTACATCAAAATGAACTTCCCAATGCGTTTGCAACTGAAGGGCCTTACCCAGGAATTATTCGAACAGTTCCGAGAGCCGTGGACATCGAAGGAAGTCCTGTCTGCTTGGAAAGCTTTTATGGGCACCGTAAGCCTCGCTCTCGGGGAGGAACTACGATTCAGCGGTATCAGCCGACAGCGTTCATGGACTGTCACGTACGAAGGAACTCATTCGTTGCTAAAACTGGTATGTTCGTCGACAAGTGCTGAATGGCTCTTCTTTGCGTTACCCGGCAAACATGAACCCAGCAATTCTCCTCTACGCCAGATCCTTTCGCACCCTATAGCCCGTATGGCCCCGTCTAACTCGCTCCTTAATGGCGAGTGGCATGTCGCCGCCCCAATTAGTTCTGACTGTTCCCTTTTCATTACTGGCTGTGGGCCTCACGTCGATTCGCTGGGTGCGAGAGTTGGCCTGACTGACAAAGAATTCCGAGACAAGAAGGTCTGGAGCCGCCTTGACATCGATTGCAGTGATGAAGTCATCTCCAGCCTAGGCATTGAAATACGAGGTCAGTACGAGCTTTTGCAAGATTGCGGTGGACCTTTCGGTAGTCTTCACAAAAAAATATCTGGTGGTTCTGAGCAGCCCCTTTTTTTCTTTGTTGACCCGACTGAACTCGGTCCCGAACAACTGGATTCTTGGGTGTTAGCCACTGACTACACTCGATTAGATCTCGGCCAGACGCGAGAAGTTATCGCTCAACTACAGCCAGACTGGGATGCGTTTGAATTAGGACAAGAATCTCAGACCGTCAAAGCCTGGTTCCGCAGGTGGATCAAATCCCCAAACACATCCCTGAGTGCTTATCTTCCTTCGGCTTCTCCTATTTACCACATACTAGACCACGATGGTATGTATGGGATCTGCCGATTCAACTGCCAAGATGCGTATGCTCCCATTTTCAACTGTTCAGTTCCTGCCACTTCTGAAGAATTAAATTGGAGTCCCGGCGCTTGGAAATGTTCAAACCTCATGGAATCTCCGATATTTCTTCGGAAATTTGCGTGGCTGTTAACAAAAGCCGTCTCTGTTGATCAGTTTTCTGAGTGGATACCGGTGGATCTTGCACGACTTGGCTCCCGGTTGGATTGCTTGCTCTGTGCTCCATTGAAGCCGCGACTAACCTGGGCCCTAAATGAAAAGGACCGGATTTGCGCATTCGAGCACCCTGAGGATGCAACTGCCTACGAACGAAGTGTCAAAAATCGCCCAGCGCCATTTCTTGGATTCGCCTCCCTGAGTGAGGACTCATATTTGCAGTTGCGGATCTGTTTGAATTTTCTTACTCTTCTCCATCAAGCAATTGGAAATCTGCCTCGCGCCTCTACGGAGCCGTCGTTAAACTGGCGTTTGTGCATTGATATAGCAGGATTCGTACGTCAACGACTTCCAAAGCTTGTCGAAACAAACAATAAAGATGACGTTGAAAATATCCAGCCACCCGGCTTTAAAAAGTACAGCCTCCGGCCAGAACAGCTGCGATCCTTGACCTGGATGCGGGCACAGGAAAGCCCAGAGCTTCAGCCTTTCGAAGAAGAAGAAGTAGTCGAAGCGTTGCTGCCGGTAATCAACTGGCGTGCGGAAGGCAAAGCTACCGTTGAAAAGCTAGTGCGAGGCGGAATTTTGGGCGATGATGTCGGATATGGCAAAACGGCAATTTCGCTTGGTTTGATTGACGCACAGTTTGAAAATGACTTGAGAACTGTTCCTGACAGCCGAGATGGACCAATCGCCATCAAGGCAACTTTGATTGTTGTTCCATATCACTTGTTTGATCAGTGGCTGAGGGAGATTGACAAGTTTTTGGGCTCGAAATATCGCGTACTGCAAATCAAGACTATCGTTGCACTTCGTCCTTTAGATATTACAGAGATCGAGAAGGCAGATATTGTATTGACATCTGCGTCAATCTTCCGGGGTGTTCATTATTACGAGCTAATGCGACTGTTTGGTGCCGTACCTGAAGTCCCAAAGGCAGAGGGACGTGTTTTCGACGAGTGGCTCCGAGATGCTGTGAATGGTATTCACAATCATCTACGTCTCTTGCGGACCCAAGGGGGACTTGACGTGCTCGGTAGTATCAAGGAGAAGAATGTCCAGCTGCGAATTGACGCTATATTTTCGAAGTACAATCCATCGAAAAGGCTTAAGGGCCAAAAGCTCCAGGATCACATGGCAAAGAAAAGTAAAATGGATGCAGAAGACAGGTCAAAGGCAACAAACATTCAAGGTGAGGACGAGGGGTCCACGAAAGCCTCCACCCCAGTACCTGCTCCTAAGGCTGGAAAACGAAAAAGACAGGATGACGAAAATAAACCCAGTGCAGATGCTGGCCCAGGTTCCAGACAAGGCCAGCAGCCCAAAAAGGTGAAAGCGGAGCCCGCAGTTGACAGCCAAGGTGACGCCGAAGCAGCTGACAAGGCGTTCCATCTTCAAGACGCCAAATACGACTGGAAACGCGTCCGCTGTCCTTTCGTTCACATGTTTGAATTCAACCGCTTAGTCATTGATGAATTCACTTACTCGAAAGAAAGGACTTACTCTACCGTGCTTGCGATTCCTGCAAGAAGCAAATGGATCCTCTCTGGCACGCCCCCTTTGAATGACTTCGCTGATGTGAAATCCTTCTCTCCATTCCTTGGAATCAATCTAGGAATCGATGAGGACGACTGCAGGCGAACAGATAACGAAAGACTGAGGGCAATTCAGAGAGACAGAACAGGTACTAACTTCTCTTTTGCTTCTTAAGTCTAAGCTAATAGTTACTAGAAGTTGAACAATTCCAACCTTTCATTACGCGTCGCAGTGCTGCGTGGCATAAAAGACGACACGATATGGCTCAAAATTTTCTTGACAGATTTATGAGAAAGGTATGGATTTGGTGAGAGTGAAGTGAACGAAACTGACCTTGTATAGAACGAACCAGAAATTGGCGAGATTCCTTTTACCGAGCATATTTGCGAAGTAGTCCTTTCTCCCGCCGAACGCGCGCTCTACATTGAACTGTTCGTACAGGTTATGTCCCAGAATCTGAGGACTCGGAAACAAGGACGAGGGTTATATGATACCGCTGAAGTGGCTCGATTAAACCAGATCATAGGCGATAGCGACAGCCCCGAAGAAGCACTTGTGAAGCGATGTTCCCTGTTTTCTCTCGAGGATATCTTTGTTTATGACGATAGAGCTCCAGCCAATAGTGCAGCAGCTGTCCCAGATCAAAAGAAACTGGGCACCGGCAATACCATTTTAGATGTCCGCTACAAAGAACTAAGGGATCTAGCAGCTGATCTGCAAACGAAATTCAGACAAGCACTTTGGCTGAGATCCAAGCTAGATGACGATGTGAGGAACCACTTCGATAAGACTCTAAACCTCATCGAGACGAATATTGGGGCTGGTGAGTTGGGAGATAATTTGGTGAGAAGAATAATTCGGAAATGTCTTGACTTTGCGAAGGTCAACTCAAAGGAATCAGATGGAGAAAGCTTTTATGTTGCTTCGGTAAGTTACTACGAAATCCAAAAGCGCATCACGATCACAATTAGACTCATACCGCAATAGAAGAAAAAGGACTCCAGAGAAAGCCGACCGGAATTCCCAGCTACCGAGAAAGCTACCGTCCAAGATCTAAACAACTGTAATGACAGTATTCGTCGACTCATCGCCGAGACTCGTACTCGAACCCGAGCTTCGAGAGTCTTTCAGGCCGTTCGATATTTCCAAACGTCGGCCCACAATGCTGCCTACTACTGCCATTGCTGCTGTAAAACAGAGTATGACCGAAATCTGATATATATTTTGGGCGAGTGCGGTCACAGTTTATGCGGAGCATGCCTTATTTTGCGGAGAAGAAAAGGCGACTGCAAGTGTGATGGTTGCACTGCAACTCTGGAAGGGTATAGAGTCATTCCTGGCGGCGACTTTAAAGGGGAAGTACCTCAATCGCCGGATGATTCCTGGACTGAATTTGGAGGAAGCAAGATCGGCGAGCTAGTCAAGCTTCTTCAGGACACAAGCAGAATTCCGGAAGACGACCAGGTTTTAATTTTCATTCAGTTCACGGATTTAGTAACAGCAGTGTCTAAAGCTCTGGGAAAGGCGGGTATCCGGCACATCACCATCATAGCAAACGACCGTTCTGCAGGAAAATCTTTGGCCGATTTTCAAAATGGAACAGAGGAGGTTAAAAGCAAGGCCCTTATACTCGCTCTCGGAGACGTTACAGCGTCAGGCTTGTAAGATCCACAGTTGATCCCTTCTTGCTAAAATATATGCCATTTTAGTGGATCTCAGCTAACACACTACATCAGAAACCTCCAAGCTGCAAACCATATCGTCTTCTTTCACCCGCTGATCGCTCGATCACAGTATGATTATGAGTCCGGCATGTCCCAAGCCATGGGAAGATCTCGCAGATATGGGCAGCAAAAACATGTGCACATCTACCATTTTTTGGCGTTAAAGACAGTTGAAGTAAATATCTTCGAGCGCCGCAGGCGAGAATGCTTGGTGAAGCGAGATAAGATATTCGTTTCTCTTCTGAAAAATGAGATCCAGGACGCTGATGCGGCCGACTGGAGAGGCTATCCTTTGGAGGGCAGTAATGCTGCGCTTTTCGACGACGGAATTGATGAAGGAATTGATGAAGAATAAGAAGATTGGATCATGATGCGATTCTTTTTTTTCTTTTGTTCCCTGGCTTTAATCTTGCAGTCGGTTTCTCTAGAAGCTTCAAAGGCTTTTGCCCTACGGAAGCAAGTCGTTTTGATAGTTTCAAATACAATTGCTACGGTCGATTACCTTCACCATTAGTTCCGGTCATATATCTAGGCATATCGTGGCTGCCTCCACGCGGCGGCGAGGAGCAATGTTGGCAAGGTATGACTATCGGATCATCTTCGACTCTCCGTCGCACCATTCCCGGAGTCGAAATCCACGGTGAAATAGATTTATCAAAACGAAAAAGATAATAAGAATGAAGTAATGAAAAAAAGTTTTGGACAAGGACTACTATACAATAGCAGAAAAATGATGGCATGTTATGCCCAGCCGATTCTATCCCATGTACCAAACTCAGCATAAGCACACTTATCTATAACTCCCCGTCCTTTCTCAGCGTCTCCGTGCTCCACAGCGGGCTCGTCAAGCTAGTCAATCCAGCGCTATTCTCACAGGATTCTCTTCCACTCATCGGTCCCGGAGAGGGGATATTGACCTTCTTCCCACTCTCTCCGGCTAGAGCGGACTCCTTGAGAGCATTGAGTAATTGAACGGCGGTTTCGGGAGTAAGATCTTCGTAGTAGTCGTCGTTGATTTGGACCATTGGCGCGTTAACGCAGGCACCCAGGCATTCAACTTCCAGGACAGTGAAGAGCTTATCCGGTGTTGTCTGGCCATGGGAAGAGACCCCGAGGTGTTTTGTGATGGCTTCCACGATTTTGTCGCTTCCGCAGCCGCCAAGTTGGCACGGGGTCTGGTAAAAGGATTAATAGCCCGACGCAAAGATTTTAAATTGGACTCCTTACAGTGGTGCAAATTTGAACGAAGTATTTTCCCACAGGTTCCCGGTTATACATCGTATAGAATGTGGCAACTTCGTAGACTCGCATCGGAGGCATCTCCAGGATCCGCGCGACCTCGTTCATCACACTAATGCTTGTCCAGCCCAGCTGTCGTTGACCGAGATCCAAAAGTGGCATAACAGCAGCCTTTTTGTATTGTGGGGGATATCTTTTGAGGATTTCATCGATCACTTTGAGATTTTGTTCGGAGAATTTGAAGGGGATACTAGGGTTGTTCTCTGGCGTGTTTCGGTGCTAATTGAATCTCCTGTTAGGCTGCTATTCTCTTCTAAGTAATCGGCAAAGCCGACTAGGAAGCTATGAGACTTACTACTGCCAGAATGTCGCTGAGAACTGGGGTAGCAGCAGTGAATTGACGACACTGTCGCACGGGAATGTGTCGAAAGGATTGGCGGCATTGCCGAAGAGTGAATGGTAAAAGTTTAGAGGTCATTCCGATGGAATATGAACAAGAGCAAGAGTAAATCGCCTCAAAAAAAAAAAAGAGAAAAAAAGGGCAGGCTCCTTACGTCCTTGCAATCAATTGGGACCGCAATGGTTCGCTCTATGATCCTGAAGGTTGGAGAGGGTCGACAGCGGCCAATAAGAGGATAGCGAATTCAAACTTATGTCATCACCCACGCGCCGCCAACCGACGACGCTCAAAGGCCCGACGGTGACATTTCGTGACAATGGTCGTTGAGATGACGGAGAATATGCTACTTCGATCCTATCTTCGACACAGCATAATTCAGCAGGCAAGATTGTGTCGTCCTGTCATTCCAGCACTTCACAAGCCTTTCTTTCCAATGTTCCAACGACCCTCTGGATCTCCGGGACAGAGAATGTCCTCGCAACCTCCGTCCCCTGCCCCGAAATACAAGCTGGTCTTCTTCGTTCCCCTTTCACACGTCGAGGTCTGCAAGGAAGCAGTGTTTGCTGCCGGTGCAGGCAGTTATCCCAAAGGCAAATACAGTAAAGCATGTTTCCAGTCACTGGGGACAGGCCAATTCCTTCCTGGTGATGGCGCGAACCCGAACATCGGTAAGGTGGGGGCTATTGAGAAAGTGGAAGAGATGAGAGTCGAAGTCCTCTGCTTAGGGAGAGAAACCATGTTAAAGGCAGTGGATGAGTTGCGAAATGCTCATCCGTATGAGGAGCCTGGGTACGAGGTTTACAAGTTGGAAAATGTTTAAAAGGTCCTTTTTTTTTTCTCCTAAAAGCTTCCCGGTCCCTCTTCCAAATTATTCTTACGGCTCTTGATGGATATGATGGAGCCTGCTGAGACTATCGATATTCACATAAGGTATGCATGTCATATTCGACGTATATCCGCAGTCTGGCACATCTTCGATGCTGATATCTATAGCATTTTCGTGCTGCCACTTCACCCATCTCCCCGGCAAATTTTGATGCCCTAACTTATGCCCTCTCTTCTATTTTGACTAATGCAATCGGGTCTTACAAACAAATCTCACGATGTCATTTTTATCTGCAAACGAACACCTCAGAGCTATCACTGCATTCCATCACTCTACTCAAGATTTCAAAATCAAACAGTCGAGGAGGATTAAAACGAAGCAAATGAGATAAGAGCGAAAGAAAGAATAAACATGCTTGAAGGGTAGTACCAACACAATTCAGCATGGTCACAATCCAGGCGTCTTGGGGAATTCAGTTCCACCCGGCCATCTTCTGTCCACTTGGAATTCTCGTTTCCTATCATAAGGTCAATTTGACTTCAGCGCTCTTCTCTAATTTAAACTCCCATTTGATTTCGCTAGCCTTTCCTACACTCACCCTTCCGGACCCCCCACGCAACCTCTCAAGGGACGATTCCGGACACTCTTTATGGAAACCTTTGAGCTGGATGATGCGGATTCGAAGCCTCCCACCTTAAAAAGCTGGCATACCTCAAGTTAGATGCCAATAGCAAGGCGACAAAACCGTCACCTACTCACAATCTCGCTCCCTCCGCAATTGAACCTTACTGTCATCGGTGAAACTTGAGTTTGGGCTCATCCAGAGATTGAATGAGATTCAGAGGAAAGCCGACAAAATCAAGCATCACAAGGTTACAATCGAATATTTTCCGAGCAGAAAATGCGCACTGGAGAGGATCCAGCCGGAAATTCATTCAGCTCCCAAGAAAAAGGTCGAGTCCCTCGCAACTTCCATACATGGGTTGAATCTCTTATAAAGTCCATTGACACCACCAGAGCCCAGCACCCTGATGTCTTTCAAGAGCTTGACCCCCACCAAACAGCAGCTTGGGAGCTGTTGGGGTTAGTTGAGGCCCTGAAGTCAGCCCGCGAGAACAAAAAACAATGGCTAGATCATATTAAACAGAAAATTGATGGGAGCTCATCGCCCTTCAGGAAGACATTGATTATGAGCAAGGGCAACATCAATGGGCTTTGACCAAGCAATGCTTTTGATGAAGATTCTGGTTGATCAACTCAACCTTTTCTTATTGATTCAGTATCCAGCAAGCCATCATATATTTCCATATCCATATACGGGGTAGAAAATTAGGAAATGTATGTAAATTGAGGAAATATACTCCGTATACTCCGTAGAGAAAGAAAGTATATTCAAAACTTAATAATTTTAGTCTCCATAAATACTCCGTACTCTGAACTCTTGACAATCATCAACCCACAGCCACTTTGACCTGCCTGCTTTCTTTCTACCATTGCTCCACGAAGCTCTGGACATCGATGACACGGGAAACTTTCATACGACAGATTTGCTCTGATTTTAAATATTCGCCACCTCAACAACAAGGTTGTAATCTTAGTGTTGCGCATCCAAGTCGCCTTCAGTAACAGAGACCTCTGTACGGAGTATACAGCTTCCCTTTTAGGTCAAGTGTTACGACCGCTGAAGGCAAAAAAAAGATTTGACCCATGCCAAGCCTTTAGCGCTGCCAAGTGTGGGGTTGTTTGTTGACCAATTTCCACGCTGGGAACTCTCGTGAATGCTAAAGAGTGTTTATGTACGGAGTATTTTGGTTGTCGATACTCAAGCGAGAACTCCCACCACTATGGATGATCTGGCGCAGCTGAGAAAACAGCTTGAAGAAGAAAGACAGCGCCGACAACGAGCTGAAGCTCGAGCATCCGAGGAGCAACGGCGACGAGAGGAAGAGGAGCGACGACGAGAGGAAGAGCAGCGACGACGAGAGGAAGAGCAGCGACGACGAGAGGAAGAGCAGCGACGACGAGAGGAAGAGCAACGACGACGAGAAGCCGCCGAAGCGTCCTTGACCTTGACAGATTTACGTGCATATATTTGGAACTGTCATGATCTCTCACTGGCTATTAACATTGTAACTGATCCCACAGAAACTACACAAGGGGGAACAGCAAAAGCCACGCGACGCTATTATCCTTCGCGAATCATCCCTTGGGAGGGATTCCTGGAACAGCAGTCTTCCATTTGGAATGTGTTTCATCAGCACCCTTCATTCATGTCCATGAGACAATTCCCTTCTTCTCATCAGTTGGATTATGTTCTCAAAACAACAAAACCTATTACTGCGGAGATGGACCTTCGATATTACGAGCGTGATACAGTGGAAAACCACGTGCAGTTGGTTGTGGATGAGGTTTACAAGAATGATTCATTGAGACGAGAGCTCCGGCTGGCGGGATCAGTGACATTTGAAAGCCACATCAATCTCGGAGTCTCTAAGCAGGGCCCATCGCTAGAGGATCAAATGGAGAAGCTGTCCATCGAGCCCAACCCATCCGCCGGTAAAAGCAGGCCCTGCAGGCAAGACGAAGAGAATACACCACTGATTGGCCAGGCAGACAGATTCTGTGTGTATAGACGCGGAGATGATGGAGATGTTCCAGCAATTGCCATTGAATACAAAGCACCACACAAGCTCACATGTGATGAGATCATGACTGGACTGTCTGGGGAGATTCAACCAGCGCGAGATGTGATTGATAAGGAAGAAAACACCACCGAATTTTATTCAAGACGTCTTGTCACAGTTGTGATCACCCAGCTTTTCTCGTACATGGTTGGCAAGGGCGTGCGAAATGGCTATGTGTGCACTGGAGAGGTGTTTATTTTCCTTCATATCCCTGAGGACCCTTCCATTGTTCAATACGCCCTGTGTGTGCCAAATCAGGATGTTCGGGAGGGTTATGAAGAGGATTTTGAGTGTACTGCAGTTGCACGGGTAATTGCATTTACCCTACTGGCGTTGGCTGCTCCATCTCCATCTCAGGAGTGGCATGATGCGGTGACGAAGCTTGGTGTCTGGCCAGTTGAGTATGCAGAGGTCCTTGAGCAGACTCCAAGCCCCAAAAGGCTAAAAAAGCGCAATGTTCTCTCCCCCATTTACCGCGGTAGGAAGGGCAAGCTGCCTCCGTTTCATATGAAACTCCGGTCATGCCGGCCAACAGAGAATCAGCCAACTGATAGATCACCATCTCCTCCCCCCCCAGATTCCCCCTCACCCGCATTGAGAGCTCGCGGAAGGGGCTCTCAGGACCAACCGACTCAAACCAGCATTCGCGGGCAGGACCAGCATCGGGGTCGTAGTGGGCGCGGTGGGCGCGGTGGCGCCAGAACCAAGACAGGCACGGTGATGGGCATACGCGATCGTCCATACTGCTCCCAGAAATGTCTTCTTGGGCTGAGGGACGGAGGTCGTCTTGATCGGTCATGCCCGAATTTTCAGGACCATTGTGGAAAGCCTATTCCCTCCCGCAATTTCTCAAGCCTCATTCAAAAGCAGCTTGCCATCGATCGCGGTGATGATGCTGACTGCTGTCCACTCTACAAGTCTGGTAGCTATGGTGCGCTATTCAAAGTACGGCTCTCTTCCCATGGGTTCACTTTAGTGGCCAAGGGAGCACGGTACGAGAATCATGCGGCCTTGCTGCACGAACAACAAGTGTACTACAAGCTACAAATCATTCAGGGCCGTCATGTTCCGGTCTGCCTGGGTGCCATTGCACTCCATCCAAAATACCCGTACTACTACGATGGGGGAAGATATACCCACATGCTCCTTCTCAGCTGGGCGGGTGGATCTTTGACTAAGAATCTCAAGGTCGACAGCTCGATTTCTAGCATGATCCAGCACTCACTTCAGGTGATTCATAGCCATGGAGTTCTTCACGGGGATGCTGAGCCGCGGAACATCTTGTGGAACAATGTATGCCGTCATCCCATGATAGTCGATTTTGGGCGAGCATCCATAAAAGAACCTCTAACCAGCATCTCCCCGAATACAAGGGGGAAGAAGAAGCCTGGTAACTCAAAGACTGAAAATTCATTTATGTTGGAACTGCAAACTATGAAATGCAGCCTTGACGCTTTAGCCTCCAGTACAATCTAATTCCATATTAGGTGGGCTAAACTTCACAGGATCATTTGTTTACCAGGCTGTCATCATTGAATGACCAAGTTCAATTATGTGAAGTTGCAGTCCGTCAAATTAGCCTTGTTTAAAGTGATCTGGGTTTCAGGGGTTGAACCAGCTTCTTTCTTCTAGTCTGGCTGTTTCTGGTATGCAGACCAGAGGTTGTCTATTTCCTTGGGCAGTGCATGTAGGTAATTTCTAAGCTTCACAACAAAGGAAGGGTTGTGAGAAAGTGAATTTGACACTAGGGATGTAGCCAAATATACCATCCGTCATAAGTTTTTGACTCTCTACCCAGAATCCCTTCGGCAAAAGATAGATTTCTTTCTCTTCATGACTATCACACAACTCATTTCTTGGAACTGTTGAGTTTAGTGGTTCTAGTTTCTCCTCAATTTGCAGATCTAGATTCTAATTAATTTTTACTTATTGCAGATTTAAGAGATTTGGAGCTTAATCCCTCGTAGGTTCCCGTACTCCGTACGGAGGTATACCGTATCATGGGGGTTGCCTAATATAGTTTAGCGTCGCCCAAATCGGGCAAGGCGCATATCGCTGCTTTCGCAACTATATAAACTGCCCTCCTCCCACCACTTGACCACCTTTCCTTCATCATCCCTATTTTCCTCTCTTTTCTTGCTGCTTCCTCTTGCCTGTCTCTGTGTGCTCTCTCCTTGGCCCCCACCCTCAGTTTCATATGCAATGGTGCAGCTACAGCTGGGCAAATTCCAGCCCTGGTCTTCTTTTCCACTTTTCTGTCTCTCTGAGAATCTTTTTTGACAGTCTGGGGTCCAAAATGGGATGCTTTGCTGGTCACAGCTGGCAATGATTTCTGTTCTTGATTAGTTTCCTTTTTCCATCACTTTTTGGTGTTCAATGTCAACAAGCTCCATGGGTGAATTTGTTGTCTTGGAGCTCTGGTTCTATTCATAGGTGTTGCCCATTATTGATCTCTACTGCATTGCAACCTGCCATCCCTGGTCCTTCTGCAGGAATTGGTGGGTCACTGTTAGCTACAAAACATGCTGGCAATTGCACTGGATGGTCTTATGACTGGGATGGCCTGCCACTGGCAATAGTGCCTCGCAAGCACTTTGCCTTTCTGTGCCTGAGACACCATTATGCATCATGTTTGGATCATGATGAGAATTACTGAGGGTGGGATTCAAGCCATGTGTTGGCTGGGGGAAGTGAGCCTCGCAAGGCGTACTGTGCCCCCTCTCCAGCCAGCTGAGGTGAAACCCGGCTTTGAACGGCAGATCTAGGCCGTTAGTGAGAACGCGCGGCCTCAAGGCGGGGATTTGGTCTTCCTCTCATTTGCTGTTTGGGGCAGTTTTCTCTGTCCTCCATTGCGACAAACCGGTCTCTGTGACACTCTGATGCGAAATTGGCCTGTCCCGTAAGGGGGACATGTGGCATTTGTTGGCTTCTCTGGCTGAACCGCTGGTCACAGGACAGGATCAGGGTCACAGTTTGCTGGTGATTTGGTACCACAATTGTCACAAGCGAGTGTTTGACTCACATGCCATAAGCTGAACGCCCAGGCCGGTGCAAGAGCTGGATTTCCCACATGCAGGGCGCTGCCGACTGGGAGGCTGGGGTCAAGGCTGGCTAGAAGGTATGCTGCGCGCCATGAAGGAATTAGTCTCCAGAGGAGGAGCGGAAGAAAGACACTTTGAGAATGAGGATAAGGAGAGGTGCAACTCGCCCATGCAGACTTTGCGTTACATCCATGGTTCCTCACTTGATTATCTTAGGTACCGACCGTTCCGTTCCAAAGCCATTTCTTTTCATGATGGTTGGATTTGGATTACTTGTACTTTCCGCCTGTTGACTCGGGGTGGCTGGGTCGGTGTATGATGTAATCAAATCAAATCAAGCCAACTGGCATGCTGTTTTGTTGAAAATGACAACTAGAACTCATAGACCATTACATTCCTCAGCAACTCTTTCAGGCTTCATGCTGTGATGCTGCAGATTCAGCAAGATGCCATCAACTATCCAACGTCTGAAAATATTCCGCTACGCCAAATTCGATATTGATGCTCTCTGTTGCCTAGCCAGTCGCCTTCGCGGTGGAATTAGTTGTTTCTGTGATACATCCCAAGCTCCATTTAATGGCAGTCTGAACTGGGCGGTCTCTGTCTTCTTCGTTGATGGAGTGGAGTGGCTATTGAGATCACCACTAAATGAGAATGGTGCTATCTTGTGCCCTCAAACAAACTCTATGCTGCTGGAAAGCGAAGCTGTCACGATCAAATATATCAGAGCTCACAGTTCGATTCCTGTTCCTGAGATATTTGCGTACAGGTAAATAGAATGTCATAGCCCTGTGCTTATCGAACCAACGGCAAAAGCTGTTCCAAGGAGAATGAGATAGGAATCCCCTATATTTTAATGAGCAAAGCGCCTGGATATCCTCTACGACTACACTGGACACACATGTCTCCGGAAGGCAAGGCAAAGATTCTTCGCCAGCTTGGATCCATTACGTGGCAGTTATGCCAACTTAAGTTTGATCAGATCGGATCACTTTTCGAAGGCGCACACGATCCGGTCATCAAGACTTGTCTTACACGAGGGCTCCTGGTGCACGAGAGGCACACTCTTGATCTACCGCGCGGCCCTTTCGCCTCCGCTACCGACTTCTACAAAGCGTTGATTTCAGCATTCCAAGAGCATGCTAGCATCCTTCCTCTCAGCCCACGCTGCTTCTTTGCACCTTTACCGCTACCTGAGGAGTATGAGGACAACTCCCAATTCCAGCGTTCCCGCGATCGGTGGCATGATTTCGTCGCCCTAGGTTCCAAAATTGATGGCTCCGATAACCGGGCGGATTATACGATCGTAGGCGACCTACTTGCCGAGATGCGGTTAAAGTGGGTCAAGGACACATATTTTGAGGAGGATTCGTGTCGTTACTCACTCCATCATCCCGACATTAGCGTCAACAATATCTTTATTGACGAGGAATACAATATTACTTGCCTCATCGACTGGGCTTTCTGTTCTTCTCTGCCTCTATCAGTGGCAGTCACAGAACCTGGTCTTCCTCAATCACGACATGAGTTGTCGGAACAGCTTCGGGAGGAATTCAGGCAGGGCTTTCAAGAGACAGCTTATGTCATGTCACAGCAAGTTGATCTGAAAGAAAGGGCTCTCCTGTGCCGCATCCTACAACAGAGCCGGTCCATGTGGTTGCTTTCGCGTGTCCTCAACTTTGATGCGACTGTGGATTATCCCCTCTTAAACGACCTCTGGGCGATCGTCAATCCTAATAGGGGCCATCTTCTGATGGAGTTCAAAACAAGGCAGTCCTGGGATAAGTATATGGAGCTACATGCACTTTTGAAGGAAGATGATCATCCATTTGAAGTGGCAGAAAGGAATCATTTTGATCAGAGGTCTCAATTTGATTTGACAGTGGCAAAGAAGTTGACTCTGATCTCGCAATGGTCTTCACGATACAGTAAGCCAAGTTTTTCAGGGCTCAGGGCTGCAAGTGCCGCATTCATAGCCGACAAAACTTTGTGGAAATGGGTCGATCGATGTATCACGGACCTCCAGGAAAAGGTATAATAGAGCATTTTTGACCAATGAAACCAAGAGACTAGAACTTTCCATTCTTATGGTTTCCTCAGACGGAGGTATTCTGTACGAATATTCTCCTCATCCCCGGTCTCATCGTCAATAACCTAGAGTTGTTCAGTTTCCATGCAGAAGAGTCAGGGGACTTCCGCTTGACATACAACCGCTATTATGGTACTGGACATCTTGTTGCTGATGCTTCCTGTTCGCCATTCACTTTCTACAACAACATTAGTCTGGATCGAAGCGGAAAAAAGGTGCTGAAGGCACATACCACCTCGACAGGCAAAGTAAACTTTGTCTCCCGCAACATAGTATTCCTTCTTTTCAGAATCAGAAGGCGGTTCTGACAACAGGCCATTTTGTCTTGGGTCTCACCTCACTGATATGTTCACTGACTAATTCATCCACCTTTCAACCAGTTTCCCTCTTGAATAGAAGCTGGGGGAATTTTCATTCAACCCAGATGGTGCTTTGTTTCTGGATCTTGAAGTTCTTCAGTTGCCAATCAGCATAAACTTGGAAGTTATCAGCCACACATGCTGCAAGATGGACATTAATGTCAACACCCATAAATATGCAATGGCTTCATGACCCATGTTAGCAGGAGTACAACACAGGTCCTTTGATAAGATGACTGACTGGTCCCAGAAGCAGTGGACACAATTGATAGAAATAGTTGTGGTGTTGGCATACTTCTTGCCTGTGATCTGGAACTGAGTCACTCAAGCAGTATCTCTTGCGCAGTAATCATCTGGGGTGAGCCCATCACCTGCCTTTTTTCGGTTGTGTTGATTCTCCTTGCTGGGTTGGAGGAATTCCAAATCTGAGTCCACTGGGCCACCATGTTGTTATCTGTATCAAGAGATAGAGAAAGTAGCAAGAACAGAGAGAGAAACAATATAGATAGAATCTGCAGAGACAGAATAGAGCAGTGAGTGAGAGAATTTCAGAGAAGGAATTGCTTGAAATGAGCGGAAGTCATTTAATTTATGCATCGTGAAGAGCAGATGGAAAGAGAGTCCCAGGATAATTTCCATCCTGAGACAAGGATGGGTAGCTTGTTGGCTCCCCCATCATGGCAGCCATGTTAGCTGGACAAAATTTGCGAAAAGCATTGAGGTCGAAGAGGATGGATGTCGGATGGTGTTTTTTGATGTAAAGCGGCAAGAGGTTACAGGTCACGTGGTAAAATGAGAGCTTAAAACAGCGTCGAAAAAGGGCCCCTCTGAGTGGCTGCAACCCCATCAAGTAGCTTAACTAGGTGAACAACAAGCACAAGAGTTCATCCGCCATTTTCACGCCAAAGGGTTACATAATCAGCCGATGTGCCGGAAGATTTCGACTGCCCGATCAGGCGGCATCGGCGACATCGCCAACCCAACGCAGCCAGCGCAATCCGCCCCCGACACGCGAGTCTGTCCAGTTGCTCTGGCTGTACTCTAACCAGGCGGTCTACGTGCTTGTTTTGGTATTTGTCACTAACTGCTACCACGGCTCCTCTCAGAATCATCCTGCTTCCGTCTCTTGTGAGGAACGGAATAGCGCCCCGCGTTAAGCAGGTTGCAGCAATGGCCACTCAAGCCACTATCCAGCGACAGGCGGTCAAAGGGGCATGCGCAAAAGATACAAGAATATTACCGGTTCGGAGCCTTAACGTGCCGGGTCAAAGCATAGGGGATATCGAAAGGCGATGGGAGGCGGAAAAGGACCAAGGCAGTCCCGAAGCGCAGGCTCTTCTAGAGGCCGCAGAGGCCCTGCGTACAAGTGACACACCAGTCGCGTTCCCGACAGAGACAGTCTATGGCCTAGGAGCGGATGCGACGAGAAGCGCGGCCGTCCAGGGAATCTACAGAGCAAAGCAACGGCCGTCAGACAACCCCTTAATCGTCCATGTCAGCTCTAGGGAACAGCTCGAGCGTCTGCTCCGACCACCAGGATGCCCTACGTCAAATCAAAATAGTCTCCAAACTTCCTCCCTTATCCCACCTATATATGAACCACTAATAGAGCGATTTTGGCCCGGTCCTTTGACAATATTAATCCCGAATCCGAAGCATTCTCCGCTCGCTCCGGAGGTTACTTCCAATCTCTCCACTTTTGGTGTCCGGATGCCCTCCTCTTCTCTGGCCCGTCTACTTATTAAACTTGCCGACCGTCCACTAGCTGCCCCGTCTGCGAATGCCTCCACGAAACCATCCCCAACCACTGCCCAGCATGTATATGCAGACCTTCACGGACGCATTGATATCATTTTGGATGGGGGATCTTGTGGAGTGGGCGTGGAAAGCACCGTCGTCGATGGGTTGAATCACCCACCCGCAATCCTGCGGCCCGGTGGGGTTGGAATCGAAGAAATACGCGCATGCCGAGGCTGGGAAGATGTGCGCGTTGGGTATAAAGACGGTGCTTTGCCGGGTAAAATGACTCCCAGGGCTCCAGGAATGAAATATAGACATTATTCCCCGAGGGCCAAGGTCGTGTTGTTTGAAACTGGTCAGGAAATGCCATCGGTTGTGAGGCGAATACTCAATGAGCAATCACCCTCAAGCCCTCTAAAAATAGGCGTTATACGGACCAAAACTTGGCAGAAAGGCCTAACAATGCGCATCCAACAGGATCTAACGGCCCCCGTCAATGGACATTGTGATGCGGCTTCCTCATCTGACCTACATGATGATATCCCTTCGCCCTCCGTTTTTCCACTTCACCGGTTATCTGTCGTTCCTTCCAGCCCGGATTCGGGCTCTCCTCCATGCACAATTGATATGCTAGATGTCTTTCTCGGACATGATCTCCACTGTATCGCAAGAGGACTCTTCTCGGCTCTGCGCAGTCTGGACGAGAATGACGTTTCTACAATCTATGTCGAGGGCATTGCGGACACGGATGGAGATCTAGCAGCAGCAATCATGAATAGATTACGGAAGGCCGCTGAAGAGGAGATTAAAAGCTAATATCCATGCGAAACATAGATCTTTTTGAATTCACACGCTCTAAAGGCGGAGCGAAATAGTAAACGACTTTTACGATGTGCATGCTGGGATAGATAAAATGACAGTATATAATTTTTATAAACTGAGATTCTGAATCAGTCTTGACGGATGCGCCTTGTTTTTAATACATAGTACCACATTCATCGCTTCTTCCCTCCCTTCCCACCACCTTTTCCTCCTTTTCCGGAACCTCCACCGGCCTTTTTCCCCTTCCCTTTTCCATCATCGATATTTGAAACACTGCCTCCTGCTCCGGCAACGGACACAATCCTTACTTTGCCAATGGGCAGTGAGTTTATAATCTCCGCTTCTCTCCATCCTTTCAGCAGTTCTAATTCCACTGTTGTCAGGTTCGGTTGATCATTCTCCTTAGGTTTGGGCTCGTCGGGGCTTTCCTTCTCCTGATCTCCTGAGTTACTCCCTCCTGAGGTCGAAGTGGGCAGTCTCTTCGCCTTAACAACAGCAGAAGCGTCCACAATCCATTTTCCTAGTATTTCTTTCACTATTTTGCCCTTCCCAGTAGGCCCAGGTTGCAACTTGGCTCGGTATTTGTATTGTCCAAGCGCCGACCATGGCGCACAAACGGGTATAGCACTGATAATCTCATCCCCTAAAACTGGAGTGCCGACTAGCGCCGGCAAGCTTGATAAGTCCTCCACTACCTGCTCAGCATCGGCCATATCTAAGGCCTGATTCTGTCCTTCTGGTCGTTTCTGGAAGCTTTCCTGGCGTCGTCGCTCAGCCTGTGCCGCCTTATCATGCTGTGCCCTACGTCGTTCCTTTTGCGCTTGTATCTCCGCTTCTCTATCTTCTTTCGTCTTTTTCGGCGTGGTCGTTTTCGGCGTAGAACCAAGTAACCGAAGAGCTAATTCCCGGTCTTCTTCGTCTTGATCCTTGTATTTCGATGCAAGCTTCTTGGCCTTACCGCGTTTGCCGCGAACTGGCAGCTGGCTCTTTGATGTAGAGGTTGATTGAATAGACAGAGTCGGCGTTCCGGATGGCTTGAATGTTGACGGTGTTGACTGATTTTCCTCTTCATCTTCGTCTTCTTCGTCTAATCCTAGCTCAGGAAGGGCAGAGGCATGTAGCCCTGCACCCCTTTTCATTAATCTTCTCTCTTGTGCAGACACATGCTTCGTTGTAGCGCCAAAAGCAGCTAGTTGCTGTTGCAGGTCAGGATCCGATAGAGTATCTTTGTCCTCTCTAGACAAACCGGCTTCCCCCTGCGGCTCCTTCACCTGTGGCGCAATTCCCGTCTGTGCACTTTGTTCAACAGGGAGATCCCAAGTATTTTCTCTTGGTTTCTGCTCCATTCCCACTTTGCCGATTGAGCAGTTGTCAACCGCAGTATTCGGGCTTTCTTCCAATTTCTCCATTTCCGATGGTTCATGGGTACCATTCCGATGATCATTTTTAACGGTCATTTCGCTCGAAACAGGCTCCTCCAGACGGTGTCGCGTATGATTCCTTACGCTTTCCGGACTAATCTGGAACATCACTGCAAATCCAAGGATAAGCTGGCCGGGAGCTAAATGATTCTTCCCCCCGCGAATAACCACGCCGCCGGTTGCTAAATATTCTCCAGACGGAGTGGTTTTCGACACTTGATCAGCGTTTACCCACCAGGCTCCCATTAATGCTTTCGACTCCCAGGCGCGAGATGTGGCTACGGTAAACGTGCCAGCCTGTGCAAGCGTCCCCGGAGGTATGGGGGCATCAGAAGCTCCGGGTTTATTTTTCACAATCAGCGGTATTGCACCTTCCATATCCGCATGAACGTATACATCGCCTTTACGCAAGTGGCGGTGGTACAAGATTTCATTTTGCCGGTCATCCGAACCACTAGAGCGGGTTATTAACATGACAGAATCGATGCTGAAGTTCAAAACAATGGAAAACTCACCCAAGGACAAGATAGCCATCTGAAGATATGAAAAAGTAGAATTTTTCAAACCAGAATGGTATCCTTGCAGGCCTTAGTACCGGTTTCTCCTGCTTCAACCCCCGCTTAAGATCCGTAGTTAGCTTTTTCTCAGCGCTTTTGAGAGCTTGCTTGGAAGCTTTGATGGTCTTCTCCTCTTTTACGGCAGCCGTCTTCTTCTGGTCGTAGTATTGGCTTGCATTGGCCCATGGTGTTAGACCCAAGTCTATGTCGACACTGAGAACCTCGGGTCTTTGCGGCTTTGTCTTTGCTTCGCCATCATTCTCTTCATCTTCCTCGTCAGATTCCTCAGAGTCATCATCTTCCTCGTCTAACTGTCCCTCAGGCAACAATACTGTAACTGTATTTTCGTACAGCTTCAACGGGAGTTTTATCAATTTAGCAACTGGATTTTGCCGGCTCTGCTCCATTTCAATTAGACGGGCAATTTCAACCCAGTCCATTCCCTGGGCAATCAGGCCATTAACAGCATTCATAACCTCCTCCACTTTCCGCAAATTCGTCGCAATAGCTTCGGCTTTTCGAGTATGTATCTCTTGGACTTGTTGTAGAGCTCCAACCCTTTTCTCATGGTCTCTTTTTGTGGCTTCGAGCTTGCGCTTCATCGTCTCTTCTCGCTCCGTAAGCCTGGACTCGAGTTTCTGGGTTTCTACGGACGAATAGTACTCATCCACAGCTTTGTTAAAGCTGTCAAACGTCAATATACTAATGTCATTACCATCCGCAAACTGCCTAGGTGCAAATGGATGGTAATCGATGTAGTTTGATTTGTCCGGCTTTGCTTCTCCGCTGAAACTTGGGTTTTCTGATGGTTTATTTTCATTTCTCGCGACGATGTACCCTCTAGTTTGTTCCGTCGTAGATAACTCGTTTGAAACGCTCTCAACCTCCCGAAGAACACGCATTAAGTCATTCACCCTATCACCTGTCTCCAGAATCTGATCAGGTCGTAGGCTGGAATCGAAACCAGTAACATGCAGGGCATGCTCAAGGAGCACCGGCGGGTATTCAGGAAAACCAAGGGATAGCGCCCTCCTTAAAGCTTCTTCCTGCTTTTTTTTGGCCCTCTTATTGGCGGGTTCTGATATAGAAGCATCCCGCTCCTTTCCTTTTTGCAGTGCAGTTTTCAGTCGGTCCACGGACGGTGGGGGCACTCCCTCGTAGTTCTGTTTGTTATCCAGTCTGTACTTCAACCCAAGCCTGACTTCATCCTGGTCTTCGCCCTCGGGCACGATCCTCAGTAGTGCAACAATCTTATACTCGTTATCTGTCAAAATAATATTTCCGGATGCGAAGAACTCCAGGAATAAGTGGTAGTACCCATCGCTAAATTCAATATGAACGATTCTATCTGTGCCAATCTGAGAGACGGCAGTGATTCGACGGGATTTCAGGAATCCTCTTAGACGACTAACGAAGTGTGATGGTGCAGGTGCAGTTACGCGGGAGTACTCTGTGATGTGGCAGCGGAAGCCGGAGTCAACGATAAACTGTTTACGAACGTCGGGCTTCGCAATTTTGAAGAGGTAAGTGCGCTACAAGTAGGCTCATTAGCCGTTTAATATCTAGCATTGAGAGAGAAATCTTAGGGAGATATACCGAAGAGAGGTCATAAATGTTCGATACTCTCAGCCCGACGACAGCGGCGGAGAGTTCGCGGCATATGACCTGCGCGCCTTTAGCAATACAAGCCAGGCAAAAGAGAAGGGTAAAAAACTGTCAGGCACTACTCTACCTTAACATCTAGAGAGGAGAATCTCTGCTTCATTTTGTGTGTGGAGGTGGCCGAGTACGAAGCAGGCTCTCGCGGATGTGTTAGGCGCCAGTTGAACTTTCGAATGATTGTCAATTTATAATCGCACTTTTGGTCAAAACGGTGACGTAGGCGGGGGTAAGCGCGAATCCTGAAATACCTACCCGGTGCGTTGCAGTCGCTTTATGTAGATTTTACTAATAGCACTTGGTGTACGGAGTACGGAGCATGAGATATCAACTTATTATGGAGAACAGAGTCAGACGAAGGCAAAAGTCCAGGGGTATTATTAATCCCGATTTGACAGCCCCCCGACAACAAAGCGGTCTATATCAACAACAGAGATCCATACCAAAAAAAAAAAAAAAGGAAAAAAAAAAGGTCAGCATCATGAATGCATTCGATCTTCTTTGATCAATCCCATAGAAAAGCCGTTTACGCCATGCCCATGACAAATAGCAAACCGCTTGAGGCAATAACCCGAATATCTCGATAATAGAAACAATTACAGTCCCTGCCGTAATTGTTCCGCAAGGCGCCTCTTCCCAAACTCCCAAGCATTCAGTAAGCCCTGTTCCGAGAGATCGATGCTCTTCATATTCGGCGCATCTGGTGCTGGAGCTTTGCTAACACGCGAGGCTACCACAACCGGATCCGTCTCCAAAATAATACCGTCGTCCACAATCTCATCCACTGCAAGAGTAACAAGGTCGTAATTTTCTACAATAGTGCGTTTATCGGTAGAGCCACTAAACAAAATGAACTGGATTAGTCGCAAATTCGCGCCCCCAGATGGATTCTGAAGTAGGAAAGCGGCAAATTCTCACCCGAGCAATATCGCCAACGCATCCCTTAGCGAAACAACCACACTATACAGCAAAACTTCATTTTCCTCCGCTCCGCCAATAACATATATCATCACATCACTCTCCATCTTGAAAACAACCACCCTGTTGTCATACAGCACAATGTCGCTGGATTGCTTGTTCGTCTTTTCCATTAAACCCTTTTCAAAAGCTTTCTGGTCTTTCAGGGTAGGATACGGGTTTGCACCGGGATAATCGACGGAATTGGGTGGAATGCCGGCGGGGGGGTGTGGGGGAGAGTAGTACTTTGCGAAGATGCGCGACGAGTCGTCCGTCGACATTATGAGGATCGCATTGATAGAGAAGAGAGACAGGGGGGCCGGCATCTTGTCTAGCTGTGTGGGGAGTAATCTCGGCCCTCAATTGGTAAAACTTGCAATGATCGAGAATTATCTCACCTGGCTACAGAGCAACATGTCCGGGCGAACAAGCAACGTGGTTGATGCTAGTCACGTGAACGCTAACTTAGCCAACTAGCTAGTATCTTATCAGATCAGCTCCATTCGCTTGTGAGACCACCGCCGAGCTCAAAAACGCATCTCCGTCAATCACGGCCCAGCTCAAGCATTAAACCAACCACCCCCAAAACAAAAAACAACCAAGGCAAGAATTGTCCGGCTTGTCTGACTTTTCGCTTCTACTCACACCCAAACCTTTGCCGCACTAGGTTTCTACGATTCTTTCAAAGGTCTGATGAAGCCCCTCCAACTGCATACGCTCGTGGGAGTTCTTTTCTGTGTTCCTTCTTTAGATCTTCCAAACATTGCTGCAGCGTTCCCAGATGCTCTGCAAAGATATCTTCGTGTAGTTGTCCAACATTGCGATTGTTTCTCTGTTGATCTTGCAATGCGATGCTCTTGGCTGCGGCCTGGGAGAGCGGGTTACTGCTTGAACTTGCTTTCCCTAGGTCTCGCTCATTATTTGCCATATAGGAGTCGCTGCGATCGACGCCTGCTGCTTACATGGGAAATTCACTCGTGGCGGACGCTACGCTCCTACGAACGCCATGCCTTCCATCATACTCCTCGTCTAAATGGTGTTGCCGGGAGTTTAACTCATGAACGTAGCCGTCTCTCCATTCATCATATGCTCTCCCAAACCAAATACTCATCAGTCCGCCAATTGTCATACGGCGAAACTGGATAACGGTTATGTCCAGAAACCTGCCTGGCTGCTATATGCTCTCAGCCCCGCGGGTGTATAGCAATATGTCCGCGCCTTCCAGGATGGAAAAAAAAAAAAAAAGCCAGGCTCTCGGTGCGTGGTATGGTTGTACCAGATTCCCAAAGACGAGTCCCAGTAATTCATACTGAAATTCCTCATAATAACGTACCGAACAAGACCTATACCGAGGGGCGAGGATGCTGATTAGCGCTGTAAAAGGTCGTTCCACAGGTAAGAAAAAACATGTCATCATCCAGCGGCACTCAATCAATGTTTAGGCAACACGGAGTAGGAGCAATGCAAAAATCATTGCTTACAGTTGTCTTCTACTTCCGACAGAGCGGATTCAACTAGCCCAGTTGCTAGAAGGGTAAACCCCACGCCTTCGGAGGTTCACGGGGGATGTACGCAGCAGTTGTAAGCAAAATGAATTTTGTGGAAAGTTTGTATATTATAGTCCTAGATCAAGGGTATTCTTCAAGCTGGAAATGTAAACCAAAGGACTGTCAAAGTTGCAGAATATATATAAGTGGAGGATGGTATAAAACAGACATATGCGGGATACAAAACTTAGGAGCCTGAGAGACATTGTTTGCTGCCGAAGGTCACACCGGAAGCAAACCATGGTGTTAGTGCAAATACCAAACACATCGCAAGAAATCGTCTATAAAAGCGACTGTAGGACAAAACTCAATGGCGGTTAAGGCTTACACCTTGTCGCCGTTAGCCCCGTTGAGTCCAGATGCCCGTTTGCCGTAGAACGAGGGAACTTTATATCATCCGTGTAAGGTTCCAATAATGGATTCGTTTCACATAAGTAGGATGTTAAGATTAAAATATAAGCCAACGCAGACAGTTCCGTCACGCATTCCAAAAGATTAATAGAACGTATCGTAAATAAAATGGGATAGCATCCTCCGATAGATAGACATAATACCGGGGCATAAGTGGGTAGAATCTCGACGATCAAACACTCAAAAAGGAATTTGGGTATCTACCGGTTTAACTGGTCGTCGTGTTGGTAGAATCAACGGAGTTTGAAGCTGGGCGGTTGAACCAGGAAATCCAGCTTGCTCGATTGGCCTTCTTTCGGGCCGCTTCTTCATCGTCTGGAGACTTGCCGCCTTGGTCTCCGCTGTCTAATTCTTGGTTCTCCTGCACGAGTCTAAGAGGGCGCAGTTTACTTTGTGTCATCACAGCTCCAGTATAGTTGTTCATGCCAGAACTATGTCGAGGTGGAGAGGACGACGTTCCTTGAGAACCGATTTCGCCGCTGCGATCGCTCATCACACTGTCTCGCTCCCCGCCTCTGCTCGACATTGAAGCTCCCTGTCCCGAGTTTCGCTTCGAAGTAAAAGAGCCAGAAAAGAACGGACCTTGTGACAACGTTGGGCTGATGCCTGGACTCATAGGACCAGAGGGGGGAGACCGCCCAGCGGGCCCACGATACATCTGACCGACAACGTTGGCTGCAGCTACCCCGTCAGCTTGGTCGGACCTTGTTCTGCGGTGCTGAACTGTTCTAGAGCGGTTCAGGGGGATCCTTGGAGCGGTTTCTGGGTTTTCATGGGGTGTGGGATGCGAGGTCGCAGGAGCTTCTTGGGAGGTGGTAGAGTGCATCAGTTGGCTGACAGGTCGAGGCTTTGGCCGCGTCGATTGTCCGGCCATTACCGACTTGGCACGTTGGAGGAAGGTCGGGGCAGTAGCTTCGTTCCTTTCTGAGGGAGGTGGTGGTAACTCCTTATCCAACTTTGCAGGTCTGGCTGGGGGATTACCGGGGACATCGTTGTCGCTCTTGTCTAAGATATGTTCAAATCCTTCGTGTTGCAACAGACGACCAATGATTCTTTCGATGTACAAGCTCAAGGCCTTGTTGTGATCTACCTGGGTCTTCAGTTCAGCTTCCAGGCGACGTCGCGACTCCGCTTCACCTCCTTCTGCGGCTGACTCGAGTTCATCGGCTAGGGAGCCGGATCCAGTCGCGTTGATCTCGTTGTCAGCAGAAGCTTGGTGCATAAAATCTCCCTTGGTAAAATCTCCATTCAGGGTCTTTTCGCTCAAGAGTAACTGGTAACTCTCGTTGTCTTCCATCAAGCGAGCATTGGCCATGCGGGCCTCGAGGAGTTCGCGCTCCAGTTCCTGCTGACGGCCACCACCCATGTTTTCCATCTCGATTAATTTGATCTGCGCTTCTGCTAGCTCAAGTCTCAAGGACTCGATTAGCTTATCCTTTTGCAGAATTAATTTCGAGTTGTTCCGTGACGGGCTGCGTTGTAGCTGTGACGATGGGGCGAACTGGCCATTCTCGACATCTTGAGAGGAGCGGTTCCGGAAAGAGGCTAGACTAAAATCAGCAAACAAAATTATTTTTGGATTCGTGCTATGGGAATCTCACGAGATCGAGATAGATTGCGATCATTCTCCACATTCATCCGCAAATCCTTCTGCGAAATTGTTTCTTTCAGGCGCTGAATGGTGGACTGGAGCTCTTCTTCCCTGGCGGCATGAGCTTCCTTGTCCTTCATCATAGCAGTCCGCTCCGTCTCATATGCCTGTTCCATTTCACGCAGCTGGCGCGACAGCTCTTTAACCTCATCATGTAGGGAATTGATTTTGCCATCCTTTTCATGCGCCTGTTCCTCGAGACGTGTCTGTTCTCCAACCGCGTCATCTAGTCGCATTTGCAGAACCCCAAGTTGCTTGCGATACTGATCAGAGACAGTTTCAGCCTTTTGCACCTGTTGTCTGAGTTCGCCGATAAGCGTCGAGTTTGCGGCTTTCGCATCATCGTCGGGAGCATTATTAGGGTTCATAAAGTTTCTCGGAACACTGCTCATGCTTAGGTTGGAGCGGCCGGGCGGCCTTCTTGCAGCTGCGCGAGCAGAAACGGGCGCAGGAGATTGTCTTGTGGACGACGACCTTCCAAGACTGTTGGGCGATCCATTGGGCGACGAATGGTGATTGTCACTCGAAATACGGCGAACTCCGTGGGACGACGTCGGGTTAGATTGCTTTTTTAAAGAGCTCGCCATAGCGCAACAGCCACCGGCAGGAGATGTATGAAAATCTTTGGTTTCAACTCGGTTGCTGAGACTCTGTTTATGAACTGGATCGCACTGGACTGTTAGATGTCACTAGTGCAATTCCTGGAGAAAATGTTCCCCGTTGCTGGGGTTTCGCGAAATCTGGCGACGGGGGCGTGGTGCATGTGCATGCGGTAGTCGGTGAGGATTCTTAAGTGGTGAACGAAGACGATTAGGGTAACGCACAGTCTCAACAATAGATGCTCTTTTAAAGAGAAGCCAAATCAAGGCAAACGGCCGACACGAACTTTTGAACGGTCGACTGTCGGCTTGACATGTCAGCTCCTTATTGCTCATTAAAGTTGTTGGTAACATTACGGGACTCTCCCAGACTTTAGCGTGGTTTCAAGTGCTTACCCTGTACTGACGTGAATTACACGCATACATGGAGGCCCTCGCCCGTTTTAAAATACATGACGCTCACTTCTCACTGACAGCCTCGTCACATGCACGACCGCAGGTGGATGGGCATCGCCGCATCCGTCACTGGCAGAAGAACACGAGGGTGGCAGACTCTATTTTCGTGGACACTTCTCTTCTTCTCCTTTCTCTTTGGCGAGCGTGGCATTGCCGCTCCCGAGATGTGCCCAAGGAGCCCCAATCGCCGCTTTGCTTCAGCTTCAAGAATGAGGTTGAAACTGTCTCATCTATGTCTGCTGTCCATGGCTGTTGATGGAAGAGCTCTTCAGCCATTCTGCTTCAACCCCAATGGGAGGTAGCCCCGCAGGAGAGTGGCCAGATGGCGGGAGCACCAGCCCCGGGAAAAGAAACGCCCTTGGAGTGTTTGAAATATGCCGTCAAAGGTGCCTCGCGGGGCGTCTGAGATTTCTTGGGCACAACAACCCCATTCTTGGGGCAGTACAGCCAAACAAGGACAGTATGAACTTCTCCTGGGCCGGGGACCTCTTCTTGATATAGACGCAACACGGACTCGAATAGACCCAATAACCTGCTTCCAGTTCGGTTCCCCCCTAGCCCTGCCATCGCAAACGGCTCCCAGCTCAAACCTGCAGGCCTGGCCCAATCTAATGATACACACCATCCGGAACAGCATGTACGAGGTTACCTCCCACTTATGCGATTTGAAGAGTTGATATATGCGAGTGGATATGGATAATGCTTTTGACAGAAGAAACTCAATCCGTGGCTCATTCTTGCTGGCACTCAAAATTGCGGGCCGCAGAAACAACCCAGCTGTCACCGTCCATTGATACATTTGGATTCTTGCTCACTGGAAAACCTCCCATATCTCCATTTTGGAGGGTGCATCGAATGGCATCACGCTAGAGTCTATCTGCCCGTGAAGCCACTCGAGGAAAGGACTTCAGTGGCTGAGGAATAGGACAAGATAACGAAGCTAGGAGAGCAATTGGAGAAGTTCTGCGTAAGAGCGTCAATCATAGCAGCTTTCTAAGCCCCCATACTTCAGGAGAAACGCCCAGGATACGTATCAAGAACCCGATAGCAACCAGAACTGAAAACATTGTACCGGAGGGATGTCTTAAGGGGCAGGGATCCCTTGCTTGTATAAAATTTTTTATAACCGGTCCATTAATGAGGGCCCAAACAGTGTCTACTATGAGCCAGGGTTGGTGGTATAAATACTGATGCGGCCATCCCAGAATAAAAATCCAATTGGAAAGGAGATAATAACTTGCTTTGGCCAGGTTCGCTTGAAATGCCGGAAACCTGCGTTGGAAACATCCCAACTTAAACAAAGCAGATCAACATTAATTGCTGATCACTGAAGTAGCTCTCCTGCCCCTGATTCCGAACCTGACGAGGGACAAGGAAGAGGTACAACGCCAAAAATTCTAGAAGCATGAGGCTTGACAGAATGAATTTTGTTCCCGACTTTGCAATTGTATGCAAACACAGCGCTATGTAGGACATTGAATCAGGGGGTCAGACCAGTGCATTGAAAAAGCCCATCGATGCTCTAAGGGGCTATGTTCTGGGGCTCTGTGTTGATGTAACTCAGTCTCTTGAGTGCGTTTCTCACCAAGCCTTAAGTGTCCTCAGGCCAACTGCGGTGCTGACCACAAAACTCTGGCTGTTGGATTTTAGTGGTGGCTATTATTGGCAACGAACCGGAATCCAAATACGTGTACGGAGTACTCCGTAGAGTGCAAATACATTGTCAGTGGCAACAATGAAATTTCATGATTTCGGTCATCTGTTTCGGCATAACATGTTCACAGGGACTGAGAAACAACCTTGTAATTCAGACCTTGTCAGTCGGGTTTAAGCCCTTAGGACCAGTCATCCAGAAAGGCGTTTTAACACCATTGTTGGATTCACACTGCTTTTTGCCCCAGCCGCTCCACATAGTTGAAGCCAGATAATTCTTTTGGGACTCCCCTCTGTTGTACAGGCATAGCCGGTAGAATCAGGTGGCTTAGAAAGAACACCTGCTCCCAACAAGCTGCAGAAGGCTGCGTGGTTCGGTCACAGCAAGTTATCTGTTTGCACAATGGAAATGTAGCGATTCCCTCGATCAGGCCGAGCTCCCAATCTATAAATAGACAATTATCATCGCGCCCTCCATTCCCACGGCTTGACGCTGCCGAACCTTCAAGCAGCCATGACAAATCGGCGCGCAGTTTGATGTCAAGACAAAGCGGTGCATTAGTAATCAACAAGTGGGTGGCGGCCCAATCGGGAAGTTAGGGCACAGGGTTCCGCCACAACACGCAGAGTCGCTAGTGGAGAATGATTGGAAATCAAAAGACCCGAGATTTAATTCCTTTGACGACGACGGCGACGACGACGTGTGTGTGATCTTTCGCGCCGACAACTCCCACACACCCCCTTTCCATCCAGCAATCTCGTTATCTGTTCGTTCGCAGGAAGTGCAGGTTTCTTCGACCAGAATCAGCAAAAATGGCCCGTCGTCCAGCGAGATGTTATCGCTACTGCAAGAACAAGGTTGGTGTGGCCCGGTTTTCCCAGCGACGAGAGCGGTGCTTTGTGTTTTGTTGCCAGGGTATTCTTTGGAAGATTCTACAATTGTCGTGGATGATAGAGTCTTCTTTTTGGTGGGATGGGATGGTGGTAGATGGGATTTTGAAGAATGATGCCATGGGGGAGTTCTTGATGATAAGAGAGCTAACAAATCGACTTTTGCTTTGATAGCCATACCCAAAGTCCCGGTTCAACCGTGGTGTGCCAGACCCCAAGATCAAGATCTTTGATCTTGGTCGTAAGAAGGCCAACACCGATGATTTCCCTCTCTGCGTGCACATGGTCTCCAATGAATACGAACAGCTCAGCTCCGAGGCTCTCGAAGCTGCCCGTATCTGCGCCAACAAGTAAGACACACACCCGATTACTCTCAGCTATCCCGATCAAAGTCACTGACATTTAAACCTCTTACCAAAAGATACCTAGTCAAGATCTGCGGTAAGGAAGGTTTCCATCTCCGCGTCCGCGCCCACCCCTTCCACGTCGTCCGCATCAACAAGATGTTGTCGTGCGCTGGTGCCGATAGATTGCAAACCGGTATGCGTGGTGCTTTCGGCAAGCCCTACGGTGTCGTTGCCCGCGTGAACATCGGCCAGATCCTCCTCAGCGTTCGCACCCGTGACTCCAACCGCGCCGCTGCCATCGAGGCCCTCCGTCGCTCCATGTACAAGTTCCCCGGTCGCCAGAAGATCATTGTTAGCAAGAACTGGGGTTTCACTCCTCTCCGCCGCGAGGAATACGTTCAGCTCCGCAAGGAGGGTAAGGTCAAGATTGATGGTGCTTATGTGCAGTTCCTGAGAAACAAGGGCAATATCGAGGAGAACATGAGACGGTTCCCTGATGCTTATGAGAATTTATCTCAGGCGTAAAGGTTCTCTTTTTTGTTTAATGAAAGGAAATTATCAATTGGGGACAGCGGAACCAGCTGATTTGATGGATTGTTTTTTATTCTGAGATGATATCAGTGCGTTATGATGCCATCAATTCAAGTTCGGTTTTTGCATCCTCAAAAAACCAATACGAAATGATTTTCCACGTCTTGGTAATATGATGGCTAAGTATGAAGTAATGTGCCTGCCTCTGTATGCTTCTGGCTTTGGTAGCAGGGCTTTTGCGGCCATTAAAAGCCCATACTCGCCAGGGGAATGGAAACATTAAGGTTACGAAGAGGAAAAATCGGCCAGATCTATAGGAGCGAGGCTGGTGCTATTTCAACAGATTGGAGATCCCTGGACGAAAAGTACATGATGGGGGGAAGCTTTAGGTGGGTTTCAAAATATATCAAAATAGCAACTGCAGTAGCTGCCTATACAAAAGGCAGCATCCATCTCTAGATTTATTAGGTGTATTTTCTGAGCTCAATGTTGGGCCACCCACATCCAAGAACCCAAATATCATCGCTCGTGGTCTATCGGCCACTGCCATGTCACATCGTAATCAAAAGAGGGCATAATAACAATACAAACAGTCCCAAGAAGATGCGCTTGAGATCAAACATCTCCCCAGCTTCCCATCCCACTAGCACCACCGACGGTCACAATAGCACTCCCGCTGCCTACACTACCACCGATATCCCAATAATGTCTGCTAGACCCGCTCCCGAGCGGGCCTTTTGTGGAAGAAACAAGAGTGCTCTGGCTAGCACAGCTTGAGCTAGGGCGACGAAAATGCCGAAAGAGAATTGGCGTGGATGAAGAGCTGGCATGATGAGAAGTAGTAGCAGGGGTATCAATCCTGCTAGCACGAAGACCAGTGCCGGAAGAACTGGTCTGCCAGTGTCTTAGAGGTGGTCGATTCGAACGAGCATGTGCGTCTGCTCGTGCCACTAGGGGATGATGATGTCTTATTATAGCTGCGCGATTAGATGCACCGTGGTCTCCCTGTCCATTTGGGGATAGAGGTTTGGGAGTGCTAGTGCCGTCATTCGAGAAGGGGACCTTGCCAGCAAGACCTTTGCAAAGGTAGCGAAATACCTCTCCGATGTCTAGCTCGCGCTCCCAATACTCGATGTCTTGCTCTGGTTGTGGAAAAGGTGGTCTCAAGTGTCCTGCCAAATTATTATTCGTAGATGGTCGTATTTCGTTGGCTGAGAGAGACTCTTCCTCCTCGATGCCCCATAGAGAAGCGTGATTGGGCCCGGTATTGTCCTGAAGGGTTGGATTAAAGATTGGAGATATTTCTGAAGTACCATTATTACCACTACCGTAGGATGCGGCCCTCGATGGAATAGGTCTCCGTTGAGAAGGTAATGATGACGCTCTGGAGGCCAGTTTGCCAGCAAAATCACTGGACGTCGATGAACCTGGTCTTACATATGTCGTGAAAGCGCCGGGGTGTTCGCAAAGTTGATGGACCAAGATACCCAGCTCTCTCGCAATGCGGTCCAAAAGTCTTTGTTGCCAGATATTGTCACCTGACGAAGTTGAGGTCGCATTCTTCAACATATCATCAAGGACCTTGGGCCTTTCGCTCTCTACCCGAATGCTAGATTTCGAAGCGGCGGCTGTTGATTCGCTTTGCTGGTTATGCGGGTCTTCAGATTGCCGTTGCTTGTTTTCTTCTTCGGAGCCTTCAGCAAGAGCTTCACCGAAGATTACAGCAAGTATGGAATTATCAATACCAATTAAATCTCGAATCACCTTACGTGTGATCCGTCTCCAGAACGATTCTTCCTCTTCGGAGCCTTTCTGAGATCCTTCAGGAGAAGGGCGCGGAGTAGCTTCATCAGCAACAGGCTGGATTTCCGGGGTGCTCTCGACAGCAACGCTCGAAGGCTGCCGAGCAGAGCCTTGGGTAGCACGACTCAACCGGTTCGCCCGACTATATCGTCTTCGTCTTGTTTCCCTTTCTATTTCCTGCAACAGTGCCCTACTCTGCTCCATACGCCATTGCTCGATGCGTTGCCATCTCTCCCTTTCCATATCCTGATTTTCCACTTCATCAACAGAGTCCAGATGTCGCTGGACACTTGATCTCCGCCGGGGCCTTGTTTCCCCTCTTCTTCGAGGGTTAAACTGCTCATGCTGCCACAACTGCTCTTGAACATGTAAGTTCACTGCGGTAAAAGTTCCAAGACCATCGTGTGTAGGGAGCAGCGCGGGGTCACTGTGGTGTAATTGTGGCTCATCTGTTGCGGGCTCACAGGCAGTAGGTTCGCGAAAAGCGTGTAGCCCATCGTCAAGACTATCTAGCTCAGTGCCATCTTCATCCAGCAAGTCATCGTGTTCTGCATCCAGATCACCATCTACAGTACCAGAGTGCAATGCGGTACCTAGGGAACCGAAATCACTCAATCGAGATCGACCGGTTGTACGAGGAGTTCGGTCTGTAGACGTGGTATGCGTACGGGTTGTCGTCGAAGGAGCAAGCTCTGGAGAAAAGAGCACCCATTCTTGGGATTCCTCCTCACGTGGGTTGTGGTTTGAGGGGGTGACATTGATGGCGGGGGGCGCAGGACGAGGAGAGACATTCTGGAAAGAGGGCTGTCTCTGACGGACTTGGTTGGGAACGCGAAAGGCCATGGTAGACTCGTGGAGGATGTGAAAGGGAGAAAACCTCAGGAAGAATGAAAGAGGTCAGAGAGAAAAGAATGAGGTGAGAAACGCGATTTGCTTCGCAGGCTGGCGGTGTAGTTAGTTGACCAACTCACCACAGCACAGTGACGCAAACACAAGAGACCAGGTGGCTAAACTCTAGGAGAGGAACATCCAGGGCATGGTTTATATATTTCAGTGGTCATAGCAATAGAGAAAGGGACCTTTAGGCCATTTTTATGAGAAGGGATCAGTCATGCATCCAGCCATTCGTGGGCTGTGAAGTGGTTACTTTTGCGCTGTGATCAGGGATCTGATGATCAACGTTCCCCCCAATCAAGAGGAGAGTGACCAGGTGGCCGGCAAGATGAAACAGGAAGACTTCCTCACCACAATTACAACACACACGCCAGTTTTTAAACAGACTAAAACTGAAAAGAAGCTACTGAATAAATGAGGTCCTTAAATCTGTTTCCGTACAGTCTGTTTGGTCGTGTCATATCCACCCATCACGCTTGTTGTCAGGTTACGCTGGTGGGCAGGCTGTTGTGATGTCAGACAAGACCCGTCCCGTTATCACCCGCTGAACTTAATCACGGCCATCTCCACCACCATGTCGCAGTGATATCAGATTTCATGGCCCGGGGCCTTGATAACGTGTGGCAGTGCCACCTTCGCTCTTACAGTCCGGTAGGTATGGTTGAGAGGATAAGACTAGCGTTGACTGACTTGCTACGGAGTACTATTGGGGTTACTCTCTCCTGTTATCAAACAATGTGGAGTTGGAATCGTATCCCCAAAGCCAAAACGCCACACAGTGCCGCGAATCGAATCACCACTTCTGGCCCAAATGGCACAGACCGGGGAAGAGCAAGCCTTGACGACTGTCGATATTCGATCGCTGTGGATCGATATGCGGGGTCTGTGCACCTCGACAGGTTGGAGACGCAGTAACCATGCGTGAGCACAGTTTTATTTTCACAAGGAACCCCTCTCATTCTTCCCCACAGTCCTGTTCCTGCTGATGCTATTATGGAATATCGAGGATTGAATATCCCTCTATATAAAAACTCCACCTACGAACTTGCCAGTGCCTCGCCAATCCAGTTCATCTGCACAGCACTCACTCCACGGGCGTAGCTCCTGTTCGTAAACACATATTCATTGTACATTATTGCTTCGACCTTTCTCCCAAATAGAACGCTGGATGGATGAATGGCGACGGTTTGGTTCCCAACAATGGTCCTGTAACTTCCATCTGGGAAGAGTCTTGCCGTATTACACGCAAATCCGGCAAGGAAGCTCCTCAGAATTAAAACGGGATCATAACTATCGCCAGGAACTGGATTTATGGATAAATTCCGGGCTTCCTCATCGCCTCCTTGTTTGGCATCGAAAAGTTTGGCTTGCTTGCATTGAGTAATAAGCTGCTTGCGGACATCCTAGTTCGATGACTTGGTTTAGCATGACCACATTTGACGTTTTGTCAGGCTGGATTTGATGGTACTGGTCGAAAAGAAAATCAAGAAGAACTTATACATACCATAACAGCTTGCATAGCACGGTGCGACACCATATGCCTCTCCGCCCATGCTTTACGATCAGAGTTTTCTGCCGAATAAGCACGAACGGTTACCAGCATTGTCAGATGATCTCCCTCTCTGCGGTAGAGATCTCGGCGAGCCTTCTCGGCTTCTTCCTTTTTTTCCTCAGATGTCGTACCCAGGAAGATGTTCTCCACGCTCAAACACGAAATGATGTCAATGACATCTCGCAAGCAATTTTCTCCGTGATCTGCTGCAGCAAGCAAAACTCGCCCAAGCGGGGCAGTGAGAGGAAGTTTGGCAATCTGCCTTCCAATCGCACTGATCTTGCCGGTCCCCGCTAGTGCTTGGATGTTAAATAATTGCAGCAGGGCCTTTTCGATGGCATCTCGTGGAGGAGGTGTAAGGAAAGGAAAGCCCACAATGTCATCAACACCTCTTGCTTTCATAGTTAGAATCGCTTGACTCAGGTCAGTTCGTAATATTTCTGGAGTATTGGTTTCTTGTAGCGCCAAGTAATCCTTCTCAGTGTAGAGTCTATAACATTGACCTGGTGCCTCTCGACCAGCACGACCTTTCCGCTGGATGGCTGCAGACTTTGATATCGGCTTCACGAGGAGTGAATCCAGACCCAATCGAGTTCGGAACTGTTTCATCTTGGCCTTCCCACAATCAATGACATATCTAACTCCCGGCACAGTGACAGACGTTTCCGCAATATTTGTAGCTAGAATTATTTTTCTCTTTCTGGGTGGTGTGGGCAGGAACACACGCTGCTGCGCGGCCTGAGGTAATGCAGCAAATAACGGGACAACCAGCACCTTCGGCAGGGCTGGATCCATGCCGTGTGCATAGTCATTGACCATATATTCAAGGGACTCGACCGTCTCTTGCCCAGTAAGGAAGACGAGAATATCACCAGGTAGCGGCTCCTTGTAATGAATTTGAAATATTGTCTTCAAAGCGGCATCGACGAAATCGGGGACAGGCTCTGGAGAATAAATAGTTGTTACCGGAAACATTCTCCCTTTTATATGACACACAGCTGGCTCCATATGCACTCTTTTGACAGTTTCGGCTGGAGTATCTCCGTAGTCGCCATTCAGCTCCGCGTCCGAGCTTCCATTCCCTCCATTTGTATCATTGTCTCTTGCAACACCATCTCCAGAGCCTCGAATGAATCCCTCCTTAAAGAAAGCAAGTAAACTCTCCATATCAGCTGTAGCACTCATTACGACGACTCTCAACGGCACACCGCCTCTTCCCTCCTTCGTTCCAGAAACCAGATTTCTTAGGAACCCCAGTAGGAGGTCCACATTGACACCTCGCTCATGAACTTCATCGACCACAACAACACTATACTTAGTCAACCACGGGTCGCTCAACATCTCCTGCAACAACATCCCATCGGTCAAGAACTTCACTTTCGTGCTCGGGGACGTCGACGTGTCAAATCTCACAGAGTAGCCCACTTTGCTGGCTGGTGACGAATTTCCCAACGGCGTCCCCATTTCTTCCGCTACCCTCCTCGCCAAAGAGACTGCAGCGACACGTCTTGGCTGTGTGATGGCAACACAACCCCCAACCTCCACTTTAGCCCGTTTACCACCGCTCGGCGACGGGGAGCGAACCTTGACCGTCTTCGCACAGCACCATTCCTCATCAACAAGAAACTGCGGAACTTGAGTACTCTTTCCGCTACCAGTTTCACCAATCAACAGCATCACATCTGTCCGGCGAAGGTGTTGACGGATCTCTTCTGCATGCGCAAATATCGGCAACCGTTTCCGTACTTCAAACAGCACTTTGGCTTTTTCCTTTAGGGATTGATGTCGCTTTCCCTTTTCACCAACATTGAGGGATGGTTTGGATATCCCACGTTGAGAGTTCTTTGTGGAGCTGCGGCCTTGATCCCCGGGTTGGTTCCCAGTTGACGTAGAATTGGGCCGATTCCCATCGCCCTGGAGAATGACTCGCTTGGCTGAATGATTTCCCTTTCCAGAGCCATCAACACTGTCATCCCATTTCCGCTTCTTGATTTTCTTCGGATATAACGCCGGATCTCTACTCTTGCTTGCCTTTTCGCTTTCCAACGCCATGATTGAATCAATGCACCGATCCCACACGACGCATAGAAAGAGCAATTTAGAATCTAAATCATGATAACCCCAAGACGATGAAGAAAAGCCAACAGCAAGCAATTCAAAAAGAAATGCAGCCCGGAAAATAATCTGTAATGTTACAGTTGCCCGCTCTCTGGTCTCGTTGCGTGGGATAAGATTTTTCGTGCTTCTGCTTGTGGTAAATTATCTTGTAATTACAATACAGACAACCTCACGGAGTGCTTCTGTTGGCATTAAGGTTATCAATTTTGGCGGCCTTTTCGGGCCGTCGATGACCCGCTCTCGCCGTGAGGTCAGTTTGTTTGCCGAGCGCCGGCCTGAAGCTAGATCCCTGAGATGCTGAGGGGTGAAAAGGAGAAGATCGCTGCATTTTCATATTTCATTCTACCCTGCGGAGTAGTTTCATCTCATGTCCGTCTTGGACCTGCAAAAGATACAACAAGCACATTGCTTTGCCAACAAAGAAAAGCCCTAGATACAGATACAAAATATTGCAAAGTTCTTAACCCTTATTCGGCATCCAGTGGAGCCACTGGAGGCTGGTCATTGACCTGGATACCACCCCGCTTCTTCTCGTCACTATCCCAGAATGGGATCTTCCAGCCTCCTTCGCTCTCTGGTGTGGCCAGCCACAGTCTCATGAGATGTCTGCGGGGTGCTGGTGGCGGGTAGTCCTTGTATGCGGTGCGCGCGTGAAGGACGTGTGAGTTTGCGAGGAATTGGATATCCCCAACATCGAGGATCATGTGGAGCGAGAGTCTCAAGCATGTCTCCTCAAGGACATCCATGGCCTCAAGCTGGGCGGGTGAGAGTGGAGGAATGATTCCTTCATCGGAGAATCTGGTTAGGGAGCGAACGTAGTATGGATCCCACCTTTTACGCAAGACGTCAGTCACCATGCTATAAAAGTTCGTTAGGGAGAGGTTCGATAGCTTACTTTGTGTAAACCCGGCCTTGCCCTCCGTTTTCAACATACATCACGCTGGCTCTGATGTATTCTTCTTGGCCGACGCTGGTCTCGCCCTTTCGGTCAACATACCAGATTGGCTGGGTGAGAGTTTCGAGAACGTCCGGGCGTTCCTTTGCGAGAACATTATAGACATGGTGCGATGAAATGAGATCAGATTCCCCTCCTTCGAGAGCTTTTGCAATGCAAAGCAAGCCGACAACGTCTCCATCATCGGTATGGAAGAATTGACTTCTCAAGGGATTAGTCGCGGCCATCTCAACTTGTTACTCAGGTTCACCTACCGAGCATTGGTTCTGTAAATGCGCACTTTGTCGATCTTCCCTGAATCTTCTCCAAGGTCCTTAACATGTCCAAGGACATGTCCCCTCCCGTTTTGGCTGACGAAGTATCCCAGGTAAGTTCCAATCCCCATATAAGCCACAGCAGATTTGTGGTTTCCCCATTCCTGAACTGGAAGTCCCTTGAAAAGAATGAAACCCTTTCCATCGAGAAGATCATCCTTGAGGTTGTTCAGGAAAGCCGAGAAAGTGGGGAGAGGAAACAAGGCCTAAAACAATACCATAGCAATTGGCATACGGTTCTCATTGAGTTGAATGTTGTGGTGATCGGCCTGGAACTCACCTTGGTAATTCCCGTCAAGGGAATCCCTGCGGCAATGAACGAATCCGCAGCATGGCTCAATTCCGCGATTTCTTCTTCAGTAAACCAATGTGTCCATTTCTCAGGGCAGTCTTTATAGTCTTCTGCCTTCCAGGCAGTTGGCCCCGTTATCTCCTTTGGGAACTCTGAGAATGGCTTCAGTTGGTCATAGAGAGGTGGGTGCTGCCCCGTGGTCTTGAGGCCGTCGGGGAACAAGTCCAACGGCACGCTGGGCTTCTCGGGCTGACGACCGACGGGAGCAGTCTCGTAGACAACTGGAGACATTTTTGTAGGGTACTTAGATGACAAACAGAGTAGCTCGGATGAATTGGTTTCAAAAGCTCAGAGTGTCCGGGAATTCGTGGTTGTCCATGAATTGAGGGTTGACGACCGGGTGGTAGGACAGTTGGCTCATATATACTCTGGACCGTCAGCTTCAAAACAAAGGACGGAATCTCCTCCGCACTTCCCACTCCTGAAAATCTGGGGCGCAGAAGGTGGTGATCAGGGCCTGCATAAGATTAGTCTAGAAGTCGATCCCCATGTAACGCTTGATGCCAAATCCACATCAAGGTAAAGATGAGCCTCCCCGGCCTTCATCGGCACCAGATCAGGTTAAGATAAGATTTTAATTTTCAAATTGATGCGACATAGGTAGGGATGAGGTACCTGGTACCCATGAGCGCGGAATGGTGACCAAGCCGGCACCGCACCTCAATTCAAGATACCACTCGGCCTGAAGAGTGCAGTTTGGTGGTTCATGGCGATCAATCGCAGGATGAGAAACACTGGCAATCTCGGTGCTCTCTCTAGCATGCATTCTGGATTGACTGGTGCGTATTTAGCGCATCCATCCGCCCGCAACGCTTGTACTGCTACTCAGGCTACCCTTGACGCCACAGCTATGTCGGTGAGCCCTGGGTCGTCTCGGCCATGGGTGGATGAGACAAATTAAGTGGGCGGGAAACGCCGAAGAAGGTCCTGGTCAAGGGAGGCAAGTTCGATAACGGCACTCTTCGAGCAAAACGCCGAAGTCTAAAGGCCCGAGGCATGAATAGGCGGTAGTGGTGTCGTAGTCGATGGTGGAGAAGGCTCAGCCGACAGTGCCATGTCGTCAACTACACATCCGTTGGCGTCATTTGCGGTGGTTCGCGACTGAGACGGCTCATCGGGCTTGATGTTCATTATCTCTACTGAGTCTGGCACGTCCAGAATTTACGTGGAAACCTTTTGTCGGGCATTTATCGCAGGAGGGCATGTGTTGTATATCTGAATAAGCATTTCAATCGGATATCATCGCTTGAAGAGTGTTAAAAATCTACATTAAGTATGATCTGTCGGCAATTGCCAACTTGGAATCACAAAGAAACACCAAGCCAGGTAATAATGTACGAACCATTCCGCATGAAGCGCAAAGACAATACCTAGAAGGTCAAAGACCACATCCCATAAATGCCCATTGAAAATATAGCTTCAACATAATAGGCTCAAATCGCCGGCTGACGCGCACTGGTCCTGTACATCGGGGACAGAGCTCAAGCCATCGGCAACTCCTCACATCGACACTGTTCACGGTTCTCCTGCGATCTGCTCTTCCAAGTTTTGCATCCGTGCCGACCGGGAAAGTCACGTGTTTCCGCGTTGCCGACCTCCACGGATGCAACTCGGGCATCGCCGTTATTACATGACACTGCACAGTCCACAATCATAGTAGACTTTCTTCCTCCCGCTATGCAGTCTGTACCGGATCCTGTAGGAATCACGTTTGACCATCCTGATCAGGTTTCCATCATAGTTGTTTTTCCCGTCGCACACGGGACAGGTATTGGCCATAGCATCAATCGGTCCGCCGACAGTGAACGGGAGGATCTTCGTGCCTGTGAACATTTGGCATTTATAAAATCCAGCGTCCTTATCACATGGTTGACCGATAGTGATCCATCGATGGTCGCAGGTGGGGGATTTAAAATAAACGGTGCGGCACATGGCTGGTGGAGACTTGCGGGCAAACTGGGGCTGCTGGGATGGCCTTTTCGGCGGTTATTCAACGGTAAACCTAGTGCTAAGCCTGTGAGGAAGGATGCGCACCACGTTGCCCTCTGCACGGAAAAGAAGGAGGTGGAAGAAAATGAGTATTAGAAGCGACCGCTGATAGAGTTCTATTGGGGGTTTCCGGATGGGAGCTGCTGATAAAACAGGGCATGATATACACCAACAAACGCGCACGCAGAAAGATCGGCTTCGAAAGCATTAACAATGTGATCTCCCTGATGTTCGCGTTCACTTTGAAAGCTCAGGCCCATGAATTGCGTTGATCCCCTGTTGTTAAAGATAACAGTCCTTTTGGCATTGATTTCACCTTTCATGAATCACCATTGTCTTTGTCGCCCGCGTCCTTGGTTGCCTGCATAAGCTCGTAAAGCTGGCCGATTTGCTGGTCTGGTAGACATAGCAAACTGTCAGTGAATGGATGAAAAAAAAACAAAAAAAAATTTTTTTTCTGGGTTTCAAAGAGAGGAACAATAACAGACCGCTCATTTTCTCCAGTTTTGCTTTGTCCAACTTCTCGTCTCGCCATGAGTCACCTTCTAACTTCTGAGCATATAGCTGCCACTCCGTCAAAAACCCAACCTAGCAGTCGTGTTAGTCAAGATTATAGTAATGCACAGCAAGATATATCCCCACAATATGTATAGGATTATCCACATTGCGGTGTGCGCGGAATTCAGCCTTCACGTATTCATCTCCCAACAGCCGTAGCTCCTGAGGGAGTTTCCGGTGCGCTCGCAGTAGACGGCGGTAGAGAAGAAGAGGAGGAAGAAGGGCAAGTGGTGGTCTCAGGCTCGAAGCAGAAGTTATCGTGGGAGAGGAGGCCATTCGTAGTACCGGGGCGAGCTTCATTTTGACGATTCGTTTGGATATCCAGACAGGCGCGATTCAACGTGCGATCAGGGAGTGGCCTTGGGTACATCAAGCTTGGGGATGCTGGTAGCAATTGTTTCGGTTACTTCTGATGAAATGCAAACTCTTTGTAGAGTATCAATTGTTAACATCAGCTTCCCGATAATTTCAAAGATATTTCGTATGTCATCCAGCTACTTGAAAAGTTTTCATGCACCGGAACAGAATATTTAGTCAGGTTTGAAGCTTGGAGTCGGGAAGCTTTCCGGCCAATTCAAAGTCTCCGCCCGGCAATTATTCTCTCCCATCAAAAGGCGCTCCATCAGAACGAGGAGCCAAAACGTCCGGACCAGCAACCTATTCCCGGTTTAAGCCCGTGCGGCCCAGGGTGAGAAAAGAAGTCTTTCTCTGCCGGTGCGACTGGACAACGCCGTATCGTTTGTCCCGACGCTTCACCTCGAGAAACCCTCCAATGCTCCCCACGCCCTCAACGTCGCATGTGTGTTTTGACACCATCTATGAGCCCGCAGAAGACAGCTATCTCCTCCTTGACACTCTTTCTTCAAAACCAGAGGCAGAATGGCTTTCCAGCAAATTCAGTTCCCAGCCAAAATCCCAAAGCATCTCACCGCTCGTGGTTGAAATTGGAACTGGATCCGGAGTAGTGCTAGCATTCGTGGCGGCAAATTCCAAACACATTCTTGGGAGATCTGACATACTGACTCTGGGAGTTGATGTCAATATAAATGCGTGCGCTGCAACAGCAAAAACAGTGCACATTGCGCTTGAAGAGAAGCGGAAACCGGGACACCAAAATGAAGGAGAGACCCGTGGCGAGCTGGCGCCGCAGATGATTGCAACAATAGCGGGGGACCTATGTTCTCCTCTCCGAGCTGGAGCTGTGGACATACTCATTTTCAACCCACCTTATGTACCTACACCGGAGTTACCACCGCTCCCTTCCCCAGACCCAGAGACGCCAGGAATTGGTACTTCAAAATTTGAACAGGATTCCCATTTACTTTCACTTTCTTATGCTGGTGGTGAATATGGTATGGAAACTACCAATCGGCTTCTGCAAGACTTGCCAGAGGTCCTAAATCCCCACCGGGGAGTGGCCTACATATTACTCTGTGCCCAGAACAAGCCTGATGAAGTTGTGGCGCAGGTAAAAGACTGGGGATCGGGTTGGAATGCAGAGGTCGTTGGTCGAAGTGGTGTCAAAGCAGGATGGGAAAAGTTGGTAATTGTAAGGATTTGGAGGGAGACAGCTTCTTGAATTGGTATTATAGTGGAGCAGCGCACGGGCTCCCTTGCGATATCATCTCAAGCTTAGACATAGCTGTGAGATTGCAACGGCCATGCAATGCGAAGCTGCGGACCCGTGCTACGTTTGATTTCGTCCCTCCGACTTCAATCAGCGCTTCCGGCGACTGAATTGGCACCTTCCGCTGGCAGTACACGGTAACCCCATTCCCTAGCCGCTCAAACACCCACGAGACACGCCAGAAAACCGCGACTTGCAACTGCAGAGCAAACCACCTCCATATAGCCGTTCAAGAGTAAACCCGGATTCAAAAGTAATTGCACTTTTGCACTTATAAAAATGGCCGTGCGATCTTGCCCACAATTCATGTCCCCAGACTCAAAATGTGCCTTTCACCAATCGCAAATTAAAAACGGAAACGAATAAACACGCCGATTATAAAATATTGACCCCCATCCACGGTTTAGAAACCACGACCCCTGCCGCGCCCTCTCCCTCTGCCACCCCTACCTCTCGGACCGCCTCGTCCACGTCCACGATCCGTTTCTTTCTTCGCTTTATTCTTGGGTTTCGGAGTATCATCTATAAGGAGGGTATCCAACGGTAGACTATCTGGGAGAATGAAATATCGAATCGTAGAACCGCGGATGTTGATTGTGTCGAGGGATATCGGCTCGCGGCCTTTGGGCGTCATCTTTACCGTGCGGAGGGCAGTGTTCATTTGTGGAGAAACAGACGCAATCGTTCCATGTAGTATTGTGCCTAGTAAAACCAAAAACCTCGTCAGCATGAAGAATTGCGGAATTGAGGCCGCGCTTCAACACCGCTCGTAGCTCGCGCAGCGCAAAATTGGGAGAACGGGACGGGATTTGAGACGTGGGGAGAAACGTGTATACCATTCTTTAGTTCGATTGTGACCGTTTCATTCGCGCATTTCATAAGAAATCTATTTCAGGCGACATGTCAACCAGTAAGAACTTTCTAGAGAAGAATATGACCATTGCCAGAGAGATGATGGGCTCTTAGGGATTGGCTTTCATACCGGACAAGCTTCATGATGCAAAGGAGTTTGACTGCAAGGTCTAAGTACTTTTCTAACGAAAGCCGTAAGACTCCAGAGTACAGAAAAAAGGATATCCTTTTGCCTGGAAGGATGCGTTCTTTGAACCAGCTTGAGCTTCTGCTTCAACACCCGAGCCAAGTTTGGAAGTCAATCTGGTGATCACGTGACCAAACCTTTCCCTCCAGCTGCAAATTGATCAAGAGACCTCTGTGATAATCGGGCTTTAAATAAACATATCAGCTGGTTATTGGATCTGGAGCGCTTTCCCACGGCCTGGCTCTTGGTGGATGCCCTAAATCTAGTAACTAGATCCCCTAAAAACAAAGTGACAAGGGCGTATTAACTCCCCGGCGCAAAATAGATCCAGGGGCGGACATATCTGCCTACTACCCAAGGCATGGAGTCGAGATGGAATTACTTTCATATTATACAATGAGAGCCACCTACCCATTGAGCTTTTGCTGTGAGAATATAGAATCCCATCCTTTATAGGCCTACTTCAGGGACATATTGGAGTTTGAATCTGATAGAACACGATATTCACTTTACTGTTGATTGAAAGCTGCCACAAAAATTTCGATCAAGCTTTTCTTGATCCATTCCCACAAGCACGAACTGAAAATTCACAAACTTACCCTGCGTTAATGTGCATTCCATCTTCTTAGTAATGTATAAGAAAAGAAAAAACAAAGGAAGTAAAGGGAAATGATACTAAGGAAGAAAGAACAACGAGAAACAAATTGAAGGAGAAAAAGAGATAGAAGCTCAAGTATGCAAAACCTCGCATACCCAACCCACAAGGCCCCTCAGGCTCTGTGTTCCCCGCGTTGAAGAGGATGGCGACCATGACGCCGCCGTTGACGAACTAGCTATTGAAGGCATGGCGAGAACTCTAGAGGGCACTTCTATGCATTCCACAGAAGATACAAACGAGAATGTGATTTTGATTTCGGGCGCTGGTGCTTTGTCGTGGCTGCAGAATTGCGACGCCGAGTCTAGACTGCCATCCAGCTCATCCGGACCATCGAAAGTGAAAATTTCAGGCTCGGCTGAAGATGACTGTCGCCGCTGAGACTTGGTGCAGTTGATAGCAAGGACCTTAGCAGACGTCCTGATTGACCGAATATAGATTATCATATTGCTTCCGATAGTAACCGCAGATGGTAGCTCGGAGAAATTGGAAGCCGGAAAAGAGGCAATAAAGCCAGTATGGAAATAGGGCTGAGCAACCGGAAAGGGAGCATGGGATTCTGCCGAAACTTTGAAAGATGCAAGGATCATTCCTTTGCGAATTCTGCCCAGACAAGCATGTGGGTTGACAGGATCGATTCCAATCGTCCCAATCTGATGCTCGTAAAGAGACTTAACTGGCTGTCTAAGGTTTCGGACGCTGACGATACGGACTTCTTGCCAGTACGTTTCAACATGAGTCTGAGAAGTATGATGCTGTAGCCTCTGGAGCCGAAGAGATGTAAGGTTATCAGGGAATGATTTACTGCAAGTTGCCCTCGGCCGTTGGCTAAGGTTATCACCAGCTTTGTTTTCTAGTTTTGAATCCGGCTGCAACGGCCCAACAACCAGGCAATCTCCGACTGAAATCATACCTCGACGAATACGGCCACAGAGTATTATTCCTCTGTCGTTTCGATGGTCATTCTCGCTTGAAGCTGAATAGACCTTCGACAGTGGCATCTCGAACACATCGTTGATGTCGAGGATCTTCTCACAATGACAATTCCGAGCCATGGCGGTAGGTTTGGGTGAAGAGCGTCGAGGGAGTGGCAGAGAACGAAGTAAAGCATGTAAGTGGCCAATGCCAGCTCCTGTCACTGCACTTGTAAGGACAATTGGAACGACGTCTTCAATAGCACCATCATTGATCGAGGCTATTGCCGAATCAACTATTTCTTGGTCACTTGCGGATATTTTTTGGAGATCAGGGTTGGGCTTCGGGATTTCACTGGAACGATAAAGTAAAACAGGCTTCCTCCCCGCTGCTTTAATAGCAGATAAAATCGGGTTCAAGGTACGCTTCACAAGCTGGGTTCCAAGATCGACTTTTGTAACGACAAGCACAACAGGAAGATCCAATTTCAGACATAGATCAAGGTACGAAAGAGTCAGGTCGGCTTCGACCATCTCTCCTCGCTCTGCACTCCTCGAACCATCTGCGGGTGTACAAAGGCAAACATAATGAGGTTCCCAACTCATCAACCCTCGAAGGGTTGACTTGCTATATCGGAGAGACCCTGGAAGATCAGACAGGAAGGCGAGCCGGCCACCAGCTGCAGTCGCATGGATATCATTCCAGGCACTAACATTTCCAGAAGCGTAATTGACAACACTGGGAGTTTCACCCAGGACACAGCCCCCTTGTGCAGAATATCCAATCAATTCCTGAGCAACAGAGCTTGTGACTCCCGAAGCAATTTCGTGTGGATGCTTCAGAAGACTAATCCGGATTTTCCCTCGCCCATTATCAAACGACGATGTGGATAATATCCCCAACAGGGAAGATTTTCCGGCACCGAAGGGGCCAACGAGAGCGACATATAGCTGCTCGGTAGACCGCGAGATGTCAGGTACCTTACGCATTAGAGCCATGTTCTCCGTCTCGGATTGTAAAACATCACTTCCCGGGTGCTGATCGTCATCGTTTCTCAGATCTGGCCGTACCAAGGCTTCCGCCACCCATAGCTTATCCCTAACCGTCACGGGGTTATGGTTATCCGTTCCCGATTCAGCCCACTCACAATACCCTACTGCAACCTTTCTCAAAACTTCAACTGTACATCCCAGGCTCGCGGCCATAGCTCGAAGATTGACCAGACTTTCTTCGAGCTCGTCTTCAGCCAGTCCAACGAAAGTTCCGTCGTCAGACACTCCTATTTCATACAGGGCACCCTGGCTCTCTTCAAGCCCTGGAAGGAGGGGTGCTAAAGCATTTGGAACGTTCAGCGTGGGAGTTGCTTCGGGCAACACGGGCAACACTAAGTCCACCGTAGTAGAAGCTGAGTGAAACGGGGAAGATTGCTGTAGACGCCATAGCAGCTGGGTTGTAAGTTGATGCAATCTATGCTGCCTCGTTTGGCTTGACGACGACAGTGGCTTGGACGCTGAATCCAATTGCTCCACGTCCTGCGCTGATTTAGAATGATTTGAGCCCGAGATTAAACTTCCCGTTGACAAAGAGAGAAAAGAACGGCGAGAACGCAATAACAAGTGCAGTTTGTACTCTGTCGGCCCATCCTGAGGTTCAACATCGAGCTTCGAGATGCCATGGTACGTCAAATAGCTGGGATCGCTGGGATCCGGCGCATTGGTATCATGTGAGCCAGTACTCAAATATCCACTAGCGGTCTTCCGGAGATTCGGGGTGGTTGATCCTGGTGTGGACCAGGGAGAAGACACCCTTGGAGGGTCCGGGTCGTAAGTGAATACGGAAGCCATCACCTGTTCCTTTGCAACAACGGACCTTCTTTTTGTCTCGATACTTTAAATGACTTTTGTATGTACGCTCATAAAAATCCAAACTCGAATCGAAACTTTTGGGTCAATAGCATTTCCTCACACAAACAGCAACCCTTGGTATTCATTGACCACACCTTAAGCGTATGTGCCAGTAGGAATGGAAAAAGCAGAAGAACTCAATAACGTTGTGTATATAGCAAACTCTAGGAAACTGGTAAGATATCTGGGTCATTTTGAAGCAGTGGTCAGACAACTGTAAAATCGTTCCGTCGCCTCTTTGGGCAAACAATATCAGTAGACGCAATAGGGTGAGCGGTTGGATGGTTCGTTTTCAACAGAAAGAAACCATCGTCACTTTCAGCTCAATGTACACTCAGAGAAATGAAGATTGATTTAATCTCATGGAGTGGTTCAAGCACGCCCCATGATGTTGAAGTAGATATATTGACTCTGGATGCTATGGCGACGTTGGCCTTGTCTTGACTCACTCGCCGGCTCCAGTTGCCGCTGAGGTGGCAAGCGCAATCCAAAAAGGCGTTTTCATTGGCTGAGTCCACGGAACGCTGAGTCATCCAATATCTCTCAGGAAAAGTCACGTGAATGGTATTTGTTTGTCCTGTTTGCAGCAACCAGGGGTTACGGCTGAGAAAATATACACGCTGAGCCTTGCCAACAACCCAACACATTCACACTCTGCACAGAGTACTCCGTAGAGCTGAGAGTTGTACAACGCAGCGCCATCCAAGTGAAATCTTGGCATTACCCTTCCGGAAGGGAGAGGGCGAACTCTATATAGGCTAACTAGTTAACGAGAAATGAAGTTTGTAAGTGAGCGAGGCTGTTCACGGTCCTATTTATTGACCTTCTTACGGAGTACGGAGTACGAGTACGAAGGGCTTCGTACTCCAGGGAGGATCTCTTTTTCTAACCAACCGCAAAGATAGGAGCAAAATAGCTCCAGGAGAGATCGGCCGGCTTCCTTTCGAATCTTCACATGGAACAGATTCGCCGGTCAGATTCTTTTCCCTTTTCGTACAAACGATTTTTCTTCATCAGCACAGGGGCCTGGGCCGAGGACAGTGTTTCAGTTGCAGCCGTTCAAAGTAGGGAACGACGAGGCTGAGCATGGACCCCCTGAAATCAACTCTGGATTCCTTCAGTAACTCCTCCTTACCACATGTCGTCATTCCAAACTCCATCCTCCGTCTATAGTACTTGGGTTCAGAGTAGTTAGCGGCATTTCGTGGCTTCGGGTCTGATAAGAGCAGCCGAAAGTTAGGTCGCACAGAGGCGGCCCCTGATCTTCAGAAGTACAGACCAGGCTGCGCCGCTACCAGTCTCACGGGAATCGTTCGGTGTTCTCCGAATCTAATAATGGCACTTCGCCGTTCAATTCTCTTTAACCAATGATCCCCTTCAATTGGGCCAAGGCCTGGGATCGCCCTGCAGCCCTACAGCCACGTGTTTATAGTTAATTTTGAAGACATTGAGCGGCAGCGTCGGAGATGTCATACCTGGCTAGTATTGAACGAAAAAAACCAGCGCGTCAGAAACCAGGTGCTGAATGGACACATGTCCTTCAGGGTTGTCCCCTCCTGGTAAAAGTTCTCTCCCATCTTGTCGGCCTGTTCCTGGGATGTCCCTGCGTTGTTTCACGCTAAGCGCGAGAATTGAACCCACCAATCGCAATCGCGCTTAATTGCTCCGTTAAGGTTCGGATCAGATTCGCCCTTTCCGATGGGCCGTTCTCCACCGGTTTTGCCGAATACTATGTTAAAGACTTCTGGTTGTGTTTGCCTTGTTTGCGACGGCGTCGCCGCTGTGGATAACTCTGTATGACTTCATATATACTCCGTAATTGTCCCGGGTATGCTTAACAAAGGATTTAAGTCAGTAGGTGTGCATTTAATGAGGAGGAGCAGTACGGAGCAGCCCCTCTTTCAGACCTACAGGCCTCTGATGAAGAGACAGTCAACATGCCTGCCGAAAGTTTGTTTGAACAAATGCATGTCGCTGTACGTTTATACCGTGTGAAGATAGTTTAATGGCAAAGGGGGCAAGGTAGGTATACGTCCATAGAGCACAGTAACTACTAATCGCATACCCATCTTAAATCGCCGGGGGTAAAACCCGTTCGACAACATGGCAATATAGCTAGCTCGCAGTTGCTATACTGCTTTGCCAATGCTCAAGTGTTAGAGTAAGATGGTATGAAAAATTCACTTGCGGCGAGTTGTGCTAGTCTAAGAACAGGGTCATAACACGCAGCTGGCAATAGGGGATTCGATACGGACCATGTGGATTGGAACACAAGGACAACCCAATCCAATGATATTTACGGGTTACGGGGCCCCCGATCGATAAACAATTTTACGTGCAGCGTAAACTCAGTAGCAGGACTGAGCAAACTTGAAATCCTAGTAACTTCGAGCATGAAGCGAGCGTTGGAGAAGGATAATCGTTATGAAACTAACAGCAATTCGATATGAAGCGCGTTATCTCGATTCTGGGAATGTGTCACCTGCCTAGTCGCTTTCTCAATGATCCAATGGAGCAGAGTGATGAAATATCCAAGGCAGGAAGTGATGACACTCTTATTTGACATCAGGCGCTGGGAACATTATTCTTCCATTCCAATCGTTGATTTTCAAGCGAGGAAAGGCTTTTTTTTGGCTCACCCGCTCTGAGTCGAGCCCCATCACGTTAATCCAAAGCGGCAAATGTTGTGAAAGGCATAGATGAAGTCTCTGAGAAGCTGTAGCCTCTCGAAACCTACTTTGAAAGATAAATAAGTCAGGCTGTACGTAATGGATTCATACCTGGATATGGGTTCCCGGGCATTAATGACGGTGATAACTGTACCTACATCATTTGACAGCGTGGATTCGATCCCTGGAGATTCCCTGCGTCTTCATCCTCTCAAGTTTATACCCCGGAAAACGAGCACATCATTGTCAACGGCCGGCGTGGCAAGGGAAAGAAGAGGACCGGGCCAGGAGGGTTAATATTCCGAACCAATATTTCGTGCATAACTCTCTGATGAATCACAATCTTTGCTTAAACCCAAACCAGGAGTTAGGAGATTCCAGGGTCGAAGGCACAACTTAGTACGGAGTGCCTGGCCGCAGCTTTATGGAGAGTGATGTACATACAGTACATTCTCTTACTCCTGGGCACCACTTTTTTCGGGGACAGTCCGTCGTTTGGAGAACTGCGTCGGAGATCGTATGTACCGCGGCGTGTGTAGCACAGAGAAACACACCAACAGGATCGACAGGCTCCTGCAAAGCTGGATATTTATCTCACGCATATACCGCCTTGCATGTCGTTCTTCTTATGGCATTGAAGCAGAACTGGATACAGCCTAAAAAAAAAAAAAAAAAAAAAAAAAAAAAAAAAAAGGGAAAAATGAATCGAACCCTGATACTCGGGAAGCGGCTCGCAGCGTTCTTAACACCGCTGTTAAGTCGACCACAATAGTGAATAGAAATCGGTTTATTGCGGGCGTCCATTAACTGAACTAGACTATTCGATCGTTGTCGGAACCCGCAATCGCCCGCTAAAACTTGCCCCGAATCGGGTCAACTACCTTCGTAGTCAAGGACGATAAAAGGGGCGTTTGTAAATCCCGTGTTCACAAGCGGGACAGAAAGGGGAAGGGTTGCCAACCACGCTGCGACACAGAGTTAGAAAAAAAAAAAAAATCTTCCGAATCGTAACTATTTCTTGGTTGTGTCAAGTTATGACCAGGGCTCCCGGCTAAAATGCTTCGAAATTTTCATGCTCACTACGGGGCCATTCCAAACTTTGAAAGCGTCCGCATGCCCTCCGCCTTCAAAGCCCCAAGAAGCCGGTTGGCCATGTTGAGAACCATTGGAACATGCTCACTTAAAGGTTAAGCTTAAACGGGAAGCCCGCCAGTGCAGGTCGCACAGGTTAGAAGTAAGTTGGTTATATATGCAGATTACTCCGTATTTGGGGGTTGTCCACCACGCTCTGGAAGAGCAGCAGAGTGTCCACGGCAGTGCCCCAGCAGACCATCAAGGGAGGAGAAAGCACAGATCCGAGAGGTGGGCCCCCAGTCCCACCCCACTTCCTCACGCCGCTTGGCCTGGATTGTTTTCGACGGCGAGCGATAACTGGTTCGCGGCGGCGTGGTGGTGCCACCTGCGGCGAGCGACTCCGAAGCTACGATTCGTTACTTTCGAGGCCGACAGGGATCCGGTTCCGGGAGAAAAGTTGATCCGGCATATCGGATTATGTAATTATCACCTCTGGCCCTGAACTTTCTTCGAGCACGAAGCACTTGGCTGAAGGAAGCCTCTGGTTTCGTATGGGAAAAGGCGTCAAAGAAGCCGAGAGCGGGGAGAATATACTTTGGATTACGCAGCAGTAAGTGACATCGGTGTGGAGTGCTGGCGATGGGGCAAATGCGCTCCCTCTTGAAGCCGAATTTCGACCTGCAGAATAACACCGTCTCTTGCAGGCTGCTGGTACAGACTGAATGGCAACTAAAAACAAATAATAACTGCCTGCTAAGCACCTACGGAGTACGCAGACCATACTTTTGACCAACTTCTATTCTCTTCATTGCCGTCTCTTCAGCCCCCAGCGTTGGTAACATTCAGGTGTTGGATACAACCTTGATTGGCCACGTTTCCTCCTTGCCAGGGTAGCATACATACATAGTTGCTCGGTTCTTCAGGAACAAAACCGCAGCCTTTTGGGCTGCCTACTGACGCTCGATTAACTCATGCTGCTAACTAACTAACCCTTTTCCGTCTTTGATCAAACTTCTGTCAACCCCGAGATCTGCCTTCAATTTTGGAAAAAGTTATGCATGTGGCCCTGCCAAGCGAAGGAGGATGTCCAGCGCTGCTTGGCTAAAATCGGGTCTAAAAAGTGGCTCTTGGGCCGAGCGCTCGTCTGATACCGCCCATTAGCAAAATATTGATGCTTCTAGAAATATTCCATTCTTTGTCCCTGAGAAAATAAGTAAATAAAATATCTTACCCGTTACAGGTTGCAGAGCGGTTCTGCACCCAATGGACGATCAGGGATCGTGCTGCTTCGGCCCTTTCCTTTTCTCCCGAAGCCACCCAGGTCAGGGGCCGGTACGGAAGACCAAATAAGATGTGAAACCCTGGAGAGGTTTCCGGGATAAGGGGCCAGGGATACCCAAGGCTAACGAACCCCCAAAATCGAATCAGATTGGCACGTATTATGGGTCTTTCTCTGTGAATCCAAAGGAACTGGCCATAATACCGTGTACCAACGTGACATACAGCAACGTTCTCCTCCACGCATGTGGAGTCGTGACCAGGACGTTTAAAAAACCACCGGACTCGTGGCTAATTGGATAGCGCTGATTAACATGATATTCCCGCATTGTCCTGGCCGAATTTGAACCCAGCAAATGGTCACAGTGGACCGGCTCATCAAGCTCTCAGACTAGCCCTACAAAGAACCGTCTTCAAGACCCATGTTTTCTGTGGTAGATTTAATCTTCCCGCAGCGCCTCAGGCTAATGGAGGTACAGATGTCTGAATGGATCTGCAGGCTCACATTCTCGCATCCTGTCCTGTGTGTGCGGCTGTGGGAGGTGGCTGACGTCCCACCGGGGACACTTTTATAAAACTGTGAAGCAAGGTGGCAGCACTTAATGAACCCAAAGCTTGATATATTGTCCCTATATTTGGGTTTCTTCTTAAATATCCATTTTCGCTGACAAGTTTCTGTTTACACCTGATCGTGCTGACTTTAGAGCAAATCCGATGTGCTGGACTATCGGGCCCTTGGAAATGATACAAGTCCAAATACCCGGTTCAAACCTTCTAGCGCTTCCATTACGTTTTCCTATCTCTGCCCAAGAGGATCTTGGAATGACCCTACGAAATTCTCTTCCAGAAAAGGATTATATTTCACGCAACAGATCAAGAGTTGCTGAACGTGGCCAGCGGGCTTCGCTTTCGCCTTCAACCCTTCAGAACCTCAGACTTTCCTCCCGAACCCCTCCGTCACATGCGATCTCGTCTTCTTCGCAACAGGGGTCTCCGGTCATGTCGTCCGTCTATCTTTCGCACCCGACTACGGGAACGACCCAAGGCCAGCGAGATCTATCTCAGTTTCACATAATGACAGCGAAAATCGCTACCAATCCTTCTCATCAGTTCGAAACTGAATTTCGCGCGAGTCCTTCTTACGAAGGTTTTTATAATACAACAATGAGTCAGCCAGCCTTGGACGACGCGGAGTAAGTTTGCCTATTCTGCAAATGCTACGATCAGCGCTTGGTTGACAGTTTTTTGACAAACAGTCATTTCCGTTATGAAGTGACACCCCCTTCAACGGGTTACGAACAAGCCCTCTATGATATTCAGTCTCGTTCTAGCTTATGGGGTAAGTTCTTGTCTCACCCTGGATTTATGAGCATTGTCTAAGCATGTCCTCAGATTATGGAACCGACAACCTCTCTGTATATTCAGGAAGGAGTTACGGCGATGGTCTACCAGAGACGATGGCACAATGTTCTGAAGCCATGGACCTTCGACCATCATCCATAGCAAGCTCGCATCCCTTCGAATCCTCAGGCTTTACCCTACAGCAGCTTCATTTCGTTCCCGAGCAAGCACACCTCGCTCCGGGAACCAGCGTCTCCAGCCCTCAGCTTCATCAGAGTTCGCATGGACAATTAAGGCAAAGTCCACTCTTTGCAAATACCCCCACCTCTGATGAATATCCCCGAACACCATCCTCTAATCCTCCATTATCGTCGAATAATGTGGAAATTCCTCCTTCCAGCCTTGCCTCTCAATATTCTTCATCAATGTAAGGATCAGAACGCGCTTCTATTTTTACCCTCTTACCGGACGAGCTAACGCTTTACTCTACGTTAGATCTTCCATCCCTATCCTCTCGTCGGCGCAACCGTATGAACCGTACGTAAGCTCGAGGTTTCGGTTTTTCAAGTCCCAAAGCTAATTCGAGACATAAACTAGATCTCCATTCTATACCAGCGAGTCTCTTTCTGACTCTGGTTATTCCTTACCTCCTTCGGCATCCACAACACCAGTCCCTACCGTATCAGACCCAGCTACGGGGGCAAGCATTCAGGTTCGCGTGGTTAATTCCCGAACAAAGCCACAATGCTGGGATCATGGCTGTAACGGCCGTGAGTTTTCCACTTTCAGCAACCTCTTACGGCACCAACGAGAAAAAGCTGGCCTTGCTGCAAAATCGGAGTGTCCTTATTGTGGTGCCGTCTTCACCCGGACAACAGCTCGAAATGGGCATCTTTCGCAAGGTAAATGCAAAGTTAAGCGTCAAATGGATGAAAAGGAGAGATCTTTGACTGCTTCAAGATAATCATGGTGTTCTAAATGAGGTGTTCTCTGGTGGTCTTCTCTCCCCATTTGGTTGCCTTTATTTTTATTTTTATTTTTTTCCCCTTTTTATTCCCTCTCCGGAGTTTCGGCGTGCAAACATTCCCTGGCGATTTATATTGAATTTCCCTTTCTACTGGGATCCGATGGTCTACTCCTTAATATGTAACCTCTCTTTTGTCAGCTTTGATTTTGGCTTTTCTTTTGTTGCATTACGAAAAGTGGTGATATGGCGAAAAAAACAACAATGGTCGTCCTCGACAACTCGGGGATGGACACGGAAATAGAACATAATTATAATTAATACCCCTATTAACGGGAGTATTATTATCTTAAACTCTTCAATGAAAATGCTAAGATCCCATGTAGGGGGAAAAAACCGGTTTTCCAACCTAGTAGGAATGGGCCGATCGGTGTCCAAACTACCTCCTCTTCCCTGTCCGCCGTCCCGTCTAGAAAGTTAACTAACTAGTTGCTTCGTTTGCTGATTTGTCCTGTGTCTGTGCTCCGTAGTCATGGAGCTATTGCCAACTATTACCTTGCTATCGAACTGAACCACCGCGCGTCAGACCGGAGGGCACTTCCACGCGTCCCTTTAACAATTCGGCTTCGATCTCTCGACGCATTGCTTCCTCTTGCTCGTTGGAACAATCCTTGAAGACATGGTCCATCTGCTTGAGTGTATGTCCACTGGTTCCAGGAATGAAAGAAGGCACCAGATCAATGATAGGAGGCACAGGAATGCGAAGATGACATACGCGCCATAGCCAGCGTTTTGGACGAGGGGAGTGGTGATAAGGTCCTGGAAAAATACATGAGTAGTTAGGACTGGCGAAGGACTGGCGAAGGACTGGCGACACGACTGATATGATGTCGAGGAGGGAGGTAAAAGAAAGATACACATTACTCACGTTGATAAAATTGTTGAACTGACGTGGAGAGACGATGGGAGGACTTCTGAAAGTCGAATCGGCTGGGACGACTTTCACAAAACAACGATGGCTAGGTTCATTAACGGCATACCGGACGGCATGGCCCAAGGGACTGGCGTCCAGGATGCTCCAAATGCTAGCATATAGAAGAGCAAGAATCCGACACTGACCTACCCTTCTGATAGATGTGAAGGCAAGTGTTTATCAAATAGGCCAGCAAGGGCGGTGATGATGACGTGAGATGTTGTCATTGCGACTGAACCCCAGAGGAGTATCGACCGGCGGTCAAAATGGTCCATAGTCCAGATCCTTGAAAGCACGCCAACGAGCTGGGTGATATGAAGAACGCTAAACATGATTAGTTGCATGGAATAATCCATCCCATTGGTATTGAAAAGCGTGGGATATCAAAGCGTTGATGTTGACCAACTATAGTATCGGGATGAAATCCAACTGTTAGCACCCGCCTTGGAGCTCTGGATGCCTCGTGGCACTGATTGCTTTCTGGAATCGACTGTCGGCGAAAACATCAGTATGCTGTAGCCGAATGCGCTTGTCATCCTCGGAAAGTTGGCGCAATCGGACTAGGCTTGGTAATGCATCGTCATCATGCCATCCCGACGCCAGCGATCTCGGAGAGAAGGGCAAGAAACTTACTCTGATGGCAAGCATAAAGCCTAGAACCATCTGCAATAAAAAAGGGACCCTCCATGCCCACTCTCCACTCATGGAACGGGTCCCATAAGATATCTAAAATGTAATGCAGACACACGCAACCATGCAGAATTCTTCCAACATCAACAATGTTCCTCGGTTATCAGGCGGGCTAATCTCAGAAATATACAAAGGGGCCACCATGCTAAACATAACAACTCCGATACCACCAATAAGTCGAGTGCAGGTAAGCATAGCAAAATCATCACCGGTTGTTTGTAAAATCGAACATGGGAAAATGATTTCCGCGGTTAGCGTTAAATGTTTCCTCGAGAGCGTATCCCCAATCCAGCTTGATTAAATGCGCCAAATAAGGCTGTCAGGTCAATCACGGCAGTCATTAGGCCTTTCCAGAACTCTGCGCCGGATGCCTCTGAGACTTGCTCGAGTCGGTCGAGGAGCTGTGGCATCACAAGAATAATGGAGACAACGCCTTGGTCTTGTCTAAACAGTAACCCACCCAAGGTGGAGCACGCCGCGCAGAGGAAAACATAGGAGTTTGTAAAGAGCCTTCTGACTCTCCATGGGCCATAGGTGTCGCGAAAATCGAAGATGGCCGCTGCAGGGTGAGCAAAAACATAAGCTTCTGGGGAATCCCGTGAAAGCTCATATTCCTTATATTCTTTTCGTAAAAAACTATATCCATGGCAATGAAGCAAAATCGGTCTTGGAGGGGAGAAAACTTGACAGGGCATGCGCAAACCCCAGCGCTTTGCACTGTAGAACGGATTTCTGTCGGCGTTCGAAGGAGGAACAGGGCATTGCGGTCCGTTATAAGGGTGCCCAGGGTAAGCTATATCCATGGTGGGCGCCCTGTCTCATCCAGGTGCTCCATAAAGCTTCTTCTTGATACCATAGACCCGGCATCCCGCATGCGAATTAGGAGCCAGGGAATTTCTGGGTGTTAAGATGTGAGACATTGCTTCTATACATACACCACATTTGTCGTTAATCATGTGCTGTAATGGGGCAGTACATTCGGGGCAGTTGTGCTACATATCTCGATCACAGCACCATTTTCAGGTCAAATCTGCCATGGCTGATGAAAGGTGAGGCCAGGGGTCACGTTGGCCTTTTGCGCGTAGATCCAGCTTCGCCCGCAATGAACCTTAGCCCGCATCTTGGCAAGCCACAAAATGCTTATTGCTGATAAAGTTGATCTTGACAGAGGCCGAGCGGGATTGCAATCGACGGGTGCAATGTCAGCCTCAACGGCCCGGCTATTATACCTGGGCCACGAACAATTCACACAAAAAGATGTCAGATTAACTCCAAAGCCCAATCCGCACAGATCTTTTTGGGGGAAAGGGGGGGGAGGGGAATGAGATTTCGTCGTGAAGCCAAATTTACTTCCGGCGCTGGACCCTATCATTGTAGAGCAAAAGAGAAATGTTATGCTTCTCCGCTCACCTCCCGCTTTGGAAAATTCGGGTTGTTGCTTTGATCTTACTTAACTAGAAGACAAGCTGGTGTTTATAGTTTACGGTGGAGGGCTTGAGCCTTGGAGAGGAGCTGTATTGTAGAAATGCCCACTGCCTCGATCGACATCTGTCAATTGAAAACAGCCACCGGGATTCCAATGAAAGGCGTTCATGAGATTGATGTAGAACTCTGTACACAAAACCGGCTGTCAAATCAGCCGCGGTGTCTTAACTTTCTGCTCGTGCATTGCAACTCGATGCGCCCAACAGCCCAGCCAATCTTCCAAGCAGCGCCATGATGAGATAAGCAACCAACTCCCTGACTCAGCAAAAACAAACGCTGCGCGTGATGGCGCCCATTGATGCAATCATGCCGCCGGGCGTTATTTCAACAGCGAAAACATTCCTCCAGACCTCAACGCTCAATGGTCTCTTGATACGCTCTTTCGGATCTCTCAGCCGTTCTTATGACGTGAATCTTTTCGGCAATCGGTAACCCTGGGGCCTTTGGTTGGGCCTTGATTCCTGAGACGGAGCTGTCAGCGGACTTGGGATGCGGTTCCTTGCGCTGTCTCTGAGCACCTGACCCCTCCACATTCTGTTGCCCAACTATAAACACAGTGAGACACGCGAATCATGACCCCGATTTGAGTATTTTGAGGCAACTATATTTAAAAAAAATATATCTTAGTTTTACCTTCGCTTCATTGCTACTCGTCTATCTCCCGCGCAACAGGTTCTTTCGACCCTAACCTTCTTGGGTTGGCACGTTCAAATACCATCGAACCGAAATCCCTCCCGACCCCGCTTCGAGCAGTAGATAGAAACCTTTCCCCATGGCTTCTTTCCTTACGGACCTCTGGTCCAGCGTCTTCACGCCAGGAGCGACGCCGACCTTACTCGTCGCAACGAACGCGACATTTGCGGCCCTACAGGTGCTCCTACTAGCCCTTCTTGTTGCAACGTACAGCATTCACTTTTTGGTTCTCTCCTGCCTATGCGGCGCGCTGTGGTGGTCGATAAACTGGTTTGTTGCGGAACTTGATGTCGCCAAGGCAAAGGATGCACGGGGCAAACAGGGTTTCGATCAGTCTGCTGTTACTGGCAAGGAACCCTTGATCCGACCGCCAGGCGCAATCGACACTACGGAGAGCGAGACGGAGACCGAAAGCATAACAGGCGGCGAAGAAGCCCAGTTGTCTATGGCTGCTGCAACGCCTTTTAGCAGCGCCGCTACGGGCCGCAGACTACCCCCTTCTGCGTCGAAAAGGGAATCTACACCTGCTGCATCGAGCCAGCACTCAGTCCAGACTGCGACGGAAGGAAGTCAGGGAGAAGTGAGACGGCGACATGCTCCTCATGATAGTTCGGGTTATGTGAGTACGGATAGCGAGTGGGAGAAAGTTGAGGAGGATCGATAGTTTGGGTTTCCGCGCATACGCACATATATACAAACGCCCCCACAGAAGAGGTTTTAGCATCAATTTCTGCCAGCAATGATCTGAGCGTTGTACATACTGTACTTTGCATATTTCGTCACTGCGAGCTTTGATCATTCCCACATGATAGTTCTTCATGTATGGATCTACATTCATTTTAACTTGCTGAACCTAGTCAAAAAAATCTATTTACTCGTGAAAATGGATAATTTCAACTTAATCCTTGCACAGAGTACGTACTTATTGTGTTTCTATGCCACCTGCAGATTTGATCAGATTGTAGCCAAATACAGAGAGATACTCCAGCTATGGCCTGCAAACCTCTTCCGGACGAAAAGAGTACTTCGAATGGCTTGTTGGCAATTGGCACTTGTGGAATCGCCATCCTCAGTACGCACTGTATGTGCCTTGCCCCCAGCGAATTTAGCAGAGTCAAGAGGCAATGTTGGCCTGAAAAATTTGCCGAAACGCAGTGCCAAGTTGCCGAAAGTTCCATAGCCACAAAATACATCTGTATATGGAGTACAGCCCCCAGTTGCTGCTGTTGTGCTGCAACTACAACAATTAATTCAAACAGCCAATCACTCTTGTTCCCAGCCCTCAATTGAACACTTCCAACAACTACTGAAACATCCTAGCTCCATACCTAATCAATAACCTGTAGTTAAGGTTGGAGTTGTAGATCACGTGATATCGCGTTATGCGTTAACCAAGGTTGTTGGGAGCCAGCTTCACGAACCAAGGTTGAGTTGGATGGGGGGAAGAATGGGATAACTACTAGCTGTGCCAGACACTAGATTACTTGCGCATTGCCAAAGCTGTGCTGTCAGGACTCCTGTCATCCGCTCCCGCTCTCAACACGGGCCATCCTCACTTACCGTCATGTTTCCGAATGTTCCAATCTCGATTGGCCGCAAGCGTGTTTTCGACTCTGTATTCCCGCCGGCTCCATTGAGTGCTGTCTCGCCTACGCCCGATATCACTTCCGCTCTTGGCTACACCCAGTCATCCAGTCTGCAGAAGCGCCCATCTACTCCCCGTTCAGACCCAGATACGATTCCTGAACAGGTGACCTGGGATCGAGCATGGCACACTGCGACTGCGTTCCTGTCGATTCCAGACGAGAAGCTTAGTTTCAGCACAAAGGGGAGAAACGACGATGACCTGGATGATAAGGATTTGATTAAGCGGTGGTCACGCGAGCAGCGACCGTCGCAGAGCATTATGGATGCTCTCTTTTATGTTATATCAGACTCGTCAGTAGGCAAGAAACTCCGAGCTGGCTTAAAGGAGTACGATTTACAAGCGTGGTATGCGAACGAGGTTCGGAGGCATTTCTTGACTAATTTTCGAGACACCCTTATCAAGGTTGGTGATATGATACCATTTTTTCATGTTTGGATACTGCTCAGCGATCTATTTGCCGTGCATGGCTAACTTGCTATCTAGGAGCTTAAAAAAAGAGGCCAAGAGGGAGTGCTCCCGCGAATAATTCGGTTGCTAAAGATCGCTCAAAATATATACTATACCCCCTTTCTTAATCATATTCTACCCCTATCAGATCCTACATCCCATGAGGATGCCTTCACAAGGTTACAGCAATGTCTGCATTCAATTGTCACATACTCTTTACAGAACCCTGACTTTTCATATCTACTTTCTGAGCGATTGGCCACCGAAGGTCTTGTGATTCTTGGAATTGAGCGCGATATCAAAGACAAGATCGCCTCTGCATATTCTCCCGTAGACGGGCATGGTGAAGATGAGATGGACATTGACCCCGTTTATTCAATATCCTACAGGGCCTGGAAAACTGAGCCGTCAGCCAGGCGCCGGATAAGTATGATGACAGATGGCGAGGACGCTAACATTACTGCAGCACGTGAAAAACTGCTCAGTTTGCTTGAGGGTGTTCAAGACGTTGGGCTCGGTGGAAGTAAAGCCCAGAAGGTCTTTGCAGAGGTAATGAATAACCTTATTACCGAATTTATAGCCGCTGAATACGCAGGAGAATGGGAGTCGCCGTCTCTTGTGGTTGAACATTTGCGGCAATGGATTGAAAACGTTTTTGCTCGGCTGGCCGTTCAAGTGCTGCACATATTCAAGCCATCAGGCATTGAAGATGAACAGCCAGATGACCTTATAGTAACGCTCAATGATGTGGAGAGATGGCAAGAAATTGGCCTCGCCCGATTGGGTGCACTTCGAATTAGCGAACTGTTTGAAATTATTGTCGAATGGGATGCTAGTGCCGGTGCCATTGAGGACTTGAAACACTATACCACCAATCCCTCCACACGGTTTTACCTCACCAGTACGTTCTCTGCAACGCTCATGAATCGACTTCTCCATCCCGGAGCCTCCACAGTTGACATATTACAACTGTACATTTCAATTATCCGCGCCTTTCGTCAGTTAGATCCAAGAGGAGTTCTTCTTGACCGATTAGCTCGCCCTATTCGCCGATATCTCCGAGAACGCGATGACACAGTTAAAGTCATCGTAGGAGGGCTACTCGAAAGTACCGTGGACTCTGCTGGGAAGCCAATTCAAAGCAGTCCCGACGGCCTAGGAGAGCTTGCAGCCGAGCTTTCGAAAGCGCAGCAGATGGCCCACCAAGAAAATAGCGGGGAGCTTGACTGGGACGATATGAACTGGATTCCAGACCCGATAGATGCGGCTGCGGACTACAAAAAGGCCAAACATTCCGATGTTATTGGCAGCCTTATCAGTCTTTTCGATACAAAGGAAGTCTTCGTCAAGGAGCTTCAGCGGGTTCTTAGTGATCGATTACTGAAGAAGAAGAAAGACTATGATCTTGAAATATCTGTACTGGAGCTGTTGAAATTGCGATTTGGTGAAGCTGCCCTGCAAGCTTGCGATGTTATGATGCGTGATGTCTTAGATTCAAAGCGCGTTGATGCCGTGATACGGGCTGATCAAAAGCTCGAGTCCAAGCAAGAGCATGCGCACTCTATGGGCCGTGATACGCTTGAGCATGTACCTGAACTGAACTCGAAGATCCTTTCGCGTTTATTCTGGCCGTCACTATCAGATCAGAATTTCAAGGTTCCCGAGGAAATTTCTTCTCTACAGGCTCGATATTCTACAGGCTTTGAAACACTAAAGCCATCTCGCAAACTTACTTGGCTTAATAGTCTAGGGGCTGTCACCGTTGAACTTGACCTTAAGGACCGGGTATTTAGCGATGAAGTCACTACCTGGCAAGCAAGTGTTATTTATTCTTTCCAATCACCTTCGTCTACCTCAGATTCACCGGTCACAAAATCCGTCTCTGAACTCGCTGAGCAACTGGAAATGTCTCCATCTCTCGTCCGCAGCGCCTGTCTGTTCTGGCTAAGTAAACGTATCCTTACGGAATCCGCACCAGAGGTTTACTCTGTCCTCGAAACGCTTCCTGATGACGAAGAAAGCTCATCCCAACCTGTTGGAGCGCAGGAAAGAGACAAGACGGCCAGCACTTCGGACGCCTCCGCTGCCGCCGCTGCTGCTAAGGCTGAGGCGGAGCGCGAATCCGCCGAAGCGGCTGCCATGGCAAAAATGAACCTTTACTGGCAGTTTATTGTGGGAATGTTGACCAATCAAGGCGCAATGCCTCTTCAACGCATTATTATGATGCTGAAGATCGCTGTGCCTGGAGGCTTCCCATATAGTAGCGAGGAGCTGAGAGAATTTCTTGGCAAAATGGTTGCGAAGGGGAAGCTGGAGATGATTGGAGGTGGTAATTACAAGATCATCAGTGCATGATGCCTTGAGAAGGTCGACGTTCCCAGCTTAGCTTATCATGTTATTGTTATGTATCTGCTGTTTTGTCAGCAGAGACTGTGTGTTGGCCGTGGTAGTGATGACATGATTCCCCCCATTTTCGACTTAACAGCGTCGATGTCAATATCTCCGATACACCCCCAAATGGATATTCCCGATGCTTGTATGAGTTTGCGACATTCGGAGCTTAGGAAGAAATGCATGAAGGTGTATCATTTCTAACCTTCGCGCATAATTGAAGGGGTTTCTTTGCTTGATATTGTAATAAAACGTGAAGAGCCATGCAATCCCCAATTATTCCATGCACAGGCATTTGTTAAAACTCTCACCAGAAGGCCGCATCCTGTCACTTTGTTCTCTGCGGCGAATTAAAAACAGAAAAGATATATTCGACATTTTTCACATAAAGAAAGAGCAAGGCAAGCTAACACCAAGAGAACTCCTACCGCCATGAGTAGCATAACCCCCTTAGTTCGGGCATCAATATTATCATACTGCATGACTTCGCGGTCGAAAAGGAGTAACGTTTTTTTGTTAGCTCAAACCCCAACCTCTAACCCGTCTAAAAACGAACGCCCTATCGTTACGCAGCCCGAATTCTCCCCAGTCATCAGTGAGTCGATTATAACTCCAGAATCCCTTCCAGACCAGCTTTGTGTTCTTAGAAGTATTGGCCAGCGTAGAAGCAGAGCCGTGTGTGGCGCTTCGACTCGGCGTTGCGGCGGATCGCAAAGTGAGATGCATGGTGTATGTGTATTTGGGGTCCACGCCTTCTGTTTCTATAAAGAGATCACGCGGGTCATGCTTGGGGTCCGAACTCGTGTTGGTTCCATGTCTGGTCGGCTGTGGAGTTAGGCGGGGAGCGGCGATCTCGGTGGTAGAGGTGGACTTGGAATCCTCGGTTGGCTTTACAGGACTTGGGTGTGAAAGGTGCCATCGACCTTTCAACGCAGATTTAAGGGCGGAAGACGCGACGGTAGGAATGGGATTGGCCACTGCGGCAACGGGAGCAGCCGGATTAGGGTTTAACGCTTGATTCTGATGTTGGCGATGGGCGGACGGTGGTGTCTGAAGGGCTTCGATGTTCTCCTTGCTGATGTGGGGAACAACATCGACAGGGTCGGTGGTTGTGAGGAGCGAGATAAGAGAACCGTCGGGATAGAAACGGAGATACCGGTAATAGGTCACGATATGAATTGGCGCGTTCCATGATACATTATGGAAAGACGAATGCGCTCCTGGGCGAGTATAATTGACCGTGCTTATATATATACCCGTAAACCGAATTCGGGGAAATGTCTGAAAGACCTGGGCCCAGGTAGACAAGGGTTTAGGAACTTGCAGAGCTGTGGAACCTAACGGGAAAGGAGTATAGCGTGATCTAAACGTATATTCCCGTCGTCCTTCTATATCGCACGAAAATGAGTAGTGCATTGAGCCAAATCCAAACTCTGGTCCTTGACATAGCCTCCGCCAGATGGGCTGTTCATGTTCAACGAGGTATGCAAATCGCTTGCACACAAGAGCCAAGCGCGCGAATAACGCCGGGTCCAACAACGCAACCTGCTTGAGGATCTCGCTCAGAATCTCCGACGGGACAGTAGATATCGGACATGGCGGAGGTGGTGTGCCTGCAATCAGCGGGTCCGCGACCGGAATCGGAAGATGTGCAAAGGAAGCGATGAGGTCAGCCGTCGAAAGGACAGGCTGTGCTTCGGATGAGTGGTGTGCGGTGTTCGGTACGGTAACGGAAGCATTGGACGGGTTTGGTCCTGACAGCCGTACATTTGCGGGCGGGAAGTGTTTCTTTCGGTAAGCCTGGTCTACTCTTGCATCGAGCTGAGGCCAGTCAGCTGTGCCTGCACACAATGCGCAATCAAAGCAAAAAGAGTCACCTTATACGCTTTCCGATATAGGGCCAAGCTGTCCCCAAGGCTTCCCTGGGCCTCTTTATTCACTGCTTCCTCAAAGAGTTCCAGCGCGGAGCTTGGGGCCTGTTGGGTCTTCGGAACAGAAGCATCATTGTCCGTCGGGCCAAGGGTCAAGTATTGTGTCTTCTCCGTTAGCGCTTCGAAATTAATGGGCTCCAAAGGGTTTCCGCTTTGTTGGAAATCAGGCTCTTCTTCCCTGTCTGCAGCTTGATGTTGCGGACGCGGCTTGCGACTCGGCTCACCCGACGCTCCAGCGGATTTCGGGCTCGGCTGGGAGGGCTGCGACGGCCGTCTGGTCCGCGCAGAGACTTCCTCCAGCCATTGGCGACGAAAGGACTCAAGCTCTTGGTTGTTGAATTCCATTATCTCCGCGACACGGAGTACTCCAATCCCGGCGCCAGGGCCTGATCTCGCCAGGTGCTTTGTTAGACAACCGTCTTGATGATATATGTACTCCGAAGCTAAAATCCGATCCCGATCGGTTTACCTGGGCCTCTGTAACGCCGCAAAATAATTTATTTCCCCGATGAAATCACTGCGCGTTTACAGACGCGGTAATAGCGCCCGGGAAAGTTTCCATTCGTCGCGCCGACTCGCGCTGGCCTCAAGGCTGGATGCATCTGCTATGAATTGTTGTGACGGGCGAAGATGCGGCTCCTAACAGACGGTCTCGCCGCACGTATCGGCCGAATACCGCTTACTAATCCATGTACCGCCTCGAAAAAGCGGCCGGAGACGGCGAGAACCTTACCTGCAACACTAAACCTAGCTGGGACAAGTGTCAAGGGTATTGCCGGAATTTGCAGAGAGAACTAGCTTTATCAGGTTTAGATCATTCGCCGCTTCAAGCTTAAAACGGTATCATATCAGATCGCCGTCAACGCCGATACCGCAGGCGAAAGTAATTTATCTTTTTCTTGTTTTCGCCTGGACAGACCGACAGCGCCGCCATCGTCGCTGAGAACTATGCATTCCACCCAGCACCGTTATATTTGAGGGCCTGGACGACGGACCGTGGGAAACTGGCTTTCAAAAATCATCACACACAGAGAGAGCAGTTGGATGCCTCCCAGCACGCCTGCATCGATCCGACCGGAAGACGCGGAAACAGCCCGTAATGAGCATGAGTCAATAGGCAGAGGGGAAAGGCCGGGCTCTGTATATCATGCCGATAGGAACTCGATGGCCACCACGGGAAGGCATGCGGGTGCAGGAGGCGGCACGATGGCCGAACAGGAGCATACTCACGTTTCGACGAGCCAGCGGATGATATCTGCGACGTGGGGTAGTGTTCTTACTTCTTTGCTAGGTACGGGGTGATCCCTCCCCCCCATCGCTGTGGATTTCAAAGCAGCTAACCGTCATCACCCTCAGTCACTCCTCTCGATGTTGTGCGAGTTCGTCTGCAGTCTCAGAGCCCCATTGCAAGGTTGCCAGTGATAACTCCACCTTCCGTACTGTTTAAAGAACTGCCGCCTAATCTTGGAGTCACGTCTTGTTGCCGCGAAGTCTTTTGGGTCGGGAACAATGGACAGTTTTGCATGGTTGGGAACCAGGTTCCGGACATCGGAAAACCGTCAGGTGGCGCGATGGCGGCAGATTGCGCTGTGGAGGAAACGCAGCGGAAGACGTTTACGTCGACGCTCGATGGACTACGCAAAATCGCCCGCAACGAAGGCCCGCTAACTTTATGGAGGGGCTTAAGTCCGACATTGCTCATGGCCATTCCGGCGAACGTGATCTATTTCACCGGTTATGACTGGCTGCGTTATGACAAGAGGAGCCCTATCGCTCGATACGTGGATGAGCACTCTGCAGCCTTTGTGGCAGGCGCAGCGGCCAGAATCGCCGCGGCGGCGGCGATTAGTCCTATTGAAATGTTCAGGACACGGTTACAGGCGACATCGGGAACGGGGACGGATCATTTCAGGGCCACTTTAAGGGGTCTACATCAAGTGACGCAGAGGTACGGGTACAGTGCACTCTGGCGAGGATTGACTCTTACGATGTGGCGCGATGTCCCATTTTCGGGACTATACTGGTGGGGATACGAAGCTGCAAAAAGGTCGCTCGCCAGCATGCGATCCAGGACGTTTCCTCATGCGGCTGCTCACGAGCACCAGAGCAATGCTGTTGTCTTTGTGGAAAGCTTTACGGGCGGTGCTATATCCGGTGCGGTATCGGCACTGATTACAACACCGTTTGATGTCGGCAAAACTCGCCAGCAGGTTTTTCGACACGACGCGCTGTTTAACTCGTCCCCGTCCCCGTCCCCGTCCCCGTCCCCCGGCCCAACCACGAGCGGTTCCTTTACATCCTCTTCATTTGCGAAACCGAATTTGTCGACATCGGTGTCATCCGCGGTGCTCCCCGAACAATTGTCCATCCCGAGATTCCTGCTCCACATCTTTCGAGAAGAAGGAGTAGGTGGCCTCTTTAAAGGATGGGCGGCGAGATGCATGAAGGTAGCACCGGCGTGTGCCATTATGATTTCGAGCTATGAGCTTGGAAAGCAGATGGCCGGCCACGTCAACGAGCGGCGATATCATCTAGCAGAACACGATCATCATGCGGACCACAAGCCGCAGGGCGATGAGGTCTGAAGATATATCTCCTAAGACATGACTTCCTAGTGTTTTTACATATAATCACCCGGGTTAAAAAGACGAGATATTGGGAGGGATGGGTGAAAATAGAAACGAATGATACCCCCCACCTTTTGGCGATGTTGGAAAATTGGACGTCTCCTCACTTTTTTACACGACGACCACTCTGACGTCCCATAGTCTAAAATCCGAAAGACATTGTTGCTCCCTTGTTGCTATTCAAAGTACATAATCTAACCTGCGCGCCGGGGATTTTCGTCCCTCTTGGCCACGTCAAATACCTCTTTTTGCGATCCGTTTTCGATGAGTATGGGCGCATGGCGCATTTTGTTTAAGTAGAAGCGCGGCTCCTTGCTTTTCCTGATTTCTGGCGTTGAGCCTTTTTTTTTTCCCTTTTTCTTTTCGCCTTTTTTTTTTTTTTTTTTTTTTTTTTTTCTTTTATTTTTTTTATTTTTTCTATTTTTTTGTGTATAAGATATCGACTCCCAATCATATTTGTTTCTGATTTGAAATCCCTGCGCATGGTGTGCGCGTAATGTCGCAGAGGATGAAGTTAATTTGTGCCAGAATGGCTGCATCCATCATCCAAGCACCCAAAACCTTATACGAGGTATTCCGCAAGTTTACTCTCAGTTTTAAGAATAATGACAGCTACTCGGTAGACTACATGTACACTGTACACGCTGCTCGTTGTGGCGTTTTCTCAATTGAGCCTCGAGATGATCAGGGCTCGATGGAGCTTGGAAATTTTTGTGATTCTCGAAATATGCGCGCGCGCGTGTGTGTGTGTGTGTGTGTGTGTGTTCGCAGGTATATTCGCAGATCATATAGCTATGGCGAGGAGCTCCAGGAGCCGAGCTGGAACATATTCTGACGGAGATGAATGTTGCTGGCCTTTCAAATCTCATCAAAACGTCAACATGAAGCAAAACAGTTTGAAGATCTGCCCCGGTTATTTTTAGCCTGGGAGAGCAAAGGTAAAACCATGTAACTACTTTCCCCCAGCCTTTGAGAGCTTTCGTTTGAGCATTTGTTCCCGTTCGGCATATCGTAGCTGAAGGCTTTCGGATCTTGAGCTTAACGCATGGTACCAGCTATCGTCATCAGCATCATCATCGTCGTCGTCGTCGTCGTCGTCGTCGTTCATGGAAAAGAGAGATACAGGGACCGGCCAGGTCAGAGGAGGAGAAGAATGGCATTACATACGTATATTATACAGTCCACCGCAGCCGGTTTTTGAGTCGAAGAATGGAGCGTTCATCTGGCAGGTGGACATCACACGTGCTCCGAGGGTAATTGCCCGTTCGGGAAGAGACAATGCCGGGTTTCCTACACTAGCCATGCAGAATGACATAACTGAGACGGGTAATTTAACCTTAGCTGGCGTTTGCGGCGGGCAAGCTCCGTGAGTGAGTGAGTGGTGTGTGTATGTGTATCGAAAAAAGGGTGTACTCCCGTACCCCGTACCATACTCGGTACAGTGCTGTAATTACGCGCGCTGTTATGGGGTTTTAACGGGAGAGGAACTCCGCCCAGGGTTTACCCCTCTCCTCGCTTGGTCCCCCTTGAAGTCACCCCTTTCATCCGACGGACGGGCTCCAGGGCGGCGGGAAAAAAAAAAAAAAAAAAAAAAAAAGAGGGCCTCGACCAAGGTGCATTGTTTTGTGCTCTCTTGCGACCGTTGGTGTTTCGACAGCTCTGGCGGGAAATGGCGATGACATTTAAAAAATATACATTACCTCCTAGCTCTTTTTTGCTTTGAAGCTCCGAGCTGTGCGGGTCTCTGGCTGGGCGCTGTCGCCGGCCTCAACCCGCTCTTCTGATGTACTATGTATGTATGTATGTACGTAAAGACAGGGATGCGTCGTGTTAATGCAGTAGTTAGCTGCGATTGCGGCTGCACGACATCGACGCTTTCCGAAGGGTGGTCGGAAAAGCTCTTTTCGCCAGACGACTTGCCGCACATGCAGGTTGTTGTGCTGTTACGGATGCAACCAGCGTCCGTACCGTACATCATCCATACATACCCAGTACACACAAACACTCACTCACTCATTCTCATTCTCTCCCTCTCTCTCTTTTTCGTTCACAAACCCCTAACCTTGAAATATGCTGCTGCTCGCTACTACCTCGTGGCAAGCGCGCAACTGTTGAAAAAAAAAAAAAAAAAAAAAAAAATGAGAGACAGGGGGAAGATCAAACCATGGAGAAACAATTCCATTTTCAATTCTTCCGGCAAAAGTAAACATATAGAATGCGATGCAATTTCTGAAGCTCTCGCCAGCGCGTACCTTGGTTCCCCGGGGACCGGATGGATAGATAATATGTATGTATGGGGGGAGCTCTGGTGGGATGGGGAAAATCAAAAGAAATAAGAAGAATCGGCTCCAATGTCTGAAATTACGTGTCATGAACCTTAACTCAACCTGGCTGAGGGATCGGGAGCTCTCTTCGTCCTCCTCCCACTCTCTCCCACTCTCTCCCACTCTCTCTCCCTCTCTCCCGGACTGCTGGGCTGTGGCATTCTTCCCGTCGCTTCGACCAGCCAGTCCCGGCCTTCCCGTGCAAGCCAGTCCCGTAACGAGTTTCCTTTTTAATTTTTATTTTTAATTTTTTTTTTTTTTAAGGTACAGTACAGTTCCTGGCACCTCCGTAGATAGCCACCGTAGCTCCCAAGGTCTTGACAAGAGGCGGTGGTCAAGTCTAGTTGGTGTTGGCTCACTGCCCTGCCCCCCCGGTGCGGAAACATTATAGTTGGTCGGTTCGACCGTAACCATTTAACTATCATGTACTGTACGGAGTATCCTGCGGATCGAGAGGTCAGGCATTAAGGAATTGTTGCTCCGTCCCCCCCTTGTGCAAGCATCCGGGTCGGATGGTGAGTTATGTAAGAGGAGGTTCGGTCGTAACTATTAACTGCACGAAAAGGGCCAACGTTGCAGCTTGCGAATGCCAATGCGCACATCCACATGATTTGCCAGATCCAACAAAACCCAGCTTCGCTGCATGGAACGCTGTCAGAAATTTGCCGCTTGGGGGCATGTCGCAGCTCCCGTCCGGGTGATTCCTCACCTCCTGAGCTGATTGGGAGCTCTCTCTGGCAGCTCTGTAACCTATCATCGAGCTTATCGTCGTCATCGCAGCTAGTTACATCGGCCCCTCCGCAAATTCGCTGCGCAAAGCTTACTAGCTCCGTCGGCGCCAGTCGACTTCACCATGGGACGAGAACCAATCTTTTCTTTTTCCTCGCCCTCTTTTCTACAGTATCCTTACTATTCAACTTACTGCCATTTTTTTGCTCCGTCGCTATCTTTAGACCCAGCCTGTTCGCCGAATCCATCGAACAGGTCGACTGCTTGACGAGGTCTGACAGCCTTTTTTAACCCAAAAAGTTCAGCCAGCAAGCAGGTAATCAACTAGTTAACTCTCCCTAGCTTTCTTTTTTTGACTAATCCCACCCCTCTCGCTCTCTCTCACTCTCGCTCTCTTTCTCCTCTCCTTGCTTTTCAGCCCCCCTCTTCTCTCTCTCACATACCCAACCTCAACCTCACCTTGGTTCACTTCACTTCATCTCCTCAGCTCCCTCGCTATCCCGCTCTCTCAATCCACCTCGTCGTTCGTCGTCTTCTTCTTCATCATCCGCTAAGCCTCCGATCTGGTTGCTTCGGGTCCCCAGAAACAGAAAGGAAATCATCGCAGGCTAACATCCTTCCCCCCCAAAACACCCTTGTTCCCTGCTTGATTTTCCCTGCTTCAACCGCCCCTCGGTTCCATCGAGCTCCCTCTCTGTTCCACCCCCTCCTCCAGGTTTGAGAGCTCTTGGACCTCCCGATTCGTTGCCCCTAAATTGATCCACTGACTAAATTAACAGCCTTGGTTACTCGCTGCTACACCACAACTTTTTCTCCACCGGCAAACACGCACACTGCACCGAAGTTCCACCAACTCCCGTTCCGCCTCTCTATCTCTCTCCCTCTCTCTTTTCCTCTCTCACACACACTCTCTCCCCCCTCTCCCCTATCTCTCACTATCTCTCACTATCTCTCCTCTCCTCCACCATCGACCTTTCCGCCCGATTCCATCTTGTCCTGGCTAAGGAAAATAATGCTCGGCATCCTCGGTTCTTCAATCGTCCCTCATTGAACGCCTTCTCACACACTCTCCCGCTTCCCACCCACGGAATCCGAGCCCCTCAGAGCTCTCCCCATCCTCTCCAAGCCGGTGTGGCGCTTTCCTTCTACCCGTTGATTCCGCTCAAGCTGGTCACTTGCGATCGATAACTCCAACCATGCCGCCAAGATCCTCCCTAACGAGCTCCTTTTCGGTCTCCGACGCCAACAATGAGGTGGTCTGCCCCCTGACCAATAATGATGGTTCCAATTGTCGCAAACGGTGTCTGGGTGTAAGGCCTCTTTCTCTCCATCCTCTCCAAATCTCCAGCGCACTGCTCTGTACCTATCGTCCCATCCCCATCCTGGTGTCCACCAATAATCGCCCCAAATATATCCGCATTCGCCCCCAAATTCCTCAATTTCTGCCTTTGTTGTACCTTGCGCAGAGTTTAAAATTTAATTCGGCAGCCCCGAAGTCATACAGCTCCGTATGCTGACAGCTGCAATTGGAAACATGTCTAGGAAAAACGATATCGTTCTATGCAGGAGCACATCAGACGTGCTCACCCCAATTATTATATCCCGAAGCTTCCCGCGACAGAGGAAAGCTTCCAGTTGATGGTTAATACTCCGCCGGATCAGAGACCGCATCAACAGCCGCCAGCTCCTACTTCGCATCCCCGACGAGGCCCAAGTTCGTAATCCAGATCATTTTGCTTTTTCCCGGCGATAGACCCGCTCACTGACACAAAGATGATGTAGGCGATAGAGATATCTTCGCTCGGGACCAAAACTCCCCTGCCACGCCCCGAACTCTAGAAGAAGCTCATCCTGCTGCTGCCACAGCTGCAGTGGCGCTGGCGCAGCTTCAACACCACCGATTGATGTCCGAATGGGACTCTGAAGTGGTTTGTCTCACCAATGGCGCTCTTATTTCTTATCTCCTTTGATGATCGACGAACAGCAAAAACTTTACTAACGATATTAAAACAGGATGCTCACTCTGATAGCGATATAAGAAGGGATCGCATGCGCTCTTCTGTGGAGCTGCCTCCCCTCCGTGACCATTTCAAACAGGAGTCGATTCCTCCCTTTTCACCCCGTCCACGAGAGCTACTCCCGTCCATCTTGGCACATTCACCACCAGGTCGCTCGTCCACGCTACCACCAATACAACGAAGGGAAAAAATTCAACGCGCTCGCAAGGGTTCATTGACACAAGCTCGTAAAGGAAAACATGAACGTACAAGATCCAAGGAGTATGGTCGCCGATCCAGTATCAACGAACGTAAAGCGCTATCGGCAGAGCCTCAGACGGCAGCTTGGGTACAGGGAAAGCGATGGGAAGACCTGATTGAAGCCGCTACTTCAGCTACCGAAGTAGACGATGACCGTGATATGACACCTGTACGTGTTCAATCAAGCTCCTGGACTGGATTTTTCATTTTGTTACTTGCCGAGCACACACTTGGTGTCAATTAGCGTACATCTGCTAACACGATCCATTTTCTGATAGGTCCCACACTCACCACCATTCCGTTCTCTTGCGAGCGTCACTTCAGCTCCTTCGGTCCAGAAGCATCGCTCATCCCTACCGCCTGCATTTCAATCAACACCTGGATTGCCACCTGCGCAGTCGTCCTATCCCAGGCAATTCGCACCTCTCTCCTATACAGCTTCTCCCCTCCAAAAAGCGCTCACGCCTCCTCCTTATGAACATAGCGGACCACCGGACACGGACCTAGAACCATTCCCATCGGTAGAATCGTCCCTGGATTCTAACTCATCCGTTTCTGGCAAAAATTTCCATATGTCCGCTTCCGGATTACCTCCTCCAATGTCCGACTCCAGTCCTGTGCAACCACCTCGTCCCGGAACCAGTTCCTATCCACTGTCCTCCCACCCTCACCAGCTACAACCACATATTCGGAACAGGATCCATCATCGATTGTCCAACCCTACTCCATTCGGTAGCCATAACGGCAAGGACGTTCAAATCTATTGCGCCTCTTGCTCTAGACCGTGGCCTCTCCGCGAGTGCCTTGCTTGCACTGAATGTATCTGTGGTGTTTGCAGAGAGTGCGTAAGCATGATGTCGGGAACTATCGGGGCGAGTCCAGCTTCGATCTTGAACCCGACGAGCAACCCCGGGAACGGGATCAGCGGCAACGGAAATATCAGTGCGCCGCGAACAGGCCTACCTGGCCGACGCGGGTGCCCGAGTTGCGGGACGATCAGTGGAAAGTGGAAAAACTTCCAGCTTGATTTCCGGTGATGCATTTCATGATGTCTCCCACCTTATGTCTAACGGCCCTGTCACATTTTTTTTTTTTTTTTTTTTTTTTTTTTTTTTTTGGTTTCTGGATTGGCTCTCTCGTATTTCTCTACGGTCTTTCGATATGATATGACATACATGCCTGATGCTATAACGAAGTCACATTGTCTTGAGTTCTTACCCGGCGATGTACATGTGAATGGTTTACAACCTCAAGTTTTATGATATCATATTCTATCATGATGTCAGGATATATATATACACATTTGGCGGAAATTTCTGGCCGTTTGTTTGTTTTTCCTTATTATCTTTATTTTTTTTCTCCTGTCTATATTTTGAAATTTTCTGGGCTTCTCGCTACTCACAAGGAAAACGGCCTGGTCCAATCTTTTTCACATCTTTCAGATTATTTTACGGCCTTTTTTTTTCATACTTTTACTTGATGCTCTGGGCTTATCTATATTCAATCATGTGTAAGTTTCTATTCCTTCCGAAATATCACTTTCCCTGTTGAGTCGCACCCATGCCTTTTGGTGCTCTATGTGGAGATATTTCATTTTCTCCCATTTCGTTCGGGGGAAGAATGAACACATTTTTTTTTTTTTCTTTTGCCGGAGCGTGGAGCAAACTATAGACAAACATTGTGTTTTCTTCAACATTGTACACTTTATCCATTGATAGCTAGCCGTCATGAAAATTTGTCACTTGCCTAATTGTATTGTACGGAGCACAGCATATACAATGTACATAGTTCCATATCCTCCCAACGTGAAACACGCCACCAGCAACAGAAGCTGAAGAAGGTTCTGAAACATTCTTAAAACATCTTGGAACAACAGCTCAAATGAAAAATATAAGTGTGGGGATTGTTTTCTCGTAAAAGCAAGCTTCATAAAGCAAGCAATGCGGCATCAGTGGTTTCAACCAAAATTTCATGCATACAATAGTTAAATACTCTGAACACATAATGTGTACAGTAGATAGCTGCACTGCTCCCTGTACCTGATGCTTTCGTCGGGTGGGCCTTTTCTGGAGCGCCGGCGGTCGAGGCTTGGCGGGAAACCATTAGTTAAGCTTATTTTTAGTGCGTTTTTCTCGAACCCGCAGAAGCCACGCTTACAGTACAGAAGAAGCCCGGCGAACGGTCCAGATATGGAAGTAAAATAGAATTCAGTTCAATATCAATCTCTACATACTCTTTGCTGTCTGGGATGAGTTCAGACCGTTTCTTGCTTAATTCTCTCCCCTCGATTAGGGCTCTAGAAATATCAAAGAGATATTCCAGACGAATAGTTAGCAAAGCTGGTGATGGAAGGGCGCTTGGACCTTAAAAAAAAAAAAGGATGTCCCGATCGCTATGAACAAGCTTCAGTTTGTAATGACTTGAAGGAGCTTTTCATTCCTATCAAAGCCTTTCTTTTTCTTTTTCCTTCCCTTTTTTTTTTTTTTTTTTTTTTGTGTTTTTTTTTTTGGTCCCCTGTCCGCTGTTTCGCTGCAGCGAAACTTACTGAATTCAATACTAAATTGCCTCCTAGAGACCCAACGACAGGCAAGTTTCACCTTAATGGCGTGAAGTCTAACCGGACTCCACTTTTCTACTATTATTGCTCTACATCTGACAATTAGCTTGGGGGACACCATCATCGAGTCCGTTTTATGTATCCCAGACGATCTACCGTCCTGTTTTTGCCATCCGGTTGTCTCCCGAAGCGTATGTCTTCGCCATAATGCCTTCCGCTGGCGCTTTGGACTTCCAGGGAGCTGATATTTTCCATTCATATACTAGATGGAGCTCGACTGGAAAGGCCCATCCAGGAGAGGAGGTAATAGTGGAAGAAAATCGGTATCCTTTGGTTCACAGGTGGCAAATATATTGGACTGACAAGCTACGTAATAGCAAGTAATGTACACTCGAGCGATATCTTGCGCAGTGGATTAATGACCCTTATTCTGGTCATGTATGAGAAAGGGAGAGAAGGTATATGGATTGCCCACGAAGTTGCTCTGGTAAAATACGTATAATTCACGATAGCATTTACCGTTCGCGCAACGCTTGGATTATAGAGATCTACCTACGGTTGTGGATTCCCAGGTCGTCCTTTTGCTATCAGCCAGTGATCGTCGATGCAGGGTCATGGAAACGTATGGTGGCGGCTCAACGGGTTGTCGTCCGCAATCCCAAGCCCTTCAGCCCCCGCGCCCGCCGATAAGCCCCAGGAAATAATCTCAGCTGGCGAAGTTCAATTGGCTAAACTACTCAGGTGGGATGAGAGCGATTCCTGTCGGTTTGGCCGAGAATTTCCCCGATCTCCTCAGCTCGCCAGCCAGGCGGTGCTGAGCCATGCTCCCAAAATAGTTGCTGCTCCCTCCTTGCATTCACATCCAAAGCCTACTTCCCAGTCTCGAGTAGAAGTAGCTTGACGCTTCGAGTCCTAGGGAGGGTATAACAGAAATTTCAATGCACTTCCTGCTGGCACTTGTGAGAACTTTTTAACTTAAGCCATCTGTACTTGCCATGAATAGTTTATCCCAGTCCTTTTGGATAAGTTACACAAAATCTTTTAGAATGTTTTAAGGTGTCCTGGGACCATTAACAGTTCCCATGAAAGAGTCGTATGGACACGTCGTGAAGATTTAATCCATGCATACTAGGTTCAGAGTGCATCTAAGCATCTTCACTTAGGAATGCCACGGTTTTATTCAGGGATCAGACGGTAAATGCCATTACAGGAAAATATGGATTGTCTCCAATTGGTTCCGTTGAGACCGTGTTTTCAGACCATCGGTGGCCGGATGGGTCAGGTCGAGGCTGAAATTCCTGGAATCCTTGCTATCAAGCCATCAGGCGGCTTTTCGGAGATCTCCTTAAAGGTAAGAAAGGAAATAGCTGGCCGTACTCCGTATATTCATGGAAAAGCTGATGTGCTCCTGGCCTGGATCACAACACCGTTCCAGTGAACTTTTGGCCCATGGGACCTGTTCCAAAGTAGGTCGCGTCCAATGGAGATGCCACATCGTCCAATTTAACACAGGAACTTTGATATACTCTGGGGTAAATTGGGATAGTGGCATGTACGTCAGACAAGGCGCCTGGTCACAACTCTCTGGAATTCCACTCAAAATGTACATTCGAGTTTTCATATGCTAACGGTTAAGAACCAAATACCAGAAGATAAACAGAGAAAAGCAAAAGGGGGAGTAATTTTCGCATTCTCAAACGCTCCAACTTAAAAGAAATATCGAATCAACACCAGACTCTTGCACCGGAAATATCAACCCGGAATAGAACGCGGGGGCTACACAGAATGGTATAAGACAAGAAAGAGTGCTAAGGGCAGCAAAGAAAGTACTCAGAAGGGGAAAGGTGAGTACAAATATAAAATAAATCTCATTTCAACGTACCCTACAAAGTAATAGAGACGAGAAATTAGAGAAGTGTGGATGAGAGGAATTCAGATAATGGACACAACCCCTTTGAAAGGAGTTAGAAAGAGGCATCAGATAGCGAAAAGAAAATATAAACGCAGGGCCCCGGTGATCCAGGTCTTTGAATGATTTCAATATCAAGACAATGATAGAATAGAAAGCGGTACTTCACACAAAAGGCTATGAAGGGTCAAAAGGTATTATTAACAAATTTCCATAATGTCAAAAAATGTCGCTCAGCATAGAATGTAAAATATATCAGGGCTAGGTACATGATTACCTTGCGATTTGATTTCGTATGATGTAGAGAATAGTCTAGCAAGAAATGCTTAGTATCTCCACGGTGGCCGCTCCTCCCGATTACCTGTCGCACTGTCTCTCCCGGATCGTGGTTTAGGCAACGGAAGAAGACTAACTCGTCGATAAGAATAACCCATGGCAGTGCCGGGTCGACTTGACCTTTTTTCATCTCCATTTCGTCCGGAGACGGAAGTGTCACGAACACTTGGGGTCCCAGCATAACTTTGACGACTTCGGGGAGTTGAAGGGAGACCGGTAACTACAGAGCTAGGCGCAGGAACAGCCTTACGTAGCTTGCTGTAAGGAGGTGGATCAATAATGGATGACTTCTTGGGTGTTGGAGAAATGCCGCGGTCAGGTAAAGGAGATGCAGCCCCGCGACCAAGCCGGCTTGGTGGTCGGAGCCCTGGTGCTGGAGAAGCGGACGATTCTCGACTGAGAGGACTGCGTGGTGGGAGGGTGGAAGGAGTAGTTCGAGAAGGAACGGGAAGCTTGCGATGAGGTGACGGTGTGCTGAGGGACAAGGGCTTGAAGTTGTGCCCAACGATAAGATCGTTGGTATTGGAACTGTTATTCCACCTGGGTTTCGATAAAAGTGTTGGGCCGTCAGCCCGCGAACCAGGTCGTGACGGAGGCGTGGGTGAAGGAGATGTAGTCGTCAGTCTCGGAGTCGGGGACTTCAAGTAGGCGTTGCTCGCTGAAGACGACCTTGGCGCCAGTGCGCGTCTTGGTGTTTGGCCTGATGGTGATACTGGTTGGGGTAGGGCAGAGTATCGCTTCAGCTTCGAGGCGGCTGCCCGCGATATGGTGCTCCCTGTGGTGCTACTTCGTCTTGAGCCGTTGGACTTTGCATTGTTTGCACCGTTGGGCATAATCACGGAAGACGCTGGGGAACTCTCTGGAGTATCGAAGGCGCTTCTTGTTGGAGGGGTATCCAACGTAACGATGCTTGATACTGAATCACGCAGCTGCTGGCCCTTGGTAGCCGTGAGTTCCCCCAAAACTGAGTCCATGATGCTCATCTTGTCTTGTAAGGCCTCATATCTTGCCCTGAGATCGGCAAGGAGACGAATAACTTCTCCGTTGACAGTCAAACGGTCATTAATCCCCTTTTTGATAATTGAAAGCACTCGCTCAATGGCAGATCCATAATGAACCTTCTTCGCTTCGAAGTTTTCAGCCCTCTTTGCCAAGGCAGCTGGATTATTATGCTGAATTCCACCATCAATAGCTTCTTGGAGTTTGTTGACACTCCGTTCCACTGACTCGCACATTTTATGTGCTTGTTTGCCAGCGTTTCTGAAAACTACAATCCATCTATCTTCTCCCAATTCTCTTCTTAAAGCCTCCGCATCCGTCTCCAGTTTCCTGTACCCTTTCTCAAGTCGATGTCTTCGGTCCTCCAGTTCTTGGCAGGCGCTTGGAAATACTTTTTCCGCCCGAGATTGAAACATTGAGAGCCTCATCGGAAGGAAGTCGAGGGATGCCCGGAGTGGCTGCATTCGCGCAAACAATGCTAGAAGGCTGGCTTCATCCTGCGGATTCTGGGACACTTGGATGTCGAGTTGAGAGCCCCCAGGTGGAAAAACGGGAGCGAAGCTAAACCTTTGATTCGAATGGGTATTGCCGTTGGCTGGAGATTCTTCCACAATTGTCTCGAGCTCGTTTATGTCAAGACCATGAGCGGGCTCATGGTCCATATCTATGACAGTCTTGTGACGCTTCTCTTCCATCTCAAAGATCAGTCGGGCGAGGTTTTCAATTTCAAGACCAACGTCCCCAAGCACTGCATTCCAGAGCTCTTCCCATTCCATTGCCAGTTCAACTTGTTCTTTAACTCCTTTCAACAAAGACCTGACCGTACTCCAATTCTGTAGCGTCGATTCCATTTGTATAACGATGGCATGAAGCTGATCAGCTCCCACATCGGCAATATCGTCGCGTAGCTGAACATCTTCAATCGCCTTGACGTAGACGTTAATCAAGCTTTCAAATTTCGTAACAGCTTTGTCCACATCGTCCAGTCCTTCCCTGCCACCAGCAGCAGCCCATTCCACGTCATCATCTGCATCTAGCCCGCTCAAAACCTCCGAAGCTTTATTGATCCATTTTTGGATCTGCTCGGCAGCCTGCGTCAGAGCTCGGACGGCTGCGGAGGCAGTTGGAATTGCAGCAATACTCGCTTCTAACGTCGACGGCTGCGGAAGGCTGATTGAGGTTAGTTGGGAGAGCTGGTTGCTGAACGATGCTCTAGAAAAGGAGTAGATGGAGTCTGTGCGATGGAGTCCAAGAGGATTAAAATATGACTCGACATTGGTGGCACCGCTTGGAGGTGGAGGTGGAGGACTGTCTTTCGGAGGTGGAGGGGGCCCTCGATCGCTTTCTTCGGTGCTCTTCCTAAGATACTTTTCCAGATCAGTGGGTTCCAAGGGGGGATCTATATTCGTTCCATGGCACGTTCCCGTATTTTCCACCGCGGATTGCAGGCTGGTCTCATCTGGTATGGACATTTCCTGGTCTTCGTCTGTCGTGTTGATCACGGATGGTTGTACGGGGCTATCCACTTCACGATTGTAAGGGCATTCGACAGACTGTACTTCGCTGCTCGTGGAAAGCGGTTCCGGGGTATGTGTCCTCGAGCGCCCACCACCCCACGCTCGACCTCGTTTTTGAACTTTGATCGAAAGATCTCGATGGAGATTATCGAGCTCTTTGAGTTGTGCCTCGGGGATCTTCCCAACCGGGCTTCGATTTCGCGACTGTGTTGTTGGAGAAGTAACCGTTCCGTCAAGGAGTTTTACCCGCGCTGCTAAGTTCGGAGAGAGCCGACGAAGGAACGCAGATGAGGACCGCAACTTCTGATCTTGATTCGCTGGTGTAGAGACGTGTTGAGTCGATGTGCTGCTGGACTGCGAAAAGGATGTTGTAGCTTGCAGAGAACCTGAGGTCTGAGCGTCGGGGGTTGCACTCGGACACGAAGATAATCGCTGTGGAACTTGAATGGGTGACGTTTGGGGGCTTGTCGGAGGTCCGAAGAGCGTAGATGTGGCCGTGGCAGGGTTTGTGTCTTCTGGGGCGGCTATAGAAGCTGGTCCAGGGCTCGACACGGGCACAGCTGCGGGCATCGATACTTGAACGCCACGTTCAGCGCTGCCTACCTCTGTTTCCAACGATGGTGCCGTAGATATCAGCTTCAAGGATGGTGTGGATGGTTCTGCCGTGGGTGCGGGTAGCTGTTGGGGTGCACGCTCTTCGCTGGCTGTTGAAGGGGTCTGTGGTGGATGGACTTGGGATCGAAAAAGGGAGAGACGCAGAAGAGAGGTGAGTGTCCGGAGCTGGTTGCCGCTTGGAGGGGATCTGCCGCACCCGGTCACCCGCAACTCATCAACGACGGCATCGAGTACTTTCGCGGGTCGGGGAAAGGGGAATTCTACACGGCAGCGGGGGATGTTGGATTGAATTATGGAAGACGCCGAAAGGAGCCTGTGTGGGCTCTGATTGCAAGTCATCATCGTTCCCCTAAATAGAACATACACAAAACCTCAAACACAGGCAATATTATTGTTTCACTTCAACTTTCTTTGACACTTCTATGACATTTGTATTATTGAATGAAGATATCGTTCAAAATATATTTATCCTTTTTTCTTGTTATCTACCTGGGAAAGCTTCTACATATGCTGCTGTCCAGCAGCACCCAACCGCCCCGTCAACCCGCAGTCTTGTTACAAAACATTATAATAACACTGGATTACTCTCACACATACCAAAATATGTATATGCAAATTCCAAAACAGATGAAACATTACGCACTGTGCATTGAGTGGCAGGAAGTCTGTCCGGAGACACAGAGGAAGAAGAAGGGTATCAAGCGCAATGGATAGCAGACAACGTGGTACCAATGAGATGTTGTGATTGTCACCAACAGCTTCACTTTTCACTTCTATTTGAGCCTAAAACCCCTCATACCTCAGACTCGTCTGGCGGAACGATGGATAATATTGGATCCGGATTTTTCTTTGTCCAATCCCGGATCAGCTCTTCTCGAACACCTTGACACCACTTAAACAGCGCCTGGTCAAGTTTCCTCCATGCCTCATCGCTGTCTCCATTGACAACCGCCAACGCGTCTACATCAAGTTTGATCTCCCATCGAATTTCAGCGGCCTTGGCCCAGTAGCGAATATTGTCAGCCATTCGGTACGGTTTTCCGACATCTTCATGGAAGGTTCTAATTTCTCCAAAAGGACGCTTTGACATCCTGACAGCTGCGTTATGTAATCGCACAAGGCGTCGACCATCCTGCCAGCGAGAGAGAAACTGTGTGGGAAGGGGACAATCTTCGGCAGGTTCCCATGCGGGTATCGCCTCGGACTCCTCAAAGCTTTGAAGGAACGCCTGCTCCCTCTCGCGCTCTCGCCCTGACCAATCTCCGCTCGCCCAGATCCAGCTGGCCCTCTTTTGTATATCCGCCTCTTCAAGCTCCCTTTCTTTGCCAACCATCGCTTCCACTCCCGCTATCCATCCAAGCATAACGTTTCTTTCTTCTTCCTTTAACCCACCCACAAAATTTCGCCCTGCCCATTTTCTCAATACGTCCAAAATACCAAGCAGCTCGTCACGGATTTTCTTCTCGCTCTTGATAGAGTCTAAGCGTACTGGATTTTCATGAGAAGTGTAGTAGATTCTAGCAGCTCGAATAGCAAGGGTTACCACATCGAGAATATGCATGCCTTCGATCTCATGCCATCCCTGCGGAGGCTTCGTTAATGGTGGGTTTTCAGACGTTTCCTCTGCAGCATCCGACATATTTTCAGGCGTCTGGTCACTCGATACGGGTGCAGAAGCCTGGGCTGCCAGTTGATCTCTTGTAGCAGTTAAGACGTTTCTGGCTTTATCCAAGGCGGACTGTAGATCCCTTCTAAGCTCTTCAATGTCTATCGGGGGAGGGATGTGGTGCGTGCGAACACTATATGTGCTCACGGTTGGAGGTAGCATGGCCGGTTCATTTTCATCCCATTCTTCCGCCAAATCGCTGACTTCCTCGATGGGACTTTCAGTCAAATCCCCGCCAAAATGCGTCTGTTGAGTCAACATGAGCTTAGGAATATCAGAATCCCGTCTCTTCTTTGCACGGGCCAACTGTCCGCCTTTACCATCCAATAACCCCGTTCGAGCAAAGTAATACTGTAAATGCGCGATGCTCCCTAAACTCATTACGCTCTCGCGATTTTTTGCAGACTCTGCAAATACAGCGCCTTGGGGTCTGATATAGCCACGTCTCCGGGAGGACGTGGAAACCGAGGATCCTCCATCGCCTGATAAATTTGAGACCGAGGATACTGTAGAGAACGTCCGATCGGGAGAAGGGCAGGATGAAATAGCGGGAGTCGGCGACAAAGACGGGGAAGGAGAGAGATCGCGAGGTTGTATGGAGATCGGATCTGGGATCGAACGAGCAAAGGATTCAATGTTGTCTGCCATGGCGGCTATTTGAGCGGGAGGAATGGTTTGTTGGGACGGAGTAAGCGGGAAATTAACAATGAAGCTGTCACGTTGGGAGAAGCCTTGTTTGTGTAAATAAAGCTGAACCCGACTGGAACTGGCGGATGCATGTCACAGGGGAAGGGGAAGGAGATGTTTCAGTACCATGGTGACATTTCTAATGAGTTAATTTAGCTGTTGCGGGCATGGGGGTTTAGTAGCTTGCAACTTGCACCAAGCCAGGAGATGCAGTTAATTAGTTGGGCTTCCTGCGGGCTTCAGGGGGGTTTAGCCTCTCCTTTTTTTATCGCCGTCACATGGTTTTTTTTCAAGCCCCCGCATCAACACCGGGTTGACCGTGAGAGGCATCGGAGTGGTGAAAGTTTGGTGGAGAGTGAAGGACAGGGCTTGTGTCAGAGATAAAAAAGGGTCCTGAGCAAATCAGTGTCTGCACGTCATCCCAGCCGACCGTGCTGAGGACGTTGGCGGAGTTTGGAGACTTTGTACGAGGCCACCGTTGGCTGGTGACGGCCGAGTCGGGAACGTCGCGTCGACCAATTTTGGGCCTAGCGGGGCGGTCGGGGGTCAGATGACTTCATTCCTTTCCACCAGCGCATGCCACGAATCGAGACAATTTCTGCCATCTTCAGCCATATCTCGTCGAAGGGGCAACAAAAGAGGCTCGTTGAGGACCACGGACAACTTGAAAACGCTGGCTACTGGATGCCTAGCTAACTCGTATTCTCCTCTTGTCATCATTGCTCACAATCACTTACAGCATTCTGTGGTCTATCACGAATGCTATGGCCAAACGTGTATGGCACAACCGTTGTTTTGGAATCGACATGCCGTGCATGGACACTAGTTACTGACCGAATAGGGTTTATATAGGTTGCCTTTATGGTCCAAGGGAGAGTGCAAGGTGAGCCCAATTATTTCCTCGCATGGCTCTCGCGAGCCAAACTTTGACTGGACTTAAGCGGGAATAAAACTGACCGGCCCTAGGAGTGTTCTTCCGGTATAGTTCTCATATCTTCTCATGGACCACTAGAGGTCAATGGATGGCCTCTGTAAGCGTGCCATTATCCGCTAACATCGAGTTTACAAGTGATTTCACCCAGAGAAATGCAAACCTCTATGGCTTGACTGGCTGGGTGAGGAATACTACTGATGGAAAGGTGTGAATCCTTGGTTTGTTTTGACCACCCAAACCCATCTCACCTCATGAACACCCTTCATCTTCTTTCGGGAGCAATTTTATCCCTTTCTATCCGAGAAGAATGCCCGGTTGCACGGAGAGTTTATTCGTGTTCAGAGACTTATTTGCACAAAGGTCCAGGGAGAAGCTCAAGGCGATGAAGAATCGATAACGAAGCTCATCGAGGACATTTCGCGGGGCCCTCGACATGCCCAAGTGACAAAGCTGGAAAAGTCCGAGATTGATCCGAAAGTGGGAGAATCTCGATTCCAGGTTGTCCGGTAGATACATTAGAAACGGTTGGGTGGAAGTCTATTGACAAATATTGGGCTCGGAGCGAAGCCTACAGCAGGCTAGATTTCTGTTTTGACATGATTGCTCCCGGATTTCATTCCGTCCAATCATCCCTGGTTGATAGTTAAAATGAAAGAGAGTTAACGGATGCAAATACCAAAGCTCCGCCGTTGAATATCTCTATTTCATGTAATTATGGGTTCACGTGCATTCAAACCCGTCACTACAAGGATGGGTCATCGGAGCGCGATCAATATCCTTTCCAGTGAATGTCGGTCTGAAGGGGCTCCGGGCCTTGCCGGAACCCCTTTGCCGCCACGAGGAGGCTCCCCGTTTGAGACGCTCAGCCGTGCCCGTTGCGATGTCAACGTCCATGGCCAGCCAGTCCTCCTCGAGCGCGTATCTGTCGGTGTTGGTATGGATGTTATGACTCAGCGGCCTGTTCTCGGAGCTTTCCCGGAATCGCCCGAAGTGTCACTTGCTCCGGAAAATTTTACTAGCGGTAATCTATTGCGGCCGTCCTGTATTTTGATGACCGCCGGACCTCATCCATTCTAGTGTAGCTGTCATCAACCCAGTTCCAAGACAGTCGTGGGATGGAGAAGTGCTCAGAAGCATTTCACGCCGGATGCACTCATACGGGATATATGCATCACTTGCGACCCCGCTCACTGGCAAAAATGTACAGCCGGTTTATGGCAGCTCGTTCATGTAAGCACTGCAGCATGACGTTGCGAGGTTTCAGGGATACCTATTGAAGTGCCCGAAATCCCCGAATTAAGAGCCAATGGCAACTTTCATCATTTCTGGCAGTCACAGAACCGAGGCCTGTGGCCTTCCATTGGCTAGAAAAGCTTGATATCGTGTAGTTAGCTCCTAACTTAATAGCATGATGAAGTCATTGGTTTTGAATTCTGTTGCTGGCTATATAAATTAGAGATGCCCCTTTCACTTCTCGAGATCCCTGGGTCGCCGGAATAATCCAAAGCTTGGAAGCGAAAAAACAGCCTGGAACCCCTCGGCCTTAATTCTTCCTCCTCCCTCTACTCATCAGAGGGTCTTCCTGCGCACCTACATCGACGTCTCGACCAGCTCCAGAACAATGAGCACTACGGCAACTTTCCCAGTCAGAGCCCTGGTGACCAGTTCAGCCTCAGCGCGGCTCTTTCAACAATCATGCTTGAAAGCATCCTTGCGTCCGTCAGCGGTGGCCGCAATAGGCATTCGAAGCACAGCCGGAGTGCCATTCCACAACTATATCGCGCCAAATCGCCCAAAATACTTCACCACAACATCGTCAAATAAACTGCGAGAGTTCTTTCCTCCGCCTAAGACGAAGCATGTTGTTGAAACCGAGACACACTTTGAACACCCAGTGTATGTAGAGAGTCTGTATTTCGAATGGGCTAAGAGTTAAACGTTCTGACTCTGTTCGCAGATTCACTGAGAAGGAAATGAAAGACATTGTCGTCGCACATCGACAAACGAGAGATTGGTCGGACTGGGTTGCCCTAGGCACAGTCCGGATGCTCCGCTGGGGCATGGATCTCGCAACGGGCTACAAGCACCCGCCCGCCGGAAAGGAGCAGAAAAAAGTAAAGCCATTCACCATGGACGAGCGTAAATGGATCATCCGTTTTATTTTCTTGGAAACCGTCGCCGCTGTGCCAGGTATGGTTGGTGGCATGCTTCGCCATTTGCGTAGCTTGAGAAGAATGAAGAGAGATCTCGGATGGTGGGTCTTGGGCTGCCCTGCTATCGCCTGCTCAAAAGGATCTAAACGGCTAACATTTCCGTCTCCTCAGGATCGAAACTCTTCTTGAAGAAGCATATAACGAGCGTATGCACCTTCTCAGTTTCTTAAAGCTGGCAGAGCCAGGCTGGTTTATGCGTCTTATGGTCCTCGGTGCCCAGGGCGTTTTCTTCAATGCTTTCTTCCTCTCGTACCTCGTATCACCAAGAACTTGCCACCGTTTCGTCGGCTATCTCGAGGAAGAGGCCGTCCTGACATACACTCATGCCATTAATGACCTTGAGAACGGGAAACTGCCAAGATGGAAGGACATGAATGCTCCTGACATCGCAGTCACATACTGGAAGATGCCTGAGGGCCATCGGAAAATTTTAGATCTGTTGTACTACGTCCGTGCCGACGAGGCTAAGCACAGAGAGGTCAACCACACTCTGGCCAATTTGGACCAGAAATACGACCCAAATCCTTATGCAGCCAAGTACAATAATCCCCAAGACCCTCACCCCACAAAATCCGCCTCCATTATGAAGCCAACGGGCTGGGAAAGAAAAGACGTTCTCTGAATAAGTTAGATTTTGGATGGAGTCTTACCAAAATTCGTGTTTATATTTCGGTAAAAGGGTTTTCTTCTTGGATTTGCATCCGGTTCTCTCAGACATCATCAGAAGCAGGATGCAGGTTTGGACAGTTGGTAGGGAAAAGACAATCTCTCATTTTTGGCGTCAATTGGCGGTTTTGCGGAGGTTCGAATGGTTGGTGTCTTCGGTAATTAGAGGTCTGGGCATCAAAAGACCATGAACGGTTCAAGGTGTTTGATTTGGCATTAGTCTCATTCTTTTTCTTTCGTGCTTGGTTTTTGCATGCATAAGACCCGTACGGAGTACTTATACTGCTCATAAGCTTGTTGTAGCAAACATGGAAAGAATGCATGTGTTTTATATCTAAAGGATATCATGTTGAGACGGTATGTTTGGGCGCAATGGCGGGGAGAGGATGCAAGCTGCCAGTGAGAGCATCAGATTCTTATATTTTGTGCTCCGTAGGGCCGTTTTGGTGCGTTGGCGGCATTTGACAGCCGCCGATTTAGAGCAGCAATTTGATTGGTTAGATAGCTTATTTGAGACCTCTTTATTGGACAAAGCATCTTACACTCAGTTATAAGCCTAGAATCTAATTGGATAAATTATAATGATAAAATACTAGTAGTATCAGAATTAGCCAATGATTGTACTGTGTTTGTGACACTGGTGTATAAAAGTCCTCCGTACGGAGTACAGAGTAACTCCATATTAAAAGGAACTAAAGGTTGCTAGGCGGAGCTGGCTGCACACGAACCACATTCACATCCAGCTAGAAACCTTCACTCGGAATCGTGACTGCAAGTACCTTTCCGCTTGCTTGGAGCTCAACCGCTGAGCATTCGGAGCCAAACTTAATCTTCATACATATACGGAGTATGTTAACCGATTACGTGTAGCCCCACGATTATGGTGTGGCATAATTCTTGTGCCAGAATGCTGCCAGTGCGGTCTTGGAGCCGACGTGCAAATACCAACATCGGCCAGCGGCTCTTTGGAAGTTCTTGGGAAAGGTTTATCTATGCTGCGATGCATAGACAGACCGATAGCTCACCTCCACTACTCCAATATTTTCGCCGCTTTAGCCCTACCGGCAATCGCACCGTTCAGCCAAGTGTCAACAATCTAGACAGCTTGTCTGTTGCTCGCTTACTTACTCCGGCTGCACACTCCAACGGCCTGCCAACACCTGTACTTGGCTTCTTCAGAGATGCCCAGAGCTCAGAGAATTATTCTAAACCGCGAGCGGCCAGGCCAAGCGATACACACTCTGCCTTTCTTGGACCTTCTTCACATCCGGCTCTTACAACCCCTAGGACAAAAGGATATAAGAGGCGTAGTGTGAAATGTTCTATACGCTTTTGCTCCTCAGAGGCATCCAGAGAACGACCACGCAATGTGGCTCAAGTCTCTCAACAGATCAGAGAGTTATGCGCAAATCGAACTAATGATGCCTACCAGCAGACCACTCGCAGAACTACAGAATGCTTTCTGGCGCCCTTCCAAGCCAACATCGATGAAACAATCTGTGCGTCGCCGTATGACTATACCATGTCATTGCCAGGCAAAAGAACTATTCCAAAGTTCATAGGTGCGCTTCAAGATTGGCTTCATGTTCCTCTCACGTCCATGAAGATCATCGAAAACATCGCAACAGATATGGTTAATGTATCTCTAATGCAAGTAATACTACACTTAGTTAACATCGATTGGTCTTGCCTCTAATTAGCTATGCAGGCTAGATGATATCCAGGACGGCTCCGAGCTTCGACGGGGATTCCCAGCCGCTCACGTCATATATGGCTGTAGCCAAACGATCAACAGCAGTACATACATCTTAGTCAAGGCTGTCGAACGCCTGCAGCGACTCAAGAATGAAGAATGTCGCGTTGTGTTTTATGGTAAGTTTGCCTTTTAAAAGCAAAAACATACTAAGGTTTGCGATCGAATTAATGAGATTTCAGAGGAATCGCGGAATCTTTGCGTAGGCCAGGGGTTTGATCTCTATTGGCGCCATCATGTGCAGTGCCCTTCAGTGGATGATTACATTACAATGGTCGACAATAAGACTGGAAGCTTTTTCAGGCTAGCAACTCGGCTGATGGTAGCGGCGGCTCCAAGTTCCTTTGGTTCAGCAGAACTTTTTCAACTTGTGAGTTTAATGGGGAGGTATTACCAGATCCGAGATGACTATCAGAATCTAGCTTCTGACGAGGTGAGAAGAATGTATTGCTCTATCTCTTCTGCGCTTTAATAACGCACTGTTTATTTGTTTCCTCGTTTTCGACCTGGCTCATCTCCTCGTGCCGTCTCTAGTATGCTGCTAAAAAGGGTTTCTGCGATGATCTATCCGAAGGAAAATTCTCCCTCCCGTTAATACACTTTCTTCAACATGCCCCATCGCAAAAAGCAGACCAAATTCGTGGCCTGATATTTCATCGCCACCAAGGGGCCGGATCACCCTTAAAAAGCACTCTTAGCATCGAAACTAAACAGTGGATACTCTCCGAAATTAAGAAAGTGGGAAGTTTGGAATACGTTCACGATATTTTGGACGACATGCACGAGGCGATGTCACGAATGCTGGACGGCTTGGAGAGCGATCTTGGGAAAAATGTGAAGTTAAACGCCTTATTGGCTGGCCTTAAGCTTTGATCCCGTTTCCGTCTATGTCTTCAGGGTTCACATGTCGTTCGGCTTTGAAGGAAGTCGCCCCTGCAATTACGAGGCACCGCTATACGCCAGACCTTGCTGACAAAGAGCCATACTGAGGTGCGAGGGCCAACTGGAATATATCAAAATGGCCAGGCTGGGGAATTAACCGATAAGAATACGTGCCAGATCTCTATGAAAATCTTCCCATTCTCCGGAGTCGCATGCTGTTCAGGGGTCTGCCCCCGTTTCACATTGGTACCGACATTACAAATGGGTTTAGTTTCTCTTTTGGTTTGAATACGCTATTGTCTAACAGGATTGCACGGTCGAAATGTTGAAGAGAAAAGTGAGTGCTCTCTGCAACGCAGTTCAGGCGTGATATACTATTGATGTATAATTATCATTTTACGATACCTTCAATGTTGATATAGTTTTATTTTAACTAGGGGAGAGAATTTAGGATTTTTGGCATTGTGCTGGCTGCATGCAACCACTATACACCCTTTGCTACAGAGAAAAATGAAGCTGCCCAGTAACTGCTAGAATACTAAGGACCCGTACTCCGGTCGGCTGGCTTACGACAGCGAGCATGTAAAATCTTGCATATATATTGTAACTTTTTGGAGCAACGTCTTTGTAGATGTTCATATTCTCGATCATACTTAAAACGCCCTTCGTGCTATATTTCGGCCCTGTGTTGAAGCGAAACACACTCGAGATTTGACTGACTTTTCTCAAGGCATATCCTTTTCCAATCATACATGACTATACCATCTAATGAGCACGGTGAATAGCTGTCATCCTAAGCGTACAAGTTATTTAATCCCCAAGTGCATAGGGGTGCATAATTTGACCATCTGTTCGAGAAGTTAGGGGGAAAGATCTTCGACTTGAGATATGGTTCAGACTTACAGTACAGAGCACCTTCATTGCTTGCCAGCCATATGAAAGTTGGAGCAATTTCACTCGGTTGACCTGGTCTCCCGATCGTGGAACCGGACCCAAAGCCTTCCATTTGTTCGGGAGGCCGAGAGGCTGGCTGGATGGGGGTGTGCACAGGACCAGGTCTAATGCCAAAGGAGACGTTTATTAGCATTTGAAAAATACTAGTGGGTGCGTAGTGGTGGATGCAACACTTACGCTACAGCATTCACACGAATACCCTTTGGGGCTAAATTCTTTGCTAGGGCTCTGGTGAAGCTTACAATAGCTCCTTTTGTCGAGGAATAGTCAACCATAGAGGATGACCCTCTAAACGCTACAACCGAGGTTGTATTGATGACACTTCGACAGTGAGCTGCTAGCTAGCGATATGCATGGGTAATTGACAACTTACGAGCTTCCTTTCTTCATATGCGGAATTGCAAACTTAGTAATGGCAAACATCTGTAAAATATTGCTCTGAAACGTGCTGGCAACGTTGTCTAGGTCGATCTGAGCAAAATCCTTGCACATGATCTGCTTTGAAGCGTTGTTAACCAGAACATCGACTCGATCGTATCTAAAATCTAAAGTTAAGAACGGATAGGCCTAGCGTAATTGGAGTACTCAAGACGTACGCGCTCACATGCTCATCCACCGCCTTCTTGCAGTTGTCGTTATTCATCAAATTTCCGGGGACGAGCAAGCACTTCTTCCCTTCCCGTTCTACCGCTTTCTTTGTGTCATTTGCGTCCTCCTGTTCTTCCGGAAGAAATACGATAGTTACATCAGCTCCTTCCCGAGCCATGAGAATAGCGACTGATCGACCAATTCCAGAACTGTACAATATATTTCAGAACCGACATTCAACAATGGCTCTTCAGGGGAACCAAATCAACGTACTCTCCGCCAGTTATCAAAACTTTCTTGTCCTTGAGCTTGTTGGAACCAACATATTCCACGAATCGGCCTTCAGACTCTAGTTTGGTTGCCTCACTGGTTGGAGTCATGTGCTTCTCATATCTAACTGCTGGTCAGTTGAATTCATCGCCTGAGGTTGTTTGAAGTTTAGCGCTTGGACGTACCCTGGCTGTTGCTGAGCCTGCCCTTGTCGAATAGGCTGAAAGCTGCCACCAGTGCCAGCTCCTGACGAAGCCATTCTTGTATTCTGTAAAAAAATACGTTTCGAGACTCCTGTTCCACGATGTGATTGTTTGTGGAAAGCGAATGCGTCGCTCAAATGATTCGTTTTGTTCAAGACACTTCGGCGAAGCATTAGTTTTAATAATGCCCAATTCGATGGGTCACAGGTTCCCATGAAAGTAGGGCCATTTTATAGTGTGGCATATATATATTCCATATATGCTGTCTGCTAGAGGGTTACTTCCCATGAGATCATATCTTGCCAACATGGAGACTCGGGGGCATAAATCTTGGACGGGAGAGCCGCGTTCTTGCGAACCAGCGATTGCTACCAAGTTTGGATAATTGGGTATGTCATTGGACAGTTAAACATACATACGCCATCCATTATCCAAAAGCGCCAGTATAACCATGTGCGTCCGGTACAACAAATGCTCCGTACACATGGCGATATGGGTGCTGCTCGAATCATCTGGCGCGTGATGGCTGGAAGTCTCGACTGAGGGGTGACGTCATGAGTTAATGACTAAGCCCTGACATAAGTCAGGGGTGTCTTGGCATCGCATCTTTGAGCGGGCCAGGGGAATGAAACCACCAAGCGGCGAGGAATTCACAAGTGACGGCAGAAGAGGGCCAGTCCGTCGCTATTGCAAATGGTGATGGTAAGATGAGCCTGCTGAGCTGGTTACGGAGGTTGTACTCCCTGGACACTCTCGACCCCCGTTTTACAGCGTCAGCAAACCAGAATCGGCCTTTCGCTGGGGGAACGAGAAATGCCGGAGGCGCAAAGCCAGCGAAGAATGGCGTATCTCCGTCCAGATGGAACACTCCCGAGTTCTACATTTACTATGTTGTCTTCATCATCGCTGTCCCGATGATGTTTAAGACCGCAATTGATGTTTCTCAGGGTGAGCGCAGAAAGCTACAAAAGAAGGGTACCTGGCTTTATGCTGAGCGTCGTTATAGAGTCTCACCCGACTTACTCGAATTATTCTGAGCTCCTTGCTCCTGGATGGATCCCTGGTCGCAAAGTGGTAAGCGCTTTGTGTCCCAAATTCCTCTCAAGCCTAATTCTTACGCTTTGTTTCAGGACAATTCCGACTTCCAATACGCCAGCTTCCGTGATAACATTCGCTATATGGCACTGTTGATCATTATCCATCCGTTGCTTCGCCGTCTCTATAATCATTTCTTTCCTTCTAAGCTAGCGAATTCACCGTCCCCCAACAAACCTGGTGTCGCAGTGGGACATCCTTCGGCTACCGCAGCCCAATCGAGATTCGAGAAACGAGTGTCCTTTGATTATTGGTTTGCATTGATATTCTTAGTTGCTCTTCACGGATTTTCTTCTTTGAAGGTATTAGGAATTCTCTTAATCAACTATAACATAGCAACGAATCTCCCAAGACCTTATATACCAGCGGCAACATGGATATTCAATATCGGCATTTTGTTCGCGAACGAACTTCTGCACGGGTACAAGTACGCCAGGATTGCAACCTCCATTGCGTCTATGCTCGGTCTTGGTGTAGATGCCGATATCAGCTCCTGGGGAGAGTGGCTCGATAGTTTGGGGGGTATCGTTTCACGATGGGAGGTCCTTTTTAACATAACCGTTTTGCGGCTTATAAGTTTTAATCTTGACTACTATTGGAGTCTAGATTATCGGGCTGGAAGCCCACTGGAGGTACAAAATTCATCCCTGCCCTCGCAACCATCTGCAGATGGCCCTTGCTAACATGCCAAAGAAGAAGCAACTCGATCCATCAGCCCTATCCGAGCGTGATCGCATCTACACCCCCGCTGATCCGTTATGTTTCAACGTTAGAAACTATCTTTCATACACTCTATATTCGCCTCTCTACCTTGCCGGTCCCATAATCACATTCAACGATTATATTCATCAGCAGAAATATCAACCGCCTTCAATATCAAAAACTCGCACTTTGTTGTATGGCGTGCGCTTCTTACTTACACTGCTCTCCATGGAATTGATTCTCCACTATATCTACGTTGTCGCCATCTCTAAATCATCCCCGGACTGGTCTATATATACCCCCTTCCAGCTGAGCATGTTGGGATATTTCAACCTCCATATCATCTGGCTGAAGCTTCTCATTCCATGGCGATTCTTCCGCTTATGGGCTTTGATTGACGGCATCGATCCCCCCGAAAACATGGTACGATGCATGTCAGACAATTATTCTGCCCTCGCCTTCTGGCGAAGTTGGCATCGATCGTTCAATCGATGGGTAGTCCGGTACCTTTACGTTCCTCTCGGCGGCAGTCGAAGTGAACGCAGCGATAAACCTTTTGTTTCCAAAGTGCGTGGCGTAATCAACTTCCTTGTCGTTTTTACTTTCGTTGCCCTTTGGCACGATATAAACCTCCGTCTCCTCATGTGGGGCTGGCTCATCACCCTTTTCGTTCTCCCTGAAATCCTTGCTTCTCTGCTCTTTCCAGAGCATAAATGGCGTACAAGGCCGAATACATACCGCGTACTTTGCGGGGTTGGCGCTGTGGCCAACATACTTATGATGATGGCGGCAAATTTGGTCGGGTTTGCGTTGGGGTTAGACGGTTTGCAAGGTTTATTGAGCGGCATTTTGGGATCGTATGCAGGTCTGGCGTATCTCGCAGGGGCTTGTGCGGCGGTCTTCGTTGGAGTTCAAGTTATGTTTGAGATTCGCGAAGAGGAATCCCGTGCTGGTATCCGGTTGAAGTGCTGATTTGCAACATGCACACGTTCCAGAAGAGTAGTTCGTCCCTGTGGTTACAATTTCATTTTATTTCCAAATAGACCGAGTTCGACGGTCTGAGACGGCCTGTTATGTTGTACATTATTGTGACATGCATAGAACATAGCGTTAGATTCTTCAAGGTCATAGCAATCAAGGGTTCGGAGCAATAGTTGCCGGAATATAGTCCGAAAACGAGCCAAAAGGCCAACTCTCTTTGATCTGCGAGCCACCCCTGAGCAAAACACGCATTATGACCCTACTTTTTGGGTTCAGGCGCTAGAGTCGGATGTTGTACGATTCACATGATGGCAATCTCGGAACCGTATAATCTTCAACCACAGTATCAAAGTCATCCCTCTTCGAAGGGTACGACTCAATAATTTTGACACTTCACATAGCTGTCGAATAAATAAATAGGTACCGCACCTTTCCCGATATCGGTGACTACCGCTTCCCGGGGGGGAGATAAATGGAGCAAGGATCCCTATTTAAAGAGCCTTTTCTGCTATCATCAAAGGGGGCCCGGAAGTATCTCATGATGGATAATCTTTCGCGAGGTGCTTGGATTTCAAGGAAGCCTTCATGCTGTTAAATATTTCACGCAAAGATCCGGCCACAAGCCGTCTCATCATGTGTTCTTTGGCATTCTAAGCCGCACACCCTTGCTTGGCACCTGATACACTTCAATTTTCCCCAGTATCCACAAATTCCGCAGAATTGCCGCGGACGTTTACGATTCAGCTCGTCGGGAAACGTCGCACGGGATGTCTTATAGGTGAGCGGTGGTTCCGAAAGGAGAGCCTGCACGATACGCTCTGAGGGCGCGGAAGGGATATACGAGCGGAGAAGGGGATCATTGTCGAATTCAGAGGTGATTAGTTGGGATACTACTGGCTCTGGAGGGTCTGGGCGAGGTTGCTTTGATATTTTCGGTGTAGTTTTAGAAGATGTGGGGGGTGTTTTGCCAGCTCGTGGAGCGTTTGGACGCGGCGCGGTGGTCGGAGCGAGTAAGACAGCGGCCTCTTCGTCGTCGAGATAGTTTTTGAAAGCTTTCTGAGACATTAAGATGCGGCGAACATTGGAGGTGGTCTTGCCTCGCGAACCTATCAACAACACTTTTGTAAGCTCCTGAGAAAGAAGAAAATCATGATCGAGGGTGAAGAGGTCGTACCCCTTGAACTGGAATCCTTCTGCTTGGTTGGAATCGGAATATGGACATCTTTGGGGTTATCCCGATCAAGCTCTGCGAGTCGTCTCAAAATCGCGTTCTGCTGCTTCGATGAGATATCTCCGCGTCCGATTGCAGAGTCTCTCACGCCTCGTTTTCGCCCGGCGGTGGTAGCTCTACCCTGGCGTGGGATGTCAGGACGGATGTCTGGAACGTAGGCCCAGCCCGGTGCGGAGGTATGGGACGTGCCCGTGGGCAAGACCTCAATGAGGTGCGACATTTCGATAATAATAATTGGATGCCTGTCTGTGCTTGCTAGGTTGGATCAATTGTCCCATCGGCGTGGTTTTGGAGAGAGTGGCGGGAGGTGGTGATGTTTGGCTTGTTTGCACCACAGCTTCTGCGCAGCCAGTCGTTGATTTCTACTAGGGGGGAAATTTAAATTGTTTTCTTTCTTCCTTTCTTCCCTTTCTTCCCTTCTCTCTCTCCTTTTTTTTTTTTTTTTATTATTTTTTGAAAAGAACAAAGCTCTAATAATGCAGAAGAAGTATCATTGTTATTGGGTACCAAATAATGCAATGCAGATGAATCTTGTGTGGATCGGAAGAGAGCAACTTCTGCATCACAAACAGATACCATTACCCGCTGTATTCTTTTGCACGCATTCTGTTTAGGTTTTAAATGGTAACGACCTCGAGATCTAATTGCTGAACACAAAAGCTCAAATTACATACAAGTACACACAGCGGATAAGCAGAAATGAACTTGCAAGAGCCGAATGAGGGAGACAAACATTTCATGGGGAATGAAGGCAGTCGCGACGAAAGCCAGCCAGACGTGAGTATGGCGTTTATAGTCATTTTTTCTTCTGCAACTGGTCCAGTTTGCCTTCCAATTCCACTACGTAAGTGGAAAGGCGTTGCGTCGCAGCTTTTAAGGCCTATAGAAACCCAAGTAATCCCGAAAAAGCACAGGTCGTCAGCCTCAAACGTAGATCCAAGGAAACGGGGCACAAGGTATCACACTAAAAGCATCGAATCTAGTCTATCTATGCTGAAACAGTATTATAGCCCCGGGCAACGTCCCGGGGCCTCTATTATAGCAGTCCCGAAATAAACACGCAAGGTATTGTCCCTAGAAAGGACGTGCATGATCCAGCGTTCGAGAAGTTGCAGCAGGCACAGAAAAAGGGGGAATGCAGCAGACACGGCAACGACGTTTCTTAAATGCAGTAACGTACGTAGATGTCTTCCGTCAGCATGTCATTTGACAGTCTGTATTCCTGTAGGATATAATAGTAGACCGAGGCGCCTGCGAGTGTGGAGCCGAAAAGGAATCCAAATATTCTGGAAGTGGCACAGACATGAAGGTTAGATATATTTCGTCAAAGGTAGGATAAATAGGCAAAAGCTGTCATCATACCCTCCTCTAAAGGCCCCAAGAGGCTTGTATCTTGGGAGAACCGTGTCCACTGAGTTGAGCAGCTGACTGGAGGTCGAAAAAGGAGCAGCTCTGTGGACGCGTGTGAAGGCAGGCGACTTCGCCATTGTCCGAAGCAGCGGAGAAAATGCTCTCGAAGTCATGATGATGATGTTCTGTTGACGAGGAGTATTTGAAGTAGAATGTCGTGATCAGACGTCGAAATGTTGAGCTTTGGCGTTCGTTTTGTTCCGTTTGATTTCTGGCTTGGCAGCGGAGGAATTGAATTTCAGGAGATTGACAGCTGGCGATGCAGAGCGAGAGCAGTTGAATCGAATATCCGGTGCTCTCAAGCTGGAAGATTGAACCGATAAGGAGGGAATGGTGATAGCGACTTTGAATCTGAATGCGGTCTGCCTTTTCTTTTCTTTTCTTTTTTTTTTTTTTTTTTATAATTTAAATAAGGCTCCTTGCTCACCGCACCATTGGCGCTTTTGTTTCGAAGGTTGAAACCCTTGCACGCCACACACGGAGCACAATTCACCGGAAAAAGGGATGCTTTGGCAAGCCTAAGACCGACACCAACGCATGGAGTCCTTGCCACGGCGTTACATACATGTGCAACGGAGTCTCTGTCCAATGGCTTGGTTCGAAATCACCTCGGCTCCACCGAATAAAGCAGACCGAGGCGTCACGTCTAGATGAAAGCTTGATGAGAACGGAGTCCAGAGTAGCAGTTAAATACATATTTCTTGACTTTGTACAGAGTAATTGAATATACAGTGATTATATTACATTTGCATGAAAAGGCCTTTAGCTCGCAATTGTAAAGTCGTTGAACAAGTCCGCCAGCAAATCATCTTGACACGCCAACGAGTCAGGGCTCCCCAGGCTATATGTGCTCTCAAAGGCGTGGATGCTGAGACGCGTGAAAAATGGCCTCAGAAGTCTATCTACTATTTCATCCTTGGCTGTCTCTCTACTCAAATCGGTACCAAGCCATAGACGGTTGAATTCATCGTCACGTTCGCCAGTTTCGTGAAGATGTGCCGTGGAGCCGTTTTTCGTAGTGCCCAAAGCTAGAGCAATCTCGTCCGCCAGTGCCACGGCCTCCCATCGATCTGGTGGGTATATAATATCGATTGTATCCGTGACAAACAGCCATTCCTGCAATTGGAAGTCATCTGGCGATGTAAGGAGCAAAGTCTCCAGAAGCTTGCAGGCCTGCAACAGGCAATACGGATTGTACGTCTCTGATTCCCGTCCCGGAGCGATGGTATAAACCACTTGTTGAAGCTCGGTATTAATCAAGGGCCAAAACGGCGCTAGATGGATTGTAGAAGTTTTAAGAACCAGTGCCCTGAGCACCATGTACACCTCAGCTCTCGTTGCGGAAGAGGGTGACGAGATATGCGTGGCGGCGAGGAGATCTTCTAACTTCTGCTGAAGCACAGATAAATCGCCGCTAAAATGATCCTCATCTGCGGCCAGAATCAAAAGGGCAATCCTGCGGAGATTCAGCTGCGATTTACGGTCAGCTTCGAGTCGAGCTGCCGAAGCGCCAACACCAAACATTATCCCGGCGGATGAAGGCTGTGAGAGTCGAGACAATAATTCTGGAAGACGCTCTTTGTCCGTAAGCGTCCATTGGCGGAGGAGACCTAGCCAGTTGCTCTTCACAAGATTCAGCTTCACGGCGAAGAACTTAGGGTCATTTAACGCATCCCCAACGTCCTTTCTCCAGTATCTGGAAGCACTTGGGATCTTTGACATTTGTTGAAGGATATCTAACATGGTTTTATTGATATTTTGTGGGAATAGTCGAGAGTGAAACAAGGGTGCGAGTATATTTGTCGAAATGTTGGACATGGCGGACGCTATACGATCTGCGTCACCTAATGAGGTCATCAATGCTGGCATGATGGAAGATAGAATACTGTAAACATCGTCCGGTCCGATTACTAGGTCCTTGCTCAGCGAGGAAACCTGGTTGTCTGGATTTTGAACCGCGCGGGACGTTGACGATTGGTCTTGAGACGCGCCTGTCGGCTTACTAGTCGAAATGGCAGTGAGAAGCCTCAAAAGTATGTCCTGTTCAAAGTCAGACTTATTTCTGGCACGACTATTAAGTAAGATGACTTACTCCTAAGTCCCTTTTAGCACGTTGGTCTTCCCCGAAAGTTGTATGCTCCATCTTTTCGCCCAATATTGCCGCAAATTCCAACAGCCGAGATAGAATTTGGCGATGGGGAAAAGGATTACTTAGAACATCTCGTAGGAATGTTGTGCAATCCAACCAAATCTCATCTAAGACGTCTTCATCTAGCGATCTCGCATACATGACCAAGAACGCCGCCAAATCTGCCTCAGTTAAGTGGGACATCATGGCTGACTTGCGACTTGGATCCAGGGCTGCCGGGTTCGTTCGACTATAGATTGCATTGAAGACTGCCGGAATGGCTACTTTTGGTCTAGAACCCTCCAGCGTGTGCAGGAGGTTAAAAACAGATCTCCCGGAAATTCGATTATCTCCTCTGAGCGACGTACGCCAGAGGTCAATCAAAGTCTCTAAGCACTCCAAAGTTTCCGCGGTGAATAAATGCTCGAGGATACGCCTAGATCTGTTCCGCATTCTCAGTGACGTATACTGAAACGACGCTTGACAATCGGAGTCCCGTGTATCTTTGCCTCGGCCACTGTCACCCCAGGCCCAAATCGAATAGCACAAACGCACTGCATCTTGGAAACAAAGAAGAACAGTTAACCGATCGTTGGCAGTAGCGCTGCGAGGCTGGCTAACCTCAGCGGTAAAAACTCCCGAAACCATGTTGCCAAAGAAGCCCTGCGGCTGATCAGGAGTTTTTGTTGCCGAACCATGTGATTCCTCGAGCAATAGGCGGTCATGGGCTGTAGCAATGCAATTTTCTAACGCAGTGAGTAAGGCGATAGTAACATGCTCTGACCGGTTGTGGGAGGCGCTTTCAGTTTGTTGGAACATTAACTGGAGTTCTTTATATGATTGGTTTATTTCCTTGCAGAGGCATTCCACCAGTTTTAAAAGCACCTGAAAGATAACCCCCAGATAGAGTGGCAAACACTCTGTGAGGAAATGTACCCATTTATCGATCATGGGCCGTGAAGACTTCGCGCGAATGCCCTTCAGTAGACAATCTAGAAGTTGAGATGGAGGCTGTGGCAACTGAGATATAATATAATCCTTCTCCGATCTCTCCCCCGTGAAAGATAGCCTTGATATGTTTGACAATGCCTCCAATGAACTCCTTCTACGTTGATTTTTGGAAGCCATGGCAGCAGATAGTTCCCTTGTGTCATGTGCGAAGCGGATTTTGAGGGAAGGTAGAATGGCATCTATTATAGCACTTTGGAGCGTAGTTTCGTTCCTATCCAGACAAGACGATAGCTGTTCGATAAGAATTGTATCCAGGCTGAGAGGATAAAGTGAGTCTGCGCCGGGGCCCAAGAGAAGTTGATGTAAGACAAAAAGTGCAACTTCTTGTAAGCCCTCTCCACGTAGACCCATGTTGGTGGAGATTTGTTGCCTCTCTTTGAGTACTCGTACCGATAGTTGCGCGATTGTACTCTGTAAGCTCGATCTATCTGTAGGAATATGAGCTATATAACTTCTCCGGCTTCCTTGGGAAATAACATTTCACCTACCTTCAACATCAGTCTGGAGGGCTTGCTTGCTACAATTAGGAGAGATCTTGGAAGTGAGAGCGGACCAGCCAGCATGATTTAATGCTAAAATGGTATTTAATACCGCCTTAAACAAGTAAAGGCATTGGACCCCATCATCTAGTCCAGCTTTTGCGTCAATACCGCTAGGAATGGAGATATCAGGTCTGAAATACTGAAACTCGGATAATTTTGAGGTCAATATATCTAAGACACTAGACGCTTGTGAGTGGCTGCCCTGATCCAGGAGCAATAGACAATTACATACTGATATGCAGTCGAGGGGTCTTGGACCCATTGTTTGACCATTGAGTATGCCCTACCAGGACCGGAGGCAAGGAGATCCAATGCTATGAAAAGTGGCCGTTCGAGGAGTGAGAGCCTGTAAGCCGATTGCGAATCCCGACCAGGTGTTTGGTCGAACGGATATTCCCAGATAACCCTTGATGCAGAACGACTACTGCCAGCTTGATAGCTATGATTCCAGAGAACAAAAAACTTTTCGACTCGATCGACCGAGGTTCGGTGCGAGAAGCTCGATGTTGTAGATGGAATCATCAAAGATGTAATTGCGGCCTCAACAATGCGATCATTCCAAGATATTGAATGTAAAAGCCAGAAGCAACGAACCGCCTCTACATGAAACACCGGGCTCAATGGGGATAGGAATTCCCACAATTGCTGCACCAAATAAGGCACAATATCGCAGATTTGGCCATACGAGATATAGCTACCGGTTTCATGAGTGGAATACAATGTTGTAACAATGGAGCATATCGCAGAGAGCGTGGTCATTGATAATTGTCCCTTTGCGACGGAAACCTTTTCATACATTGCCAGGTAAAGCTCTCCACTTTCAAATATTTGTGATAGCGGGACTTTCTTGAGCAGTGATAGAAGGAAATTTATCTGGTCTTTCGGTCTGGTGTGTGGCTTTTCTGCTTTAAGGGCGTCAATAACTTGAGAGTGCGCTTCACAAATAAGCAACTCTGCCAGGATTTTCGGCGTGAATGGCGGTTCCGGATCGTCAAGGCTCTCTTTCGTGATAGCATAGAATCTATGGAGTTGCAAAGATATCTCATCCAAAGTCATAGTTTCTGCAGTCATTATCATCTGATGATGAGATTGATTGCCTTGTGGCTTTTCGATGAAAGCCCTGCCGGGAATCAAACCTAGCAGGTGGTGGGCGATCCAAGATGCCTCGTCGAATGCTGACTTAGAGATTTCCGAGTTCTCCTTTGTGGATGATAGAGTTTTCATTGTAACAAGAGTACCAAGGAGTAGGAGTGGAACGTGAATTGTCAACATTTCTTCCTCTTTGATGTTAAAGTGGGATATGGCAAAACGTGCGAGCCGTAGGTTCCCTAACACTTTATCAGATACGTCCTGATTCATGTCAAGGACGAGAGTAAGTAGCTCAGAGAATATTAGGCTGCTTTCAACACCGTCGAAGAATGCACTTGCAGATCGGAGGACTTCATCAAAAGCCTTTGGGGTTGCAACCCGATAGTATTCCTGCACGTTTCGCAAGACAGGAAGAAATATCTCTGGTACAATCAATCCACCAACTTCCCAACGATCCATTAATGACAGCGATATTCGGAACGGCTTCGCTCGTTCCTGTGGAACCGTATGTTTCCTTGCAATCATCCCTTTAATGCTGTTCACAAGCGGCACCAAACCGAAGCGTGCAAAGTATTTAGATTTTGGTATACCCTTCTCTGATGGAAACATTGAGCGCCCACTAGTAATGGATTTTAGGTCAGAATCGCCATTTTCGTCGGAGTTCTGAGCTAGATCGGGCCCGAGAAACCATGTCCAGAGCCTGCGATTTAAGCTCATATCTCTTCGAATGACCACTCCTGCAGCTGCAGCAACCAGCAGCTCCAAGTCATCCGCGGATATACGAGTCTGTAAAACTGGGGAATGAAGGGGTAAATGGGTAACAAGTAAGTCCAGGTAATTTCTTTGCACAAGCAATTGATCATCTGCTAAACCGGTTGCGAAGCATCTTATAAGCAGGCCAGGCTCGGGCGAAGTCAGAGATGCGATCGAAGCAGATATTTCTGTTTCTTCTTCCGGGTGTGCTTGGTTCAATGGAGCAGCCCATGGTGCATGTCCTCCCAGCTTTGGGAAATAACGGTTTAGATAGGCCAACACTCCCATTCTCCTTGTAGGACTGGTGATGGATGCGAGGAACAGGCACTGCCAAAAGTATTGACTGCCGGCGTGAGAGTCGGACGCACTAATATTTCCCTTAACCTCACTCGAGATATCTCGAAATCGATTCACTATTCTGAGAGTGGTCTCGAAATCCTCGCTAGTCTCTTCCTCTAAGCCGGGAAGCAACGATAGCAGTATTGCTTTCAAAGCCGGTCGGATGCATACCGCATCTAAATGAGCAATATACGTTTCAACTAGCGAGAGGAACAAGGGTCGAACGGAAAGCGACGCAAAGGTAAGGGTGGGTGCAAGACCGGGTAAGTAAAGCGAAAGATCGCGAGCGAGGCCATCTGGCTACAATGATAAATGAGCTCATGTTTATTGTGAAGAGCAAGAAGGGTTGTTTTGGCCAGAGATACCTTCAACAATGCGAATATGTAGCCGTATACCTCGAGTGCCTTTTGATGTACACCAGAAGGGAGTGAAGGATTCAGGCATTGAGCAAGTCTCTTAGCAACGATGACTTTCTCTGGGACGACCGCCAAAGACAGGGGGTGAGATTGAAGAGCCTATGATCATCATAATATCTCAGCTTATGTAGAATATAACTATATCGGCGTGCTCCTAACCTTGAGTAAGCGGCTCAGAAAGGAGATGTAGTCTGCCCATTCCTGCAGAGTCGTGTCGAATAGGGACAGAGCCCGCTCGACGTTGGAGGCATAGCGCCGATAGGCTTTGTCCTTTTTAAGTCCATCTAACACCCGCAGTGGTTAGTATTGCGTTGCCAAAGCTCAAGCCCTCATTCATGCTCGCCTACCTTCGTATGCGCGGCTTTGGTTTTTAGGCAGCGAAGCTTCAGAGCTCGCAGGAGACGAAGACCTTGCCAGACTCGCCGGATCCAGACTCATGATTGTGCCCGACAATAATATCTCCTTCGAATACACAGATTGATCGTCATCTTTGGCTGAAGCGCTGAGCTTGGTGGAGCCGAAGACCGGAGGACACGGTGGTTTTGTTATTGAAATAGTTCAATGCGCTTCGTCCCACAAACTCCACAGCCAACCCGATGACCTCACAACCCCGTTCCGTCTCAACATCATCGACTCTCATGATAGCAGTATTAAGAATACCCTGTACCACTTGAAGAATATAAATTGCATATCCCTTCTTCCCAACAGACATATTTTTCGAAGTCAAATATATTTCCACACATGTGCTTACTCGTATTTAATCTTCCAAACGACAAGTGTGGTGGCGACCATTTGAGGCGAATCTCCATGCAAATGACCCATCTCAAATGGATACTGGCAAAGAGAAAGACCGCTTAGATACGGAAAACCCATCGTTAATAGCTGGCAATACAAAGCAGCAAGCTACATCTCAAAGTTCTGAGAGTAAAACAAAGCTTGCTGTTGAAAAGGACACCGACCCTCCTCTCCCATCACGCCCAACAACCAGGTCTGCGACAGGGCGATCCAAGGCCGCTCCCGATACCGTGCTATCCATACGGCATGCCTCAAAGAATGTTCTTCAATCCAAGCCTACAACAGCTGTTTCTCTACAGGATATCAATTCTCAGACCTTCCAAGAAGGCTCCAACGATATCTATTCACTACTAGAAGCAAGATCAGGTAACGAGGAGGCTATCAAGTCCAAATGCAGTTTGAATCGACCCGGGAGCGGGAAAGAAAGCGATGCAGCAGATTCTGCTAGCGTCAAATCCGTCATTCTCGGAGAAGGAACGCCAGTTGAGGTGGGAAGCATTTTCGGCGATTTTACTGGCGCAGGTCAACCACAGCCGCTATGGGATACAAAGAGAAAACAAGTGAATATATTTGATCGTAGTGAGCCTGGACTAGAGGACGACGACCTCAGTCTAGACTTTGAAAGCGAATTTGATTGCGTTGAAGATATCGCAGCAGACGATAATGGCGGTGAGTGCTAACCAAGGTCTAGAGATCCCAAATCAGGTGGCTAACTCGGTTTTATAAATAGACAAAATCTTGGAAGAGTGGAGACAAAAAAGAAAGCATTATTTCATATTATCCGCGGCAGGAAAGCCAATTTACACCAGACATGGTGATGATGGTCTGATATCACCTTATATCGCCATCATTCAAACCATCATTTCGTTCCATCAGGAATCCAGCAATCCGTTAAAGAGTTTTAGTGCGGGTAGAACGAAGATTGTCATCCTTTCGCAAGGCCCACTACATCTTGTTGCAATAAGTCGCCTCCTGGAGAGCGATTCGCAACTGAGGAATCAACTTGATGCCCTATACATGCAGATTCTCTCTACGTTAACACTGCCTGCTTTGCAACACATCTTTGCTGTACGCCCATCTACAGATTTGCGGCGGCCCTTACAAGGAACGGAGTCCCTCCTATCGTCCCTGGCGGACAGTTTCACCAAAGGTTCTCCTTCGACCCTCGTTTCCGCATTAGAATGCCTTAAATTGCGAAAATCATATCGTCAGCAAATAAATAGCATTCTTCTAAAGTCAAGAGTGGAACCGCTCCTTTACGGACTCGTTGTCGCAGGGGGGAGGCTTGTGAGTGTTATTAGGCCCAAGAAACATTCTCTACACCCGGGGGATTTACAGTTAATATTCAACATGATTTTTGAAGCGGATGGAGTGAAAGCGGGCGGCGGCGAAAGCTGGATTCCAATATGCCTCCCCGGATTTAATAGCAGAGGCTATTTGTATATGTATGTTAGTTTCCTCGACCTTCACGATCACCTACCAGAAGACGACAAGGATATCAATAAAGACGATGCGGTGGCCATCATTTTGATCAGTGCAGACAAAGAGAGCTTCTTCGTGCTGCGAGAGATGCGAGATTCGGTTGTGCAAGTAAGTCCTTTCCCGTAATTTAAGCTCGTCAGGTTGTGATTAATTTCATTTAGGAAATGGAGAAAAGCAACAGCAAGAATATTATCAGGGCAGCTATCGAGAAAGGTCGCCCGACCACCACGGATATCGTTCCAGGCACCGTTCTCCGACATTTCCTCTATAAATCTAAATCCAATGTTCAGTTTACCATGTCATCCTATTCCCCTGATTTCACAACCCTAGTCGCACGTCGAAGGTATGTCCTATATTCTAACAATACGATCTAAGCAGGGCTTAACTAGGTTATACGCAGGTTGCTATCTACCTACCATGGCCTACATAGCAGCGTCCATTCTAAAAATACACATGTCAAGGTACAACACTGCGCCTCCAGGTTTATGAATTCTCTAGCATGGGTAACTCCGAATTTTGAATTGTACTGCGTGGCTTCACCCAACAGCAACAAAAATGCTTTATCTCAAAGCGCAAATAAGATAGCCCAGTGGGTGCAACAGGAGGATGAAAGGGTCTTCATCATCGGAGGTGCTGTAAGTGATCATGCAGAAACCAGTCAAATATAATCCGAAGATTTTCGAGTGAGAATGCTAACTTTTGGAAGGTTTTCTGATTTTGACATCAAATATAATAACCAACCCGTAGTTATAGTTAAGGGAAATTATGATCTTACATATTGATCTTTGACATAACGTTACATACGCATGCAGAATCTCTCTGTGGTGATTGGACTAGGCATGGTCGGAAGAACAGGCTATGCCCACCTAGCTTCCTCGACGAAATCAACTAGTTGTCTATGATCATGTCTGCGTTTATTATAGTTTATCGCCGATGGAGCTAAAGACAAGTATCTCTTGCAAAGTCACAAAATTGATATCGATATTCTAAAAGTGAAGCCAAAGGAGAGTATTGAGGTATTGCCAGTCAAGTAGGCATCATTCCAATAGCAAGAGAATTGCTAGCCTTTGACTTAGGCGCATGCTTCGATCTGGATGATGAGGATTTCGATCGCCACTGACCAGATCGTGCTTTTTTGCCGGAGCCACTGCTAAATGATTTATCCTTCCGAGCTTGCCTAGGGGCCCGGTCGCTTTTTGAACTGAACGACCCCTTTCTCGAAGTTCGTGGTTTTCCCGGACTGCTATTATTTTTCTGGGAACTTTGGTATTCAGTCACTATATAACGAATCAGCTGGTTTGAACTTTTAAGGAATCGTTGAGGCAGCTATATATCTTACTTCGGGATCTGAAACTAGTACTTGACTGAGATGGCCTACTGAAGTACCGGCTTTTTGTTGCTCCAGTCTCTTCGGAGGGATTTGGGTACTCCCGATAATCATCGTCATCTCTTTCATCATCACTAATAATAGTGACCACATTGTGATTTGGGTCCGGGACGGGTAATTCCTCTCGATCGTGATTGTCCACGGCATCTGCAGTAAACTCGTCGTAACGCTGTTTAGACATATCAACGAGCTTTAAGAACTTATCGCCGTATAAATCTACTTTCTCGGGGTCAATATCGGGAATTCGGAGCAGTTGACTCTTATCTTAGTATTCCTTCAGCAGTGGTCATATAGCAGTATAACAGGGGGTTGACATACTTTTGGGGAAGCGAATCCCCATCTCACGTAGAACTCTATCTGGAAAGGGTTGGCTCCGAAGGTTCTTTTTCAACATAATCTGTGACTGTCTCAGCAATGTCACCGCACAGGCGCCTAAGAAAACCACTTACAGCTTGACATTCCTTCTTTGCCATTAATAAAAACTCGTCCAAAATCATGGTTTGAAGTTGAGTTAGGCCATGCCGGCTTCCGTCATCCGTGATTCGCGGGCCAACATCACGAACTCGGGATCGAAGCAACCTTCCACCCTGGCGAATAGGCTCAAAGCCATCGCTATCGCTTTCATTTTCCTCCTCTAAATCATCCTCAAAAGAATTTGCACACTGCTTCCTAGCACGACGTCGGGATACGCTTTGGATAGGAGAAGAAACGTTTGTTGATTGGGGGAGTTCATCCATCACCGCTCGAACACCTGTTACATTAGAACCCAGGTTTCTCTTCTGTGACTTCGACAGGGGTTTTGTAAGTTTCTTGGAATTCGGGGATACCCTGACCGCAAGAGTAAATTTCTGGCATCCAGACCTAAAGTCAGCAGCCCTAGGGCCTAATTCGACGAATTGCTCGGTCATGTTTTTGTGGTTAGGAATGTTTCTTTCAACCAAAGCTCCCTCCGCAACAAGCTTCCCAAACAAGCGCTCAACGTCGTTGCGATCTAAATCGGCACCCATTCCGTATTCTTCAATTCGGGTATGCTCTTCTCGCCAGAATCTTTTAGGGTTGATACCTCTGAAAACATCGATACAGTAAAGGAGGGTTACCCTGTCATTTTGTAATCGGCTCACGAGCTTTAGAGCTGCGGTAGCATATCTAGTAAAATCGAGGATTTCGTGCTTCGAGCCTGACTGGCAGTTGTCGCATGTGCGCATACAATTCTCTCGTTTGAAGTTCTCACTGAAATACGCCAAAATCTGTACTCTTCGGCAATCGCTCTTATTCTGACAAAATTGAACAACATGCTGGAGCATTTGATGCTGTCGATCTTTTTGTTGTCGATCTTTTCTGCCATTTTTCTCGTCATCGATGATTTTCCGGATGGCGACCACATCTCGGTATCCATAGAACAGAAAACACTCGGATCGTTTGCCATCTCGCCCAGCTCTCCCTGTCTCTTGATAATAGCCCTCCAAACTCTTTGGGATGGTGTGATGAATGACAAAGCGGACATCTGGCTTGTCAATTCCCATGCCAAAAGCAATTGTAGCCACGATGACATTATGTTTTCCATCTTGCCATTCTCGTTGAACACGAATTCGATCATCAGGTGCCATGCCAGCATGATAATGAGTAGCCTTAACGTGGTATTTTGTACACAGATCCTTCGCAACTTTTTCGCAATTTTTTCTTGATAGACAGTATATTATCCCAGTTTTCCCGTAGTGAAAGTCAATGATTTTGGCAATGTTTTCAAGCACATCTTCGTGATTCCCTTTTACCCGGACTTCGTAGGTAAGGTTCGGACGGTTGAATGACTGAGTAAACTTTTCACAGCCATCCATACCAAGATTATGGATAACGTCAACCTTCACATTTTGCGTTGCTGTCGCTGTAAGGGCCATCAAAGGTACTCCAGGAAAGTGACGTCTAAAATCTCCCAGTTCCTTATAGTCTGGTCGAAAGTCATGACCCCACTGGCTCACACAGTGCGCCTCGTCTATAACAAGCCGGGCAAATTTCTTCCTTCTATGGAGCTGCCTGAGCGTATCGAGCATGGCTTGGCTTTTGTTGACCATTTCTGGGGTTACATACAACAGTTGTATTTGATCTTCCACCCTAGGGTCCTGAAGATACTCCAGTATTTGGCGGCGTTCTGCGGCTTTAAGAGAGCCATTGATAAAATGCGCTTTGACACTTAGGGATCGTAGTTGGCCAACTTGGTCATCCATGAGACTCAAAAGAGGTGATATGACCACTGTGACTCCTCGGGTACGACCGGACTGCACAACAGACGGCAGCTGGTAGCAGAGTGACTTTCCACCTCCAGTAGGCATCAAAACAAATGCGTCTTTCCCGCTTAAAGTTGCATTGATCGCTTCCAGTTGATTAGGACGAAAGCCACGAAGATTAAAGATATCCCTCAGTGCAGCCTTTACGTCCGCAGACCACGGATAATTCATTCCCTCGACTACAGCGGGTGTACCCGACACTTGCATTTTTTTCCGAGGTGGTGATCGGGCAAAATTAATGTTGCTTTCTTGGAGCACGTCACGAGTAGGGCGATGCATGCTGCTCTCGAAGTCCTCTGCTGCCTCAAGCATATCATCGTCATCTGCATCAACATCATATTCAATATCCGATCCTGGCCTTAGTGGTGTCCCCATGGTTCGGGAAAAGAGGTCGCCATCATCAAACACATCGTCGTCAAATTTCAGGTCGTCGATATCTTGGTAAGGCTTGTTGGAGGGGGAAACCCCCGGGCTATTCCTCCAAGGCGCATCAAAACTATCTTCAAAAGGTCGAGTAGATCCCGCTCTGGTAACAGATGTATTGGCGAACGTTTTGGTGCCAGAGTCGCTTCGATACGAGTATTTCCTTTGCGGGCAGGTGGTGACAGGTGTTGGTAGGGACATAGCGTGAGTGTAGCCAGAAACCCCGGCCAAAAATTGAGAAGAGCTTCGTCTCCCGGCTGGTGCTGTACGAACTTCCGAAATTTGGGTTCCTGAAACCAAAACTCTATGATCTGGTGTTTGAGCGTTTGAAAACGAGCCGGTTTCACTGTCAATAAAAATTTCCGCCTCCTGAATCAAACCCACGATCTTTTCCCTGCGTTGAAGCATGTCCATTTCAAGATGCCTACATTCGATAACATCCGAAGAAGAAGACTCCGGAACATCCCCAGTCTGAATATGTTGCATCAGTCTAAATTTAAGCTCGTCTAACTTATTGCGTAATGTAAGGTACTCTTTCTTTTCTCTGCAGAGACTCTCGATAGCTTTGACCCTTGAAAGCAAGGCCTTGATCTCCTCTAGCACATCCGCTGGAGGGGCAGATCCATTGATCACATGCTGGTAAGCACTATTGGCTTTCCGATCACGCTCGGAATTTACCTTCTTTAGGGCATCAGTCATAAAAGAGTCGGCAATATTCAAAAATCTCGAGAAGAGAGGATTATCATTCTCAAGAGGAAATCTGGCGTCCGTGGCTGGTGGCATGGCTCCACTTTGCAAGTCGCAAGGTTTCTGCTTAGTCGTGTCACATTTGTCGTCTGTTAGGAGTGCGCTTTGATTCTTTTTATGTTGTACCCTTGGGTGCAACTCGGCACTACTTAAAGATGTGCGAGCTCGACCTTCCGGTTCAGCCTCCCATATCGCATCGCTAGCTTCTTCTTCGGAATCGCTGATGGTTATGAGGCGTGTTTTGAGAGGAGAACTATGTTTTGGTGTCTTCTGAGACCAAGAGTTCATCAAGTTTGGGGTTTTCGCCTTTGTTGGTGTGGGTGTTCGGCGCCTGGGGGAGGATTCACCGGACGGCGGCAGGTCACGTTCATATTCGTCGCTTTTCCTTTTCCTACCCTGATTAGAGACCAAGGGCTCCCTGTGTGCAGCATAATCTTCTGTCCATAGCCGCTGAGGCTCCCCGAAAGCCGAAATCGTCCCAGAGGACGAAGTGTGATGTTCCAGATCATTGGTGAGATCAATAGACTCGATATCGTCAGGTAACAAAGCCTGGTCAAAAGGATATTTCGGTTAAAGGAAGGCGATCGCCATATATCTGCCTTGGTGAGAGGAGATTCGGTGGAACTGTTTTTTTTTGCTGTAGAAAACTGTCAGCGACAAGGACACCACGGCCAAATACTAGCAAAGACTATAGACTAACGTGTCTTCCGAGATCGAGATTTGCTTGAACTAGGTGCTTCTAACACGAATTCATTCTTTCTTTTCGACGAAGTGCTTGATTCAGTAGCCGAGCCTGCCTTGGTATCTAAACACAATAATTTTGACCTCGACGGTGAAGTTGGTGCGAATTGGAGCCAAGCCATATTCCCCGTGCCAGGTGAAACGCCATCATCGGCATTCTCGTGAGAGGGTTGAGCGGTTGAATCAAGGCCTATCGTGCCAAAAGGGTATGATACGGCACTCTGCGCGGTATTTGGATGGGTGGGAGGAAATTGGCCGGCAAAGTCACGTCGAACGGGCTCGGATCCACGGTCTCGATGTCGCGTCTGGATTTCCACTGCTGCAAAAGATTCTTGGGGCCGGTTCAACAACCAAATCAAGTGATCCCCTAAATTATGTTGTGTCATAGATGCGAATCATATCTGTTCATCCGGAACGGTCGTTTGGTGTTGGCATCTGGTGGGTTGCCCTAGACTCTGGTGAGTGTCGGTTTATTTAGATGGACTCGACGCGTCGGCACGTGACGTGGGCCGAGAGGTGGTGGACGGAAGGTTTCTGCACTATAGAATCAAAGAGTTACACATATCTCGATCATGACTGCATCTTTCGTTCACAGCCATATACATGCAGCCTCTGATCGAGAGGCGGCCTTTTGACAAAGACTGCTCCGTACTCATCCTTGCTCACTGGCTTTGACTACCATTTAACAAACGTGTTAACTCGTTAGTTACTCCGTAGTTCAAGTTTTCCCGATCTCCTCGGGAACTCATTTGTTCTCGAGAATTTGATAACTGCTCCAAAGACACTCCAAAGTCAAGGAGATTAGGAATATCAATAGCTAGTCCTCGGTATGGCAAAGGATAAGAAAGCCAAGAAAGCAGAGCAAAAGGCCCGCACCGCGGCGAAACAGGCCAAAAAAGCGGCCCAGAAAGAAAAGAAGTCCAAAACAAAGGCTGGCACGCAAGATGACAGTGACGCTGAAGACGTTGATCTGGACGCTGTCCTGGCCGCTTATGCTGAGGAGCAGGCCAAATTTCTCAAGGTCACGGAATCGAATAGCGAACCGCCAACCCCGCGCTCGTCAGCAACCCTTGTTGCGTCTCCGTCAAACCGGAATGAACTTTTCATTTTTGGTGGCGAGTTTTATGACGGAACACTCGCTACCTTTTTCAACAACTTATATGTTTACTTGATTGATAAAAACGAATGGCGGGAGGTGACGAGTCCCAACAGCCCGTTGCCTAGGAGTGGACATGCTTGGTGCCGTGGAGGGAATGCTGGAGGCATATACCTCTTTGGAGGTTGGTTGCCCCAAAGATAGAAAATATCTTGCATTTAGTTTGTAGTATAGAATACTAATCGTAAACAGGAGAATTCTCCTCTCCCAAACAGGGGACTTTTTATCATTACAACGATTTTTGGCATTTAGATCCTTCTGCCCGTGAATGGACTCGTCTTGAGACCAAAAGTAAGGGTCCTCCGGCGCGAAGTGGGCATAGAATGACCTATTTTAAAGTGAGTCTAGCCTTCTCGTTCCATTTTACAAATAGGCTGACATCTATGGAGAATTATATTATTCTATTTGGCGGGTTTCAAGATACTTCGCAGCAGACAAAGTATCTTCAGGATCTTTGGATATATGATTGCCAAAAGTATACGTGGTATAATCCGACTCTGCCGCCTGCATCACAAAAGCCCGATGCACGATCTTCTTTCACTTTGCTTCCTCACGAGTCGGGTGCCGTGCTGTATGGTGGGTATTCCAGAGTTAAAATGTCAGTTACGGCTGGAAAGGGCCAAAAGGGTGGCGGATCCCAGCGTATGGCATTGAAGCCAATGGTCCACCAAGATACATGGTTTTTGCGTATCACACCTCCCGCTGCGGACGCTCCAGCTAATCAACCGCCAACCGTTCGATGGGAACGCAGAAAACGTCCGGCAAATCCCCCCAATCCCCCACGGGCAGGAGTGACTATGGCGTATCACAAAGGCCGAGGGATCTTATTTGGTGGTGTCCATGATGTTGAAAAGACTGAAGAAGGTATTGAGAGCGAATTCTTCGATTCTCTTTATGCCTGGAACATAGAACGCAACCGTTTCTTTCAGCTCTCCCTCCGAAAACCGAGGGCCGGAAATAAGAAGCAGCAACCTACTTCACAGGCAGCAAAATCGCGAAATCGAAGCAAGGCAGACGAAGAAGAGCTTCTTCGCAATTTGGCACGTTTAGAAGCGAAAGGGAGCTTATCACGAGAAGATAGTACGGATATGGAGATCCACCCCACGATTAAAGAGGATGAGGAGACGGATACGAAGCAACCGCTACCTGTCAAATTTGAAATGCCACACCCGAGATTTAATGCGCAGCTTGCAGTGCAGGAAGACACACTATTTATATATGGTGGAACCTTCGAGCGCAAGGACCAGGAATCCACGTTTAACGACATTTATTCAATTGATCTGATGAAGCTGGATGGAGTGAAAGAGATCTTCTATCAAGAACCCGATCACTGGAATGACCTCGCTGAAGCCGAAAGTGACGAAGAGATGGAAGGGGATGAATCTGAAGGAAGTGAAGACGAGGATGCAGAAATGGAATCTGTGGAGAGTCTATATACGCCTCCGACGAAGATCGATGTGTCGACCCTTGAAGGTACTGGGGCTGACCAGGAGCCAGCTGAGTCCAAATTACAAGATTCACGTCCTCATCCAAGGCCCTTCGAAAGCCTGCGCGAATTTTTCAATAGGACTTCGATAGAATGGCAAGATATTCTGATGTCTAAGCTCAAAGATAGCACTTTAACGATAGAAAAGACCATAAAGGAGCTAAGGAAAGATGCATTTGATCTGGCCGAGGATAAATGGTGGGATTGTAGAGAGGAGATCACAGCTTTGGAAGATGAGCAGGAAGAAGCTGGTATCGGCGAAGTGGTTAGCATGTCAGAAAGAGGGGATATGGCATCCGCAGGTAGGAGGAGATGAAGACAGATATACCCATATCAACTATTCATATTTTAAACAATTCGTGTCGCTGTCTATTTAACAAAATCTTCTAAAACACTCACAACCCTTGCAAAATCCCTTTCTACATCGACCTTGTAATTAGAAATTGCAATCCGACACGCAGGTCGTCCGTCCCAAGTCGTCCCGGACACGTATAACAGTGGTGTATTGTTGATCTTATTGACTAGGCTGGCATTCAAGTCATCGTCCGTTGCGCCGAATAAAACAATCATGAACGTACTCTCCGCCAGCTCCTTTCGCGAAGAAACCCTCGGAAAAGTCACGTATTTCGGATGATCGAATAGCCAATCCGCAATACGGCGGGCGAGCCTGATCTGCCTTTCAAGCATAATTTGATAGCCTTCTCGACCATATGCCATCAGAGTAGCATAGACAGGAAGGGCTCTAAAGCGTCTTGAATTCTCGATGCCGATATTATTGGGCGACACTACAGGGTCCATAGCAGCGATAGAAGATGTCAAATATGCGGCGTTTGGATTTCGAAAGACGTCTTGAGCGATGCTTGCATGTCGCGAAAAGAAGAACCCACAATCATATGGAACATTGAGCAACTTATGCCCATCCGCGGTAATGGAGTCCGCGAGTTCTAGCCCTTCGCATCCTCTTCGTACGGAGTTGAACTCTGCAGAGCTATCATCGTCGAGAAAAATACGGCCAAAAATCCCAAAGGCTCCGTCAACGTGTAACCAAGCACCATATTTATCACATAGAGCACGGATTTGTCTGAATTCATCGATTCCACCAGTTGCAAAACGACCGGTATTCACTTCGCCGCAGGAAACGGCAACAATACTCGCCATTCCAGCAGAAGCTAGCTGCTTCTCGAGACGCTTCATATCGAACCGGAGTGGATTTTCCGTAGTACAAATGGTCTTGACGTTTGAGCGGCCAATTCCCAAGATCCCAGCCGCTTTCCCGAGTGATGAATGCGGCAAAGTCGAGAGCACGTGCAATCCACTCAAGCCAGCTGCCCGCAAGACTTCGACAATCCCATATTCTCCGACACTTTTGCAGTCAATTCCTTTCCTCTCCGCTACAGAACGCAGGACAAACTCTCTTCCACATGCCAGTCCAAGTACATTGCTCGCCGTGGCTCCAGATGTGACAGTCCGATGAGGCCACTCCCTCGTCTCCAACCGAAACAAATCAAGCAGCAACTTCAGTGACTTATCTTCAACATCCGTGGCCACAGAATGTTCCCGGATATGCACCTGGACATTTTGATCGTATGCAGAAACAATGTTATCAGCGAACCATGCAGCGGGCGTGACTCCACCAGTCACAAATCCATAATAGTTTGGGCTTATGCTCGCAAAATTCAGTCCTGGAACAATGTCCTTCAGTAAATGGTCTTTAATCTCTGCAAAGCCCTTGCCCTTGCGTGGGAGAGATTCGAAGAGTGAAGACCTGGCATGTTCCAGATCCTCGGCTGTTGGAAGGACCCGAGCAGTAGGCTGCGTACTCAGGGCTATTCTCTCAAGAGCTGCTTGCTCCTCAGTAAGAGACAAATCGTGCATATCCATATTTATCCTGAATCTGCCTTTTTTGAGATTTTGCGATCGAGTTGAGGGTGTTCGAGTGAGGGGCAACAGGGATCTGTCATTTTTCCGTCTAGAGGGTCCCTAGGATTCAGCCATTCCCGAATGTCAGCGTACTTTGAGCAAACCCCGAGGCTGGAGCAGAGTGCTTGGTTCAAAGGTTTCTCTCCACCGCCGGAGCTTCTCGTATTCGTTGGTCCTTGGGAGTAAAGCTGATCCACCAGCCTTAAAATATGTAACGATTAACTTCGTAGAAGGCGATGCAATGAATGGTAAAGCGGAAATTTCCCTCAATAGCCGGGTGTCATCGAACCCTGTACGTAGTAGAGGGTGAGAAGCTTCAAACGGAGCTTCCAGCTTGCTCCAACTCGGCGTGTGCGCTCTTGGTCTCAACTTCTAATGGGGAACCCGTAGTTCGCGTAACGTATGAACCATTTTAGCCTGTGGAAGAGCCATAGGACATGCGCTTCTAGCGATAGATCACATCTTCCACGCTGCAGTCCGTTTCCTGATTGCGGGGTTCTCAATGGCGATGGAGAATCATCCTAAAGTGCTGGGTTTGTTTTCGAGGTCCTTTCCAAAATCTCCGAGGACGTGATTGATAAAAGATGCATCGTCCCCCTCTTTAAAAGTTGGAGGAAAGATGGCCAAACAACGGGAAGGTCGAGCAACAGCGGCAAGGGGTTGGCACTAGTTAATCCATGTTCTTCGGATAACCCAGGGAGCTCCGAGGTGTCTCTGGGACGTTGCGTGTCGAATTTAACCACCACATGCTGCTGTCGCCAAAATCAGAAGCAAAACTGTCCTTGGAGGCTCCTCAGAAGTCATTTTATATTGTTGAAGAGGCGTCTTCTTAATTAAACATGGCCGTAGCAACTTTGATCAGCAAGCGTCTAAAGGACGTGCCAGGTTCGTCAAGCCCCTCCCCAGGGTAGTGGTGGCTCCATTCCCTCCCACCCAACAGCGCGCACCGCATTTCCCATGACATTTACTTGCTATTAAACACATTGCGACTAAACTTGGCTTCTACCATCCTGGGGTTATAGGCAAATTAAAGGTTGCGGAACTCTTCTTCGAGGTTCCCGTTGACTACCGCCGCCCAAAGGATGCAACCATCAGGCTCTTTGCGCGGAGCGTACAGCGACGTTCATCCTCCGCTGAAATTGAGCCTGAAGAGAGGAAATTGCCATGGGTGGTGTATCTCCAAGGCGGACCCGGAATGGGATGCTCCCAACCCCAAGATATTGGCTGGGTTGGTCCCTTTCTGGATAAAGGATACCAGGTACTAAGTGCTATCGACGCTCATTCGGAGTTACATATTTGAAATTCCAATTTCTATGTATAAAATTCTAATCTCAATTCTAGGTGCTACTTCTAGATCAACGGGGGACGGGTTTAAGCTCCCCGATCACAGCGGCGACCCTGGCTCTGCAGGGGAACGCTGTCAAGCAGGCTGAGTATCTGCGGAGCTTTCGAGCAGACAGCATTGTCCAAGACTGCGAAGCTGTACGCATGTGTTTGACTGCGGACTACCCGTTGGAAAGGCAGAAATGGAGTGTCCTAGGACAAAGTTTTGGAGGTTTCTGCGCTGTTACTTATCTTTCGAAATTGTAAGTCTATAATCCCGTTGTCCCAGAATGAAAGCACTGATTTGTTCTGCTCTCGTATGTAGCCCCCAAGGGTTGAGAGAGGTGTTCACTACGGGCGGACTTCCACCCTTGGTGACAAATCCCGAACCCGTACTCGAAAAGACATACGGTAGGTCCAGCATTGAACCTGGATACAACCAGGATTCACTGAACTTATTCGCCGCCAGGGAAACTTCAAGAGCGCAACAAGGCATATTATGGGAAATTCCCTGAGGACAAGGAGAGAGTACAGACAATTTTACGCCATCTAGAACAGAACGATGTCAAAGTGCCTGATGGCGGTGCTCTTACCCCAGAGAGATTCCTGTCTCTGGGAATTTCTCTTGGCATGCGAGGTATGCTTCCATCTACTCTACCAGATATGACTGTGCTAACCCAGGGGAAAAAAAAAAAAAAAACAGGAGGGCTTGATTACGTCCATGGTGCGTTAAGCAGAGTCCGAAAGGCAGAAACTCATTTCTAACACTGAAACTATCCAGACATTGTCCTCAGGTGCTCCAATGATCTCGAGGTGTTTGGCTTCCTCACACGGCCGACAATCTCTTTGGTTGACAATGGTAGTACTTTTGACAACAGCATTATCTATGCCGTCCTCCACGAGGCCATCTATTGCCAGGGGTTAGCATGTTCAATCTGCGAGCTCAACTGGTAACATCTGCTAACACTCGGATAGGGCTGCTTCGAATTGGTGTGCCGATAGGGTGATTCAGAAACTGTCCAGTTTTCGAAGCCGAGGAAATCCAGAAGGGATATTCTTCACAGGAGAGATGGTAGGGTTATTATCGTTTTCTGCAGCTATGAGGAAAGGTTGCTCACACTAGCGCAGGTTTACAAGAATCTCTTCGAGACATCTACCGAATTAAAACAGATTAAAGAGGCCGCTGACATCGTTGCCTCGTACGATGACTGGCCAGAATTATACGACAAAGAACAGCTGGCAAACAATGAAGTCCCGGTATATTCAGCCACATACGTTGATGACATGTACGTGCATTATGATTTCGCGAGAGAGACAGCTGCGTCAATTAAGGGGTGCAAGAACTTTATCACCAATACCATGTACCACAACGCTCTGCGGGCCAACATGGAGGAGCTTCTCAAGCAACTATTTGCCATGCGGGATGATACAATAGACTAGGAGTTTAGATGCATCCCATGTACGACAGAAAAATGCGTCTGTAACCGTATGATTGATCATAATGGAAGATTTCCTTGAGATGGACGTGTAGCTGGGAGGGTGTTAGTCAGATATATCTCTCGCAACATCCACCAGTCGTAATTTTCGCGAGTCTCTTGGATGGAATTGCGCCACTTTGGCTTTGACAAGGAACCTTGATACAGCAGAATCCTTTTCAAGCTCGATATAGGATGAAGTTGATGCTGCATCCAATAGCCTGTCAATCAAGGCGTGAAACTCCGCTGCCGAAGCATCCCTTCTATTGTTGACAGTCGAAGCTGGCCCCTCAACACCGCTAGCTCGACGGCGAACAAGGTCATCAATCCGCTGCTGCCTCGAATCCGCATCATCTACATGCTTTGTTTTGGGCTTCTTCTCCTTGCCATGAGCTGTATACCCAGCTTCAAGTGTGCTGTCCGAGATATCGGCCTGGTCACCGACCACGGGTCCACCCAGATCTTCAGCTGCCAACATGGAAGCAAGGTGCTCGTCAACAAAACTCTTCAATGCAACCTTTAACTCGGCCGTCCTTCTGTCGAGCTCTGCTTCTCTGTTTCGCTCCTTCTGAATGAGCTCCTTGGCGAGTTGTGAAGGTTTCTTCTTCTTCCTCGCTTCTTGTTGTTGCTGGGTTTGCACGGCCTCCAACCTTCTTCGCAATTCTGCTGTAATCATTCGCGCATCCCGGAGATTTGCTTCTTCCGTGTTCAATCGCTCGCGGTTCGCGACGAGATCTTGCGTGACGGCCGAGATGCTGGCTTTGAGCTCTCGAATCAATCGGATGGAATCCCGGAACACCAAAAGGCCAGTGAGAGGGGAGCCAGGTGCGGGCAGCTCTGGTTGTTTGGCAGTGAGAGATCGGTAGGCAGCAGCAGCTCGACGAGTTTGCGCAAGGCGGGTCGCGGGGTCTAGATCTGGTCGAGGGAGATCGAGAGGACTCCTTGCTCGCAGCTGCGTGGTCTGTTAGAAGTCCACTCAGTTACAAAGAACCAATTTCGCATACTCTATTCAGTGTAGATTCTTGTCTTTCAGCCTGCTCCTGTAGACTCTTCAGGGTTGCATCGAGCTCCTTTCCATAGTTACCGGGGTGACTTGCGCCAGTGAACTCTTGCTCGCGTTGCGTCTCAAATTCATTGCAACGTTTGGCAAAGTCCTGGATCTTCTGCACAACCTCTGCCGGCAAGCTCATCTTGTCGAGTTAGAGACCCCCGCGCGCGATAGCCCCCGAAGCATCCTCCCACCTGTCCGTGTGCTTCCTTCTCCCGCTCTCGGCGGCGAATCGGTACCAGCCACCCGGTTGATTTCACGTGATCTTGGGCTAGGCCTGATGCGGCTAATGCACGGTCGCTAAAGAGTGCGCTAGCGGCAGAATGTTTCCACCTTCCTCGCCTTCTCCAGCTTTCTCTCAACCTCGCAACACGATATCAAGCGTCATCGCCATCAGTCTCGTCTTCTTGCCAGCCAGAGCACATCAACGCCGTCCCTCAGCCTGTTCTTGCTGGTTTCTCGTCATCCTCCCCATGAATGAGTACGATTACTTTGAACATCTCGCTTTGACTCTTCTATTCCCAACTTGTTCAGCGACCTCTTGCTTTTTGCCCCTTTTGTGACCAGCTGGTTATTCGATCCTCTGCTTCGAAGGAGCTCGATTGCTGGAATATAGGTACAAGGCAGGCTTTGGAGGCATCATAAGGACCCTTTTGCGTTTTAGCATCCCTTCTGACACTTGTCAATCTGCCAACACTACCTACCCACCTTCTTCCTTCGCCCGCCGCTTTCACCGTTCATCCAGTCCGCTTTTCACCTCAACACTCTCCGTGACCTCTGAAGAGATCATCTATTTCCCGCAGCCCTGTGCTCAGCACAGTCACCTTTAACCAAGCATCTCCTTTTACTCGCCGGTTTTACACTCGGCAAGCATTCCTTTTACTCAGCCCAGCACTCCGCCTTTTCACACAGCACCAGCACCAACTTCCTCTCCAGCCGACCACCTGCACCAGCAAGTTTTCCTTGAGAACTCCTGGTGTACATAAGCGATACAGAAAGGAAAAAAAAAAAAGAAAAAAAAAAATAGGAAGAAAGACATTCAGTCCTCCATCGACTCTTTTTTTTTTCTTTTCTCTCAGCGTAGGTGCAACCTAGCAGAACCGTTTATCCCAACATCCAACATGTCGGCTTCGCCAACCTCCGCCGTCGCATCTACGAAGCGACCTCTCGAGGACCCATCCTCGCCTTCTGGTCCAACCGATCAGCCGGATGCCAAACGTCAGGCATTAGATAAAGTAGTTAAAGGTGACGAGCAGGAGGTCAAAGGGGACCAGGATAACACGAAGATCGAGGAAAATAATAAAGTCGAGCCTACCGCCGAAACCGATGGCGCAGCCCAGAACAACGTCCAGGATGGTCAAGGTGATCTAGTGGTTCCTGATGCCCCTAACAATGGAAAGTCTTCCCCAACTGCTCCTTTGGAGACTCAACCTATTCAGTCTACAGCCTCACACAATGACCGTGCAACCTCCCAAGCACCTGGTCAATCCCACGGAACACAGGATGAAACCGGGTTTATTCACATCCGTGCTGTTATTTCAAGTGCTGAAGCTGCCACCTGCATTGGTAAAGGTGGAGAAAATGTTTCTCAGATTCGCCGTCTCTCTGGTGCTAAATGTACCGTCAGCGATTACACCCGTGGTGCAGTCGAGAGAATCCTGACTGTTAGCGGTCCTCAAGATGCAGTTGCAAAGGTAAATTCACCAGTGGATAGCCCGGCTACAGCATGTTGAGTTGGTGACTAACATTCCTTGACTAGGCGTTTGGGTTGATTATTCGTACATTGAACAATGAACCTCTGGATTCGCCATCTACAGCTCAGTCCAAGACCTATCCCCTTCGCCTGCTTATTCCCCATATCCTCATTGGCTCAATCATCGGCAAGTCTGGCGTTCGCATCCGCGAAATTCAAGAGCACTCTGGTGCACGCCTCAATGCCTCAGATTCCTGCCTTCCCTTATCCACTGAACGATCCCTTGTTATCCTTGGTGTTGCTGACGCCGTTCACATTGCCACCTACTACGTTGCCGCCACTTTGGTTGAGCAGCTGACAGAAAGGTTCGGTGGACCTGCGGCCTCAGCATATGCAACCCGAAGTGGTGGTCCCGCAGGTGTTGTTCCCGGTGGCATGCAAGTAGTTCCCTATGTTCCGCAACCCGCTGGTGGACAATATGGCCATCCAGACAGCTTCAAGCGACACCATCCCCAGGCCAATCGCGCGATGTCTACCGGCTATGGAGTGCCATATATGCATGGACCTGGTCCAAGTCCGCACGGTATGCAGCAGCCTATTCATTATAACGCCTCCCCCCGCCAAGGCTACACTGGGGCTGGACCGCATCAGCCCGCTCCCTACGGAGCTCCTCAACCTCCTCACAGTCATGGAACGCCGGCTCAACCAATGGGAGCTCCTGTTGCTGGCGGCCCATTGACCCAGCAAATTTTCATTCCCAACGACATGGTTGGTGCTATCATCGGAAAGGGAGGTGCCAAGATCAATGAAATCCGCCACCTTAGCGGGAGCGTCATCAAGATTAATGAGCCCCAGGACAATAGCAATGAGCGTCTGGTGACCATCACTGGAACCCAGGAGTGCAACCAAATGGCCCTCTACATGCTCTACTCGAGACTTGGTGAGTCAAAGAAAGGTCATGTTCCATGAAAGCCCCGATATGTCTAATGACTTTTACTTGACAGAGAGCGAGAAACATCGCATTTAATGGTATGATTCACATGGTCCTGGATTCAAAATGCTCTCAGCGGAGCTTGAATTCATCACAAGCCATCAGCCATGTAATTCTTAATATTTTTATGCCCTTTGCTCATTATCCACTTTTTTTATTTCCATCAAAATTGATGTTCACATTCCAAATTATTTTCTCTTTCTACTGGGCTGTACTTTATCACACAAATGGTATGGTCTATCTCCGAATTCTGTCTCTCCCGTGTTTTTTTACCCCTTGTTCAGTCAAGCAATGTGGTTTCCAGCACTTGTAAACTGCCAACCTTGTATTATTATTATTATTATTATTATTCCGGGCGACAGCATCACTTCGAAGACAGCATCCCATTCATGTGCATTTTCGGATTCACATACCCTATGACATTCATGCCCCAAAAATCTAGTGATTCTTAGGACTTGCTCCCGACAGTGTTTGCCCAACATCTCCGATCACCTTGAAAAGCTGTTCAACTTGATCTCTGGGTAGAATTCAGACCACAACACTATCTGCTCACATAACGGGCTGCAACTTGACATGCCTCATCTGCAGAATGTTGATAGGGGGTAACATCTTCTCCCTTATTGGCGCAATGGATCTGCCAAACTCTGCTGCTTTTCTTGCCATTTCGTGCTGTTCCTTACTCTCCCATTCGACGACAAAGACTACCAGTTGTGCTTTTCCGGACTCACTTCCCTGATGCGGAACGCTGCCTGGTCGCTCGACCCAGCCCATTAAAAAGGCGCTTGGGGGCTCGGACTCTCTCAGTTGGAGACATATGGAGCGGAAGTTGATCAGATTATTGTTTAAGGAGGTCCTTTCGGGCGGGCTGAGATCTTGTGGGAATGCAAGGACAGCCAATTCGATGACTGAAGCATTGGTGAAGAGGCCGTTTGGCGGCGGAGTGAGGGTGGTGTGGAGAGCAATTGGAGTGGTATCTGGTTCGATAATGGGAGCGAGCAGAGAAAGGGGAACGCAGCCGGTTGTGTCATTCCATTCTATGTTGTTTTTCTCGCGTTTTCGCGCGTTGTTTTTTAGTAGGTTATGGGCAAAGCGGAGGCGTGTCTCTCGAGCTCCTGAGGAGAAGAGGAGGTCTTACCGATAATCCAAACAATATTGTTCTCATTCTCGATCGTTCGACCCCAGAATGAACTTAGATATCCACAGCTTTGTTTGACGGTGTTTAATGCGCTGAGGAATAATCTGCCATCATCATTTTCGCGGTCTTCTGGCTTGACATCTGACTTTAATGTGAAATAGATGAATTCCGTGACTATGTTCGATGGGGTCATTGTCGCCACAAAATTGAAGCCTCTTGGTTCCACCCTTTTTGCAAATGCTACAAGCTGTACGGAGTATGGAGTACCCTGAGGATTTTAAACGGGGCGACGATCTGCAGGCCTGCACCATTTAATGGAGCTTCGAGTGATCGCCGGAGTGGAGTGACCGGGAGCTGGCACAGCCAGAGCGGATCGAGCAGCATGACGTCATCCCACGTGTTTGTTGTGTGGGAAAACACGTGCCCGAATTCTATATGTATTCAGCACAGAGTGCGCTAGTCCTTAACAGGTTAGGGAGCAGAATGGCCTGTGCTTTCGCCTTCGAGGGCTTGGCATGTTGTCATACCCTGAACAGCAATATTTCAGTGTGCACACAATGGAAATGTTGATATCTGCAGACATTTCTGTGGAAAAGGGAAAAAAGCGGAAAAAGCAAAGAGAAGGGCATCTCAAAAGACAGAGATGTCTACCCTCTCCTCTTTGGTTAAAAAAAAGCCAGAATTACACATCGAAATCACACATTGCTTAGGGGAGCACCAAGAAATACGACTTCCAGCGGAATGAAAAAATTTTGCTCAGAGGGAGGTGCCATATATATATATTGGGGCCGGTAAGGTCCATCAATCATTTACGGGGATGAGAAGGGTATCCTAGCACCTTGGGATTATCGCAATTTCATCCTAGGTACAGTTCCAGAGGTAAATCGTGGTACATCTGGTAGTCCAAGTCAACACTCCATTCCAAAACGAAGCACTTAACGAGAGCGACGACAGCCATTGGACTGAGAACAGGAGAACTCTCGACAGAGTCGTCATATCTCCAAAAGGTCGTCTCATCGAGTTCTGCAGTTGTGCCATCCCACAGGATCATCGCTATATCTGTAACAATTCTGACCACATCACCGGAGTTCCCGCTACCAGCCGCAACAGCACTGGTAGCCATATGTGCCATATCCCGTCTGATGAACTGGGCATCCCACCCCCGAGCAACCAATTTCTCCGGCCATCTATCCACCGCGGAGCGAAGGGTTTCAGCTAACTGATCTCGATATCGATCCATTCTCGGTTTAGCAAATGCAACAAGGATATCGCGCATGCCCCGATGAATCGACCAGGAGAGAGAGGACCAAGGGAGACAATCGAGGGCTCGATTGAGAGCTCTAGCCTCCTCTTCAGGGACAAATAAATCAACAACATGATTATTGCCTTCACTGCTAGGCAGGTCGAGCCTAATCATGTTGCTTATTATGTCACTATCACCTAACGGCTTCATCGAGAGAAAGTCCACCTCATTCACGTTGCCTCCTATCATATTGTAGAGATGTCTGCCGCCATGCGCACCGCCAAATCCTCTAACCGCGTACTTCAGAATCCATTGCCCGGACGACTTTCGTCCTGGAAAGGCACATTTGAAAGAGGTAGGTCCTGATGAATACACCACTCCGGCGAGCATTTGCAGACACCTATCTACTCTGCTTTGAAACTTCATGGGATAAACATCCCTCGAGTGTGCATGCGAATCGTGAGCAGCAAATTTGACATGTGCAATGTCTCCAAGGGGCCATTCCACAAGCCACTGTCCGCAGTAGGATGGGTATGCTGCGCGAAAGCCAGAAGCGCCGCTATGCCTGAATGCCGGTCGAGCATTGGTCACGCAGAAGAGCGCCATTAGGGTTGTGCGAGAAATGACTACGCATGAGGAGCGTCTGTGCTTGAGAAGAGGCCGTAAAGGAAGGTCGTCCCATGTGCCCTTCGAAACGTCCACCAGTGATTCACGGATGATGGTCGTTATGTGCTTCATATCTCCAGTGTGCTCTTTGGAGGGCTGAATGAAGTATGATCCGCTTTCGTACTCCTGGCTTGGAGGAGAGTGTATGACTGCAAGTATCACTGACCAGCCAGCCTTCCCAGCTGGCTGTGTCAGTGGTAAGCGACTGATGTGTACCGTCTTCCGACCGCAGAGCCCATGGGGCAGATTGGCAGCGATGACAGGGCCAACGGGAGGTGGTTTGAGAACGCGATACCATGGAATATGCGGCTGATGGAGCATCCATCTGCCCAAATGCCGAAGGTCTCTCAAAGCACGGAAAGGATCTGCGGAATCGATGAGGCTCCCGAATTGGGTCACGATGGAGCCCAAGCCGATTACCGTTGCGGCCAGAGAAAGCCAGGAAGCAACTGTTTGTGAAATATCCATAATCTAAGCAAGCTGACCAACTACTCCGTAGGAATCCAGTGAATAGATGTTGCAGGCGACCACGCAAAACAAGCACAGCTGGTTGTGTCTTGTGATGCCTTCTCTTTTACTTCTTTTCTTTTTCTTTTTTTTGTTGTGGAAGGGCTGGTAGTTTTCACTTTCACTTTTGGGTCATGGTTAGTTAAAAAAGAAACATGAGCTCCTTGCCAGCCACGCTAGCCATTTATCGCGAGAGCTGTGGTGGCCCCGCGCTGGCTTCGATGACCGGGGTGGCTAACCTTGCTATTGGACGAGTGCGGGGTGTGACATCGACTGCATTGCATGGTGTCCGTGCCCTGGTGGCCTCAGGCTTTCACCATGTCTCTCCTCGTTCCCTGACCGAGGCTTGCTGTTCGGGGGGAATTGATGGTTCGGTGGGGGGCCAGTTGGATAACTCGTAGCCAGCTTACAGGAGGTCAGTCACTCACCAGAACATTTGTCCTGTAGTTATGATAAAAGATTAGTGATCAAATGTCTCTCAAGTCTCACTCGTTGCACTGGCTAAGTTCTATACCTAAAATAAGTCTGAGAAACTAGTAAGTTAACTAATTCTGGAATATACTCTGATTACATAGGGTATATCCCTCAAAATCTTCCACATCTATCTCACGGAGGTATGTCCTTTCATTTACCGACGGTGATGGGCTAGCCACGGGATTGAGACATCGAAATGGACGTGCTAGCTGACAGATAAGTTGATATCGTGTTCATGGCATTGTGCTGGGAAACCTGTGCCAATTATGTTTCCGAAATATGGCAAGACTGGAAAATGATGGTCCAACTCTGCCAGCAGGGACAAATCTCCAGCCATAGTTAGCTCATGGTCTTGTTGGTCTGCGAAGAAAGGCTCAAGTTGCCAAAGATACCCCGAGGCCCCAGGGTCGGCAAAATATTAGAAATGGTGCGTGAAATGGATGAAGCAGCCAACTAAGCAAAACAACCGATCAACAAGTCTATGCTAAGCGGTTGGAAGACCATGCGCTCGGTAGGGATGGACTGGATGGACAAAGGTTTTGGGACCCCGGGGATTAGTCTGTTAGGGTGGCGGGGGGAGGAAGTGTCCACATCATATGAGAGATTGAATGGTATACGGAAGTGTAGACCAAAAGTCTTTTCCAACGCTACCACTCCTCCTCTCTAGCCCGGTAATCAGTCCTTGAGAGTGTACGGCTCGAACAGTTAATCAAGAAACATCTACAAGTATCAAGCGATTCGGCCGGAGCTAGCCGTCGAGACTTTTACTCGCCAACCCTACTTACACATTAACTAACTAGTCGGAATCTAACTCAAGGCTCCAATATTTCATATACGCATATCAAGCCAAAATGGAAGACAATACGAGCCGGCATTGTGCTTTAAACAAGCCCAGACCCCAGCTTGGGGCTCAAATTCTTACTGTGCTCCCCTGGCGTGTAGAGAAAGCGATCGATTTCGTCGGTATACAGTGAAGAGTGATACTGATAATTTTCCTTTCAAATGCCTATCCGTCTCGCTCGATATTCCGATACTCCTACCATAGGATCCATCTTTGCAGCTGGATTTTACGATGAAGAAGTAGTGGGAGTCATTCTTCATCCATATAGGGGCCAGTTCCCGCAAGACTTCGTGGCGCATTGGTACCATCGATGTCGAGAAAGGTTCTGGGACCATTCCATGGTGTACTTGGTGAGCTATGAGACGGATCCAGCCTCAGGAAAGGAGGTTCTGACGGGGGCGGCGGAATGGAAACGTCAAGGTCTGGGATGGGAGAAGGTATGGGGCTTATGGGGATGGTGGGATCCAAGTACGTCTTCGTCGCGCTTCCTCTGACACGATCTGTTAACCCTACTGACTGTCCGTCTCTCAGGGCGTCTCATCAGGCCCGTTTTCGCCTTCATGAATTTCCTTGCCAATACCTTCTTCCCCAACCGCGCCGCCGCAAAGCCCCCGAACATGACTCCTACGACTTTCGCACCGACGACCATCCCCTTTGTCAACCACATCCTCTCTTTCCCTTCTTATCGTAATAACTGCTGGGCTTTGTCTTGCCTTGCTGTGCTTCCGCAGTATCAGAATCGCGGCTATGGGCGAGAACTGGCTGCCTGGGGGGTTGCGAAAGCGAAGAAAGAAGGCATCCTTGCTAGTGTGGTGGCTTCAAAGGGAAAAGAACGCTTCTATCAACGCTGCGGTTTCTCGGAGCTGGTGGGATGGTTAACGGACGGAAAAGAGAATCCTCTGAAGAAGTTGGGCGTCCAAGGCGGTGCCATTCTCTTCACACCACCCAGCCCTGGGTTAGAGGAGGAATAAATAACTGACAGCTAGCATGGTGCCGACAACCTGGGACGAGGCCTGAAGTTCAGGGTGAATCATCATCTTTCGAGTGCCATTTTCTCGGCATATCTTGCGTGCTGCATGGTTTTGTTTTTAATCGCTAAATATCTGTTCGCATACAAATTTAGTAAATCAAATCTGCACTCGAATATATATATGCGTTGTAATTGAACTTTGTAGTCGATAACTCTACGGAGTACACTGGCCCCTGAGACACTTGGTTCTCTAAAACTCAAATCTCCCAAACCACTAAAACCCAAGCAGCGAACATGAAACTCCGAGAGAGAGCCGGTTCATCTCGGGCAAGCAATGTCTGGATAGTAGCGTTGGACCTCGTACTCAGGTACGTGCGTTGTACACTATACAACGATGGCTTCGCTTTTGGTTCTCCTGTCCCTTCTAAGCCTCCTAGCCCTTGTTGTCCCCCTTCCTCGGTCGACGGTTTTTCCTATCCTCACTCATGCCGTCGCGTTCTCGATCCCAATATTATTCAGGCAATGCTCAAGAAGGCGACAAAGGCGCGCGGCGAGCAGAGCCACCACCGGCAGCGGTGAGTATGGCACCGAAACCACCGGACTGTATGGCCTGGACCATGCTGTTCTCAATGCTCGGTTGAAATTTCCGCCGGACAAGATGTGGATGAATATGGGCTATTGGAGGGTTAGTTGCATAGTTTCGTCTTTCGTTCTTTTTGCCTCTCTTTTTCTCCTCTACGTAGGATAAGAGTTGCTTGATATAATACATCGAAGTTTACCTTACGGAGGAGTTGATTGTTTTCCTTGTGTTACTTTTTATTTCCCCGATGCTGTGGTTTGTGAAACATACGCCAAAAGAAAGTACTTGATAACTTGTCCGGCTAGAAAATAGCTTGCTGTCCGCACGGCTGATCAACTATTGGCAGCCGGGACAATTTCAACAGCGGAAGGAGAAAGTATTTCATCCAAGTAAGAGGGCAAAGAGGTGCTCTTGATACTGGCATCGCTTTTATGATTCATTTAATTTTGATGCTATCAACGCACGCGAATGATGCTCAAACTAACGTAGCCTGTGCATAACCAGGACGCGACAGAGTTGCCAGAAGCATGCGAAGCCCTGGTAGAACGAATACTCCAATCTGCAGGGCTTCTGAACCAGATGCGGGAAAACTATGAATTGCCCGGCCGTAAGAATTCGGGCTTGGTGAAGAGAGTATTGCTTGACCTTGGATTCGGATGCGGCGAGCAGACATTATATTTGATGAACAGGACTTTTACAGGGACTGTTGATACGAAAGGAGATCGGCAGGAGAATATGCCTGCTTCATTATTCCAGCGTTACGTGGGTATCACGCTGGATAAAACACAATATGAGTTTGCAAATTCCAGAGTAACAGCATCCAGGCATCACGACGGGGAGAATGGGAGGTGCTCAAACCAGACCCGGCCGCATGGTCCAGAAACCGTCCAGCTGTTTTGCGGGGACGCCGCAAATCCGTCCTCATGGTCCAGCGAATTACGACAAGCCATAGATATCGCTTTTGCGCAAGAAAAGGAGCAACATGGCAATCATCCAATCAATACCGAACGATATGTGCTCGCTCTCGACACTGCGTACCATTTTAGACCATCCCGTCGCGATATTTTCCGGTATACTCACTCGGTGCTCCATGCTCACTTTCTTGCATTCGACATCTTCCTCGCAGCACCTTCATCTCGCCTAAGATCAGTCTTGAATAATTTGCTTTTGCGGTTACTTACGCCTTCTCTCTCAGCTCCATTTTCTAATTTCGTTACGCCAACCACATACAAATCACAGTTGCGGGACGCAGGTTATGCTGAAGAGAACATTATGATAGAGGATATCACAGAACATGTGTTCCCTGGCCTGGCAGACTTTTTGGAGCGAAAAGATCAGCAATTAATTTCATTTGGGCTCTCCGGGTTTTCCAAGTGGAGAATCTCGGGGTGGCTATTTAGATGGCTGTCTTCTGGGGGTATACTTAGAGCAGGAATTGTGGTTGCGAAATGGGCTGGTAAAACACAGGACTAATCATGGATAAGATGGATAAATCGGTTCTGTTGTCGCCTCGCTAGAACCGAAGGTGGTAAAAGAGGGATTCATGGACGGAGGAAGAATGTTGAAATCACCGTTGGTATCTGCTGGGAAGAGTTTGTCCCATTCGCCCTGGGTAAATTATATTAGTATCTTGCGCTGTAAGAGTAGTTGTGAAAGTTTTGTGTGTAAGAATCTTGGTCCTCAGGATACCGACATAGGGCGGCGATTGCGATAGCAAGCTCAAGTGCGAATAAGCGCACAGATGCTTGCTGCAATTAGTGGTATCATTCGTTACAACGCTACTTACCCAGTCAATATCAATTGCTGCAGCAGGTTTTCCGCTGGCTGTCTGTGGAAATAGAGGAGCGGCATCTGGTACACCATTGTTTTCGATCGACGAAGCAGCTCCGGCTGTCCCCAGTCCTGTTTCAGAGACAAACCACAAGTTGGAACTACTTGAATCCTCAGACCCAACTCGGTCAGAATCATGACTCGCCGCTCTCACAGGCTGCCTGGGCAGTGAAGAGTGTTGTTGCATAGCGCCCGGTATCAAGAAAGAAGGCTCGATGAGCGGCTGGGCAAGAGGTGGTGATAACATTGGCACCCGCTGACCGTAAGTATCCGACTGCGGGAATGCCGGCTGGCTTTCAATGCTTTCATTTAAAGAAGAAAGATCCGCAGGCCTCTGACAATGTTGCTGCCTGGTAGTACCGGGCAATTCGCTCGAGAAAGCCACAGAGATATCATTACCTTGGGTTTGACGGGATGCCAACGATTTCGGTACTGCTCTCTGGAGAGGAGGCGGTTCTGTGTAGCTTCCAGAACTTTCTCGCTCTGAGAACAGAACCTTTGAATCAACCATGCTTCTTGGAATTTTCAGCTTTCTCATCTCCCGATATACAGTCATTCTATCGCGTAAAGCGGTCAAGATAAGACGAGCCTTTGCATCCCGCTGCTGAAATACATCCTGGGAGCCAGCTTCGTTAGCCAGGTCGGGCGCCAACGACGACGTCTCAAAAACATAGTCCAAGCACCGCCATATCCGATCGGCTTCTCGTCGCATTGGAGAAGCGAAAATCTCCATAAGAAGGAGCAATGCGACATGATATTGGTTTAAAGCACCATGATACCATGCCCAAACGCGTAAGTCTGGGGAAGTTTCAAGTTGGATCGAGTCTTCGAGCATTTGGGTGCCGCTGCTGATGAGGATTTGATGCAATCGATCCGGCATGCGGATAGAAACACCGTTTGCGTAACGATGCAACACCGATATGTATGCGCGACACAGGAGAATAGATAGCATGAGCTGCGCAGCTCGGTGGATGGGCTTGGGATTGGGTACGAAAAGGAAAGGACCGTATTTGGCACAGGTGGCTTTTCGAAAAGCCTCGATTTTCGTAAGTACTTGAGTTAGACTGACTTGCCTCTTCTCAATTCGGATCCTATCGACAAGGAGGAGCCGACGCAGCTCGTTGCATTCAATCCGAATTCGCATATAGGTCATATCCGTCCATCGAGGGGCGTCTACAATGGAGTCTGTAGAAGCTGAGGAAATCTCGGAATCATCCATGTTGACTGGAAATTTGGTCGAAAAATCCTCTCGCCGGATTGAATGACGTGGTCCTTGTAGTAAGCTCGTTTGGATATCAAGGAAACACAGTTGGTACCAGATCATCCGTCGTACATGGCATTCCACCGGCCCAAGGCCATACTCTTCTGGGTCACGATGAAGTCCCATGCACTCAGCTAACCGTATGGCCGTCCCAACAAGGACGGAGTGGGCTCGAGAGATCTCTTCTCGACACATCGGAATCTAAAGGGTATAAGCTAAGCGCGCCAAAACAAACATGCTAAAGACAGGAGAAAGGGACGCTATACCAGGTACATCACCAATGCCTGAAGCGTCTGCACTTTGGTCGTTTTGAGGAAGTTGGCTTTGCTTAGGGCCATCTCGGTCCCCAGTTGAAAATTCTCGATAAGCCGCTTCTGGGGGACGCCAAATGTGCTTAAAATGATATCTTCTGACATGCTAACGACAGCACTGAACATCGCGGCGAAGACAAGCGCTTGGAGAGAGAATGCCGGCTCAATCCCGTTTGATACATTTATCCAGAAGTCATTGTACTGCTTTTCAAATGTTTGACGATGGGCAATTTTGGCAATAGGGTGCACCGCTTCCCAATACTGTTGTAGCAGCCTGTCGCCAGCCACTCTTGTCGGCAAAAAGTCTGCCAACATATACCGTTGGGGACCGTCAAAGAACATCGCAGAACTGGGAGCAACATATGAAGCGCTGGGTTCAAAATATGGGTTGTCTCCTACTGCCGACATCTCCTGCAGCAGCTGAGGATCTACTGATGGAGTTGGTGCGAATTTTTGGGGCGTATCAGACACATGCAGTGTCCCCAAAGCGGCCGAGAGCTACATGGGAACAGAAGTGTCAGCAAGGCACTCTCCAGAGCTGGGTTTGAATCGGCCTATTTCAAACAATAACAAAATAAAAATAAAAATAAATCATTGTAGCAGTTTATAGAATCAACTGGTACGAACCTCATCAGCAATCATTGGCCTATAAAGTCCTCCAATCCTATCAGTCATCCTCATTCGTCCCAATTTGAAGCCTAGGTCTAGCGACTCGTCATCGGCATCATCATCGTATGCCGCATCCTGCACGGCCAACGGTGTAGGTTCCAAGTCCTTCTCATCATCCGGGACCGGGAGCCGACTATCGTCTTTCCCTATTACATCCACAATCCCGTCGGCTTGGCTGGGGCCATCGTGGCCTCTTTCCTGGATAGCGTCGCCAGACTCTTCCCGTCTAATCGCGACCCCCTGTCTCGCGGCTGCATCCCGCTCAAGACCACGCTCCAATGACCCGATCTTATTTTTGAGCTCCGTCAGCTTCATCCGCGACGCCGCATCCGTGGCCGGAGCCAGGAAGAGACAGTCGCGTTTGGACTTGGAGCAACTGGAGCACGGATGGAGTCTGTCGCATTTCAACTTCCGCCTTCTGCACTCGAGGCAGGAGGTTATCATCCGGTTGCGACGTCGGATTCTGGAGGGGTTTGAGGCTCGGGGTAAGGTCGCCGTGGGACTGGGCTCTCTAGGCGACGAGGGAGCTGCTCCATCGGTCCCAGCGCCTCCCCCAGTGGCGTCGGCTGGAAGAAGCAACGCAGCGGCTTGGTTAAACCTTGGAGTCCATATAGTAGGGAAGAGAGGGAGAGGCTGGTCGACGCCAGGGGTGGTGCCCTGCCCAGAGGAGGAGCACTGGGCTGGCAGGTTCGTGGAAGTTGGAGTATCCATCGGCGTCACAGGGTACAGGAAACGCTCCGCTTTAGGTATAACTAGTTAAATAGCCAATGATGGGTCAGCTTCTCCCAGCTAGCGCTTTAACGGGAGGCCGTGGATTCTGCGGTCCGCGTCAAGTCGAACTGGGCACGGAATCCATGCTGTACCCGTCACGAAAGTTGTCATCATAGACGGACTGGAAGGATGCAGAGAGGCGAGTCGACATCTCAGGCCGCTGGGGGTTCGAGAGCCAGGCTTGTGATTTGATGATGATGAATACGACTTTTAAACCTTTTCGGACACGTCCGTCACTCAATCGCTCCTTGACTGGATTGGTGTTGGACTCAGGCCGCTTTGTGCACAAACGCTGAAACAGCCGAGCAGCCAGAACATTTCTGGGCTCCAAGCCCAACAGTTCTATATTTCCTCAGCCGAACGGAGTGGCCCTGACTAAACGTCGACAGCGTCGGAGATTTGTCCTGCTGAACCAATCGGCTCATCTCAAGAGGCTGCCAGACGGTCGCGTCCCACGTGAAAAGTGACCGAGGTGCCATAGAAGTAAATAATAGTTCAAATAACCAGGGAGGCCCGAAGGGCCCCTGATGCTTTTGGATATCCCCATTTCTCACCGCTTCTAAATACAACTTGGCGTTTGAAGCCATGGATAAATCGGATAACGCCGCCGACGGCTCTTCCGCCGTCTACACGGACTTTGTTGTCGTTGGAGCCGGCATATCTGGCATCAACTTTGCCTATCGCATTCAAACAACATGTCCATCCCTCTCCTACACGATTCTTGAATCGCGCAATACGATAGGCGGCACCTGGGATCTCTTCAATTACCCCGGAATCCGTTCCGACTCGGATTTGTACACGTTCGGGTTTTCCTGGTATCCATGGACGGAAGACTGCGCAATTGCAGACGCTCCCAGCATCAGACGGTATCTGGAGAAGGCCACGCGAAGCGCAGACATCGATAGTCACATCCGTTTCCACCACAAGGTACTGTCGGCGAGCTGGAAGGATGAAAACGCAGACTGGAGACTGGAGGTAGAGCATGAAGGCATCATCAAGGTCCGTGTCGTATATTCTCATCCGACCCCCGGGGCGGGACTGACTGGCGTGAAAAGCATTTTCGCTGCCGATATCTTATCTTCGGCACAGGATACTATGATTATGAGCATCCATTAGCCGCCGACATTCCCCAACTCGACCATTTCAAAGGTACCATCGTCCACCCTCAATTTTGGCCCGCCGATTTAGACTACTCAGACCGAAAGATGGTGATCATCGGGTCCGGTGCTACGGCTGTTACTCTACTTCCGAATCTTGTCGAAAAGGCATCGCACGTAACTATGCTTCAGCGCAGCCCAAGCTACGTCTTAGCCGCAAATAATCGTTCTTCTCCTCTCTTGAAGCGACTGGTACCAAGAGCATTGCTTTTTCCTCTTCTCAGATCTTATTTTTTGGCAGTATCGTTTACGCTGTTCCAATTCTGCCAGGCCTTTCCCAATCTTGCAAAACGCCTCATAAGATCAGTGACCGAGAAGTGCTTACCTCCCAGCATTCCGCACGATCCTCACTTCAAGCCACACTATAAGCCTTGGGATCAGCGCCTCTGTCTTGCGCCAGACGGTGATTTCTTCGAAGGTCTCCGCTCAGGCAAGGCAAGCGTAGCTACCGGGACCATCAAGGGATTCACGGACAAAAGCATCATCCTGGAGAGCGGCGATACAATCGACGACGTCGACATTGTCGTCACCGCCACAGGTCTAAAACTACTTCTTGTCGGCAACATCAAAGTCACCGTAAACGGCCAGCCTCTCGATCCCTCGAAGAAATTCGTTTGGCGAAGCTGCATGCTGCAAGACGTTCCGAATTCTTGCTTGATAGTAGGATACACCAATGCATCCTGGACGCTAGGTGCGGACTCTACCGCCGTACTTTTTTGTCGGATTGTTCAGAAGATGCTCAAGACTCGTTCGACGAGCGTCCGGCCGTTTCTGAATACTTCAATGGAACCAGTGCCGCTTCTAAATCTCAGCAGCACGTACATAACCAAATTGGCCAATACCTTGCCCAAGGCTGGGAATAAGGGCCCGTGGAAACCAAGGATCAACTATTACGTGGATTATTGCATCTCGCGGTGGGGAAGTCTGAAGGATGGACTGGTCTTTTCTTGAAAATAGAAAGAAAAACACTTCATATAGCATACTAGGGGGTTAGGGAGCTCGTGTGGTAATGTGGTAGATTTTGATCTGACAGATATATGCATGCATGCATGTTGATTGCTAGATGCGCCTATATAATGATAATTTTTCAATCTCTTGATACTTTTCCATTTACTTTCTTCACAATCGCATCCATCTAAGCCCCAGTGGAAAAAGTATCACTGTCCTTTCATTCTTAGACTCAGCGACATCACATAGTAAAAGTCGCAAATGCTGCAGCATCCTTTAGCCCATGCCTGTGCTGGACAAGATGAAACAGAGAACCTGCCAGACATCCCATGATAACCAACTTTTGAAAGTTAATATTATAAATAGTACATGATCTTTCTTTAATGCTTTGATAAGTGTACTTTCTGTTAAATACCTAAATCAGCTTGGGAAAATACAGCTACCCTGATACTACTACCCCAAAAGGCCAAGAAACAGGCAGAGTAAACTTTCATCAACATTAATGGCTCGTACAAACACATGCCAACTCCCAATGTTGCTTTATCAAATTAGAAAATCAAAAATCATCCAAGCTCCGTACTTTCACCTTCCGATGGCCAAGTGCAGCTTTTAGGTGGCCCACAACCTCCCTCCTTCGCTGGGCCTTTGCTTTCCATCTTTCAGAATCTTCTGCCAGGACAAGCTCCGTAGGTCTGTTTGGACTCCGCAGCATACTCTGGGAAAGGACGCTTGATCGGAATTTCGAAGTGCGATTTGATTCGGGAGTGTGATATAAGCTACGAACAGCTCCATCAAGTGATGCCCGGGAACCAGGGGTAATTGGCACCCGGGACATGTTCTTAAGAGGGGTCGTGAACGGTGACGCTTCTCTGCTTCGAGGAGCTATTGACTCTGAGATATCAATTCCTAATTTTCGCATTTGCGCTTCGAGGACATCGATATCTCCGCTTTTTTGCTGAGCCATGTTCGTCATGGTATTAATTGTTGAGGTCACAGCCTCTACCGTCGGGCGCGCCACGTGAGATCTGGTTTTCCTTGACGAAACGCCAAACCCATCCGCTGCCTTGGAAGCGTCGGCAATTCTAGCTCTTAATAGTGACACATCTTTTTCTAGCTCTGCAAGTTTCGCCTGAGTCTCCGTCGACAGCTTTCGCAGATCTTGTTGGAGAGCAGATTGCTCCGCTGATAATGGCGCAGAAGCGATGGATGCAGCATCCGTATAAGAATCTAGCATTCTTCTTATGCTTGCACATTGACCACGAAGGTTCACAAGATCTTTACTTAAAAGCTGGTGACATTGTTCGAGCCTTCCTTGAATGTTTTCCACTTTTCCTGCTTGAAGAGATTCATCTAACACTTCAACGCCTCGCTGAAGCTTTTCAACCTCTGGTAAGAGCAGCTTTTCGTCGAGGAGATCGGCGCATTTCTCGCTTCGAAGACTTCTTAGCCACGCTGTGTAATCATGATCGCTGGAAGACTCCTGATAAAGCAAAAACGCAGAGAGAGATCGTGCATTGATGCCTAAAGTACCTATCATGGCATTGATGTCACGGTATAGACGTTCAATTTGGCCAGGAATTCCAGGCTTCAGGCTTTCTCCAGTATAATCCTGGTGAGGCAGGAAAGGATCTAGGGTTGGCGCTGGCGAAATGGGTCGTGCCAAATCCGCTCGGAGCTGCTCATCCTCATCCTCAACAAGTTCCTGTGTCTCAGCCTGGAGTCGTTGAGCTTGGCGTTGAATTTCTTTTGCCGAGATGTGATCCTCAATATCCTCGGGTGGTGTCCTTATTTGATTGGCAAGCATAGAACTCTCTAAAGCAGCCTTTCGGCGGGAAATAGCATGCCCCGGTATCGGAGCACTTGTAGACCTGATGTGGTCAGTGGCAGAAAGCGCCTTTCCAAACTGATTGCGAACGGGGCTCGGAGATCTAGGGCTAAGTATTGTCCGACTTTGGGGTATTTTAGGCACAGGGAAAATTGGCTTTTCTGTGATCTCTCCGAATAGGGGCTTTGGAACTGCTGGCTTTGGCTCTGGAGCCGATATCTGTGAAAAGCTTCCACCAGGAGCGCTTTTATAAGAGACAAGGTCAAAGGAACTTTCGGGGGAGATTTTAAAGTCGGTCGAGCCTATATCTTGAGTGATCTCCTCCCCGCTATCTTCAAAACCTTCACTCTCCCCCTCCTCATCTTCTGATTTATCCGGTAGGGCGGGTGGAGTATGCTTGGGTGATTCCGGTAATGCGGACTCTTTGGGTGACTTGGGCTCCTTAGGAGTTTCGGCCTTAGGTGGGAGCGCGGGCTCGTTCAATGATACAGGTTTCTTCGGTGGGAGGAAGTCTGGCGGAAGCGGTGCATCCCGTGAAACACTTGATGAGGAAGCAGAAGTATCCCCAGGGCCATAGGTTGCTCTACTCGTAGGCTCTGGCGGAAGGGGAGGCTCTGGTGGAAGCGGAGGCTCCACAATTTTCGGAGATGGCGCGACTTTTCGGTCTCCTGGAGCCTTCGCTTCGACAGGCGGTTTGGAGATGCCACTATCGCGTTGCAAAGAGGGAGCTGGCTCGGTTGACTTCGACTCCGCAGCTACTGGAGGTGGAGGTAGTGATGTAGCGGGCGTCGTCGATACCATGGTCGTTAAAAGCGATCCTGGCTGTTGAGGTGTGGCAAACAGCCCCGAGCTTGGTGCACCGAATGGTGATTCTTTGGAGACCATCGTGTTGGTTTCAGGGATGCCGGAGAAAGGCGATGTGAAGGGAGAAGGTTTTGGTTCGGCTTTCGTCACAGATTCGTTAACACCGCCAAGGTCAAGCGATTGCTGAAGTGAACCAAAGGAGAGTGCTCCATTTGGCTTTTCTGGTTTATCTTCGTCCATAGCAGCGGACTCATCAGGCGTAAAGGTTGATCCAAGAACAAACCCCCTCGACCCGAATGCCTCTGAAGCAGTCGCCGTACTTTCTTTCTGAGGGAGCGCATCTGAACCTTGTGAACCAAATAGGGGCTGCCCAGCTTTGGAAAACGGATTGTCGCTTGTTGCCTTTGCGAAAGCACTCTGTTTTGGGGTGTGGGAGCCAAGAGAAGCCGCAAAACCACCAGCAGACGTGAAAGAGGTAAATCCTCCACCAGTACCAAATTGACTCAGCGTCTGAGTCGGTGTTTGGGCGAAAAGGGATCTCCCATTTCCTAGTTGGCTTGCTTGTCCAAAAGCTGGCTGGGAGCTTCCAAGAGCGCTTGGAGAACCAAAAGCTGGTTGTCGCCCTACTCCAAGGGGCGTAGCAGTGCCGAACGAAGGAGTTGCGGGTGTTCCAAAAGACGGCTGGCCAAATGCTGGCTTTCCAAACATTCCTTGTCCAAAGGATGGTTTCGGTGTTTCAGGAATAGGGGCTGGCTGAGCAACAGCTTGCTGGTGAGGCAAGGATTGTCCCTTGGGAGCCACTGAAAGTCCATGATACGGAATTTGTTTCCTGATAGATTCTGAATATACTATCCACCAGCAAGAAAGCACACCGTCGTTACCTAATATCATAATTGCAGGCAACGGCGTCGCAGACTCTTTGATATCTTCGCCGGGAATGGGTGAGGGAACGTTGTTCTTGCTTGACAAATCCAGGGAAAACCCAATAGGCGAAACGTCAACCATATCCTCTGTCATTGGCAGTTCTGCTCTTCTCGAGTCTTCCGACATTGTTGTGGTTGTGAAGAGATTTGTAATTTTTTCGGGTGGGCAGTCATCAGCAAGGGGTTTTGTTGACCGTGTGAAGAGTCCGACGTCTGTCGATGTAGTCGAAGAGACAACGATGAGTTCTTTCAAATCCGGTTCGAAGTCTTTTAATCGGCCAGTAAACTGGAAGGAAGGATTACGTTCCGCTCCAAACGGGGAGCAAATTTCCGGCAACTTTCGAAACTCGAAGCTATCGGGTGGGTGCCGTGTTAAAATATAATACGACGAAGGTGGCCTCTCATCAGAAACAATCGTGGGCGTATAGATCATCAGAAATAAATGATTCTCAAGCCATATAAGGGAAGAAACTAAAACGATATTTAGCACATCGCATAGAGGAAACTAATCGCTAAGACTGACCGTGTTCAGTGCCTTCGAGATCTGGAGGTTTCGGGATCTCGGCCTTTCCTTCGCCTTGGGGAGTCATTTGATAGGCGGTTCCATCTGCCAATCCAGCAACGAGTTGTTTCCCTCTCGTACTCCAAGAAGCAGAGCTAACTCCGGTTTTTAGAACGGGGCCATTAGGCCCTGCATCCAGCTGTCCTTTTTTCACATTCGCAATCAATAATTCCCCATTGATCGTTATTACCGCAAAGAGCTCGGATATGACGGGGTTCGGGAGTAAGGCTCGGACAGTTTCACCGTTCAAACGAATAGTTGCGCCTGGCTGGCTTTTGCCTTGCATGAGCTCTGACACGTCGAAGACTGCCAGCCCATCTCCAGTCTGGGCAGCAACGACAAGCACGGTTTCATCGGCGGAGAACGCCACATGAGACACCTTACCAGGGAGAGGAATCTGTAGCTCCGGCTGAAATGGTCTAACATTGCTCTCGCCGACCGCGTCAGCGAAAAATGCTTTTCTGGCAGAGTCTGTGCTGGCGATAATGATGCCCTCGGGTCCAGCGGCTGCGACAAGGGACTTTGTCGGGGCGACACTCAACAGGGAAGAGGTTGGGGGTGGTAATGCGTCCGCAGGCCATGGCGAAGGAAGAAGCTGTACTTTGGAATCGCCATTCAGGGAGAGGAAGCCGACCTCCTGCATGCCCGGCGAGTTAGATATTTCTGTCATCAGTAAAGCGCGACCATGTTCCACACGTACCTGTGTTTGAATCTCCTGCAGCTCAGGACCTAGCTGCACTTTTCCTCCACCCATGGCCGACTGGGGAGCTGCGACGAATGAGAACGCCATCTTCAGAGACTCGTAGTCGGCTGAAAGTGACCGAGACTTGGAATCTAGGGGATGGCGTGTCCTTCTGGCATTGATGTTGATAGAATCACGCGGTAAGACGTTGAAGGAACGGCGATGGCTGAGCCTGCCAGGACTCCTGTTAAATAGATCAAAGGTAGGGCCGAAAATCTTGACGCGCGGGCTCGCAGTATGTGGCGGGAGGGCAATGCATGGAAAAAAAAAAAGGCAAAATATCAAGCCGTCCGGCGTCTGCAAGCCCAGTAAATTCCTCAGGCTATAGATTCCCGCTGCGCAGAGAGGGCGTTTATCGTTCGTTGTGGAATAAGAATTGCCGTCCGCTTGCTGGCTTCATTCGCCCGTCGACTGGGCTTGTCTGGCGGCGCTGATTGGCCGGCAGCTTGGTAGCAGCATCAGGCAGCTCGAAGCTTCGTCACTTCACGTCGCTTCAACTCTCGCAGCGACCGTCCGTCCTCCATCCGCTCAGCGTCCCTTTTGCTTTTTTTTGGCCTCTCACCATCCTTTCAACTCGCCCTTTCATACACATCCTCACCACTCCGCCTTCAGCTCTTCTCGCGCCTTTCACCCTCGCAGGGCCAACGCCAGCCACATCACCATGCCTGGGTTCGATTTCTCCAATTACAATCGCAACGCAGCGCTTCATGCAAAGGGAGTCCCGCTGCCCAAAGCCACAAGCACGGGTACGACGATTGTTGGCTGCATTTTTGATGGAGGTGTCGTGGTATGTCCAGTGAATGCGTACCCCGTAGATCAAACAGTCCTCTGGCTAATTACGCTGTCCACCATAGATTGCCGCAGACACTAGAGCTACCAGTGGTCCTATTGTTGCAGACAAGGTACATCTCTTGCTGGAGCTGACATGTTGTCGCTAAACCTTCGAAAATAACTGCTTCGATCGGGCCAGCCGCTGACATGAAACGTCTCCTTTAGAACTGTGAGAAACTCCACTACATTACGCCATCGATATGGTGCGCGGGAGCCGGTACCGCTGCAGATACAGAGTTTACTACTGCTCTTATCAGCTCTAATCTCGAGCTTCATGCCCTTTCGACCGGACGGAAACCGCGCGTCATAACCTGCATGACCATGCTTAAGCAACACCTGTTTCGTTACCAAGGCTACGTTGGCGCATATCTGGTTGTTGCTGGAGTAGACCCTACTGGCGTCGGCCTTTATACAGTTCATGCCCATGGCTCTACCGATAAGCTCCCCTACGTTACGATGGGCTCGGGATCCTTGGCTGCGATGTCTGTTTTTGAGACTATGTGGACGCCTAACTTGAACAAGGACCAAGCCATAGTGCTTGCTTCAGAGGCTATAAAGGCAGGAATTTTCAACGATCTTGGCTCTGGTAGTAACGTGGATGTTTGCGTTATCGAGCAAGACAAACCTACTCAGTTGCTAAGAAACTATATCCGACCTAACGAGCGGGGCCAGAAAGAGAGAACCTACCGATTCACGAAGGGGACTACGGCCTGGTTAGACCAGAAGATCATCACAAAGGAGGAGATAGGACGATACGTCACGGTGCACGAACTCAGCGGAGATGCGGATGCAGTGGTCGCGGAGAAGATGGATGTCGATTCTTGATTTGTGCCTTCCATAGATCCCCCTCCCTAAGGAGTAATGAGACTTTACCGTATGAGACTACAGCGACCGTTTTTGCTACCTTCCGTGTTTCCCACCTAACTCTGTGGCTCTCTTCCTTGATGTAAATGGAGAGGATGATGAATGCGCGGATAAGAGCAATAGTAAGGGGTGGAACTCAATTGCCTTGGAGATTTTAGCACGGCAATGGCCATCTTCCTCGCGATGGTTTGCGTATCGACTTTACTGGTGGGTTTCGTGTTGCGCCGGGTTCAACAGCGCTTCCAAGTATCAACTGCTGAGAGTGACCCCTTTTCATTAGCATTCGAAACAGTCCGGACTCCTAAAATAGGAAGAAATTCATTCACTCTAGTTCCAAACCCTTGCGTTGTCTGGAGTATGGTGTACTAAGTTCTGCTATCGCTTCACTCCTTGAATTTTGCTTAGTACTCATACCTCGACCCCTTTCTCATGCGCTATTGAAAATCAGGCTTCACAGGGTTTTCTGCACGGAGAGGCACAGACATAATTACTACTTCTTGTAATATGTCTTTGAAGATTTAATTTGTATGAAACAGGACAAAGGTCAATTTTCATGTATGTACTGTACATACAAGAACTAGCCGACGCAAGACCTCCATATGTAAAAGGGAACTAATTTTTCCCCAACAAGTAAGTAACTTCAAAGGGCACTCCACTTGCAAGAGCACTTGCAATCGCGTCCCCCTCAACTTCTCTAACGTGGTTGATGATGTATGAAAACCGAGCCTGAGGAACTGACATACCAGCCTCGCGAAATCGATAGATGCCAGCGTGATATAACGCGCGAACCATTGTGGGCGTGATGGGCGCGTTGTGGTCAAGCAGAAACTCAAAACACCAACGTGTCAGTCGATAAGCGTTTCGAGGTGAGAGTTTGGAGGAGCACGCAAAAATCAACGCGATGCTGTGCATTGTTGCGAGGCAGTCAGCCGGGTTTAGCACCGGATATCCCTCAGAAGTATACTTCTGTCCTCCATGCGGTTCCCCATCAGAATATCGGCGACATGGATTCCAGGAGTAAGCCAATGCGATCTTAAATGCAGTATGGCGACGGAGAATGCGGAGCAAGCCGCTACGGAGGGGTGAGTTCGTTTCCGTATAGAGAAGAATCTTGTTTGCAAAGTCGGGAGCCGTAACATCTATTTTCCTTGCCATATCTTCCCAGTAACAGAACATCTCGTCTTCGAGAAGCCTATTTGGGTCATTCTCCTGAAATACATTTGAACGTAAACCACTGAGTTCTACTCGAGACAACGCCTGGATGGCGTTTTTGGGTATATGCGGATAGTTCAGCATCCTTCGCTCATATCTCATCTGCGTGCTTGTTATTGAAACAGCATCTGCATGAGGGAGACCCAACCCGCCGAGCATTTGCATAGACCTATCTAGATAAGAGACGAGGTCGACCTTCGGCCTTGGGCCTCGTAATCGTTTGTCGTAGGCCAAAAGTTTTCCGAACAGTTGCCTCCGGCGTCGTTCAACACGAGCTTTGCGATCAAGAATCTTAACAAGCCATAGTCGCAAAAGCCATTCCTTTCTCATCAAGCGGTGTTCTCTATTACGGGACAGTCTGGCCCTAGGCGTTTTCCGCGTCATACGAGAAGATAACCAGCCTTGACGGGAAAAGTCCCAGTGAGCTTCGTGCAGTAAAAAACTCAGATTGGAATGCTCTAATATATCACTCCAAATCCGCAGAAGCTTTCGTCGTGTTTTGCGATACTGTCGTGAAAACAATAGGGATTTGGTGACCCGAAAGATTGAATCCATAAGAAGCCGACTAGGGAACAGATTCCCAACATCGTTAAAGTATTGAATAAAATTGCGGAAGTGTTTCCAATAAATGAGCGCCGCGGATTTAGTGTGTGTGGCGATAAGCTTAACGATCTGCAACGAAACCGTCTGTAGTCCAGGAGAATAGGATGCTCGAGAACCTGCCAGAAGACGAATGATGTCCTTGCTAAGTAATGCTGATCGTCCGGTCGCGTTTCCCCTTGAGAGAAGGCCTAACCATGAAGATAGTGTTCTATTCCCAAGATCCTTAGGCTGCACCACAGAACACAATTCGATTCCTTGCCATATGGCCTCGAAACAGAATGTGTGCAAGACGCCGGGGCTTTCCGGTCGTATATCGGAAGTCCTAATCCGCGGAACTAGCTTCAGCATTAATGGTATCTCATGCCGAGGCACCAAGCCAAGAGAGAGCTGAAACCTCAACATCTGAAATATAGCTTCCACCTCGAGTTTTGTGCCTGGCTTAGAGACCAAAGCCCGTACCACAGCCACAAAATTGTTTGAACCCCGCGGATTTAGATAGGGATCGCCGAGGAAGTCGCTGATTTGGGTCAGGGGCCATGTTCCTTTACGATACACCCCAATAATGTGGTTTAGAATCAATTGGCTGAGTTGAGGGTGGCTGCGTAAATCGACGCCAAGATACGAAACAAGGTCTCGAATATCGTCTAGACAACACGTTTTGGGTAGAACTCGGGTGAATATTTTATCCCAATCCTGAGTTGATGCGAGACTGAGCAAGTCGGGGGAGAGGAACGGCGGTGCATTCAACGTTTGCGCGGGAGTTGCTGTGCCGGGTAGAGAATGGAAAGGTAGAGGAGAAACAGCTACAAAGATATCGTCAGACACTTCAAGTATATTACTTTCATAGGTAGGATGAAGCACTTACTCGACGGATCCTGTCCGGACAAGAACGATCCGAATGGAAACTCGAATTGCTTGTGCCCTTCTGGGTTCTGTCCAAAGAGAATGGCAGGGTCAATGCCAGCTCCACCATACCCAGCCATCGCCAAATCAGCGTTTCTCCTTTTCGCAAGTCGTCGTCTCGCTTCGAGAGGGCCGGGAACATTGCTGCCATAGCGCCGTTGAGTTCTTGTAAACTCGGTAAATGAGCGAGTTAGGAGGGCATCGCTAATCCAGACGTGATTGGCAATTGGGCCATCCTGCTGCTGGCAAGCCCTCCGGCAGACGTGCCGACAGATAGACATCTCTGACCAGGGCAAGTGAGCGGAGTATGGAGGCAATTGAGATAGCGGGTTTGTTTCAATGCGTGAGCGCTGCCTGAGTCTCGGAAGTTGAACTCGAGATTTCGACTATATTGATGACTAAGCAGATGCCACAATCTGGCTGACAACCGTAACAGCTCTCTCCGGGCGTCTCCGGCCTAGTCGTGGAGCAGAGTGTCTTTCACCGTGCGGCTAGCTGCCCTATAACAAGGATCTCATGTCGTTATACTCATTGCTTTACAGGCCGAAGACCAAAGATCTCAAATATCACATCCAATCCTTTACACTATACTCTGTTCAAATCCATGTACACTATTTCCAAGCCATTGAACGGATCGAAGGGCTCTCAAACGCTACAAATTTCGGAGCAACATACAGAGAGGAGCCACAAACCGTCATTGATCGATACATATCGATAGTTAACCTTAGTATTCATCGCTGCCCCAGCTTTGGTTAACGTTCCACCGATGAGCCGCCTCCGAGACGCCTCTCACAAGGTCAACAACCGAATCCGCCCAAGTTCCCTCGCCTCTATCAATTCTCTGCCTTCTTTCCCTCTCTGACTCCGAATCTAGCCTATTCATAAACATGTCTCGTGCTCGGGGAATGTCTGCAGCGGTGACCACTTCACCCTGTCTCCTTCCCAGAGCCGCAGCTTTGATTGCAGACGTATACGTCTGAACCCAGTCGTTCTCAGAGCCACCTGGTGAGCTATAGACTCCACCACGCGAAACATGATGCTCAACACGGACAATTTCATAGCGCTTCTCTAATAGGATTAGGAGGGGCCAGGTGATGATCCAAAGCTGAAGAATCACACATGTCCACCAGACGAAAGAACTGGTACGCAGCCGGTTAATCAAAGATGGTGAATATATGGTAACCCGGGACTGCTGTATGAACGGGGAAACTGTGATGGTGCCGCAGTAATTAGTGGATCGGATGATTGAAATGATCTGGCGCCGAATCAGATTGAAATTCCAATTGACGACGTCGCGATGAAGCGTGAAGCTATTGTCAATTGATGGCAGGGTACTTCGGTTAGCTAAAGCAATCGATACGCTACAGTTTACTTGACTGGAGAGGGGTGCCTCACGATTTGACACTTGATTTATCACTGCAAAACCTCTGGCACCATTCCTCAAGGGTTGGGCTGATGTTTATTTGCCCATCTTCAAGTGCGGTTGCAATGCGTTTCTTCTTACACCAGTTTCTGTTGGTGCTCCTAAATCTGCTGCCTCTGTATGCGGACACTCCATCATTATCTTGGATGACCTTCATCACTTTGTAAACCCCATCTATGCAGCGGACCGGTGGCAGCACACTGTCGCTGCCATCAATCAAAAAATCAAAATCTATGATAGTCTGAGTTGATGACTGTTTATCGCGGTTCTTCGTTGACACCGTATGCGTCCCTTTTACCGAGACAAATACCTGTGGAGGGAGCTCTGCTTGCAGCTTGAAGAATCTGTACAGCACTTCGGCATTGGAAGATAAGTACGGGGCCAGTGAAATCGTATAGGTCTTGCCTTCTCTGTAAGATGTAAGAACACGAGCGCCCGGAATATCGTACTCATCAGATCGGATTCGCTCATTGACCGAGTCGTCACGGGAACCATCGACCGGCGGTCGAGATTCGTCGTATTCGGTGTAGGCTGGCGGGTTGTCCTCACCTCCAAAATCCGCGTCGTCAGTATATGGCTGGAAACTACCAGACACTGAAGATGGCTCTAGTGCATTCTGGGCTTCCAGGTGGATCTCTGATGAATTGCCAGCATATGCTGGGGCTTGTGCCTTTGAGGCCGTCATGTGGTGTAGGTGGAGGAAGGAACACAAATGCAAGATCGTGTTATAGCATTGCATACATAGATTTGAGTCGTAAAACCACTCCCTCTTCAGGCGGCAAAAGTCCTGTTTTGGAGCTCTGCGCCCTTATTGGAATGGATCCTGAAAATGTCTGATAACTACGGAGCAAATGGTCACTTATGATGCCGCGCTACTTTATGTTGCAGCCTTGCGTCAGTGGCAGCACCACAAACGCCGCACAGATCAAGCTTGGTGTCCTGGGCTCATCACACCATATGACTAAGCAAAGTTCATCCGGCCATGTAAACTTACTGGTCCGTACTGGTAATATTACAGATTTATGTAATATGATAGGTTGGCAGCCAGTGGGCAAGCAGTTCTGTAGATGTACTCCCTAGAGAGGATTATTCGGAAAGGTTAGGGTATTAGGTGAGTATGAGTACGGAGTACGGAGTAGTGTTGTCAGAAATCAGGGATTATGGGTTAGAGGTTGGAGTTAGGAGGTTATGGTAGCTCAGGGAATGGTTAGGGAGTATGGAAATGAATTTTTAGGGATCAGTTAGTGACTAGGAAATAAATTTCAAATGTCACTTTGTATGTTTGGTTTTAAATTTTATATTTCATCACAGCCAGTTGTATCATCACACAGTGTGATGAGCTCAGGACACACCAAGTTGATCTGTATCCTATGTCAAGGATTGGTGGAGACGGATGTTCTTTTCAAACTTATTATACGGAGTTCTCCGTAGTCTGTACGGAGTACTCCATACGGAGTATTAACTTTCAACCAATTGAACTAACTAGCTATTGGCAAAGCTGCTTGTTCTACAGAGTACTCCGTATCTCTTTTCCTTTTCCTCTTATGTTCTACTCTGTACAAGAAAGATCTAGTGCATTGGCTCTTTGAGATATCAGATAGCCACTGATGCATTGCAAATGCATTTTTTCAAAACACTCTACGGAGTAGAAAACTATGATATATAAAAGAAAATTCCTGGCAGACTGGTTAAATGTGCACCACATTTCTAGATCTTTTGTTATGGCTGTTACCTATGGAGTACCTTAACCCTTTTCATGAACACTGAACCTGAAAGCCTGGGGGTTTTACAAAAAATAAAAAAAAAGAGACATACAACATTCGCTGGTGGTCACCCACCCAACTACCAGCCGGCCGGCGAGTAGCTTAAGCGTGGCCGAAAGTCGGGTGGGTGCGTCGTGGGTGTCGCCTGGGTGCGTTAGCGGGTGCTGCCGCCTTACCGTCGCGCGAGCGTGCGTGCCCCTGGGTGGCCTTGGGTGTGTGTGCAGTGAGTTCGCGCGAGAGTAGGCACTTGGGTGCCACGTGTCTACATGTATCATCATCATCTTCTTCTTCTTCTTCTGCCTTCGATGATCTGTACTGGGCTGTTGAAGGTATTGCATTTGACAGAGGTGGACGTATAGCGTCCTCCTTCAGTTTCCCACTCTGCTATTTGTCGAGCCACCTTACTGACTGCGTAATTAATTATGGAGTTCGCAAGGTCATTGGCACCGATGAACGCGGCTTCCTCTCCAATACCTCGTCGTTTAAGCGACTCGATCGTTTTCTCACGTGTCGTGCCACTTTGTGCCTCTGCTCACAACTGTTGCAAGGTTAATAGAAAGAAAGTGCATTCTGATTTGGGCAACTCACAATGAATCCGCAACCTCCTCAGGAATCAAGAAAAGAGTACCAAGGCCAGTTGCCCACAATGCTACTTCAACTCTACCGTCTAATTCCACAATCCGTCCGTCTTCTCCTTTATCGCCTTCTCCTACCAATTGGCGAGCACCTTTATGGCAGCGGGACGTACCATGTCCGGGATGTCCAACGGTTACCCTTCAATCTGTATCCTAAACGGTCCCGGCTTCTTCGTGCCCAATATGAAGCACGTGCACTCAAAATGGTTGCAGAATACACAACACTAAATGCGCCCCGGGTTGTGGATTTCATAGAGTTGCCAGCAAAAAGGGAAGGTTGGCTGTTGACTACTCGCATTGAGGGTGACATTGCTGGAAAATGCCTTCAGACAATGAATGCTGAACAGCTGCACCAGTTCAGTATCGATTTTAGGAATTATGTTGAGCAGATCCGGTCCATCCCAAATCCATATCCTCCCCTTATCTGCAGCGCACTCGGCGGAGAGTGTCAGGATTGTCGGATTGACAATGAGGATGGTAGCACTGGACCCTATGACAACATTGCTGATTTCAACAAGCATCTGATGGACATGTGTGGCCTGATTCCAAACCCTGCTGACAGAGCTGTGATCGCAAATGTTCATTCCCGCTCATACCGTGTCTTCTTTGCACACGCGGACCTCAACCCGGCGAATGTGTTAGTACACAATGGGAGATTATCTGGGTTTGTGGATTGGGAGTTTGCGGGTTGGTATCCTGAGTATTGGGAATTCACCAAGGCATGCTATATTGTGCGCATATGGACGCTGTGGTTGGAGATGATGAAAAGTGTATTTCCTGAATACCCTGATGAACTGAAAGCTGAACAGATACTCCAAGATCATACCTGTCCCTTCTGAAATGCAACATTGTACGGAGTGTTTCTTTGTGTCTAAAGCCCATGGCGCGCTCAAGGGACCAACTTTTGTTCCTTAATAGTTGATTCACAAGTGGGGATTTAGATTATGATGTTGCAAAGTGCTATACCCTATGTACATGGAGCTCTTACAGTGGCCCTTCAAGGCAGGCTTCATGGCTCAGGGCAGTCATTCTCCCATCTTGCAATTCAAAGAGTTTCTTGAGCATGCCATGCTCTCTTATCTTTGAACCTTTTCTTTCGTTTGAATGCTCAATTTCAGACCGGAGAGAGAAGCCAGCACGAGGTTTTCACTGGGTATTTGTAGTTTTCATGTACATAGGTTATAGCAGTAGCGGCCTATGCCTCGGGGTAAAAGGTGTACAAAACAAATCAATCAGCTAAGTATGTTCCAGACAGCACTTCATCGCAAAGAAAACTCCAAGGCAAAACAACTAGAACTAGAATGATGCAACAACATATTCCCCTGTCCCTTGCTCTATCTTGGATTGATTCGCATCCGCGATTTCATACACTTTGGCCATCAAGTCTGAAACATCTGGCGCATTCACAATGCCCGCATCATGCAGCCATGCCACAGCATTCATTGCCCAAGCTCTACAGTAGATCCCCACTATAGCGAACCCCCATACAATGAATTCCTCTATATAATGAATAAAATCCCTTCCCAAAATTGAATCTCCCTACAAAATTCATTAATCCCTGATAAACTGAAATTTGCTAGCTCTTTTGAATATTTTATAGACAATTTATTATAATGAGACCCAATGCCCTGCCAGACTGCTATTTCAATTAAGTAAAAGAAGATTCTCTGGGCTCACAAGCTGCAGTATTCAAGTTTTAGCAACAAGACTTTAAAGCAGTGGTTTGAGCAGCACTATAAATAAATTTTTGCTCTATTCTCTGTCTCTGAGATTCTATTATTATATTATGATTATCTTGATTAGACTGTCTGCTGCTCAGAGCAGAAGTACTACTATTATAAGTACTGACCTGAGCTTGAAACAGCTTTTTACATATGAATTTAACAAACAGAGAACCACATTCTTATCTCAGAAGAGATAATTTGACATAAAACAAAGTTCTTTTAAAAGAATCTGTCAGTCTACAAAAATCACAAGATATCAGCATTCAGTAATAATTAGCTTTACTAATTTCAGTTCCACAAGTTCATCAAGAATTATATATAATATAGAGAAGCTGAAAGTACTGTAGCAGTAGAGCAAGAGATAAAAGATATAGAATAGCTTCTTTAATAGTATAATTTTAAAAACATCTTCAACTATAATAAAACTGAGCTTTTTTGAAAGTTAACATTAAATTAAGAACTTTCTATATACTCAATATCTGAACAAAAAAGAGAGAAGATATAAATCACTACTTATATATACTGCAATGCAGATAAATCAGAGAAACTATCTATCTGATTTATTAATACAGCTAAATAATTACATATCTTCTGTACTGCTGATATTAATATCAAGAACCTGCTGCCCAAGTGGAGATTGAATAAGAAGATCTGAATGACAGAGTATATCATAAAGAAATAGCTTTGCTAATTTAATTCTTGAATAAGAAACTGTAAAGTTGTGCTTTTTATAGATAATTTCTCTGCATATGAGCTTGTGTTTAAAAATATTCAGCAGAGTCTCTATCTCTTGCTAAATACTCTTAATTATTTGACTTTTATTAAATATAACAAGCAAATATCAACTGCTGAATCAAGAGATAATTTATACATGAAAGTGATACTGAAAGTAGCAGTGGATTCAGTATATACTTGAGAAGTATAAGTCTAACCAGAATTCTCTTACTACAGTCAATATTTTGATGGTGCTGTGCTGGGGAATCAAGATATAGCATATAGATATATCTACAGCCTTAATTATTTACTGCTTTGACAGAACTTTATTTTTCAAAAGATCTATATAGTTAGATTCTGAGAATGATTCAATTCTGAAGATTATCAGTAAGTTTCAAAGACTCTATCTTCTCTCAGTAATTCAAAATCTAATAAATATTCAGCACTTTCTTAATCCAGCAGATGAAGTGGTAGAGAATTTCTCTGAAACTATTAAGCAGCATGTTATTGTGCTGCTAGATCCAGTAGATAAGAGTGAAGAGAATGAGGATTTGGCTATAGAGATGCTCCCACTGATTACATCTTTGGAGACTCTAGATCTAGTTAAACAGCTCCAGCTGTATGAAGAGCAGCAAGATCAGGGAAATCAAGAGCTAATTTGGCAGCTCAACAGCTACAAGAGTAAAATAGCAGCAAGGAGGCTTCAAACTCAGCAGCAGCAAGATATTTGTTGTCTATTTTCAATGCGCACCCTCTATATAGTGAATTCCCCTATATAATGAATCGAACAAGCTTCCAAGTTTAAATCACTATAGCAGGGATCTACTGTACATCTAAACCCCGAGTCCTGCGAAATCATATTCGGATCGCCCAAAATGTGGTCGATTTGGGCATGCCCCTGCGGCAGGGGGACGGTTCCGACTTTCAGTGCCAATGCTAACATTTTCGAACGAACAAGATTGTTGGTATATTTGCGCTCGTAAGACCAACCGCCTGTCTTGTTGTTGGCGTGGTGAACAACGCCGCCCTGGCGCAGGTCGTCGCCGGTGACATAGATCCCCCAATGATACTCCGTCGCATTGACGGAAAGAATAACGTAAATTCCGTTGGGTTCCATGATATCTTGGGATCGAAGATATTGTCGAGATGGACCAAACTGTGGAAACCGCGGATTGGAAAAAGAATTGAATTCAGCAGGTCGGAACCAACGTGTATGGTTAGAGACGAAGACGCCTCGAAGGGATCATATGTGTATAGATTTGGATATAACGGTAACAGTGGAATATAAGATTGGAGAATCAATCTGAGGTAAGCTTTTTGGAATTAGAAATCATTCAAGAAGCAGAACCAAGCGGAGTGACCTTATATAGGTAATCCTAGAGGTGTTTCGATGGCACGCGGCCGCCGCTGTGAGCCTCATGCAAAGAAGATGCCTGTGCGCAGATTGGAACATGCATACTGTTTGGGATCCCTGGGAGCTATCGGCGCTTGCAGGGTTCAGCGTCCAATAAAGCAATAGGAATCAATACATCGCATTTTAACCAGTCGCAGGATGCACCACGAATGCACTGAGACGAAGATACTGCGCTGCGAATGCTCGGATTGTGGTGAACATTAGCGCTTGTCGCTCAACGTCGATCATATTCGTTTATGGAAGGAGAGAAACACGTTCTCCCCTGGCTTGCGTGTAACAAACCTCGATCTTGAGTTTCAAACTTGTCCTGATTCCCGTCGTCTTTCGCGGTTGTAACGAAAGACGGGCCACCGCGAAAGACCATCAAGTCGCCCGTCTTCCAGATTCGCTCCAACGTCTCCTGTCTTTCCACAGTCACCCGTCCGTTGGCATGCATATCAAAAAGAAGACAGTGGCCGGATCATCAGGAATGTGGAGGAAGACAAAGGACTGCCCCGTGCACAGGTATCATCTGCTAGCTGCATTAATCGATAGGCTTACGGGACAGCCCGGAACACAGAGCGCAAGACGCCAGCAGCCATCTGGGATGCATGATTTTTCCCAGCACTCAGATGGGTCAAGCACCACGAGAATGGTTGGTCTGGGGAGATTCGCCAATAACTCGCTCGATCGGAAAAGCTCGCTAGAGGTTTCAGAGACAGAGTGAGTCTGCCTGGTCTTTCTGGGAATTGGGCAACTTGGGGGAGATGTCTCCAAAATGCTGCAGGAAAGGTGTCAGCCCTCAAATGTCACATACATGTTTGTTGCAGCGCAGGGACGCGTTCCCCTGAAACGGCCATCTGAATTCACTTCAAGTGCATCTAAACGGCCGCGCTTCCAATCCAGCAACACAAGAGATGAGGGGCATGATACGCCACTGATTCCTGTTAGTTTCCAAATCATCAATAAACATTTGAAAATGGGCACAATCCTGTCCAATCAAACTGTTTAAATTCACAGAGCCTTGTTGTGCTTCTCCTGACACACTATCGAGGGTTTCAGTGGGGATGTGAGCGCGTAGTATACCAATCAACCTCGTCATTACTGAACTACACAGTCCTGTGTGGGGATCTGGCCTCTGATTGCAGCTTGTCCATACATATTTGTGCATTGCCAAATATAGATGATCACACTTAAGTGCCGCCGCCGGCCTTGGCGCTCTGCAAGAAGACAAATCCGTTCTGGACTCAACGCATTAGAAAGTGCAATCAGCTTATCGCCATGTTTTGAACAGAAACTGTGCAGATCATTGGAGGGAAAACAAGTGACAGCAATTATCACTGGATTCCTAGAAAAAGTCTTGAAACCCGTACCAGACTTTCCGCAATACCAACAATCCGGGTTTCAAAAAGGGAAACATTGCGCGCTTGAGCACATTCGAGGCCGAGTGTGCATTAGAAAGGTGAGCGGCGCATAATGGAAGTAGTTAGTCCAAACAAGGCTAGCTTTCCATCGACCTTTTCCGTAAGTTAATCATAACCGCTAACTTTCGGCTCGACACATTGGCTCAATCGTCGAATGGCCAGAGTTGCTCAAAGACAGCTGTATCCCAACCTGGGAGAGTGCAATACTGGGCGATGAGTTCCTCCTTTCGCTCTTTGAGCAATGCCTTGACTTGCTCGTAGCTTTCATGTTCCACGACGCCTTTCTGAGGCCATAGATTTCTCAGATCGCGCTCAATATCCTTCATTAACTTGATGCCCAAATCCGCACGTCGCATGTCCGCTTCGATTTCAATGGTTTCAGGCTCCGAGAACGTGAGGGGGAATCGACGGGCGCTTGAGTTGGATTGAGAATTTTCTCTCCATTCATCCTGCAAGTCAAGCAGTAGTACGCAGAAGTGAGCTTCTCCGAGTTCAAATATGCGGCGAGAAAGATGGAGGAGATTTGCGCTTGGGGATTGTTGAAATCTGATCATGCGATACTGTTCTGGATTCTTGCTCCGAACCAGGCTACGCCAGGCAATCATGAGTGCCTTGTCCAGAAATTCATTGAGTGCCGCAGTCTTTTCCTCGCCTTGCAATGATTTGATGCTTTCAGGCATTGCTGGGCGCCCAAGATTGTCCCCTACGTCAGGGCCGTTGTAGTCGAGAAAACAAGGGTCGACGCAATGGTCAAATAGGGGGGCTATTTGAACAGATTGCCAGTCAATGATGCCAAGAACCTTCAACTCTTCTGGGTCCACGAAAATGTTTTCATGGTGTAGATCATTGTGCCATAGATGACCATCGGTTGGCAAAGCATTCTCACACAGCAAAGACTCCAGGATCTGAAAATAGTAGCCTAGGGCTGCGAGTTTTTTCTGCGCGGTAGGTTGGTATAAAGGTGTAGGGCCGTACACCATTGCCATCTGTTTTGGCACATGGTTAAGTTCTTTGATGGCCGCCATTTCGCGAAGACCAATAGCTTCCCGGTAATCTAAGATACAATCCCCTTGGTAATCAAAAAGATTAGACACAGTGTTGGCAATAGCTTCCGAAAGCAATTCTTACATGGGCCCCTATCACATTTGATGTTTACCCGCCCTTCATCACTCCATTCACGCGCGACAGAGGGGCCGATCGCGAACTGAGAATCCGTAACGGCTTCCCCATCCTTGACATATAGCGGATCCTGGCGTCGTGGGTCGACATCTTTGGCATAATATAGACTCCCAAATCCAGTAAACTTGGTGTGGGTCCATCTCCTCTGATAGTCGACAACCTGTAAAAGGATCTTGAGTTTCTTGTTTGGCTGCAAATCCCACCACACCTTTGAGAGAGGAACCCCGGGCATCTTCTCCATAACTATATATTCGGCCCCGACAGAATTCCTCTCGTCAACGCGGGCATTCCAGGCGTATACGTGCGGCGCTGGGGTCTGGAGTATATTGCGCGCAAAGTCCATTGTTGCAACTTCGCTCGCAGTGGTGTAGTAAGGTATGCCGGCATTGGGATTTGGAATCTTGGCAATAACTTCCTTGCCATTGTCCATGGTAGTAGGTATGCCTTATTGTACAAGCCATCAGGGCATTTCACAATGTCAACACAGCGATTAGCGCCAACTGACGTCGCTGCGACGGATGCGAGCCCATCCAGACTGAACTGCACCCGTCGACGCGCCATTTGCTTGTCCTCATCAAGGAGGAAGCGTCCGCGAGTGTATTCGAAGAGTTGGCTATCTTTGCCTATATATGTACTATTCGTCAGTGACCTAGCGAGCTGGAGGATAGCGAGCGTATCTCACCAGGAGCGTTGGTTGCCATGCCGGCAGATGGAGGATGTAATATACGTCTGACGGCAGCTGATAGGAGGTAAGGCCTTGCTAGAAATGGCATCTTCATGTTCAACGTAGGCCACCAAGGCTACGTAGTGACATAGAAAGACGAGGTGTTCCCGTCCCTGAATTGGCTGATCTACCGTTGTCACGGCGTCGACGACCAATAGGCGACGAGAAGGGTAGATCAACCATTTTCCAACGGAAAAACGTTGTTCCACCATTTTAGCGCGTGATCCTTATTGTGTGTATATGATGGAGGACTTGTATGCTTGTCATTCACTAAGCTACCTAAAAGGGGAATCTCGTCTAATCTATGTGGGTCACGTGAGTGAGGTGCTAGTTGGATTACCTAACAGTATAGCGAGCCCCCTTTCAATGAGCCTGTCTTAGTATTTCGTTATTATCCCCCTTGTCCATAGGTTAAGGCACAATGTCACGTGTATTAGTTAGGTATTAGGCAGCATAGTTAGTTTCTAGTTAGTTATAGTTCAGGAGATCCGACGGTCTCCATAATATGATCATCATTGCCACTCAATGAAGGCTCATAGTTTACTCCCACGCATGACCGCTGCGCATTCTACTACCTTCTCAGCAATGGTCTTTCTAAACCTGTCCGCTATGGGAGCTGATTTTGACATAGCACAGGGAAAATATATTTTGAGCTTTGCGCAATAGAGCTTTACGATGTCGATAACCTCTACTTCTTCTCTCACTTCCTTTTCGGCACTCCGGAAAGTTTGGGGGGAATCTATGTGTATACGCGTAAAACCATGATGCGAACCGTATCCTTGGAGTTGCCTTTGGATACATCGTTCAAGAGATCTGGAATAAACTGGTCATAAGTGTACGATACTATTAATTTTTCGGCGATAGGCGCGAAGCCGGCATTGGAAGTGTTTGGACGCTGATATTGACGACGATGTGCTTTCTCTACCATAAGGGATCATGGTGGTCGCATTTCTCTCTATTCGCGACCTATCTTGAACGAGTGCGAAATTTGCCCTCCCCCGAAGCCGCCTCACGCACGCGACAAGGCATGGCTGAAAGCTGTTGAGGGCGAGATCTCACGGCATTGATATGGCAAAAAGGATATTTAATATACATATGATTGTTTGATTGCATGGCATGCCACATCCTTCTATCCGGCTCTTAAAAATTGTCCTTTCTATATGCTCCCAACCCGTATACAATAATATCACCTCACAAAGTGGTACCAGAAACGAAAGAAGAGAGATTCAGAAACCGCGGCTCGAGTTGCACCTAGAGAGTCCACTGGGATACCAAAATTGGGTCATCCCTGAGCCAAATACTGTTTCAAATTAGGCGTACCACGGGCGAAAGTTCAAACCCCCCGCTCTTTCAACTCGGCAAAAATGAAAAAGCTGGCCTTACAGCTCAGAGGTGCCCATTAATCCCAAACCCCATCGGCCAACTTCTCGCATGGCTTCTTCGCCACCTTCTGCAAGTTTGCCGTTGTCATTTGCAGGGTTATTCCCAAGCAGGCCGGCAACGCAATTCCATCCATCTCGTCCACCACCCCATCGCAGCACCTCATTCTTGAACCGCTCTCCGGCATCTCTGTTCGTTGATAGTTCCCCGCCCTTGAAAACATCCGACCAGACCTTATTCGCTATGGCTCGATCAAAAAGATAACTGTAATACGTAGCACCATAGCCCACCAAATGTGCAAAATAGCCTTGCCACGACGTCCCTGAGCCTGGCGGATCTGGAAGACTGCTATGAGTGGAATAGACATCATGGTAGATTCGGGTGGAGTCAAAATTTGGCTCCAATGGCCGAGACGAGTGATACGCCTGGTCTAGCAAAGCCATCAAAATTTGGACTTCGTTGTCCATGCCACCATGCATACTGACCCGGCTCTGCCGGTTTAATTCCATACTCTTCACCATGTGCTCCGGCAGTGGTTCATTTGTCTCCCAGTGACGTGCGTAAAGAGCCAAAACTTCAGGGGCAGTCGCAAAATTTTCCATTATCACAGACGGAAGTTCAACAAAATCAGTCGCGCAACGGGTCCCAGAAATAGTTTGCAGGTCTGTACGAGCAAGCACGGAGTGGACCGCGTGGCCCATTTCATGGAACAGAGTCTCCAAATTGTGCTCGTTTAGAAGTGATGGCGTTGATCGCGATTCTGACTGGTCGAAGTCGCATATCAAAGCGACGGTCGGCAACTGATAGAGTTTATTGGTTTCCGGCTTAATAGTTGTAGCCATACCGTCATTGGGGTGAAGGGAAGATGATAGATCGGCACATTCCGCAATCTCAGCTTGGGAAATTTCGCGAGAGCCACGAAGGGTAAAGTGCGTAGGATTGGGACTCTTATAGGGCCTGGTGAAGAGATCACAGTAGATCACCGCAAGTCGTCTGTCAGATTCATCCACCACGTCAAGCCTTCGCACATCTGGGTTCCAGATTTCCCCAGGCAAAGTCTCAGTGGGAACTAGTCGAATACCATAGAGTCGCGTGAAAAGCCGGGACAATCCTTGTATCACGGTACCGATCGAGAAAAACGCAGGAAGTAGAGTGGACTCCCGTGACCTTCTAACCCGACTATGCCGTGCTGAATATTGGTGAACATAATAAGCATGATCCCATGGCTGTAACTGTGTAGCCGAAGGGACGTCAGCCTGTTTTAATGCAAGAAGCTGCGATAATTCATCCTGAACCTGCCCTCGATTGCTGGCGTTGAGAGCCTCTAAAAAGTTAACAACGGCTTCAGGTGTTTTGGCCATTTTATCACTCAGGGTCATATGGGCATAGCTTGGAAACCCAGCGAGTTTAGCTAGCTCCGCTCGCTTCTGAAGAAGGGTCTCGAGGCGCCGAATCTGAACTTTAGACGAAGTTCGAGAAGTCACATAAATCTCCTTCCTTGTTTCTTCATCGTGGACAGAATACAAAGCAATCCTCGGAATATCACCGAACATCGGAACTGCAACTTTCCTCCATCTCTGGAGCTGCTGTATGAGTGAAGGGTCCATTCCACGAAGTTTGTTCTTATCCACAGTCACATGGTCGGTCTCGGGCTGCCTGTTCGTTACGAACATGGGGCCCAATTGACTTATTTCATTAGACAACGCAACGAATTTTTGTCTATCCTTCGGCGGCAAGTGTATAGCAGACTGCGAAAAGTCCTTTAGCAAAACCCGAGCTGCCACCTTTTCCTCTGGGCTCCAGTGTGACGTAACATTGAGATCCGCAGAAGCACGTTTTAATTGCGCGTCAAGCTCTGGTGTTGTATTCAAGACGTTCATATATTCAAACATAAGTGCATACGCCTGGGTTGCAGCATCCTGAATTTGAGGGCTAGGGTGGTTCAATTTCATAAACTCGGCCATGTCTATCACCCGACAGAGTAGGTCGCTCAACCGATCAAGGTCCCGGACCATTCCCCTGTAATCCTCGAGCGTCGAGGCAGCGATGACCTTCGCCACTATCTTCTGGCATTTTTGCAGCGAAACCTGGGCAAACTGGAGGAATCCATCAGGGCCCGTGAGGTACTGGTTCTGGAGGAGACCAGTGCGTTTGGAGGTACTGGACTTCGGCTGGGAAAATTCACGCCAGAAGGGCTCCGAATCAAAGATGAGTCGTAACGTTTGGTCATCCCGTGCCTTATCTGAAGTGCTGCTTGAGACCGTGTGCTGGTACAAGGGAGAAGCAGCCGACGCTCCTTGAAAGTAGCGCCGAGTTTCGGCGTTCCGTCGAACGATACGGATACATTGTCGACAGGTCCACGACCTTCGATTCAAGGTCTTGAGCATTTTGACATTGCATTTGTCTGCCGGGATCTGGCAGTGGGTGGCTGGGACTCGAGAACGCTGTGAGTGTTGGTTCTGGGAGGTTTTGATGGGCGAAAAGCAGCGGCCGAAATTTCCAAGTCTTGCCGAGAACTCAAAAACATCGTTGGTGTCTCATTCAACTTCCAAAGACCCTCTCCTCCACGTCTGAAGTCTGCAATTGGGCGGAGCCAAATAACTACACGCACACAATGGTATTGCATCCACTGCTCCTACGGGTAAGGCTTTCTCCTGATCGGGATGTGTTGGCAGTAAATACTGATTTCTACCTTCAGAGAGCGGCTGCCACGAGCGCCGCAGTCCTCATGGCTGGCGGATTCGCCGCATATCCTGGACGCACATTGTACGCGGAAGCTCCGTCTCAACCATCAGTACGTCAATTGGACTTCCACTGTGTCATTTCCCCCCAGAATCAGTATATCTAACATCCTATATAGCGCCAGCGAAAACCAATCTACGATGAGGACGGCGACAGCACTCCAGTCGAGGCCCAAAAACCACTCTCAGTCACTCCGACTCCCTCCTCCACACCTCTTCCCTCAACGACCTCAAACCCCTCCAATTACGAATCTCCCACGGATCAATTAGCAAAGCAGATCCGTCAAGTAAGACTCTTCCTCTACGATCACTCCCTCGCTGCCGAGAATGCCTTCAATGATGCCCTCTCCCGTGCCCTCAACGCCGAATCAAGGTTTACCAGCACGATAGCCTCATTGGCCCCATCACGCGAGTCTGGTGAACGCCTGCTTCCCGGAAGCATTTATGTGATTGTAACTGCCATGGCCGGATCAATCGTTTCTCGAAACCGCGGCATCTTCTTACGCACAGCCACTCCCTTGACTGCGGGTACCATTGCTGCTTGGACTTTACTACCTGTTACCATGCGAAACATTTCTGATTTGGTGTGGGAATACGAAAAGAAGGTTCCTGCGCTTGCAGAGCAGCATGTGAAGGCTCGCGATGCGGCCGAAGAATCCTGGAGACAGGCAGTGGCTCACAGTGGCTACGCAAGAACCTGGCTGGAAGGGAAGATTGGAGAGGGGAGACAAACATTGGAGGAATGGATTAGCAAGGGAAGATAAATACGCCAGTCTTGAAGCTCTTTACAAAGCGGCCGACAGTTTACAACCAAAGATCTTTGAGCTCGGCATATGTATATGTACTGTAGTAGAATCTAGAGAGTTGGGGTGGCTTCCAACATTCGCATTCATTTTACCCGGTTTCTCCGTTGTCTGGAATAAAAGGGAGACGATCTACTATTGGTAAACCGGACCGTAATGGTATCTCACAAAACTCATGTAGCACGACTTAAAAGACGGCTTCTTTGACTCCCGACGCCGTTTTTCCCAAATAAAAGTGCCCCAAGAATTAGCTACTCTGCTGGGGTTGATGCGCCTTCAAGTCCAGGAGAAGTTACATTGCCTCGATCCGTCGCTTTCGGCGGAGGCGCAACCGGTGTTCCAGCCTGCGATGGCACGAAGTCCTCTTCTTTGCTTTTCTGTTCGCTTTCACGGAAGTATTCATCGAATGAGGTTGGTACAGTATGCACATGTCGAGCTTTCCGTCCATGCCGACCATGAGTCGTTGCGGCTTGGGAAACCTGCCCACTATTAACACTCGGTGAGAGAGGAGGCAGCGATGCCATCTCTGCCGGAACTAGGAAATGATTCCCCGGCTGAATTTTTGGCGATTGCTTAATTTGTTCCGTGATTCCATCTTTTGTGTCGAAGACAACTTCTCCGGGCCCGTCAACCTCCTCTCCTAGACCAACCGGTAGCCTGTGTAGAGCTCCATATCCTAATATGGCACCGAGAGCACCTTCCCCGCCCCAATTCCTATTGGGCACTATTTCCACCTCTCGTACAACGTCAAATTCGCTATTATATACCCATAAAGTGAGACTCCTGTTCAGATGGTCCTCGACGAGCTCCCCGAGTGCGGCTTCACCTCTCAAAGTCCCACTTGGCGTTCCAAGGATGTAATCTGAATGAGGTAGTAGGCCAGCCAAGTAGGCAGGACTGAGAGGCGAGGGAATAGACAGTATGTGCCATATATGCTGTGTGGAAGAGAGAGGTGCGAGTTGCAAAGTGAGACCTAATGTGGGCTTCTCTGGTGGGATGGGGATAACGACGTTGTGCGTCCGTTGTCCCTAGAAATCTGATAAGCATATGCTTGCTGTGACCGAGAAAGGTAGTAGATCCAAGACTACCTTCGCACTCCAAATCTCTAAGGAGACGCTTGTTCCGGCACAATTGCGAACCTCCGTCGCAAACAGGTGAGGGTCAGGTTCGTCCTATCGATATCTCACGAATAAGCATGCAGGCCGGAGCACTGAGAGGGGCATCCGTATTTTCCTTACGATAAGTCGGCCATTGATTCCAACTATGAAATCAAACCAAGGCTCCAGAGGAAGGTCCGGGTCCTTATTCCGCAGTATCTGGAAGCCGTAGGAGTTGTCACCCGTGGTGCTTGTTGGCTGCTTGGGGAGATCGGAATCCAGCCTCCCAATGAAGCGATTTAAAGCCCCGAACATTGGAGATGATTAAACAAGAAATATATTTATATCAAGCGAATTTACAGCACGTTTTGCAGTTATAATTAAAAGGAGGTTTTGCTTGCATGTACTTTTTGCCGTACCGATGTGATGTTCGTTGGCATTCTTGAAGTGGTATTTACTTATTGGTGACATCAGCGCGACAACCCTCCCAGAGCTCGGCCAAAAAAAGTTTCTCGCGACGTTTCGCTTAACTGTACGTCCCAGCCATAGCCACTAACTAATTATCGGAAAGCTTCTCTAGCACTGCACAGTTGAGTGCCTATGAAAACCACTCCCTGATTGAATAGCATCGGCTACCTGTGTCTCCCCCATTATGGATGGGCGATAAGAAGCTGAGGTGGATGACTGGTTGGCGGTATGGCTGTTGAGGACGAAGCTCCTCCGCCGGAGGTCAAACATTACAACAAATATGGAGAAGTCCCCTGGGATATTCAAAAGTATTAGTTTCTCTACCTGCTTGATATGCGGGAGTGCTGACAGCCAGATTATAGCTACTGGGCCCAGCGCTATAATATCTTCTCTAGGTATGATGACGGCGTCTGGCTAACTGACGATGCTTGGTTCGGAGTAACCCCAGAGCCTATTGCAAAGTATGTTCTGTATGGGTAGATTGCAAACGAGAATAAGCTGACGGTTGGTGTAGTAAAATAGCGGCGTATATGACCGCTGCAGCCCCCCAGAAGAAGAGCATTGTAATAGATACATTTGCTGGCGTTGGAGGCAACGCGATCGCCTTTGCGCGCTCCAACAAATGGAGAAGGGTCTACGCAATCGAGAAGGACCCAGCAAGTCTTCAATGTGCAAAACATAACGCTAAGATCTACGGTGTCGAAGACAAAATCACTTGGTTCCAAGGAGACTGTTTTGAGATTCTTAAAACCCAGCTGAAAGACCTGGCACCTTACAGTGTGATTTTTGCAAGCCCGCCCTGGGGCGGTAAGTTGGATGAACGTCGTCTAATGGCTTAGCAGTGCTAATGTGCGTCATTTCAGGACCCGGATATCGATCTGATAAGGTCTTCAATCTGTCCACGATGGAGCCCTACTCCATAGAGACTATTTACTCTGAGTTCTCGGCGTTTACAACAGATATAGCTCTCTTTCTCCCAAGAAGTTCTGACTTGCGACAGTTGGCAGCTTTAGTGAAAGATGAAAGGAAGGTCACAGCCATGCATTATTGCATGGATGGAGCAAGCAAGGCCCTTTGTATCTATTATGGTGATTTCAAAATTGAGCAGGAATAGCAGAAATCTGCATTGCGAACAATCTGTATTCATGCTAACTACATGCACGATGATGAATGTGCGAATGGTTTTCTAGCGCTGTTTGTGCTAACAAAAGTGTCCCTCCAGGATGATTAGCTGAAGAACTCATCCTAGCAGGGCTGCGTGGACAAGATTTCTGCAACAAGAGACTTGGCTGCAGGAAGCTACGAGAACCTGGGATACCGTAAGCACTCCTCTGGAGGGGAACGGCTTATTCTGTCAGAATAACCTCTTCTTATCGCCCCCAAAAGAACAAAGCACGATGGAAGAAAAATCCCCGATCTTCTGAGTGAAAGTTCTCCTCCCCAAGCCACGCCATCTCCGTAAACATGCACGGAGCAGGGCGGCTAGTCCCTTGGGGATCGGCCTTCACACCTCTGGATCGCCGTATACGAGCTCGGTTCATCCACATGCAAAATGCACCCTATCCGCTGTCCCCAGCACACACATATATCTACGACCCGCTTACGCAGACCCGTGCGCTCAGCGCGAATGAATTCAACTCTTTACCTTCAATAAGGAACGCGCCGTCAAAATGCTGTCGCACTTCGGCCATGACGCAGCTACTATTCCTGAGGTTGGCGGAGAATCCAGTACTGGCCGGCCACATGCAGGCTTTATTGCAGTTGAAGCTTCAACGGCGGGAAGATGAAGATAAGAAACGACTCTATATCTGTAGTGTTTTTCTTTTTTCTTTTTTCTTTTTTTTTTTTATAAGCCAGACTCCAATGGAAAATAAAAGGGATTCTGGGAATTTGATTTCAAATCAAGGACACAAGGAACATTGTTTCATTGACTCTTGAACTAACTCCGATTCCCACTCTTTTCCATCGGCTCCCTGCAAGCCAGCGCAGAGTAGATTCTGACAAGCCCCCCAAACAAATCCTTGTGCAAAAACATTCGGTTCCATTTAGTTGCAGCAATATTCAACATAATAGCAGCTTCAATGTAGTATGACAGGATATATTTCTCCACCACTGGATCCCAATTGTCAGTGATTGGAATTGACACTGTCACTCTAAAATACTCCCGGTATACTGGCCAAAATCTCTCAAGGTCCCAATCAACAATCCCTATAGTGCAGTTTGGCTGGATAATAATGTTGTCCAAACAGAGATCCCCATGAGTAAGAACAACCTCATATCCTCTTATGCTTCAAAGTGTTTGGTGCTTTAAGTACTCACTTATAGGAATGTTTGTCCTCGATATTAGAATCAGCATTTCATTATCAATCGGGGCAATATGTACCCCTCCCTTACCTAGGAAAACATCAGGAAAGGCATACAGATCATTTGGGTCTAGAATGAACGTGGGAAAGCCAATATGTTTCAAGTAGTCTAAACGTGGCTTGATCTTCTTTTGGGGAGATGGTATATGGGACCCTGTCGGCAGAAAGAGCTGTACCGCGGTTGGCTCGGCGGATGTAGCCTCCCGTTTTAGTCTACAAGGTAAAAATCAAGTTCGTAGGCTTCACAAGGGATTGCAATCTCAATGCCCGAAGAAGTACCCATCCAGTCTTTTCGATGAGCATCGGGACCAGCACAGAACCTTTGACAGGAACTTTTCCACCCCTTTAGCATTTGTAAGAAGGTGGGATACAATTGGCGGGACTTACGTTTTGCAAGAATTGCGTGGGCATGCTCCCATCTCTTGTTGAGTAAATTGATACCCCAAAGCTCAGAGTATTTGGTGTTTGCTACCTAACTGGGGGCAGCTGTTTCAAAAGATCATTGAGATATGTGGGTATTGAACAGTGGTTCACATGTGTTATGAACACAACATGTTTTCTGGTGGATTCATTGTCCAAAGGGCTAGAACAATAGCTTTAGTCGAAAACAATGTGGGAAGATTGGAATAGGTTAGTCAATTAGCTAAATATGGAGTACATTGAGTGAGGTTAACACAGCATGTGGTGTAAATCACCCGGTGATGCCCAGCCCCCATTGCAAGCCGAATAGAATGTGCTATTTTTAGTGTCCTGATAGTTCCTTGCCTCTATCTCTAGTATTTTCAGACCAGCTTTAGCTATTATTCTGAATGAGAATGAGTTTTGCTGTTGTGAACGTGGATGATATTGGTATCAATTTTGTCCAGAGCGCAGGTCCACGGACTTATCAGAAATTCGGCTCTCCGTTGACGATCCCGAGGACTCAAGAAGAGGTCCCGCAGCATTTGGTCACGTGATATATCCCTTCGGCAGCAAGCTCCAGCAGCTCGCCGCGCAAGAGCTCAACAGGAATCAGACCTTCACAGCAGCTTTGTTTCTTTCCACCCGGTGGTCCACTGAAATCCATTATAATATCCTTTTCTAGCCTTTCAATTTGTTGTTTCTTGCCCGTGGTTAAAGCCACAAACTCTTGATGATTTCCTTCTACAAACCTGTGCGCTGCTACTCCACTTGCACTCACATTACTTTCTTAAACCATAAAGAACCCTCTATTTGCCGTCATAGAATTCTGGCGCACGATCGCTGAGTATTGCAGAGCTTCAAGTCCACCGATATGTCCCAGTCCACCCAGGCTAGCGGCGTCGAGCCGCCCGAAGATGACCCCTTCGACACCTTTATGAGACAGCTGAACTCCCCCACGAACACCCGAGAACTCGAATTCATGAACAGAGAGCTTGATCCCGGTGAAAAAGCAGATGACGCTGTGGACTATGAAGACATCGATGATGATGACGATCTCCCCGATGAAGAGCCACTCCATGGTCAGGTTACCGTGGACACGGAAACCCAGGAGGGGGTTGATAACTGGGACAACTTAACAAAGAGCCTCGAGAGCGAGCTTCATGAGCAACCAGCGGTCGACGAGCTTGATGATTTGTTTGGCGATGTGCCCTCATCTCCTGTTGCGGAGGGAGTAGATAAACCCGTGGGGCTGCGGATGCCACAAGAGACACCTGATGAGTCGGGAGTGAATTCACTGGTAGATGAGGTCGACGCGATATTTAGCGGTGTCGACAGAGAGAGATCGCCAACTCCAATGGATATGGATCCAGAGACGCTTCGACAGTACCAGCTACAGCAGGCTCTTTTTGCCATGTCCTCCTATGGCCCAGATAACCCACCCGCACCCCCGGAAAACCACGAGGAGCTCCTAGCATCGCTGTGGCCGAAGTTCGATCGCAACTCTATGCCACGCTTCCTTGAACTTCTACCTCCGAAAAAGTCTCATTACATCGGTAAGACGCCACTCAAGCGACCTAAGCGGGTTATCCCTACGAAATTAAAACTCGAGCTGGCTCAGGATCAGGAGCGCAGTTTCCGTTCCACTGGTAAAACGGCGAGGCACGCTTCAGAGCTAGAATCGCCTTCTGTGGTTGTAATCACGCCCCCCGCGAAAGATGAGGATACCCTGAGCGATATCATGGACTTGGATGATGATGATTTGGACGAGGAACTCCCGGGGGGTGTAACTATGCAGGACTTACAGTTTATTTGTGCAGACTGGGATATCAAAGAAGTTGTCTCCAATGAAGAAGAGGTTGAAGGGGCTCCCCGGGCTCCTCCCAACGATGAATTCAGTGAAGATGAAGATGACTGGCTTTTTGAAGTTCCTCCTCCAGCCAAAAAGCGGAAGTTGGATAAAGACCCAGCCGATTACCTTGCGCTTTCGCACATCGATTTACCCTTGTTGGATGATCCCGCAGAGACTACTGCTAAACTTGCGAGAAAGGTAATACTCGATATGAACGATCCTCGTCTTTTGATCGATGAAAGAACACCAGAGGTTTCGGTGCAAGCAACGAAATTCGGAGGGGCCAGAAAACTCAGCGAAGTTTTCGGAAGCTCGACAAAACGCATGATGCAGCGTTACAACATATCTAACGATGAGGCTTATGAGATGTTGAAGGAGAATCATAAGAATAAGGTACGCAGTACTTTGGGAAATATCGTGTTGGAGCACAGTATGCCTGCAGTGCGACTTCAGTGGCCTTACTATAAGACGAGGCTTGCAAGACAAGAAGCACGATCCTTCCACCGTCCGGTTCTTACATTTTTCCCTGGGCTCCCGGTCACTTTCAAAAAGCCAACGTTTATTAAACGTAAACACCAAAAGGGCAAAGATGCCAAAGCTCTTTATGACTCGACAAAGTCCTTGTCGTTGGCCGACAATTCAACTGTTTTGTTGGTCGAATATTCCGAGGAGCATCCAATGATGATGTCAAATTTCGGAATGGGAAGCCGGGTGATCAATTATTACCGGAAAAAAAACGCGGAGGACGCACTTCGCCCAAAGGGTGAAGTTGGAGAAACGGCGGTACTTCTTCCGGAAGACAAAAGCCCGTTTTCTACATTTGGTCATGTTGACCCGGGAGAAACAACCACTGCAATTGCCACGGGAATGTTCCTTGCCCCTTTATTTCGTCAAGAACCCAAAGGTACCGATTTCCTCGTTGTTAGAAACAGCACAGGCGTCGAGGGCGCGAGCTATTACCTACGAAACATTGAAAACCTTTATGTTGCGGGCCAACAATTTCCATCCGTCGATGTACCCGGACCTCATTCGCGTAAGGTGACAACCGCAGCAAAGAACCGCTTAAAGATGATCTGTTATCGTCAAATCAGGAAAAATAGGAACCATAGAGTCAGTGTGGCTGATATCACGGAACATTTTCCTGAATCTACCGATATGCAGAATCGCCAGAAGATGAAGGAGTTCTTGCAGTTCTCGAAGGATCATAAAGAGTGGGAAATGCGATCAGGAGAACCCATCCCGGACGAAGATGTCCTACGTGGTTATGTTAAGCCCGAAGATGTCTGTCTTCTAGAGTCAATGCAAGTCGGTTTACAATATCTGCATGATGCAGGCTACGATCGGGAAGAAGACGAGGACGACGACGGAGATAAAGAGGGTGATAGCTTGGAGCAACAGCTCGCTCCATGGAAAGCAACCCGAAACTTCCTTCTCGCTTCCCAAGGAAAGGCGATGTTACAGTTACATGGCGAGGGAGATCCCACCGGCCGAGGAGAAGGATTTAGTTTTATAAAGACGTCTATGAAAGGTGGTTTTAGAGCCGTGGGTGAAAGTGTTGAAGACAAGCTTGACGCTCAGAGGCTTAAGGAACTCGGCGGACACAGCTATAATGTTGCTCGCCAGCAGAAGTCGTACGAGGATTCTATTCGCAGGATTTGGGAAAGTCAGAAGAAGAGCTTGTCATCCACAATTGAACACTCCGATGCTGAGAGCGATATTGATGTTGACGAAGCAGAAGATTTGTTTGGTAAATCTTCCCGGGTAGATCGACGCACTCCTCTTATAGGACGCCGCGACGACGATACAACGAGTCAGTTCAGCAGATTAAGTACATCAAGTCAAACCAATAAAGTTATGAAGATTACTCGCCAGGTTAAAAACGCGCAAGGTCAGATTGAGGAAGTCCAAGAAATTGTCAAAGATCCAAGGGTGATCAAGCAGTATCAGAAACAGCGTTATGAGGCGGAACTCAGGGAGTTGTCGTATGTGACGTCCCATCCATCTGCTTCCTTGTTCGGCCTGCTAACCTTCTTTTTAGTGCGGCTGATATGGTGCCAACTGGAGACCCCGAAACCGACGCCAGGCGTATGAAACAGTATGTCAATCCTTTTCATTCCTCTTAAATCAGTATGGACTAATCAATTACTCCCTCACAGCATCCAAGACGAACTCCAGCGTCTACAACGCAACAAAGAGCGTCGCCACGCCCGCGAAAAGCAAAAGTCCCTTATGACCGAACACAAAGAAGGATCCCCGGATGCAGCCAATTCACCGGCGCCCGCCACGGCTCCAAAGGGTGCCACACAGCGCAAATGCGCCAACTGTGGACAGGTTGGGCATATCAAGACGAACAAGAAGTACGGGTCCCTTTTTATTTTTCTCTACCATTCACCCCCTCGAGGACATCCAATTAACCACCACTACTCGTCTCTAGGCTCTGCCCCCTTCTCAACGGGACGATGAAGCCCGAAGAAGGTGGGAATGCGACAGCATTTATGATGCCGGCACCGGCGGTTTAAAGCATCCCGTTAAATGTGACTACTGTTTGCCTCCACATTCTAGCGCTATAGCTATCCTTACGCAATTCTTTCATGTTTAGATTCCCCATCGTTTTTATTTTGCGCCTGATGATGGTATGTAAAGCATATTTTCGCCAGGCAGGACTGGCACTCTTGAGATTCCCAGATGTGTACTTTACTGCCGAATAGAAGGCTTTGATTTTTCGGCTGGCGATACATGGGTACGAATACCACCATCTACAAAAATAAATTCTCTACAAATTATCTTTTACCATTCCTGATTAATAGCATGATATCAGACTCGCTTTTTCTTCCTCCCCTTTTTTTTTTTTTTTTTTTTTTTTTTTTTTTTTTTTTATAAAAAGAAAGATATGAATGCGGTAAGAATATTTTATTGGTCTTAGTTGTTGATATTTTTTGCGAAACAACAAATGTGCTCAACAAAGCACACAGCGGTAACAAACATCAAACACCAGAATAATGCTGAGAACACAGTTCATAAGGCAGCAAACACCAGCAATGGCTGCTCAATAGTCAAGGCTCAGGAAATGCGGCAGGGATAAACATGACAAGAGTATTAGCTCTCACAAGAAGTCGAAGATAAAGATGGATATCCGATTTCCAATGATAAAGAGCCAGTTCCTGCACCCTACTGGTCAGTCCGGACGAGCCTTCGGCCCCTCTCAAGTTCAAGGGCAAGTAGAGCATCTTTAGGGCGCCGATAGCTATATCCTAAAAAGGCACTTTTTTTCCTCATATCCAGCGCAGTTTTGCTCACCCGGTCATCTCGTAAGACCTTGTCCCTAGCACGCTTCTTCTCTCGCTTTTTCTTCAACGACTTACTCTGGAGGTTGACTGTTATACCAGCCAGGATTCCATTCCTAAGCTTACCTGCCGCTTTGCATCCTACACTTGGACCATCTAGCTGTGTCTTTCCAGAGTTATTTGGAGTTTGGCCTCTGGATCCATCGACTTCTTCGAGGCTGGCTTCGCTTGGCCCATCCGGCGCATCGCTCACCTGCTCTCCTTCGAAGTACTTAGTGTCATCTCCAGCTTTAACCTTCGGTACAAACGGTGGACTGCGATAGTGAAGTTCGTCCCATCGAACAGCCTTAAAGAACGGATGATTCTTAATATCAGCTGCATCATCAGGATAGACATAATGCCCACGGTAGTTTCTCGATGTTTTATCAGCCGGATAATTGAGCAGCTCTCCCGGTATCCTCCCTGAATGCACATAATCATTTAGTATATATTTTTCGGAGCAAAGGCGGTATTCCTTTTCTTGTAGAATTTGAATGATCAAATCAATCGCATCATCAGAAATAAGATGGTCCGAAGGCCGATCTGTAGGGAAATACAGTGTCTGATAATGATGCTGTACTGCATTAGCAGCAAACAAGAGGTAATGAGTCAGGGGTATTCGGCGGTTAGACTCACAAGGATTCTTTGTTTGGTGTCATGCCTTGTTTTCGCAGCAAAAGGAGTAAACCCGTACAAGCACTAATTGTGTTAAGGGCTGCAACTGCATCTCTTTGACGCTGGGGTAACAAAGAGGGTACCGTACCTCATATAAAATGATACCGATGCTCCACCAGTCACACCTCCCGTCGTAAAACTCACCCCTAATAACTTCTGGTGCCATGTACTGGCTGGTGCCTACAACACTCCTTGCAAGTTTCTTCCTTTGCTTCCGATTTCGCCAGCAGAGAATATCATCATTTGGTCCAGGGCTGGGAATTGAGGGTAGTCGATCGTGATTTTTACCGGACTCTCGCCTTGGTAACTCGGTACCAGCACTATGAGCGACCTCTTGAGCTGCTTTGCGGTCCTTGTCGTCTCCTTCGACCTGTATTCCCAGCTTCGACATCAATGATTGCCTTTGATTCGTGTAGTATGCTTGATCATGAGACCAATGTCCGTCAAAGGCAAGGCCAAAATCGGATATTTTTAGGTGCCCAGAAGCTGAGATAAGGAAGTTATCAGGCTTGACATCTCGATGAATCCACCGGAGGCGATGAGTCTCTTCCACGCAAAGAATCATCTCAGCAATGTACCATCTGGTAACGTCCTCGCTCAAAATGTTCTTCCTTATTAGCAAACTAAGAAAGTCCCCGCCAACCATGTAGTCCATGACAAGATAGAGACTATGCGTATCTTGAAAGCTAGCGACCAGCGGGACTATCCATCGGGATTTTGTTGAAGCGACAAGAAAATCTCTCTCTGCCCGTAAATGCCCTTCCTGACAATTTCGTATCATATCAGACTTCCGAATGACCTTCATTGCGAAAACATCCTTTTTTGATCTGTCCAGATCCTTACGACGAGAGCTTCTAGCCCCATCGACTGCTGATTTTAGAGCATCAAAGGTACTGGGCCTTCTATGGCTTTGAGTCGCATAAGACTCTGGTTTCGGGGTCTCGACGATATCTCCTGTGTGCTTCTCCCTCACAAGGCGAACGACTCCAAAGCTGCCCTTTCCAAGAACTTTGATACATTCGTATCCAGCCACAGAGATACTCTCCCTAGCTTTCGGGCAATTTGACCGACTTTTCAGGAGGCGATCCTGTCGGAGATGGTCGCTTTCCTGCCGGTACCACGCCTGTTTTGCTCTAACATGCTCTTCTATCGGCAGGTTTAACAGATACAGTCGTTCTTCTAGTTCGCGCTGACGCTCGGAGCGTGGAGACTCCACGGAGAACAATTCGTTGAAGTAAGTCTCGAAAAAGATTTTCGCGGACGCAGCAGCCTCAACAGTAACAATAGATGGGGATATTTTATTGAGTTGGTTGATTTTGTTCTCAGATGTGTCGGAACCTGAAAAGTATTCTCCGTTCTTCTGGCTAGCTTTATCTAACATCTTTGGCAAGGGCGTCACCGGCGCACCGTCAGAAGTAGGGTTGGTCGACTGTGTTCGAGGAGACGAGGTGCTATGCACTGAGGAAGAGTCTGTGTCATCTTGGGCGTTATCCCCTAACCTTTGCAGGTCAGGTGTATTGGATGCAGGAGGCGTAAAAGAAAAGCTGTGGATACTGGGCCGTCTGCGCAGATCTGAACGGTGAATTACGGTAGGATGGCCGAATGTTGTAGAAAATCTGCGAGACAAAATGTTCGTGAAGCCAGGACTGGAATGTCGACGAGGAACATGGAGGGTCGAAGGTTTGCAGCCTAGATTTTCCACTTCGATGGCCTGGTGACCATCTTCTGAATGATGTTTATTCGTACACCTTTTACCTCTATTGTGGTAACTTGTCAGATCACAAAGGAGCTTCAAGGGCCGGGATGGCGCTAGCAATATCCCAGGAATCCCATCCGCATCGCGATTTCCACGATGAGCCAGGGGATAGGTGACAACCCTACTGGAGGCACCCTGGTCATAGCTTGCCCTAACTTTTTGTGAACTGTGCTCTGGCTGGCGAGGGAGTGTCATTTTTTCTCCTGGGATAGAGTCAATACCAAGCATTGTAATGATAATATCAGACGGAAATTATACCTGTGCCACTGCAGTTGCTCCGAAGTCTTAACATCGACAACAGTTTCGACCTGCTCCTCTTCAAGAAGCGTCGAACACTGTCTCTACTTCGAGAAGTTCCACTCGAGCTTTCCGAAGTCGACGTCACCGAGTTGACTGAATGCTCCGGGTTTTCTACCTCAGGCTCAGTAGGTTTCTGTTGTGCGAGATTTTCAAAGAGTGTCTCGGAGAAGGTAGCTCTCCGTCGAACGACCATTATAACGTCGTAGGAGCAGTATGTTATGAATATAGAGAACGAGAGCCAGCAGAGGGCCTGGATTAGCCCAGCTCACCCCCAGCGCCTAATCAAAGTGATAACGCATGCAGAGTGCTTCATTCAAAGCACAGAGACACAGCAAAGTAAATGAAGCCTGAAAACGGCCATCTCGAAGTAAGCCGTCGTCAAGGAGCGTCTTTGCCTCGACTCGAAAGAAGGAACAAGCCTCCATCAGCAGCGGGAAGCCGAGACCGCTTCATGACGCGAGGAAGGCGCTTTCGCAGTACCGCATTGAACGGTTAAAGAGACGGTGCATGTATTCTGGCAGCTCCATGGGGCACATTGGCTTCCACAGCCGGAGTGTGTACTCATTGGCAGCCATCTGATGGAGGCCAAGATAGCATCAAAGCACTGCGAATAGAGGGAAACAAGATCCGCCAATGGGCTGTTCAGATGCATCTTTGGTCTGGAATGGAAAATGGTTCATCAGAGACTTTAGTTTTCCTCCAACAGCTTTTTGCTGTTGCAACTTGGAATTGAATGCAGGTGATCAGAGAGTGGTGAGGAGAGGTTGTAAACAACAAAACCTGGATCTCAAAACTTCACAGTCACCAACCTAACCACCTCCCGTTGCCCTGGACGGCCAAAGAGAAGGATAGAAAAATTAGGACTCACTGTGGCTAACTAGAATCAATGTATCCTGCATAAAACATGAAGAAATCTTTTGTCTCAGATCATACTAGTATTAACTACTCAAAGAACAGGAACCCACTCGGTAATATCCAGGCCCGTCTCCCAACTCCCTGCGCGAGAATCCTTCCCTATGCCCAGGTGAGTGCACCTTGAAGCCGCGGCAGATGTCTCGACACGAACAGTAGAATGTTAAATGTGACAAGTAAAACGCCGAGGGATGAGCTTGTTCTTTTTTTATACAAAACAATTAGCACTGTGAAGACAGCAGCAGCAGGTTACCTAGTCTCAACAGGAACGAAATGAAACTGTGGGAATAGCAACACAATTAACACAGGAAATCTATTTGATTTCGAGGAGTTTCACGTCAAAGACAAGTTTCGAGTTGGCGGGGATTCCAGGCTGCGCCATCTTGCCGTATGCGAGATGCGGTGGGATGGTGATTCTTCGCTCAGCGCCAACGGCCATTCCGGGGATGCCGATATCCCACCCCTTGATCACTTCGCCGGAACCGACCTTGAACGAGAACGGTTTCCCCTTTTTGTTGGCTGCAACGGCGACTGTCAGCAAGGTACTGGTTCTACGTCCAATAAACCAAGGACCACTTACAATCAAATACCTTCCCGTTCTCAAGCTTGCCAATGTAACGCATCGACACCCTGTCGCCCCTCTTGGCGGCAGGACCTTTTCCTTGCTTCCTATCTTCAATCTTGACACCCTGGACTTCCTTCACGATGATTTCTGGCTTAGTAGCCTCCTTTTTCTGATGGGTGGAGCCAGTTGGACCCTGTTCGAGATTCTTGGCGAACTGGACCTTCTTGTCCGACTTTCCAGCAGCTGGAGACTGCTTGGCCTCTGCGGGTTTCTGTGCCACCTCGGCTGCCTCCCCATTATTCTTCTTGAGCTTCTTTTGTTGCTTCTTGCTGAGGGGCTGCTCTCCGTTGGGGGCGGGTTTCATGGATTTGGACATCATATCGTCGAGATTCTCATCTGAATCCTCTGCTAGTCGCTTGTTTTTTCCCTTACTGCCCTTTTTAGGAGTCTTTGTTGAGAGTTTCTCTTCTTCATCAGTATCGATTTCCATAATTCGAGGATTTTCCAGGTCATCGAGATCATCGCTCTCCTCTTCATCCCCTTCCAGGAGGGCGAGCTCATCTTCATCCGGGGACAGGTCGTATTCATCATCTTCCTCCTCACTTTCCTCGTCATCACGTTCATCGAGAGGAAGGACGTAGTTTCCGGTGAGGTAAACTGTGTGAGTACCTGTTACCTTGAAGAAAATGCGTTCGTCTTCGGCAACAACAAAGTCAAGTGGCTGCTGGTAGTTCTGCGATTGCGAAGGAAGAGAAAGGGATGTGTCAATACATGATAAAATAGCAGATTGGTAGATGAGATTAAAGCTTACCTTCTCAGGGTCCAATGTGCAAACGACCACTTCTTCCAATTCCAAGTCATCAGATCCCTCACTGCCAGAATCATCAGTGACCTTGCCTTTTCCCTTGATCAGCTTAGAGATAGCGGCCTTGAGATCGATATCATCTCCATCGGAGTCATCTTCGTCCTCATCCATCGCACCTTCCATTTCTTTGAGCTTGGCAGCCTGCTTGGCCAGCTTTGCCTTGGTAGGATCACTTGGCCCACCATTCGCCTCGTCGTCGGAAGACGCATCATCATCCTCAATATCGGAGTAGTCCTCATCATCTTCATCATCGTCTAGATCCAATCCTGGAGGAGGTCGAACAATCTTCAATGTCGCTCGTGGTGGCTTATGTGCGCTAGCTTCGTCCTCGAGCTCTGGCAAAGCATCGGGGTCGATTGCCGCCATAGTAACACGAAACTGCTCATTTCAAATTAGTATTTCAATATGCCCACAGTTTTCCAGAAAGAGACCTAAAAGATATACCATTGCTGAAGCATTGGGCACCGCGGGAACGAGGATACCACCAGGCGGGACCTTCGCCGCGTACAACGCGACAGGCTGAGTTCCAGACATGATCGCAGAATTTAACGGGCCGTCTATGGATGAACCGTGGGATGACTATTCTCTACTGGGGCAATTGAGCGAGTGACCAGGCGGTTATCCTGCTGGAAATGAAGGTGGCTGAAGAGCAGGAAAAGATTCGAGCTGCAGCTGAAAAAGGGAGAGGAGGGAAAAAAAAAAAAAAAAAAAAAGGATGAAAAATGAAAATTCGAAGTAAACAGAATCTGAAGACCCGCTGTGGATCCGCCCCACAAGACTAGTCTACTTCGGCACTACTTCAGGACCCACTTGTGCAGAGCCGCGATTAGCTCCCACGTGATACATTAGAGTCACATGACTGCGCTTGCTGGTCGCGTCGACCAGTCGCGTGGCTGCGGTTTATGTAAGAGACAACGGCCACACTCGCCACGGGGCTCGGCCAAGTCGACGACAAAGGTTGTAGACTTTAGACCAAAAGGCGCATCTCTCCGCTTGTGATGATGAGAGGACGACGAAGGGCTGCGTTGCTCTCTTGATCTTTTGTTTCTGTTGGTGGTCTGGTTATGTTTCTTGCGCGTTCTTGGCCCCACCATGGGCTCTCGATTGGAATCAGGATCCAACGCAGTTCGGAAGAGGATTGAGAACCGTAAGGGCCGCCGAGATATTGATATAAACCGGCTACTTGGCTGACATTTCTGCAGACGTGTTTGAAGATGAAGAAGGCGAGGAGTACGGAGCTTCAAGTTTCGGCGGATTTGGAGAATACTTTCGTCGCAAAAAGTTGAAATTGCAGAACTTGGACGCTGAGATACGATCGAGTTCCCCGAACAACCCTCCGATCTTTCAAGGTGTGGTTGCACATGTAAATGGCTACACACAACCGTCCCTAAATGATCTTCATCGCCTTATCGTTAGCCACGGTGGAGCTTTCCTCCAGTACCTTGACTCGAAGACGGCGGCTACCCATATCATCGCAAGTTCCTTGACACCCAAAAAGCGCGAAGAATTCCGGAAATATCGTGTCGTAAAACCAGCGTGGGTTGTGGAAAGTATAAATGCTGGCCGACTTCTTCCCTGGAATTCGTTTAGGGTTGTGGACGAGGGAGCGTCTCAGAAGGTGCTCAAGTTTAGCGACAATGGCCAGATCGTGAGCCAGACCAGGACACAGTCGTCCAGTTATCGGGATCAAACAGAATCCAGCTGGTATACAGCACGTCTTGCCCCACGCTATCCCGACGCCAAGGGGTTCGAGAATAGTACAATTCCTACGCCTTCACCCAAAACTGTAGGAGATGTTGGTGACAGTGTATTTAACACTAAGGCCTCTACTAATATAGCGCAACAAGGGCAGGGATTTGACGATTCTATTCCAGTAGAGAATAGGACGAATTCAGATGATGCCGAGGTAGCAGTTCACCTGGAAGACACGGACGAACCGCGACAAGAACATTTGGAGAAGACCAAAGATAACATGACTCCTGAAGAGTATAACGCACAGTTACTCTCAAATCCACATATGCGTGATTCAAGCGGCGTTAATCCCGATTTTATTCGGCAGTATTATCGAGAGTCGCGTCTTCACCACCTTTCTACCTGGAAAGCCGAGTTGAAAGCAAAGCTCCAAGAGGCGACCCTTGCTAAAGTTTCATCCCTTCGGACACCCAAAAAACACGTTCAGGGATCACGACGGTACGTACTTCATGTCGATTTCGATAGTTTCTTTGCCGCTGTTTCCATTCGCAAGCACCCCGAGCTTGCGGATAAGCCTGTGGCCATCGCCCACGGTACAGGAGCAGGGTCTGAGATTGCGAGTTGCAACTATCCCGCGCGGGCATTCGGTATACAAAACGGAATGTGGATGCAGGGAGCCTTGCAGATGTGTCCCGATCTTAAAGTTCTTCCTTACGATTTTGCCGCCTACGAAGACGCGAGTAGGAAATTTTACGAGGCAATACTTGATATTGACGGCATCGTACAAAGCGTCAGTATTGATGAAGCTCTTGTCGATATCACTAAGCTCTGCCTTGAGGCCGGGGGTTCTGGAGGCAAAGGTATATCGGAAGGCTCTATCTGGAAAGAGCAGGCAAAAGCTGATGAAATTGCCCAAACTTTACGGGATTCAGTTAAACAGAAGACTGGATGCGATGTGTCCGTAGGCATTGGAGGAAATATTCTGCAGGCCAAATTGGCATTGCGGGAAGCCAAACCAGCTGGTCAGTTCCAGCTGAAGCCAGAAGCGGTTCTTGAGTTTATCGGGGAACTTACGGTGCAGCAGCTTCCCGGGGTAGCGTATAGCTTAGGAGCTAAACTCGAGGAGCTTGGGGTGAAGTTTGTTAAAGATATCCGCGAGCTTTCTAGGGAGAGGCTTACCTCGAGTCTCGGTCCAAAAACTGGAGCCAAACTATGGGACTATGCTCGCGGCATTGATAACGCAGATGTTGGAGACGTCGCACCCAGAAAATCTGTATCCGCAGAAATAAACTGGGGAATTCGCTTCGTCACGCAAGCGCAGGTAGAAGAATTCGTGCAAAGCTTGTGTGATGAGTTGCATCGACGACTTATGGAGAACGGGGTAAAAGGGAAGCAGCTGACGATGAGGATTATGCGACGAGCTCTTGATGCACCCCTGGGTCCTCCGAAGCACCTCGGACACGGCAAGTGTGATATGTTCAACAAAAGCGTTTTGCTAGGTGTAGCAACCAATTCCAGTGAGGTACTTGGTAAGGAAGCCGTTTCAATCCTCAGGAGCTTCAACTTTTCCCCCGGCAATCTGAGAGGACTTGGAGTACAAATGACGAAATTGGAGTCCATCAAACATGATCCTTCTGGTGGGATACACAGCAGCCAGCGTCAGCTCAACTTCGCCCCTTGTAGTCCTCAAAAACGAAGGCCCTCCCAGGATTTGGACGAAATACCCACCCCGAGTAAAACGGAGTCTTATGTATCCGTCCAAACTGCGCCAGAACTTAACGATGGATCACAAAGACCGATGAATATCACTGGAACTCAGTTTATTATGCCTTCACAAGCTAATTCTCAAGTGCTTTCTGAGCTTCCTGGAGATATTCGGTCCAAATTTGTCTCTATGAGCAAACAGCAGCAAACACCAATAACTCTTGCCAAACGCCCCCTGAAACCCCAGGCACCTTTTGCACTGCCTCCTCAGTCGCAGGTGGACCCGGAAACTTTAGATGCCCTGCCCGAAGATTTACGAGCGGAAATACTGGCTTATTATCAGCAATCCCTCCCATCGCTTCCATGCGATGCATCCCCCGAAGCAAATAGTAACATACGGCCAAAGACAAAGCTTACTCCTACCAAGCCCCGTGCTGGCCGCACTCGTGGCCGGCAGGTTGCCAGTAAATCTAATGCCAAGTCTACTCTGACTCAATCAAGCTTCATCGTTTCTCGACCGTCCTCGTCTACAGCTCCAGCAGATGAAAATCCAAGCACATCATCGGTTGTTGAAGAATGTGCAGATGATATTTCCGAAGAGTTTCTCTTAGCCTTACCAGAAGACATCCGTCGCGAAGTCATCGAGGAACACAAACGATCACGTCTCCAGAAGCGATCCGGACTCAATTTACCTACAGTTCGCAAACCGTTAAGTAAGCCTACAGACCGCCCTCCAGAGCAAAAGCTCCTCGAATTCGCACCCCGGCCGCCAAAGCCGACATTTACTTCAAAAAAGCTTTCTTCACTACCAGAGCTGCGTGAAGCACTAAGCGAGTGGTACGAGTTATTCAAGCGAGAGGGACCCTTTGAGGAAGATGTGGATGCCCTTACCAAGTATTTGAAGCGTGTTATTCTTGAGGAAAGAGACGTGTCGAAGGCTGTTGCTGTGGCACAATGGTTGGCTTGGTTGTTGGATAGTGCCGGGGACGATGAGAAAGACAAAAATGAAGTAGTAGATTTTGGGTCGGTTGACCAACACCAGTCGCTAGAAGCTTGGAAGACTGCTCTCCAGAAAGTGCGCAGAGATGTTAATGATGCTGTGAGAGAGAGAGGGTTGCCTCCCGTTGAATTTATGTGAATATGCTTATTTGGTACTGATCCTCCACCAGTCAGACTTATTCTCTTACTCTTGAGAGTAATATGTCTGTGCATCCTGAAAAAGAAGGGTGTCTGGAAGCCATCTGTCTTTGCCCCAGCTGTAGTTTGTTCATGAAGAATGGTCAATTAGCGTGCAAGAAGAACGATCACCATTTTGAGAAGAAACACTGCAGTCTAGATATCGTTCCTCAATACATCTTTGGATTGAATATGGCACTTTTATAGGCCTGTTTGAGATATAAATTCAATGATGGATATATGTTTGGGATCTTGTTTATCCAGGTGTATTTATCAACTTCTCACTCCTTGGTGAAGATATGTCCGCTCTCAATTTGAACCAGGAAATAATGAATGCCCCATACTTCGTTGTTGACTGAGTCAGAATTGCAACCCGCAAAGTTGGCATATTTCGCAGAACACTTACTCAAGTCACATAACTAAGTCCCGAAAAAAAAAAAAAGAAAAGAAAAAGGGGAGTGAAGAAAAAGTCAGATTACCCTCCGTCTCAGCACATCCCAACCCAGAGCATGACTATCGTAGTCTACGCCCATGACCGACCGTTCCAGGACCCGTTCATAATCACGGACGCCACTAACCTTGAGGTTTTCGATCGGCGAGGAGATAGCAACAAAGAGCCTCTTAAGACCATGCTCCTGGCCCTTCAATGCATGTGCCAGCGGGTCGAAGATGCGCTGACACGCAGCTTTGTATGCAGCTACCATCTGAGCATCATCATCGTAGATGACGCCATTTGGCAGATAATCAAGGTCCTCATGGAACATCCTGACCATCAAAGTCAGTGCTGGTAGTGTAAGTTTGTTTACCGCCGAGTCGACGAAGCGTTCCCAGGCAAGAGTGTTGGGTTGGCCAGGTAGATGGGTATTTCCGTCGATGCCAGTGAACTCGAGAGTGAGGAATCTGAGATGTGGAAGGTCGTCTATGGATAAGCACATGGGGCTCCAACCGGGCTTTAGTTCGGGTACGATGAGCGGACTGATGATGAAGCGGTTCTGAGAGACGAAAATATATCTAGATAGCGCTCTTATCCGCCGGTTGACATCGAATAGCTCCTTGGGGAGCACCCAGCAGGGATCGCAATTTACATAATAGCTGCTTGTCAGGGAACAACAGGAGAAAAAATCGTCCCTCGAGAAGCAAGCACCGCCCCAGCAGAGCCGGGGAATGAAACCATTTGATGATACTACCAGAGTGGTATCCGAAATGAGCCCCGCATGCTCCAAAACTTTCAGCTGAAGCTCTGGAGGGAGTTTGGCGAAAGGGAAAGGGGGGTCTATATCATCAAGTTGCCCTGTAGTCATGAGAACCAGACGCTTTACCCACGGCTGAAGCCGCCGGTCCGCGTTGGGCAGGGAAATTAAGCAGTTCTTCAGACGTGGGAATTCCAGCAAGGGCGCTAAAGACAGCCTTAATGACTGAAGCACAACAGCAGGATAAAAGCATTGAGGGGCGAAATTGATTTGTAGGTTCAGTTTGCCAGCCGCTATGTGGGCTCCGAGGTGATATAGAGTATCCCGCCACTCTTGGACAACCAAATTGAGACAAGGCGCCAGCTCTTGGAGCGGCATCTTCTCATCGAACATCCGATTCAGCGGTGCATCATCGCAGGTTCGGCCACAAGGGCATCGCGTGGGGCGGAGATTCAGCTGCAACGTAAGTCGACGCAGGGCTGACAACGCATTCCCGCCCACGACCTTGAAAACAAGGGGTTTCTCGCTCGAAACCGCGAATTTATTCTCAGAGTAGAACGCGTGCAAAGCATCCGCAGACACGTCGCGAGAGACATAAAACAACTGGTTTTGCATATGGTAACAATAGCCAGCGCAGCGAAATCTCGCAACGCAAAAGCTGCGGTTTAGAGAGCACCACTGACCAGCCCAGGGCCGGTGCACTTTGTGGCCAAGTGCCATCAACCTGGTATCAACGCCCACCACTCCGAGCAGGCTGTAGATCTCTCGCCGGACAGAGTATGGTAGCCGAAGCAACGACGGCTTTTCGGGAAGATTCTCCATTGTCGTGCCTCGAGCAAAGGTGGGGGAATCTCGTGTCGATTTCTCCTGCGACGTTTAAGTGGTCACTGTTGGTGTGAGGCACAAGTCGGGCGACGAGGCTTTGAACCGAGCTAGTGAATGGTAAACACCTCGTTGAGTTTTGGCTCGCTAGTTCGTGCTGAAGGGCGTTGACGCCACGGACGATGAGTCTTTTATCTTCCAGGAGTTCGTCCGGAACAATCTACTGTCGTAAATAGTTCAAATTCGGATAGCATCATCGTTTTTACTTTCTTTTCTTGTTTGGTGGCTCCAAAGACCTTCGAGGTGAGTCGATCTTTGATTCCCCCCCCGTTCCTCAGTGCTTTGACCCTTGGGAAATTCGCCGTGCACGTGTGTACACTGAGAAGTCTGGGCCCGTCGTCCTTTAATACATAATACATAGCTACAGAGAGAACCCGGCCAGCTCTATGCATGTATTTATGGAATTGAAAGAATGGATGCATAGCAAATATTGAGATATCGATAGTATATCATCCTGTCTGGCTCGCTCTTTGAAAGCCATTCCCTTTTCTTCACTGGTGGTTGCATTCCTCTGGTTGGAACATTCCCTCTCATCTCATAAATCGCTATCTTTCTCGGTCATTACTTGTAGTAACTAACTAGTTAAATAACTGCTGATAATCATTCTCTCTATCTCGCAGCCAGCGCCATGGACAACATATCAGGTACGGGGAACCCTTCTGGTATACCTGCCTCCTCTCTGAGACTGCGGCAATGGGGACTAACTTCTTCTCTAGACAAACTCCCAGTCCACTACGCCATAATCCTCTACCCGGGTTTCCAAGCTCTAGACGCCTTTGGACCCCTTGACGTCCTCAATGTACTCGGGAGAGACAAGCCAATTAAGCTCTCCATCATCGGCCCAAGCTTGGACCCCGTCAGCATCAATGCTCTGCCCCGGCAGGGTTTGATATTCAACCCGGCATTCTTCCAGAGTGTGGTCCCTACGCACACCTACGCCAACCCGCCAGAAAACATTGACGTCCTCATCATCCCGGGTGGCACGGGGAATCGAGACCCGAGAGTGCTCGAGCCAGTCTCCAAGCTCACTCGAGACTTGTATCCGGGATTGCAGTACCTCTTCACGATCTGCACCGGCTCCAAGATCCCAGCCCACGCGGGCATCCTGGAAGGGAGAAAGGCGACCTCCAACAAGATTGCTTTTGGCGAGGTCGCGGCTGCTTACCCCAAGGTTAATTGGGTCGAAAGGGCGCGCTGGGTTGTTGACGGGAATATCTGGACCACCTCGGGCATTAGTGCGGGGATAGATGGGATGCTGGCCTTCGTTGAACATCTTTACGGCAAGGAGAAGGTGGATGTGCTGTCTCATTATTTGGAATATGTGCGGAACGAGGACCCGTCCGTCGACCCGTTCTGCAGCGAAGAAACGAAGTAAGGCATTGACTGGAGTGGATGGAGGACGAGCTTGTGGGGGTTTGCTTCCTTTGCATGGGCGTGTTTGGTTACCAAGCTGGCTGCTTGTTACTCTAACCAGTGGTTCTATGTGCATACACACATACAGTTCGCTGCATCAAGCGAGTGGCTCGGAATAGAGGCGAGACGGCATATATGCATTATCCGGTGGTTCCCTTGTGCCTTGATGCATCCTGGAGGTGGGCATGCAGTATCGGTCAGTTACGTAAAGATCCTCTCCACTCCAACGGCGTATTTATTTCTTTTTTTTTGGGCCGTCAATTTGTAAAAAATATTCTGGACAACACCAAGATTGGCAACACGGGCGTGACTGGAGTTCGGCCCGCTCCGGATGCGGTTCTGGGTGCTTTCGTCGCGTCTCGCCCTCAGCTCCGACTCCCCAGCGGATAGTTCAGGCCGAGTGATCGTCGGCGATGGCGGCGATAAGATAAGGACCACCTGACCCGGCCGGCGGCGGCTAGACGCGGACATCCCAGGGATTGCCGCTACCGGCGCTAACCCTAAACAGGCTAAATGCCGTTCCAGGCCCGATAACGGAGGTGCCCTAGCCCTAAGCCCTAACTAGGCCTGAAAAGGACACCGAGTGTTCGCCGGGCTGCTTTCTGTCTGCCATACGGGAGTAGTTTTTCGACTCTAAACGCTGCGACTAAATATATAACTAGGGGGATTTGGGTCTGGGATGTCTGGTCCGTGAGAGAATGCTGTCGTGTCGAGAAAATATCGCCTGACGGCTTGCAACTTTCAAGGTACCAGCGCAGAGGTCAAAAGCATATGAATCCGAGGCTGTGCTATGCGGTATGTGTGCTGGAGCAATTGGACTTTGATGCATATTAAGAGCGACCTCAAAAGAGCATCCTGGAAACACAACCACGAGTAATACTCTGCCGTGACATCACACCAGGCGATGACAGCGGTCACGGCGAATCGGCATTTTACCCGGAACACATGCTCTGATTGGCCAAATCCACGAAACTTGTCTAATTCGAGCGGCTGGCCCATTGTCCCCGATCACGGCAACTAGTTATTGCTGGCCCGTGGCGATGACGGGACGAACGGGGTCCTCAACCAGCCGCAGAATCCCAGAGCTGGTGGTTGTGACTCAGACAGGCCAGAGTCCTACAAGAACAATACCTGGAGACCTCAATGTGGATATTCCTCGAAGAGAGATCAAGACCCGTCAGTTTCACCTGTGAAACCAGGCTTTATTTCGCTCAGCGGTGCTTCTCGTACAACTTCACCGTGGGTATCCGCACCCACTCAATCCCATAATTTCTTCCGTTTCTGCGGTTCACTTTTGCTTAGAGCCGTGGGCCTAAACCAAGGCTAAAAAGCCAAAAGTCTGCATTTTGTTCATAAAAACTCCCGCATGTAAATATTTCCCCGGAACCATATCGCTCTCATAGCAACGGTGGCCGGCACTCCCTGTGCATACATTGGGGATTAGTTGGACATATCCTCCCAGCGCAGTACGAAACCATCAGTATACTCACATAACCACATCCTCTTTCATTCCCACAGGCATATTTGCTTGCAAGACATGGCACCAATGCAACCAGACAGTCAGTTCTCGCAGCTGACAACAGCACCGCACGATGAGGTATTTGCTCTCATGGGTGCGTTCAGCGCTGACCCGTGTCCGGACAAGGTGAGTCTGGGAGCCGGTGTATATAGAGACAACGAAGCGAGAAGTTGGAGGTTACCCACCGTAAAGAAGGTAAGTCCGTTTCGCTCCAAAGCTGCAACTATATGAAGAATATGAGCTGAAAAGAAATTCCTCCAGGTCGAGCTGCAACTCCTCGACGACCCGACGTTCGACCACGAATATCTTCCCATCGCGGGCTACCCACCGTTCATTGAACTTTCCCGGGATCTTGTGTTCGGCGGAGCAGACTCGCCTGTAGACAAGGACCAGATTGCCAGCTTGCAGACCGTCTCTGGTACTGGAGCGAACCACATCGGCGCTCGATTCCTCGCGGATTTCTTGCCTCCCCTCGTCCACGGAAAGAAGCGAAAGGTCTGGATCTCCGACCCAACATGGGTCAACCACCACCTCATCTGGGAACTCGTGTCGTCAGGAACGACGGGAAGCCCCGTGGAACGCCGCACATATCCATACTACCATGCGCCCACTCGAACGCTGGACTTCGATGGCATGATTAACGTCCTGGAGAAGGACGCTAGCATGGGAGATGTCGTACTCCTCCACGCGTGTGCACACAATCCCACCGGTATCGACCCAACCAGAGCCCAGTGGCACAAGATCGCAGATCTTTGTGAACGCAAGGGCCTGTTCCCGTTCTTCGACTCCGCATATCAGGGGTTCGCTTCCGGCGACCTAAACAACGATGCTTGGCCCATCAGAGAATTCGCTTCACGCGGTATGGAACTCTGCGTCGCGCAGAGCTTCAGCAAAAACCTCGGCCTGTACGGTCAGCGCGTGGGCGCGTTCCACCTTGTGTGTCGCAGCGCCGATGCTGCAGCAAAGGCAAGATCGCAAGCCATGGAGATCCAACGAGGAGAGATTTCCACTCCACCAGCATATGGTAAAAGAAATTAACTCTCCCTCCCTCCAAACGACAGCAAAAATGGATGAACTAACTGGGAGTTCTAATTTTCGTAAACAACCACAGGTGCAAGAATCGCCGCTGCCGTGCTCAGTGATCCAGCCCTCCGAGACACCTGGAAGCAGGACCTTATCACGATGAGCAGCAGAATTAAGTCCATGCGACGCGCCCTGTACGACGAGCTCAAGCGTCTCCACACCCCGGGAACATGGGAGCACATCATCAACCAGATCGGCATGTTCTCCTACACGGGCTTGACCAAGGAGCAGGTTCGAGTCCTGCGTCAGAAGTATCACATCTATATCCTTGATTCGGGCCGCATCTCAATTTCTGGATGTACGTTGAACCAAGCTTTCCCAAGCTGTGTACCATGCATTTGCTTTTCTTTTTCCTTTTTCTTATCGCTTTCTTTTGCTACGAGCCCTGCAGGGTCTGTGGTTCAAGAGTCACACACCCCGCCTGCTGTGTTCCCATACAATCCATTTCTAAACTGCACCATAAACCTACCACACAATAGGGCTGACTCCTGCTACAGTAAATACCAGTAACGTCAAATACGTCGCTCAGGCTTTTGACACCGTCGTACGAGAGTGTCCCGCTGCAAATGGCAAGCCGCACGATCCCTGAAATGGTGCAACATTTGCAGACCCGATATCACAAGTATGTTATGACAACCAAGTAAATAGCGCTAAGATCCTTTTTTTTTTTTTTTTTTGGGGTATAAGTATACTCCTATACTCCTGATATGTCCTCTGTTGGGTTGTCAGTTTCTATTCTGTGACATCGATGTTGATATCTGTGTATGTTATTCACTCTGTAACTAATGTACGGCTCGCGCTCCCATTCAATACTAGAGGAACTATGATTATGTCTAGGATGTCACCTGAATGTCCAAATGAAACCCAAGAATGGCTATCAACGCGCCTACCATACCTCGAGCGATGTTTCTTCGGTCGAAAGAGCTGAAACAGGAAAACTGGCTACTTATTTAGTCTTGTAAAAGCCACGCGGAATAATTTTGCCGCATGAAAGTGAAGCACTGGATATCTTGTCCAAGAGTAACTGACAGTATAATGGAAAAACCCAACACAACCCCACCCAGAAAGGTAAAAAGAAAGAAAAGATACAAGAGCCTGACCTGCCCAATACTGCCTATTAGTAGCAGCTCGACAAGAAATAAAAATCAAAGGAACACCGTAGTAAATATATGCAAAGGAGCAACAACGCCCTGGACACGGCAAGGGCATGATCAATAGACCGGTCTCCCTTCATCCCACTTCTTCATCTCTCGACTTTCAGAAACCTCCTTCGCGGGCCCCCCTGCTTCCGATGGTAGCAATGAGAACCGGACTCTCGAACCCTCTGGTCGATGGGTCGGGGATTCCAACTCTCCGCCAATTGCCTTGATACCCCCAATCCATTCCCAAACCCTCGACACATCTCCCCCACGTCCTTCTCGCACAGCTGCTCGCACGTTTGCATTTCCCTCCACAATCCTCTTGACTCGATTCCAAAGCTCTTCCCGCCGACTTCTCTTCAGTTCATCTCGTAGAACATCGTCACGGAGTTGCCCGACCGAAATCCAGGGTTCCAGTGCCTCTCCACGAGCATGTAACGCGGCTTGTGTCGCCAAGCGATCGAGAGTCATACTGACCAGGGACGGAACACGCGCAGCATCGGAACGTTTAGCGAGAATGCGAGAGCGCACATATCCAACAGCAGATATGGAAAACGCTAAAAAGAGAATAGGGAGTCGATATGCGAGGAGAGAGAGTCTGAGGTGCCGCTTGACGGCGCAGACGAGGGAGAGTTTTGCGAGGGATGACGAACTAAACGTGATGATCTTGGCTGAGGCTGGGCTGTGTATGCGTGCCCGTTACTGTTAGTTGCAACCGCAATGTCAGATTGTCAATAACGAACATACATCCCAGCGGATTATACATATCTAGAGGGTCTGCCAACATACGAGGCGTGATCTCTGGGAATAATGTATAGTACCACCAGAAGAAAAACAACTTACCCTTTCGTGGCTGTCATCACCTCCTCCCTACCAGTAATTTCACCAAGAGCTCCCCTCCAAAGTTCCTCAAACTCTTCGTCGCTCATTCCCTTCCGTTTGGATTTGCTAACTCGTTGCTTTAGTTCGGCGGCCGTCATCTCAGGAGAGGTGACTTCCTTACTACCATCTTTGCCCACCTCTCCACACTCATATTTGGCCCTCTGTTCTCTCAATTCATCAACAGCCTTGTCTGTAACGACCTTGACCCGGCGCAGTTTGTCACTGTCCGGTTCACATGTTGGCGGCAGAGGAATAAAGCCTGCTAGAGACAATGGGTGTGGTTTCAGGACAAAATCTTGCTCGCAGGTAGCTTGCAGACCGGAGTAGCAGAAGGCATGTTGTGGGCAAGGTTCGCATTTTGGCTCTATTACGGAGGCCCATTCGGGAACCTTTGTACCTTCAAGAGACCAGTGTGGCTTGCCAACGCCGCAGTACCCTATTTCGATTTTTTCCTTCCTCCACCACATGCCAATGGCGGATAGCAGCGTAACAATCACGAACCATGACACAGCTTGTGTTCCCCCTCCTCCCCGCTTCGCGGGTTTTCTTTTCACAACTGGCTTTCGGGGTGTAGCTTGTGCTTGCGTCAAAGCGAGCTGTTCATCAGGGGTAAACTCTTCTCCGGGCTCCAGATCGTCTTCTTCAGACTCCTCTGCCTTCAAAGACCTAAGGCCGAAAACAGGTGCGTCAAATGTTGATCTGGTTGGTACCCTGACGCCGTCCTCTTGCTTTAGACTAGGAGAGGCTAAGAACTCGCTCTTCCGTTTCCTCCTTTCATCCGCTGCTGCTCTGGCTGGTGTGGAGTACCTTGGCGTACTCTTCCGTCTTAGTTCACTACTAACCCCCCGAGCACGGGGGGTTTCCACCGGCGATCCACTCTGGAAGGGATTATCATCCGTAAAGACGCTGGCACTTCGAGTTTCATACTTCACCGGCACAGGCGTTTCCTGAAGAGACGCCGTGGATTCATGCGGTGTCGGATATGCTTCGCTCTTTCTTAATTTCCGCCCTGTCGTCCGAGGAGTAGCTTCTATCGCGGTCATATCTTCACCGGTTTCTTCGGTGTCAGACGCACGTGGATGTTTGGCAGCTGACCTCGTAGTTCTTCTCCGGCTTGTAGACGGTGGTGGGATATTATCATCAACCTCGACAGTGGATTGTCGAGTACTGGGCCGTGATTTGCCTCTTCTGGTTGACGGCGTTGCTGGCGGGGCTTTTGAACGTCGAGTCTTGCTTTCATCCTCTCCCATACTCTCTTGACTACTGGGCATGTCGATTATACCTTCACTCGTTCTCTTGATGCGATCTCGTTGGCGCAAGAGCTGCTTGGCCTTGGGTAGGACCTCGGATTCCACGATGCTGATGAGCTGCGCCTTCTTTGCGGATGTCGGATAAGGAACGTCATGGCTCACAAGGATCGATCGAAGCCGCGGTACGGTTAAAGAATTGAGGTCGAAGCCTGGCATCAGATAGGCGAGCTCGTCGCCACTGTCGAAGCTAGACATGGCGGGGATCGCGCAATGTGGCCTAATAGACCCTGAGGAAGTTTGGGCGATCGCCGGTTAGTAAAGAAGCAGGGCGTCCCTCACAAATTTGCTTAGTAAATGTGATTGAAATAAAAGCTGGATTTGTGCGCTTCGGAGTCGAATGAGAGCAGGGAACGAGTTCAGATTGCAGCGTTGGCGAGTTTTTGGCAAACACAGTAGCGTGGTATCCAGGGCAACAGGTTGGAGTGGAGTCCAATGGACACCCTCAAACCAACGCAAATGACAGAATTCGTTCGAAGATGAAACCGGTCTCAATAAAGCTTGAAATAACTAGCAGGTGATATGTGGGAGACACCGGTTCTCAGAAAGCGAGGAGACGGACACTGGCAGCTCGGGGCGGAAGTTGGCCTTAACAAAGGCGCTAACTTGAGCGTGATTTTTCGTCAACAAAAAATCAAGGCAACAGCGCCACCAGCCACTTTCAAAGGCCCTGGCGTTCGATTCACCGCCACAATCGAACGCCACGTGGCTAGAACGTGCGGTGCCAAGACTTTCGTCCTATCTCAACGCTAAGCCGCATCTCAACCGCTTTGTAGCGCTCTTGTTGCACTGTACTGCTGGAAGAAAGGCATGGGATGTCTTTTGATAACCAAAACGCTTTTTACGTCGACATGTCATTCAATATAAGCATCAAGATCCTAAATTACATGACCCAAGAAAAATGAGGCAAAAATTCCGTAAAACAACCATATGTCTAAAGACACCAATCTCATAGACAAAAATGCAGGAACCAACAAATATACCACAAGGTATATGCAAGAAGATTATCTCCCTGGGAATGCTGACACAAAAAAAGCCGACCCATCAGAGAACGCCGGTCCGAGCTTTCCAAAAAAACAAAGTGTGGGACAGCTGACTCCGGCCAGGCCCATGTCGCCAATAAACACAAATCCTAGTGTCATAACCGGTCCAAACCAGCCAACGGGGAAAACAGTGAAACATCAGAGGTGATGGAAGGGTTACATTTCTCTGAAACACATAACATCACTGTCCTCAGAGCAATTCTCACAGCTAAGATCCACAATGGTGGGCGTAGACGATGTTTGATCGTTGCCTAGAAAAACCGCGCGATGTATGGGGTTGCCATTTGGAGATGGTGGAATAGATATGCTGGAATTCACAACGTCGATCTGTTCTTTCAAGGCTCTAAACTCGGCTAGCTGAGCCTGAAGCTGCTTGATAAGTTCGATCATGGGAACAGCATGATCCTCAAGGCTATCGCCAGGTCTAAAAGGCCGCATCATGTGCCGGATGGCAAGGGTGTTCGTACATGTCTATACCACGTTAGAGAACCACATAGAACAAAATATATGAGCTGACATAAATTTACGTACCTCAATACGAGCGACCTGGTGTTCAAGGAGGTTCAAAACAGAAGCATCGGTGATCTCACCGCCACGAGCTTTGATCGCATTAATCAAGTTGATATCAGGCTCTATCAACGTCGACGCATTCGGATTTTCCAAAGCACTGCAGAATGCCTCTAGCCGAAGTGATATTTTCATCAACCGCCAAAACTGATCTGCCTCGATATTAAGTTTCGAGTTCCGCCCTAAAGTTCCGGGCACGGGCATTTCGTTTCGCTCCTCCGACAGATCGGGTTGATAAGCTAGGCGGCCGGCTAGCGAATGCGGGTACATCAAATACACAAATTCCGGATTCTCAAGACCTTTTAATTTGCGCTCGCCTAGATCCTTGACCTCAAAGCCCTGAGTGCTGAGCTGATAAAGATCATTTCGGATGGAATTGTTCAAGAGTTCATCAGGCCAAGCGTCTTCTGAGCCTGTTGAACTGCTTCGCTCGTAATCCGCGAAAGCTTCCAGCGTCCGCTGAATTTCAGCCACAAAGTCCGATGAGACAAAGATCTGGCCGCCATCTGCCACTGCTGAAATACGCGACGCACGGTTGACCATAGGCCCGAAATAATCCATACGCCCCGTCACGGGATCTCTTTCACATACAGGCTGACCCCAATGCATGCCCATTCTCACCGATAGCCCACGATATATTCGATTACCCTCAGCATCAAATCGTTCTTTGCAGGCCGGAGAATCGAGAATCTCAGTGGGCCAGGGAGCGTCCAGCAACTGAGTCTGGCACGCGAAGCACCACAACAATGCTGCAGTTGCGGTGCTAAAAGAGACCATGAACGCGTCTCCTTCGGTCTTGACTTCAAAACCACCAGTCAAACTGAGCTGTCGTCTGAACAATTCATTATGTATCTGAATCGCAGATCTCATAGCAATGGGGTAGGTTTCCCATAGCGAGGTAGATTTCTTAATATCGGTAAACACGATAGCCAGTTCTCCAGTCGGTGCTTCCACACGATCCAACCTCGCTAGCCTTGAGTCACTTGGTGCATCACGAGGGCGTTTGACCCTCTTGCTGGTGAGGAGTATGCTATCATCGGTCAACGGAGTGGTTGGGCCCATAGGGATATTGGCGCTCCTCGTAAACTTGTTCCTTTGACGTCGCTTCAGGTCACTCACGCCAGCGATCATTACCATTAGTTTATTACTTGCACCGTAAGACATGGCTAAATCGCGGATCTTCTGAGATGCAATCATCAAGTCGGAGCGCTCCGCTCGTGCAACATCAACTACAACGTCAGGAGTAACATAATCCCATAATTCTCCTGACGCCATAATTATCATTTCGTCTTGAGAGGTCAACGTCACTTTCAAAGTGTCTGGTGCAGCCATTACAGCGGGAATCATGTGGAAGTAGCCGAACGCACGCGAGACGGATAAGCGGTCGTTCAGCTTTCCATTTCTGGAGACATATCCACCAGCTTTCCTTATGCGTTGCCTCTCCGATGTTTCAGCTGGGTCGTGGTTTCGAGTGAGAAATTTGTGCTGGCCATTAGACTGCACCAAAACAGCCTGTGCATTCCCCACGTTAGCAACAAAAAGGTCCATATTTCGAAGATAGAGTATTGTCGCAACGGCGCCGGACCGCACGTCATCCTGGTTGAGAACCTTTCCGATGCCAGAAACCCGGTCCCAGTGCCGAGACTCCCTTTCGTCCAAGGATTTGTGTGCCGCTGTTGCCAAATCCTTGTTGAGCGCCAAGAATGCCCTTCGCAAGGCATCGTCTGCTTCTTCATCTTTGTACGTTCGTAGTTTATTCAACTCACTTGCAAACGTCGAAGGGAAATTTTCATGTAAGAATTTAGCAATTTTCGACCCCCCACTTAAGGATGAATTGCCATCGAACATGCCAATGATGGCTTCCATCGAATTTCCCCTGAAGCGCGGGACCACCATATCAATCATAGAAAGATGTTCATTTTTACCAAGGGTGTCAGCCACTCCGTAGGAGATCAACCCTGAAGCTGATGCCGACGTGCGAACGCGCCTATCTTCCGTCTCTTCGGGAACGTTCTTGATGGTAAGCGTGACGTCCATCAGCCCGAGCACTCTAATGTAGCTGAGGGAATTGAAATTTGTCAAGTCTGTCCCATTGATATTGCCGACACCAGATGCATATGACGAGCTCGGTTTGACCTCAAATCTCTTGTTCCCAGAGAAATTGAGATATCGAAGGTTATGGTTCCAATTCCAATTCCAATCATATGGCCAATTTGAAACGTTATACTTCAACGAATTGCTGCCGACATCCAACACTGCCAGTTTATTGATCTTGCAGAGCTCAGCGGGGAGCACCTGGAACTTATTCGCATTGAGATAAAGTGTCTTGAGGTTGCTGGATTCTTCGAGATCATCAGAAGGTAACGCACTAAGCTCGTTCCCAGAAAGATGCAACTCCGAGAGAAACTGTAAGCGTCTCAAAACACCTGGCGGGAGCTCTGTCAATTCGTTATATGACAGATTCAACACCCTTAATTCGGGTAATAATACGAGTTGGTGGAAAAGATCATCTTCCAGCCTATTATCCGCAAGATATAGCTGCCTCAATGAGCCAGCAAAAGTGCTCGACATTCTCTGGGAAAATGTAGAATCCTTTCTGGATCCATCAGTTCCCGATCGAGACGCCACAGACTGTTGCCTGCCACCAAGTGATGTGACTGACAGCTTCCTGGGAGCATCAGGAGGAGGGCTTCCCGCACTGAGATAACCTCCAGAAGCTTGACTTGGTCTTCGCGCCTCAAACCCTTCCAATTTTCCAAGCTCCTCATAACTAGGAGAGCCATATAGACCGGGCGTTGATGCGGAAGTCCCGTTAGTCTGAACTTCGGCCGTTGGGAGTTGTGGAGGGGAAGTTGCCGGCTTTGGAAAAGTGTCAAGAACATTGGACGAAACATTTAGAATCTCGAGCCGGAGACAGTACCAAATTTCCCCAGGGAGCCTTTTCAAATTACACTCCCTCAAATTCAAAGTTCTTAACTCAGTTAGGCATCCAATAGTTGGTGGCAGCTGGGATAAGGGGTTTTTCGCCATGGTGAAATGTTCAAGCCTGCGGAGATATCCAATATATGGAGATAATGTGACGAAATGGTTTTTATTAAGGTATAATTTCATCAAATTCGGCATACTGGTGAATAAAGTATCCTTGAATTGCACAAGCTTTGCTGAAGCGATGTTAAGAGATTGTAGTGTAGGCACAGGGGCGGTAAGATGGAAATCTGTTACGGGACAATGGTCCATCACCAATGTTCGCAGTTTGACGAAGGAGCCGTAAAACGAAGAGACGGAATTATGGCCTATGAGAAGGGTTTCCAGTCGAGGCAACTGTGTGAGGTTGTCAATCCCTGTAATGTCATTGAACCGGGCATCAATCTCTTTCAGATTCACAAGGAGCTTGAATGTCTCTCCGAGCTCTCCGGTCAACGCATTGTTGGTGACCCAAAGTCTCTCCAACGCTTGTAGGCGCCCGATATTCGATAGCTGGGTGATCTGGTTGAAGCTTATGTCCAGGTCCACCAGCGACTCCAAGTTGCAGAGAAATTCTGGGAAATACTGGAAGTTGTTGGATGAAATGTTCAGGCTTCTGAGCGACGGAAAGTCACCAAAGTAAGAAGGCAACGAGGAAAGCTTGTTATTCGCCATCTTCAAGCTCACAAGTCCACGTAAATTATGCAGCTCAGCGTGCTCCAATTGCTCCAGGCAATTGTTTGAGATATCCAGATATGTCAATCGATTTGCCAAACTAAAGCTGGCAGGTAGACGCCACGCTTCGTTGCTCATGAACTTGATTTCGCGCAGGTTGATACAGCTCTGAATAAAGTCCTTGGGAACGTCGAGCGCTAGGTTCCTCGACAAATTCAGCGATATGATCTCCGGCGCTTTTTTATATAATTTAATGGGAATCGTGACAAGACTCTTGCTTTGGAGGTCGAGGTGGCTGAATTTCTGATTCTCATTAAACGCTAATTCCGAATCAAGACTGGAATATATACCCAGCTTCGTGGGGAGGAAGGTGAAGCGGACAAGGTAACTATTATCTTCTCGTCCTATATCTGCAACTCGATCGGAAGATTGGTATCCGGCTTGTTCGAGAAGCCGTTTCTGCATAAGAATCGGTCTCTCTCCATGATCCAATCTCCTGGAAAGGTCATTCTTCCGCATTACTATATCGTAGTTGTTCAAATCATCTTGAAGGAAGGACTTGCGACCAAGCATTTCAAGAATCTCAGTGACAGTAGTATTGAGACCGGCAGATAGCGTGGCAAAAGTGGAATCGATTCGAAAGACACGGACGCAGTAGGGATGGCCATCCTCATCCACTGACAAACTCGCATCGTCCTCCGCCAGCTCAGGAAGCCGACTAACGATGTCGTCGCTTGGCTTTTTCACTGCCCAACTCTCTGGAGCGTGCCAGTCACCAGCGGCAGGCGTGTCGAGAACGGTTCGGAAGTTTTTGTCAGCGTGGTCAACGCCAGTGAAAATACCTCCGGTGTCTGTCGGTGACCCGGGACGTGGTTTTCGGATAATGCCTTCCATATCACCGAGATTGGTATCCAAAAAGACCCGTTCCCCTTCAAACATCTCGCGCTCGTGTTTATCGGCGTCTTTACTTGGCCCACTATCATGAGAAAATGGCAATCGGCCATGTCGCAACTTACTAGGGCCAGATCTGCCGTAAGGCTCCTTCTTTCGATCATAATCAATATATTCCCATTGCCTTCCAGGCCCCATAGCCTCGACACTTCCATTCCTGGAGCGCGATCCTGGGGACATCTCGGCTCTTAGGCGCTTCGATCCTTTCAGGGGTTCTTGCAGTATACTGGAAGAGCTTGGGAGGTGTTTTAACAAAGAGACGCCTTGGCCTTTTGGTCTTCGTATCTTATCGAAAAGGGATCTTTTAGGAGTGGGAGCGCGGGGTGAGAGCTGGCCTGGGTCACGAAGGCCAGCACTTTGGGCACTAGGAGTCGGGCTGCTCGAGCGGGCGCCAAGGGTCGTTGTCGACATGCTCATAGGAGTTGAAATACCCAGGGCGTGATCCTTCAATGTGCGCGAAGGATTGAGATTTTCGCGGCTCGTGGATGGTCGAGAAGAACCAGCACTACTTTGATCCTCTTTGCTAATGTTATGGCGGTGTCCCGGGAGATGGAAACGATGCCTTGGCCGCACGGTGGCGTTGCTAGCTGTATATCTCGCGCTAGATTCTGTAGGCTCCTCGCGCACAGGAGCATCTCCAAGCTGGGGGATATCACTGAAGTCTTGGAATTCCCAGGGGGTAACTTCACTGGAAGGAAGGGGTGTTCGAGGTGCGGAGAGGCTGGGGGAAGGCCGCCGCTCCAGAGTATTGGCGGAATTCAGCGAGTTGTGCCGATCCCGGCTATGAACGATGCTAGGAACCCGGTTCGATATAGATCGCTCCATAGATGCGCCATCCTGATATTCCTCACCAAAAAAGCCTTGTAACCGCTTATGAAATCGCGCACTGCCCGTAGACCTTGAACCTCCACTACTACCGGTCGCGATACTCGCGATTGAGGGTCTTCGGCCACCATCATCATAAACCAAGTCAGGCGAATTGCTCGCAACGGAATGCGAAGTGGTTGGACGAGGGGATGGGGAAGTGTCATCGAATTCAGACGAATCATTGAAAAACGTCCCGTGATTAGCGCTAGTCGGAGGCGGGGACGACGGAGAAGGGGGTACAGCATGAAGAGCAGGGGGTTTAGGACGGTTGCTTGCTGACGAAGGATTATTTCGCGGCATTGTGCTCACAGGATAATCGGATGTACCTAGTACAGCAAGAGCTTTTCTGTTGCTTTGAAACCCGTAGGGAGATCGCCGATCTGTTGGCGATACATCGGGGGATCCGGAGAGATAAGGAGCATGCGGGACATCGTCAAATACCGATGAAGGACGTCGTGAACCAGAATGCGACCTGCTTGTCATGGCGCTCAGGTCAGCATGACTGAGCTTCCAAAGGGTTGGTTCCTCCTCAATGATGAAACATTGAAAGGACTACAAAGATTACCCCTGCAGCACGTGGGAAAGAGGCAGTAATGGTCAAAAGAGCAAGGAAACAGTCTAAGCAACTGTGATCTTCAAGAGCCTCGCGCTGAAACTCCGTGTGTCGCCGGCGTTTCGTCCGAAGGCGCGGGGAGATATCACGTCCAGGTAAGCATCAAAGGCGGAGTGTCTAATACACACCTGTTCTCTGTTCCCATCTGCTGGCCGTGGGAAGGATTATTCCGGCCACCTCCAGATAGTCGATTCTGTCTCAACGTGTCATGAGACTGTCGACTACCAACGCTGGAGCTCTCAGACCCATGTCTCACAGCCTGATATCGCTCCCGCTGGCGCGAGGCCATATATTTCTAGCGAGCCGACGCAGACTCGCGCCAGCTCTGGAGGGGAAAAGGCCGGGCTCGCTCTCACCACACGATGTCTCGTATTTTAGACTCCTGTTGTCCAAGTTTCGCGCAAACGCAGATAGCAAGCAGACGAAGGTAGAGATCCGGGATCGCGAGACGCCTCAAAACTCGATGGGATGAAATCTCTGCGCGCAGGGCGGAGGAGGCTCAAAGGTAGGGTAACTCGTCGGTTCGGAACTACTCGCGTATGAACGTTTGGTTATGTATGTCGTTGCGTACTTTTGGGAAACGCTCGGCCGCTCCACGACCTATTAAGCCGCAACCCAGCAGGGATCAGGTCCAATCTGATGGGATGAAAGGCCACAACCTACACAGCCCGAGAGCCATACGCATCGCAGGCGACAAAGTATCAGGAAGAGTTTATTCCAGACGGCCAGGTATCGATGGCGACAAGGACGCAAGAGGCAAAAAAAAAAAAAAAAAAAATAGATTAGATAAATGGCGCCAGAGGCGGGAGGTCGGATGGGAGGGAAAAAACAGATCAGTTCCTGGTTTGGGGGGTGACGCATCGATGAGGGCGACCTTAACACCCCATGTCGTCGAACGAAACCACGAGGGTCTTGGGGGGGGTTAGCCACGGGTGAAGTCGAGTGCGGTCAATCGCCTCCCTGCGTCAAGACAAGAGAAGCGAAGATTAGATGGAAAAATGCCCAATGGCATAATTAGGACCGAGAATAAAAAGCATAGACTGGTATATTAGGGTACAAGGGATACTTTTCGACAAAACTGTCCCCCTTGTGTTCTTTTTTATTAAGAAACCCCCCCGGTCTTTTGTGATTTGTAACTGAACCCGTCTGCCGTCCGTTCTGCCCTTGGGGGAATGACGGTTACATGGCGAGATTTAGTTCGCAGCGCACGGGCCACCTAACCACCGCCTGCACACGCTGGGCCGCGGAACGTGCGCTCGCTGTGCTGCTCCTCCACGTTGATTTGCCAATGCCTGCCAGTTCAGGGCGACGGGGGGATGCCATCACAAAAAGAAAAGCTCGCAAGGCCTTGGGTACTACGGCATAGACTGACGATGCCTTGGTCGAAGTGCCGTCGTTTTGACGGATTCCCTCTATACTGATTACTCCGTTTGTTAACTTTCCCGTGTCCTCGCCATCCAGAGTACTTTCTCGACGCGAGGGCATTTCCATCGACCCACCGAGATTTTGGGCCTTTGCTCGCTAGTATTAAAACAAAAAAAAAAAAAGAAAAAAAGGATAATCTCTATTTCAGAACGGGAAGAGTCAGTTCCCGCAATCGTCAGTGAAAATGTAGGACGGCAACAACTCGCATGATTGAAATGTAGGATGGTGTGCATGATTCTATGTTTGTATATTCCGGAATATGTACAGAGGATGTACTTGATAAATATCTCTTTACGCTAGATTCAAGCTTCAAGGCCCTAGGAAAAACAAAGCAAAAAAGGGAATCATCTTGACGATTCGTTAGTGGTCATGTTAGGTCTATCCACCGCCTCTAGAACTCTTTTTCAACACATGTTTCTTCGTATTACTTTTTCATGTCCAATTTTTCCATCGCATCCTCAACTCCAGCCCCAACAGCAACTTTGCTACTTTCTGGCCCTTCAACGGACCCATCGGGCTGTGCAACCACGTTCTTCGCTGCCCCCGGGTGTCTCGAGCCTTTGTCCTTTACTTTCTTCTTTTTCTTCTCTGGTTCTGGTGGGGGAGGATAGGCTTTCTTTGTGACTTCTTGCCACACAGAATTTGCCTGGAATGAGGCTTGGATGGGTGCGAGGAGATTATTAAGAGCACTCGTCACAGCAAACTTCAAGAGTTGCGGTGTAAGCTGCAGGTTCAGTTAGCCTCCAGGACCCCCATTTGTGAGCGGAAGAGAAAAGAAGATTCACGCGGAAAGAAAAACTCACCTTATCGGCTCTGTAATCTTCCTTGAGTGATTCAATATTATCGTAAACCAACGGCCCACCTTCCTCCTCACTTCTGTCAACGGTAAATTTACCCTTTCCTTCCGGATTCTCCAGCGCGCTCACGGGGAGTAAGACGTATTCGACGAAGCTCACAATCCCGTTGCCCTCTGTTTCTCTCGGTGCAGCAAACGCCTTCTTTAGCTTCTTCTTCACCACGTCTGGAGTGTCCAGGATATCAATTTTAGAGTCCGGGTCGGACGCGGACATCTTTCCGCCCGCCAACCCAGGAACCATCGGATTCATCAGATGGGCCCGCTCCTTGTATCCCACACGCGGCAGTGTTTCCATCGCGAGCGTGAAGATCTTTCGCTGATCAACTCCACCAAACTGCGCATCCACGCCCAGATGCTCTTCATCCAGGGCCTGCATCAGAGGATAGATAAGGCCCGATAGCGGAGCATTATCTACCTGCTTCACCACTTCGGCACCAGCCTTCTTCGCATCGTGCTCTGTCACCACGCTACTCAGACGAAAGAGGTCCATGGTGTACTTGGGCGATAATTGGTAGGAGCTGCCGAGCACGAATTCAAGCTTGTCTGTCGGGACATGGACAGCTTCGAGCAGGGCCGTGATGGAATGGCGATAGTACTCCGCGCGGAAATTGACCAGTTCGATTGGGGCTTTGAGGTTGTCAAGGAAGCCATGGATGTCAGCAAGGAGAATCTTGATATGGCAGCCCGCTCGGAGGAAATGGGCAAGTTTAACTATCGGGACCAGGTAGCCCAAATGAATTCGGCCGGTCGACGCAGTACCTGAATGAGGACAAAACCACACATATGTCAGCAACACAGGACAAGGCCATTGTGTGGTCGAGGATTAGATCCGAGGGGAAGAAAAAGAAAGAAAAAAAAAAAAAAAAGAGAGAGAGAGAGAGAGAGAGAGAGAGAAGAAGGAGGGAGGGGGGGGGGGGGGTTTGTTGACTCGGAGAGGACCGTTGACTCACCCCAATAAATGACGGGGGCTCTGTTTTGGCGAATAATTATATCTTCGAGAATCTCCGATTTTAAAACCTCTTGGAGATTCAGCTTAATCAGGTCAAGCTTCTCTTGCGGCGATAGTTCTGAACCCATGGCTGCTGTGGTGATCTTTTCAGTTGTTTGGCGGCTTCACGGCGGGGTTCAGAAAACAGTCTTTTTGTCCGCAATCGCTGAGGCTGACTCAAGGGCGGGATGGGCTCAGCTTGATATCACGTGATAACTGGCTGCTCCCATAGCAGAAATGGGGAGGATTTGTAAACCGTAGATCCACTAGTCCCGATATGTTTATGTCGGAATATACGTTTATCCGAATCCACGGTTGTTTGGAAGTTTAAAAATATATACGTTCCGAATTCGGAAACGTAGCTTCCGATCCTCAACGTAGAAATCGGGAAACGTTGAAACCCCTGATCAACGAATATATCTAGGAACGTTCGGGATACCTTTTCGGGTTTATAAATGTGGAGGGAAACCATTATAGTATAGAAACCATTATAGTATAGAAACCATTATAGTATAGAAACCATTATAGTATAGAAACCATTATAGTATAGAAACCATTATAGTATAGAAACCATTATAGTATAGAAACCATTATAGTATAGTTACCCCAGCAGACACTGGAGAGAGAAATTGGATTTCAACTAATGCGCAATACTACATACATCAAACCGCCTGATCCACCTATAAAAAGGAAATGCTCCAAGTGCAGTTGAGAAAGGTAGTCGGCAGAGCAGAATCTAGTTTGAGCCTTTCAGAATCTTTGCTGACAGGTATAGTGTAAAGGCTTGGTTTGCGGATTGCAGGTAGACCAATTATATGAATCTCATTCTGATTCACCTGCAAAATCAGCAAATCCAGTACCCTCTCGCGCCGAATTTCATGAGCAGAGAACATGGCAAAAAAAACCCTCCAGCAGCTGCCCTGGTTGTGGGTGAATATGCACCTTATTTGCCCGATCTTGGTGCCTGATGCACAAGTATACTCAACCAGATCATCAAGTTTCAATGTAGTGTGATGCGCATCTCCATTGAATGTAAAGGTTAGCTTTTGAAACAATCAGATTGGGGTCAAACCTCTGCCAAGCATATGTTGATATGCCCAATCACTGCTGTATGAAAGTTGGAGCTTTTGCAAAAAGGAATGCATAACTGGTAGTTCGGAAAGCCGTGTGCTTTGTAAACCAAGCAATTCCATGACTTTGCGGCTAGCTGGTAGTCGGCAGTAGGCATTGATTAAGGTATGGAAGGGGGTGGTAGCATATGAATCATTGGCTTTGTTGGCATTCTCATCATCATCTTGTTGCTCATTGTGTTCCGATCGCACGAGGTCTTGCATGAGGATCGGACATTTGTGATGAAGTTGCTTCATCTGGCTGGTGATATAGGGTTCCAATTCCATAAGAGCCCCATCAAGAGTCAAGGATATAGTGCGTTTGAAGCTCTCATGAATCAGTAAAACCTTTTCAACATCATGCTTGTTGGTTTGCTGCACAAATGCTTTGTATTCACAGTGTTTATCCTCCCTGATCAGTACATTGCAGTTATTTGGCACAGCATACTCCTTTGCCTGGTCAGCATAGTGCACCCCAATATGCATGTTTGGTTGGTGTTTCAAAGCATGTAACATCTTACCTGCTTTCAGGGCAATACTGATGGTGTTGATTGAAATATCCTCTGTCGGGGGTGTAACAATCTGATTGAACACTGGTGAATTCTGCCGTGATCTCAGCATCCATACTGCCCGGCTAGCCGACCGTGGTGCCTCGGCAGCCATGATAGTAGCATCTATCACTTTCTGAAGCATAGTTTGGGTGTTGGCAACCACACTTTTAAGTTCATTGTACCTGACAGATGTCTGAGAAGTCAATAGTGAATTGCTTCTTGCAATAGCACCAAAGGTTTTAGCAAGCAACAAACACGGAATGTTGGGATCAATTGACTGTTCACCAAAGGAGTTATAGAGAGCCTGCTGAACAACAGTCTGAATCCAGTCAGGCTTTAGGGCAAAGTGGAGTATAATTGGGATCACAATTGAAGCTCGGGCGTGTTCCTGGATTTGGTAGGACTCCAGATGGGTAATTGGGGACTGCAGTCGGGCCCAGTGTCTCCAAAATGGAAACCTCTGTAGGGTTTGGCAGTATTCCTTCTGCCCCTCAGGTGTCAATATATGTGATATCAATAATGTATGCGCAATTTTGGACAGGCCCGAAAATTCACTATGACAGGGGTCAGAGGGGAAAAATGTCACCAGATTCAGTGCCGGGCAGATCTTCAAAACTGGGGGACTTTCCTTGGCCAATCCATGGGTCTTCCACAGTGCTTCTCGCTCCTGAACAGTCTGCTTCGCCTCAATTTTGGCCCGCAAATTGAGTAACTGGTAATGGTATCGGCCGCGTTTCACCAAGTTGAAATTCATATTGAACCTCTCCGCATCGGAGACAGTACAGCTCCGACAGGAGACTGTTGCAGTAGGGTGTTTGATCCCAGCATTGTCATTTTGCTGCGGCATGTCACCAAGGTAAGCAATACAAGGAGCAATGACCCTGACAGTTCCTTCACCAGTTACCACAATGTCAAATCCTCTTTCAACTGCTTGTAAACCGGGAGCCAATGCCTCCATAACATTGGGAAAATTTGTAGCATGAGGCCTGAGAGTGATTGTATATACATTGTTTTGTTGTCTTCTTTCGGAATCATTAAGTCCTGCAGGGATCATATAGAAGCCAGTTATATTTTGGTACATGTTCCGATATAGACTGAATCTGTCAATGAACAGCTGGAAGGGAATGGATATAGTCCTCTTGATAGGGTCGCCTGGGCAGAGCATCTTGATCAGCATATCCCTCCCGTATGCCGCGATTTCCAGTTCACCCTGGAGCGGAGTGCTAAGTCGGAGCTCTTGTACAGATGATGTGTCGCGAATTGTATTCATCACTCGCTGTACAAAGAGCCCATTTGTTTCTGAGGGTTTGTAGCTACCCGATCTGTCAAAGGTGTAGTCAAGATGGACATCCAGTCGGGCTAGAATGTTGTCTTCATGTATGATGTGAGTTTCCTGGTCTTCCAGTAAGAGCAGCTCGTTCGGGCAAAGCGGAGGTCTCAGGGAATGGATTCTTTTATCAAAGCTGTTGGCAGTAATAGTGTACTGGACAATAAGAACAATTTCACCAGGTTTTGTGCAGGCCAGTCTCCGGTCCCGACCCACAAATTGAATCCTTCCGATATGGATTTCTTGTTCATTCCAAGTGCACCTACATGCAGCATTGTTGCACCTGAAACGAACAAAATCAGAAGGAAAGACTGGTGTCCCGTCAGGGTACCATGCAAAGTCACCCGACGAACATCTAATGGAGCTCCCCCAGCTCCATGATTGCCACAATTTGGTCGGGTTGTCAACTAGGTCGGCCATACCAATATGTATCTTCTTGTGAAATACAGGAGACCTTGCCAGTAATGACAAAAGAGCCACAGGATCCTGAAAGAATAAATTAGATGTGAGAGATGTCTGTATTAGTCGCTTCTCGGCAGGTGAAAGAGTTGGCATTTTCAATGGAACAGCCAGTATGGATGCCCGTCGGATGGGAAGCATAGGGAATTGAGCTCTGCATTTCTTCTTCAATGTGCTCAGCCCCAATGGTAGAGATCTCAGTGCACCAATATCTTCAGGAATCTGTAAGACTTCCCGCAGTGCCTTGTAGTGTCAGCAAGATATTTCTGATTTTTCGCACCATAATTCTAAAGCAAGCATGAAGTGGTCCAGCATTTCATCAGGCTCTGCATGTGCATGGACTAGGACCTCCGACAGGTCATTCATTGTAGTCAGGATGTAGGTCTCAGCTGGCTGGTTGCCCAATGAATCCTCTAGTTGTGAATGAAAATTGGAATCTCCATTGCCAACCGGGTGCACTGGATGTAACATAGTCTGTAACCAGGGTTTGGATTCGGGCTCTTCATACTGTTGTGATTCATTGTTATCAACTGATCCCATGGGTAGAGCTGCCACTGCTTCTTGTATAATCTCCTGCACCCTGATGTCTTCTGGTTCAGAATGAGTGTTGGATAGAGTGTTGGGTGGAGCATCAGAGGCATCTGAAAGACTTGCTGCATCCTGTACACAGTGATTAGAATGATGCAGGCTGACAGAGGATTCAAGGTCTTACATTCAACCCTGACTCCTCAGTTTGATTGTTTGGCTGAATGTTGGATTCCACTGAAGGTAAAATGTGATTGCAATCTTGTGATTCCTGCAACAAATGGGCATGCTGTCTGCGCCTTCAAAACTGCGAGGCTGGGAATGGCAAATGAAGTTGCCTTCTCCAAAACATATAGTCCTGTATGCGCCTCACATACCTTGGATGTTGCATGTTTGCTTGAGGTTTATATGCTGGTTTCTGCAGTGGTTGAGTTTCAAGTTGCAGGAACAGTGAGGGTTGCTGCAGAATATCTTTGGGACAAAGTATGTAGGAATTAGAAAGAAAATTGCTGTTTGATTGGGGAATTGGACATATTATAGCAAAGTTGAATGTTAGAGCAGCTGCAAAATGTGCCAACTGTGCCGCAGACCAACTGTAATATCCTGATCACCTAGACCTGTAATTGGCCCTAAGGGATGCAAGGTCAGTGATGATCTGCATCCTCCTGGGTGATCGGCCTATTTCAAAGAAATCAATCACTTAGTGGCGTTGAATTTTAGAATGTAGGGGAATATGGATACAGATCCGAATAGCAACTTGGGCAGTTGAATGTGCTCTGAGTCAGCTATATAATAGATAGCGAACCCCTCTGAAATTCAAGCATTCACTCTTGTTCATTCTCACTTCACTCTGAACCACGGCAATCCGATAGCCAAAATGTCGGAGACACAGAGCACGCCAGCACCAAAAAAGACAGCTCGCATGTTCCCATGGCCCCAATTGCACAGCATGCCAAAGGCTCAAGGGGCATTGTTTGGTTTGAATACAAGTACCCGAACTGAAGTGTTCTCTGATCATACAGAGATTGAAAAGTGGGTTTGAGTGGTGGAGCATGAGATATGAAATTGGGTGCGATGGGCCTATATATTGACATTAAATACTGACCCGATTCTGGATACTGTTCAGGAGGTGCTGAGCCTTGAGGACTGGGAAGCTGGGAATGACTCATATTTTTGTGAAGTTTCCAGGCGCATGTTGGACCTCTGTAAAGGTTGGAAATGTAAGACCTTGAGTAGCTTGAAGGTCGGAACAATGTCCCTAAACTCCTAGTTATGGTATAAACTGACCTTATTTGCAGGATCATGTCAGGGAATGTATTGAACTCAGCTTGACTGAGAATCCTGATTTCGGACTCCATGAAATAACTGATTGACAAAAGCTGATCAGCTATTTTGCCTGATTGTTCAAGTGGGACCAATTCTGTGAAGTCTTTTACTGGGTCAAGCCGTGTGTTGATTTTGAGAAGTCAGCTCCACAAGGGAAATGGTATTTTGAATGTAAGTCAATGGTAAATCTTAATTGCCATGATTTCTGCTCTGACAGTTATGGCAATAGAGGTGTATGCAAATTTAGCAGCATACATGAAGCTGTATCTTGATGACAACAGTCTGAAACAGGATGCATCCACTCCATTGACCTACACCTGGGATTCTGTACTCAAGCTCTGGGACTGCTTGACACAGAAACCAGGACTGAGAGATGTCAATTCAGACAACTTTGCCTGATGGAAGGTCTGACCAAGGAAGCCAAAGGCTGTCCATGTTGAGACTTTGCCAGGAATTCTGGATGCAGTCCAGTTGACATCTAGTATGCCGCCCAGGGAACCTGATTCACATCTGGCTCAGGCAGTGCAAGCCCCGCGGGAGCCAGAGAATGACAATTCAGACAAGGAGAATCAGAATTCTTTGCAGGACATCATGGAGGATTATTTTGAGACTGCGACAAATCGGCCTGCCTGTTCAAAGAGATCTGTGCCAGCTGCAACTGGTCACAAGCCCCAAAAGAGATGCAGATTCTAGTTGAATACATGAAAAGGTGCCTTCTCAGGTCAAAATTGGCTGTTAGTTTGTGCTTCAAAATAGATTTTGGGGTTTGATATCTAGACTTCAATGCAATGCTCTGTTATATCAATGCTTGCAAGAGCTGAATTTTGCTATATTCAATATATATCTCTTTATTGTTCGCTGTAATCAGCCGTAGGAGCTCTAAGCAAAATGAGTTAGCACTTAGTAATGTATAAATAGACACATCCTGATTAGGAAATCCAAAACAATCAAGCGGACACGCTAGATATAATAATCTCTTCCCACACAAAATCTCTCTCTTCTTCTCTTCTTTTCTTTTTTTCCTTCTCTTGAGCTCATTATATTTCTTGTTGCCCCTCCCCCCCTGTTCCAATATCAAGGTAAGTGGTGGATTTCGAATGAAATAAGGAACTGCAGCAAACTGAAGGACAATATATGCAGAAATATCAAAAAATGGCTCCACAAATGCGTAAATTAGCAGCAGCTCAGGACGAGCACTCCCTGATGTCTGCAAAGAAGAAGCCAGGGCGAAAGCCCTCGGCTGTCAAAGAAGAGCCTGCTATGGGCAATACACTCTGTGGTCACTGTTTAACATTTGTATATACAGCGCACATCAACAAGCCTTGTTCACGCAAGCAAGGAACTGCCAAGGCCTGCACCAATTGTGCAGGAGATAAAAAAGCCTGTGCTCCTGTCTCTTCAGAGATGCAGAAGGAAGTGGCAGCATTGCTGTCTGACCATGACAATTTTCTCAGGCTTAAGAACGCGACACTCCGAGAAGAACTGAAAACCAGCATGGCGGAATGGGCTGCTGGTCTCAGTGAAATGCTTGCCAAAATGGCACCCCCGTCAGTCCAAACTGACAACTCCCCCCCTCCCCCCCCTTTTAATGCTGAAGTTGGTGCTGCCACTTTGGCAGTGTTGGAAAAGCTTGTGTCTATTCAAGCCAAACAAAAAGAGCTTGCAGAGCACACATTCTGCTCTGTCAAGGTAGGTTGAACTGATTGGAGATCATACATTCAACTCATGCTAATGCAGTTATATATATAGAATATCAAAAGGACCTTGGCCGACATCCGCCGGGACTTAAAGTCCAATTGTTTACCTTCTGTGGTCAGTATACTTGATGCAATGTTGGGATGAATTGAACTGACTTTGATATTTGATGACAGAAAAAGTGAAAGGCAGAAGAAACCATTTGTGAATCAGCAGTCAAGATAGGCTGATTTGCTGCTGCCCTGCCCTCTGCTGCGTCCGCTCCTCCCCCCCCCTCCCCCACTCTGATCATGCCTTCTCCCTTTGTTCAGTCGCAGCCGAACCTATCTGCGTCGGGCCTGTCTCCAACTGGAGGCAGCGGAGCCGATTTGCTTGAAAGTACAATCAAGCAGCCCGAATGGGCTCGCCCTGATGATTCTTCTGCGCTCGCTTTACGCCCTGTCCCTGAACCAGAGACTCCAACTGGTGAGGAGGCTCCTGAAATTTAAAAAAAAAAAAAATTCATTACAATTCAGGTTGTGCGGGTGGTTCTGTAAACACTTAGTAGTTAATTTCTAGCAATTAAAAAGCTTCCGAATCGGGTTCAAAACCCTCAATTGGTGCATCATATGTTCCGAATTCTATATGTTTCGGACCCTTTATACGTGCATTGTAAATATATGGTGGATCTACGGTTTCAAGCTTGCGATCCGTGGCTCAACGGGTCGCGTCGGATAAACGTTTTCCGACGGTTGCCCGAAAAGCTCATTTTTCCGGTATGGTCCTGAATTCGCAATGCAGAAAACAATCTTTTATGTTTTTGGTGCTACTTGTGTTACTCTCCGCACATTGCCTTTGTGGAAGGGCAGCATAGCAAAAGTAGACTATCTAGGGACAGAGTAAGTTCAGAAAGGGGGGAAAAGAAAACTCGAACCTTTGCTTGTGGCGTGCGGCAAGGGCCTTTTTCGGATGGTTCCTGGAATAAAACTTTTCGCGGAAGCAACTCAACAGCAAAGGATTGCCACAACCACGAAGCTGATAGACTACCGCTCGTACAGAGCAGAGTCAACATGCTGTGCATGTCTTGGGCGGAAAGGCGCCTGTGTCAAAGAGGGTTCGAATGTGATATTGCAACAAGCCATTTCTTGAGTGCCGACTCGGCGACAGAGCACGCGGGAGGATGCATAGGATTGGGAGGGAAAAGAGACTTAGATATGTAGGTATGGAGTACGGAGTACAGGATTCCATACTCAGCTCCGTACTCTGTACTCCGTAGCCTGCAGCCGTCCACCGTCGGAAAGAAGTGCAACGGACAAGCTGCAAGCGAAAGAGAGGCTCAGAGTGTCTCACTTCCATGTGTGACTCGGTGACAGCTCTGTGCTCCCAGCCCTACAGCGGTTCCCACGCCACAGCAGCGCAGAAGCGAGTGGGTCTTGGCGGGTGGGCTCCTTCAGCCAATAGAGTTGCTAGATCGGCTGGAAGCACTAGAAAAGTGGCTGGGAGAAGTGGCTGGCAGCCGAAGCTTGGTTGAAACTCAGCCAATCAGCCGTCACCGCAGCCGGGTTGCCGGGCGAGCAGCAAGTTCGCGTGCCTGGCGAACTGGCGTGAAACGGCTGACAGAGAGCGTGATGTGTAGCAGAATGGCCATTTTTTGGTTGTTGTTGTTGTTGTTGTTGCAAATTACTGTTGCTGAGTGCTGCCGTTGTTCAACCTGCATGGCTCCGGTTGTGATGAAGAAGTTGGCCGGGATGAGATCATGATCAGCAGCTGACGAGTCCTGTGTCCTAATCCCTGGCCCGGTGGATCATGGGGGGAACATGTCACGACAAAGCGCACATCCATTGGGCCGCCTGACACCTGTTGCAGTATCTTCCAGAGCACAGAAAAGCCAAGCAGGAGTTACTAGCGCGCAGATAGCTGGTGGGTACGGTATCCGATCTCCCCTGTCAGTACAGAGTACATAACACTCTTGTTACCCGGATAACCCGTCGCTTACTGCTGTTGTTGCTCTGGCAATTGTTGCGTAGCAGCAGATAGCTTTGCAGAACATCACGGCAGCACAAGGAAAAGGGGGGTCGTTATTTTTGGAGTGTCAATGTCTCAGCGGCGTCCAGTGGCGTCAAGCGATAAGGTCACTCCCGGAAGGCTGGCAGACGGTCGCCCCGTGATTGGCGGTGCCCCAGCTCCAGGCCCAGCCCAAACACCCCCGCCCGTTGCCGTCGCAGTAGGATTTTGGCTGGTGACACTCGCGGAGAAAGAAAACTACACTATGCGATCGGGGTGGATACGCTGCACCCACCGACGGCTTTGCTCGTCTTCTTAAAGAGCCCCCCGACCGCCCCCTTTCTTTTTTGTCTTATTATTTCATTCTCTCATCTCTTCCTCTTTAACACCTTTACCCTCTTTCCAGCATCCCAACTTCCATCCTTTCTGGTTGTTGCTCCTTCTTCTACACCCTCCTCTCACGCCAATTCCTCGGTGCGGGTAGCGGGATCTTCTCGGCCTAGGCTTGGCTCTTCCTGTCGCCACCTCGTCCTCATCCTGCTCCTCAAGACAGCAGTAATGAAGCTTACTGCTTCAGCTGTCGCAGCCTTTGTGGCTGCTCCGCTCCTCGCAACCGCCCAGACATATACAAAATGTGATCCAACAAAGCAATGTAGGTGGCATGGCGCCCTCCCGCACCGCGCATAGCAAACACTGACTTCTATCTTCCAGCCTGCCCAGCGGATCCCGCCCTGTCGGGAACTGCTACTTTTGATCTGAAGAGCCCTTCTGAGCGGTTTACAGAACTGGGGAAGCCTACATACAACGATGAGGGAGTCTCTTTCACAATCAACAAACAGGGTGATTATCCCACAATTCAGTCCAACTTCTACATCATGTTCGGACACTTCGAAGTTGAAGTGAAAGCGGCTCCTGGCAGAGGCATTGTCAGCAGTGTGGTCATGCAGTCGGATTGCTTGGACGAAATCGACTGGGAATGGATTGGTGGGAACAATGGCCAGGTTCAAAGCAACTTCTTTAAAGAGGGCCGCAGCAACGCTTATGACCGCGCTGTCTGGCATCCCAACCCAGGGAACCAGGATGGCTTCCATAAATATGCGGTCGACTGGACTAGTGAACGCATTGAATTCTACCTCGATGGTGAAAAAATCCGCACCGTGACCCCCAACGATGGTAACGCTAGGGGTAATTATCCCCAGACGCCCATGTTCGTCAAAATAGGCATCTGGGCTGGAGGCGATCCCACCAACGGCAAAGGGACAATCGGTAAGTCCCGTTCTTTCCCGGATCATAGATGAGCATCGGCCCCCGTGCTGACGTTGAATTAGAATGGGCTGGTGGTGAGACCGATTTCAGCGCAGCTCCCTTCACTATGCAAGCCAGGAATATCGTGATCACCGATTATTCCACTGGCAAAGAGTACCGCTACGGGGATCGGAGTGGAACCTGGCAGTCCATTGAGGCAGTGGACGGTGAAGTCCGCAGCTCTGGAAGGCCTGGTTCAGGTCCAGAGGTAGGGTCCTCAGTTCCTCCAGCCGAGAAAACCGCGTCACCTTCAGGACACAGTGTGCATCCATGGATCCCTCCTAATCCTACCACGACACTTAGCACTGCAAGAGAGTCAATAACAGGAATTGCAGGGCTTCCCAGCAGTTGGCTAGTCACCGATGATGGGAGACCCACTTCGCCGAGTACGGCTTCTGTGAGTGAGCAACGCCCCCAGTGTGATCCTTTATTTTTTCCTCGTATCTTTGGTCTCGGATTATTTGACTAATATTACTACCTTGTGATCCCGTAGACGGCTTCCCTTACCACATCATTATCCTCGCCTTCCTCTCCGGACTCACCTTCCTCTGGTGGGCCTGATGGCTCTCCTCAGCCAACTGGCACCAACGGACAACCAGATACGGGTAGAGGCTCCAACCCCTCTGCTACGATAGCACCAGAAAACTCATTGGCGCATATTTCGAGCCCTTACCACGGGCTCGCCGCCATCTGCGGGATCATAGGCTTAGTCGTGCTCTTGTAATCAGATGCAAGAGTTCGTGGCCCCCATTGATCCCAAGAGTTAGGTTTCAAACGTACATTCGAAAAGGATGACACGTATAAGACAATGAATGGATATGATGAACGATATATCAAGGGAATGCTCATTGGAGTTCGGCTCGGTTGGTGGGGGGGGGAGGGGGGTCTCGGGCGTAGAACCCGGTTTATAACGGAGTTGTGTTTTGTTAATTTTTTGGGAGTGAACATCGGCTGACATGTTTTGCATAGTCGCCTTTTTTTTTTTTTTTTCTTTCCCTTCCGCCTCAAAAAAGGCCTCCTAGTTCGGTAGGGTGGAAGGTGTAGTTGTACGGCATTTGGCTTACCACATTTTTATTCTTCTTGACTCTCCTTTTTACAGTCGCATTAGACGAAATAGATGTCAGGGATAGCCTTGACAGATACTTATTAATTTTATGAATGTGTTAAGTTCGTAACAGACTCCTTCATGATTAACAGTGTGGCAGATAGTAAACTGTTATGTAAGTAACCACACTGTTCTTTGCAGTCGCATATGAAGAATTGTACTCCAGACTGCATATATGCATGTCTCATGAGTTTATGGATTGCACTGCTAAGTCATGATCAAGAGGGATATTGGCCAGATGCAACGAGTATCTGATACCTCTCACTCTCATGAAAATAAGGCAAACAGCGCATTAATTCTGACAGGCTCCAAGTTCTCTTTGTTGAATCTCAAAAACTCATCAGCCTCTATAATTATTTCATAGTCTGATAGGAGAAGGCGTTCATTAAGTCTACTGGGCAACTACTATATCACCATGTACGACGATGTGCAACCGGAAATAAGAACCCTCCTGTTGAGTGTTGAGTGGGTTGGTTTTGATCACACTCCATAAGTTTCGCCTTGCATCCACGGCGGCTTCTCTCGCTGTTTTCGAAGAAATCCACCGGAGCCACAGCGCCATTTCGGTTGAAACGGTCAAGTTAAGACATCAGGCCATTTTGGGCAAAGCAAGGGCTCATGCATTTTCTAACGGCAAGTATTCCACAGAATATAGAAAGATTAAGTTGGATTCCTCGAGCATTGCACGGTTGTGGTAGCATAGAAACTGTTGCGTCGCTCCATTTCTATGTGCCACTCTCTACCCCGTGTAGCAGGTAACTAACTAACTAGTTGACTAGCTAAATAGCTATCGCTCGTCACCTCTGCTTCACACAGATACGGTTCGAGCTACCAGCCTACCTCGCCGAAGTTGAAAATAAAAGGATTTCTATACACACTTGTGCTACAAAAGGAACGTTAGTTGTTGAAGCAACAGATTCCTCTTAAGCCATTAATTCTTGCTTTCTCAAAAAGCATTTGCACTCGGTTGCACTATCTATATGCCGGGCGCTATTTGAGAAGCCATTGAAGGACGGCTGAGAGAACCCATGCGCCCAGCTGCGACTGGTGCCACAGATATCATGCGATGTGGAATGATTTTCCCGGCGAGTTGATATAATTTTGGCCTGTTGATTCCCGCCCGAGTGAAATCTGTCTTGATCCTGCAGTGATGAGGTTTCTGAAGTTTGTCTTACCTCTTCAGTGCTGAAAATTCGAAACGATCAAGATCCCCCGACGGAATGGTTAGTTCCAGATTGACTGTGCAATGCTTGACATGCAGGAAGACGGGGGTAAGTGTCTCTTACTCGAATCTTCACTCCTATAACTAGCTTCTTGACATGACAAAAGAAGATGTTCATTATCGAGTTGCCATTACTCACCTATAACATGAAGTACGGGTAGCATGTGCTCAAAGAGTATGTACATACGTACGGAGTACATCCGACAGAAATAAATGCAATCATATACACATCGGCATTAAGAAAATCCAAACCCGTCAAGGGTCGGACGAAAAAGGGAAAGGATACCTAATTGTGAATTACTCCTCCTTTTTCACAAAAACACAATCCAGTCTCTGGCCTGGACTCAAAGTAACATCAAACTTGAACTTTGGATCTGTCCCTGGCTTCGGTGCTCCCACGCCAATGATCTCAGGGTAATGCTGGAGGATCCTGGTGACAGTGTACCCCATCTCAATCGTTGCAAACTGCTGACCCAGACAGATTCTCGGCCCGCCGTTGAACGGAATGAAATGCCATGGCTTTGGCTGCCAGCCCGATACCCAGCGCTCTGGGTGGAACAGGAGTGGATCGAAGTATGGCTGTAAGGTCTTCTCGCCTGGAATAGGTGGTGGCGGGTAGAGATCTCTGCGACGCTGCATGGCCATGGTCGAATACACGATTCGAGTGTCGGCGGGTACACCGATGGTGGATTGGCCGTCTGAGCCTCCACCACGCGGAAGAGTGGTGTCGACGAGGGCGTGGCGAACGTTAAATGGAACGACGGGATAGAGGCGCATGGTTTCATTCAGCACGGCGTTGAGGTATTTCATTTCTTTGAGCTCGGAATACGTGGGCTTGCGGTTGCCGCAGACGGTTTCGATTTCATTGCGGAGTCTCTGCACGACTGCGGGGTGCCGGGAAAGCTCGAAAATGCAGAAAGAGAGTGTGGCTGCTGTGGTGTCACGACCGGCGAGAAGGATGGCGACTAATTGGTCGCGGAGAACGGTTGGGTCACGGGTGAACCGAGCGAGAGCATGAAGGAACGTATCCTTTTTGGAAAGTTTGTGATCAAGCTCCTCGGGAGTGAGGGCACGGACTTGTTCAATGAATGGCTGCATAAAATCGTCCATCTTCTTGAGGTTTTCGTGGAAGAGCTTACGTGACAGAAGTGGACTCAGAGGTCTAAAATGGATGTTAAAACTAGAATGAAGGGCGAATCCTAGAACCGCAGAAGGGACGAAGAACATACCCAGACCTAAAAATAACGGATTGACGATGAAGCACATATTGGAATGATTCCGCGAATGTGGTCTTCGGGTTGTCCAAGCTGTCGACGCTCTGACCCAGAAGATAGTCCGTGGCAGCGTCCAAAGTAAAGCGGAAGAACAACGGGCCAACATCGACGACTTTACTCCCATCTTGATTCGCGCCACCACCAAGCAACGGAATCAACTTGTGGATATGCTTTTCGAAGATTTCAGTGTCAACGATCCGATCTCTCGAGAACATGGGGCGAATCAACTGCCGGGATTTCGACCAAAGCTCGCCGTCCGTGGCAAAAATGCTATCCCCCAGGAAGTCCCTCCACTCTTCGTGAAACCTTCTCCCTTTGCCATAGTCGGCAAATTGGCCAGTGAGCACTGCTTTGATATTGTCCGGATCGATAGTGAAAAGGCTGCGGGAATAGCAGCTAAATTTGACCTCAAAGGTCGAAAGTCGGCCAGGACCGGTATATTTGGGAACCTCGGTCATCTTAGTCCAGAACTCGAGATCCTTCTGCTTGCCGGCAGCCTTCATTGCCCGATAGATGAAATCAGCGCCTGCACTGGACGGTTAGTCTTCCTCGGCGGAACGATATCTCGGACAGGGGGCTACGTACCCAAGGGAAGATAAGTCCTTACACGCGGTGCCTGTGGCCCTAATTTCTGGATGCGCCAATCGATTTTTAAATCCAAGATAAATAGAAAGGTAGCGAACAGGCCCAACGCAATCAGGACTGCCTGTCCAGGCGAGACTGCGGTAACCAATTCTTCAAGCATATTGTCCGACCCGATGTCCCGCTCTAGCTCAGGTCTTGCTTTCCTCCTGTCGGGTAGTCAGGTTCCAAAAACGGTGGCTTTTCAGTATTGCAACATCCACAGAGCTGATACTTGTAGGATGTATATGCAGATATATATATATAGTCTGATCGAGACCGGGTGGTAATGCCACGGACAAGAATGCGCAGACTGTGTATGATCCCACAGCGATTAGGGGAAAAAAAAAAAAAGGAAAAAAAAACGAGTATATGTACGATATAATATGTATATACGAAGGGGACAATATGTATATTCAGAAGTCTCGCGACAAGGCGGTCATCGATGTTTCACGGAGTTTTCGGTTACATCGACGGGCTCCGTTTTTCAGGTTTCAGTGAACGTTTCGGAAGGGATAGGCCAAAACCGAGGAACCGCTGAGCTATGTCAAACGGCCGTGCCTCAATCCCCAGTCAATGAACAAAGGAAACACGAATGTATGTGCAGATACGATGAAGTTCTCTGTATAGAGGAAGCCACCACGGCCTGTATATACAGAGGTCGACGTGGGGTGGCCTGCCAATTTTCCGACGGAGAGGGAAGATGACGTGGGAATAAACGATCACTCCACGGCCAAAAGGATGAAAGAGAGTGAGTGGCTGAGCATTTGGGGGGGGAAAAAGATATAAAAAGTTCAAACAAAGGGCTTCACTATTTATCCTGTCAACTCCACTTTGAGATCAAGATTCACAATGAAAGCAAAGACACCGCTCTCCACATTTTCCGGCGGGATTGTTATACCCCGGCTTCACATGCTTGGATTTCGCTGGCGGGTTGTTCTCTCGACACTTGGAAATTGTGCTGCCTGGGTTCAAGGTTATTAAGCGACTAACCAGCAACTAGTGTTTTGGCGATAAGAGAATCTAATGGCTGCTGCCAGCAGTCGGTTGGCAGTTGGTACGGGGGGAGATGTCAGCTGCTTTTCTGAGACAAAAGCCGTTGGGTTGCCCCGGATTCGGAACAACTTCTGAGCCAGCAACTGGAACACTCTCGGAAGCTGGGCTTTTTAACAAGTTTAATTCCTATGCAGCATTATGGATGCACACAATATGCAAAACATCCCAGTCTCAGAGCTTCAATGGCTTTAGTTATTTCACTCCAAAACTGCGGAGCAACCGGTTTCTTGGCCTATGTTCCGATTACGAAGGCAAATACCGGCCCAATGAAGAGAGCCTCAAAGGGCCTCAGCGTACTCGTATTCGCTGTTGTGACCTCTCCAAACCTCCGCTTCTCCGCCATACTTAGAAATAGGCATGTCTCGACACAAGTTTCTGCGCTTCACGACACTGTGATGTGAGGATAGAACTAGCTGATTGCCTTACATACATTTCGGAGATGAATGTCGCATGAATGCTCGCCGCAATTGACTCCATCATTGTCTAACCCTCGGACACAATCTCATCCAGGTCAGCATCTTACGACTTCCGCGAGATTGAGCCCTCTGGTCAAGTTTGAGGAGGAACACGCAGTTTGAGCTCACAGTTCGCAACTGCCCTCCCGCATAAGGCAATACGTCATCTGCACCATGCTCGCCCCGACCCCCATGTCGATCACCGCTCGCTCCCTCCATTTTCCCAGCCGATGAGACGCCTCCTTGATATCGTCGCGCGCCCGGGGTCCGCTCCAGAGCACCTCCGCTGCCGAGGCTGCTCGTGGCCAGATCATCTGGTCCATGTTCACAGGATCCACGTTCTCTGCCCACATGTGCGTTTCACCCCCTTCGAGCAGCGACTGCAGCTCTTCGGGTATGCCCTCCAGTGGATTGTATGTGTATATGTGTCGCCAGTTCTTAGTGGGAGAGCACCAGTCAAGATATGGCTCCTTGACAGCACCGGATCCCGGCCGAGGGTTGATAAACCCTCCTACTCCGCAGTCAAGATACCAGGCATCCCCTGATCCAAAGATCGTGCGGTAACCTTTCTCCAGGATTTGTCTGACTGCTGTAGAGTTTCGCCAGGCCTGTACAATAATCCCCCGGGTTTCTGATTGTTGCGAAGGGAAAGTAAGGTCCCAGTCGAGAACAAGCTCTTCCCAAACGATTGGTGTCAGTCCAGCTTCCATGATCTGCATATGCACGCGATTAACGAAATCCTGGAGAAGAGGCTTGAGTACTTTTGGGTCATTTGAACGTATGGTCTCCTCGAGCATATAGCTCTGGAGATTGAATTCATCCCCTCCTGTATGGAAATATGCGGTGAATGGAGATACTCGAGGTAAGATATCGGCCATAACGGTATCAAAGAAACGGCGAACAGCCGAATCATTCAGTTTCACCTGACCGCAAGGAGGTTCTAGGGCATATTTATCCCAGCTGTCGTTACCGAAAGCCACAAGTAGGTCTGGAAACGCATGCCCTATGGATCCTGTGTGGCCAGGCATGTCAATTTCGATGAAAGTAGAGACTCCCCTTGCTAACCCGTATTTTTGCACGTTTCGTAGATCAGACGATGACCAGACAAGTCTAGGATGATATGCAGCCTTAGCCGCCAATGACGGCAGCGACGGAATATCCAGAGGCCACGATTGGGAATCAGTGGCATGGATGTGCAGCCGGTTCAGCTTTACCGATGCCATGGCATCAATTGTCCTTTTCACATCATTAGGGCCGATAGGATTTCGTGAGATATCGAGGTTTAGACCTCGGTGGCTCCATTTTGGTTTGTCTGAGATTGAAATTGGGGCATACGGTGTATATACGCCACCAAACGAATGGGCATAGAACAGTTGTGGAAGAGTTTGAAGCGCGCGGAGGGTTCCAATTGGAGACGCTGTCAAAATCGTCGCCTTGCCTTTCTTAGTGATCCTGATTTCATAGCTTTCGTCTCCGCTTATATAGTCACGACTTAAAATCTCATCGTCTGAGGGCGCCTCTTCGATCAAAATCTCTTTGATCGCTTCCTCTCGCCTCAGAGACCGTAGCTCGAACGATTGATTACGAGGATGAAATTTCCAAGGTACAAATCTGGTACGCCGAAGCTCCTTTCTGGTGCGCTTTATGGCTTTCTTGAGGATATCATCGACCGACTTCTCTGAATTTGGGTGGAGATTCCCAATACCGAACCATTGCGGTTCTAGCATTCTCATTAGACGGCCATAGTCCATGCTGGCAGTGAAATAGCTCCCACCCTCATCATAGACCCTGAACTCCCCACGTTGATAGGTAAAGCGAACTGACGGATCCAGCAATACCACAGTGTCTCCGTGCGTATAGTGGGCAGGTTCTGGCCAAATCGCAGAGACGAAGCTACCAGCTGTAAGGAGAAAGTAAGATACAACTAGGAATCGCATTTTGGTGGTGATGAACGACGCAATGATTTTGATTCAGATATCTTGGATTATTAACATGCAAGGCCATCTTACCTCTGCTAGCGATGTAGGTTGAGGTCGAGCGACGTCTGGCTACATGGCGTGTACACACTTACGCACGTGCTGAGGAGCTGCTCGTAGTGAGATGTCGCAGAGAAGGTGCAAACAACAAAACAAACAGGCGACGATCCGCTGATAAGATAGCAATGGGCACCAGCCACAAACACACGATTGACTCAGCACCTGCTTAGTAATATTATGTGTGTGCTGTGGCTAGGGTGTGGTGTGGCTGTCGCAGTCTTTGAGCAAGCAGAAGCAACCTGCAACAGAGCTTCGCCTTCAAGCTCGCTGCTTCATCTCAACAGACGTTCATTTGAGATGGTGGGAGGTTGATACTTGTATTCCCTACTATCACCAAAGCGCTAGTCATTTCCTTTCTGTACATCAAAGCCTTTGTCAAGATCTCTCGTCCAGCGCACGTTTTAATACCGTCTTCTGCCCGATCGCCACTGAATAACGGGCTCTTTCACCGATCGCATTTTGCACGATACCCGCATCATGGCAATCTCAGTCGAGTTGAATACGCCTCTAGCTCAGGCTCTCAATGAAGTTATACAACCCAAGTTGGTGGAGGTTGGGTGGAGTACGGGTGGTGGAGATGATTCGGCGCTGGCCGAGTATGTCATTTTGATGCTGGTAAACGGCAAAACACAGGAACAGATCGCGTCGGAATTGGCAAACGACCTCCTCGGCCTTGGGCCCGATGACACGGAAGCTGTTGACTTTTCGAGATGGCTGTTCGAACAAGTCGAGCTGTTAAACAAGCGGTTAAACGGTGAACTGGCCGAGCCAGAGCCAGAGAATGCAGCGCAGGCTATTCCATCATTTACCGAAGGGAGCGATGATGCTGCCGCACCTGCCAGTGCGCCTCTTAAGTTTGATGCCGAGATGACTGATTCTCCTTTACAACCTCGAGAGGGCGGACTGTGAGTTTATCCCTGCTTTTAATGTCTGCGATGTCACGGGACTGATGTTTCTTGTCTTATTAGACCAAGCGGTCCCAGAAATATGCGAAATCCTAAACAGAACGGAAGAGGACGGCTTTTAGGCCAAATAACGAGGGCCATGGACCGATCAAGCGAGTCCGTCCTACATCGGGTCCGAAATCAAAGCGGCGCCGAAAGAATAAATATGCATCGGGAACCGCCAAGGGGTCCTAGAGCCTTTCAAGCAAGGGGTGGTCGCTCCGGAGGGGGCAGGCAGGCCGGCGGAATGGGGATGAACATGGGAATGGGTGCTATGGGAATGGGAAATAACCCAATGCAGAATATGCCTCCCGGGTCCAATATGATGACGCCCCAACAACAAATGCAAATGATGGCCTTATTTGAAGAGCAGGCTCGAATGATGGCACAGTTTATGCCCGGGTTCGTTCCGCCAGCCATAAACCCCGCTTTTCAAACCGCGCAAGGAATTCAGAATCAGGGGCGATCATTATTTGAGCGCGCGGAACATCACAAGGATAGAAATCCTCACTTCCAAAGACATCATCAGAATGGCCGGCAGCATAACCAGGGCACCAACATGGATGTAGACGGTGGCCCAAAAGAAAGTACGGACACTCAAATGGAAGAAGCACCGCAAAGCGAGTCGCAGGATCGAGGAACGGAAGGTGTTTGCCGCTACAACCTGAGGTGTACGAATAAAGATTGCCCTTATGCCCACCAGTCGCCGGCGGCGCCGGAAGGTACTACAATTGATGTCTCTGATGTCTGCCCGTTTGGAGCTGCATGCAAGAACCGAAAGTGTGTTGCTCGGCATCCTTCTCCAGCACAGAAAGCAATGCACCAGTCGGAAGAGCTCTGCAAGTACTTCCCGCACTGTCAGAATCCTCACTGCCAATTCAAGCATCCGTCTATGCCTCTGTGTCGGAATGGAGCCGACTGCTCTGTTCCCGGCTGCAAATTCACCCATCAGCAAATACCGTGTCGGTATAAGCCATGCCTAAATCCCACATGTCCTTTCAAACACTCTGAAGGGCAGAAAGGAGTCTTCTCGGACAAAGTTTGGACCGCTGAAAGGAAAGATGCCCCTCATGTTAGTGAGCGCAAATTCGTAGCAGATGAAGCCGGGGAAGAGGAGTTGATCAAACCACCACCCTCGTCCAGCGAGGCTGAGATTGTTACCTAAAAGCATGGAGTCTTCCCTTATCCCGAAAGCACTAGGCTTCGATGTTGGTGAGATTTGCGGATATTCCCTTAAGACAGGCCCTTTGTGCCGATAATTTCCCTTGTGTTACTTGGTCTTTATTTTCTTTTGGCATGAATAATGGCGTTCATTCGGATGACTGGCCAAACTGGGATCCAGGGGAACGGGAAATGTTCATAAAGTTCTTATTCTACAGCGCTCGTTCTACGGTCAATTGTTAGATACTAAGAAATGTACAGTTTGGGATTTGAACATTTACACCGCTGGCTTCCTTTATCATTGTTAGGGTACTCCGTATTCAAGAATAATATTCAGAAACGCGGATTATTGCCACATATTATAGTTAAAAAACAAACCCGCATTGCAAATGGCGATCGGAACCTCGGTGATCCGTTCATCGGGGAATGGCGACCATGGATTGCTAGTGTGCGATGCCCCCGTAAATACATCGAAGTATTTTATCCATTGAACAGAATATCCAATTGATATCTAATGAACTTGCGTTCATTGCGGCATAATCTCTTTCTCCTTGAATCAATCGATTTGGCTGCCCTGCAATGCGTTCGCGATGTTCGTCCGCCCATGCAGTTGAAGAGCTATGGACGCTTGCTCAAGCACACAGGTTTTCCACCAGGCCACGCGTTGTATTTTCGAAGCACTTAAGGAACCGAACTCGACTTAATTTCTCATCCACAGCTAGCAATGACACAAGAAATGTCGCAGTAATCGGTGGCGGCATTACCGGCCTTGCAACTGCTTATCATCTTGCAAAAGACCAATCGACTAAAGTCACGATCTGGGAGCGCTCAGATCGTCTAGGCGGATGGCTGGATTCTGAGAGGATCAACGTCAATATTGGTGGAGATGTGCTTTTCGACTATGGACCTCGCACCCTCCGTGCGACGGCGAGTGCGTTTTCCACTCTCGAACTGGTGGGCATTTACCTGACTTGTTACAGGCTTATATGGTTGCACAGAAAGCTGATTTAAGTTCTGATGATATATAGATAAACGAGTTCGGTCTCGAAAAGCAGATCCTTCGTACGGGCATTCATGACGCTGCTTCGCGCAACCGCTACATTTATTACCCAGACCACCTTGTCCGCCTACCAGGACCGCAACCCGGGGCCGGCCTGCTCGTAAACCTCATCTCCAATGCTATAGGCGTATTTACGGAACCGGCGTTGAAGAGCTTACCATGGGCGCTGGCGACCGAGCCCTTGAGACCCTCTCGTCCCAAAGATCTTGATGACGAATCCGTGGGAGATTTCGTAGCTAGGAGATTGGGGAAAGACGTTGCTGATAATATAGTTTCCGCTGTCTTTCATGGTATCTATGCTGGTGATATATATAAGCTCAGTGTCAAGACAATATTACCCCGTATTTGGGAGTATGAAATATCGAGGCGTGGCATCTTTGGGTCGTTGCTCAACACTAAGAGGACGCTACATCTCCCGTACGATCTTTACCACGAGGGAAAAATAATCAGGGAAGAGAAAGGAAAAGAATTTCTTAGTAAAATCGGCTCCTACATCTCTGGTGCTAGTGTCTTTGCCTTGAAAGGGGGGATGGGACAGCTGGTCGAAGCCTTGGATACGTCGCTTTCCAACTCTCCAAACGTTGAGATAATTACGGGTTCAAGTGTCGATCACATAGAGCGGCGTGATACTCAATGGCGGGTAAGTGTGAGCAGTTATAGTGTTCAAGACTACACGTATGCTAAACATACTTTACCCTAGATTGGAGCGAAGGACTACAATTGTGTCGTCTCGACTACTTCGTCTGCTGAGCTCCGCCGACAAATAGCTCCCATTCTGACAAATACTGGAGCCCTCGTGGCGCTTGAAAGTCATAATTACGCCGTTAACGTAATGGTTGTCAATTTCTTCTTCAGGTCTCCAAACCTGGTGCCCGTCCACGGTTTCGGTTACCTGATTCCTCGTTCTATACCCCTGGAACAAAACCCTGAACGTGCCTTGGGTGTTGTGTTTATGTCCGATTCCAACGTCGGTCAAGACACAGCACGGGGTACTAAGCTCACCGTTATGATAGGAGGCCACTGGTGGGACGGGTGGAGAGACGGGGATTTTCCCGATGAGCGGTCGGGAATTCAAATGGCCAAAGCAGTGCTGAAGCGTCATCTACATATTAATGAGGAGCCGATTGTTGCCAAGGCGAAACTGCTGAAAAATGCAATTCCGCAGTATACGGTTGGACATACTGCTCGGATGAAGGACCTGCATTTTTCACTTTCACACGTGGCCCCGGGGATAAGGCTGGCTGGAGCATGGTACACTGGGGTTGGAGTTAACGATTGCACACGAGCTGCAAGGTTGACAGCCCACTCAATCCTTTCAGGTAAACGTGAAGAGACGGGGTTAGAAAAATATCTTGATGAAAATGTAGCAGGTTACGAATTGCCTCTTGGGAGCTCGGGCTAAAGGATCCGGCGTATTTCACCTTGGCTTATAGATAAAACTTAGGATAAAAGAATATGTTATGGATTGAGAATCTCTCGAACCATAGATCCAAGGTGATCAAGCTATCTCCACTCATAGGTGGTTGTGTTTTAGACCCTTTCAATATCAAGGTTTGTCGTCATAGGATTCACTGACAGGGCATTTTATACTCCATGGGAAACGCCAGGCCACTTGCCAGCTTCGGTCTCACTCAATAAGCAAGTGTGTCTCCCATAAATCGGCCGTACACTTCATATTTCTGGATTGACAGTCCCGAACCACCGACCGAATCCTTGCTTATGTGTTCATACCCTATACGGCCCTCGCAAATCATCTTACCGGTGTAGGATCATTATTCATATGTGTCATGTGTCGTTACCACTTTGCCGCAGGAAGCAAATTCGCCCTGGAACGTCTGGCGGTCTTCACACTGCATCTCCCTGCTCCTTCGTAGTGGTAGGTCCCTTTACCTTCTTCTCCCCCTCCGAATCAAAACCCAAGGCGTCCAACTGACGAATCAACTCTTTGATCCGGATAACTTTCTCGAATTGTTCAGGAAGTAAATTCTCCCCGTTATCCTTTTTGTCGCGAAGTTCCCGAGCCTGCTTGAGTTTCTTTTTCAAATTCCGCGCTTTCTTTTCCCTCTCCACTTCTGGATCTACAGAAGCCTCGGCCTCCTGGCCTCCGGGAGGTCCGTTACGCCAGTTTCCTTGTGCCATAATTCCGCCGTTGGCTTTGTTATCCTCAGCTCCGTTGCTCATTGCCTCATTGGTGGACTTTGCTTTCTTCTTGGCTTCACGTCTCTTTGCGTTTTTGGCGCTTGCTGCCGTGGATGGCTTAGAATCGCCGTCTTTCAGCCCTTCCGCGCCTGGAACACCGGCTTTAATGCGACTCTTCCATGATTCAGTTGCTTTGTTTTTGTAGAGTTCGACGTCCTCCGGTGGTCGATATCCGGGTCGGATGCGGATCTCGCGACGAACAGATCCATCAGCTCGAATGGAAGAGGGGACATGGCGCTCACCCGTTGCAGTGTTGGTGGTGATTCCAGAAGAGGAGACACCGGGTTTGGTTGACATGATGGTGCAGCCTTTTCTCCAAGGCAAGCTGGGTAACTAGAGGTGCTGAGAGCTGCTGCTTGTGATTGTTGGAATGGAAAAGAAGAAGCAATAGCTAGATCACAGTGACTAAAAAGGATACCATAATAACATGTTGTTGAGAACAGGTTTCACCTTCTTTCGTCACAAGGGCGATTGTCCGTCTCGTCCTATGTGAGTGAGTTAGTCTGGACTGTCTCTTGGAGGGATGTCTGGGCCCAGCCAATCAGAACACAGCAAATTCCCGATTCCGTGATTTCTCGATCAACCAGCTTTCTCCTCCAACATCACTCTGTGAGGACAGGCGTTAACTCTCAAGCAGCTCCCTCTGCCATTATTGTTGCACTGGAATCCAGAGTATTCTTCAGATACTGCGATCTACCTTCACAATGGCTGGAGTAAGTCCCTTCATTTGATCCCTTTGAGCGTCCAGAGGAAGCTAATTGCCTTTCCACCGGGCAGATTTCCTCCGCAATCTACAAGTAAGGAACCGCGCCCCTTCGTTCTCTAGAGAGAATTGGACAGAACTCATAGCTCCCCTAGTACCCTTATCCGACGCAATGCCGTCTTCCTGAGCACGATATTCGTCGGCGCGTTTGCATTCGAGATGTACGTCCCCCTCCATCTTACCAAATAATGCATAACTCGCAATTCGGATAACTCACATACTATTCTACAGTGCCTTCGATACCGTCAGCAACAGAGTCTGGGACACTATCAACAAGGGTGTATGTGCCGGTCCTTCCCTCTTTTGTTTTCTACGCGATAATCGACTAACTCGAGGTACAGCGACAATGGAAGGACATTAAACACAGATATATCAACAAGGAGGAAGAATAAATATCTGCCGGGATTATCTTAAAATAATTTTTGAAGCTTCAAAGCAGACCACTTGTACAGATACAAATTAGCATGGCCGAATAGAGAGATATTTCTTTGTTGTTTTGTGTTGGGACACAACATGGCACTGCCAACTATCCTTCAGGCATCTTAGGGTTTTGCTGGCTGATGAATTCTGAATCTGTGGCTAGCGGCTATTGCCCGTGGCCTACTTTTGCCTTGGGATTTCGGTCCAAGTCCATCCTAAGCCAGACTGTTGTGGCTGTATCTCATTTCGCCTTAAGATTACACCAGGACTATCTGATTTTGGAAGTGCGCCCGAAATCTGACACTTGTTGATACAAAGCTAATATTAAGTGAATGAAATTGTGCAGAATGTAGTGGTTTTTAGTGAAGTTTCCTGTGGGAAGTAGTGATTGTGCATGTCCAATATCCGTTAAAGCTATTGACTAAGATCACTTTTGCTCTTCGAAAGCTCCCACCAGATAGACTCGTCATCTTCTCCTAGTTTGAATTTATTTCCTGACCTTGCTTATTTCTGTTCATCATTGTATTGTCTGAGGCCAATGTGATGATATCTGCTCGGAGCATCTACCTTGTTCTTTAAATACATATTTATCGAACTCCACATCAACCCAACCCACCCCGCGACACCAGACAAACGGTTCTCCAACCGCCAGTACTTCCACCACTATATACCACTGACTTAAACCCTCGGTAACCATCTCATGCCGAATGAATGAGCGAATGGCCGGCCCACCTCCAAGATGAAGCCATCAGAGCTCGAGTTAACGCTTGGGCGAGCGTTGCTCTCGCATCCCCAGAAGTACGAGTACCGCTACAACGAAGACGCAGAACATGACCTTCTACAACTCCTTTTCCGGTCTTTAGCGGGTTTCAACGATGAATATTTACGTATCCTATTCCCCGATGGTAATCCGAGCGATTACTGGCAGCTATCCGCAGCCCAAGGCATGGTCGAAGGGGCAGAATATACTGAAGCGGCGCGTGGCAAACGATGCGGGCATGTATTCAAGGTGGGAGAAGCGTCATATCGATGCATGACGTGTTCTACCGACGATACATGCGCTTTATGTGCCCGGTGCTTTGACGCTTCGGATCACACTGGCCATAAGTACCACGTTTTCGTCTCCGGGGGCCATTCTGGGTGCTGCGACTGTGGAGATGAGGAGGCTTTCAGGCTCCCTGTGAACTGTGCTATCCATACGGACCTAGATGGGAAAGCAAACAAGGGTAAAACATCGTCGCAGCTCCCCGCAGATTTTCTCGACAGTATAAGAACCACGATTGCTAGAGTATTCGATTATTTCTGTGATGTTATATCGTGCTCTCCAGAGCAACTCCGGCTCCCCAAAACGGAGGATAATATTCGGCAGGATGAAGTTGCTTCACGATTATCTTGTGAATGGTATGGTGGTGAAGATCTCGAAGAAGAAAGCCCCGAGTTCGCCGTTGTATTATGGAACGACGAAAAGCACACGATCCGTGAAGTTACCCAGCAAGTTGCTCGGGCTTGTCGTGAGAGTTCTCAGTTTGGCCTAGACCGAGCGAATGAAACAAATGATTATGGAAGGAGTGTCGTAAAGTATTCAAAGGACCTATCTAGCCTACTTCGCGTTTCCGGGGTCATCGAGCAGATCAGGGTGACGGTAACCGTCAGATCGTCTAGAGATACCTATCGAGAACAAATGTGCGGTACGATTATTGAATGGTTCTCTGACATCGCTGGCTGCCAAGTCGGTGGTGATAATGAGGTTCTGAGGCGGACAATTTGTGAGGAAATGCTGAGTCTCTGGCGACCCGGTAGCCGCGCATCTAACGTTGATATTGGCATGAACGGTATTGATGACCACTCACGTGAGGAAGGGAGAAGTATTCGAGTTAGGGTAGGGATTACCGCACAAGGGCAGGTGATTTTTGGACGTGACCTACCGCTGGATATTGATGATGACGAAGAAAATGAAGATGAAATACGTGAAGCTGTTGATGTGGAAGGTGGAGTTGAAGTTGACGTGGATGAGGACGAGGACGAGGATGAAGATGCCGACGACGTCGACATGGATGCAGCTTTGGACCTGGCGGACTCGTATGCGGACGATCTTGTAGAGGCTATACTTGCAGCCAGGACCGAAGCGAGAGAAGACTCAGATGTCGAAATGGGCACCGAAGACGGCCTGGAGGCCGGTGAAGCCACACTGGCTGGGTACCCTCAACCACCACCACCGCCCCCGCCGCCTCGTACTCGAGAAGAAGAACGGGTAGCTGAACAAATGGCAGCTATTCTTGTTAACCCAGGTGCTTACACAGGTTGGCCGGAGTCAAGGCTGCCAATTGGAAGAAATGAGGACGGTGGAGAGGATAGGGAAAACGATGAGCAGGAAGGAAGCCAAGCGCAGGGAGGAAATCGAGGCCCGCTCGGTGCAAACAATATCAAAATTCCTAAAACCCCCGGATTACGGACCAAAAGGTCTTCAAAGGCGGCGCCATACTGGGAAGTCAAGCCTGCACGCTATCATGAGCATGGATACCTTGCGTACGAAGATCTTCGGAAGAGAACGAGACTCGACTGGCTGATTTTGTATGATCTACGGCTTTGGAAGAAGGCGCGCATAGATGCTAGAGAGCTGTGCTTGGGCACTATCGTCAATATTCCCGAATTCAAACGGATTCTTGGACTTCGGTTTTCTGCCTTGTATACAGCATTGGCCCAACTGTATCTGATTGCGGATCGAGAGCCGGACCATTCCATTATTCATTTATCACTACAGCTTTTGACCACTCCATCCATCACGGAGGAGATCGTTGAGCGCGGAAACTTCTTTACTAACATCATGGCAATCATTTACACCTTCCTCACCACTCGACAGGTTGGTGAAGCCCGGGATGTGAACCCGTCTGTAACACTTGCAATGGATTCCGGCTCAATGACTAACCGGCGATTGTATCACTTTTTCCTCGATTTGCGTTATCTTCTCTCTTCGGAACATGTCCAGAGCCGGATTCGTTTAGAACGACGATATCTTCTGCAATTCCTTGATCTCGTTAAACTTCCTCAGGGCATCTGCCCGAATGTCCGAGCCGTTGGAGAGCATGTGGAATATGAGACAGATTCCTGGATCAGCGCCTCGCTCTTGATGAAAGAAATTAACAGGCTCTGCCGACTTTTCTGCGAGGCTTTTCAACCAGACAGACTCAAAGAAGGCCAGTGTCATCTTGCAGAAGCTATCATCGCTGCTAGTGTTTCTACAATGGTGAATTCTGTTGGTATCGAAAGGAAAAGGTTTGACCAAGCTGAGATTAAAGAGCTGGTTCATTTCAAATCGGTTCCCTATGTTGAATTCGAAATTGATGCTCTCAACAAAGTGGCACGGCACCGGATTGTGGATTTTGTTGTTGAGCGTGGCTCAATGAGTTTTCACCATCCACTCCACTATACCCTCTCCTGGTTATTAGAATGTGGCAGGACCATGCCCTCGGAAACTGTGAGAGACCTGCTTTTACGAGCAGCCGAAATTTCGAAGCATAAATTCTCTAAAGCACTGGCTCAGTCATTTGATAACGAAGATATTATGCTTGCGATGTTCGACTATCCATTGAGAGTTTGTGCATGGCTTGCCCAGTTGAAAGCTGGTATGTGGGTAAGAAACGGCTTGAGTCTTCGTCATCAAATGGGTCAATATCGATCACTCATGTCTCGTGATGTGTCATACTACCGGAATATTTTTATGATACAGGTTGCAATGGTTGTTTGTGATCCGAGCCGTGTTTTAGCTACAGTTTCCGATCGATACGGGATTACGGACTGGGTGAAAGGAGGTTATGTCGTCCGTCCGGGTTACGACGACCCACAACATATCGACGTTGCTGAAGAATTTATCCATCTGTTGATAATGCTGGTCTCTGAACGGACATCACTGATACCACTTGAGGATGAAGCCACTATCCAACGCGATATAATCAAAAGAGATATTGCCCATGCACTGTGCTTCAAGCCGCTCTCATACACGGACTTGGTGAATCGCGTGAGCGAAAAGGTGTCAGATTCAGACGACTTTCCTGACGCGCTTGAGGAGGTTGCGACTTTCCGAGCGCCGGATGGCTTGAATGACACGGGCATTTTCGAGTTGAAACAAGATTATGTCGACTTCATAGACCCGTATGCTGCACACTACAGCAAAAATCAGCGAGACGAGGCCGAAAATATTTTCAAGCAATGGATGGCGAAGAAAACTGGGAAAAAGCCAGCTGACGTTGTTTTTGAGCCGAAACTGAAGCCAATTTCTAACGGTCTTTTTGCAGATCTTAGCCATTTCACTCAGACACCTCTATTTGCGCAGATTATACATCAGTGTCTCGAGTATTGCTTGATGTTTAAGATTTGTACGCCGGGTGTTACAGCAACTAGAGTTGAAGCGCTGCTTCATATGGTTCTGCATCTACTGCTCTTAGCGGTTATGGAGGACACCGCTGGCGAAGATGACAGTTCCGCAGAGAATGCAACTAAGTCATTCACTTCACACGCCCTATGCAGGATGAAGTCTACACAACTTGGCGAGCTGACTATTGTTGGCTTGCTCCAACATGTATCCACTGTGCCTGAATTTGAGTCCTGCGGATCAAAAATCTGTCACATTCTTAAACGACTCTGGCAAAAACGTCCTAAAACCTATGCTGTGGCAACGGAGGGTCTTAAGTTTCCCTACGACAAAATCGAATCCGAGTCACCTGCCCCTGGTGTGGAAAACGAACTGGACTTGAAAAAGAAACGCGCACTTGATAGGCAAGCAAAGATAATGGCCCAGTTCCAGCAGCAACAACAGAACTTTCTGAGTAACCAGGGTGAAATTGATTGGGGGGAAGAAGATTTTAGTGCGGATGAAAAAGCATCAGTACGAAGTCCTACGGAGAAGAAATTGTGGAAATATCCTGCAGGAAACTGTATTTTCTGTCAGGAAGAAACCAACGACTCGAGGTTGTACGGCACATTTGCCTTGATGATAGACAGTATGATGTTCAGGCAGACGGATGAATGCGCGCAAAATTCAGTTGGAGAAGTTATGGATTGTCCATGCAGCCTGGACAGATCAGCCGATGCCATTCGACCTTTTGGCATAGCCGGTCAGAATCGCGAGCAGGTACGTCGTCTAGATTCGACTGGTGGAGAAGTCATTTCGGAGAAGCAGGGCCTCGGTGAAGGATTCCCTCGATCCCATGTAGCCAGGGCACCCATTATGACTGGTTGTGGACATATCATGCATTACACCTGCTTTGAGACCTATTGCAACACAACTTACAGGCGTCATAGCCATCAAGTTGCTCGCAACCATCCAGAGCGGCTGATGCTGAAAGAATTTGTGTGCCCCCTTTGTAAAGCACTTGGCAATGCTTTCCTGCCGATTATTTGGAAAGGTAAAGAAGAGTCATATCCAAGTGTTTTAGTCACGAGCGAAGCATTTGATGAATTTTTGGACGGGAAACTTATCCAGGCCGCCTCTCGGTTCCGGAACCACGCCCTGATCATGGAAAGTGACAAGCTTCACACATCTGGTTATCAAAACTTCTTTGTTGATTATGTGTCCAAGAATGTCATCTCCCCGCTGTCAAACAAAGTGGAACAACTGGTTACGCCTTCCCTCCCGTCATTGACATTTGGGCCACCCGCTCCAAGAATGCCAATGCCTGGGCTATTTCCTCCTGGAGAGGATGGGTCTATTTTGAACTCTCTACATCAAGTTCCCGGCATACAGGATTCTGCAGTTTCTGAACTGATGACTGTTTACAAAAGACTGCGAATGACTATGCAGTGTAATGCAATGCCGTCTCGCTTCGGTTATCAGCAAAATACCGTTACACCGGACGACTTGATCCGCACAGATACCTTGATTAAAACATTTGGAGCATCGATATCGGCTGTAGAGATATCTCAGCGTGGCGTGGGATGTGAACCTGGCGCGACTCTGCTTGATACCATTCCTCGGATGACGTTGACTCACCTACGCATTCTATCTGAGACGGCACTCTCCTACGCCGCTATAGGAGGCCTGCAAAACTCGATGGCAAATAAAACGGTCTACGAATTCCGTGATATGCATCGTCGGAAGTTGTGTCAGCTATTCCTTGGGCACCGTGGAATTTCTGGGCTTGCCAGTCTTGCCAATGAAAACAAAAACATTGAGCCATTATTCGCGATGGACACGTTTGTCTTCCTTGCGGAGTGTTCACTATGTCTAGTCCCAGTCCTTAATATTGATATCCATCACGTCGTTCGTATCTGCTATGTCGCCGAAATCATTAAAGTTGTGCTCAGTTTTATTCTTCGTCCTGAAGGGCTGGTAGCACAGTTGAACTGTTCCATGCTCCTAATGGTCGATGAAGCAAAAGAAGAAGCCTTGACGCAGGGACCAGATTTCATCAGGGGCTTTTTCGACTGGATTGTTGCGACATACCGAGCTTCAGCTTTACGGGAAACTCGAAATCCCGGCGCCCTTAACTTCGACGATCCTTCCCCATATATATTGAGGGTACTTGCGAAAGTTGCGGCCAAATACGCCCTTCCATTCCTGCGAAAGGTTGCCATTTTGCTCCACGTGCAATATGGTGTTGAGTTTCCCAACACTGGGGTCGATTGCGCCGATCTATCAGAAATTGATCGATTGACGAGTCTTCTACGGCTGCCCACTGTTGAAGAGATATTTGCTTCTTTTTCGGGAGATCCTCGCGAGAATCCCCTGGATTCATTGGCCTCCGGGTGGATAGCTCACTGGAATACGTCGAGACCAAAGGGGGAAGGCCGTCGTCCGGAGGGACCGCCGCTATCTCACCCAGCGATATATGAGCTAGTAGGATTACCAAAGTACTATGATACTTTGTTCGACGAGGCCAATCAGAGACGGTGCCCCACGACCGGAAAGGAATTAACCGATCCTTGCCTGTGCCTGTTCTGCAGCGAAATATTTTGCGGTCAGGCCACCTGCTGCATGGACGAGTCAAAGATCGGTGGATGTAATCGACACGTGGAAAAGTAAGCTGTGTTTTCTAATTGGCATTTAAAGGATTTACCAAGTTACTAACAAATATGCGACTCAATCATAGGTGCGGCAAGAATGTCGGTGTATTCATTAACATCCGCAAGTGCGCCGTGCTCTTCCTGCATAATAGGCACGGCTGCTTCCACGTTGCACCGTATCTTGACATTCACGGCGAGGTGGATCTGGGTTTTAGGCACCACAGACCGCTTATCTTGAACCAGAAGCGTTATGATCGGCTTATTCGTGATGTTTGGCTGACCAATGGAATCCCAGCTACTGTCAGTCGAAAGATGGAATCAGAAACCAACACGGGTGGATGGGAGACTCAGTAAGGCATGAGAAAAGTGTTTGGCGATAAGAAATTTCCTTTGCATGCTTCGCATGGAGATTTATTTTAGCATAGGAATAACTATGGGTTATACATGATGCGTGCGTTGAAATGCAGCACCATGTCCGGAGTATTGTCTCTCATGATACATTTTCTATGGATGTACGAATGTATTACGGTGTTTACAGCGGGGCCTGTCTATGGTATGCTTCATTGTTAAGACTAGGCAAGGCAAAATTATGCCAACTAGCTCTGTTAATGGAATGATTTCTCTGTTCAAAATTCTACAAAAGCGAGGCAGATATCCATGATGTAAAGACGGGATTTTGTTGTTCCGAACCGGTTTCGATTGAGGTCGGACCTACTCCGTAGTGGACCTAATGGGAAGCTCGACGGCTTGTTGGCATGCGATGTGCTTTGCTAAAACCACGCTCAAGCTGACCCAAGGCCATGAATAACGAACAGTTTAGGCGGCTATTATTTGATAACCCGCCACCGTCCTCGGCGAATAAATTATCGCCGCGGCGTGACAAGGATGGAGATACCAGCGGAAGTACGCCCAAGGCCGCAGTGCTTGGGTCGAGGATGCGTTCGAGCATTCCCATGACGCCGTATGTCCCTCACATTCGCTTTGTTTCATTTTGCTTCGGGTCGTACCCGCCAGACGGCGCTAACTTAAGCATTATTCAGCCGCGCCGTTACCAGCGCGAACTTTGCCCGCCAACTCGCCGAATTCCGACGGGAAAGCCAGCCGCCACCAGCGAAGAAATTCAAGTCCTCTGCGCCAAAAGGCACGCGATACTCCGGTGGCTACGTAGATCGCACTCTGCTGCGGCGACAGGCCGAGGAAGGAGATGAGGATGCAGCAGATCGTGATTCCCGCGCGAAGAGAGTGAAGGCGCTGGAGGATATGGTGAAGCTAGGGCAGATTGATCAAGCTACGTTTGAGAAGTTGAGAGGGGAAATAGGGCTTGGCGGTGATTCTAGTAGTACACATCGGGTCAAAGGCCTAGACTGGAAATTGTTGCAAAGAGTGAAGGCGGGTGAGGATGTTGATGTGCTTGCCGCGGCTGCCCCAGACGAGACTCGCGAGGACGATGGAGCCGGAGCGGACGATGAGTTTGAACGAGTCCTCGAAGAGAAGGAAAAGGATGTTGTGCAGGCTGCAAAGAAAGAAGAGAAGGTGAAGAAAGGCACTATGGCCCCGCCGCCACGGAAAATGACGAGGGATGAAATTCTGAAGCAGTTGAAAGCTAGTCGGGCTGCCGGCACACCAATTTCGTTAGCACAAGAACCTCCAGCGTTATCACTTGGAGCGAAGTTTAAGAAGATTGGAACAAGTGATCAGAAAAAGCGGTGGATCGAAACCGACGAGAATGGCCGGCGGAAGGAAATTTTGCTCGTTACCGACTCAGAGGGAAAAGCCAAAAGAAAAGTGCGGTGGTTGGATAAACCTGATGGGAATAAGGGTGACTTGTTGGTAGTGGATAAGGACGCAAAGCCGCTGGGCATGGATGTCCCAGCAGAAGTTCTTGCACGCGCCAACGCTGTTGAAGAGAACGATGACGACGGCGATATTTTTGAGGGGATTGGAGCGGATTATAACCCTCTTGCGGATATCGGCGATGACGACTCATCCTCGGCAAGCGAGGGGGAGACAGAAGCAGAGCAGCCTTTGAAGGATAAAGCCCCGCGAGAGACAGAACAGCAGAACGAAGGCCCAACTAAACCGTCTGCTTCTCGAAATTACTTTGCTACTGGTACTACGACTGAAATACCTGAAACAACATCCACCAGTCCACTATCCTCAGACCCTACGATTCTCGCTGCCCTCAAACGTGCAGCGGCGATTCGGCGCAACTCCCCTGCCCCCGAAGGTACTGAGGAAGAGGAAGAAGCAGACGAGCAGGTTATATTACGACGAAAGAAGTTTTTGGAGGAAGCGAGACGGCGCGAGAGGGAAGATGCTATGGATCTCGACATGGGATTCGGGGAGAGCAGATTCGGGGATGAGGAAGACGAAGAGGTCTGGGAGGAGCGTGACGGGGGAAATAAAAGAAAGCGAGGACCGAAAAAGAGGAAAGGGAACAAGGATAGCGCGAGCGATGTGATGAAGGTGTTGGAAGGGAGGAAGAAAAGCGCTGGGGGAACGTGACCGTGTCGGGTTTGGTGATTTCTTTCGATCGAACGACGTTTCGAGAACTCTTCGGCAAGTCCAACATCCGAAGGTGTACTCCATACGGAGCACCTATCGATACACATATTCCTAGCTAAAAGCAACAAAACCATGTATCTCAGCATAGGTGGTAGACAATGCTGCGAGCGTCCTGGACTAGCTCAGAAAGTCTCCAATCGCAGCCGGTGTATGGTTTCCTTGCCACAAAGCAACAACGATACGCATGTGGGTCCTTGAGAGCACCAGTGTCGATCGGGCAGCTGTCGTTTCGCCGTAGGAATAGGAAAAATGGATCGCAAAATTCTGTACGGAATACGGAGTACTCCGTAGTTCAAAAAGGCCACTCGGGGCTGCAAAATAGGAACCGACTGGGCGATCTCCACCGCACGGAGCCGCTTCGAGAGCCCGCCTCCTGAAGACTCCCGCGACTACTCTGTAGACCGCCAAACAAACGACCTGGCCACGAACTCGGAGCCAGTGCCGGGGTGTTTCACCATTTCAGGGCCCGTCGAGGCCCACGGCTCCACCTCCTCGGCCGGCCAGAACAGCGCTGCCAGACGTCGCCGTCTCTCTCCGAGTGTTTTGGCCGAGTCTGGTTGGAGCTTCAGCTGCCCATTACCTAAGCACACCGGATGCGGCTTAGCTCAGCCCTAAGTCCACTTTTGCAGCGATTCAAACCTTTCTTGGTTAGCGCGATCAGAGAAACACGCCAATTTCCAGCCGGCCGATCGCCGCGTCACAGACACCACCACCATCATCATCGACCTGATCGTCCAAGACAAAAAGCAGGGTAAAGATGCATCGTTGTGCTTCATGCACCGTTTTCCTTCGAGCCCAACAGCCGCCTCATGCAGCCTCACGCTGACTGCAGCCCCTCACCCGTCCTATCTGCCATGCCCACGCCCACGCCCGCGCCCACGGTTACTGGTGGTGCCCGTGGCCCCCAGTTCCTCAGGTTCACCTCACCCGTCTGCCCAATCACCTTCGTCCTGAGCGGACGGGCCAATGACAGCCAGGCGGCCCTTTTTTGAGTTCAGGAACCGAGGAGGAAAACGAGACCTGGAATCACTGATTTGTGAATTTTGAGGGCAACCAGGCTGCCAACTGGCCAGTGGCCAGTGGCCGCTTGTTACGCAACCATTGGGACACGCAAGGTCTTTCCATGGTTTTTTGTCGCCCAGGTACGGAGTAAAAAAAGCCTGCAATTTGACGCAACGGGGAATCAACACCGCTCAGTTACCGCCCCCCCCCCCTTTTTTTTCACGCCCTAGTTGGTCATTGCAGGCCAAGCCCATCCTGATATGTTGGTTTTTGCTTGCTTGTTTCATCTAAAACAAGGCTTTTTGAAGTAGGCCCGTTTGCTGTCGGTAGTTACGAATAGAGGGTGTTACATATGTAACTAAGTCTGGGTATCTTGGCGGTCCATCGGACAGTTTCCTCCTCTGGCTGATGGAGCTACCTTGGACTTCTCGAACTAACCGCCCCCGGTACTGCATTCTCCACCTTTCCGGGAACCACTGCTTCGGGCTGGGATTAGGCTCAAGTCTCAAAGACCAGAGCGGTCTTCGAACAGTCCATCTCCCCACTCCTACGGAGTACAGCCTCCCCGTCAGGTTCGCTCGGAAAGATGCCGTGTTGCACATATGTATATATACGGGCTGGTCTGCCCACCTTTCTCTCATGCTTTTTTGTTCCTTGGAAAATCGATTGCTTCGCTGTCTTGACCCTCTCGCTCCTTCTTCTCTTTCCTTCCTTTCTGTCGTCTATTGCTTCCATTCCTTTTGGTTTAAGCTTCTGGGAGGCGCAGCATTCTATACTGCATCTTCTTCGGGCTGTTCATTCCTTGAAATCCAACTTTCTTGAACTCGCTGTTCCATTTTATCCTCCCAGGTTGATTCTGGTCGAGTTGTATTCTTCGCTACGTGCACTTGACTCGGTCTCAGAGCAGACGAAGCAATCTTTCATTACCTTCCTTTCTGCAAATATGGTGTCCTTCAACATTCCTTTCCTCACTACCTTGTTGGCCAGCGCTGTCGTCGCTGCACCACTTCATCAAACCCGTTCCGCCGAGGGAAAGCGTGGTCTCGCCTACAACAATCCCGATGCTCTCAGGCCTTTCAAGGGTACGGCAGCCGACTCTTGGAGCTACAACTGGGGAAGCTCCCCTGGCAGTAGTGCTGCTCCAGATTATGTCCCTATGCTCTGGGGCCCCAAGCTCTTCAGTAGCTGGGACTCTTCATCTGTCCTCTCGTCTGGCTGCAAGAGCATCCTTGGTTTTAACGAGCCCGATCACGGTGATCAGGCATCCATGTCACCTGAATCCGCCGTCGACGCATTCAAAAATCTTCTCACGCCCCTCGCCGGCAAAGTCGAACTTGGGTCACCTGGTGTGACCAACGGTGGCGGAAATATGGGTCTCACCTGGATGGAATCGTTCCTCAACGGCTGTGCTGGCAGCTGCGCAGTTGATTTCCTCGCCGTTCACTGGTATAGCCCAGCCAACGAGATCGAAGGGTTCAAGCAGCACATCACCAAGGCCATCGAGCTCGCCAAGAGCCATGGAATCGAACAGGTCTGGATTACCGAGTTCCAGGGCCTTGGGGATGACCAGGCACAGATCAATTTCCTCAACGAGGTGCTTCCATGGCTTGATTCCAACCCTGGCGTCGCCCGCTATTCTTACTTCATGGCCGACACATTAGTTTCCGGCAACCAGCTCAATGCTGTTGGAAAGGCTTACGCAGGCGCCTAAGCAGTTCGATTTTCCACCAAAAGAAAAAATCTTTTAGGAGGTTTACAAATAAATGTTGTGTTGATACGATTGATCTTTTCTTGTAACTAAGTTTATGGCTACTATGCCTTTCGATTCTCCTGCACCCAGCTCAAGATGCCGTTCGTTGCTGTCGTTTCTGTTTAGTAGGGTTGCCCTTTTGATACTTCGGCTTCCAAACTTCGAAGCCTTCTTTTTTTTTCTTTTCTTTTCTTTTTTTTTTTTTTTTTTTTTGGACGAAATGAAATACTACGAAGTATGATTCACGGAACTAAGAAGCCAACCGAGCCTTACAAGGCTTTAAAACGCCGCTCGCCCGATTACTCCAAAGGCGCAGTGTGCTCCTTAAGCATACTATTAATTATTAGATGGCACAAGTCTATATTCGACCGTTAGTCATGAGTCATGCCCCGAACCCAAACCCCACCATCATCGTCACGATAATAAACGCTATCTGCCAGAGAAAGAGAGAGAAGGCAAAAAGGTCGAACAGATTGAAATTCCCATACACTTCAAGTCATAGGCGTGTCGCCATCAGCGTCCACCTCTGACGCTGCCGCATTGTCAGACTCCTCTCGAGGCTCAGAGTCTGCTTTGATGCTCTGGCCCTCTTGATCCCGTTCAACAATCTCCTCCTCTTCCCAGAGTCGAATAGTCATATCCATGCCGCAGCTGACGATTAGCCGCTTTCCCCCGACGCAGCATGCATCTGCACCTAGAACAACGTCTCTATGACCCTCGAGCCTTTGGAGTATCTTTTTGCTGACGACATCCCAACACACCACCGCGCCGTCTTCACTCCCACTAAATACAAAAGCAATAGGCGGCCCACCCGGCGCATTATACGTCCCAAACCCACCAGATATACTGTACTTCTCATTTTTATGTCCCTGGTAGGTTTTTATGCACCGACCTTCGACATAGTTCCACAACCGGATACATCCATCCAAAGTCCACGCAAGGACGTATTTCCCATTCGGAGAGAATTTCACACCCATAACCGGCGGATTATCTTCGTGTACTAGAGTTCGTAAACACTGTCCCGTTGCGGAGTCCCATATTCGGATTAGCCCGTCGCTAGCGCAGGAGGCTATTAATGTGCCGTCACGGATAAAATCGATGCCTGCAACTGGATCCGAGTGAGCGGGGAGGGATCGCATGACACGGGCGGAGCGAACATCCCAGAGGAACACGGCTTCGTCGTAAGAACCACTGACGAGCATGTTGCCTTTCGGGGAGAAAGCGATGGAGTATATGTAATTGTGATGACCTAGGAAAGGCGTTGGGTGTTGTTTTCCCTGGGTGAGTGAGGAGCGTCAGTATCGAAGCCGGCTAGAAGTCAGAGAGTAGAGAAAAGCCTGTACCGTCAAAACATTCCATAGTCGGATGGACTTGTCGTCGGAGCCGGAGGCGATGAAGGTCCCGTCTGGGCTCCAGCATAAGGTTGATATCCCACCAAGATGACCTTCGAACGTGTGTATGAGCTTGCCCGTGGAAGAGTTCCAAACGCGTATGGTACCATCCGCAGCTGGCTCCCTCGTTAGACCGATCGCTCCAATAAAAGGTGGACTAAGCCGGAGGTACTTACAGCAGCTGGCAATCATCGATCCATCAGGCGAAAATTGAACCGCCGAAACCCCTCTCTGGTGGCCCTTCAAGACCAACTTCTGTTTATAGTTCAATCTTTCTGGTTTAGGTGGCGGAGGCGGAGGCGGAGGGGTAGGTGTCCGCACACGCACAGGCCTCTCGGCCTTCTCCTTTGCCCTGTTCTCGTCTTCAGATGTGTCTTCGCTACTTTCCTCCCCTTCATCGTCATCATCATCGTCTGCATCCTCCGTACGATGTCTTTCTGATCGGCTACTTTCCCGGGGCGTCGAGAGGATGCTGCGACGCATCGCGCTCTGCCTTCGCCAATATGTATGGTGGTGATCGACCGCCAACTCATCCGGGCTCTCAGAATCGCTATTCGTAGTTTGGCGAGGCGTAGTTTTGTACGGTCTGGGTGACTGGTACGTTGTTCTCACTTGCTTGAGCCAGCTCGCTCTTCGCCGTTCGACATCCGAGTTGGCACCCAGCTCGTCGGAGGAGGAGTCTTGGGAGTGGGAGCCACGGCGGTCGAGGCGCCGCCTTTTAGCGGGATGGGTGTTGTCGCTCATGGCTGCAGTGCCGTGTTCAGGCGCCCGAGAAACCCTGGCGTGACGGTGGCAGGCGGCATCCAGTTCGCGGTGAAGCTGCTGCTGCTGCGTCGAGCGCACTGCATCGCGGCGGAAAGTTCACAGCGCGCCGCCGGCCAATCAGCGGGCTCAATCCCAGGCGGTGACTGAGGGCAGTATTCACGCTTTTCCCTCCGGGCGACCAGGCGACGGCGAGACGATCGTCGGAGACCCGCGCTGTTTATTCGTTCCCGCGTGTTGTCGTGTGTATCTGAGCGAATAGATCTTTTAATAGATTGCCTTTTTTGCTTGTAATTTACGCCCGTTCCTCTCCTCCGTCACCACCACTCTCTCCCCGCGGCGTTCCAATGTTCTCCTCGCATCACAGCGATGACCTCCCGCGGAAGATCAATATCCTAACTCTCAACTGCTGGGGCCTCAAATTCATCTCCAAGTATCGCCGGGAACGTCTTCTAGAGATTGGAAAACGGCTAGCCAGCCTCGAACCCCCGCCTGAGATCGTCGGGCTGCAGGAATGCTGGACACAACAGGACTACAATAACATCCGCAAGGAGACAAGACACATTCTTCCATACGGAAAGTTCTATTTCAGCGGAATATTTGGGGGAGGGCTTGCAATTCTCTCAAAATGGCCCATCGAAGAGAGTAGCATGTTTGGCTACCCCCTGAACGGCCGACCAACCGCTTTCTTCCGCGGCGACTGGTTCGTCGGCAAGGGGGTTGCCTGTGCAAGAATACGGATCGGACCTGGGCCAAGTGATATTGCAGCTGTATTCTGCACGCATTTGCACGCGCCGTACGAAAGGGAGCCGCACGATTCATACATCTGTCATCGAACAGCGCAGGCATGGGAGATGGCAAAGCTGATGCGTGGAGCCGCAGAGAAAGGTCATCTCGTTATTGGGCTAGGGGACTTTAATATGCTTCCTCTCTCACTGGCTCATCGGCTAATCACTACGCATGCACCTGTGCAAGATGTTTGGCGATACCTGCACCCCGATTCTTCCCTGGGTGCGGCGATCGACGCAGTCGAAATGGCGCGAAAGAGGCCAGTCCCTTCAGCAGAGTATAACCTGAGTGAGAATGGTGTTACATGTGATGGCCTCTTTAATACGTGGCGCTGGAACAAAGGACAACAGAAACGGCTAGAGAAAGAAGGACACATCGAAGTGGATGGGAGACTACCCGACCCTCTAGGGAAACGCCTCGACTACATATTCGTCGGAAACGGTGGACCGACTTTGCAGCCTTCTTCCTCGAGTCCAACTCAGTCATCAGTACAACAACGTTCCGATTGGAAATGGACCATTGAATCTGCCCGCGTCAGTATGACGGAACGCCATCCGACTCTCCACTGCTCCCTCAGTGATCATTTTGCCGTTGAAGCCGTAATCTCACGCAACGTATCAAGTGGTGAAACATCTTGGCAAGAAGAAAACGCGTCATTTCTTCCCATCCAGAAGCAAGAATCTCCCCATTCTCATGCACCTTCGAACACAGTAACGACGGTCACTATCGCCACAACGCTCCCCAAGCCTCCTACCCCATCCACATGCACCTCCGATATGTACGACGAGATAATAAAAATGATACACATCTACAACCTTCGAGAGCGATTTCAGCGACGTGCACGCCTCGGCCATTTTCTCGCCTCTCTTGGTGTGTCCATGTGTTGCCTAATCGGGGTTTGGTGGTCTCCGCGTGCGTTCGTGTCGTTTATACTATGTCTCATGAGCACACTGAGTTTTGCAGCTGGTGTCATTGACGGCTTGATTGGAGGATTGTTCGTGAGTAGTGAGCTGAGGGCGTTGAGGGAGTTTGAGTGGGAGATTAGAAACGCGAAAAGACTGGCATTGGGGATGGGGTTGGATATAGAGGAGGATTTGGGGCAGCTGGGGAAGCCATCTCGTGTTTAAGGCCGCATGGTTTTATGATGTATTTTCTTAATCCCTGCGTGATTTGAGGGCGTTTTGGGGTCTGTTAGGGTGCAAACCGTTTTTGACATGTAATTTTACGATTAGCGAAGTGGGATAGTTTACGATTCTTACGGCTGCAAGCGAGTGTCCAGTTACGGTTGGAGCTTATGCTTTCGAAGTAGGCACATGATAGTAATAGATCTTTCGGTTTTGTCAACTAAGTCTGAGGCAACAAAGACTATATGCACCCATGGTAGCAAAGCCGCGTGGTGTCCAGAGATACTTTAAGCCGCACATTCTTTCTTGCGCTGCTCAAAGACCTCCAGAGCAACCTCTGCAGCCTTAACGCCGCTGAGCATCATGGCAGAGAAGATAGGGCCCATGCGGTGCCATCCGTCAATCTCACTAAGTTCCATTCCACCGATGATCAAACCCTTGGTGACTTCACGGGTATTCTTGACAATAGCCTCTTCAGCAGAGTTCATATCCAAGCCACGCATACCGCCCAATTTCTCGATGGCGTTCATCGAGACGAGACGCTTGGCACAGAAGGCGCCAAAAGGACCATCGTGGCCGGTGGTGCTGATGACGAGAGGTGTATTGATGGTGTTGGGGTCCATGCAGGAGTGATCGTCATGGTGTTCAGCCACGAGGGTCCAGTTGGTCACCACACCGGCGATGCGCAGGCCACCGGCCGGTTCTGGGCGGGTGATAAGGTCCTCAACGCAGGTGGCGTTGAAGAGCTTGATGTTGGGGAATGCAAGAACCTTAGAGAGCAAGGTGGAGGTGAAGAGCGAGGCGTGTTTGATCACGACAACATGCGGGTTGGAAGGCTCCTCTTCGTAAGGGACGCCGATTTCGTCGAGGAATTTGTCCGCAGGTTTGCGGAGGACCATGGCGGAGAAGAGCTGACCGCCGAGCCATGCACCACCGCCTACAGCATACCGTCAGTCGGCTGATCCAAAAGCTTTGGTATATGCTTTACTCTTTCCAGTTTCGACTTACCAGGAGAGACGGCAGCTTCAATGATGGCAATTTTCAGGTCAGGACGCGCCTTGGCGAGGACATAGGCAGTGCTAAGGCCGCAGGAACCGGCGCCGACAATGACGATGTCACTCTCAGCGTAAGTGTCCAGGTCCTTGAAGTATCGCCTGGTCATGGCACGAGAGACCTGGCTCTCACGAATGGGACCAAACTTAAAACTATCCCATTTCCCAGCAAATTCGTCCAAGAGAGCACGATCACCCGCTTCCTTGCTATTAACAGTGGGGGGGTGTCCAACCAATTCGGTCTTGTTGGCAAGATGGGCGGGCAGGGTAACGGTTTCAGTGACAGTAGACATTATGGAGGACTATATTGGGTTAGAAGGCCACACAGGGTTCATGGGGAGTTGAGGAGGGGGGAAAGCATGATCCTTTCGCTGGTATTATCCAGATCAAGTTCAAACCGTATAATTTCAGACCAATCGACAGAGCCCGCTCGCTGGGAGGTGTATCGCTCTCCATGCCTGTCCGCTTCTCACAAAATGGAGGCAGGATCAGAATGGAGAGTTGGGTACAAGTCCACAACTGAGCGAGATGAAGATAGGACACCGGCTCATGCACAAGATGATTTACTTGAGATACCTTGACCACATATGGATGTTATTCCCAGCTAAAGGGATTTTGTTGCTTTCCATCTTCACGGGAGAGATGTACCGTGCAATCTTCGGCGTCTACCTGCTAGAAAGGTCAGCGGCGTGGCCGAGAGAAAAAAATGCGGGGTATTTGAGTACTGAATAACTTGTGACGGTCAATTGAGTTACCTGATGAGGAGTAATTGCTGTAATATACTTTTCAAAAGTGCTGGAGAGAGGCGATCTTGAGTTGAGAGGTGGAATCAAGAAAAAGAAACGGGTGGTGTGGGGTATGCTGCTCCTTTTATATTTTTGCGCGGTGGTCGATTCAACAACAATGCAAGTGAGGGGCAGCGCGCCCAACAGACTTCACGATCCCCGGCCACAATGGCGTCATTAACCCCTCACTTCTCGCGATAGGTTCTCGCTCGGCGCGAATGGCGAAGTTCGATTGTGCGAAAGCTCGCCGGAGTCTTGTTTACGGTGAGACACGATCACAGAGCTCTTTGTGCACTCGAAGGCACCATGAAGATAAGGATGCAGTCTCTTCACTAGCCATAGGACCACCAGAGGCTGAGCTTTCATCGGACCAATGCACACTTGCCGACGAAACCCAGAGCTCAGAGGATAAGAGACCCGGGAAGCACATGCTGTCTCCATTTCACGGCCAGATTTTGACTTTTGACTTTCTTCTGCGTTGCAGAGACAGTTGCCTATTTATGTATATCTGCGATGAAATGGCACCTGTATCGTCAGTATGCATGTCGAAAGGTCCTGAAACAAAGCCTTTATCTTCACAGCTCTGGAGGGTTGTGACATATTCCCTATCTCTATGTGAAAAACCAAGTCCTTGCTCTAAAATTTAGTGATGGCCTTGACAGTCACAGTATCTGGCATGCCATGATGCCCTGGGGACGGGGCATTACCATCACCTCCACTTATTACTCCATGTTGGGATGTCCATTGAAGCATACATAAATATTCCCAGAGTTGCTCCTCTACAGTTGCAAAGATCATTGCTCTTCTACATTCCTTTGACTGTGCACACTACTTGGTTGACTAGTTCAGTCCTCGCGACCAAAGAATCGACCTCATTAGTTCTAGTCACTTAACTTTATATAGCTAGCGGGGATGGCTGAGACTGCTCCTGCTCCTGCTCCCCACGCTGTTGATGATGAAGAATCCATCCTCCACGAACTGAATGAGGCCATAGCGGCCAACCCAGAACTGCGAGCCCCAACCCCCAAGCCTGCCGAAGGAGAATGGGAAGACTTCGATCGCCTTCTTGCTGAAAACCCACAGTTAGCCGCTCCAGTTGTAGCATCCCCCAAGTCAAAATCGTTCTACAAGTCCAAGGACAAATGGGAGTGCCGCCATGAAGGAGAAGAAATCCAGACTGATATCGAGCGAGATCCAGGTGATGGGACACCCGAGGTTCTCATCAACGAAGTCAGAGGCATTTGTAACAAGTGCATGGAGAAATGGGTCAACCTCGAGAATGCTCTGGAGCCAGATGCCACCGAACTTGGAGGAAGCTCTCATGGTCCTGCCAGGCCGCCAACATATGACCAGGCGCAGGGTGCTAATGTGCTCGACGTGGAAGATGACGATCTGCATCCACGTCCGTTATTTGATATAGACGATGGCCCTGGCAAAGGCAAGGGTCGCGCTGGTGGCCATGTTCGCTATGGCTCCGATGACGAGGTTGATGACGACGATAGGTCAATGTATTCCCAGGAAGACGGTTTCAAATATCCTCCACCTGGTCTACAGCAACGTCATCAGGGAAGGTCCTTCGCTGATGATGATGATGATGATGATGATAACGATGACGATGTACTCTATGATATGCATCCTGATTGCCGACCACACGAGGGTTCTCAAGGAGCCAGCGTGCCTAATCAGGCCCCTCCTACCTTTCGGTCGGACGATGAAGATGAATTTCCTCCAGTCAATCCCCGTGGATCGCACGCTAAGCCTCCTAACCAACGCCAAGCGTAATTCCGGGCAGGATATATGTTGGTATCATAATTTTCAACGAGGTTATCCCAATATAGTGTTTGCATGGCTGGAGATCGTAGTTTATTTATTCCCGGAATAGTCATTTCGGGTACCCCTGCTTCTCCTTTCCATGGCATTATCCGACGGAATTCCCGGTGTTGACGTTTCTCTCAGACACATTTTGCTATATGTGGTTGTATTATTAGATACTCAATAACCCATTAACTAAATTCCACTTCACATACCAATATTATCAAGTGTCCATCGACTAGGCTGCTAGCAATGATAACACATGGGTATCATTTACCTTGTATTTGGCCTTCGTTCAATGAAACATCAATCTTCAAACCCCAATCCTCAATTTCCCCTATCCTCTCCACAGCCCTAACCCAGTTCTTTTTCTTTCCGGCCTTCTCAATGCTCTGCTTGGCACCCATCAGCCAGCTAAGGTCGACACCAGGACTATTATTTGGCAACGTTATTTCCAGCCTTACATGAGTCTTGCCCTTTTTCCCTTTAGCCCATCCGGCAAGGAAGTCAACGCGTGGTATTTTATCCCTGATGATACCGCTGGGATATATATCACATACAAGAGCAGCGACTCGCCCAAGATACTGACACCACCAAACCTCCTCTCGAGAAGTGATTTGGCGAAGACGTCGTAGGAGAGACTGGTCTGATGGAGACAGATCGCCACGCCATCGCTCGTAGAGGAGGAGCGCTAATAAGGCGCGATCAGCATGAGATATGCCGTGCGCTGATGCAAGCAAGCCATTTATTGTTGAATGTAGAGCAACGGCTGCGCGCGATTCCCTTGAGATAGAAGAGTGTGCAAACATGATATTTGCCAGGGCAACAAGCAGAGTTTCTGTGAATGATAGAGGGACGGAAGCATCTGTGTTCTCTGGTACACCACAGGGAAGGGCTCTGAGTAGCAGAGAAGAGAGTTCAAAGGCAGACTGTGTGCTGTAAGGCGCTGTGGCCACAACAAGTGGACTTTTTAAGCGTGTTTCTTCAGGTAAAGTCTTGAATAAATAACCTTCGCGCACGCCACCCTGGCAAAACTGTATAGTTTTGATATTTGGGATGGCCTTTGTAAGAGATTTGACAAGACAAGCAACTGCCGGCACTTGAGATGCTCTGCGATCCGAGATGCCGAAAATCTTAGATCCTTCCATTGCCGCAGAAGACATGATGCCAGAAGTATCACAGAATTCTGAGCAATCTACCCTGAAACCGTTGATAATTGGGATTGGGTATGGGTTTACCTTAGAACGATTCATGTGCAAGTAGCCCCAACCTCTAAAGCCGCCGCCACTAAGAAATAAATCGAACCCCTCTCGTTTCGCAGCATGATCCAGCAGTTCTTTGGGGACACAGAGTTCACTATAGGCATCCTTGAATTTTGGAATCATTTCGTTTTCCAAATTCTGCCGCTCTGAGCGCTTTTCTAGTCTTTTTGTAACTGCTGCCGCCCCATAAGGCAAGCTGATCGAACCTTTGGGGCTCGTGAGCACAGAGCCATTTTTAGCAATGACCCACGTAATTTGAGTGCTTCCTCCTCCCAGGTCCATCACCAAACCCTCCACAGCTTCTAGGCTGCTGGCAATCCCAAATGCTCCCAATGTTCCCTCTTCTTCCTTGGAAAGCAGTTGGACATCCCATCCAGTGCTTTCCTTGATCGCGGATAGAAATTCTCGGGAATTTATGGCAGTTCTGGTGGCCTCGGTTGCAAGGACGGTAATATTCCCCTCAGGTACACCGAAGTCCTTGCATGTCTCCCTGAATCGCACTAAACGGCGAACAACATCTTCCTGAACAGATAGAGAGATAGGCTGCCTGGTATTGCTCCCTGGCCTGAATTGAGCATCGTAAAGAGAGATGCCGGTGCGGTCTTGGAACACAGTTGGCAGTATTCTTGAAGTGAGTGGGGACAGATCGGATATTGAGAAACGAATACCATTGCTGTCATCAAGAGTTTAGCTGTTGGGCTCCCCGAGCCCTGGCGCCCATCATATTTGTTGATGGGCAGAGAACCTCACCTCCCCATATCAACAAGTGCATGGAGATATTGGTTTTCCTGCACAGCCATGTTTGTAAAGGAAAGGAGGGCTATGCTTAGAAGGAGTATATAATGACCAAGTTCGCACGCGACGATGTTGCTCAGCAAGACGATGCAAACAGCACAAACAAGTGGATAGGATAAGAATGTTGGGCACACAGGTGAGGATGAGAAATTTCATTTAGCATGGACATGGCATCCGACACTAGTTTCCTGGCTCAAGCAGGCTGGAAACAGCAGAAGACTAGTATCTTTTGATCCTGATGAATAGAGTACAGATCACAGTAACTTTTGTGTAAATGGTGGCTGCCGACGCCCGGAGAGCCAAATTGGCAAGCTCAGCAAATGCTTTGGTTAGTTACATAATGACTGGCTTGGCATCACGTGATTTCTGGTCGCGATTGGTTTAAAGACGCGAAAGTGAAGCTGGAGCACCAGAATCTGCGCACCATCTGCTCTTTGCGCATAGATACCCAATTATCAGCTCATATTTTGCTTTAAGCTGTGGGGCCCCAAATATCTTTGTGGATGAGTCGTCAAAATCCTGCCGCAAGGATGCAGGACCCAGCTGGGGGTGTGCCGCAACAGCTGGTGAGCTCATGACCTCCTCTGAATTGCTGTCTATCAAGTTATGCGCACATATGCTGATTATGGCCTTCTTGACAGTTGCCACACATGCACCTTGTCTCAAGCTATAGGTACCCGTCAATGGCCAACCTCACCATGGAGACCGCCGTCGAATACCTTCTCTCAGCTCCGAAAGTCGTTCGAGAACTACAGCCAATGCACTGGATGTTTCTTGATGCACCTCCAGACGGGACAGTCATGCTTGTTTGGCAGCCTTTAAACCATCTGGGAACGAATTTCGCAAGTGATGGCTACGTGTGGGGAGACGCAGAGCAAGTTTATACAACAGAATCGCGCGGATATGTACGCATTTTCCAAGCTCAAGGGATAACATCCTGCTAGCCATATCTATGCTAACACGGCAATAGACTGTTGAAATGTGGTTACATCGATGCGGATACCATCCACCGCACGAGACAGTTGCTACCCATGCCCGTAGAAGATTCCGATTGACACCTGCGAAAACACCAAATCCCAACCTTCCACCTCCCGACCCATCTCTATGGATCGTTCACTATGCTAAAGCACCCTCCATTGACCAGATCCCCGTAACGCACATCGCTGTTCCTCCGGCAATCCATAACATTCTAGCTCAGCGCCGATTTCTTCAGAGCCAAGGTCAGCTCGCGCGAAAGGAATTCATGTTGCACGACCGAAATACCTGGCCCACTATCAGCCTTCCACCCCAAGTTGGTCAACAACCATATGCGCAGCCCAGTCCTTACGCACAGCCATACATGGCGCGCCACCAGCAAGCCCCGTTCTTCCAACACCCTCCAGGTGCAAATATGCCGCCAGGGCAGGTTAAGACACCTCGCGGACACCGAGCGACCGCATCCGCTGCAATGGCAGCAGCTGCGCTCCCAGACTTTTCCTTGGAGGACGAAGAAGTATCCACTGGAGATTTCTTAGATAATATCACACCGCGAGAGATCAGTCGACTAAGATATCGCCATAACCATGAATGGATGGAGGAGATATTTGATTCACCTTACCGGATAAATCAGATTTTACCAGTTGACTTGGGACTTGGCCGAAAAGGAGAACTGGAATCTCTCACGAAGGGATATCTGGAGGCTCCAGCTGGTCCTTCTCCTGGTGCCGAATCCGATGCTACAGTCAGCAAGATGGAGCCAGAAAAGATGGAGGAGTTTACCAACGCCGTTACGAAGAGGGTTGCTGATGTGACGGCTGAAATTGAAGCGCTCAAAAGAAGACATGCACGCCGACTCGAGAAAATCAACCGGCTGTCCGTGTTGAAAGAAGGAGAGGTCGCACTTCGCGATGCCTACGTTGACCCCTCGAATGTAGGCAAAGAATTTTGGCGGATTGAAAATCGTCTGAGACCCATTGTCGTAACGGATGAAACAATGCAACAGGTCGAATATAACGAACCTACGTCCAGGACGAAAGTCGCTGATATATCTGCTGGAGTGCAAAAGGCTTGGGGTGAACCTATTGTGCCTCTCAAGGAAGTCATCTGCGTCGACAAAGGCGGGCTCGAGGAGCCAGTCAAAGAGTCGCCACAACCCACTACCGAACCATCTCCCGCAGACGTTGACATGGGAAATGGGGAAGACCTCTCAAAGGGCCTCGAGTTGCCTACAGCACAGGGCGAGCCCGTATCTGAGTTTGAAGCGGCGAAACAAGGAGCACAAGCAACGCAAGAGGTGACGGGTGATGTTTCCAACGCAGCCCAAGGCAACATACAGGCCGCATCCGGTCCCAGTGGAGATATCGAAATGGGAGGCGTGAATGAGGGTCAAGCACCAGCGTCGGCTGACCAACTTGGGGAGGACTGGGTGGTAGTGAACAAAGATGAAAAGACTTCAAGAGACGGTAGCCCAAAGGGAGATCAGGCTGAATCCATCGAACAGCCAAGTGCACCGAAGGACGCGTCTATGAAGGAGCCAGAGGGCACCACACCCAGAAACAACACTGGACTTGAAGCGCCTGAAGTTTTAGAGACGAGCAATTTCGAAGACGCCGCGAGTTTTAGCCATATCGATTCGGCCGGTGAAGCCCTGGCAGCGTACGAGGAAAACAGTGGACTGGACTTGGAAGGGCTGGACAACTCTGCCTTCGGCGATGCGTTCCATGCGTCGGAGGGTGGACATCAACATCATGACACAGAGGACATCTCGTAAAGGGGCTATGCGTTGGGGGGAAAGAACGGGAGTTTTTTCTTTTGGCTTTTTTTTTTCTTCTGTATGATTATGTTACGGGATGGGACTAGGTGTGTTTCTTCAATGATCGGTGGTTCTATGGAGCGAGAACTCGTGATCTTCGGGCGTTAGGTAGGTAGGAATCTGACTTTCTCCTTTTTTTTTTTTTTTTTTTCTTTTTTTTTTAAATCTCTATGCCTCTGCTCTCTGGAGGCAGCAATCCTGCTTGCTGGGCTCGAGATTCGTGGGTGCCAGCGTTCTCATAAATGCTGCCGGGATGGGCGATGGATGCCTTGGGTAACCCCTTCTCCCCCCCGGCTCTGCCTTCCGGAGCGGCTCCGTCAAGCCGTTCTGCATCGCCCGATAAGTCACTTTTCCTGCCCAATTTCCCAGCCCGTTGGCCCGTTTCTTCCCCCGTTCCTGCGGCGGACTGACACTCCGAAACAGTCAAGCCACCAGGGCGGCTCTCACGCCAAGCCCATAGTCACGCGGCTCCTTCACTGGAAACGGCATTTCGGCGGTGGGTCCTGCATTAGCGGCCGCTCGTGCAGCCGCCAATCCCGCCCACGCAAAGCCCGCAGGAACGCAAACTCCAAAACACGCGAACCTCAGGGAAGCGGAGAGCCAGTCGGCGGCACAGCGGAGTGCCATCCAGCATTTTCGGCGAGATGGATTGGCTCCACGCAGTCAAAATGTGCTAGGCAGTGCTGTCGGGCTCCCCTCCCACTGGACAAGGCTGCATGATGACATCATATGATCTATCTGTCAGGAGATCCAAGAGATCCAAGGGTGCTTGCGGCTGCGATTTTCTCTGCAGGAGGTGCAGCAGACAGGCGCGTTCGACGGGTTCTGGAACCGTCCCAGGTGAAAAATGCAGCAGCCAGAAGCTTCCGCCGGGGGGGGGAGGACGTTGTCGTGGCTCGATCTCGCTGTCGCTCTGCCTGTCACTCTCTCGCACTTTGCTTTCTAGTCGTAAGGCATACCAGGATGCGGCACCATGCCTGAACAGGCAGATTGTTTCCTCCCCAGCGAGCACTGCAGAAAAAAAATCCCTTGCGAACGTGAGCATAGCCAGGCTCACTCGCCAGAATACTGACATCATGTGTACCTGGCACACTCGTATAAATCCACCCTATACCCTCGTCCATTCTCCTCTTCAACAATCACAAGCCTCTCAAGTCATACAAGAATCTTAGCAACTACAATACATTCATTCATAAACAAGAAACCAAGGGCAAGCTCCCACCACCAACTCTCTCTTTACCACACCTCCAGGTTCTGCGATCGCTAGGGAACAGGGGCCGTCAAAGCGTTGTACCTGCGCGGTATTCACCAAGTATTTTCCTAAACACTTACCATTCAGACTAAAGATTCATCTTGCTGCTGAATCGTTGAGCCGTTGGGTGATTTCCTCAAATAAGTGAGTCTATCTCCTCCCAGGTCGCAGTTTATCCGACTTCCCAGAGAGACATTGAAGCTAACACTAGAGCAGGCAAGGAAAGCAAGAGATCTAGGAAAGAGCCGCCAAACTGCTCTCCTTAGAAATCATCTCATCTGCGTTGTCGGAACCCGACGTCCATTCTCTTCGCTCACGCAGTCTCCTCGTCGTCGATTTACTCTTCGTTGCGCTTGCAATCTTCCTTGCATTTCACTCTTACACCAGTAGTCTTCCAGACGTTGATTTCCTACCAATTTCCCACACCGACTCAGCCAAGATGTTGTGCTTCCCGGACAGCATCCGCGTCTACCGCCACGTCTTCTACCACCGTGTTTCCAAATATTCATTATTGGAGAAGTCCACTACCTGTTATCCGGAGAAAATCTACAGAACAACACCATACTATCCTACCAGGCCATCGTACCGGAGATATACTTGCTCCCCATCCTCCCGATGGTCTTCATCATGGAGGCCATCGTCACGGACGTCCTACTGTGAGATCCGCCCATCCGGATATGAATGGGGGTCGAACTGGAGGTGCGGATACTGGTGACGATGATGGTGGCGCAGAGCTAGGGCCGCCCTTTCCATGAATGCAGAGAGCAGGTGTATGGTGTTTCTCGATTTAACACGGTTTCAACTCGTGGTGTGCAATATTGGACACTTTCCGGAGCATTTGGATGTCATACTATGGGAGGCGTATTCGGTCGCTTTTTGCCCTTTTCTTTGGTTCTGGATATTTTGCTTATATTTCGGATATTTCCAAGATACCCAATAGATTGGAATCATGGGTGGGAGCTACCAGACTGCCACGAATGATGTTTTTCATATGTTTTGACTGGATGATGTACAACATACCCTTAATAATGGATGAAATATAACGACACTCTAAGCTAAATTGGTGTAAAACAAAAACTCCTCTCCTCTTGCTCTTAAATAATTATGTTCCTGCAGTAAACTCACAGCTCCCTGGACCTTGGGGTTCTCGGACAAGCCAACCAGATTTTCGTGTTCTTGCAGTCATGGTACTTACATGGAATCAGCTGAGCTCGTTTTCAAACCACATGAGCCTGTCACCGAGAACAGCGTGGGGGATCACAAAAATATATGTATTTGAGAAGGGGAAATGAAAGGGAACAGTCATTGTAAATTCCACAAATAAACAACAAGAGGAGAGAATAAATGGGAAGGACATGTATAGAAGCATGGGGGAGGACTCTCAAGTTAGGAGGATTAAGGTACATATCACAAAGCTAGAGCGGTTGGGCGTGACTTCGAGCGATTGAGCTTAGAACAGGGATGGAGGGGGAAATCGCGGACGGGGGAAAGAACGGTCGCCAGGCGTTTGTCCATGAGGCATAAATGATAATGTAATATATACTTTCACCTATCATAAATCTACGCTGCTTTCTGTTATGTTTCCCAAACCATATACCTATGGGTTATATAGAGTCCCCATGATTGGAACTTTGCATGCTCAATTTTGTAAGTTTTGGCGCATATTGAGTACATAAAGCCAAAAAAATGCCCTGCTGGGTTCAATCATGGCTCTCATACATAAAACTCAAGCCTGGCTGGAACGTGCGGAGCAAGCTCCACGCCGTGTCAGTACATACTCCTACCTGCTAACAGGAAGTCAATTTCCGCAGAGAGTTGGCGTAGGAGTCCGGATTCAGCACGCGATCAACTCAAAAATGCCCGCTAGAGAGCTCTTCTCGCGTGGAAACTCCCCCTTGCCCAAGCTTTAACCAGCAGATGGCAACTTTTAGCATATCGTGTTTGGCTGGCAGATGCCCGCCTCTGTCCATGACGTCATGCCGGCTCGGATAGCCCTCAACGTCCAGCCTGCCGTCATCGACCGACCCTCACATGGAAGCTCGCGGGAAGGCGCAAACTTGGACATGCTCTGCAGCTCCTCTCCGGATTAACTGCTACTTCAACAGCAATTGATCGCCGTCCGGAGCAATTGAATCTTCGCCTGTCCTCCGTGCGGCGAAGAGAAATCGTTTCTTTACTACAGAATACTCTTTTCTTCGGGAAAAAGCGAAAATGTGAGTTGCTACAGTGTTAGCTGCTCGAGGTTGTCACAGTTTGCTGACTCCGAATCCCTTTGGCTAGGAATCGTGGAAAGAGGGCGGCCCCGGAGACTCGTCCGAGGCACCGCTTCACCATGGCCACGCTCCGTGGGGAGCGACAGCCAGAGCTAAGCAAGAAGCTGTTTAAAATGATCAAGACAGAGAACCACGTTATCGACGCCTATGAATCCGCAGGACGCGATCGTATCTCAGTGGCCTCTCAATTGTCCGAGTGGGGGGAATCAACAGGAGATGCGGCGATTTCCGATATCTCGGATAAACTGGGCGTCGTCCTTGCAGAGCTTGGGGAGCAAGAAGATGCCTACGCCCAGAATCTGGAAGACTCGCGCAATATCTTGAAGCACATTCGAAACACAGAAAGCTCTGTCCAGCCGGCCCGTGACCACAAAACAAAGCTCATCGATGAAATTCAGAGGTACAAGCAGAGGGACCCTGGTAGCTCCAAGGTAACTACTCTGGAGCAGGAGCTTGTCAGGGCGGAGGCACAGGTGTTGGTTGCCGAAGCACAGTTGACGAATATGGTAAAGGCACCCAGAAACTACCAGCTAGCATATCTGGTTTGAGAAGTCAAATTGACAAGAATGTGATTCCTGAACAGACACGCCAAAAATTCAAAGAGTCATACGACATGCAGTTGGCAGCCACGATCGAGAGAGCCGAGAAGCAAATTATCCTAGCCCGCCACGGGCGCAGGATTCTGAACCTGCTCGATGACACTCCGCTGGTTCCGGGAGAAGCACGGAGGTCTTACGAAGGTGCGGAGCCAGGGAAGCAAATCCTTGAGGATGCAGAACAAGAGCTCCGGACGTGGGAGCCGAGTGTCGAACCGATCCGATCTTCCGCCCATGGAGTTGGCCCTGGAATGCTTCCGACTCATCCTCGGGAAGATGCGGACGGAGACACATATACCAACGGTGGACCAGAGGAAATGACGTACCAGAAAGAAACACGATCTGCTAATGAGCCAGGAGGAGCGGGGGCATAAATTGCGCCCTAATTGTTGGAATTATATCCTTGGTACCCTGGATACTCCCATCTCTTTGCATGCAAGTTTTTTGCTTTCAAGTAAATTACGGGTGAGCAAAAAAAAAAATGAAAAGAAAAGAAAGAAAGGGGTGGAATGAGGAAATCAGGTGTGATTCGGGTGCTCTGAGGCTGTGCTTGAGAATTTTTTTTCAGCAATGCAGTTGGCTACTCCGTATGATGCAGCTTAATAGCCTGGAGGTAATGCAACGAACGTAGTTCAGCAGTTCCAAACGAGCTTTCAAATTCAGCTTCAGCGTGACTTTGTTGCTTGTTCGATGATCGAGGCTTGGCGCTTACATAACCAGGCGCCAGCAGGGCCACGAAGCTCCAGCCAACCACCAGCATCATCGCATCGCGAAGCTCTCTCTGAAAAGGACCCAACGACTCAGTTGACCGCAACCCCCCATCCACCTCTCTCTGTATAATAGCCGATTCTTTCGCTCCGTCGATAATTCCGCCTTTTGCTTCTTTAGATTTTATTTTCAGCTTCTTCACAGATGGATGCCATAGTTGCCCAGTACTCTCGGCCGCACTACCAGGAGCAGGCCGCCATAGAGCAAGATGACCAGGAAATCACGACGATTCTCCCTCCCCTGTCACTGAGATTCGACTTACCTCCTATTTCTCAAGTAACATCTGAATCTCCCCGGGAACATATTTGGGCATATTTTATACTGAACTTTGTTAACTAGCCCGCGTCATTCCTCCGAGCGATGACAGACGACCATGCCAATCCAGAGTGCCCAATCAAGATTGCCCACGGTACAACGACCCTCGCGTTCAGATTCCAAGGCGGAATTATCGTCGCCACAGACTCAAGAGCTACGGCGGGAAATTGGATTGCGAGTCAAACGGTGAAGAAGGTCATTGAGATCAATAACTGTTTGCTGGGAACCATGGCCGGTGGTGCCGCTGTACGTTTCAACATGGACAGCAACATATCCAACTAGTTCGTGGCCCGGATTTTGCTGATTTGTTCGATCTTCTTTTCAATATTTAGGATTGCCAATACTGGCTCGCGTATCTTGGCATGCTCTGTCGTCTTCACGAACTCCGCCATAAACGTCGAATCTCCGTCGCCGCCGCTTCGAAACTCCTTGCCAACCTCGTTTACAACTACAAGGGGATGGGTCTCAGCATGGGCACGATGTGTGCTGGTGTAACGCCTCAAGAGGGCCCGGCCCTATACTACATCGATTCAGACGGAACCAGGCTGGCAGGTAACCTCTTCTGCGTTGGCTCCGGTCAGACTTTTGCCTATGGCGTCTTGGACGCGGAATACAGATACGATTTGACTGAGGAAGAGGCATTGAATCTCGGGCGTCGAAGCATTCTGGCTGCTATGCACCGTGATGCTTATTCTGGTGGCTTCGTCAATCTGTACCACGTCAAGGAAGACGGATGGGTGAAGCACGGTTTCAATGACATGAACCCTATTTTCTGGAAGGAGAAACTAGAGACTGGCGAGTTCTCCAATGTCCCGATGAAGCTGGAGTGATTTGCCTTTTATGAACGTGGGTTAGCGAATACATACGTTTTTCTGGTTTCCTGATTGCAATTTAATTCTCGTACTGTGCGTTGCCCGGTTTTATCGAGGGTTTCTGTTGAGCTCATGTCCTTGTTGTTCTCCCGCCAATCTTCCATTCTACATGAGGGTAGGCGCATAGATGAGTTACGGATCAGGTTAACTGTACACTACGCTAGGAACTTGTCTAGCCGTCTTGTTTACTCTCTCATAGTTAAGACACCGGAAGTATACGTGGCGACGAGTAGGTAAAGGCTCAAAACATTCAAATCCTGTCGTGTCTAACTAATCGGTATAAATTCTCAATACTGCGCCTTTGACGCCTCTCGTCGTCACGTAACCCATTCATCTAACCACTTTTTTTGCCATCTATCTAATTAATTATCAACATGGAACTTCATCTTCACTCCCATAGCGGCTAGCTCAACATCAAGATACTTCAACACTCCCGGCACCACGACAACCGTAGTTTGATCCCCTCCAACAAATCTCTTCCCCGAACCATCTTCCCACACTTCGGCACGGGGATCATCAAACACCGCTTCTCGGGCACACCTTCTACATCGAACTATCCCCGACAGACCACCCAGTGCGCTCACACCGCCCGTAGGTCTGGCAACCGCCGCACTGGACGATTTCACCACCGCTTCCATGGCAGGGTTCTTATGTGGATTGAGTAATTGAGAGACGGCAACCTGTGTAGACAAGAACGAGCCACATGTCCGACATATCCATGCGCGCGTCGAGTCAGAACAGTTCATCAGTCGGTCCTGAAGCAAGAACGCCGCACCGTGTGCGAGAAGAGCATCACGTTCCATTTCTCCAACACGGATACCACCACCCTTGGCACGACCTTTGACGGGTTGGCCTGTCACAGCGTTGACGGGACCGGTGGTACGCACTTGGAATTTATCGTTAACCATGTGTCGAAGTCTCTGGTAGTAGACGACGCCGATGTAGATATCCGCAGCGAATTCGCGGCCAGTGACGCCGGAGTACATGGGCTCGTTGCCGTGGAAGTTGTAGCCTGCTTTGCGGAGCTGTTCACCGAAGTGGTCGCCTGCGGTGTACTCTTCGGAGAATTGGAATGGTGTGCAATCCTGCGCGAGACCGTGAAGGGCGCCCGCTTTGCCGGCAAGTGACTCGACGAACATACCGATTGTCATACGGGAAGGGAAAGCGTGAGGGTTGATGATAACATCGGGTTGAATACCGGATTCGGAGAAAGGCATGTCGACAGCCGGCCAGAGTTGAGAGCAGACACCCTTTTGACCATGGCGAGAAGAGAATTTGTCTCCAATGACTGGTTTACGAGGAATGCGGTACTTGATGCTGACCGCCTGGCAAGCTTCGTTGCCTGTCTCCGCCCCAAGGATTCGAATGCTGTCTATGTATCCTTCCTCGGAGTCCTTGTATTTGAGGAAGTGCGTCTCCTTGTCCACATTAAGATAGGTTTCTGCCGCTGGGTCATACTGAACTGTATGCCATGCTGCGATAATGTCACCTTCCGCCACCTTCGCTCCGACATGAGGCAGACCGTCCTCGCCAAGGTGATTGCGCCATTCGGCTTTGACAAGACCCCCCGGTGCGAACCCAAATAACTTGGTGATCTCGCGCCTTGACTTACCGCGACCACGCGCTTCTTTGTCGTCGAGTGCGTAAATTTTAGTTTTGTAGATGGTTCCATATCCAAAGCCACGTTCGTGGGCTGATTTGTTGATAATCATAGCATCGTCCATATCGTAACCTGTATATGAAATGACTGCCACAACAGCATTCATTCCGTTGGGGAAATTGTCCAGGCCATAGGCATTATACAACGGAGGCCGGGCGATTGGTGTCTGGCCCGTTTGTAGCCTGTAAAGCTTGTTGTCTGTTCGATAGGCTATCGATGTCCCGGGCGTACCCATTGCTTGTTTACCCATCTGACATTGGTACATATTACGGGGAGATTGATTAAAATCAGAGAACGGGGTCATGTTGGCGAGGATTGAGAGGATATGGGTAGGATCGAATTCAACATGCGTAGAGAGCCCCGAAGTGATCTCAGACTGCACACAGGCAATCTCCATAAACGGTTGCTCAAATGGACCGACATAGTCCAACTTATCCAACGGCAGATATTTCACCGGTCTGTACATTCTGGCACACTGGGAGAATATGTAAACGCCAGGGTATTGACCACCGTTAGAGTTCGGAACGTAGCCAATTTCAAGCTCCGTAGGAATCTTCGGGTGACCTTCCACTTTCCAGTGTCTCAAAGTATCCGCTATAACCCGAGCCTGTTTTGGTGCACAATACCCAACTATTCTGCCGTCTAATAGCACAGCAACACTCTCCTCCAGCGAGGATGATGACTCTGAGCCGACTCCGAGAGTTGATAGTATCTCCGGAATCCCAGAAACATCCAAATTGCTTGTTGCAATCAAGCACTTGTGGGCGAGGTGGTTAAGAAGGCCACAAGGACTACCGTCAGGGGTATGGACCGGGCATAAGAAACCCCAACTTTCCGGTAAAAGTTTTCGCACGGTTGTGGTTTTCAGTTGCGCAAAGAAGCTACCTCTGTGAATCATTCGGAAATGGCTGATAAAACGGTAGAAATTAATCTTCTCGGCGATAATAGTGTAACCTGACGGTTGTTGAAGGTCGAGACCAGTAGGGCTAACAAGATTTCCAGTGGATAGAAAATACTCCAAAGCTCCACCAAGATTTTCATTAGTCCTGGCTACAATGCGGCCTAGGAAATCCTTTTCAAATTTGGGATCAGTGAACAGCGCGCCTAGATTCCTGTTACTCCAGTCTCGTGCTAAAGGCCCAATTGATCGTAGCCATTCCTCCAGGCGCTCTTTAAGGATCATTCCGTAAAGGAAACCACCGAGTAAAACTTCCTGGTTGGAAACTGCATCAGGATTATCAGGCGCGCAATCCCCAGCCACCAGGGTGTAAAGCTTGCGAATCATGAAAAGGATCATATTGAACTTGTCGTTGTCCTGGGGCTCCGTTACGTTCTGGTTTCCCAAATGGGGGAGAACTATTTTGCGAAGAAATTCTGTGCCAACGTCTTCGTCCGACACGTTATCCGCCATTCCTAAAACATACCGGAACTTCTCACCTAGGTATGCTCGACATTTGCTTTTCGAATGGACACCGTAGGCTTTGTAAGTTCTCAATAGGAGTTCCATCCGATCCGTAACGAACGTATTATTTATTCCCAAAGAGCCCTCTCTCCCAACCAGGCGCTCAAAGATCTCCCGGTCATTCGTCTCGATAAGAGCCTTCAGGATCATCACAACTGGAACAAGGTATTCGTTCTTCCTCCAAGAAAATCTAAATGTAACATTCCCATCACTAAGATAATGAAGAACATTCGTCTGGGAGGTCTGATCAGGTCTGACGGATCGGATTTGCACACCAAACTTTGTATATGACGCCCCGCGCTTTGTGAAAGACGTTCGGATGATTGCCATCGGAAAGTTTCTCCTCGATACGATCAACATTCGAATGAGTTTCTCGTTGCCATTGACAATGAAGTACCCGCCCAACTCCTCGGATTCTTCTTTGCGCTCAACCAATTGATACGGAGTGAGCTTTTCCAAATGGCATCTGTTTGTCTGTGGAGTTGAATCACGGAATATATTAGCTTATCAACGAGCCATCACGCTTTCCGAAGCTTATATCGCTCACCCTTAACATAATGGGGACCTGGCCCAGTTCCCGAACCGATTCCTTCCAGTCTCCATTGTTCACTCTGAATTCTAATCTAGCCCTCAACCTGCCGCGATATGTAGCATGTCTCTCGCGGCATTCCGCCGGCAAGATTTCACGGTTCCGAGTGGTAAACTTGTTCGACGCTGGCAACACTGCTTTCTCCAAAAACAGTTCTGTGACGCGAACGCTGAGCCTATTCCTCCGCGGAGCTCGCTTTCCTTCTTCCCTTCTTTGCCTCCTCAGCTCCGGTGTCTCTGGGACTCCGTCGAGGAATGTTTTTGTGCCAATGTCTTTCAGGGCAGCCTCCATAACCTTGCTATCGTCGAAGAGCGCATTGAAGGAATCGATATGCGGTCGAACGGCGGCAGCGAGCATCGGATACGCGGTGTGGTCCTTTGGCGGGTGTCTAAATAGACGCTCTCGTCTGAGAGTGTCGTACTGGACGGTCCAGTCTGTTTTTGTAGAGGAGGCCATGGTATCCTGCAGAAACTTGAATGCGTGGAGCGGAAGAATTAAGGTAGGAAAGTTCGCAATTACCGGTGGAGAGATGTAATAGCGCCCATGGCACTCTGCGCACAATTCACATTAAAAATATGTACTCAACTGTAAAAGAGAAATGAAGCCAATCGCTCTTCTGCGTTCAATCTGCTTGTTGTCGGAGCTTCTGCTCGAAATATTTTTCAGGCGCCGGAAATATGATACGCCGATACTCCGACGAAAACAGGTAGGCAGTTTCCTCGATAGTTAATTAGCCAGTTCCAAAACTTTAATTGCTTATTAAGGACACGCATGAGCCACTGAGCCCAAAAATAGTTTAGCGCAACTACTACAGAGGAGGCTCGGTCATGCACCATCTCAGAAGTACGGCTTGTATAGTTTCATTCCACCCATCCCACCTTGATGTCGTTGTGGTAACTAACAGTTGCAACTACGGAGTGCCAACATCATAATATGCCATGTCCCCGCTTCCTCCATCCCAAGCTATGTACTAGTAACAGCTCTTATAGCCAGTGAACTGCCTTCTTGCCAGATGGTGCTCCATCAGGTCGGCCGCACACGCCTCGGTCCTCTCAGGCACATCGTTAAACCCCGCGCTAACTTGGAGTACGTCGATGTGAAGAAAGGCGGCTTCAACAAAGGGTCTCTCGCAGAGCCCTGCCCCTCCGTGCTATATGTCTTATCAATAGCCGTAAGGAACTTGTCCGCTTTCCAGGAAAGCGTAGCTGTGTATTCAAATCTTTTACGTACTCCTTTCTTCAGTTTTGGGACGCGGCACTTGTCCGCAACCGGGCAGATCATGATGTCGAACAGGTTTGTGAAGAATGACCGGCATCACTGCTGCCGCTATATGCATGGCTAAGCCCATACATGAATAAATCATTGCCTCCACAGCGCGCGGATCATCATCTTTTAGCTCTATCTCGTCTTTGGTTGTTTACTAGAACAAAAGGAAATTACCCGGGCCTGATCAACACAAATATCCACTTGATTGCTGAAGTCTTGCCTCCCAGGTGCCCTTGAACATTCAAGAAAAGGATGGCGATTGTCCAGAGAGCACCCGCTTGTACACCTTGAAATCTCTGTCCACAGTTCTGGTTGTAAAGTCTGAAGGCATAGAGGAGTAGAAGGATCTACCAATATTTAAGCCTTGAACACTCACTCCACTTTTCTGATTTTCCGCCCTACCGCCGAAAGCTTGCGGCCAAGTCGCGAGAGTTCTAGCTAACCGGTTCGGGGGAAACTTATCGCAACATCATCGCTTACTTCAGCTTCATTGGGCTGACAGCGTGTGCTCCTCTTTCGTTTATCATGTTTACAGAGGGCCTTTACCCGCCGAGCTTCTGGATACTAGTTGAAGGGGAGGAAGACTAAGCGAGAGAGGTTCTGTTCCTAAAAGGAAATGAAAGAAAGAGAAGAAAGCCCATCCGCTCTTATGGTGGGCGTATGTCCGAGCACCATGCTTCGGAAAAAATGAAGAAGCGGAAGAAGAAAAAGAAGAAAGGATTCCCGTCTACTATTCGGACACCGCAGCCTCTTCAACTTTGGTAAGAAAGAAAGTAATAGGATAGTGGACTCTGTCTCAGTACCCTATATTCCATGTTCCATCTAGAGTTCCCTAGAAGCATCTAAGGCAATTAATCTATAAAACCAAAATGACGTGAAAATGTCGATATATTATTGGAATGACTTTCGATCCAAATGCCGGCAGGTCTTTGGTATAAAATTAGCAAAGTTATCCGAACAAACCTCCCTGGTCAGGTTCCATTTAGCGCCGGGAAGGCCCCCACTCCCAGTCCTCCTCGTGAATCCCAGAGTTCCAACGCAGCACAAGCAAAGCCCGCCCAACTCGCACTCCCCTGTCCACATCATTGTGCATCCATCAGGAGCATTAGTGGCTGCGGCTGCCCACATCACGCAAGGAACATCGACTAGGACTAACGAGGACCTGGACCCCTTATCAACCCGTTTATCCCTCTAGACGCCAAAGCTCCACCACCGGCTTTGGCTGCACACGAGTTCTTCCGCCCCGCCCTCAACAAAGCGCACGCGAAAGGGTTTGGTCATGTGTGCATTCACATCCCAGCAGGACACGGCACAATTCCATCGAGTAGTCGACTTGCTTTCTGCATTATCTCTTAACTCTCCTTTTTTTTTTTTTTTTTTTTTTTAAAACTTTGGCCAGGAATGTGAAGCAGAGAGCTTCAAACAAGCGCTCAGCTAATCAGCATTCAACAGTACCCGCTGTTTCGAGTCTGCCTCTCACGAACAATCTAAGGTTCGCCAGGCTTTTGTTTATTTTTTTTTTTTTTTTCTTTTTACCTTCTTCTTATTTTTACTCCGTATTGCTGCTTTTATTATAATTACTTTTGTCTCAGTGTTCAGTTCTAATATTAATTTCCCTTTGCCTGCATTCGAACTCTCCACCAGCCTTGGATTGTTTACCTGTGATGGTTCCTCAGCAAACTAGTTAGTGTGTTCCTTGGGGGAAGGCTACAGGCGCCACACTCTTGGTAAACCGAAAAAAGGTCCCAGCGGAAAAGCACATCCTCACCGACACACCCAAATACCCCTTGTGTTACCATCTAGTACTCTCCCCGCTTTCTCGCTGTACAGTACGTCCAGCAAGGCAGAAATTCCGTATTATCGAATTTCTATCGTTTTTACAAGTGTCGGCTCCGTCTGACGTGTATTTTCTGATAGCAAGCGACGTTCAGGTGGGAGCCGGGGTCGGGATGGGAAGCTTCTTCAGAAGTATCTATGACTGGTTGCTCAGAATGTTCTGGTTAGTCGTTGTCCGAACGAAGGCCGTTTGGCGGCGAGGATGTAAAGGAACCGAAACAGAGCGCCCGCAAGGTTGAACGGTTTCGTGCTGATGGGAGAATACTGTGCTAATGTTCGGTTTTTCTCTCGTGGTAGGGCGACCGAAATGGATGTTACGATGGTTGGTCTTCAGAACGCAGGAAAATCGTCGCTGTTGCGAGTTTTAGCGGTCAGTACTGTACACCTACCTGAAAGGAGCATGTGTTAATGTTATTACTAGGGTGGTGAATTCACAATCGAGTATGTCATAACCCCTGGCAAACCATAGCTTCCAACGCCGCCAGACAGTGATTTGGTCGATTATTGACTCCAAATGTACAAAGCTCGATACCAACCATCGGGTTTAACACCAAGCGTGTGCAAAAAGGCCATGTAACGCTGAAGTGGTAATACCTCCTCCTCTTGAATTTCTATAGAATCTAGTGACGCTGACGACAGAGCAGTTGGGACCTTGGTGGTCAACCAAGGTTTCGACCGATGTGGGAGAGGTACTGCCGTGGAGTGCATGCCATCGTGTAAGTGTTAACTTATGCCACGCTGAGAAATCGGCGGAGAGGGGGGCGGATGGAGGCTAAGGACGCACAGGTATATCGTCGACGCGGCCGATAGGGATGCTTTGCCCATGGCGACAGATGAACTCCATGAGCTTGTCAGCAAGCCGTCTCTCGATGGAATCCCTCTTCTCGTTTTAGGCAACAAATCAGATCTGCCTGACAAGTTGTCAGTGGATGAATTGATCGAAGAGATGGACCTGAAGTCAATTACTCGGCGGGAAGTCAGTTGCTACGGCATCAGCGCCAAAGAAGAAACAAACCTGGATGCAGTGCTGCATTGGTTGATTGGGCGTTCGAGCAAGTAATAGCCTGCTTGTTTCAATGATCTAGTTTCATCTTATCAGGTGTATTGTGACGGGGTTGGGATCGGCTTCTTTTGATCTTTGTGCATTCGGGTTTGGGACTTTTGCGCTCTCGCTTTATCACCGCTTTCTTCGTCCCCTATTTCTTTTTTTTCCCCCCTAATCTCTTTTCTTGAATAACGGCTGCCAATGTTGATCTCATGCTGTTTGTCGCCATTGTAATCCGACTTTTCGCTGTGGAGGATCTTTTTTTTTTTTTTTTTGTAACTTTGGATAGTATCTCTGGCTGTTAATCAATCATGGGTGACTGGAGCTGAAGCATGTGTGAGCTGATGCTCATGACCAGGACATCTCCCATCAAAACCAAGATGTCGAGGTGAGAGAATTTCATTCATATATAAGGCCCGTCTTCAAGCAAGAATATTCTCGAATAATTTAAAAAAAAAAAAAAAAGGAGGGGGAAAGAGGGGGTTTTCCCTGAGGAAGTGGAAAATAAATTCAAGAAAAAGAAGTATCAAACAAAATCCCATCCTCGGTGGCCGGGAGGCAATTCCAATCTTTAAATCCTCCAACCGCCAGTGCTTCATAATTATTTTAGAATGAGGAGCTCTGCTTGTTTGCGGGCTAGCTGGTCCACACGGGCACACGGGCCCCAAGAAAAGCGATGTGTTGGCAAGATGACATGCATCATGAGAGGTGAACCACCAACGACCAGCACACGAAAGCTGCTTGTCTTACCCATAGAGTGGCATACACGTGTCAGTGAGAACTCACAGCACAGAGTGCCCTCCTTTGCCAGACAGTGTTTGGCTAGGTGACAGAAATTCCTCTATACAGTACACTGGGAGGAAGATGAAGAAGCCGTGAATCTGAGAGAATGCTGCCACAAGGAATGTTTAGCATTTTAGTTGTTGGCCAGCGAAAAGAGAAGGGCGACTCGCGCCAAGGGACTCCCCTGCCGGTTGGTCGGACCAAGGTCAAGCGAAAGTTCCTTCAGGGCTTCCCGACCTCAACTGATGACCTCGGAGGGCGGGAGAAGTAAAGATCCGATGAGCCCGTCACGGTGCCAGGGATGTGACTTGGCGTGGCTATCAATTAGATGAGACATCCTGTTCCCGATTTCAAACCTTCATAGGGCCTGTCTGCACGTCAGGCACAGGGAGAGGCGGGGCGGGCTGGATTATCAAAGCGGTCAGCTCGCTGGTAGTCCAAATGGATGTCGTTGTACGGAGTATATGTGGCTGGTCGGGTAACTTGCGGAGCGACCACCCAGCTTTGCTTCTTAGCCAGTTCGGGCGCGGTTCAAAGAGCATAATCTACCCCAAAAAGGGTAAATCCGTATATTTGAAGAGAGAAACAAGCCAATCATTTCTTGCGAAGAGTTTGTCCCATTCCCGGCTGGACTACAGTACTTGTCCAGCGCGCAAAAATATGTAGGGCTGAAGGTTTGAGATCTGAGGGAAGGTGACGTAATCCCGGCCATGCGGTTAAAGCTACCGTGGATCAGTTTAGCGTAAGTCGTCTCTGCGCAGCCACACTTTTCCGAAGCCACGATATTTCATTACCTGGGCAATTGCGCTCGAAACCAGACAGTCCCTCCTACAAATTATCGCCCATCCCACACCCTCCCGCCTGCAAATCATCACATTCTTTCATCGTTTCGAAGACCCACCATCAACCTCATGGACCTTGGAGGCCCTGAATATCTACCCCACAACCTTGTTATCTTCCATTCCCTCTCTCTCACACACTTTTTATCGTATACATCATTTCCATCCATTCCTGCTTTCTCTAACTACGCTCTGCACCCTTGCTTGAAGAGCTATTAGCTCTTGACTTCTTGAAGAAACATGCCGGCTTTGTTTTCGAAGCGAGAGTAAGTAATTTTCAACCACCGCATCTTTCCTCCGACCCGCTCCGCTAAGCATCGCGCCTTTGATTACAGCTGCTTCACCACACCGTCAGGGCGTCTGTACTGCGACTCTGCCTGGTATAGCTGGGCGCGTTGGGTCTTCTTAGCAATCCTTATTGCCAGTGCTTTTCTACTCTTCTTCGCCTTCTCGTACGTTCTCCCCCACCTGTCCACAAAGGACATCAAAAAGAAAAAAAAAAAAAAGAGAGAAGAAAAAAGAAGGAAGAAAGCGAAGAGAAAGAGAAAGAGACAACTGACAGCCTTTCGTCGTGATAGATGTATATCTGCCCGTCGACGACGCAGTAGGGGCATGCAACCCTACATGGGTACTGGCTGGGCTGCCAATATGGGCCCATGGGGCAAACCAGGAGACCAACGACCTGCTCCGCAGTATCAGTACCAACAGCCTCCTCCACCGCAATACACATCAGGGCCGTATTACGGAGGGTATGCCAACAACCAGGCCCCCGGCGAGACCAGCCAACAACAGACGGGGATCGAGCTGCAGCAACCACAGCATGCGTACCGGGGAGACGGAGTATATGAGCCTCCATCGGGACCTCCACCGCAAAAGACGATCTGAGATGGAACAATTTTAGACGGGTATTTTCATAATTGATCCAAGGCATAGAGTGGTCAGAGAAGTCGCCCTCGGGAACGAAGAGAACTACCAGAATGATGGTTGCCTGGTGCGCACTTTCAGCATCTGCTCCCAGATTAAGCCATGCATGTCTAAGTATAAGCAATTTGTACGGTGAACTCTTGTGCTCTGCATGCTGTGTGAATAACTAGTATCACTGTTCCCCGTTTCCTCAGCCTGATTCAGAGCCGGGTGTTTTCTTTCTCTCCTCTATGAAAGTTTGTTCATATTGCACGGAAATTTTACGGGCGCTTCTAAGAATTGATGGTTAGTTAACTAATGGACTGGACAGCTCATCCTCTCTTTCTTCCCCTTTGCACACCTTTGAAAGTACTGTAGTATCCTGAGATGCGCACCCTTTTTCCAGATGGAGCTCCCGAGCGGAGATGAATTTATTACTGCAGTAACTTCCCCGTCTTCTGTGCCTCTCGTGCTCCTCTGTCGTCGGAGGTCTCACCCGCTCGAGTGCCCCGTAGTGCCCCATCAGTCAGCCGGGATGGCCAATGGCATCCAAATGATATGGCGGCGTCGGACGAAGCAGTCCACAACGCTAGCAACTTTGTTTCCACCTGAAACAGAAGAATGTGATGTCAATCACACAGCAGCTGCGCAAGACTCCGGAGGGAGAGTATTTTTATTTGTTTCCATCGCAGTGGGGACGACAGTTCCCCATAGGATCGTCAATGAAGGGAGAAAGGGGGGGTTAGGAGCATTTTTCTATATTTTTTTCCTTTTCGCCAACGGACACGTGGGACATGGAATATTCCGACAAGAGTAGAAAAGGCAGAGCACCCGGATATGTTGTCTGCTCGTAGCCTCTTTCAGTGGAACGTCGTCCGAAGTAATCAAAGTTAGACGAGGGAAAAAAAAAAAAAGAAGAGACTTCCGAGCAGAACCCTGGGTGACAAGACCGCACTGCCTCTCTAGTGCCAAGCACCGCTGGGTAACTTGGTCCAGAGTTCCCGCCCAGATCGACGAGCGTGTGCCGCACGACTTCGCACGCTCGCCATCGATCGAAGGCCGGGCGCAGGGGATTGGCAGAGTATTAATTTCCTTGGGCTTAAGAGAAGCCGTTATTTCGTTCTTTTCCCGCACAGATTTTGTCGAAAATCCTCGTCAGGAGAGCAACTCTCCTGTTTGCCGCGACTCAACAGACTGGTTAGGTTCGAGCCGTATTGACTCTCACCCACGAACCACGGGTGGGCAGTGCCAGAGGAAGAGTCGCCAGCAACGTATTGCAGTACGCATTTCAATCCAAGATTGTTGCGCTGTTATTCCCCAAACCGGTCTTGACGCCAGAATCCTTCCGACAACCTTCCTTTTCTTTTCTCTTCTTTTTTTTTTTTTTTTTTACCCCGTCGTCACATTCTTTTTGCGATTTATTACCTCTTATCCAGTCGCTTTGGAGCCTGCACACGTTTACCTCGATCGAGACCAGTGCATGGGCCGTTGGCGCCATCTACCTTTGGCGTCTGGGTGTGCGCCTCCTCCTAGAGATCAGTTGCGTTTCCTCTGATTCTCGGCCCACCCCCCTCCCAATCGCTCCCGCAAAGAAACTGGGAACAACTATATTTCCAACCCAGCATCCCAAACGTTTGACATATGACTCTTAACGAACTCGACTCTTTACTTCATGATCGACTGATTTGCCGCTCGCTTTCTTCCAAGACCCTTCAGTCCAATCCACCAGACCTCTCGCTGCTTTTCCCCTTCGTAAAACTGGTTGATCTTGGTTGCCCGTCTACCTTTGCATTGCCCTACGTGCGAAATAAACGATCTACCATTTCATTGTGACTAATATCTACATATCCTTTCTTTTACTCCTTGATCGCCCGGCCATCAACGGTCCGGCAGTTCTAAAATCTCACCATGGGGCCAGTGGAATTCACGCCTTGGCATCGCAATGATATTCGAGCCCTAAATGACGTGAAACAGACTTTCTCGAGCTGGGACTCGTGTATGGCAAAGCCATATTGCAAGTACGTTAGCAGCGAACTCGTTTCAGGTTGCTTTAACTCGCTATAGTAATAAGATGCTAATATAGCGGGTCTTATCCTGCAGATGGCCTGCCATCGTCGGAATCGTCGTGGGATCCTTGGTCGTCATCGGTATCGCTTGGTGCATAATCAGTTGCCTGTGCTGCGGTTACACATGCTGTAAGGGCTGCTGCTCTTGCTGCTCCTGCTGCGGAGGTGGTGGTGGCAGCAGTGGCGGACAGCGCTCCAAATACGCCGACCCGCCGGCTGCTTACCCACCTCCACCAGCTCCCAATTACGGGTACCAGCCTTCAGCTCCGCCCGTCTATGACAACCCCCCACCACCAACGAAGAACTGGAGCCCAGTTGCCCAGCATGCACAGTTTGACGTGCCGACACAGAAGGCGGTTAACGAAGATGCCTTGCCGCACATGCCAAGTTGGGCCAACGCCACAACGAGGAGAGTCGAGGATACATCGCAAGACGTCGAGATGAACCAGCTGAGCCCGGCCACGGGGCAGGCTATCGGCACCGCTGGTCGAAATCACTCCGGATACTACGAAGTCCCATCCCAGCCAACCTCTCCCCACTTCGCTCCAGACAACGCCTATCGCGGCACCGAGCTTGCAGGTACCCCAGCCAGCCCGTCGAACATCGGCATTGCCCAAACTCAGGGATTCAGCAATCAGCCGTATAGAGACCGCTCTCCCGTTCACAGCACAGGAGGAATGTTCGTTGACACTACCCATCCATATTCGCGGTCACCAAACGCTTCCCCTCCTCCGGTGCAGAATGCTTATGCGCCTTATTCTCCTCATGGCCAGCAGCAATCAGGTTACGCAGCGTATTCCCCGTCCATCCCGTCCTCCCCGCCGCCGCCATTCTCGTCAACGTATGGTGATAATAATAATGGGCGGCAAACGCCAACTTTGCTGCAGGCTGGGAGGAAGCCGGTCGAAAATTCGTGGAAAGATGTCTAAAAAGAGAGCATCTCCAAGTGACCTCTCTTGTCTTCTACAACCTTTTTTCGCTGCAGATGCCTCACCGCTTCTGCTACTTTTTTTTTTTTTTTTTTTTTTTTTATAATCCTCCGCTTCTTGAGAAACTCGTTTTCTCGCATGTTGTCAGGGCTGATTTATCATGCATCGGCCTTGCTATGCATTTGCTCTTTGGTTCATTTCTTTCAAGCTTCCTTTCTCACGATTAAATATCCTCAAGGTTATCTTACTTTATTCATTTCTTCCGTTCCCCTTTCTTCCTTTCTTACTCTTTTTTCCCCTTTAACTCTTTGTACATGATATTCCACGACATACTTTGGCCTCCATTACTCATTTCTCTCCATACCGCCAAGGCGTGGTACCTCCATTCTTCGCTTCTCATCATGGACTTTTTATCTAAATGGTTTGCTATGTGGCGTTAGGTACGGTGGTCCGGGCGAGTTGAGTCAAATGTGCTTTTCTAATTCTCTTGATATCCTGTAGAAATGTAAACGGGAACGACTTGTGGGAAAATGAAGGTCAAAGAACGGCACATCTTATTATTTCTGGCTTACAATTTTGCAACTGTCATATGTTTCCAATACATCAAATGGCCCTTTTCTCGTCTCCTTTTTTTTTTTTTTTTTTTACTATTCCTTATCTTGTGATGCAAGGTCAATACAGAGTCCGGCATGGCCTGAGCATTCTTCCACCTTGTTCTTAATTATCACCAAATTGAAAGAGCTTGTTTACCCACTTGGGGTCAAATGCCAAAAGCTCACCTAAAATGCCTATATATGTTCTTCGTATCTGTTTTGGCCTCGCCAGACATTAGTTACACGGCAAATTGACCTGCTTGAGCATCCGCCAAAGCCTCCAATTGCTGATAGGCTCATTACGATCTTTTTGCCTACCAAGTCCAAATAATATGGGCCACGCTGTGCTCATACGTAGTATGCCATGCTTAGATGAGTGTCCCTTAATGACCAAGAGCTCAGTATATGTTTTGTTACTTTGCATAGGCATGTGCATCCTTCCTATATGATCTTATGGCTAGTTGTATTTCAAAAACTATTAAGAGGAAACTGCCAGATATCTGCCTCTTGCAGATCAATGGGGCAAAGAGTCCTGTTGTACAGCTGTGAACGTGTGATATTAATTTTCTGGGTTACACCATGTGCGGGAACGGGAAAAGATTGCTACAGTAAGATTCTTTTAACCCTTTCACTTTTGCACTATCAATGGCTAGGACAATAGTTCACCTGCGTCTGTAGATTCTGAATTTTGCTAGCAGCAATCGTGGTTTAAGAGCCACATATCTTGTTCACTCGCTCACTGGTTCAAAATCTCTTCTTGTTCGCTCAAATCAAGAGAAGTTGAACGGAGTACGGGGTACCATTTCCTGCCCACCTCAAAGCCACAACTTCAAGACTCGCTTGAGTGCAAGTTTACTTTATTTCACCCTCTCTGGATGACAACAATAGGAAGGTTGAGCCAGTCTTGGCGCAGCGAGAACCTGTGTATGCCCTTCCGAGATCTTTGGCAGGGTACGGAGTACATAGCTTTTAGCAAGTGTCTAACGGATGAAACACTGTTTAATTCGACCCAGCATTGCCTGCGTCCTCCTCACTGAGACAGTCAGATCATCACTTCTGTTTTGAATAAGATATACTGCCGTGGCTGTCTCCGTGAATATTTCTAAGGTTCATGCATGTCTAACTAGCGGGGAGTCATGGATGTTGTTCGGCCTCAGGATAAACCGAACTTTTCAAACCCGGCTCATACCTAAATCCAATAGGCACCAGCTATCGGTTGAGGCCTGCTCAGGAACAAACTGGGTATCCATGCGAGTCCAAGCCTCAATGTCACCTTTCCCGCCCAACGTGCGAGCAATCTCGAACGTCAGCGGGTTCATCTAAGAATTGGTGCAATGACCAGAATATTATCCGGAACCGTACGACTCAGTATTTATTCCGACTAGACCGCAGCTCGCTATACTAGGAATCAGACTTTATAATCGTACCTGTATCAATCGCAGGCTAGTCCGAGGGAGATTGATACCTGGTTTCACTTTTCAGCAGTTCCTAGATATCACCGACCAGTGGTAGTGCTTTCAGCCTGTAAGTTATGTCAGATTAGTGCTCGACATGCATGGAAAAGCAAAACACATCACAAACAACACCTGCTCCCGGACCCGGTTGGATTTTAACAGCTAGCATATCACTGTTGAATGTTTTAGGCCGAAAGCCACCACCGAAGTATGATGACACCAATATGACATCATGGTTATATAGTGTGGCTGCTGTTAACTAAGCGGGCAACCCCTGGGCAGACAGCATTCTAGAGTTATCTGTTATCTATAGTAATAGTTTCTATGTACGGAGTACACATAGCTGATAGTAATTTTAACAAATCCCTTATGGACTGCTAAAGGATCTGAAAGCTCCAGAACGTGGCTCAGCTGCTATATGTTGGGGGAATTCGGGTTTGATACGCTTCTTCCGCCATGGCGAGAAGATGTAAGTCCATTAACGGCAGAAAAAGGGCCAAAAGTGCATAATGTTGAGAGCGGAGCCGTGTTTGATTATCTCATGACTTTGGTCACTCGGGGGGTAGAGTAACTCCTCTGTTCCCCCCAATACGAGGATCTCTCATCCCTCCCGAGTGAATAGTCGGGAGCTGACAGTGATCTTGCATCAAAAATTCCCTGTTTCAACGTCTTTTACGGTATGCAACGTACTTTACACCGTAGAGTACTCCGTATCTCGTATCTCAAACCTGTTACACATGCCCGCGTGGAATCCCTGGCCATACGTGCTCACCATGTGCACGGTCCTCGCCAATTTTTGAACAGCGAATAAGCAGTTGTGCCTGAGCCGATATCAAAACTTTATACCAGTTTCTAACACCACCGCCGAAAAGCTTCTCCTTCATGATTGCTTGGGTGGAACAACATGGCCTCAATGCGTTCCATCCTCAAAGGGGGTACAGGGAAACCGCCCGAGCGGTCAAAACGCCGCACAGAGCTCGAGGGCTTCAGCCATCAAGCCGGTCTGCCGGGTATTCTGTGTGGGTCCTGAGCTGCGATTCGAGGACGAATTGGCGGATCTGGCCACGTTCACACATGCTGCAGTCGTGTCCATAATCTTCATTCCCGAAGGGGTCTAACGAGTTAACTGGCGAGAATAATGACGTTGTTGCCCGAACAAACATGGGCAACATGGGCACTACGGAGTACTTATCGAGAGTTTGCACAAGGACTCCAAAGCGTTCTTCCACCGCAGCAAACCGAAGCGCGACGCATATACATAGGACATGGTTATGGGGCCAGTGGGGAGTTCCAGAGGGCTTCTTCGGGGCTTAAATGCAAATAAGCCTTCTGAAGCATTGAATATGTTGTTACTCCGAACCGAGGAGTGCCGGCGAGACTGGATCCAAGAGGGTCCGACCAAAAGGAGTACTCCGTAAAGCTTGTGACGAAAGGCGGAGAGCGACAAGACCGATCACAAATGCTTGATTTTCCTTTTTTTTTTTTTTTTTAAAAAAAAAAAAAATAATGATCCTTTCGTTGTGCCAGGCCAAAACAAGCCCCAATCTCGTGCCGAACAGCCGGGCATGCGCGTGGTTGCAGGGTGGCCGCCTGTTTTGTTGGTTTCCGGTGCTGGTTTTTGGGGAGCGTGAAGGATGCCGACTAGGGTTCAAGCTGATCGCAGCGAGGCATGACTAATTGGCGTCGAGAACGGCACCGGAACTCCGGCTGGGCAGGAGAGGGTCGCTAGCCTTTTTGGGCAGCTTCTTAGCTCCGGCCGCGAGATCCAACGCCGCTTCACGAGGACCACATGGACTTAAGCCTCGTTATCGCCATCAATCCCGATTGATCCGTGAGGCGTCTCAAGCCCGGTTATTATTAGTGTCTGGTCGGCGTGCGCGATGATCGTGCGGACGCCCATTCCGGGTGGCTTCTTGGTCGCTGTCCCGAGCATCAGAAAGCTCATATAGTTATGAATGTTGTTGAATTTTGAGTCAGAGGAGGTCTAGGCTTGGAAATGTTGACAGGCAAATATAGGCTTCTTCAAAAGCCATGCCAGAGGTACTACTAGCGCGGGGAGCGTCTCCACTCTGGCAAAGGTCTCAAGGGCGTGGTTACGTTTTCCCCGGGTCGAGTTCTATGCCAACCTGGATTGACACGGATCCGCTTTCATTTCGACTGATAACTTCACCAAAAAAAAAAATATTATAAATCCTCATGATCGCTCTAGAACCCCAATACGGATGGCGAATATGTTGGATTTGTTACTTATCTCACGCCTTCCCCTTCCAGGAAAAGGGATGCTGGATGCAAGTACAAAAATGAACTGCTGATGAACTGCAGATTTCATTCTTACTATCAATTTTTCAAGGTTCCCTAGATCTTCTATGAATGTTAATCATGTCAGACACTCCAGATTCCAAGAACGAGGTCTCATCTGCCTCTATTGTGGCGGAGGAGAAGAGCGATGCCGTCCCAACGTTTCCGGATGGCGGGCTCAAGGCGTGGTTGGCGGTTGCAGGCGCCTTTAGCACTATGTTCTGCACTTTTGGATACCTGAGCACCTTTGGGTACGTACTCTCCGAGCGCTTCCCTTGGATATTCTGCAGGTAACCGCGTGTGAGCGAGCTAACATGAGTTGATGTCAGTGTACTGGAGTCATACTATTTCAGTAACCTTCTACGGGGCAGTTCCCACTCTGAGATTGCCTGGATTGGATCACTGCAAGCATTCTTTATGTGCACCACCGGTCTAGTGTCCGGGCCGCTGGTGGATCGATATGGAACAAAGGTAGGCTAGAATCCCTAAAAACTTCAATTTCCATATGTGGGATGCAGCTAACTCTAGTAGATGGTCCTAATACCGTTCTCTCTTCTATACGTCACCTCCGTGATGTTAACATCACTCTGCAAAGAGTATTATCAATTCCTTCTTGCCCAGGGTATCCTGGGTGGGTTTGGTATCGGGATGCTTTATACTCCTGCTATCTCAATCCTTGGTCACTATTTCCAAGAGAAGCGCGATCTTGCCATTGGCATTTCATCGGCCGGCTCGCCACTTGGGGGCATAATCTTCCCAATTGCTCTCAATCGCTTCCTCCAACATACGGACATTGGGTTCCCCTGGTCCGTTCGAATCATCGGGTTTATTATGCTCGTCCTGCTCTCCATTGCGTGCGCGACCCTTGTACCACGTATCTCGCCGAGAAAGGGTCCGCATTTCCTTCCGGCCGCCTTCAAGAAGCCAGTTTACTCGCTGCAGGTGGTGGGCTATAGCGTTATTTTCTGGGGCATTTACACACCATTCTTTTTCCTTCCCGCATATGCCACCTCCCATGGAGTCGATGTCGATTGGGCGTTTTATATCATGCCGATCTACAACTCCGGATCCTTCATGGGCCGAATCGTCGGTTCTAGGCTTACATTATACCTCGGGCGGTTTAACACTCTGATCGGAGCGATCTTCATCTCTGGAGTCCTGGAGTTCTGTTGGCTAGCAACGTCCAACCTTGGAGGTCTGGTGACTTTCGCAGTTCTCTTCGGGATATCTTCAGGGGCCATCATTGGATTATTCCCAACGACAGTGGCCATGACTGCTCCTCAGGCCAATCAAATCGGGACATATCTGGGTATGATGATGGGCGCGCTGGGAGTATTCTGCCTTACCGGCTCGCCGATGATGGGCGCCATTGTCAGCAGTTCTGGGTTCACGCCCGCCATTGCGTTTAGCGCCGCACTCACGATGCTTGGAGGAATTATGATATTGGTAGCGCGAATATTCCATTCCAAAGAGATAGTTGCATGATCCGGTGTTTGGTAGTACCGGTGGATTTGAAAAAGTTATTTGTGACGGTTGAGGTTTCCATAGCATGCATCGGCATTGACGGGTACATATAACATACATAAGGAGCATAGATTTCGGAACAGTAGTGAGAGATAGATCTTATGTAGGTACATATTAATTGAAATTCTTGTCTTATCCATTTGATTCATATAACAGAGTGAGTTTGACCAGATACTCTAAATTCTCGAGGCACCAGGGAAAGATGGCCATGATCCTATCTTGCGCAATCATATGGCCTGTTAGATAACTGGAACCGTGCATTGGAACTTCGCAACAAGCAAATTGCAATATATTCTATCTATCAAGGCTCCCTGAAAAGTACTGAATATGACCAAGAATCGAACGATAGCTGTGCCGCGGCCCTTGGAGGGACTTTGAATCAACAAATATAGTGGGTTGGATAAAGATCATCGTTCTTCACTCATGCCAAGGACAATACAAAGGCTAATGTGGCAACAATGGCTTACCCAAAGCCCAAGCGCGTCTTCTCCGGCTTTAAATAGCTTGTGGAATGGATCTCTGAATGCCTGCACTCGCAAATTTCGTGCCAAACAAGCTGTTATCACTACACTCTGCCCTTAAGTGCAAACTCCTATGGTATCTCAAGCCGTCGAGCAAATTCATGGTGTACTTCACCGATGCGGATGCCGAATTTGCGGTGAACTTTGTGACAGCCTCCAAATTTGTCTCCCTGCAAGTTTGGGTATCCGTGGCAGCTGGCTAGTTATCCACTTCAACAGGCTTCAACGCGGCCAGAGCCGGAGTTTTCACGCCTGTCCTCAAGTGTCGGGGCATCCAGGCAAACCGAAACTCTTCATCATGGTCCGGTGGCCAAGTGACTGGATGAGGTTGATTGTTTCTCCACACATATTATGTCTCTCAAAGAGACAAAAGGAACCAGTGTCGTGAAGGCAGTCTAGTTTTCGATCGTCTTGATAAAAGTCAAAAATTTGACTTTGGGCACCAATCCGTGATGGTCTAACGGTCATGATTTCCGCTTGTCAATTGTTTGATAACAAGCGCGGGAGACCGGGGTTCGACTCCCCGTCGCGGAGGTAACTTTTTTGCTTTTTGTTGCTCCGTCTACTCCATACAGCATCCTGTCTGTGCCCTTCATAGTCATGCGATAAAAATGTTCATTTAACGGCTGGTCAAAGAGAACCAATAATTCTGAAAACCTATGGCTTCATTTCGCGCCCCAACTCCGCATGTCCAACGTTCACAATTGACTTCTATCCTCACATATTCACCCCTGGTCCCTCGTTGAGGATTGTTTGGCTTCCTTATCGCAGTCTGCCACCCTCACCTTTCCCTCAGGTGACGTGGTCACGATCAAAATTCCCGCTCTCCGTGGCGCGTCGGATGGCACCTCGGACCAGTCCAACTCAGCCTCACAACAACCTTCTCCCGAGTCTTCCCCGCTGCCTGGACGTTTTGCATCGGGTTCGAGCACTCTGCTTACGTACTTAGGAATACCGGTATCTCGGATCAGAGGCGAAGACGTTTCTGAACCCGATGAGCGACGAGTTTTGTCCCTTTTCGTTTTGCGCCTGCGGATCCGGGAGCCAAAGAAGCGTCTTTTGGATCCTCTGCCTGAAAGAGTCCAGGCCATATCAGCAATGGTGGAAATCATGTTTGACAGCACTCGTGGTATTTTTGCGGTGTTGAAGAGGCAAGTTAACTAGGAATTGTGCTTTGTTCGCTGCACAGGGTGACTGGGGATCAGTGAAGCCTTTCCCCTCCAATTCGAGCCCAAACAAACAGATTTTGGACACAAGCAGAAGTGATAGGAGTGGACTTTTCAAGCTTGTTTGTACTGATGGAGCCTTTCTCTATTTTGCCAACAGTGTCTCTCCCAGAAAACGAACGAAAACAGCCGGCCTGATGGATATAGATCACTGCCTGGTTTGGGCCCGTTTAAGTTAGCAGGCCCTTTAATAAAACTCAAGAATTTTTCGTCTGCATATGAAAGAGATTGGGGGCGCAGGAGAGCACAGCTTCTATGCAAAAAAAAAAAAAAAAAAAAAAAAAAAAGAAATGCGACAGAGAGGAACATTTGGAGGGAGGGGTTTTCTGTTTATTTATTCACTCCTTTTGGATACATCGTTGAATGAGTTTAATAGATGAAGGAGAACAAAAAGGCACAAGACTGCCGGCAAAAATATTTGCAGCAGAAACACATCACCTACATTAACCCATCAAACAAGCAGGAAATCCCGCGATTGCTACGGTTTAGCATGATGGCAGACGGTCAAGTCCGGCAGTTAATTGGTAAGGGATTTGCTGCGGATGGTTGCCCTCCTGCTGCTGGAGGGAAGGCACACACGTTGATGGCGGACAAGAAACACAGTCTTCCAACCCCTGGGCATGATAGCTGGGAGCATTAATAAAACCACACAGTCTGCTAGATGGAATCTAGCCAGTTGTTTAGCACAGTTGTATACTGTCTCAAAGCAATAATCTCTGACTTTTTACTATATAATTCGAAAGCCCCAATAAATAATGACCTAGGGACATATGAAGTAATGCATACGGTGCTGTAGATATAATACAAGATCCAACCCCAAAGTAGAACGTGGTATAAATGTGACGAATATCGGCTCTCCGTCTCCCACTCGGCACGGGCAAGACGGTTACAAATCGAGAACTGTATCCCGCTGCTTACCAGTAGGCTCACAGCAAGCGGTTTTGCGGCTCTATGAAGGGCCGGTAGCTCCATAGGACGGGCGGCTTCATTCTTCAAGTGAAAAGTCAAAACTTTTAAATGCAGATTTGAAAGCTTCTGCGTCGGCTGTTTCTTCGTCTTGCGGTTGTGTGGCATCCCTCCAGTTGATCCGGTCTTCGAGCCTAAGAAGCTTCGCCATCACAATTCGTCCAAACTGGAGATCAAATCGAAACTTTCCAGAGAGGGGCATTGTCAGTACCGTCTCAAGAGATGATCCACTCTCTCGCTCTGAGCCTCTCCCCGGTCCACGTATCCATACTCTAAAATGATCACCCTGACTCGATGGTGCAGTTTCAACAGTCTGCTTCTCAAATTTAGGGTAGTTCAGGTCCTCAGCCTCCACCTTAAACGCGGCTTCCAGAAGGTCGCGGAAGATTAGGCTCGACGGTACAGGAAGAAATTGCCAATGGATGTGGACACCACCACTGCGACTCACTTCCCACGTAACAGAACCCAATTCTCCGTTTGATCTTTCCTCTAGCATGGAATGGAGGGCAGACCTGTATCTTTGCATCTCATCGTAAGTTGTCTTTGTGGTGTCCGGATCGCCCATGGCTGAAAATGTTGCCGCGTGGGTTAATGGAATAATCAGTATGTGGCCTGGAAAGCCAAGTTTAGGAAAGGTACCAGCCGTTGTCAATGGGCCTTTCGCGATTGTGAGATAAGAGTCGGTGCCAATCGACGTAATGAGATGAGTCGCAATGTTTGGATTTGATAAACAGAAGAAGCATTCTGATTGGTCCGGGGCTGATCTCTTCGCTCGTTTCCTGGGTCGATGGTAATCATCGCTTTGTGAAAAGCGGCTAAAAACCTCGCCTTGTTCTTGGATGGGCTCTCTTTTCTTTGGAGCGTTCAGAAACGGCGTTATCGTGGCTGCCGCTGGGAGAGATGTGGAAGGGGGAGCATTCGGGTCCAAATTGAAGGCATACATCCATTTCTGTTTTGACGTGTTGAAGGGAGCCAAATTGAGAAACCTTGTGACGTACTTCAATCCAGAGTCATCCTCTGCGGGTACATGAAAGAATGGCTCACGCTCATAAAAGAAGGATTCATGCGAAGTAAAATGATATCGTGGCTTCAGGATGGAACATAGATCGGCAAGGCATTTAACCCCTTCGACTGGACGTGTTTCATACACACTGACCTTTGATCCGCTCTGGACGGACTTCGGCCACTGATTAGTGATAAGAATGTCCGCATATTCTGTCTTGTATAATGATTTGCAGTCAAAATCCGTGTATTGCGGCAAATATTTCTCATTCACTCCAGCAACGGGAGTCGCCGCTGATTCCCAGTTACCGCCAAGCGCCACAATCTTGACACCTTCAGATGATGTGAGGACGCCTCGTCTCCCTAAGAAGTATAGATTTGGACAAACTTCGTCGTCTTTCTCTAGTTTTTCAATAACAGCCTGAGGGATTCTATGGCTGCCAACTGTAAAATAAGTTGGCAAAGGCACAGCAATTTGGCCCCGCAAAAGGGCAGAAAGTTCTTCGTCACTGGTATCGGAATCTCCCTTAAATAAGTCACCGATTACCAGGGCAAACGAAAAGTTTTGCTTTGCTTGAAGCTTTTGCAGTTTGCCGAAAACCTCCTTGAACGCAGAATGGATGCCTCCAATAACAATTCTAAGAAAATTATGGGATTTAGAACTGCTTAAACTGGCTAACAAAATTGTATATAAGTCAGATCACGTACATCTTAGAAGCCATTTCTTTGAAAGCAGTAATCTCATGCTGATGAAATGGTGGCACGAGTAAAGATCAGGGCTGGCTCAAAAGTGAGGTATGGAATTCTAGAAGTTATTCTCTTTAAGATACGTGGTTAATTTTGGATTGAATTGAGGCTGTAAAAATAAAAGCAACTTGTGCATAAATAAGCTTCATAATTCAGTTGCTCCGAGAACGCAGCCGTTCGATGCACTGAGAATCGAGATCGCAGTTGGCTGAATGAAAGCGCAGGTTGCAGCGATGTCTTGGCATGGGAGCTTGGGCCAGCAATGACTAATCAAAAACCACACTTACGTGATCCGGAACATCATTTGACCGCTCCGCCATATTTTTTCTGGGAGTTTTGAAGCCATTCTCGAGGCCGACAGCGAGGGCGCCCTATCTGATTAATCGAACCCCTCAAGCTGCTTTTCGCTCAAAATGGCGGGAGCGCATTCAGCTCGGGGCAAGCCTCCGAAGTTGCGGAAAGGAGGCACCGAAACTACAAAGTCCCATCGCTTCGAGCCTTTCTCCCAGCGCATTGCGAAACTCAAGATAGACCCAGTTCATCGCGTACGGCGGAACAGCTTTAGCGAAGAGAATGGCGACGAGTCCTGTTCCTACTTTCGAGCCTCGCTTGAGCATTGGATGGAGCTTAATCTATCTGAAAACTTTACGGAATTTTCCCAACGCGCCGGTCGTCTTTGCGAGAGCCTTCCGCAAGTTCTATATCATCAGGATGCGATCATGGATTTATTGGCTGAATATATCGGGAGAAGAGATGAATTGAGCATGGAGCCGCTTCTGAGCCTCATGGCGCAGTTTGCGAGGGACCTGGGTTCAAGATTTGAGAAGCACTTTGCGACCACCGTTCAGTTGGTTGCCTCTGTGGCAGCCACTCATTCAAGCATCGAGGTGATAGAGTGGAGTTTCACTTGTCTGGCATGGATTTTCAAATTTCTGTCCCGTCTGCTTGTTCCAGACCTACGGCAGTTGCTAGGAATTATGTCTCCGTATCTTGGAAAACAACCCCAAAAGCACTTCGTAGCCAGATTCGCTGCGGAGTCCATGTCCTTCCTTATTCGAAAAGCAGCTCTTGTCTACTACAAAAATAAAGCGCCTCTTGAACGTGCAGTGGCGTTTCTTTTCGAGGATCTCAGCAAAACCGAGGGACAACGGCAAATTGCGATGTATCAAGAGGGGCTTATGAATATGTTTGCTGATGCAGTCAAGGGAGTTAAAGGTGGCATACACTCAAACGGAGCCGATATTCTACAGTGTCTCATGACTTCTGCTACCATGGAGGATGCCACCCACAGCGCTGTCGCGGAAGCCGTGCTTAGTGGTGTTTTGATCAACCTGGTCCATTACAGTACTAGCGACACGTTCTCACCAGTCCTCGACGTGATATGTGATTACATCGAAGCATCGTCAAAGAAGTCTTCTGTGATACACTTTCGCGTCAATGTTCACTTGTTATTCCTCGCTGTGGTAACGCGGAAAGGTTCTCGGATTCAAGGTTGGAAACGAGTTCACAAAGTTCTGCTTTGTCTCCTTAAAGAAGCTGCCGGCAACTCCGAACTTAACACTTTATCAATTGAGCAGTTGTTAGGAGCTACGGCTATTGCGATACAAACATCCCCGATGGACGAGTTGCTCCCGCATATGCGGCAAATAATGGAAATCATCATTCGCGATCCGCTGTCACAGTATTTTTTGCCTTTCTGCTTGTTCCTTTCGAGCTTTGGCTCCGACCGTTTCTACAGTGTCGTCCTGCCGTATTTCCAAAGGTAAACGTTGAATTGTATCGGCAAAGACGAATACAAGCTGACAAGCCTATTTCTAGATTCATTGTTTCTCTTTGGCAAGATTATGAAGCTGGTTTCTGCCTCACGCTGCCACGACTTCATAGTTTGAACTGCGTGACTGCTCAAGCTAACAAGTCTGGCTATTTGACTTGCCCAAATGGCTGGAAGGAGCATATTGCAAGGCAATTTTCAAACAAAAAGCCGACTACTCGTGACATCACATTCTTATATGCCTACACAACACTGCAAGATGCTCTAGCATTTTCTACTCCACCATCTATTGTTCCCCAGATTCTGGAAAGTCTCCATCACTTGTTGCTCACCTCTGCAAACCCACAGTCCAATAGAAAAGTAGACTTGGATTCGTTTGCTTGCGGTCAGGGCTTTCTTGCTTATGTTCAACTGGCTGCCCAGATGAAAGAGCTTGATAGTAATGTGTGGGATCTAGTTATCTCAAGAGGTGTGGAGTTTGCTACCGTTCCCGTTTTTTTGGAGGCAACATTGGGATTCATGACCGCTTCCAACAAGCCCCCCCAGTTCTCTGGGGAGAAAATTGAACCTTTTGTGGACACCCTCCTCTCCATTCTTGCTGGCCCGTCGCATGAGCTAAGGTTGTCATCTCTGAAGATAATTCAAGCCGTACTCTTTTGGCTTGATGTTGAAACAGGGTGCATATCGACCGCTATTGAAATTGAGCAGAGCGACTTAACGTTACAAACAGCAAGAGAGCTCTCTATGCTTGTGCGTCGACTTGCTAGCAGTTACGCAGAAGCATCCAAACTTAAATGGCTGGATCGACTAATTCCAAACTTTTGTTTTGGGTTGCTGTCAAAGAAACTGGCATCCCTTTGGGATGACACCTGCGAGGCTATAAAAGTGATATGTGAAAATTCGACTGGGGAGCGTACCGTGACTGACCTTGCCATGAGCTGGCTACAAGAAGGTAGCTCTTCTGGCTCTGACGAAACGAATGAAGCGAATGCGAACGAGGAGAATTCCATTGTGACTTCTGGATTTCAGTGTTTCAACGTCTTGAATGTCGAAAAGTCTCTCATGTTGTCCTTTGAAGCTGCGAGGGACTCAGAGTCGCTTTTGGTCGACGATTTCAAAAATGCCCATAAACCCGTTGTTTTAACCCCGGTTTATGCTCGATCCCAAGCACTCCGTGTGCTGAGTGCCGTACCCTATGTGGCAGAAAAGAGATCCCGACAACTAGTACCCCTTTTCTTATCCTGGACCTCGAAAGATGATGAACCTCTTAATAGCTCTTCTGGATCGTCTTCAACACTGGCAATGGACGAGACAAAAGCGCGATGGGACTTACGAGATAAGAAGGCGATGCTTACCTTGCTTGGAAAATTCACGAATCCGAAAGTCTTGTACAAGGCCTCCGAAGTTCATGACACACTTGCAAATCTCCTATGCAATGGCGATTCTGAAATTCAGAAACTTGCGATGAAGGCAATTTTTACCTGGAAGTCACCGGCTGTGCAACCATACGAACAAAATCTTTTGAACCTCCTCGATGACGCGCGATTCAGGGATGAATTGGCAGTGTTCGTCCATCTCGGGAAAGATAATAGCATCATTGAGGATGAGCATCGCGAAGGCTTATTCCCTTATCTTCTGCGGTTACTGTACGGTAAAATGGTTGCACGTTCAGGCCTACGTGGCTCTCAAGGCGGTGGTCAGGAAGGCCGAAGGAAAGCAATACTCAGAGCCATCTCGCAGCTGTCGGAAAAGGACTTTGAGCACTTCATTCGTATAGCTTTTGGTCCCCTTGCCAACGTTAACATTCTTGACGGCGTGTCTGAGCACCAAAGTGTTCTGGCTCAAGAGGTGCTCGGACCGAGAAAGCAATATGGTCTATTAAAAATGATCGAAACCATGTTCTCCACCCTCAAAAGCAGGATGCATGCATATGTGGATTGCACCATGAATGTTATCCTCTATTGCATTGTACGTGCATGCAGGCAATTGCATGCTGGCGACGAGATAAAAGAAGAGGATTCCAACCAAAACAGTCAACTATCTCTTCTCCGAAACGTTCGCCAAATAGGAACTCGGTGCCTTGAGCTGGTGTTCTCGGTTTCGTCCGATGTTGACTGGACTCCGTATATGCCCATTATATTTGCGGAGGTCATTAATCCAAGGCTTCCGAACTTCGCCGTGGAGACAGCTCAAAGCATTTCTGGGCTTCTCCAGCTATTTCGAACTTGGGCATCTCACCCTAAATCCGCGCTATACCTTTGTAACAGCAATGTCGTTCCAAAGGTCGTTAACATTTTAGGCGTGGAATCTGCTCGTGAAGGGGTGAAGCTTTTTGTACTAGATGAGGTGCTTAGTCCGCTTGTCAACGCTGCTACCTGCCCAGGAAAGGATAAAGACGGTGATGCAGATATCGAAACGATGAGTTTAGTCCGGACCGGTGTATTTGCATCTCACGTGGAATATATGCTGGTCCAGATCGACTCCTTGCTCAGGAAACAATCGTCACGTCAGCTTACGTTGTCCGGAGTGGAAATCTTGTCGAAGTTGGCCCAATTTGTCGAATCGTCCACAGAAACCTCAAAGTTAATAGACACGACCATATATCTCTTGCAACAACCTCCAGATAGGGTCCCTCCGAGAACAAAAGGAGGCCTTCTTCGCGTCCTCCAGCAATTCCTTCCATTATATAACCCTGAAGGCAATGATGAGCTTAGTGGGCAGTTGTTCGAAGTGTTATCGTCAATGTTTGATTATTTCAAGGATGACGCCAACAGAGAAGCCCTTTCTAAAGTCTTCGAACTATTCTCGAAGCGCCATCCCGAGTTGATTGAGGTGTCTCGGCTGGCGGCAGATTTGAACTCATTATCATCCAAAAGGCTAGATGAAGTAGATTTTGAGCGGCGTCTGGGTGCCTTTCACGCCATTAACGAGGAGAAATTCTCCACATTCTCTGCGAGGCAATGGCGGCCATTATTGTATAATCTCCTTTACCATATAAAAGACGAAGAAGAGCTCGCCATCCGCTCAAGTGCCTCCCTAGGCATTCGACGTTTCATTAGGTGTGCAGCGCCAAGTGAGGAAATCGAAATCCCAGAATTCCGTGAGCTGGTTGACAAAGTGCTTCTGCCATCTTTGAAAAGCGGAGTGAAGCAAAACGCGGAAACCGTTCGAGCAGAATTTGTGGCCGTATTGGGTTACTTGATTCAGCTTCACCCGAAACATCCCAACCTTAGCGACCTTTATGATCTTCTTGCAAACGGAGACGAAGAAGCTTCCTTTTTCAACAATATTCTTCATATTCAACAGCATCGTCGTCAGCGTGCTCTGCGCCGCTTGACGACCGAGGTCACCAAGGGGAAAATATCTGCGTCCAATATTAGCACCGTGTTTTTCCCTCTGATAGAACATTATGTCTTCAACCAGGCAGAAGACGACAACGCCCATAATTTGGCCGCAGAGGCAGTTTCCACTATTGGTATCCTTGCTGGAGGTCTGGAATGGAGTCAATTCAGAGCCATTTTCCGCAGATTCAAAGATTACTTGCAAAGCAAGCCTGGAATGGAAAAGAATATTATACGCCTTCTTGGACAGTTAACCGATGCTCTTACTCGTGCTTCCAATTCTACTCCGAGCGCAACAGAGGAGATATCTGTGGACGGGATTGCGAAAAGCACACTTAGCCGGTCGTTGCCAAGTCTTGCTCAAGTAGCATCGGAGTTGAAATCTCATTTTATCCCTTTCCTTTCAAAGTTCATTCATCACAAGGAAGAATCCGAAGTTAGCTTGCGGTTGCCAGTTGCGGTTACAACAGTTAAGCTCCTCAAATTACTTCCAGAAGAAGAGAGGGCTCTTCTCCTTCCGCCAGTCCTCTTAGATATTTCAAACATCTTGAAGAGCAAATCCCAAGACTCGCGAGATGTAGCACGGAAAACCCTCGCCGATATTGCACTCATCCTCGGCCCGAGTTACTTCGGATACATATTAAAGGAACTGAGAACTACTCTCACGAAAGGATACCAGCTCCACGTGCTTTCCTTCACCGTCCATTCTATCCTAGTCGCAACCAGCCAGGACTTCATGGTTGGAGACTTGGACCAGGACCTTCCGGTCCTTGCCTCTATTATTATGGACGATATCTTTGGCACCGTTGGCCAGGAAAAGGATGCAGAGGACTATATCAGCAAGATGAAAGAAGTTAAGGCCAGCAAGAGTTTTGATTCAATGGAGCTTCTTGCGAAGAATGCCTCTGTTCGCCACGTATACAATCTGGTTCAGCCAATTCAGAGGTTGCTGGAAGAGAGACTTACTTCGAGCATTGTGAAGAAGGTTGATGAGTTACTCAGGCGGATTGCCACCGGCCTGCTGAGGAACCCCGGAGTTGAAAGCCGTGATTTCTTGATATTTTGCTACCAAGTTATCAAGGAGTCTTACAAAACGACAGACCCTTCGCAGCCTGACGCTGCAGCACAACCTAAAGATCGCTTCATCGTCAAGATGATTGCCTTTAACAAGAGTGGTACTGGAAGAAGCACGTCATCGTACCTGTATAAGCTCGCTCGCTTTAGCCTTGATGCCCTTCGATCGGTTTTGAACAAATATAACAGCCTTTTGACAGCGGAAAATTTGAGTGGATTCCTTCCCATCATTGGCGATGCCTTGGTGCAAGGTTACGAGGAAGTGAAAATCGCGGCGATCAGGTTGCTGTCGACCATCATAAAGCTACCATTGGAAGAAATTGATAAAAGTTCTGATGTGTATCTTGTTGAAGCTATTAAACTAATCAAAGAGGCCCCAAATACCAACGCCGAAGGCGCACAAGCTGCTATAAAATTGATAGCATCTATTCTGCGTGAGCGCCGAAGCATTAAGTTAAAGGATTCGCATCTTGCATACATGCTGAAGCGGATTTCCGGTGACATTGAGGAACCCGATCGACAAGGAATTACCTTCAATTTCATTCGAGCTGTGATGGCAAGGAAGCTCATTGTACCTGAAATGTACGAGCTTGTGGATAATATCGCTGCCATGATGGTCACGAACCATACTCGGAATGCTCGAGACCTTGCAAGAGGAGTATACGTTCACTTTTTAATCGAGTACCCGCAAACAAAGAACCGCTGGTCGAAGCAGTTGGGGTATTTGACCAAAAATTTGGATTACCGTCACAAGGAAGGCCGTCAATCTGTCCTGGAAGCAGTGCATCTTCTTCTCACTAAAACAAATGGAGAACTGGCTCAGGACATTGTAGGAACCTTTTTTGTTCCAATCGTCATGGTCATGGCCAACGACGAATCGCCTGAATGCCGGGAGATGGCTGGAATCCTCTTGAACAGTATATATAGTTGTGCCGAACCAGAACAGCTTAAGCCAATCCTGTCATCCCTTCGAATGTGGTTGGAACGAACAGAGAATTTATCTCTTATTACAGCTGGATTGCAAGCAGCAAGGATATTTTTCGAATCTAACGCGGGGGATAAGGAAAACGAGGCGCAATTCGTGACAAACCTGCTCCCTCGCCTGATGGACATACCCCTTGAAAACCCAAGTAGCGAAGAGTGGGAAACTCTCTATTACTCACTGCAGCTCTTCATCAAGCTTTCCAAAGTCTTCCCAGCTATCTCTTTGTCTCCAAGTTGTGCGCCGATCTGGTCTAAAGTTCGCCAAAGCCTGTTCTTCCCACACAGTTGGATCAAGTCCTGCGCAGCAAATTTGATCGGAACCTGGCTTGCTGATGAAGCCAAAACCAATGCAGCCAATGGCTATGGAGCCATACCCCTTGTGGGTTCCTCAGGCCTTAAACTCGACGAGAACACCATGCTTGATCTTACCCGCGGCTGCATATTCTGTCTCAAGGCCCCAACCGTTTCAGAAGAGTTAGCCACGCAGACGATACGTAACCTGGTGTTCCTTGGAAGATGTTTCGGTCAAAATGATCTATATCTACCTGTCAAACATGTGAATGGATGCAAGGATAGCGATTCGGAGAGCGAAGTTGAAGAAGTTAAGGAGCCATCGAAAGAACCTAAAAAAGCAATTCAATATATTTTCGAGCAGGCCGCCAAAATACTTCGCCGAGAACCCGTGACCACAAAAGCAGAGTCCTTAAGAGGCAAGACAGCATGCATGAAGCTCATCGCAGCGCTCTGCAGTCATCTTGAAACTGGACAGCTATTGCCATCATTGCAGAAAATTCTTCTTCCACTACTTCATTTAACTGACCCTTCCATTCCTCCACCCAGATCGTCAGACGAGAATTTTCGGGCCGCCTATAAAGTCCTCGTGGAAAGCAGTCAAGAGATTTTAGATCTACTTCAAAAGAAATTCGGAACTACTGAGTTTGTAACAGAACTGAGCCGAGCTCGAGACAATATTAGGACGCGCAGGGATGAAAGACGAGTCAAGAGGAAGATCGAAGCTGTCGCGGACCCACAGAAGTTTGGTCGTGAGAAGAAGCGGAAGAATGAGCGGAAAAAAGAAAGGAGAAAGGAGAAGGGACTCGGCTTCAGGGACCGGAGACGTGGCTGGTGATTCTATTATCTTTTCCAGTAATGGAGTATGTTCCGGACGGCGTTGGACTGAAAAAACAAAAAGCAATGGTACAACTTATAAGGCTGTTTGGAACGGGGAAAATGGAATGAAAAGTAGATTTAAAGTTTAGCACCTTGCAAATAATAATACATGGCTATCCGCATGAAAACGCCGTAATATCAAGGCCGCCCGACCCGCAGGATTTCATTATTTTCGCCAGAAAAGCGTTTTGTTATGACCATTTCCCCATAAAAGAAAAGACAAAGCTTGAACTCCAAAGGTATCCGGACTCTATCGATGTAGGACCGGAAATCCAAGTCTATCATGTCAAAGGTATCAGGATTTCTTTTCGCTACTTTCCGTTACTTCCGAATCCGTGGTATTCGAGGTTTCCGGCCACAATTCCATATCCCCTTCGCCTAAAGTAACCTTCCTTAGGGACTGACCTTGTTTGGCCAGGATGTCTTCCAACGTCGACTTCGTGTCCATAAATATATTCAAATGATCACTGATGACATGTCTATTGCGACAATTCGGGCACATGATGAGTACCGTTCCCTTGTGGTAGCCATGTTTTGAGATTCGATGGCCGGAGCGATGTGAACATGGCTTGCAGGTGAATGTAATGAGGTATGAAGGTTCTTCGGCTCGGCGGGCTTCGTTATATGCGTCTTCTTCCGGAGTAGCTGGTTTTCTGTCTGTGAGGGAATTGGGGAGCGTTGAATTCGTAGAGCTGTAACGAACGAGGAGAGGAGCGACACCGGACGAGGTCTGGCTTTTGAAGGTGTATTTCGAATGGGCGAAGCGGGCCGAGAGAGGGTTGACGCCGGAGCTTCGAGCTGTCAGGGAGAAACCCGTGTCGCAAAATCGAGACGAGGTGGAGACAACATTTCGGAGCAAACGCCTTGGGGCCGCCATGATGCTGATTGCAACCTGTATGCTCTGCGTTGTTATACTTTCTTCGTCGATGCCGCTGCAGCTTGGAGCGAGCGCGGTGTCGAGCCGTGAGAAAATCCTCCCTTAGTTACGTAAGCGAGCGGAGCTGGAGTTCGTTGCTCGACGAGCTCCGCGCCCACGGGGCGGGACAATGCAGTCCTTATGCTCCGTTGACCGGGCTTTGAGTGCAGGGTTTCAAATTTCGCCCGCTTCTCTCGAGGCCTCATATATGTAAACTTCATTGGGTGGGATCTCGTCGCTCATTCCGAATCCCACCGCCAACCCCACCTTATCAACTCTCCTCCTCCTCTGTTCACATGAAAACGCTCCCTGAGAGCGCACCCGGTGTCGACATTTCCCCTGAGCCTCTCAAAACCTCAGAAGCCTCCGGAGCGTGATTTCTACCAGCATGAAGGCAAGGGGCAAAGTCAGGATCCCCCGCACGGTAAGTTACAGTTATTCGAGCAGCCTGTCATCGAAACACTCGCTTGTTCATCTGGGCCGGAGTCCTACTTTCCGTCTAATATGCTTGGCTCATCTGTATCCTACGAGTAGCAGGAGATTGGCTGATATTGGAATATTGGCAGGGGGTCATGTCGAGAGGCGGTACGGCAGATTTCGATACGTTGTGGAATGTCCTCGCGTCCTCAATGAGCGAAATCCACACTAAGAACGCCTCCAGTCTTTCGTTTGAAGAAATTTATAGAAGTGCATACAAAGCTGTAATGAAGAAACAAGGACTAATCCTCTATAACAAAGTGATTGAATTTGAACGGACCTTGTTACGGGACAATCTACGTAAGAAGATCACGGACTTGATCACACCTCTGCTTCTCCCGAATACGGAACTGGCAAATGCTATGGAACAAGAGAATGAGCGACGTGTTGTCGGCGAGCGGTTTCTCTCCAAAATAAGAGATGTCTGGGAGGATTATCAGCTTTGCATGGGGATGATTGCAGACGTGCTCATGTACATGGTGCGCCAAGTTGCTGCTCCCATTCGCCGCGTTGCCTGCTAATATTGCGATAAAGGATAAATCGGTTGTTGCAGAACATCGCTCACCATCTCTTTATGTCGCGTCGATGTGCTCGTTCCGAGATATTGTGCTCAGGCTAGGTCTAGAAATGGATAGCCAGGCAAGCGTTGCTTCGGTCCTGCAATCGACCATCCTATTTTTGATCCAACTCGAGCGGGAAGGGATCATCATTGATAGACCACTTATCCGTCATTGCATCTATATGCTGGAAGGTCTCTATGAGACAGAGGAGGAGGATGAATCAACCAAACTCTATATCACCTCGTTCGAGCCGGCATTCCTGGATTCTAGCCGAGGATTCTATGAGACTGAGGGCCAAAAGTTGCTATCAACAACAGATGCGCCTTCATTCTGCAAAAGAGCAGTAACTAGAATCCGAGAGGAACAAGAGCGCTGTCATCACACACTGTCCATCAGTACTGAGCCTAAGATAATGTGGGTTATTGATGAGTTTTTACTCAAACAAAATATCCCAGAAATCATCAAAATGGAAGGAAGCGGGGTTAAGGAGATGCTAGATAATGACCGCTTGGCTGATCTTGCAATCATCTATGATCTCATCTCGAGAATCGATCTGCAAAAGACCGCACTGACTCAAGAGGTCCAGGCAAGAATAATCGAGCTTGGGAATCAGATAAATAAGGCTGCTAAAGAATACCTACAAGGTCCACAGCCCACTTCAAATGGGGGTCAAGCTCAGTCAAACGGAGCCAAGGCGCCAGAGGAGCAAAAATCACCCGCTAGTCTACAGACAGCCGCCGCTATCAAATGGGTGGATGACGTTTTGCAGTTGAAGAAACGGTTTGATCACGTTTGGGAAAATGCTTTCAGGAAAGATCAAGGAATGCAAGCTTCTCTCACCAAGAGTTTCTCCGATTTCATCAACGTGAACCCCCGCAGCGCGGAATATCTCTCATTATTTTTCGATGAGAACCTTAAAAAGGGTATCAAGGGCAAGTCAGAGGAAGAGGTGGACATTCTTCTTGAAAATGGAATAACGCTGCTCCGGTATATTCGAGACAAGGATCTTTTCGAGACCTATTACAAGAAGCATCTTTCGCGACGTTTACTTATGAAGCGATCCGTAAGTATGGATGCCGAACGACAGATGATATCAAAAATGAAGATGGAGGTTGGAAACACATTTACTCAAAGATTGGAGTCTATGTTCAAGGACATGGCCATATCGGAGGATCTTAGTTCCAGCTACAAAGACCACATTTCTCAGAGCAATGGTCCTGATCCCAAACGCATCGAACTTGAGATGAGTATTCTCACCAGCACAATGTGGCCAATGGAAATTATGGGGAAAGATAGCGCAAGTCATGCCCCATGCAACTTTCCCAAGAACATAGACCTTCTCAAACAGAGTTTTGAGTCGTTCTACCTGGGAAAACATAGTGGACGAAAACTCACATGGCAGGCCGGAATGGGCTCCGCTGATATTCGGGCTATGTGGGTGAGACCAAATGGGAGGACTGAGCGCCATGATCTGAACGTCTCTACTTATGCGATGATTATCCTCCTGCTTTTCAATGACCTTCCAGCGAGTGAATCACTTACGTTTGAGGAAATCCAAGCACGAACAAATATTCCGACTCATGATCTCATAAGAAACCTACAGTCTTTAGCAGTTGCTCCGAAAACTCGGGTTCTGAAAAAGGACCCGATGAGTAAGGAAGTGAAGCCCACAGATCGCTTTTATTTCAATGAGAAGTTTCAGAGCAAATACACCAAGATTAAGATTGGCGTTGTAAGTAGTAGCGGGAATAAGGTCGAGACCAAAGATGAACGGTCAGAAACCGAAAAGAAGATGAATGACGAGCGCGGAGGCAGCGTTGAAGCCGCTATTGTTCGAATCATGAAGTAAGTAGACTCAGACTTTCCATTTTCGCATCCTACAGAATTGACACCATTTAGACAACGCAAAAGACTAGCACATTCGCAATTGATGAACGAAGTCATCTCGCAGCTCGCATCACGCTTTGTCCCCAATGTGGACATGATCAAGAAAAAAATTGAAAGTTTGATCGACCGCGAGTATTTGGAGCGTCTTCCGGACGTCGAACCACCATCATACGGTTACATAGCATAGGTCTGCCTCGTTTCAGATGATTTTCACGAATTTGCCTAAATTTGACTGTTAAAAATTGGCATTGAGTTTGGGTTGCCCTTTCATGATTCGGCGTCAATATGATCATGGGACAGGTTTACGGAGTCGCACATACCCTGAAGCTAGGATCGGATTGGGCAGATTAACAGCGGCGCTTTGGACCTTGTTCCTGCTAGATTTCCGGTCAACAACGGCCTAACGGAATACTTTGCTTTGTGTATGGTGCTGAGGTTCTGCTTATTGTTTAAGTAGCAACTGATTTAAGAAGACACTTTGGTGACTACTCCTCACTGATTTTGCGAATGTTTCCTCAACTAAGGATATGAAAAAACATTTTGGAATAAGTATTTGTTTCGTAACTCCTTGCAAAGGCTGCCGAATAGGGAAAAGTAGAAATGCACATATCTCATGCTGTAGGGTATCATCAGAGGGCTGGGTACGTTCCAAAAGGTCATCAATCATATCATGCTTCCCTCCTTTTTATATTCGGATATAAGGGGATAGATCCAATTTACCCCATTTCAAACTCCAACCATACTCAACGCCCGTAAAAAATGCATGGTTAAGTATGAAACCCAAGAAAGAAATTTCCATCACTATTTCCACCCTAGTCACAGGATCTCTACCTCTCCCTTCATCCAGGCCCCTTTGATCCCTTCCCACCTAACCATCCACACTTCACCCTTGCTCATCCTCTCTCCCAATCTATCTCCCATCCCAAAACTCATGCGATCGCTCTGGTCCCGCTCAGCAGGAATGATCACATCTGCACTCTCAGCGAGACATCGGGCAAATACTACCTCCTTGGTCTCAGGAGCAGTCACCATGCTCGTCCCACCGGCATTATCATCGAGTTTACGCAAAGCGGGAGGAAAGCTGGCCAGAAACGAGTGGGAGTAGTGATCTGAGAGCAGAGAGTGATGCGCAGATAGAAAGGAGCGTTCTTGGGGCGAGAGGGGGTCTTCTTGCTGGTGGTGTGTAGAAGAGAGCCGTGGTTGTTGGGATGCTGACGGCGGCGTGGATAGGCGAAGGTAGTGTATCGGGTGCTTCGTCAATTTAGCTAATCGTTGGCGGAGTAATGACCGAATGAGAAATTGCGTTCGGGAGAGGTCAGACTGTAGGATTGAAAGAGTGAGGTTGAGGGTGGGATTGTTTGTTGTGGTGCTGGCGGGGTCGGAGATGGAAAGGTCTTCGATTTTGGCGATCTGGGAATAAAGGTGCACCTGTGTTCAGCAGTTTCTCCCAAAGGAAAAGGGATTTGCAAGCAAAATCAGCTCTTTATTTCGATGCGACGTACCTGTTTTCTCACTCTTTCCATCATCCTGTCCATCAGCGGTCCTGGCCATGGTAATAACTCCGGAGCGGCGCGTTCCGCTACCCAAAAGCGGGTAAGTTGCTGATGATCGAGAGCGATAGATTCGGGGAGATTGATGTCATCCCTGTCGACAGAAGCGAGGATATCATCAATGTCCATGGTCCACTATCATCGAGCAGTCTTGAAGCATGGAAGCCAGTCCGCGCTCGGTCAGTCAAAGCTATAGAGGGAGACGGGGAGCGTAATTTTGGTAACCATTTGTAACGGGAAAGTACTTATGTAATTATACAAATTAGGGTTTAGGGCTCAAAGCTAATTTGGTCGCTGACGTCATACCAAATTCCGTTAGGCGGTTGCGGAGCCTATGAAATCACGAAGAATTACAATCATCGCGGATATGAGAAAATTTTTTGATCTTTTTTTCATATTTCTATTTTGAAGTATTGTTTATAGGGATGAAGTAAGGAAATCTGTCAGACATGCAATGTCATAAGCCTGGCAAAAACCGATCACGCAGTTTCGTAACAGCCCACCAGACTGACCCAATTGTTACCACGACAAGAAAGAAATGGATAGTTCAAACCTGTGTTGGCACGTGTTGCTCGCACTGGCTAAAAAAATGGAAATGGCCTCCAACGCCGATACTCGAACCAGAAATTCAGAAAAATAAGAGGCTGAACATACCCGCAGGAGTCTGCCCTATCCGACACGTCAAAAAGTGGAAACTTGGATGCTTATCCAGGCAGACAAGAAAGGGAGCGCTCAGGAAGAAGCTAGCATCCGACGGTTGTACTCTCGACGTATTCCGTAAGAAGAAAATTTCGGTGACTCAAGATAGGGAAATGCGAAGGAAAGCAAGGGAAAGCTTTTGAAATACAAAGGAAACAATAGGTGAGGCCATATCATGAAAGCCGATGGCGAAATGCGATGTGTGAGATGCTAATTGGGCTAAAATATTGATCAATATCGCTGCATCGTTGGGGGTTGCTGAAATGATCCCTTTTGTGAGATATCGATAGGAGCTGCCGAGGATTCGCAGGAGCGCTTGTTGATGGCGTAATGCCGAGGATTAAAATTAAAATCATGAACTATTCGTCACTCCGCCGACGGCAATGTCCCAAAGGCAGCGGGATGAAAATAGTCGGGGTCGTTATGGAAATCGCGGGAAGCTTCGTAAGAAATGGTATGAGAAGACAAAGGAAAATATGGGTGAAAGAGTGGTGGTTTTGGGATATCGTAACCCACACCGGGCAGGCAACGATGGGTAAGTTAAGGTGCATAAAGTCCGTAAATCATGGAGCACCTTTTACGTCGGAACAAGGTACGACTTAAAGGTAAAACTCAATAAGAGAACATGCGGCGTCCAGGAAGCCGCGTAACCTCGACGTCGCGGTCAAAGGGTGCATCAGGGTCACAGCTACGATCACCGACAGGCCGGCATCGTCCAGTCGGACTTTCTTCAATCTGAAGCGAATTCTGTCCGAATGCAAAAGTTTGGGCTCTAGAAAGTTTGGAGCGTTGTTTGACTTTGCCTAGTCCACGCTCACAAGCGAACTCGTGTTCTTTGGCTGACATTTCAACATAGTTTTGCGGGTAGCATAAAGCACGGTGCTCTGCAAAGAATGAGCTGTATCCACCATTCAAAATATACATCTCCGGATAGGTCAGCTTGGGGTATATATCAACATTGACTGCACGATCCTTGTGTCGAATATATTTGGCCCTGGTAAAAAGAACATCAGAAGGAAGACGTGATAAAAAAGGGAAATCTGGAAAGACATACATGATGGGAGCGCGATGAGCGGAGTATTCACAGTGAAATATCAAAGCCGTACTTGGTTTCGGCTCTTGATCAAAGAGTTCCGCGGCAAGATGTTCCTTGTCTGTGTAATTGACAGCTCCATGTATATGTCCACCTTCGTACTCATATTCGAAACGGCAATCAATGATCATTATTTTATCATAGCAATCATTATATTTACCATTAATTATGTCGACTAAGACACTACTCTCCACGCGAGGTAGCTGGTCCGGTCCATCTTCTGGGATAAAATGCGGCAGATGTAGTGTTGGTTGGCTGTCAATATCCGCGATGGGTTGAAGACCCGGGCTGGACAACATGATCGTGTCCTCTTCCTGATTCACAACATCTTCGGGGTGCTCGAACATGCTGAGTGACCTTCTACTTTGTTTCCTAGGTCGGCAAAAGGGATTGGAGCTCTTGCGTATACCGTTTACTGGTGAGCCATTTGATCGGCATTGCCCGACCACACCAGAAAAAGGAGCACGGGGACGGGGTGGGCCCATTGAAATAGACGTCAAAAACCTTGGGGACGATTCTCGAGGAGGCGATTGTTCAAACATCTCAGAAAGAGAAAGAGACGAACAAGCGGTCGGCTTACTGCTGCCAGCTGCGAATCTAAAGGGTGGTGGTTGGGGCGCAAGTGAGCCCTTATCACCAGAGGAGTAGGCTTTAGAACGCATCAAAGAAGGCCTCAGAATGGGTGGCTTGTGTCTCCTGCTCAACATCGTTAGAGATAAGAAATAAACTTCAACGAAGGCCCCCTTATGAGGGCATAACCTACTGTGGACGTCCAGGCGGTTCCAGGTCCATGGGTGAATCATCTAACGAAAGCTGTGCATGAACTTGCTGCGACTTCGCCAAAGAAATCTCAGTCGTGGGGGAATCTAGATCCAAGTCTGCGTTATGGCAGTATGGTATCTTGTGAGGCAAAGGAGACATATCCATGATTTCCATATTCGGGGCAGGCGAGGACGATGGTAACGGGGGTGTGGTCATGTTGTCTATTCAGATATGAGTTAATACCATTACTAACTCTGGAACCAAACTCAGCGGAGAATATACCACGACCATTTTCAGGACCAAACAAGCTCGCCGTGAAGAGGGATCTTCGGGGCGTTGCTAGCTGAGGACTTTTGGAATATTAGTACGCAAAAGCACTTACGCATATGCAGGCCGGCAACATACCTTTTATCAATGTGAAAATTCTGAGAAAGGTCAGCTGCCAAGCTAACTGTTGGAGAAGACCCTCTCAAAGCTTTCGTGTTGAAATAATCGGAGTGTCCCGTCTTCATGGACAGATCCCTAAAATTAAAACTATCCGGCCCAAACTTTCGCACAGCAGGAAACGATGAACATCCTGCCTTAGCCTCTGAACGGAAATGATGCCGAAGCATCACTGAAGGAGGCTGCATAGCAGCCAGCGGCGACGATTGCTCCATGCTTCCAACTTGGTAGAAGAATGCTTATAGTCTAGTCCTCAGCGCAGTATTTGAGAGGATGGACGATAACGACGAAATGGTGTCCGTGGAGAGAAGAAGTGTCAGAGGGAGCGTATTACGAAATCGGTCGTCAGGACAACGGTGCACTGGCAGACAATGTCAATGCGAGCTGCAGATGGTCTTTTTTTTTTTTTTCTTTTCTTTTTCAATTTTTTTTCCCCCCTTCCTTTGACCGAAAGCAGCCAAACGCACGGCTTTGAGGACGACTTCGATATCCCTGAAGCCAGTAGATACTGTGGCCAAGGATTTCGAAGTCAAAGTGAGCAGGCCATGGCTGCCAATCCACAAAGTCAATCGTGCAAGAATGAAAAGCCGTGAATACGAGGCGTCCGGTGGTGGTCGACGGGAGGAAGGCCGTCGAGGTTGGTCAATGGAGATAACAGGGATAGGTATGAAGAAAGCCAAAGAAACCGAAGCTCGACGGACGGCTGGAACTGGGAAGAGAGGAAGAGGTAGAGAAAGGAGCGAAGAAGGAGAGAAAAGGGAAAACGGAGGGAGAAAGAATGAAGCTGGAACAAGGTGGTGGACTTCTGTTGCAACGGGCAACGCACTCGCACCGGCGGAGAGATGATACACACGGCGTATTATAATATACTTTTCTGCCGTAAGGTTTGTACCAATACTTCCTAGGCGGACTCTGGCAGGGCAACAAAGCAAGGGATCAACGCCAGCTGGTTACCAGGGCCACCGGTACCGGTACCTCCTCTCAGCCAATCCGTGCTTGTTAATTGCCGCCCAGCAACCGGAGCGACGGCTGCTATTCATGTCGGGCATCCATGTTTGCTACAGCTTCGGCACATTTCAGTCCCACATGGGGTATTGCAATTCAGGAACAGCCTATTCCGCCCGCAAAGGTGAGATGGTACCTGATTGTCACCGGCGCCCCGAAAATTTACTCCGTCGTCATACTTGCCCAGATGTCTCTCGCGAGCTTGGAAGTCAATTTGATTGAGGGACGTCATAACGGAACACGCAGAACTCAATTCGAGCCATGCCCAACTACGGAGTGAATACTTATGGAAGAAGCATACGACAACCGAGTGCCTCCTCCGCGCTGCGGGTTTGTGATGAAAGCTGGGAATGGAATACTCCCGTATCTACTCCGTACTCCACTATTCAGATCCAGATCTTCTCCTCGGGAATAGGCCCGTTCTCTCAATCCCCGAAGTAGCCGCGAGAATCCTCGAGCGCGGAGGAGAGTCCAAAAATAGTCCCCGGTGGTTGATCGACGTTTTCGAAAGGACGGGAGAGCAAAAGCAAAAATGAGCTCTTCACGGCTGTCGAGAGTCTCCCGAAAATCATGTCTATTGATTTGGGCCGGGAATAGCTGGCTGCGTGGTCTCGTGGGCTGATCAACAACTTTCCCAGGATTCGACGAACTCAATCGCAGATATTAAGCTTAATTCCAAGGTGAATTTCCTCGACACTGTGATGACTGCAACATGGCAGCTCAGCGGCCAATCCAATCGCTGGCTCAGTTAGGATGGTAGGTGTTTGAGTTCCGAGAGGCATCATTTGCCCTGCTACCCACCCTGAGCCTGCGATTCAGGGCATATAAGTGTTCCAAGGAACCAAAGCCACGAAACATCCTCAGATGGTCCATCATGATGCACCTTTTTCGCCTTCGGATTGAACTGCTAGTTGTCCCGTGAGGTCAGCGGTGCCAACCCCCCATTTCGTCCCATCTCCGTTCTTTGGGGGTTTCCAGTTCGGAGGGACTCTTGATGTCATAGATTCAGCGCGTCCAAGTTGTGGACTCCAGAATGCAGTGGAAGTGTTTAAAATCACGCCCACACTACACGTGGTGTGTTGTATGGAATATTCCGTATGTGTATGTGTATACATTGAAAGCCTGAGGCGTCTATTATTGGCTTGCTGCCAGGAGGCGTGTTGAAACGCCCATTGTCTTGGGGAGAAAGCCCATTCGATTCGACATTGTTCTTCACCTCGAGCCGCCGTCCAGAAACGGCCTCGAGGCTGGAAATGGGAATACCCCGCATTCACGGTGGCTGAGCGACCGGATGCAGGGTCGGAATGTGACCCCATCTCCGTGTTTTTGTGTCCAGCCAGATATCCTCGTGAACTTTTGAGGGGAGCAAGGGCCTTCACCTGGGATGAGGGGCACAGGTGGGGTTGGTGAGCTACTGTGTTTATCTGCAGCCCGGCGCGTCGACGTGACGGAAATGTAAACATTGACAACCGCAGCACCGCACCAAGTTCAGTGCATCCGGAGAGGGCATAACTCTCTATGTTTCTGTGGGACCCCCACGCTCTATGATAACTACATATTCGGCCAGACTGTGGTGACAACGAGCGCGTGTCGAGGTGAGTGGGCTGGCTGAAGATGGGATCTCCGTCCAACCTTGCAGGGCTGTATTTAACTTTGAAGTCTGACGCCATCCACTTCCGAAAAATGGGCCATGATTGCACTACGGAGGACTCGCGTAGTTAATGACCAGCTAACTCGACGGCCGAAAAGGACTCTCTAACCTCCCGCTTTGTCTGCTCGAACTGGCTCGTTGCTCTCGAGGCTCAAGCCCCGACGCTGAGAAGTCACGAGATCTCGCTTGGTGTTCGTGTTGTTTACGTCTTGGCGCAACGCGGGAACCCAGCAGCGCCCGATAAAATAGACAGGCATCCCCAGCGCGGCTTTGGCCACTGGAAAACACCCCAGTTCTGAGCTGGCTTTTCGTGAAACTCTGCCAAGCTTACAGAAAGAGCCGTCTTCGTGCTGTGATAGGCTTTGGCCTGGCTGCAAGACTTGATCCGTTGCTGGGCTCGCAGGCCCATCGCTCAAGTCCCAATAATGTCATGCAGGCGCGGAGCTAGTTGCTGCTAAGCGCCCCCACTAACTATGGAGGCCAGTCAAATGATCAGCCTCAAGAGACGGTGTCGCCGAAGGAAATCTGGACGGATTGATGGAGGGAAACGCTGATATTCCGGGATAAAAGAGTTGAATTTTCCGGGAGACGTTTCCGTGGCCCCCAACCCCAAAAAGGATCTGTGCTCCAGTTTGTCTCGCTTCAAAGGTTCGAAGTGGCTGAATCAGGGTGTTCTCACTACTGGGAAGGTGCTCTGAACCCCGGCGCTTCATATGAAAAGGCTGGCGAATAAGATACCCTCTCCCGCCTGACCATGTGGAGTGGATCGATGACGAGTCAATCACTCGGCGCCAACCAGCTTCAAAATTCTGCGTTCAGAGTCGTGCATGGCCGGCTGCCATGGTGATACGAGACGCTATTCCTTCTTGGATTAGGTTCGCGAGACTGGTCCTCTCACAATCCTGCGAATGGAGTTGGCATGAAACTCTATCGCTTCGATGGACGAGCCGGCCTGGATAAGCAGCCCACAGGATGCCAGCACATCAAAATGAATTCGCCAGTCCGGATACGGAGTACGGAGTCCTCCGTACAAAGCACGGAATGCTACAATGACCAATCCATCAAAATAAATTCCAGCGCAAAAATTTGGCTCTCCCACCTTGCTGCGGAAATATCTTGCCCCCTTCGCAATCAATCTCAGGTTGTTAGTGAGATATGCAGACAAGTATTCTGTTGCATTATGTGGTTCAAACAGGAGCATTCAATGCCTTCTTTAAAATGAGGTTCAAGCATGGAGGTGCAGCCATGATCCACTTTCTGAAGCCTGGAGCGACAGTGTTTTCGGAGAAGGTCCACAATGAAATCGCTGTAATCAGATTCTTCCAGGAACACACACCAATTCCAGTGCTATTCATCTTGCATTTGGGTGACAAGGAGCAAAGTCCCCTTGGTCTCGCCCCATTTATTAACCTGGAGTACTCCATACATTGACCGTGCAATGGATTTGGGGTGAAGCACTCTAAACACACCACGACTCCCAATCAACGCTTGACGAGCCCTCAATCCACATATTGATAAAGAGAAGCTTGAAATGCTATATAGGCATTTGGCAGACACATTGTTGCAGTCTATGCTACCACTACCCCAGATAGGGTCACTGATCCAGATGTCACCTGATCGATACGTGCTGTACAGTAGAGTACATATGGAGTATATAATTCCAAACTCACAAATCCAAACTGGAGAAGGTTGGTTTTACCCCATGTTTAAAGCCACAAGAATGGGCCCTTTGATGCAGCCATCAAAAGTCCAAAAAAAAGAGCAGCAATGGAACTAGAAGGACATTATCCGATGTGACACAATGGATCTATCTTAAATGATTTTCTTTCGTGGGTTTCTGGGCGGGTAACTAGATGCTTCCCAAAACCTCCTTGAATGCTGGTGATCCTGCACTCCCTGCAGTGTTTGACAGCTGTGGCTAAAGCGCTGCTCAATGCCGCATTACTCTTTATACCAGACTTAGGAAAGGGGTTCGAGGGGGTCACGAATAAATACGATGTATATAGAATGGAATGCGAAGAACAGGAACATGCAGACTTCTTCACAAAAATTAAGTGAATAGGTAACAGGAGCTCTGGGCCTCCAGAACGGAGGATACTCTCCAGCAGACCATGATAACGCTGTGGTGGCCGTGGCCTTGGACGATCCGTGCAAATTGGACGCAACATGAGAGAGTGCGAGACACTAGAAGAATAGTGGTGAAAAAATTGCGCTCTAGTCGGGCTCTGAGCCAAAGCCCCCAAGTTGTTACTCATCCAGGCCAGACAGACACTCAGTTTGCCAGACATATAAGGTGGCTCACCACTCAACGAGCCAAACCACTCAACGAGCCAAATTCCTTCCAATGCTCCACGCTACGAATTTATTAATTATCTCAACAACGAATTATTATTATTAAACTAGCTATTAAATATTAAATGAGTGTGTTCTTTAAAGCATAGAAATTAGTGTGGCTATGAAAATAAACGTGTGGACGGCCTGATATTGCGGCCAGAGCGAGAGATACAGGGGGTGGATAGGAAAGATTGTAAAGGAATGTCAGCAGTAGATTTCTCAGCTAGAGAGCCTAAAGGCTTGTTAGGGAGGCTAGTAAAGCTCTTACTACTGCTTTGGGAAGATTGTATAGGCTTGCCGCGATGAGGTTCTTTCATAGGGAGGCCCTGCCGACAGCACTTTGAAGCCGGTGCTTGAAGCTCTGACTGCTGGTGTTTACTAGCACATTCAACAGCCTGTCTCTCCTTCTCTGCTTGTTGTAAAGCCTTTTTCTCCTCACGGGCAACACACTGGGCCTCTCATTGTATAGCACATTCAAGCTTTTCAGCCTCTCGTTGCTCGCGGGCCTTCATACGGGCAGTCTCTCATTCAATCCATTTTTCTTCAGCCTCCCTAGCTGCCTGCTCTCTTTGGAGCTCCTGTTGAAGCTTTGCCTCTTGTGTTTGAGCAATTTTGTGAGCTTTCTCAGCCTCTATTTTATCCCAGCATTCCCAAGCCTGCAGAACTTTTGTAGGACTCCAGAACTGGGCCTGGCTCAGATTATCATGATCAAGTAGGCCTAGGGGCTTGCCTCACTTGTGGCGCTGTTTCTCCATCACAATAGTCAATTTTAGAGCCTGATTTTCATGCTCTAGCAGTTCATTTCATATTGCAAATTGCTCGCTGGCTTTGATAACCCATCCAATACTCTGCAAATTTAAGCTGTGCCGAAGACAAATACCCTTAACCTCTTGACAAAGCTCCTGTATATTTGTAGGGATGGAAGGCTCAACTAGTGGTGCAGGGCCTTGTTGATCAGCAGTTTCAAATCAGCTTAGTTGATGCTGGGGATCCAGGGGATAAATGCCAGTCTTTGCAAAGCCAGCACATATATTGTCACCTGTCAAAGCCTTCTTCCATGCTGCATTGAATAGTCTCCAGAAATCCCTTTTTGTCATTTGAATATAGCCCAGTCCACAGCATAGTAGGGATTCCAGCTCGCTGGAATACGCCTTGCCCAGCGGCCCAAAAACACCAACATCAAGAGGCTGCAAATGGTGGGTAGAGTGCGGTGGAAGGATCAACAGCAGGATCCTTTCGCGGTTTGCATATTCAATAAATTTCATATTTATATGGGAAGAATGTCCATCTAGTAGAAGCAGACATCTTGCCCTACCTGCTTTTGCCTTTGTATGCGGATTAAAAATCCATTGCAACCACTCCAGGCCATATTTATCATTGCTCCAGCCATTCACTGAGGCTGCAAAGTAGGCATATTCACTTCCATCAAAATCATCCAGCCACATATCCTGAAGATCTCTGGATTCACCCTGATAAATAAGAGCTGGAGGTAATGCAATCCCATCTGCAGAGACTGAACAGAGCAGTGAGAGGAATTCCCAGCTTCCATCCTGAGTTGCAACACTTTTACCAGCTTGTAGGGCTTTAATAGAGACAAGATGCTTCAAGGCATGACAGGAGCCTAGGAGGAATCCTTTTTCATCAAAGTTGTATGTGTTTTCCAGTGTAATATTATACTGGCTGATTTTCTCACTCAACTAAATGCAGCAGTGCAAGCACTCAACAAGTTAGCCAAATTCAACAACTGCACTTGCAAAGAAGCAAAAAAAAGCATCAAATTACAAGGCTATAGAAGTGCTGAAAGCAGTGGTAATTATCTGCTACCTGTCTATTCTTGTCAAGCGGCTTGAGATAAACAGTCTTGATCTTGTCCTTGTGGTGCTCACAAAACCATGTCACCCAGTTGATTCCCATGTCCTCTCCCGTCATCTCTTGCACGATATTTTGAAGGATTTGAGGTGTAGGAGCAAGGCCGTGGTTGCAGAGCTTGTTTATATACTCTAGGAGCTCATCCTCCTGTATATTGGTGAGCTTCTTCTTATGTCTGGAGGTTGCTTCATGGCAATCAACTTGTAGACCTTGATGCCGCCAGCGCAGGGTCTCTCGGCTGAGTGAATATTTTTTCGCAGTCGCACTGTAATTTGGAGTCTCTTGCAATTCAAGATCTTCAATTGCAAGCTTAATTGCTTCGTTGTTGACCATGCTATTGCATAATGAAGTTGAGCGTTGAAGAAATTTGATGGTGCGAAAATTTGGCTCGTTGAGTGGTTTGGCTCGTTGAGTGGTGAGCCACCTTAGTCATTGTCACCTATGCTCATCATCATATGACGTGTGCTTCAGAAGCCTGGCCGGAAATTTCGGTCGTGGAAAATGCACACACCACGAATACCAGGACTCTGTTTGGCTCGAACACCTTTAGGCAAACTAACAGAGATTTCACCCTGCATCCTCAGGTTGCAGAACTATGGGCATGATTCAGGAAGACTGCATTCCGCATGCAAGGACCACGATTGCTCTCAGGCGGAACTTTTAGCTTCCTCGAGAGTCACGCATGTAAATAACCCATTTCCAGTAGGTAGCAAGATGGAATATATCAGGACATGTCCTTAGAAAAGAAATTACATATTCTCCTAAAATTCCATGCTTTACGGGAATTTCATTCGACTCCGCGCTAAACCCACTCGGGAAGCTTCACCGATGGCCAATCACGTGATTACCAGATAATTTTCTGTCGCCGAAAAAAGGGCCAGACAACGAGTAGAGAAGCACGCATTTCGACAACGGGCAAAGACAAATATGGCTGGCGCTGTTAACCCTAGAAAGAGACGGCGGGAGCCCGTTAATGTCGATGTCAAGCTTGTTGAGATATACGAAGATCTCTCCAATGAACAAAATGAAATACGTCTAAAAGCTGCTCACGATTTATTGTCTCGATTTACGCCAGATCAAAATGCGCCAAACGAGCAAATTGAAAAGGTCTTGAAAAGGTTATTTCGAGGACTATGCAGCAGCCGAAAAGCCGCGAGAATTGGCTTTTCTATTGCACTCACAGAGCTCTTGTCGCAAGTGTTCTCGGGCTCCAACGGTCGAAATTCGGAGGAGCTGAACATTCCGAAGACCATTGAGATCCTGGAGTCGCAGACCAGCCCGGTAAACTGTGCTTCCGGTCAGGTATGGTTTTTCTAGTTGTTCCAAACGTAGTATTTCTTTCTATTGACTGGGTTGCTGTAGGAGGAAAGAGATCACTACTTTGGCAGATTATTTGGAGTGGAAGCCATCCTAAAGTCCGCTATTTTACTCCAGCCTGATGTTCCATTCGAGAACTGGAGTAAACTTCTTTTCTTAATTTTTGAATTGGCCAAAAAAAAGCCGTGGCTCAGGGAAGAATGCGGATATATCATCTACTGTGCGGTGCGAGACATTGCCAGCAAGAAAGCCGGCATCCAATACGTAGACGCAATCATCAAAGGGCTAGCAGAGAACGGACTTGCAAGGACCCCTGAGGGTATTGCGATTTGGCTGGCGGTAATGGAATCTTCCTTGCCAGTGAACTTTGCCTCCGGTGTGTGGCAGAACAACAATCCATTGCATTCGAAAGAACGATCCTCCCTGGCGAAGATTATGAAAGAATCATCAGATCTCCATTCTGAGCAGAACGGCGAAAATGGAACGGCGAATAGGTCTGGCGTTTGGAATCCAAAGCTCCATTTCGCGTGGGATCCAATCCTCGCCAAGCTATATACATTTTCTCAGGGCAAAAAAGGGGACAAATCTTCTAAGCATATAACTTTTCCTGATTTTTGGACCGATGTTGTTGACAGTAAGCGCTTTCTATCATTATTTGTTCTTTTTCTTCTCTTCTTCCCCCGACCGAAATGGCGTTTGCTAACAATTTGTAGACGGACTTTTCGCCGCTGCTTCCTCAGAAGAGCGGAAATATTGGGGTTTCCTGGTATCTATGAAGGTCATCAATGATGGCCCCAAAGAAGCCGCCGGATCGGTATTTACAAAAAATTTCGTCCGCTGTCTGATGAATCAGCTATCAGTTGAGTGTCGATATCTTCATCGAATAGCCCAGAAAGCCGCAAAGTCAATACAGGCCCGTGGAGCAACGGATCCCGAATTTATAACACCGGCACTTCGCGGCTTGATGGGCTCAGCGGGTGCCGTCAATTTCGACCAGGTGACTAAGACAAAGACCGTTGAGAAATTAATCGGTGATGGCTCCGTGGACGGTTTGGAGCAGGCGGTGCCTTTCCTGGAAGACTTGATCACCAAACCAGGTGTGGACGATGCGAAAGTGGCTGGGTCAAGGAGGCAGCAACTCGCTACCCTCCTCAACTCGATCGTAAAATCGCTATCCATTAAATCAAGTACGCCGGATGATCTAGATTCCACTATCAAGCGTGTTATGCTAGTTCTGGCTCGGTTCGCGTATTTTGTGCCTGTGGAAAGCAGCAAGAACAAAGCCACCGTCCCCGATCCGCCGATCACCTCGTCAACGCAGGAATTCTTCAGGAATAAAATTTCATCATGCCTAAATATGGTCGTTGCTGGACGCAAGAATGCTTCGACTATCGCATGTCAGGTCGTTCAGAGCATCCGCGACATGAACGAGAATGGAGAATATGGAAAATTCGTGATCGAAATGGGTGAAGAAGTCAGCGGATCAGTCGATTCAGCCTTCAAAATATTGAAAAAGATCCAGCACAAGGTGCGTCAAAAATATATTGCCTTCCAATTTAGACTTGCCTAATCGACTGTTTTTCAGGAGAAGAAAAATGAAGCCGGAGCAGCTAGCATTCAGGCACTCAAGCTGCTCTACGCCATGACCATTTTCCAGGTATACAACGGCGACGCTGATGCCGTGTCCATGTTGGACGAACTTAAAATATGCTATGATAAATTTGTCAGTCGGAAAAAGGCCGATGATGCTGATACCGCGGAGGCTTCTGATATTTTGGTTGAGATCTTGCTAAGCTTCGCATCGAAACAATCTCAGTTATTTCGTCGCACTAGCGAGCAAGTCTTCGGTGCATTTGCCGATCGAGTTACAGCAACGGGCCTTCAGTCGTTGATTGCGGTACGGTGCTTTGAGTTGTTTTAAATTTACAATAGTCACGTTACTAATATAGTGTATAGATTTTGGAGGCGAAGGATACCCTTGCAGGACAGCAGGAAATGTTCGAGAATGACGATGAAGGGAGCGATGTGGAAATGATCGATCCAGACGATGATGACGTTGAAGAGATCGATCAGTCTGGAGAGGAGTCCGAGGAGGATCTTGAGGCCTCGGATGAAGAAAGTGATGAGGATGGATCCGAAAACGAAGACGAAGACGAATTAGAAGAATTTGATGCTAAACTGGCCGCTGCACTTGGAACCCACCGTGCGGACAAGGACCTGGACGCGAGCTCGGAAAAGTCATCGGACTCCGACATGGATGACGATCAGATGGAAGCGCTCGACGAGCAGCTAGCCCAGGTATTCAAGGCACGCAGCCAAGTGACGAGCAAAAAGAAGGAAAAGAAAGAAGCCCGCGAGAACATGATCAATTTCAAAAACCGAGCACTCGACCTCCTGGAAATATACGTGAAAAGATCACATTCGAGCATCATCGCGACCGACATCCTCCTCCCACTCCTGCAGGTCGTCCGCAAGTCCAAAGTGCAACAGATAGCCAACAAAGCCAGCAATGTCCTGCGTGAGTATTGTAAGCTCTGCAAGGGAAACAGCCTCCCCGCCGTCGAAGACGAGGACCGGCTGTGGGACTTGCTCAAAGCGATCCACGAGGAGGCCACGCATAGCGGACCGGCTTTCCACGCGACGGCCTGCAGCCAGGCCAGCTTACTGATTGTGAGAATATTAGTGGCGCAGAAGAAGGAAAACGCGAAGGGTATCGTGGATGTGTACGCTGAGACGAGGAAGAGACAGCTCCTAAGTAAGAGGTGCCATGTTCAGCCGTCGTTCTTCTCCGACTGGAATAACTGGTGCGTCTCTGCGAGCAAGCAGATGAAGGAGTGAGGTGAGGTGAGGTTAGGTGAGGCCCTGTGTATGCATACTGTACGGAGTACATCCTTTAAATCAACCTTCAAAGGGGTACCATCAGAAGGAAATCACAAAATGAAATATATGTACTTCTCTTTTCCTTTTCGATCCAGTGGGATTAAGCCACGTTGATAGGGTTCACCTTTTGGAACAACTCACAAGATTTTCTGGTCACGGCTCTCTCGGCTCACCATTAGTCTTTTAAAGACACTAAAAAGTGGAATGGACTCCAGAAGCATAATAACAAGTTTCAGAGGCACAGATTTAATCAATACTGTACTCCGTACGGACGATGCTGAATGACGGCCAGAGCATAAAATAACATTTTATCCATACTTGATATGGTTATTCCTTTCGCGGCCTGGTGGCTAAATCGCCAAAGTGCCAACAACATGTTCTTGAATTAAACAGCAATAAATCCTTGGCCAAACAGCACGAGGATAGGGGAACACCGAGGTAATTAATATATACTAGCGTACAGCACTCGTTCGTTCCATTATACCACACCACAAGAGGGTAATAATGAGCGCTTATACTCCCTACAACTGGAGTTTACTTTTTCCTTTGTTGTTTTTCTTTTTCTTTTCTTTTTTTTTTTTTATAATATTGATCGACTGATGTGAAAGAGGGAGCCGGTACAAAGAAAAGGATACGAAGGGCAAAAAATGAGGGTATCAGATTTACGGTGTGCAAGGTTCGCTTATTTTGAGCGATAGGGCGTGGCTTACAGAATTATGAGGACGAGGATTAAAGGGTAGCTGGAGCAGAATAGGCAGACATCTAACAATCAAGATGCAGGGCTTTCGGGAGTGAAGCGCGTTGGGAGGGAAAGAGATACATCAAAAAAAAAAAAAAAAAAAAGGAAAAAAAGCCAAAACCACGGATTCCATTGATATTCTGCACTGCAATGATCTACTCGAAAAGGAAAGAGATATATTTGATCGGGCCCGTGCGAACCTTTGGAGGCTGCTCTGCAACAAGGATCTCCTCCAGACCCGTCACGAGGTCAACGTCCTCCGGCTTCCACGCCCAGGGATCGTGTCGGTAAACCAGTCTGTGCCCGAAGTACAAGATCAAAAATGCCGGAAGACCAATATACGCCGTGAAGAAGCCAGAGACCGTCCACTTCTCGGGGAAGAACACCTGGAAGCCGTTGATGAGGACGAGGAAGATAAAGCCGACGATGCCGATATACGCGCCGTATGGCTGGAGGAAAGACTTATAAGGACGTTCGACGCCCTGGACATCGGTGGCTTTGCGGAAGCGGAAGTAAATGATGCAGCAGCAGGTCCAGGAGATAAAACCGGATGTGTTGGTAAGGCTGACGAACCAGTTGAAGACCTGCGAGCTGCCGTTCGCGACGGCAAGGTAGGAGAGACCGGAGAAGCAAGCGCTGGCCATCATGGCAGTGTATGGGAGGCCGTACCTGTTGCATGCCTTGAAGATGCTGGGAGCGTTGCCTGATACGGCAAGGGAGTAAAGCGCGCGGGAGGACATGTATAGATAGGAGTTTCCAGAGCTCCATGCAGAGGTAAGGATGACGGCATTGACGACGCTGTCAAGGACGGGGATACCGGCGTTCTTGATGCCGACCACGAACGGCGAAGAACCGGCGCCAGCACCGCCGTTGGTCAAGGCAGCGTTATCGGATGGACAGGTGACACCGATAGCGATGGAGCCCAAGATATAGAAGAAGAACAGACGGTAAAAGTATCGGCGTGAAGCTCGGGGAATGTTGTATCGAGGGGATTGCATCTCACCGGCGGTCTGGATGATGAGTTCGGGTGCGAAGAGAAAAGCAAAAGCACTGAGGACGATACACTGCAGCAGCGCGATGAAGCGGCCCTTGTCTCCGGTCAGGATGTATTCGTTTGCCGCCCCCGGGGTTTTCCAGTAGTGGAAGCCGAGTCGTTGACGGCTTGGGCCACCGCCCCAGAAGAGGATAAAAGCAAGGATGAGCAGGCCCAGCAACATGATAACCTTCAAGCTGGCGAACCAGAATTCTGATTCGCCGTACCACTGGACGGGAAGCACGTTGAGGGCGAGGATGACGATGAGCAGGATGGTGATCCAGACGGCGATGTGGACGTTTGACTCCCAATAATCTATGATCAACGCACCGGCGACGATTTCGTTTGGAACCAGGATACCCATGGAATACCAGTACAGGTACCCGAGAGCGAAGCCCAGACTTCTCGAGACATACCGATATCCGTAGTAACTCATCGTGCCGCCGTGGACGGGGAGGTAGGTTCCGATCTCAGCGACGGCGGTGACGACCATGAGGACGAGAGAGCCGATGAAGACGTACGCACCGAGCAGGAACGCCGGGCCACCGATGGCGAGTGCCTGACCGCTGCCGACGAAGAGACCTGTTCCGATGGTCCCACCAAGGGCCATCATCTGGACGTGTCGCGACTTGAGGCCACGCTGCGTCTGACTGTACCGACTGTCAAGGAGATCTTTCTCGACCATTGAACGGACGAAGTCGCGGCCGACCTCTGCCTTCTCGTAGGGCGGGGGCACCGCCGCTGAGACGTTGGTCGTCCCGACCTCCATGTCCTTTTCGTTGCCCATCTTGAGGGAAGATGGAGCGGCGAGTGTCTCCAAGGTCAGAGAAATTCAACCAAAAAAAAAAAAAAAAAAAAAAAAAAAAAAAAAAAAAAAAAAAAAAGGGTGGAATATTTTGTAAAAAAGAAAAAAGGAAAAGAAAAAAGAAAAAGAAAAGAACAGACGACAGAGGGATAGGTAGAGATGACAAGAGGACGGGGGGAGAACAAAAAAACAAAAAGGCACTCCGACGACGTTTTTTTTTCTTTCGTCAGAACCCCCGGTCAACGGACGAAGAGTTATTAGATTTCGGCTTGTCCGGGCTGGAGGGCAGTTATTTAAACAAGGCCGGAGAAATACGAAATCCCGGGGGCAGGGGAGTCAGGTCTGGAGGAGTTCACCTGCCGCGAGGGAGCTTGCGCCGCAGGATACCGTCGGTTTGGATGGCTGCAGAGAGCATTGACCGTGCTGGCTCGGGCTTGTCGATGGTGGAGGGACAGCGGTGGGGGTGTGTGGGTTGGGAGTTCAAAGAAGCAGCTTTCGCAGAAGAGACCTGTATTTAATCTCTGTCTTTGGTTAGGCAGCGGCCCATCCTTTCATGTGGTGCTGGAACTTAAATAATGGGATGTGCTCCGTTCCGTGGTCGTTGGCTGGTGGCGCTGCGGACGCTTGCATCCGCACAATGACGGTGATGTTTCTCGAACGGATAATCACTCACCATTGTGCGTGTACACATCCGTCGCGGGTGTCAAGAACAGTCCATTGGATGGTGAGCTGGCGGTACTCTGTACAGTCGATTGGATTCGTCGTCCCTTTTTTTGCGCCCTGCACTTCATCATAGCCATGACGAGCAGCACGGGGTTTGCCGTGAGAGAGACCAGGAAGAAGAAGAAAAAGGAAAAGCAAGGATGGCGTGCAGCGGTGCAACCTCGCAAGGGACCCAAACTCAAAGCGTGACCGGAAAGGCTGGGCGGATCCAGTTTTTGTGGAGAGTCAGTTGGGGATGTGGAGGGAGATCACGGACAGGGGGCCACCACCAGCTAAAAAATCAACTCGTTTTCTGTCTGCCCGTCCGCTGGTCATCGCGACTCGAACATCGAACAGCCCACACGCGACTGGGGCAAGAGGAGGAGGAATAAGAAGAACAACAACAAGAACAACAAGAACAAGAAGAATAAGAAGAACAACAAGAACAAGAAGAAGAAGAACAACAAGGTGGCGGCGGCGGCGGCGGCGGCAGTGCAGGTCCTGGAATCGCGATCTCTTTCACTACTTTTTAAGCTGGAACCTCCCGCATTCACCCAAATTTAATATCCACACAAAGTTCGCGTGGAATTATGGGATGCTTCTTCCTTTTTTTTTATTTTTATTTCGCGTCGTGACCGTGGATCTGGCAACTCTGCGCAGTGCCTCTCTTTAAGCTCACCAAGGAAATTATTGGCTTCCTTCACTAACAGAAACGAAACACGCCGGTGCCTTTTCTTTAGCCAAGTGTGACTTGATGCATTCAAGCATCCCGACGCTTCAAACCGTTTTGTCCCGCAGAGTGCTCTGTAAACTGCTTTCGTACCACCAGCGTGTCCCGTCATGGGAGATTCCTTTTTCTTTTCCCCCCCCCCCCCCTCTAAGCTGCTGAATTGCCTCGGGTTCAGATTCACGCCATCATTCGCACCGTCTCTCTCTCTCTCTTTTTCTGTCTTTTGCTTTCTCTTTTTTTTTTTTTTTTTTTTTTTTTTTTTTTTTTGGCTCTCCTCAAGCAAAAGTCCAAGCCCGGATGGAGGACGCTAAACTGGCTAATTCGTACATCCCGTCATTGTGGATCAAGATCTGAACACTCTGCGGCCTGTCAAATTTCCCTTCTTTTTCTTTTTTTTCTTTTCCCACCCTTCCCGCGGTGGCCTCAGTGAAGATCACGATCATAGACGATTTACATGGAACACCCTGTACTCCGTACTCCGTAGTTTGGATACATACTCGGGTGCTCCGTAGTTTAAAACTACCCAGGCTTTTTTTACCGAGAAAATACACGATGGCTTTCATCACCTTGGCACGAGGAGTGGCAACCTGATCGTCAACGTCTCGCTGCCCACTTCGGCTGTCAAGCCCATACATAGCCGGCTCAAACCCCGTCGAACGATGACGGAATGCGACACACCAGGGAAACGGGCGCAAGTGCAAAGCGGTTTTCGTCCAGCGCCGCCGTTCTCGCGCTAGTCCACTGGCTTTCCCCCAAAAACTTACCTACTAGTTAGTGAGCTGACGAGCAGGGGAATTCCATACTTCTCCAGAAGACCAGCGAACCCACCCTGAAGCAAGTGGAGTGCGGAGAATTTCCATCTTGCGCTTCACGAACCAGAGCGCGCCGGGTTTATCTCCATTTTATTTGGGTTTTCGATCCTGCGACTCCCCATGCCTGTGGGGCTTTTCTTTTTCTTTTCTTTTCTTTTTTTTTTTTTTTCCTTTTTTGCCCCTTGGGTTAGTTATCTGGAGAAGTGGACTGATCCGTTCCTTCATATCCACGCGAGAGAGAAAGCCCACCAGCTCAGTGCCGTCTTTTCCCGAAAGAGGCAACCCGGGACATCTTCTAACCCCGGGAGTACCGAATGTCTCTGTTACGGTGGTTGATGTCAAGACGCCCAAGATCATTTATAGTAACTAACCTAGCTACTGTCTATCATTGCAGATAGTCAAGCAGAAAAGTGTTCTAGAAGATGATATTCTCCCCGTAATCCTCGGGACCTTCGATCGCAACAGCACAATCTTCACATGCTATTACTCTTTCCCTCTTTTTTTTTTTTTTTTCCCCCGCCGTGAGCCAGCTAACTAACTAATTGATTACCTGTCTAACCGCAAATCAGAAAAAGCTGACTGCGAGACAACACACGGCATCCATCCATCGCTCCGTGCGACGAGTTTCGAGGTAAGTACGTGCGCGCGCCTCCCGGTCCACATGGGCATTTCGGCCGTCCCTTAGCCTGTACGTAGGGCTTGCCGCGCTACAGAGCCAGTGGCTGCTCGCTAGCTAGTAACTATATCGGGTATTACCCTCCCACAGCTATGGGAAGTTCCCGGCCTTTCCTAAGATACCCCATTTAACACCAGGCTGAAAGAGCGTGTTCCATGTTCACAAGGTGTTGTATCTTCCGCGAAAGATCATAATACCATGCTATGTGCAATGCACGTTCAGAGGATTAGAAACCCTTCCGAACAAGTAGAGTCGGATATCCCTAGATTTGATAATTAAAAATGCCTATAATGTCTCTCTCTTTTTTTTTTTTTTTTGGGAGGGTACATTGGTGTTACTTTTGTTGAAGCAATTCCAGATAAGAACAATAGGGATATCGCCTTGACATTACCCATAAATGGAGAGATAGCACTCCCCCACGTCCCAGCTCCTATCATACATTTCGTTGTGCTCCATTTTCTCCCCATTTTGCTACAAAACTCTCCGAATTTCACTTGCTGGCCTCTCAAGCCTGCATCTAGTTCTTCTTAGCTTGCGTATTGTTTCCTTCTTGCCACAGCCTCCCTTTTCCAAGAGAACTTGCTCATGGATTGGGGTTTAACAGGAGCTGAAAGGCAAGTTTCGACAGGACATAGCAATCGATATAAGAATGAGCAATCAAGGCATCATGATCCTGTTTTAGGTATAAAGGAAATTGCAAGCGAGTAGGCCCCTGTTGGGCATGATGACTATGAGGCTCTGGTTTAATCTCACTGGATAAAAGAGTGAGTTCAGCAGTTCAGTTAGAATTAAGCCAGAGATAAAGAAAACAGCAATAGAGGAGGCCGTTGAGAGAGTAGTGTAGCGCATCCGCCTCAGTTAGTTAGTTAACTGAGTGGATCCATTCCTTCTGGCGTCACTGAATCGCGCAAACCTATTCTGAAGATGTAACTAACTAACGTGAGAGGGCTCTTCCCGGTCAACGAAAGAGCATCGGCCCATCTTCAATTCCTGCCCTCCGCACGTCTGCCTCATCACCTCGCCATCCCCACCGGCGACGCTTTTTAAGGGCCACATCGTTGGTTCAGCCAAGTTTACGCGATGGAGTAATTATCTCCTGCATGGGCGATGTTCTTGCACTGATGCGGGAAGAAAAGCTCCTAAAGCTAGTTATATCTTCGGATATATACCCATAGACGGAGTTAGTTCATAACAAGCAAGCCGGACAAGTCCTCCAGGAAACTACGAAAAAGCCGAGGCTGCTGGTGGTTCAAAGCCACTTCGCGAACGAATGCCATTGCGGCCCTTGCAAGGTCCTTGTGCCTTGGAAATTCCTGAAGTTGTTGACCATATATGACGCTAAGGAAGAAAAGTCTCAATGGAGGGCGCGGAAGGAGATTTTGACTTGGTTAACTGGAAAAGGTTATTTCCTCCGGACTCCTCTTCATGACCTCATGCCAAATTTGAGGATCGCATTTCTTCACGTAATAAGAGAGCGCGGAATACACCGGCTCGGGTCCCAGAGAAACATGACGATATTCTACGATTTTCAGCCAAAAGAAAAGGACAAAAGTCAAATATGAGAGGCTCCGTTCTAATACGAGCCTTTGTGCAACCATCTCTTGGCTATTTATGGCTCTCAACCATTGTGATATTTGTCTATGATCTGGATGAACTAAGCCTTCTTCCTGTATCCTCCCCCTTTTCTTCTTTTCGTTTTTCTTTCCTTTTTTTTTTTTTTTTTTAAATTATAGAATTGGTTTATTAGGACTTTTCGCCGGCCGCTTACCGACTGTAGGACCATCTAATTTCCCCGGAGATGCTGCTGCTACATGCGTACAGGTTTCGAGGGCCGCAAAGGTGTCACGAAGACACAAGTGGCGGGTTCGCACATGGTCGCTGGTACGTAAAAGACATGGAGAAAGAAAAGAAACTCTCCGAACAAGGCCTCGGGAAGATTGAAATGAGAATGTGCATGTCGCACGGCAGCTCTCTAATCCAGCTAAGTTCTGAATCACCGCCGAAATGGCTGCCGCACTGTTTCTTTCTTGAAACACAGAAAAATATCAAGATCGACACAGGGATATAACTACGAGGATAGACGCAGATAGATATAGACCTGTAGGTTCCCTTGATAATGAAGAGAGTATGGATTTGTTCATCAGACATAAACTTCGTAATCGTAGCTATTCGTGGGGATCGTCGCTACGCATCATAAATCCCGTTTCCCCGAAACGTTGTAGGAAAGGCAATGAGATCGAAAGCAAAGTCACCAAGCAGTCCATAGCTTACTTTGATAGGGTCCAATTCTTGCAGGGGCCGAACCAGACGTCTCTTGGCTTCATGCCAAGCAGGTTGATCCCTTTTTAAACCAAATCATCCATTCGCTTTTGCACCCTGCTCAATCCAACAAGCGACCAGTGCTCGTATCAATCCGATAACGACAGCTTTCCCCTTCTCGATGCTGTCTTGGTCCGTCCAACCAGGGACGTGAAGAAACACAACATTCCCACTTCGCCCATCCTTATACGCGTGTGCCAGGCTGGTATAATATATAAATTCACAAAGATATCTCCCAGCGTCCTCTGATAATCGTATATCGGTCTTCGGTGGAAGATAGGATCGCCAGGTCTCCAGGAACTCCGCATCGGGTGACGAGGGGTGTATGTGGACCTGACGTTTCAGGTCTGATGATGCTGTAACCGGGCGAGCGGAACCGGCAGAGGAGACGTCAAGTCGGGGTGGGCCGGGTTGTAAGGTCTCCGGTAAACCTTCCCACTTCCAGAATGCCTCCCCGTCGTCGTAGCCCAGCTGGCCGTCAATGTCTGTTACGCGGTATCCATCACGGTGCGCTTGCGTTTCTACCGAGTAGTAATGCCGCGTTGACGCCATCCCAATGTGGATGATCAGGTCCGGAGCCTGGCCATTGTGTGTGCGCTTGAATGAGTCTATTATGGTGGGGATTGTGACTCGGACGGTGGAATATGAAACTCGAATCGGGCACGGGTGTGTGTGAATTCGGACCATGCGGGAGCTCGAGGGTGTCGTGGGTATGGTTGCGGGGAGGGTGGATGAGATCAGGAAGGAAGGGTTGAGAGGGTTGGTTTTGAACGGCTGTGCCACGAGGTTAACTCTGCTGCTGTTTCGGAGGGGGCCAGTTGAATAGACAGATCGACAAATGCTCCGTAATCCGTCCCGTGCAAACTCACCCCGAAGCCCGTGATAAGAACATGAACCTCATCCTTCACAACTGCCGGATCCGCAGTCTTCGGCCCGGGTAGCGTTCCCTCTGACGGCACCTCGGGTCCAAAGTCACCCATGACTGGGAAAAAGCAAAATCGTGATGCTAGTTATGGGTCGGGCGCGGCAAGGCTTTCGTTAGTCCCCGCGGGATCGAAAAAGTAGTTGGCGGCGGGCCCGCCCGGTGATGAGGTGGGGTCCGGTTCGTCGGCAGCGACTGCGATCGGTTGCGGATATTTCCTGGGGGCCGAGTACTCTGCTCGACATCGGTAGCACGGAGAAATGACGGCCTCCGCCGTAAATGAAGCAGAACAGGAGGGTGTTGCAGATTGCGCCCTCAACCCCTCCTTCGATCGACGATCGCAGCGGAAAATTATAGGCCCGAAATTCTTCGGAATATGGTTGATCCGCGTTATGCCGAAATGACCACAATGGATGATAATAATAGGAACATCTAGGAAAAAAAAGGGAGAGGGAAAAAAAAAAGAAAAAAGGTCTCCTGCCCTGGATAAACACAAGTCTGAAAAATAGTTTCAGTTTTCCGTCGTAGTTTGTTGCTTCTCCACGCCCAACTTCAAGCTCTGTCGCCATGCACGCCGCCACGTCACCGTTCGAGATTTTTGCCGCTCGATTGCAAGATTAAACGCGAGAAAGGTGCGTCGCGCTTCGGGGCGGCGCGTGTAGACGCGTCTGGCCACGCGACGGCGGACGTCCGCTGGCTGCCGCCGGCCAATGAGCCGGTTTGCCCCCCAGAGGATCAGCCAACACATAGCCAATACGGTTTTGAGGGGCCGTACGATTTGTTCAACATTTTGGAAACAGGGACGGCCAATGGAATGGTCGTGGGGAGGGGATTTTGGCTCAGGTTTAGGAGATGGCGCCGACCTCGAGTTGGGCAGTGGATCTTGCAAGCTTGTGAGACTTGGTTCAAAGTGATGCGCACGAGGACTCTAAACCAGGCCAATCAAGCTTGTTGCCTCACCGCATTTCTTTTTGAGTTTCCGTTGAAGGAATTCCTCCTGCCGACGTGGTGCACGAATGAGTATATCCCGATGCGAGCTCATCCTTGCTCGTCGAAGGGGGAGGTGGATAGCACAGCCTGGGGTCCCCAAGCATCTCGTTCCGCTGTCAGAAGGATCAGCAGGCATATTGCATCCCAAGGGTGCTCCTGCGGCAGCGTACTCCGTAGAGGCAGATAAAAGCGTTGGGACTCGAATGGCTCCAGAGGTGCTCCGTACGCGGGCTTCTGCTCGAAGCGGCAAACATGCTTTTTTTTTTCGTTACGGGAATTTTGGGGAGGACGGCGAACCCAAACGAGAGGTTTTGACGTAGTTGGTTGGTTAGGTAGGGGAGGGGGGGAGGTTGAATTGTCCAATTGATGTCTTGAAGCCGGAGGGAGGAACTCTCTCTTTGGCCGCCTGCGTAGAAATCCTTGCGCTGCTCTCGCCATCTCTCCAATGTATTCATGCCCTATCGCTCGATGAACGTGCGCTTTGTGCCTGTGAACCCTGTGGCACCAAGTGGTACCTCGCTCTCCACCGCGCATCTGCTGCTGGCGCTAGTCACTCGCGATCCAATGACAAGACGCCCGCGTTGACTTTGACACCTTCGAGTCCCGGCCCCGTTTCGACCTCTCTCCCACATCCTCCACGGCAGACACATCATCGTCTCTTTTCTCGTTTCGAAAGCCTGCCAGACCCTCCTGTCTCTTTACGCGCTCTCTTATTCTCTTTTTCCTTCGCATTTGACCAAGAAAGCGCTTGACGGACAGGCGCCCCTTCGCCCAGCCGCCGAGAATAGGTGTGCCGACCCTAGGCTTCGCAATCAACGGTTCGTTCCCAAGGACAGGGCGGTTCCTCCCGACCCCCCGCTGCGAGCCCTTGTGAACCAAATTTCCTGGCTCTGGATTGATGCTCCGCATCGTTCCCCGGATCGCATATCTTTATTCTAAGGTCCAAAAAAAGGTATGTAGTGTCAACCCGCTGAACGGTCACGATCCGCTTTGCGCTAGCTCCTCGCATCGCACCATCACTATCACACTTCTCGCCTCCCCTCTCCCTCCTCTTCTCTTCCCAGCCTCCCTGTTTTCCCCATCCCCTGTCACGGCTCTGGGCGCCTCCAGTTCAGCAAGTTACGCTGTTCTGCGTCGCATACTCAACCGAGTCGCCAATGCCTCTGTTCAAACCTGGAGAATGCGTTCTTACCTATCAATTATTCCTAGGGCATCAATTCAAGTCTCTTGACAATTTGGCTCTCCTCGGAAGGTGGCGCGCTTTGCTCCCGAGTCTTCGCCTTATCCTTTTCCTTTTTCTTTTGAATTTTTTTTTCTTTTTTTTCCCTATCGTTTCGATAATTTTTCATATCTCAGTCACTTTATTTTCTACCTCGACCGGTCGTCGCACTCGTCAGGCGCCTTTTCTTTTGTTTCATGTTATTCTTCGCCTTGTCGGCTTGGATGTCACTTTCAGGTTTGGCTTGCCCCATTCAAGATATGACGATTGGCTGAATTAAGCTAACAGTGGGCGTTGGAGATTCGTCGATATTGATTGACTGGAAGCTATTCACTGCCTCGTCGGCGACAACACTCCCGCACTTTTATTTGATTGTTGCATCCTGCCCCCATCAACGTTGATTAACGCCCCTAGTTTCTTCATCACTTTAACGACCCTCGATGAACTTTGACGACTCCATCCTGCTCTATGATCCTCTGTACGACCTGACGACATTCTCATTCATAAAAGTTCCCCCGATTATCATCGCTGACGATCGATACAAAGAACCAAGTGGCGCTTTTGTCTCCCTTCAAGTGACGTACTTCGACTTGGTTGCTGCTATCTGGTGATCTGGGTCAAAATAGCCGTTGGAATTTTGACGTTGACTTGGCATATACCGGATATGCAGCACTGTCACTGAGAGATATTACCTTGAATACCTTGCTTCTACTCAGAGTCCCTCTTAGTCTAAAAAAAAAAATCTTTAAGGAATATTAGGGAGTGCCTTGCGCGCCGCTTATCTCCCAGCCATGGATCACAAACAGCCCGCTTTGTCGCGCACCTTGCCGAAGGATTTTACGTTCCACGCTTTCGATGAGCCTCGCACGCCAACAAGACCAGCCAAGGAGCTCGAGATCCCGCCGCCTCCACATCATTCTTCTTATCGCCTTAGGAGGCCTCCACTTGATATTATCTCGAATCTCGGTTATAATGCGATGCCGTTTTGCTCCCCGGATGTTCCCTTGCCCTCTATTGAATTCTCCAAGGAAGTAGATACGTCTTCCAGCTCGTTAGATACTAATCTAACTAGACACACATCTCCCGGGCGCCTTGAAGTACCGCCGCCACAGAGACGCGATCCTAAGACCCCTGAAGCGCAAGTACGAGAAGATATCGTGGGAGAACGCCGTAGCTGGAGAGAGGAGAGCTTCACCTCTGGATCTGACCCTATTCCACGCCCATCTTCAGCTTGCTCAAATACTTCAGATTCATCAGTGTCCTCAAGTGGATCTTTTGGCTCTCATCCCTCTTTCGGCGGCAGTTGTACGAGTTTTGAGAGTGAGATTCAAGACCCTTTTCTTGCGCACTCATTTCCTGATCGAAAGCAACCCCTCGAGTCTCCTTCTAAACCTGCAATCGCGCGAAATGTTTCACCTCAATTTCCAGGTGGCCATCGATGGACATCGGAGATGGATAATCATCTGTGGAATGCTTATCAACTGTACCTCCAGGACCCAACCATCACCCCATTCAAAACCGTTCCAGGCAGCGTTCCGCCACTTGGTGTGTCCCATCGTGTTGCTAGAGAAGCTCGCAGGACATGGCCAAGAGTAAAGCACGGTCTCGCCAAAAGGCATGGTCAAGATACATCTCAGGAACTCGAATCAAAAGCCGACCCAACGCCCGAAGCAAGGAGTGGTAGCTGCACCCCTAAACCTGGAGTGGTCAACTCTAAACCGCTTTGGCCACGGTCCGATGCCTCGACAAGGAAGAGGCTAAAGCAACTTTGCAGAAGAAGGTTTTCCATTGCGCCACATTATCAAAGGCTTCTACAATCTCGAAGCCCTTCACCTTTCCCTGAGCTTTTCATCCGCTCTTCTTCTAGCTCGCTCTCCATGGGATCATACGGTGCCTCTAATCCTTTTGCTCGTGATCTTGGTGTTTCACTTGTCGCAACGTCTCTGCCTGCTAGTATTCCTGCAGTCACTATTGAAAATAAACATGTAAATTCCGAGCAGACAAACTGGTTTAACAATGTTGCGGAACAACCTCTAGCGATGGAACCCCAAACCCAATCCGAGTTGCAGCCTCCAAGGAATCTAGTCGATGAAGGCCCAGCTACCATCCCTCGCCTTGGTTCACCGTTCATGTATCATACATGGGGCCCTGATACTTCTCGTCGCCACCTTCGTCCAGTTCCACCCCCGAATGTTCCTGAAACCATCCATGGACCCACTGGCTCGCGGCTCCGCTCCTCTATCCCTCCTGAAATGATCACGAGCGCTCACAAAAGACGCGCAATGAACCAATTAGACGATGAAATCAGCCCAGATAGAAACGCACCTCCCGACCTCCTACCAGAGCCCTCAAAGGACGAGAAGAAGAACCCGAATTATCGACGAGTCAGACTGCGAAATCGCGGGGCAACTACGAGTGGACTAAGCTCTCGAGAACGGTTGAATCAGCTTTTCACTCCACCGTCGCATTTTGGCTCCAACGAGAGCAAGGCTAGCGCTCTTCCGGCAACCTCATCCCAGGCTGAACCGCGAAAGGAAGAAATTAAGAGGCTCGGGTCGCCGTTTAACTCTGACCGTTGTGCAGGCAGATCTTTACAGTCACGCCATGCACCTTCACGCTCAGAACCTTTTATCCTTGCCAGGCCCACCCGAGACAGAGCTTCTAGTCTTCAAAGCCCTCCGCCGTTCTATTTCCAGCATAAGGATGATGTGGTTTCTTCCCCCCCAGCTTGAGTCTTCTTTTACAGTAGCCTCAACTATGTGCGGACCTCATCTTCATGCTCCGGATGCTCGCGGTCCCTATTCTTAGCACGAAGCATCGACCACTGTCGCCGACTTTTAATTGCAAATGCGAGTATCGGCTGCGATTATGTCAGCTGCTTGCCTGTGATAATATAATGGTCCGATCGCCTTCTTTTAATTGTATTTTTTTTTTTTTTTATGATGCCACTTTTGCGGTGGACGCCAACCTTTTAACCATCATGCCATGTCCGGGACGGTAAAAAGTGAGATATCTGTATCTCAGTTTATTGATGCCGAGTCCAGGTCGAAAGTGACATTCCCGAAGCATCCATCAGCGGCACTTAAAAGTTAATTGGTACCTTCGGGTTCTGCTTTAGCCCGTTATCAGCTCTTTACACCGTCGAGGTGGACTCGGCCCGTGCCGCCTCTCTTTGTTTGCCGTCGCCCGATTATGAGCCTTACGAGACATAACCGACGACGGATGCTTCGTATGCCGTTTAACTTTTGTTTCACCTTCAGCTCGGCTTGTTGCTGTCGCCTAGTCCTTCTTTTTCTATCTTTTTATTTATCGCTACGTTACGAACTATACGCAACGAGAGCATGAAGCCCACTTTCCGAAGCGAATTCAACGAATGACGATGCAATGCATTGTTCTGGCGTGATCGGTTGATTCGAATCTCAAAATATACTCCTTCTTTTTGGCCCCTTGGGGGAACTGCCCTGGGTCTGATTTCCGCCGCCGTATTTTCCTATGATTTCGCTGCTGAGCTCTTTGGTTGAGCAAGTTTTGGAGACGCTCGGGATAATTATTAACCTATGTGTCTAATGGCCTATGTCGCCCCGGCTCAAGGCTTGGAACCTGGAGTGTTCATATATCGAACAATTCGCTCTTTTTTTCCCCCTTCCCTTCCAACTCGATCCTTTTGGCACTCTTTTGACAGACTCTCCTTGATCCATTCATTTTTCTTCATTTCCCTCACTCTTTCGTTCACGTATTTCCCGTATTTTCCTCAGATAAGCAGTCCCAAACGTATCCTAGAGTACATTCCGGTACTCGATTAACTGGATGTCAACCGCCTTACCCTTGGTATTTCCTGCTTTCTCTACCATGCGCTGTTTTTGGTGGGGCTGGCTATCTTTATCTTTTTGATGACTGACATGATTGATGAAGTGATCTTTTATCTTTTTCATTCTATCTTTCTCTTTTTTTTTTTTTTTTTTTTTTGCAAGAGAAAAACAAAAGCCATAGAATACGCGCTTCATTCTTACTTCAGAACCATTTACCTTTGGGTGATTTTTGTTTTCCTTCTATTCGCAAGTCAAACACTATGATACTTTTCCTACAGTCTTTTTCTTTTCTTTCTTTTCTTTTCTTTTCTTTCTTTCCTTTTCTTTTCTTTCTTTAATCTTCTTTATTATAGCTGGGATGACTGATGATGTTGCGATGAAGAGCTTGTGATTATATAAGAGATGAATTGACAGCTAAATATACGTTTCTTTCTGACCATGGATTTCTTGAAAAACCTGACAAATTGGCCCTTTTTGCATATCGCTGGCGCATCCAGTTCATCTTAGATTTGCCACCAAGGTCGGTCGAGACACTATACACTGTTTATCCCGGAGTTAAAATCACCAATCCTCGTACGACTCCGGAACAGCCGCAAGTACACTATTGTTGGAGCAGACGTGTGTGGGATTCATTGGTAAAATGGTGTCCTTGTTTGGGACGAAAGTTGGTGGATTCTACACCACTTCATAGGTTTCTCCCGTTCAATACCGGCCATGGCAGACTATCGTCAGTTTGTATCGGCTCTCTCGTAAGAAGACTCGCCTACAAACTAGGACGGTGCGCTCCGCATGCCGTGGCCCGTAACAAGTCCCTCCTGGCCACCAGGTTAGCATGTTGAATGGAGCAGTAGAGCATTCAATAGTAGCTCTGAGCATTAGAGAACTGAATTAACTCCTCCGTACTTTCCGCCGTCAAATCCGGAGTAATTTGGTGCAGCGAATTTTTGATGAGGGAGAGAGAGACGCCAAAGGTTTTGCTGTTTCCACGGCAACGGCAGAACGATCAACACACGTCCTGAACAACAAAGTTTCATCACGACTTCTGGATCGTTTCTCGTCGACCATGATACCCCTTTGAAGCAGTGGAGTTCCCGTTTGTCCTTTTTTTTATTTACTTTCTCTGGAACTACCGAGGTTTGTATTTTGTTTGTCCTATCTCTTCCACGACATACAATGTCGGGCTCCGGGGACCTGATCAACTTCGATGTGATCGAGTCGCAAAAGGAGAATATCCAGGCCTTGCCCACCGGGAGATCAGCAAAGGCTTTGGTAGCAGCAATCTCTCCTCTCAGCAGCGGCAACTATTCACGATGCAGTCCCGACGATACACAGTCCGTCAACGATTCGATTCGAGCAGAGTACGAGAGAGAACTCGAGGCCGTTGGTGAATCGGACGATCCTCTCGATATATACGATCGATACGTCAAATGGACTCTAGACGCTTACCCGTCGGCACAAGCAACCACGAAGTCTGGTCTCCTTCCGTTACTCGAGCGAGCCACAAAGACATTTCTTTCGTCCAGCCACTACAAGAACGACCCGCGGTATCTACGCCTCTGGTTACATTATATCCGCTTGTTCTCGGACGCTCCCCGGGAAACGTTTGCATTCTTATCGCGTCACGGGATCGGTGAGGGCCTGGCTTTGTTTTACGAGGAGTTTGCGGCTTGGCTTGAGGGCGCGGGACGTTATGCTCAAGCGGAAGAGGTATACAAGATGGGATTGGAACGGGAAGCCCGGCCGATGGAGAGATTAATGCGCAAGTTTGGTCAGTTTCAGGATAGAATGGAGCAAAGACCAGGGAATCCGGATGGGCCCTCTTCACCAGCTTTACCTACCGTACGCCCGGCCTTAGCGGCCAAGGTTGATCCCTTTGCGTCCGCGAGACCGCCGCCTGAGAATCCGCAAGAAGAGAGCAGAACCAGGGGTATAGGGGGCGGAACGAAAACTCGCAGTGGAAAGCCGAAGATGGCGATATTTAACGATGCGGATTCTGGTGCAATGGGACCAAGTCCTGCGGCAGCACCGACGAAGGGGTGGGATAGTATTGGATCCATTCGAGAAAGGAAGAAGGAAAACTTGATTGAGCCACGGCCCTGGGTAGGCGAAACCCTAAAGGCTGGAAAGAAAACAAATCCAAAGCAGAAGATGGCGATATTTCGCGATCCGGTAAGTTGCGTGCAAAATTCCCTTCCGCATCTATATAACATCCTCATATTTACGATCATAGGACTAATTGCTGGCATGGAACCATTGGTGTTTTTCGTTGTCGTGTATTTCAGAATTCAATATCAAATAATGCAAAAGCTGTTCCACCTGAAAATCTTCCACAAAACCAGAGAGAAAGAGTCGATGCCCGAACAGGAAAAGTCGAACGGGTTTTCGTTAATCTTGCTGCCGTGTATCCTGATCCTGAGAATCCCGCTCTCGAGATGAGTCTTGATGAGTTGAGAGCCTTACATCGAGGTTGGATGGACAAAGACTGGTCAAAACAAAGGAAGGGCGCGTTGAAGGAGGTATCTGGAAATAAAAGCAAGCATCCGGTTGTCAGCGCAGGCAAGGCCAACCAGCCGGACAAGTCTCTATCAGCACAACTACAAAACAAATTAGTGATACACAATGACCGCCAACCGGCTAAGGAAAATGGTGAAGCCGTTGAAGGGTTTCGAGATGCAAAGGAAGGAAAGCCAAAAAAGATAAAAGTGAGAGAAATCAAAGGGGAGACTCAGACAGGTGCAACCTTCTTTGCGTGCTTTTCCGACAGTATTATACTAACATAGATGGCAGTCAAAACTAAGCTTGACTCTCCAACGGGCCCTAAGTTGAAGCGAAAGAATACGTCAGAGCCAACAATGACTTTCCATACTCGTGCAGCAACCGATGAGATATACAGCATATTCAATCAGCCGCTAAAAGCCGAATTGCAAGCAGCCGAACACCCTGATAGCATATGTGGCAGTGATTATGAAGATGATGATTATACCAGCGCTGGAGAGAGCACAGCAACCGGGCGAATATCTGCCATCCATAGTGAATTTGGGGATGATGAGACCAGTGCCTTTGAAAGAACACAAGATATCAATGGAGGGAGTGAATTTGATGATCAAACAAAGACTGGCGTCAGTGAATGGACAGAGTTTAGTCCTGCTGAACACATTTCGCAATTTCACAGTGAACACAGAGAGGGTATACAAGGGTCTGGAAGTGAGACGAACATTTCATCTTCATCTCAAGGTCACTTTCAGGATCCTGCTCATTTCCTGCCTGCTGATGAAAACGAGAATGCTATGTATTCTTCCAGTTCAGACAGGCTCAAAGAGCACAGATTTGTCCCCATCCAGCCAGAGGATTATAATCCACCAACTGGCCCTTATCGGGATCCCTACACTGTTGCTCAGAATCGATTGCCGTTCATGACTCCGATTTTGGAACAGACGGAGTCTTCCCTGGCTTCAACCATTTTCAGAGAGAAACTGAGCACCAAGACACCATCAAAGATGGGTAAACCCTTTTGCCCTTCAGCTACTCCGGCGATTCCAGAGGTCGACGGCTCGGAGCTTCTAGGCAGCCCATTCCAGGACTATACCCAGGCGAATGACGCTGTGCTTGAGTACACTCGAGAGATTATTTCTCCCAGTAAGATTGGGATCCCGTTCCAGCCACCCGCTCCAAAGTTCCCTGTGTTTAAACGAAACGGCCATGTGATTATCACAGAGCACCAATGCAACCCGATGGAGCGCGCAATCCAGGAAAAGATTTTACGTAGCGTGCGACCTGCGCTGCATACGTATGAAGGATATTACGATCACAAGATTGAGGTTGGAGGAAATGCACCGGAAATTAAAAGGTACTTCAAGAGTTTGGTTAAAGGCTCAAAAGGAAATGGAGGAGATAAATCGCCTGCTGTGCCGCCTGTCCTCTGTTTTTCAGGTGCGGTTCGTAGCTATGCTATCAAACGAGAATTGGGCGAAGGCGGTTTTGCGCCCGTCTATCTGGCCGAAAGTATTGATTCTCCAGACACTTTCAGTGATTCTGACGACGAAAATGATGGATATGAGCTGAGCCCATGCACTCCCTCACCGAAAGGAAAAGAGCTTAAAACTATACGAAACTCCGACCGCGGGTCACTTGAGGCCGTTAAGGTAGAAACGGAACCCCCGTCGGCCTGGGAATTTTACATGCTGCGTACCGCCCATACGCGGCTTAGCAGCACAAGTTTGCACCGGCGTGCAGCCGATAGTATTGTTCTAGTGCATGAACTCCACCATTTCAAGGACGAAACAATTCTCGTGGAGGATTATCGTGGCCAAGGCACATTGATTGACTTGATCAACGTCATGAGGGCTGAATGCAAGGCTGGAGCAGGTTCAACAGACTCAGGCCTTGATGAGGCGGTTTCCATGTTTTTCGCTATTGAATTGTTTCGAACAGTCGAAAGTCTTCACGCATGCGGAATTATCCATGGCGATCTAAAGGCAGACAATTGTCTCGTTCGACTTGATGAAGCTGGTGGCGCTCCTATTTCGCTTTTGGACACCGATCTGAACGGTATCGATTATTCACCATCGGGAGCGCATGGTTGGCTGAACAAAGGTCTTACCTTGATCGACTTTGGTCGGGCGATCGACATGCACGCTTTTATCCCGGACGTTCAGTTCATTGCGGATTGGAAGGTTGCTGCGCATGAATGCCCCGAAATGAAGGAATGCCGACCGTGGACATACCAGGTCGATCTCTACGGACTCGCTGGTATTGTTTATATCATGTTATTTGGGAAGTATATGGAGATTATCACCGTATCGAACACGGAAAACGAAAGCGGCGCGAATAGCGGTTTTGGCTCTCGTCGAAATTATCGAATCAAAGAATCGTTGAAGAGGTACTGGGAACGGGAAGTCTGGTCGGAAGTCTTCGATCTGTGTCTTAACCCCACGAGTGAGAAATGGGTAGAGGCCGAACGGCAACATTCTGGCGCGAATGTCGACCCAAGGTCAGCCAGAAGTGCTGACGGGAACAGGCTCACAATGCCCATGATTAACTCGATGAGGGTTGTTCGTGAGAAGATGGAGAATTGGCTTGCAGCGAATGCGGCTCGCAAGGGGCTGCAAAGTCAGCTGAACAAGATGGAGACTTTGATATCGAAGAAGCGGGCCAAACGAGGTGCGGATAAAGATTAGGATACTGTTGACTGTTAGCTTTCGACCTTAGAATCATTATGCTTGCTCTTGCCCAGCGATGACTTATGTGGCTATGGTTGACGGTGGATTTTTTTTCTATGGCATCTCTTTTTTCGAGCGACAGATTGTTCATATGTTACATACCACACTTTTAATAAGGATTTCTCCAAAGATAGCCGGGCATTTAATAGGAAGAGAAGACACATATACATCGATAGCTACACTGAGAACGCCGAGAGCAGCAAACCCGCAGCGCTCCACCCCTTAACTTGGTCAACGTAATTCCCAAGCGAGCCGATCACCTCAATTTACATACAAATTTCAACTTTTTAATGCTCTATATCTCAACAACACTGTTAGATATAGGCTTATACTTATAGTATACCCCATATAACGATGTGACCGTTAGCCAGCGGCCGAAAATGGTGGTTTTCGCTGCCGTTTTTGGCCTCCTGCTAACGGCTCCCTCCCCCGACCACCATGTTCTCTCCAGCACCGCACGTCCCGCCCTCATCCATGAAAGCACTCACCCTCGCAGTCCCTCAGTCCAGGTTCTTTCTTCGTCGCTCCCTAGGCCGTCTTGACCATGGCGCTTCGCTCCCAACCCATCGGACCTGGTGATAAAGAGAGTCAGAGCAAGAGCAATGCCAGCCCCGCGCGATGCCCTTTTTTGGGACAGTGGATATGAAAGTGGCTCCAATAGCTACCCTGGTGAGGATGAGGATGACAGTGATGATTCCAACAATGATACCTTTGATGATGAGGGCCAGCTCCCCCCAGAACACTACCTTGCTCAAGCAAAGAGTCTGAATGTTTCTCAGCTTTGACAGAAACAGTACAGTAAACACCCTGAGAGAAAAACTTGAGAAGACCCACATGTACTGGAAAAGATAGGTAGCCCTCTTGATTTTCCACCAAAGCTGGAGGCTTACATGCAACTCTCTGACAGACATTGTCAATACATTGGCATTGATTCAGTAAAGCACTGGCAATAAATCTCAGACTCAGATGAGACAGTTTGTTTTCTGTATGCATTCTTCAACTGGCAGTGTGACATTCATCATGGCAAGAATGATCAACACTGCCCACACATCTGGTACAAGAGCTCTCTTGAGACATTTTGGAAGTGGTGGCATCTGGTTCTCAAACAGGAGACTGACTCAGCACTGAGCAAAGTTACAATTGTCAAAATAGATGATATAGATGATCAATTGTCAACATACTCTAGCTTAGAAATAAAAAAACAGTTTCTGATTGCCTGCAGGTTATTGCTCTTGTGGCCAAAGAGAAAGATCTCAAGCTTACCTGGAAACTGAAGAAGAACATGTATATTGAAGATGTGGCTGAGTTCACACTTGTTCTTCTAACCACCACTGAGATGACATTCATCTGCAGCTGGCAATGCATTCAAATTCTTTTCTTCATGCAGCTCACAGCCATCACTGCCAGCTCCCTGGGGGCACTTCTTCACCTTTACTATCAGGACATAGTGTTATCCCTGATCTGAGATCCAGAGGATAGACACTCTTGACTGTTCATATTCTTAAAGCTGGACTTTACAAAGAGGTTCCTTGGGAAGAAGGCTCCATAGGTGTCCCTGATTTATTTCTCCTAAGAGCTGATTGACTGACTGAATTGAGTAGAAATGAGTTTAAGATTCCAGAAATCATCTTTGATCCCACTCTGGTTCTCAGCCTGCATGTCTGTCTGCTGAGCATGCTCTTTTACATCAAGAGCTTCAAGAAAATTTCAACAACAGGACCAGTGCTGGATTCTGCAGAAAAACTGTAAAGTCTCAAGGTACTGGAGGGCAAGAGGCAGCAGGAGTTGTGATTAAAAGATGAATTACTTGATAGGTGTGTATTTTGCCAGATGGAGCAGATATCTACTGGATCTCAAATCAACCTGGAGAAGAGACTGCTAGCATCCACCATGAGATCCTGAAGGTGTTGAGGCAGTGAGATCACAGGCTTTGATCAGGTCACCTACCTGTACAATCTTCAATATACTGGAGCCAAGGTCTTCAACAGCAGTGGTGAGTATTCCCCAGTCTTCTTTATTTCTCAAGCTAGTTAGATAGCTAACCCAATAGACAGAAGAGGTCACAGATGCCCTCCAGGATGTCATACTCCAGCACTCAGATATCCACACCTTTGTCTGACATTATGAGGTGGATGTTGATGTTGATGTACAGGGCATTGTCTGCAAAACAGATTCCCAAACACCAGTGATGTGATTTGCTTGTTTAATAAGTGCATCTATTGACCCAAATTAACTGTATAAGCTCTCCACAGAAGAATCTCAGTCCATTAATTTTCTCCCAGCAGTTCTTGCACTGCAGGATACAGTCATTAAGTGCAAGCAGGAATGGGAAGATTGCAAAGCCAAGCTAGAATGTGCTGATATAGCATATCAAGCTGCCTTTAGCCATCTTGACAAAGAAGTGCTTTCTGAGTACCACTTTAAACTACTGGAGAAACTGGAACTTTTCTGGGATTGAACAATGAATGCTAAACATAAGTACAACAGAGCAGTCTGTGAATTGTGTAATGAGAAGCAACAACAGTGGAACTGACTGGTCCAAGCAAACCTGGAGTGCTATTGAGATGAGCAGCCTGTGGTTGACCTTAGACAGCAACTGGCCAGAAAGCTGGTGGATACCAAGATTATGAAAACACTGGAGCACAAGGGCTTCATGTCTCCAGAACATCTGATCATGGTTAATGCTATCCTGTCCATGCCAGGCATCACAATTAAAGCAGAGTATCAGTGCTGGATCAACATGATCAATGCAATGACCACATTCTGCACTATGGAAGAGGGACAGCCCACATTCTGACTGACCCAATCTTACTGCCAGCCTGTACCTGATGGTGATGACCCTTGCCCTCCCACTAAACAGCAACAGTGCTTGGTGGAGGATGACACCAAGACTCTTCTACACCAAGTGATGGAAGCCATGGAGATCAAGTCTCAAGACAACTGGCCACGGGTCTGCTTTCTCTGTGTCAGGGACCCCAATCTGTCACTCAAGGACTGGATTGTGAAATACACAACACCTGATTTGCTTACAAGGCACTTTCTATGGAAACATGTGAACCCTCCCTGGCCAACCAAAGAGGTTGAGTGTAATGTTTGTGAGAGGGAGGTGCTACAAGAGAAATTTGATCTTTTGAATCACACAGAGGTTGCCCATGGAACAGTTGTACGAGGTGTTCAGGGAGGGTTAGCATTACAACATTGCTGTAGTAGATTTTAGACCAAGGAATCTCTGATTGAATATTTCCAGCCCCAGTCTATCAGTATTGTCTCCAACTGGCCACATGTAGCATCAGCAGCTGGCTCGCGTGGCTAGCCAAACTCTAAACACCCAACCATGCTCAGAATACGAACTTCCTGTTGCTCTACATTTATCATTGCCATCTGGCGCTGCATCGTAAGTCAGGAGATTAATGTACACAAACTGGCGTACAGTTAAAGGCTAGAATGAGGATACCTGAACAAGAATACTATTGCGGCAGAATGGTAACAAAAGGTAGGGTAGGGCCATATCAACTGAGGTTAGACTGGAACGTTAAAGGGGCGGAAGTGGAGAAATTCTTTGAGAACTATAAAATTGCTAAGAGGAATAAGATTTGGTTTGATTTTCGCTTTCTTGAAAAGGTTGTTGACTATCACTTCAAGATGTCATTCAGCCGCCCATCCCCAAAAAGCGCAAAGCCGCAGAACTCGTGAAGAGGCCTTGGAAAAACAAGCCTGTATGGGACGGAAAAACTAAGGGCGTAGGCATCATCCGTCTTTCAAGGCCTCGAGACGGGCGGATTTATACTGTACAATGCCCGCCTTTCTCAGAGCATCATCGCTGGATTTCTGTCGCGCATTGAAAAATTGAATTAACACTGTCTGAGTATACCGCGGTGGATGAATCCAACTCCCAAAATGGCCTTTATATTAATGATCACTTAGACCTAATAAAGACAGCAACCGACATGCCACTGTCCAATCCTCGGCTCAATGATCCCTCGTCAACCTTCAGCCGTCTCTACGACGATGCAATATCCACAAGGCCAAGGCTTTCCTAAACGACTTCATTGCTCTCATCCTCAAAGAACTTGACAAGGAACTTAATAAGGCACTCCAGCTCTCATGGATCGAGCTCACAACTTTCAACCCGCCCGATAGCAACAGACGGTTCCGCATCGCTAGCGGGGATCACTTTGTCGCATACAGAGTGGTGTTGGTCACGGAGGAAGTGGAGATCTTGAAGAGCGGGAGACAGAGAGTCTGAGACAGCAGGTTCTTGTCTCTGCTGTTCCGCGCGAAAGATGGGGAGGATTGTTCCTGTTTGATGCTGATCCCATGTTAGCACAGTGTCCGCCTTCGACCCCATATGCAGCAAAGAAGAATCACTCGCAAGATACCTCCCAGTGGAAGAAGTCAAAGCTCGAGTTAATGCACTACAGAAGAACACGCCAACCGAAGGCGCAAAAATCGATGTTGGGTGTATGTTACATCTATTGAATCCAGCAAGGTCCCGGGTCTCAAACAGAGTCTTAGGAATACTGATGGTCTAATTACCATTGGCGGGCCCTGCGATCCGGCCGAGACAGAGGAGCGAACTGAAGAGGAGTCACCTCGCTTGGAGGGATGCCGTGCCGCAAAGGATGTGCGGTCGACGGGGGAGCGAGTCCGCGCATTGTGTACCTGCCGTCCCCGGTGAGGTCCGGACCGGCACCGGGCTCAGCTGAGGCCTCGCGTAAGAGATATTGGATTTCCCGAATCTCAAACTCTCCTCCTCTCCCGGTCTCTCTTTTCCCAGATGATGTTTTGTAGCAAGGCTGGCTCAATACAAGTAACATTTGTTATGAACAAACTTCCCAACGACTGCTTCGACACGTTGTAGGTTGGGTATGTTGGGAAAGCGGTGGGGATAGCGGCGCAATTCAGCAATGGAATCAGTCCACTTCTTAACTTGCTCAGCGCCATCGACATCAGGTGATAATTCAAGAGTAACACAGCAATGGTTGAAATACTGTGACCCTTCCGGGGCCGTTACCAGGAAAAGCCTTGTAATGTCCCTTGGCATGTGTGACCATAGGTCTTTGGGCAATTGCATTCAGATGGCGATTGATTCGACTTCGTCTATTTCACCCACATCTAACAGGTTGTAATCTTCGAGGAAGAGGATGTCAACCTTGGGATGAAAATATATCGGTCTAAGCCCCTGGGTGAAGAAAGGCTTGAAATGTTTGAGAGTGACTTTGTGAGATTCTCTGCATATGTGGAGAAGTACTGATGGGCGGGCAGAGCAAAAGAATGTATCACCGAATCCAAAACAATTGAAAGCGCTTTCACCACTCTCTGATTTCGGTAAGTGGGCTACGCGAAGGACATGCTGATCGGGTAATGCGGTCTCCCAAATAAGCGTGCGCAGTTCAGGCGGTAGGTCTATGAGACGGAAAGGTTTGCCCTGTTGATGTCGTAGTCGTTGATTCTCGTCTTCTACTTCGCGAAGCCGGGCTTTTAGATCCAGGATTTCCGCTTGTAGATCGAGAGTGTCCATACACTCCACCAAGCCAACCACCTAACTTTAGAGAGACAATGTGATCTACTGCCGAAGAGCCATCACTCTTAGCCCACAGTTGTTCCATATCTCTAATGATCTTGTCAATATAAACCCCAGCAGCACTGAGATGAAGGATGATACTGATTGCTCGATGGATTGCAAGTAGCTTCGCCGATGGTGGATCGATGGTCCGATTTGGCGAGAGGAGTAGGGTTCGGGTAACTGGTAGCCCTTCTGGACGGAGAAACATATTCGTTTCCCTAGAATCTATCCTGTAGGTGTAAGGTGGATGGGTGGAAGGATCCAGCGCCTCAAAATAGAATTTGAAGTCACCGAAAAGCTTGTGAATGTCCGGTGATAAGGTTATAGCGTTGGCTGGGCGGTCAATATTCGAGCCCTCAATCAAATGAATCATCCCCGGAGCGAACATATCGAGGATTGCAAGGGCGGATTTTTTGGCTTCGCTCTAGAGTCCAAAACGCGTTAGAAAGGGTATGAAATGAAATCAGATCCGTAGACACGTACCAACTCTGGTTGGTTTCCCCTGGTTGTTGACATGATTAAATGTGGGATGATATGTGCTACCTCGAGGTACGAAAATTGGCCAGGGACATAGACAAGCCGCTGTCCATCATCGTCTTGTGCATTAGATCTGTCTCTGTTGACTCTCTCCGCCGCCTCTTCTCTATCGAAGACCCGGCTTACCACACACCGGTGATGGTCACGGATTAGACAATCACGTCGGAGAATCGATAGTCTAGCAGGAGTTCCGACTACGTCCTCAAACTTGGCGGATAAAGCTGCTGGTGTAGGTTGCGGTGTTTTATTTCCCGCAGCTCTCACTATACATGATTTATATGTAAGCAAGAGCTCATCAAAAATAAGGTAAAACGGAAATGAGAATGGGAAAAGACTGTACATACACGGCAGAAAGAAATTTCCAAACAGAAATTCCGCAAACGAACCCAAGACTCCCTCGACCTCCCTCTTCTTTGATGGGGGAGAAGATGGTCCGAAGTCAGGAAATCGAGACACTCCACTGGCAAAGGTCGGTGATTCATTTTCATGGAACTGGAAGCCAAGATAAATGAAGAACTGTTGCAAGAACTTGTCCTTTGCTTCCGAGTACTCGTAGGTTAAACGAACAAGCGTTACTTTCTTATATGGGTGAGCGCTCTGTCGAGGTTCGCAGTGGCTAATAAACTGGGAGAAGATATTTTCGGCCTGTGCCCGTTCCTCTGGAGTCAGAACCTCCTGCGGGGAGAAATCGAGAATGCGCTCGAGAGACGCCTGATGCCTGTGGTGGGCCGTCATCATGTTGCTCGTCTGGTGGAGACGGAATCAAGAGATGGGCTGGCGCCTAAGGCCCAACCTACGCGCCTGAGGCGCGGCAAGACCCGTGATGGAAAAGGGGAAAACCACTGTTCCGTCATGGTTCTGCTTAGCTAAGCGATCAAACCCTTATCGTGGGCAGACACCTCTACGTGGTGCTGAAGACTAGTTCCTGGCAGCTGTATGAAGAAGCTAAGTGCCCAAAATGAGTGGAAGAAAAATGGTGGTGTGGTTGTTGAGATCTCTTGCATATAAATCTGCTGCAGAGTTTGGCTTTCATCTTGAGAATGACTGGTCCTTACTGTCCAATACATTCTCTCCTCCCTTCCCTCTACCCTCTTTGTTATCATTGCCATTGTCTGTTACGTTGGTTCGTTTTTAAGGAATTGGAGGAAGCTTCTTTCTCTCAGGTCTCCTGGAACTTTGAGTCTTGATCGCATTACCAACATCGTTGGCTCGGGCTGAATCGTTGGTCACTCATCTTCCGCCATAAAGTGCCTTCCTTGGAACATTCGGATGCAGCCTGTTCTTTTTGTGGAATTTGTTCTAGCCACTTTACATGTGAGGGGATGGTGCCCTTTCGCTGTGTTGCTCCATTCCTAATAAAATCTTTATTGAGGCTCAATCTGTGGCGGATTGTCGTCCGTGTGGGCTTCAAGCTTTTATGATAGAAGTGCCTAAAAGGAATGGACGTTTGCAGTTGTTTCTATCAACAAATACACGAATCACCGATCCTACCCATCGATCGCTGTTTCTAATTCCCGACAATAGAATTCCAACTACAACGAGGTACCAGAAGACGGGTCAGAAGGGAATCCCACAGGATCATTCTGAACGTGTTTAGGTGGGGTGGTTGGTTTGCCGAGTGGTAAAGGGCCGGCCTGGAATCCTTCTGAAGTAGGTGTTCTGTTGACTGGGGAGTCGACCACACCGAACAGAAGGTTGCGAGTTTGAATCTTGTCTTGACCAAAAAGAAATCTTTACCATGGGGGATCCCATCCCCTAGGAGGAAGGGTGCTATCTTGTTGGCAGTTATAATTGGTTGCTATGGATCAGGAATATACATGAGTTAGGTATAAGATGTACTGGGCCTGTGTGGTTTACAAGATGATCCACTTAATCATGTACTTTCTATTGGTTTGCAAATGTTGAGATGTGTCAGTTACACCCAAGGTTTTGAGGGTTTTCCCTTGGAGCATGGCTCCAATCAGGAGAATGACATAAGTTGTAAGGGGCATGCCCTCCTCTGGGAAACATGTGCAGTTTGAGCTTAGTTAAACAGAATGACTTAACTGAAGTCCTTACATTGAGGAGGACACATGCCTGTAACTGGTTGGACAGATAGCGTGGCCTTCATAGTCTTTGACTGCATAAAGCCTACGAAAAAAAGTGATATACACCCACACACTCTCTCTGAACGTGTTCAGTCTGATGATCTTTCGGAATGCTGTCACGTGTATATGGAGGAACCTTTTTACGATGGTCCTAGTAACTTTTAGCCAATAATATCGGCGGATTCCTTTCCTCTAGCGGTGGCGAAACGGACGAGCCAATTAGACAACGCCATGAGACCCACTGGTTTGGCCCTTTCCGGAAAATCTTCTGAGCGACCTCGTAAAATATGGAATCTTCATCGCTGGCGACGAATATCAAAATCTGTTACTATTTTCTTGCATTCCAAATTCCATCCTTCATGTCCCGACATGAAGAAGTAACGGCAAGACAGACATGTTGAGATTGGTATCATGGTGTCCCTTGCTACCAAATGCTATGGTAGTAGCTAGTCCGTCACGAGAGCTGAGACACGACCAGCAGGATGGCAGCGTAGGGGCTTGAGGACTTTCAAGATACTCCTTTATGAGATGCGAAAAAATTGTTTGAAAACACCTTCTCTTCTTTTCTTATACTTTTATTAGCAATGCCTCCACGGGTAACACGCGCAGCTTCTCGTCGCTCTGACACCTGCGCCGCAGTCGCCAATGGAATTGTGAGCCCCGGAAGGAAGAAACGAGAACGCGAAGAAGCTGGCTCCTCGCCTCCATTCGTCTCCAAACGGCCCAGAGAGGCCGCAATTGATAGTGGCAAGGCCATTTCTGTATCGGCTGTGAGTGAAGCAGGGGTTTCGGAGGAACCAGTGATCCCGATAAAAGTTGAGAAGGACATGGTAGAAGAGAAGGTTAAAGCAACGGTTCAGAAGACGAGAAAAAGGAAAACGAAAGGGAAGGAAGAACAGGCGGAAGATATGAAGCCCCTTGCTCCCCGCACCGAAGGACTGCGTATGTTCATTGGAGCGCATGTTAGTGCTTCCAAAGGTATGTTGATCTAATCTCTCTCAGCCCGTTTCATAGTTCTAGCTCATCATTTCTGCTCTCTACATTCCCCATTTACACGGTATATAGAGACTAAGCCAATTCTGCACTCATAGGAATACACAATGCGGTTACGAATAGCTTGCATATTGGGTAAAATCCTATCGTTCCTCTCTGCACTCCCTGTGCTAATGCATATCGACAGTGGGAATGCTTTTGCTTTATTCCTAAAATCCCAACGAAAATGGGACAACCCTCCGATGCAAGATGACCATAGGGATCAGTTCCGGACGCTGTGTTCAGAGCATAAATACGATGCTTCTAAGTATGATGTCTCCTTGCCTTCCGCCGCCGAGATCTTTGAAGGTGCATTTTCTAACCATGCTTAAGATACGTGCTCCCGCACGGCTCCTATCTTGTCAATCTGGCACAGGAAGACCCCACTAAAGCAAACCAAGCGTATAATTCTTTTATCGATGACCTAAGACGGTGTGAAGAACTCGGCATCAAGCTTTACAATTTTCAGTCAGTTTCCCTGGTTTTCTCTCGTGCTTTTATGAGGTTCGAAGATTAAATTTCTCACACAAATTGCCAGTCCCGGTGCAAGCAACCAATCCACGCTTGAATCAGCCCTCTCTCGACTTGCGAAGGCGCTCATCGCTGCCCTAGACGCTACGAAGACTGTAATTCCCGTTTTGGAAACGACCTGTGGTCATGGAACATCTATTGGCGGCCCGCTTTCGCATTTTAAATCGTTATTGGCCCTGATTCCTGAATCTTACCATTCACGCTTGGGTATATGTCTGGATACGTGTCATACATTTGCGGCGGGGTACGACCTCCGTACACAAGATACCTGGAATGCATTTATGAAAGAATTTGACGAGACAGTCGGCCTAAAGTTCCTACGAGCGTTGCACATAAATGACTCGAAGACTCCACTAGGAAGTAACCGTGATCTGCATGCCAACATTGGGACAGGTTTCCTAGGCTTAAGGGCATTTCATAATCTGATGAATGATAAACGGCTGGAAGGGTTGCCTATGATTCTGGAAACGCCCATCGATAGGCCTGCAGAATCCGTCAAAGCGGAGCAAAAAGAGGAGGCTCTTGCTTCCGAATGTGCACACGATGAGTTAGATGTCTCGGAGGCAGAAAGTCCTTCCAAAAAGCGCACCAAAGCATCCACTTCTTCGAAGGTTAAGAAGATCCGGACGACAAAGGCGAAGACCAAAACGAAACCCGCAATGATCGAAGATAAATCCGTCTGGGTTCGTGAAATTAAGTTATTGGAGAGTTTGATCGGGATGGATCCCGAGAGCGAGAAGTTCAAATCCCTCGAGGCCGAGCTGTCTGAGCAAGGAAGGGAAGAGCGAGAGAAACAGCAAGCATTGTATGACAAGAAGAAAGAGAAGGAGAAGGCGAAGGAGGAAAAGCAGAAGGACATTCGGGTTATGTTTGGCACGAAGAAAAAGGGTGCAAAAGCTAAGACTGCCGGGAGAAGGGGGAGGAAAGGAGGGAGGGTGGAATCGAGTGACGAAGAGAGCGCACTCAGCAGTGAAAATGATGAGAGTACGTAACTGTCAGGCGGAACGGCTTGTCAGTACAATCAGTTGCCCACTAGACGACACTTATCTCTTTTCTCTAGGCGTTGATTCTCCTGTTAACGTCACAGCCCGGTTGTCTGAGGCCAGATTATCAAGCCCGAGGATCCCACAGGAACCCTCGTTACGGTTCGAAGATCGTGAAGGTTTTCTTGCTCTGCGTGGACACAGCCGTAGGGGCGTCACACGTGCGCATGGCATCCGTGGCCTGATCAACAATCATTTGTTGATGACGTTCGAAATGAACGGGCGGTTGAACGACGCACTCTTGAGTTAAACTTTTGGAACGCAAGGTGACTTTCACGATGAGTAGATATTATTAAAGAGAATCCTGAAGGACAGGGGGAGCAATAGCCTTCATATACCGAATGCCTGACCGGTCTCCCGAGTAAGTCTGAGAGGCATGGGGTGCCTTGCAGGATGTAACCTCGGTACCAGGCATGGCCCAAATCGGACAGCAATTATTATATAAATATCATAGTTATGAAGTACAAAACGTACGATTGCGATGCTCTGATTCACCTTTCTCCATCACTCTGCGACCCCACTGGATGCTGAGAGCCGGTACGCCCTCCAACAATGAGTACCCTATGGGTCCGGCACCGTGCCGGATTCTCTTCGAAGACGAGGCGGAAAACGACCGGTCGTTAACAAGACTGTCTGTTGACCGCCCAGCGCTGCGTCATCGCGATGGACGGCGGGCGGATGCGCTAGTTCGAAGGGGGGCTAGGCCGAGCCATCGCATTGCGGCGTGCATTTTCGTCCGAACCTTGCGCTGAAGCCAGGCGACGGAGGATGCAACTTTGGCGTCATCGCCCCGGGGCCCGCTGCGATGTCCCAACGGCAGATTCCCGTTCCCCAGTTCGGGCAATCTAGAACAGAACAAGCATATTGCTAGTGAACGTAAAACTGACTAACCAATTCGTCAACTAGTTAACTAGTTAGCTTCATCGGAAATTTACTTAGTCAAGTACGGAGTAGTGTCACCTCTTAGTCGGCACGCAACCGCAAAGTTAACTCTTTACTCATATGTAAGAGCCTCAAGTCGTCTTCCCTTGTCGCTTTCCCATTTTTCCCAGGTGAGATAGCGTTGCTACTGTCTGGTGATATATTTATACAATCGCTGCTGGATGCTTTCAGCAGGCTACTTCCGGCCATGGCGGATCTAGAAGGGCAACATGAAAGTGACTCCCCGTCAATCAAGTCCTTCTTGGCCCCACTGGTCTTGGACGATGCAAAGGTCTACGATATTTCCTATCGTCTGTCCGAGGTTTTCCGGGACCTGGCACGCACCGGAGATGGCCACTTCTTCCCTACTCCTGTAACCCACCTGCCCAGTGGCAAGGAGACCGGCTTCTACTTGGCCGTGGACGTGGGGGTGACAAATTTGCGTGTCGCCTTCATCGAGTTGCTGGGTGACTCCTCAGGCAGCCCTGGCAACGGCTCCTCGTCGATGCCGACGGCGGAATCGTACATAGCGCACAATGCGATTCCCAAGGTATGGCAGAGACGAGTGAGGAGGACGTTAGAGAAGGCGTGGAGGATTGAGGAGCATCTGAAGGAGGATCCGACCGAAGAGCTGTTTTCGTGGATCGGGAGCTGCATCGCAGACGTCGTTGCGGATGAGCTGACTTCGCATAGCTCGGAGTTCCCGGCGGAGCTGGAGACAGGGTTGTCCTTTAGCTTGCCGATGAAGTATGGACCTAGCTGCGACCCCGTTGCAGTGTTGTGTCTACCACACGGGGGAAGGCTAATATTGCTGTTAGGCAAAAATCGCTGAGCGAAGCTACTCTGATGCCCGTTGGAAAGGCCTTCTTCATCAGTGAAGATCTCGACCTGCGACAAGCGCTGCTCGCCGGCTACGAGCGCCATACGCGGCGAACAGACTCGATCGAGCCAACAGCCAAGCGCCAAAAGATTTACGAACTGCCAAAGTTAAAGATCGTCGCCATCACGAACGACACGGTTGCAACATTGGTCTCGTTGGCGTACTCCGTCAAATCGCTGCCGAACACGCGTGTCGCGATGGGCATCATCGTCGGAGCCGGATGCAATGCCACCGTACCCATGAAGCTCTCTGACCTGCACGAATCGAAAGTTCGCCAGATACGCTCTTATAACCCCGATGCAACAGAAGCCATCATCAACACAGAATGGACTCTCCGCGGCACCGAAACTCCACTACAGGAACTGGGCGTGGTGACAAAATGGGACGTCGAGCTCGACTCGAAGACCCATCGTCCCGGCTTCCAGCCGTTCGAGTACATGACCGGAGCACGCTACATCGGCGAACTCGTGCGCATCATCGTCTTTGACTACTTCACCAACGTCGCCGGAATATCCAAGCAAGATCTGCCACAGACATTAACAGAACCCTACTCACTCACAACCGCCCTCGTCTCCGACGTCATCGCCACTTCCCGCTCAGACATCACTCTTGCATCTGATCTCGCCCGCAGCCTTCCCCCCCCGACATCCAGTTCCTGGAGCTGGACTCCCGAATCCGCCGTCGTCATGCGTGCGACGGTATCAGCCGTACAAACTCGCTCTGCAGCACTTATCGCAGCAGCTTCCGTCGGCTTGCTGGCATGCAACCACGAAATCAAACTTTCCGAGAAACCGGGATCGACATCTGGTAGCCCGACGTCGACCCAACCCACCGGACAGAACCCGCAAGATCAACCTGAAGCGATATGTCCGGGATCAGGCTGGCACAGCGGCCCCGAGGAATTGGTCGTCGCATATACGGGGGGTATCATCCAGCATTATCCAAATTTCAAAGAAATGTGCCAGGTATACATCGATCGATTAATCATGAGAGGCGGCCCGCAGGAGGAAGGAAAAAGTGTTTTTCTGAGGGAGGCGAGTGATGGATCTATCATCGGGGCGGGTGTGCTGGCGGGGATGGTTTCGAGGAAGTGAGACGAATGAGTGCCCGGGCTCCATGAAAGTTCTACGGTGTAAATAATGTGTATATATCAACAAAACTCTTGATTGAAGCTTTGAAGGATTTGGATTTGGGGGATAAAAATTGTCCCTTGGGTACGCACATATACACCGGTTTGTCGACAAGCCATGGTTGCTGTTCTGTGAAACATTGATGAGCACAAAAATTTACCATATCTAATGAAATAGAAAATATGGATGCACAATGTCTTACTATGCTTCCTTTGTCCCTTGACAAACAGAGCACTCATCACCTGTTTTCCTCAGAAACAAACCCCCCCCCCCCTTACAAAACGGGGTGAAGAAAGGGGTAGCGAAATAGATTTTGCACCTTACCACAGCATCTAGCTCCAACAGATCCTATAAATGCTAGTATGAGCATGAGCTTTATGGAGTATATATATGATTTGCTAATATACACTCCCGCGTTTCCATACAGCTTCACGTTCCTGAGAATCCATAATGCACTACGTAAGGGTTTCGGCTGATCAGTGACCCTACCTTCCAGTCTATAGTTAAACTGACGAGGGCTGCTACCCATCAATTGCATTTATTGGGGTACGGGAAGTTTTTCATGGACGATAGTTACATGACTTGTCTTAAGGCGGCTATTTTCATTAGCGAACGGAACAAGAGAAGTAGCCTGTCGGCAAGGTCTTACATACATACACCCCAAGATGTACACTCATCAGTTGTTCATTATTGGGCAGATGCCAGTGGTCAACGCAACAGCTGCTCGAATTTTCAGGGATATCAACGCCAGCCAGCATATTTTCGGTATATCAACCAAACCATTTCTCTAATCGTTATCACCCGAGTACCCTTAGTCCGCCTTTTGTCTTTGCTTGCTTCTTCTGTATACCACCGTCAGGGGCTTTACCGCCTGCCTTCGAAGCCTTACCACCGCCTGCTCCACTCCCGGAGGCATTGCCTCCTTTTTTATGACCCTTTGCGCCACCTTTCCCAACCACCACGGGTCTGATTTCCGTCATCGCTCGTCTCAACAGCACCGGATGCGAACCTATGTATTTGCCCTGCATCTCTCTCGCAGCTCGAAAGTAGTCTTCGCCGTCACTAAAGCTAACGAATCCGTATCCTTTGCTCTTCTCCGTTCTCTTGTCTCGGATGACACGTGCTTTCTGGACCGAGGGATACTTGGAGAATGCTTTGAGAAGGGAATCGTCCGTTACCTCACCAGCAAGGTTTCCGCAGAAAAGACGAAAGTGAGCCGGGTCCCATTCGAGTAAAGTGGAATCTGTCCACGTCTGTCCGCCACCGGAACGCATAACGGTTTTCCCAGGTCCCGGTTGGTTGGGAGCATTGGGTTGACCGGGAATAGGTGTAGTGGAAGTCGTCTGGGCGACACTGGGAGGGGTGGAGGCCGTCGAGCCATCTTGAAGTCGCTGAATGTTGCCTAGAGGGCCTGTATTGGCTCCAGTGGCCGATGAGGCATCATCTCTGCGCCCTAACCCGGCCTTACCGTTACTAGCAGCTATTTGATTACTCTCATCCTTGCTCATGTATGCGCTCTGCCATTGAGCGATTTGGGCTTCGGTCTCTGGATCCATGGTTGTATCGCCATGGCGACCAACGCCTCTTCCTCCAGACCCATAGCCATAGGGACCCTGATCTTGTCCTGGATACTGGTTTCTCTGGGAGACAGAAGACTGACCGTAGTTGCTACCCCCGTACTGCTGTTGCTGATGCTGCTGATGCTGCTGGCGGTAATAGGTGCTCGTCTGCTGCTGATATAGCTGTGGCGATTGTTGATATTGTGTCTGAGAGTACTGATAGCTGGGGTTGTATGATGCGATTTGCGCTGGATAGCTGCCACTGGAGCTATAAGGAGCAGCGGTGGCAGGACTATGGGGACGGTAGGGCTGGGAGGCAGCTACAGACCGTGGTTGAAAGCGCGTGAATGCATTGTGGCTCTGGGGTCTCTGCGCGTTGCTAGACGGCCCAGAAGTACCGGGAGCCGTATAGGGGTTGGAAGGGGGTCGTGGAGGAAGCGAACTGTGAGGCTGTGGCTGGGCGGAGGAGGGACGAGGGGGCTGTTGGAGACCTGGAGGAGGTGGAAAGGACATGATGAACGGAACGCTCGTCGATAGGCCAGATAGATTTGGTTGTGGGTGTGCAATAACAGCAGACACACGTACCTTGCGCACGTCCGGCCTGAAACACGCCTCAGATGCAGATCCGAAGCAAGAGTCCTACACCAGACGTCACACCGGCAAGAGTCGTGACGGCTCGCAGAGGTAGCTGAGAAGATTCTGCTGGGTATAGTTAGGTATCCTTGCTCGATACTGGGGAGGAGGCTCGGACGCTCAGCGGGAATTCTATGTCTATCGCCGTAGAAGCAGCGCGCTGGCGTTCGCCCGTTGGGCTGCCAACAAAAACTCGATCGGAGGAGAGCAGGTCATGTGATCTAAAGGATGAGGTAATGCTACAGATGAACTAACTATATATGGACTAGTGCACTGTTGAAGTTTGGCTGACTCAGCATAACGAATTCTGGCCAATCACATCTTTAGTACGGGTCTGGCTGTGTTCGTGGTGACTAATCCGGTTTCCCCCACCCGCGCTGTCATCATCGTTCAAGCGTTCGCCGTTGGCCGGAGATACAACAGTCGCCTGCTGGCGTAGCATGAGCCCTGGGGGCGGACTGTGCAGCAAGCGAGCGTTCGTGCCAGGGGGGAAGCAGCCTCGTTTTCAATGCTGGCCGTCCGATCCGGCCGCAATTGGCTCCTGGGCTAGGTTTCGCATGAGGACCCCGGCGCACTTGTAACCTCCAACCCCCGATGAGCCTGCCCCTCATTACTTAAGGGAAAAAGGCGGCGCCGCCCCGCCCATTCGCCGGGTGACCAGGAGGGAGTTGCTGGTTCACGGCGACAAAAGGACACGACTGACACAGATGGTGTCATGCCAGTGAAAGACTCTGTAGTACTTAAAGACGCAATGCAATCATTGATTTAATTTCTTTGCGCTGTGAGAAATCTCTTTCTTGTCCAGAACTATCCAACGCCGGACAGGGCCCAGAGCTCACTCACAATTGTCATCCACCCATTAGTAAGGTTGAAAGCTGTCGGAAACGTGATCGGGAGACCTTGGCTGGAGCATCCCACTAACCTCAACATCTCCAACAACCCCACCGTTCGCCCTTTTGCCTGTTGACGCGCCATTTCCCACCATCTTGGAACCCCAACCTACATCTGTCCAGGAGAACACCAGCAGCTCCGGGAGAAAAAAAAGAAAGAAAGAAAAAGTCCCAGGAAATACTTCGATTGACACGCAATCAACATGTCTGATCAAGCAGTGTAAGTCCACTCTTCCCTGCTCCGCGTAGCTCGAAGCCCCATTCAACTTTTTGCACTTCTGGTCGTGGTAGCTTTGGCTTCTTCTTTTTCTTCTTCTTCTTCTTCTTCCTTTTTTTTTTTTTTTTTTTTTGGCCCAGTTGTTTCGAGTCCACCCGGTGCATTCATTATCGGATTGTGTGTTACATGACTGAGAGCTGACACCAGAGCGCGCTTGGCCGGCATCAATGTCGGCGCCTCTGCGCATCATGATGCCAGTGGTGACTTCGGCCTTATTGGTTTGGCCGTCATGGGCCAAAACCTCATCTTGAATGCCGCCGATCATGGCTTCACCGTTGTCGCCTTTAACCGAACAGTGTCAAAAGTTGATCGGTTTCTAGAAAACGAAGCCAAAGGTATACCGTCCCAAGCCTGCCCCATCATTACCTTGCACTGCGAGTTCTAACCAAAGTCAAGGCAAATCGATTGTCGGAGCTCATTCCATCCAGGAATTTTGCGCAAAGCTCAAGCGGCCCCGCCGGATCATGCTGCTGGTCATGGCCGGTAAGCCCGTTGACGACTTCATCGATGCCCTTCTTCCCTACGTCGAGCCTGGCGACATCATCATTGATGGTGGAAATTCCCACTTCCCCGACAGCAATCGTCGTTGCAAATATCTCAAGGAGCGCGGAATCCGGTTCGTCGGAACTGGCGTGTCGGGTGGTGAGGAAGGAGCCCGCTACGGCCCTAGCTTGATGCCGGGAGGAAACGAGGAAGCTTGGCCATATATCAAGGACATTTTCCAGAGCATTGCTGCCAAAAGCTATGGCGAGCCATGCTGCGATTGGGTCGGAGACGAAGGTGCGGGCCACTACGTCAAGATGGTCCATAACGGTATTGAATATGGCGACATGCAACTTATCTGTGAGGTGAGGACCATATACTGACTCTTGGATATAATGGGTCATCGTGGCTGACCAAAAGCTGCAGGCGTACGACATCATGAAACGAGGCCTAGGAATGACTGCAGCAGAAATGGGTGACGTCTTTGAGAAATGGAACAAGGGCGTCCTTGACTCGTTCTTGATTGAGATCACCCGTGACGTTTTACGCTATAACGACGACGATGGGAAACCACTGCTGGAGAAGATTCTGGATACCGCTGGGCAGAAGGGAACTGGCAAATGGACGGCCATCAATGCCCTTGACCTTGGTATGCCGGTGACCTTGATCGGTGAAGCTGTTTTCGCTCGCTGCCTGAGCGCTTTGAAGAGTGAGCGCGTACGCGCTAGCAAGATCCTCGGTGGCCCTAAACCCGAGTTCTCCGGCGATCGTCAGGAGTTTATCGCGAACTTGGAGCAAGCCCTTTACGCCTCAAAGATCATTTCTTATGCACAAGGTTTCATGCTTATCCAGAATGTGAGTATTACCCAGTGCTGGCTCCTTCTAAAACGCATGGGTACTAATGGAAATGCAATAGGCTGCCAAGGAGTATAACTGGAAATTGAACAAACCATCCATCGCACTGATGTGGCGTGGAGGATGCATCATCCGCTCCGTCTTCTTGAAGGACATCACCAACGCGTACCGCAACGACCCAGACCTAGAGAACCTTCTGTTCGACGACTTTTTCAACAAGGCCATCCATACGGCGCAACCTGGATGGCGTGATGTTGTCAGCAAGGCAACCTTATGGGGAATCCCTACTCCAGCCTTCTCGACCGCCCTTAGCTTCTACGACGGCTACCGCTCGCAGGACCTCCCGGCGAACCTTCTCCAGGCCCAACGTGATTACTTTGGTGCACATACCTTTTTAATCAAGCCTGAGTGTGCCAACGAGAGATACCCGGCAGGACAGAACCACCACGTCAACTGGACTGGGCGGGGAGGAAACGTCTCGGCATCAAATTATCAAGTCTAATTGTGCCATGTTTGCAGTTTAATTCCAGATGGCCTGCCATCGCCAAAAGGCTGAAAAGCTCAGGATAAAAGGCTCGAAAGCTCAAAGATCAAAGCTCATGTTTCATGACAACTCTCGACATCATGACGCGTTTTTGGATACGCTGATGGATTTGCTGTATTTTAGTTAAACTATTCTATTCCTTTATCTCCATGAGTAAAAGACAGTGTAAGACAAAACAGGAGATGCCATTGTTCAAATTTCCAAGAGGGCTACTCTGGCTTTTTTTTTTTTTTAACTTACCATGTGATGATGTTTCATGCCAACACAGAGCGACGAGCTGGCCCGGCGCTAAGCCCAATTCGTGTTGCGGGAGCCGTCGCAATGTCAGCATTAACTAACTAACTGCGCTGCTCCAACACCACACCGAATCTCTCTCGCATCACAACCTCACCAGCCTGCCCTTTTCTTTTTTTTTTTCATTTCTTGAGCTGGGTTGGGCAGACTTCTTGGTTGAGGAGCTGGATTTCCCTACTCTTCTGTACCTATTTAATTCTCTGTTATACTTTTTTTTCTTCTTCATGTCACTCCTTTTCTTGCGGTTGGCCTTAATAGTTAGCGGGTGACGCTTGCTTCATTTTCTTGACTCTTAGCGCAGCGCATTCACAAGGCAATCCAAACGGCAATCGCGCGTGTGTTCCCAGGAGATATATCATATGCTCCTCCACCCCATTCTGAACCTGGGAGCTGTTATCTCTATGGTGCTGTGCCGACAGTGTGTTTGTGCTCCAGCATCTGCGGTCAAAGCCCCTCTGATTGCCTCTTTTTAATAAAAAAGAACCGCCTTCCAAAGTGACGCTACGAAAGACAGTGGTGTCCAGCGGACATCCTAACATGGCTGCAGAAAACAAGCGCCATGCTAGTGGTGCGAAGGGCCCGGGTGGTGCCATGACGCCCAATCCGGGGCCTTCGGGGACTGTGAGCTTGGAGGTGGCGCTCAGTGGAGCTATTGGAGCTCGGTGAGTTCACCTCTGCTTGGTTTCCTTCTATTAACTAAACCAAGGATCCTGCTGCATAACATGCTATGTTTTCCGTGGATTCCGACGATGTGGTCTGGTTATGAAGAGGGCTGACAATCAGATTCTCTGCGTAGCATCCGAGTCACCACGGCGGCGCCAACCTCTGCCACTCTTGAGGGAACTCTCTTCACTGCTTGCCCTATTACAAACCTGATTGCAATTAATACATCCCCCTTGCCACCAACTCCGATTGCCGCGGGAACTCCAGCACTTGCGCAGCCCGGCGACTTTCACATTATCCCGGTGGCCCGCATTCAGAGCTTCCAACTCCTCTCCCTACCCTCACAGTCTCCCGCAGCTTCCCCAAATCTGGATGGTTCCGCTCCATTTACTGATGCGTATCCGACCATCTATCCTCTGGACATCAAGTCTCTCCGAAACCGTGAAGCGGCCGCGGTTGCCAAGCTCCAAGAACGGGAGCAGCGGAGAGGGAAAGGAGTGACAAAGGAGGCTCAGGATCTTTTTGATGCCTTTAGCCGCACAATGCCTGCACGCTGGGATGACACGAGCATCGTGGTGGCGGATGCTGTGATCATTTCTAAGCCGTATCGTGTGGAGGATTGCCGCTCTCTGATGACCGAGAATGGTGGAGTTAGTGCGGCTTTGATTAGAGTCCGAAAGGTGGTACGTATATGAAGCTTTCAATCGTTATGCCGTGTGCCGTGTCATAAATCCTCGCTGCTAATGTTATCAATCTTCTTTTAGCTTGAGATGGAACGGAAGAAGATAGAATTGCGTAATGCTTTCCCTGATTCTCCACAAACAGCCGATCCCAACGCAAACGCAAATCGCCCCAGCGGCACGGCCGCTAACACTCGTGATCGAGATCTACGCGCTGCAGCTGTAGCAGTCCCAAGAAGCAATGTTCGTTCGTCACCCGCGCCGGCTGGCAGCCAGCGAAAGGGTGGTTAAAGCGTATATGATTTATTTGGGCTTACGATAAAGGGCGGCCCAAGGTACGGCTTACGGGAGCCATGGTTACGATCATAGCTTGGATCGTGTACACCATCTTACACATTATGGAGCACTCGACGGTCATGGGAGAACGCTGGTGTTTCGACTTGGAGTTCGTATGGATGATGTCAGGGACAGTGGGAGGAAAAGGACAGGAATACGACAGCATTGAGTAGGAAATCAGGAGGCGAGCAAAGGCTGTTGAACTGTATTTTAACTTTTTACAATCCCCATAAGTGCCGTTTTGTTCAACGATCAGTTCGACTTGGATCACGCAACTTTTCTGTAAGGAGCTCAGCCCTCATCCTGTCGGCCTCTGATCACTTTGCTCGGTATATTTGGGATTCCGGGAATCTCCCACAAAGTACGGAGTAGTACTGGACCTGTCATCTTGGCTCCAGAATCCACTGTCCTCCGGAACGACACATACGACAGAAAAAGCGTTTCCTTTGGAGGTAGCTATGGAGAAAAGTGCACGCGGCCTTGTGAGAGGCAACGAACGAATGTTGAAGTTATATTAGGGTATTCTTAGACATACGTATTAATGTATCTATCTGCACCCGGACAATCCTACATAGCTGTGCGCCCGAATCAAAATCTGGTAGCTACTCCGGCCAGGGGCTATCACGATGCTGCCGCATATCAATAATTAATAAATATGACTAACTATAATTTATCATAACTAGCACTTTAATCAACGGTTGCGATCCAAACCTGAGCTTGATGTTTCGACAAGCGGATGGTGCTGGTCGAACCGTGAGGAGGCGCCTGATCCTGCTCCTGCTTGGGGTCCAGACCACTTGACCTTATTCCTTGTCGTCCCATGTTTGACGATCAACAGCCAACACATATTCACTTCCCACCGTCCGCAATTGACAGACGCCCTCTGTTTCCATACAGCTGGATCTGGCCATCTTCTTCGATGATTGTTGACTTGTGCCTGGGATCACAGATTTAACAACTGCCCCTAGGATGACGCCAAGCCTGCTTTGATCTCAGTCCCTGAATCAATTAGTTATGGGCCTTGATCCACCCCAGGCTCAGTCCGGGAGAAGTGAAGAGTTGGCTGCAAACATCTTTCGCCGAGAGTCCTCCTTCTCCTCCTCCTCTTCCTCCTCTTCTTCATCCTCCTCCTCTGACCGTCGCCCCCGATCTAAGCACCCCGAGCCTGAATGTGAGCCCTTGGTGGCAGGGAACAAACGGGACGGCGGACCGGGAATCGGCAATACCCAGGGCGTCGGAGAGGCCGCGCAGGACACGGATCTGGTGTCATTGGCAAAGGACACTGACGAGGGAAGCTGTTCGGAGATGGAATACGCAGGTTCGGGCGATGATTTCAATGACGACGAGGAGGCGGGCCTTACGACGCAGCAGAGAAAGAAGAGAGGCTTGCTGCGGAAGAAGCGTCGGGAAGAGGCAGACTCAAAGGATGTCACACTCTCGGTAGCGCAGAAGCATTTGGCGGATAAACATGTGGCGAGACGATTGGCGGTTAATGTGGTGTTTATCCTGCTTTGGTATCTGTTCTCGGTGTCCATATCGCTGGTAAGATTTCTGGTCCATCTTCAGCTCCCATCTTGCGCAAAGCCGAACGTCGGGTTACTGATTACGATTGGGATTTTCAGTATAACAACTGGATGTTTGATCCGAAACACCTCGACTTTTCCTATCCCCTGTTTACGACTAGTCTTCACATGCTCGTCCAATTTTCGCTTGCGTCTTCTCTACTCTATTTCTTTCCCCAATTGCGCCCCAAAAATCCCGCTGCTCCCCAGGCCACTACTTCGATGACCGGCGGAGCCCCGAATACGAGTCCAGTAGTGACCAGATTGTTTTACTTTACTCGATTAGTTCCCTGTGGCACGGCAACATCGTTGGATATTGGTCTGGGGAACATGTCTCTGAAGTTTATTTCTCTAACCTTCCTTACCATGTGTAAATCCTCTACGCTAGGATTCGTTCTCCTTTTCGCCCTCATTCTCGGTCTCGAAACCCCGTCTATGAAATTAATAATGATCATCTGCACCATGACTGTTGGAGTTGTGATGATGGTTGCCGACGAGGCCACATTCAACGTCATTGGATTCTCCCTTATTATTGCCTCCGCATTTTTCTCCGGGTTTAGATGGGCTCTCACACAGCTCCTGCTCCTTCGCCATCCCGCTACCGCGAACCCGTTCTCGACATTGTTCTTCCTTACTCCAATCATGTTTGTTTCCCTGCTCGTTCTTGCACTTTTGATCGAGGGGCCTTCCCAGATCTTGACGGGCTTGGGAATACTTACAGATCAATTCGGAACTCTGCGTACACTGGCGGTTCTGATATTCCCGGGAACCCTTGCATTTTGTATGATCGCATCCGAATTCGCCCTTCTTCGTCGTTCTTCAGTTGTGACATTGAGTATCTGTGGAATTTTCAAGGAAGTCATCACCATTGCGGCAGCGGGGATTCTGTACGACGACCGTCTTACTCTAATCAATGTAGCGGGTCTTATTGTCACAACCTGCTGCATTGCGACATACAATTACATGAAGATTACGACGATGAGAAAAGAAGCGCAAAAAGACATTGCTGAACATCCGAGCGAGCTTGAGCATGAATCTGATGATGAGTTCGGCCGTCGAGATACGCGTGATTACCACAACTCGGAGAATTTAACCAACACCGCAGAAGACAGTCCTTATAGACCTGTCAGCTCAGATTTAGACCATTCTGGTTCATCGTCGAGATCTCGGCGTGGATGAATTTCCTTTCTTCTTTCGATATGCGATTCAGGTTAATTCGTGGTGTCTCTCTGCGGTTTAGAAAATGAAATAGGAACGGTAACCAAGATTCCCCTAATATGCGCGCGCTTCTTGGGCGGTTTATAGTTTTCGGATACACTGTGGATAAGGTGTTGAAATAGATCAGGAGTTTTGTTCCAGTCATGCCTGCGGCGCCTTCTTACAATCGGTGTCTATCGGAAATTTTGTCATCTCCTTTCCTCATGTCAGTCGACTCTCTTTCAGCCCCGGAATACCCTTATTACTTTAATCGGGGTTCTTCAACTGTAAATCTGTGTTTCGGCCCTGTCATTGTTAAGCTAAACACCCAATGCTCTGGTTGTTCGTTCCCTTGGATGTTGTGCTCCTATTTCCTCGTATAATAGACCTGTATAGAAGTATACAGGTGCCCCGCAAGACGAACAGTTTTATTTTGCCTTTTTTTGGTCGTCTAGCATCCTCGTGTTGCACCGGGGTAACAACCCTTGAACGTGGCTCAAAGAATAACAACAGGGAAATAAATGTGAACTGGGCAATGGACTACCAGCAATTTGCTGGAATTGCATTGTCTATCACCTGTCTAAGCCCCTCTCTCTCCCTTTGTGCTGGATGAATCAATTCCCAGTACTCCGTACTCCGTACAGAGTAGCCAGTTAACTCCCACACTGTTACTCGGATAGAATCCCTGCTCAGCCCTATCCCCACAGCTGGCGCGCCGATCGCCTCGACACCGCCTTGGTATTCGATCAGACTGGTCTGGCGGCGTCGGCAGGAGAATACACACCCAGCTTTATACGGTGAACATCGTCAAGAAGCAAAATCAGATTTGGTCATCGACACATAGCTAAATGGGCGGCTTTATAAGCGGTGGCTAATCCTATTGCATCCTCCGACAGGGGGAAAAAAAAAGAAAAGGAGAAAAAGAAAAAAAAAAAAAATATCATAATTACTCAGCTTTCACAACGCAGAAATGGAGAATGGTGAAAATTCGAAGGGGTTTCGGAGAAATCCCACAGTGATACTGAGGAGCGTGGCGATGATTGTGGTTCTCATCACTTCGTCGGAACGCTCCCTTGCAACGCTAACTAACAAAAGTGCGACCTTGAAGCTACTTGGCCTCGCCATTCAGCAATGACGAATGTGTTTGTGAGGAACCCTGTAGGCTAAATTGTTGTTCGGGACTGTTGTCTGAAAATAGAATTTGGGAACCAACCTGGGCTTTTTATGATTTCGGACACGGCACATCGGTGCACCGAACTTTCGAAGGATGTCTTGTGCATTGTTTACTCCCGGGGCTCAGCATCGTTGGCCAGCGAGCATTGAACGTCCTGGCCGGCAGTACATGCGATTATGAATCGAAATCGACTTTCACCACTGACAAGGGACCCCGTTGTGATTTTAATAAGGGCGTCCATGTCCTTTCAAAATATTAAAACCGGCAGTTAATATGCAGTTAACAGGCCTGCCTAGGTTCTTTATTTTTGTTACTGCATTCATTCTGCCTTTACCATGCGCAGTTCGTCGCTTCCATCTGTTTGTTCGAGCAGACAAACAGTCCATCGCGTATCCCTAGCTTGTATGCAATGCCGTTCGCGGCATATGAGATGCGATGCCAAACAGCCAGAGTGCTCTCGGTGCCAGCTGGACAAGAGACGGTGCACATACGTCAAATCTAAACGCGGAGGCCGACGCCGTGCAACAAGCGCAGATAGCCCCCAGGGTGAATCGACCGTGTTCTCGGAACCAACAAGCGTCTCCCCAGAATGGAAGAAATGTATCGACACCATTCGCGAACCGAGCCAGGAAATATTATTTTCGGAGCCCTGTTCAGTCACATCCGATCCCCAAGCTACTCCATCTATGATAGACGACCCTGTGGCCTCGCCGTTTGACAACCTGCTCGATCTATACTATTCGACCTTTCACGCCGCCCACGCCTTTGTTCTCCCAAAACGGAATCTATTGGATCGACTGGAGAAAGACCCGCTGTCTTTTGAAGCGTTGGTACTAGTGATGCGATACGTCGGTTCACTATTCAATCCATCCACGTCATCTGCATCCCTAGAACGAAAAGTACAGCGAGCTCTGGCGCCAATTCGCAGCCGTGAATACTTTTTAACCGGATACCACGTACAATCTCTTCTATTATACTCCAGCGCCGCATACTGGTGTAACAAAACCGAGACGGGCCTCCGGTTGCTGGATGAAACCATTCAACTTGCCATTGAGCTGGGCATGGAACTTGAGAGCTACGCGATCCAACACGGGGAAGGAGATCCAGTTCTCGAAGAAAGTTGGAGGAGGACCTGGTGGCAAATATACGTTACGGAAGCCCACAATACCGGGACAACCCGTTCGTTTCCGACCAAAACTGGTGGCTTGCATATAACGACTGCGCTACCATGTGAGGATCACAACTATCAATCGGGGGTAAGCCATAGCAGATCCCAATACATAATTTCTCTGCTGACCTAAGGTTGAGACCATCCCGCCGCCGAGAACGCTCTATGAATATGACATGCGGGAGTTCTTGATGGCAGAGGGTGATGCTGAGTTTTCGTCTATTGCAGAGTTAATTGGTTTGACTCGAACTCTTAATATGGTCCTCTCCGGTCGAAAAACGGGAAACCTGAGCGTAACGCGGACCATATGTGCGGAAGTGGATATTGCCATTTCGGCATGGTGCGCGCTCCTCCCAGCTTCGAAAAAGAACGTAAAGAGGAGCGACGGTACTGTGGACGAGCAGCTTTTCAATGCCAACATATTGATCCATACGTAAGTGAATTTCTTCTTCGCCTCTTGGACTCCTCCGGCTTACAAACTCTAATCCCGGGTGTAGATGTATTGTTGATCTCCATCGTGAGCTGTCAGATCTAGCCTATAGCCCCATAGAATCGGTGTCCAGATGTGCTCCGCCATCTCCAGCAAAACGATTACACGTTTTCCCGTCCAACGAGACGCACAGGCATACATTAACAGTCCTCAGTTCCATCGAAAAGGTGGGTAGGCTACTGAACGTGGTCACGGCTTTTGACACCTGTACCCCCTTTCTTATCAGTATGATCGCAAACACAACTGTTGCGCACTTATCCGCGTGCAAACATCTATTTCGGGACCGCAGATTGCAAATGGAACGGGAAAAGATACGATTGAGCATGGCTGCCCTTAAATCATTGAGCGAATTCTGGCCACTTGGTAGACGCACCTACACTGAGGTTGGGATAATCGCTCGAGAGATACTTTCTCTTGCAGATCGGGAGATTAGCCCATGGGTCGCCAGCATGGGCCTACCGCCCGTGATGTGTCGAAATATAGGGGCTGATTTAGGCGGTGCATTAGATACCTGCAATCTGTGTGATGATTCCGCATCATGCGAGTTCCTGATGAATGTTTAAAAATAGAAAAGATAGAAAAGGTGGAAAGGACAAAGAGAGGGCAAGCTGTACTCCAGCGGGCGATCTATCCCCACTAATAGATGATAGACCTAGAGTAGATTAATAAACCATAGTAGTAATGATAATACACGTCTTTGAATCGCCCTTTGGGACATTTGACGCCGTATTCCGTAACTATTGGCGTATCTGACGGTAGAAGTAGGCAGTTTGAATACGTTAGTCAGGACAAATTGCATCGTTAACTAAGGGTTGCATCGAAGTCAGATCGGCCTGAAAATAAGATCTCTTGTGTAGAGCTTCTTCGAGGTCAGTAGTATGAGTCCGATTTGAGAAGAAGCAAAGTGATGGGTTCCCCAGGCGAAAAGGAAACCTAGTCGGGTATCTCGGAAGCTTGACAAATTTGTCAACGACAATTCCTGGACGGACATGATCCCAAACGCCACCTGGATATGATCTGGAATGACAAAGCATTCGAGATCGGTCGTTGAAGAGAGGCGGCACCATTTTCCGTGCTCACTGACGATTTCGCATTGCAATGCCCTTCTGCGAGGACGGATAGCGCGAGTGATCCAATCTCCCTGTCGGCGTCTCCTCGGCCGACGCTCCGAGGGCCAGACCGCTCGCCAATGACGTCACAACAGAGCGACCCACCCGGCCCGAGCCGCAGGCGCAAAACCTTCAGCGTCATCCCGAATGCCGCGTCTTGTTAGGCAATTCGGCGTGGCCAAAGGAAGATTTTGCTGACAAATCGACGTGCTGAGTGAGCATCTTGATGTCCGGTCGAGGATTGAGTGATGGCGTATAAAGAGCCCCGTATGGGCGTTCAGTCCCTTGTCTGTCAACGGGCTGGTTTTCTTCCTTGACTCTCCTTTACCATGGAGGTCTCCCCAGCACTGTTCAGGCCGAAATACCATCGGGAGCCGTACGCGGCACTCGAGTCAACCGCAGCTGCTGGGAAGGTAGTCGTGATTACTGGTGGCGGTAGCGGGATTGGAAGGGCAACTGCGAAAACGTTTGCAGAATCTTCCGCGAAGGCCATCGTCCTGGTTGGGAGGCGGGAATCGAGGCTTCTCGAAACGAAACGCGACCTAGAGGCAACCTTTGGGAAGCAAGGGAACACAAGAACACAACTTCTTCCGTGTCAACATATTCCACGGATATAACGGATGTTGCCTCGGTGCATGCGACCTTCAAAAGCATCGCGGACAAGTTTCGAGCGGTCGATGTCCTCATAAATAATGCCGGTTACCTGCCAGATTTAGCGCGATTTGATCAATCGGACTTTGACGATTGGTGGTCGGCCTTCGAAGTCAACGTAAAGGGACCGGCAAGTACTGTCCGATCATTCCTTCAAATCGCCTCTCCGGGTGCAACTTTGATTAATATCACATCAAATCTTACGGGACATCCGCATACACGGCTTCAAAAATAGCGACGGTTCGGTTTATGGAGTGCATCCAACAAGAACACCGGCATCTTTGTGTATTCAACTTACACCCAGGCCTCATTGCGACAGAAATGAGTGCAAAATCCACAGAGAGCTCCCTTTTCCAAACTCCACTTACTAACAGCCCTGGTTGTAGTTGACCTTCCGGCAAAGTTTTGCCTCTGGCTTGTGGATCCCAAAGCTGATTTCCTAAAGAACCGACTGGTATGGTCCAATTGGGACGTTGACGAGCTGGAACAAAGGAAAGAAGAAATTGTGCAAGGGAGCCTCCTAACCGTTGGATTGAAAGGTTTCTAGAAGGGTGTGACGGCGAGCCAGTAGGCAATCGACATCTGGTAAGCAAACCCTCCACATAGTGCATTAATATCTGTTGAGAAACATCCGAGTCTATATTAAAGATTCCGGCCATAGGGGCTTTTGCGTGTTCATTTCTTGGGAAACGGCCCTGCTGTTCCGTTGGGTGAAAATGGCCCTGGAGGGCTTCTGGTTAGCATCTCTCGATAATGATCCTCACATGTCAATGTATGAAATCGTAGTCGATTTCCTTTTGCCTTGCGAGACAGTGGCCTGGAATGGCCGTAGAAGTCGATGAGGGATGACTGTCGAGCTTTGCCGCCCCATTAACTAATGTTGCCCAGACAACCCCGCTATTTACACCTCACCGTACTCATGTGCATGTGGATGGGACGACAGCAAGCTGAGCAGACAAGTCTGCATTTTCATCTGAATTTTCTCTGTATACGATCCTCAGCGATAGAGATTAGTCTGATTTTTAGATCTTTCCCTGCATTCTTGTTGGTTTTGTCATTTCCTTTCCGCTGCAGACGACGACATTCAGGACGGTCTTCCGTATCAACCATAGCATCTACCGCTTGGTAACATAGCAGTTCACTCCCCAAGTCCGTCAAGGTACAGAGCAGCTCTACACACAACTCTGCGTCTCGTCGCTTGCCGTGCCGCCCTTTCTTTCTATCGCAACTCTTGTCTAACGTTCAGCTCAGCCAGAAGTTCCACCTCTGAAAGGTTCATTGGAGCGGAGCAGTTATTCACACTCTTAAAAAAGGAAAGGAAATATGGTTAAAAAGAACATCGCCATTGCAATTATTATTATTATCCTCTTCATTATTCTCGCAGCGGCCGGGTACGCTATATACGCAGTCCAGAATCGAGTCTCTGTTTTTGCTTCGAATAGGGAGGCAGACGAGGAGGAACAGTGAAAGAGCTCGGTTGTGCTTAAGTGACTTCTTTAATATTGCTGAATGTGTGTTGGATTGTTTTGGATTGATAGATGGCGAACGGTGTGTGCTCTATCACTTGCTAATACACGAACGACGCTCTCGGACAATGGCTAACGCTACCGACTTGACGACCGACCCGCCTTTCGAATTTTTTCTTACAGGAGTTGATATGCCACCTCACCCCACGGGACCACCAGCGAAAATAACGAAAACGAATTCTGAATGACGAAATAAGGCTTGTTAATGATCGATGATATTTACTTTGTACCTCCCACGAAGTGACGTCTGTACGTCTACGTGCACTTTTCTGGGATCGTTGAGATACCCCCCTGCTCTACGACGAGCTCGATGGTCGATTATCTTATCTTTTTCACTTTTTAGTTTTGGAAGCAGGAATTTTGCTGTATATTTGGAAATGATATAAGCTGGAATGTGATATGATTGTCCATTTCATGAGATCAAAAAGGGATATGATATGGCGGAATGAATCTCGATAGAAAAAGGATAATAGAGGATCTTATCTGCTTTAGGTGAGGGTATAATATATATTTGCCCTTTATCGTACATCTGATATTTCTACCTTCGATGAAAGGAGTTATAGACATAAGACGGAAATCAATGCCATACAAGGACTCATACAAGCACACAAACTCCGTCTTAGTCTCCTGGAAGTAAGTTGAACGAACGCTGATACAAGTCGCAAGGGGGAAAGCAGAAGACGAATATCGAAGAAAAAATAAAATAAAATAAAATATGAAATAAATTGAAAGGAAATTGGTGTGTATCGAAAAAGGGTTTGCGGGACGACGATGGTATCGCGTCTAAAATTTGACTGCAGTCGAATCGTAAAAGAAGTGAAATCCTATGTGCCTTGACCATAAGTGATATTAGCTGGGAGTAAGAACAATGTCTATGTATGAAGCATGGGGCTAGTTGAAAGAAGAAAGAGGAGTAAGGTGTAATCTCGTTTCAAGACACACCGCCCGGAGGTCGAGAATACGTGTTTATATTCATCGGCATGCCCCTGTTATTACCGTCGGGGTATGGGTGGTGCTTCTGGGGAGGTGGAGGCGGAGGAAGCGGTGGATGTTGTGGAACAGACTCATGGTGCATGCTAACCATTGCGTTCGACACTTCCCGTTCGGCAGGCGACCGATGATCTAGGTGCAGTCGTTGCTCAGAATTCAAATGTGGGGAGCTAGACGGAACGTTCTGTGGCCGGTAGGCATGGCTCGGAAAATGAGACTCTCTTCCGGCGCTGTTAGGTGGAGGGAGCGGGCTTGAAGCATTGTGTGAATAGGTTAGGGGCGGAACCGTGTGGGCAGAAGAATTGGATAAGGTGCGCGTCGTCGGATTTGAAGAATTGGGCGGCGTTTGGGTTGATAACTCATCGCCGTTGTAGGAAGGTTGAGACTGATGGTTCCCCAAACGTTGTCGTTTTGCCGGTCTAAACGGTTCGCTGTTATCGTTGGGGTCTCGAGTTTCGTAAGGAGTAGGGGGATTGCCAGGTTGGCGGTCCAGATTCATTGATTCCGGAGAAACAGGGTTGCTGGGCTGGGATGGTGACGGCATACCCAAGCGATTGGAGTTATTATTGTTGGAGTTTGGGATCTTCTGCAGAAGGTTTCTGGTTGCGGACGCAGCGTGTTGTCTTTCCGTGATGGGATCCATGTAAGCTCCAACGCCCGAGCGGCCCATGCTCTTATCGTGCATAACGACGCGCTTCCACTTCGCAACCAATGTATCGTAGTCCCATCTTGAAGCGTCCGCGCGATTCAGCTTGCTTTCCTTATCATCCAATTCACGTGCCACTTCGGGAGTCAGTGGAAGCAGGTTGGGCGGGAAAATTGCAAATTCTCTCGGCCACTGGCAGGAAGTAAGTTTCTCGACCTGCGCGCGTAACTGATTTGCCTCTTGCTGTGTCCTGTCAAGCTGCTGTTCCAACTTTTTCCGCTTTTCTGTCTCCCTTACAAATGCGCGAGTGATTTCTAGCTGCCACAGATTTCGTTGCTCATGTGGAGCGAGAGCCATCCAGTGCCTTAATGATAGATCCAGATGGCGCATCATGATCTCTTCATGCTGTTGAGAAGTTCTTTCGATCATCTCTGCGTCGCTACTGGGAGAGGCTGCACTATATGCTGACGGCAATTGAGACGTGTGTTGAGCAGTTGACATTGCAGAGCCAAGCTGATCGGATTTCCATTGCTCTACTTGCGCCCGGAGAGCCTGCTGAACAATATCTCTTTGGTTTGGCGTCGGTGGTTCAATGGGAAAGGAGCTTGGAGAGGCAAAGGGATGGGTGGAGAAGAGGCTCGGAGGAGGTGGCAGGGCTTGAAGGCATAGCGCCGGGAACGTTTGCGACTGAAGGTCAAAGTCGAAGGGAGATAGCCGTGAGCTTTTGCGGGTTCTAAACGGAGGTAATCCATCGTCAGTATAAAGTGTTTTATTCTCGGCAAACGGATACAGCCGACAGGCATCATGCAGTTTGCACCTACGTAGCAGCCTTGATACTGTCCAGCACTTCACGGAGCGCCAATTCCAAGGCCCTTGCGGTCTCCGGGTTCGAGTCCGTCAATTGATTCAAACGTTCAAGAGGCGTCGCAGGTATCTTGAGTTGCGACACGGGGGTAGAGTTGGGAATGTCGTTTATCACGCCCGTAGCCTGCCAACTCGGCTGATTTAAAAACACGCGAAAGCCCTTTCCCGCGCCTCTTGGATTCAGCTGCAACGGAGGAATGGTATGCGGGTCCGGTGTGGGTTTCTTGCCAGCGATATCCGGGCTTGCCTGCTTATTCGAATTGCGCGCCGTTCGTCTCGTGATCCCGCTTCGAACCCGGCGGATCTCGTCGACATCGTGGATCCCGTCCGGTTTTTTCTTAAATAGGTACTGATCGAGGTGGCGACCCAGCGAAGAGGACGTGAACAGCTGGTCACAGTAGCGGCATTTCTTGTCTTTCACTGCGGTCACCTTTTGTCCCGGAGCGCTGGCTTCGTTGCTGTCCTCTCGCGCATTGGCTTCCTTGCCACCATCGCTTCCAGCGGCTCCGGAATCGCTCATCGTGGCTATTCAGATCTCATGGAGAGGACGGGTCTTGGTACTTCAGATCGCTGAACTGGTCAAAGTTTGAGTGTAGCAGGGTTAATCCGGTGCGGGTTCAACTCCTGTTACGCGCAATGCACTCCGTACCCCGTACCCCGTACCCTAAACTCCAGTAGCTTGTCCAATAGTGGACGAAGCGACCGATTTACAAAAGACACGAGAACTAAAACAGAACACGATCACACCCGTAACAGACACTGCGTGAAGAGGAGAAATGGAACAGGTTCAACCCTCTGGACGACTAGCAAACCTTTTTTTTCCCTGGCTTAACCAACTCCCCTCGAACGAATGTTTCCCATGTGGCTGGCGGCTGGTTTCAGGCCTGAGCGTCTTTTTATGAGCTGACCTGCAGAACCTGCATTGGACAACCGGCCTGGTTCACAAGAAATTATCCAAGCTACTTGGCTCGGAGTGCCCCGAAGATGATGCTCCTTTACTTCGTATGTATGTTAATTCTATAACTACCTGAGAGTCAGGCTACTTGTTGCTTCTATCATGCGTAAGGGATCGGCATTCGGTCAGCACCGCTCCCGGCGGTGACAGCCTTATTGAAAATAGGATCGAAAGCAAACACTTTACACCCTCACATCCATCTACTTGGCCAGCCCTCGGCGCCTAACCTCAAATGTTCTTCAAAGGCTTGACTGAGGTGCGCCTGGGTGTCCTGCTTTTCTTAACGTTTCTCCGATGTACTCAGCTAGTACGATCAACTTTTCCTCCTGATATCTCCTGCCGACAAGCTGCAACCCCACGGGTGTCCCGTGATAGAGTTCAGGGTCGTCTTTTTTTTTTAAAAAAACAGAAAAAGAAAAAAGAAGTAATCAGCGACCATGGCGGAAAACAGGGCTAATAATGGAGTACTTACAGCTGCTATGGACATGACCATCCACTTCATTAAACGGAGAATAATCTTTCTCCATGATATCCAACGTTTGATCTGCTTTGGTGACAGGAATCGCGATAGCGCTGTAATCCAGAACATTCACGATGCTTGTATATGCAGTATAATAACATCCGTTTCGTATCGGAGCCGCATACGGTGCAACAGGACAGATGAAACCATCAACCGGACGTCCCGTGCCTGTCTGGGATGTGGTTGAGTTCCAGTACTCCATGTACTCTTTCTGGAATTCACGTTTAGCAATGTTCGTTGCTGCAATTTCCGTGGCTGTTTTTTCGGGGTTATTACGGGCGTAGACATAATCAAATGGCGCGAGTCTCTCTCCTGATAGGCCAAAATGGTACCGGGCGTCTGCACCGGCATCGAACCCATATATAGTGCTCTTGAACAGAAAACCCGGTCAGCCACGACCTTGCCATTGGACTTGAAAGGACATACCGCTATTTTGGCCCCTCTTGCATGATTTGGTGGCTTCCATTCAATCACCTAATATAGCAAGTTAATATGATACTAGGAGCTGCCAAGCTGGTAGAGTTTAAGTTTAAATGTACCTTGTGGCCGAGTCGCGTTAAAGTCTCCGTCATGATCTTTAACGCACGAGCGACAGGGGGCTGTGGCGTACACGACCCATCGTTGTAAAGAATCCCGAAGGCTAGTTGCCCGGTACCTTGGTGAGACCCATTTATCAAATCCAACGTTTCGCGTTCCAAATCGGCCCTCCATGGAAGCTCAATTGCCATAGGATCGTGAAGCCATGGTTTCTGGCTTAGCACTGCCTTAAAGATGAGCTTTAGATCACTTGGGGTCCTGGCCATAGGTCCAATCACTGAGATGATTGAATTCTGGCCATCCATAGAATTGGCAGCTCCTTCATAAGGAATTCTACCAGCCGACGGACGGATACCATACAGACCGTTGTGTGCGGACGGGATGCGGACACTCCCTCCAATATCGGTGCCAAATCCCGCCGCAGACCCTCGCAATGCAATCAGGGCTCCTTCACCGCCAGAACTTCCTCCCGAAGAGAGATTTCGATTGGCAGGGTTCCAAGTGTAATCAATAATATTGTTGACTGTTTCTCCAATCATGAGGGTGGCCGGAACGGAGGTTTTGCAATGCAAAATGGCACCAAGTGCACGGAGTTCCTTGACCAGCTCGCTCTCGAATACACACCTCCTTGGGTCATTCTTGATGCCCTGGAAAGTTCCTATCCAGCCAACATATCCCATAGTTGTTTCGACCCCCATGACGTGGAATTGGTCTTTCAAGCTGATTGGTAGCCCGTGGAGGGCCCCAATTGGCTGATTATGCTCAGCAAAATAGGCATCTAACCGCTTTGCATCCTCAAGTGCGGCATCAAAGAAAATCTCGTGCAAGCAATTCACCTGGAGTTCCTTGTATCAGCATAGTGATCGTCATAGTACTTTTGGAAGGTTGACATACAAATTGATGAGCAAGAGCTGCTCGGTGACAAAATGCCTCTGTCACCTCTACACACTTCCATTTTCCAGTAGTGGTACATGCTAGGATACCGACGGCATCAGTCTCTGTGATCTCAATTTCGCGTGGAGTCAAGAATTGTTGGATATAACTTCCAGTCACATCCCTCTGTTGAGCGGCTGACGGGATTTCTTGCAATCGCCATTTTTCCGGAATCAGATGTAGTATAGATTCACGCTTAGCTTTCGCTGCGACTTCAAACGGGGCTTGTGCCATTTTGATGATTATCTGGGAGAATGGCGGGGAGCACTTGGGTGGAGGAATCAACCGCCTTTAATCATAGTCTCCCCGCCTCGGTCACCCGGGTTCCCATTACCTTGGCTTACACAACTCTAGCATAACTGGGGGTTTGCGGGAACGTCTGCGACGCTTCACGCTGATGTGGATGATGGTACGACGTCTAGCGTACGCAGAACGGATATTGATGGAGGACGATTATGCTTGGCATCACGCTACCGCGGTCTGTCCCCAACGCGACTTGTACTCCGTACTCCATACAGATACGTCTTTGAAATATCCCACAACTTGGAAAAGGCGGCTAAGCTGGGTGTCCACAGGACGATGGAGTCAGTCATTTTTGCCTAAGGCTGCGGGGTTAGTTGGCGGAGATTGAAACATTTGCCGGACATTAAGATTGACTCGCTTTCCCGCCATCCAACCCCACCAACGCTGGGAGTCTTCGTCTGGCACATCGCCACCACCAGGCCAAGTCTTCAGCCAGTCTGGACAGGTCGATGGTATGATTTTGGGGACAGCATGCCATGCGAATCTAGAAGCGCCGGTCATGTAGACCGCATCGCCAGACCGGAGCCTGATTACGGCACAGGAGTCCCCGTTCCCGTGCCCCACCAAGAATAACGCATGACATCCGAGACTGATGCTAATCAGGCCAGTGTCGCACTCTTCACTTACATCTCTATGCGGGTTAAGAGTGTCGCCAGGAGAATAAAGATTTACAATGGCAGCTTCCGCAGTCGTTTCCGGGAATATACTGTGAAGAAGAGTACCTATGTCCGAAGGGAAGGCCGGAGGAGGGCCTGGGGGATACTCCTTGGTCGTCCAGTTGTACTGGCCACCAAGCGTTATCCAGCGGAGTTTACTGTTGAGGGCAGCTTGTATCGATAGCGGACGGTGTACCGTGGCATCCTTGGGGCTAAAAGTCCGGGTGGGATTGTCTCGAAAGAATGACGAGTTTGTAGACCAGCACGCCTCCTGCTGTGTACCTTTGAGTGCCGATGCTCCGTTCGCATCGCTTGACGCAGACGGGTAGGACACGTCGTAATGTAGATGTAGGTTGGTTTGGTGCCTTTCGTCTGATAGATCGCGGTGAAGCAAGCGGGAAAGGAGTTCGGTCTGGACGGCGGGCGGGAGCAGCGATGGGAGGATCCGGAGACCTTGGAGAAGTCAGGAACGCAGCAGCATTGTCTCGGTCAGCGGGTTGCTACCTACCGGGAACTTGTCGTATTCCATAAACGCAAGCACCGTCTCTTCCATCACGTAGGTCTTTCCTCCAGGAATTGCTGCCCATGAACTCGTCAAACGCTAGTTCAAGGGAAGACGGAGGGATGCATTCCTTGAGGACGATTCCATCAGGTAAGCGATCCTTGTTCAGGCCTTGAAAATCGAGAATTTGCGGATGCGAATCGATCTGTAGGGCGCTCAAGCGTCGACATTCGCTGTACAGCTCTCGAACGGCCGCTGGAGCCCGTTCATATGGGCTGAGCTTTTCAGCAGGAACCATGAGTAGTCTTTCAGGTACTTGGTTGAATGGGAAGTTGGTTGGTCCCATCCAACTTTTTCCGGCAATGTTTGAATGAAAGTCCTTGTTACGGGCCCTGAAAGGTATCCTCGTGGAAAATCCCTGGATATTTTTGCGTTTTGGCCGCGACTCCCGAACCACAGATGGTGTGCTGGGCCTTTATTGGATAATAAACGCGTAGAAAGGTTTGGATAATGGGCCAACCAGGACAATATATGAGCCTTGAACAAAAAGAAATTTTGTTTGTTTGTGGAAATTTGTAAACTTGACCTCCCCCGGGAAACAAAACTTCCAAACAAGCAGCCTTGTCCCCCACCACCAACCAGAAACTTCCCGGCTGCTGCAAGATGGAGCGTTCAGCCTGACAGAATCTGACCTGGACAATGACATCTCGGCTCCCTTGTCGCCTGTCTGCTCCAGTGAAGTTGAGGATATACTAACACTTAGCCATTTCCCCAATCGTTTCCTCTTCCTTCCAGGCCTGTTGCCTGCTTACAATATCGCGCGTCTACACGAGACTGTTGACCCCGTTACGAGACAATCCCCCGCTGCCAACGACGAGGCTTGTGCCCAAAGTTATAGCGCAACGACACTCATTGCTCCTCCATTACTATTTGTTTACGAACATTGCAGTGTATAGAATTATCGCATCATGGAAAACTATCAGAAGATCGAGAAGATCGGAGAGGGTATGTCTTGATGTTCACAGCTGACATGTCGCGTCTCATACACAAACAATACGTGCGAGGACCTGAAGCTGAGAGTGTATCTTTGCAGGCACGTATGGCGTCGTTTACAAAGCTCGGGACCTAAGCAACCAGGGTCGCATCGTGGCTCTGAAAAAAATCCGCCTTGAGGCGGAAGATGAGGGAGTACCGAGCACGGCCATTCGCGAGATCTCCCTGCTGAAGGAAATGCACGACCCGAATATCGTTCGCCTGCTTAACATCGTCCACGCTGATGGGCATAAACTATACCTCGTCTTCGAGTTCCTTGACTTGGACCTGAAGAAGTACATGGAAGCACTTCCTGTTAGCGAGGGTGGTCGAGGGAAGGCATTGCCAGATGGGTCTTTAAATATGAGCCGATTGGGACTTGGAGAAGCCATGGTCAAGAAATTCATGGCTCAGCTGGTCGAGGGCGTCCGTTACTGTCACAGTCATCGGGTCCTGCACCGTGACCTGAAACCTCAAAACTTGCTGATTGATCGCGACGGCAACCTTAAGCTGGCAGATTTCGGCCTAGCAAGGGCTTTTGGCGTCCCGCTCAGAACGTATACTCATGAGGTTAGAGAGGCTCCGTGCCCGTCCAAATGCCTACGTGCTAATCCCTATATCAGGTTGTTACTCTCTGGTATCGAGCCCCAGAAATCCTCCTGGGCGGACGGCACTACTCTACCGGGGTGGATATGTGGTCTGTTGGTGCCATCTTCGCAGAGATGTGCACCCGTAAACCACTGTTCCCCGGGGATTCTGAGATTGACGAAATATTCAAAATTTTCAGGTAAGTTTTACTGTAGTACATTCTGAGGGACATGCATTGACGTGATCATCATAGAATACGTGGTACTCCCGATGAGAGAAGTTGGCCCGGCGTGACTTCGTTCCCGGACTTCAAAAGCTCCTTTCCCAAATGGAGACGGGAAGACATCCGAAAGATTGTTACCGGCCTAGAAGAAAGCGGGCTCTTGCTGTTGGACGCGATGCTCGAATATGATCCTGCACGTCGCATCTCTGCGAAACAAGCCTGCGTCCACCCATACTTCCGTTCCTGCAGCTCCACCTACTCTGGGCGAAGCAAAACAAATTATCAATGAATAATGAAAATCTTACAAAATATCTTTACGGTGTGACGGTTTCCTTTTTATTATCTCCTTCCCCTCCTCATGTGTCTTGTCATGTAATCCGGTCTCACTGGGGTATGGCAGAACGACCCCTTTCCCAATGCCAATTCATCCTCAAGGAAAAATTCGAGTTATATCCGTGGATGTTTCTTTCTTTCTTTTACCCTTCCGATTTTTGGTTCTACATATCTTTTCCCTCCTATTGACAAAGTACCACATGAGGTCGAGTCAGCTTTTTCTCTCTCTCTCTTTTTTTTTTTCTTTGTCTGCATGGCGTGAACGGTGGGGTTCTGGAGTCGTTTGCGCAAAGGGAAGTTGGGCAATAGGATGAATAGAAAACACCCGAGCTTCTCTCAATCCAATGATAAATATTCTAAGACGGAGTGTTTGCAGCTGGCCGTGTGCGTGGCCGTTGATTTTTGAATCCAGCCTCGGCTCGCAAGCATCTTTCAATGCGGCGAGGCCACACGGATTGCAGCTTATTTGGACGTAAGACTGACCGTTTGCAAGAAAAATTATTCAGATCCATCCTTCCCACATTCTGCTTCTGGGATAGATAGAAACCACTCTCCAGCTTGCTCCTCGACAGAGACGGACGTCTCATGCGCCGTATTTTGGTGTTGTACGTCATGTCCGTCACCACCAATAAAGTTGTCTGCATTTTGGGTATCGCCCATAAATTTCCCAGTTGACGAGGTGCTACTGTATGGCACCCGAACTAGCGTGACTCTATTCTCTCCAAACCCTTTTTCTCGGCCCCAGAAACATGCGCTGTGCATGAGATGGACCATTTCAGCACCCTGCGCTGCGAGGATGGTCTCTTCTTCCAGTTTGCTTAGGTCTGGGAGGGAGCCTCGGGGTGAGGAATGTCGACCTCGGCGACTTGAAGCAGACTGAGGTTTATCCTCCGGATAAGAATCAACTTGCTCATCCGGCGATAAAGTTGTAGTTTCAAGTTGTGAACTCAGTGCGTCGACAGCATCGGTGAGAGTAGGTTGCCGCTCGGTCTGTGCCTCCTTTGAATATAAGTTTGAATGAATGAAAACCCTCACATTTGGAAGAACTACGGTGTTCAATGCAGCCTCCTTATATCCGGTATTCGGAGAAGGGTGACTTCCATAGTCTAATCCGACCGGTGGCCACCGTGTAAGAGTCTTCCTGCGACGCACGATATGTTTCGCAGAATCAGGAACATCCTCTTCGGCCTCCGCCTCTTCTTTCTCTAGCATGGAGGCTGTCAGAGTCCACAAATCTCGTTCTTTGGGAGGTTTGAGTAAAGGAACGGGGTAGTTCGGGCCGGTAAAAACAGCAGGGAACTTGGTAGGACAGTATTTCCCAGCTGTTCGGAGAAACAACGCAGGCGAGGCGAAAGGATCGAAATAATTCTGGGGAGCATGGAAAAGAACATTCCGCGCCTTCAGAAGGGGTACTAAATCAGCGGGCAGCGGCTTCTGTGGCTTCCTCTTCCGACCCCGTTTCTTGTGATCATGAAGGCCCCTCTCATGCACAGTCGAACTCGCGTGTTTCGGCAAGGTATCTTTTTCATCCGATTCGACTATACAGTGGTCATCCAGTCCAACCCAATCGCATACAGGGTCTTGTGCGGCTACTGCAGCTATAGACTGCGGTTCAGTAAGTGCTAGCATCAAGGCCAGCGAGCCACCAATATGCTTTCCAAACACATTTATCCGAGGGGGATTGATATTTTGGAATACCCAATCAAACCCCGCAAGTGTATCGTGTATCGGGGCTGGAAATCTGAAAGTTGACTTTCCATCACCGCCCAGTTTCTGACCTAGCCGATAGTTAACTGTCACGGTTGTGGACAAACTTGCAGAGGCCAACAGCTCGGCGGAATCCACAGCATTCTGATCGCCGGTGAAACTGTCTTGAAAACCGTTGTTTGATGGAAATTGAGTGAATACTGGGCCAGGCGGCAGGTAGAGAATGACTTCTGAACCTCTGGTCGATGGAGAAGGAAGGGGTTCTAGGATCCTAGAGCAAAGGAGTAAACAGGGATTAGCAACGAGAAAAACGCGCAGGAGCTCGGAATCGTATTTTATCTGCATTGGCCACAAACCTCAAAGTAATGCTTCCACTGTTCCCGACGCGTACATGCTCAATGTGCTCGCGCAAACGCGGACGAGCGATATACAACGCCCGCCGCAGAGTGTATTTATAGAGGGGCACATGCCGTGCTGTGCGACAACACCATGTGCAACGCGATAAGAAGAGATTGGATGAAGCTAAAAGGCGCATAGCACCATCATGAACTGTGCGGTTGGAGTTGAGCTGCTCGTCTTTGGATGCGGACACGGCGTGCTTGGTTGAAGCTTGAGCTTGCCAATTTCTAGTTAAACTAAACCAACCTAGGAATAGCTAACTAGTTACTCCGTACTCCGTAGAGAGTTTGTGATCGATGAAAACAGAGGCGCAAGGCGAAGCTGGTCTCCAAAACTCGAAGAGCTGTGGGTATCAGGTACGGAGTACGGAGTACACGTCTAATAACTAATATCTCATTTTACTTTTTCTGCCATTCCAGCATATAAAAGTTACAGCTATTGACATGCAACTCGAGTAGCTAAATAAAAATATGCAATATCGGGTATCAAAGTAGCGTAAAGAATATGATGCAAACCAACAAACAACACCGTAACAACCCAAAATTTCCCAGAATCCAAAATCGCCTGCCATCTACCAAGTTCCCAACCCCAGAAACAGCTGGAAAATAAAAAAAGCGCAATGACGTCCGAAAGGCCATGAGAGGCGTTGGTACCCGGTACTTTCTAGAACATAGAACTCCTCTTCTTGGACAACCCGTTTCCGGAATCCCTACTGTCTCCCAGTCGAAACCCGAAAATGCTTCTCCTTTCCTTTAGCTGGGGCTGTGGTGGCCTTAGTCCTCCCGCCGTGGATGCAGGCGGACGAGGTGCGAGAAACTGAGGCGTCGGCTGTGTCGTTTGTGGCCTGGCGGGTGTAGCGAACCAGGACGGAGCAGGCGTAGAAGCCGAGGAGTGATTCCGATAATGTGCATTGTTGAATTGTGGCGGTCCCGGTGGCAGGGGAGCTGGCGGCCGTGAAGCACTTGGTGGCCCAGAGACTTGCTTCCGCAGCTTCTTGTCCTCCTTGCCGTATATTTTCTTTAAGCGCTCTGTTTCTTCCTTCACCTGGGCCTCTCTCCGCCTCCTTTCTCGTTCTTCAGCCTCAAGAAGTTTCCTTGTTTGTTTTTCTGCTTCTTTTTCCTTTCGTCGACGTTCTCGTGCTTCGGCTTCGGCTTGTTGTTTTAAACGGCTCGTTTCGGCGTCAATCTCCCACTGTGTGCGCGGGTCGGCAGGCGGTGGACGTGCTTCGCGTACTGGTAATGTCGTTTGCCGTGGAGGGTTGGAATGAGGACCTTGTTGGTTCGGCTGAGGTCCTCCACTCTGACCTTTTATTTGGGGAGTGGTTCCGTTCACCGAAACTTTAGGCGGGGTTATTTTTGGCGCTGCTAGAGCGGCGGGGTTTGGGGGATCTGTGATATGAAAGCTGGTCTTAATATGGCCGAAATAGACATCACGGATGACTACTGCACCCAAGAGCAAAACGACCTCCAGGCCCTTATGATCTTCCATTTCTACACGGTAAAGATTTGGCTCGTATAAGGTGACTTCTTTGAGTCCTTTGAAGATGGAAACGGTAATATCCGGCTCCTTGCTTCGCTTTCTAGCATCATCAAAGTCCACCGTCTTTCCGGAAAGATAGCATGTGAGGTCCTTGGAGAATTTCCCATCCTTTTGCCAGTTAAACCGAAGTTTAGGTGTTATATCCGAAGCCGCCGGGTCACTCATAGTGCGGTCCAAGGAAGAGCCCGACGGCAGGCGAAATGTCTGCTGGGGCATTTCAAACTGCCACGATGCAGGCGAGTTCCAAGATTTCGGCTTATAACGCACGAGCACCTGCTGATCCGGGTTATACAGTTGAATAATAAACTCATTTGGAAGTATAGGCTCGGGAGGCGGAGGGACTCCGTTATTCTGTCGGATGGCTTCCTGCGATAGCGAAGGCTGCGTCCATTTTGGAATCAAAAGCACTTCCCCGTAGAGGATGTCCGGGCAAAACGAGTCGTAGAGAGCTACAGCATACCGGTTTTTGGAGGCCGGAAGGTCGGGGTCGAGATGGCGAACGGAGTAGGCGGGGGATGGTTCTTCACCACCCTGGCAAAAGTAATACGTGGATTGATGCTTTGGCCTCTCCGTGGAAGGCTTGATGTAGAAGGCTTTGTGGCAGGTCTGGTCAGCGAGTGAAGCCTCCCAGAAGGAAGGGAGAGACTTACTTGGAAGGTTTTCATCAAGCATCTTGAGCCTTGTCAGTAGATTCGGAGGCTCATGGATAGAGGGTAGAGTGTTAGTAGTTCAACTTCTTCGTAGATTTGCGGGATTGGAAGGGACTTCGAGGTCAGTCAAAAGGAGACCCAAGTCCAACCTGAAGGCCGCTCTGTTTCAACAAGTGCTTACAAAGTGTGTTGCTTTCAAATTGAATTTTGAGAGTTTCCAAGGCTCATATGCCAGTGACCATCAGGATTCTGGATGCTTTGGCGTTCCCTTGATGTGGTACATATAGTAACTCGTTAAATGTCACGCCCACCAGTCAAGGCATACCAGAGGTGTGATGAAGTGAGAGCGCTTCTTCCGCTTCTCGGGGCGTCGTCACCCGACTGACGTAACTTTGTTCTTCCGTGAGCGCGAAGGTTACGGCACCTTGGTCCGTGCACACTTGCATTGCAGTTAACTAGCGGTTAGATGCCATTTTTAACAGCCATCGCCTTTTTTTTTTTCCCGCTGGTTGGTTACACAATAACTGCACTCCGAAGCTTCTGCGTTGGTGACATCTAGCGGCGCCGTTTTCCCCATACCGCTGCAGGTACTCCGTACGGAGCTCCGTACCTCGCCCCGGAACGATTAGCGAGCGACACTGCCCCATGCAAGCCAAGTATGAAGACGAGGAAAAGAAGACCGGAGTACCAGGCATCACCATTTTTCATTCCTTCTTTTTCGCACCCAGCAGGCCAAGCCTCATGATTTTCTCCGCAGAGGACACTTGAAACCGTGAGAAATCATGTTAGCATGCGAGGTGTTACAAGCCCCGGAACATGCATCTCCATGCTCCGTAATTCCTCGACGCGCAAAGCCCGACAACGTCGCCTCGACACGCCCAAGAGAAAATGATCGTTGCAGAGCGGATCCAGAAGATTTTACAACTCCATGCTTTCGGTACCACAGACTACCTACATGTGGTGAAAGCCTGAAACTACCCTGGACAGTGCACAATGACAGGAAACATAGATCCCCAGTAGAAATAGATCTTTCCTTGGAAAAACGAAGTAGTCAGATTCTGCTTTGGAGCCGTCGAAGGTTCTCAGCTCTAATAATCCTAAGGGCTGCCCCAGTTGATTGATTTAACCCCCAAACCTCGCCTCATCCCTGGGGCTTTGGCCCGTTACTTCCCCCTCCCCTCCTCCTTCTTGACGGGAAAGCCTCGCTACATTACGAGCCGTCGTTCATTGAATGCTTGTTTTAACTTTTCACTGAGAATAAAAGTCCACGGTGTTTGAACCCGAAGGACTGTACTCCGCAGTATTCCCGTACAAACCGATGGACTTGTGGAATAAGCCAACTCCTACCATTGTTGGGAATGTCCGCAGGCGGTCTCACATATATATGATTTAACCTGGCCAGAGTTTGCCAAACCCTTTCTTTACACAAAAAGGTCATTATGAGCTTCGATCGAAGTCCAGTGAAGGTGTCCAATGGAGAAACATCATTGTTTTGATTGCTTATCCCTATAGCGCATCATTGAGGGAAGAGGATCATAGCTACAGATTTGTGCTGCATGGCGCCAATATCCATCAATCCATAGATGTGACATGTGAGGAAGTTAAACATGTCTTAAAAGTATCTGCAAACCAGACAGGGAGAAAGAAAAAAAACTGTAAAACCCTCCTCAAATGGCCATCGGACTTCCCAGTCACAGTACACAAGAGCACCAATAGGGCTAATGTAAAGCGATCACTGGAGAAGATGATCCTGTCATGAAACATCAGCATCACTCGTGACAAATGGTTAACCGAGACCAGACTTAAACTCACCCTGAAGTGTTTCTGGTGGTTGGCCCTCTTTGAAACAGCCCATTGGAACGCGCGCTCAGACCTTTGTTCTCGTTTCCGATCTCTCACTTCCGCAGCCCGGACTTCTTGCTTTTGACTTGCAGTAGCTCCAAGCATTCCAATACCTCCATTTGCCCTCGAGATCAATGCCCGATTTTTGTTCTGGGAGGCGGCCTCCGTCTCCCCCTCTTGGGTCTCACCCGAAGGTGCTGCCTCTATGGCCTGTTGCCGCGAGAAGCGCCCTTCTGGGGTTGGGTAATTACGAAGGTTTTGCCTGTAGTATTTGGCAAGGGCACGGTGGCCAGCGGTCCGGCCGGAAGGCAAATGCAGCTCATAATCAGAGTAAAAAACCGCGCGAGTGTGTTCGTGTGCATGTGAATGGAATCCATCTAGATTGCGATGAGAACGCGGCTCATGGGAGTGATGTTTATGTTTCGAAAGCTTCGAGTACTGATGTGAGTAGTCATCGATCGGTACAGCGCCCAACTCGGCAGAGTCAAGAGATGAGGCAGAGGTATCGGTTTCCCAACCATCATCTTCCTCAGCACTTCCATCGACTGCGCCATCCCGACGCCTATCTGAATATTCTTCTTCATCGTCCGAATATGTGCTTGTGAAGTCGTAGAACTGGCCGATCTCAATCATCTCTTCCTCAGATTCAAATGCAATCATGCAATGACCCTTGTCTCTCATATGTGTCTGAATGCCAGGTGTCGTCGTCTTCAATTTATGGCAGTACAAGCACTCGTTGTTTTGCATAACCTTGGCTTGAAGGTATTTGATCAGGCCCTCTAAATCAACTAAGTAGTCTTGCTCAGGAATAAACATTCCATGCGATTTATGCATATGGGAAACGTTTTCGTTGATGTCGGAGGAATCATAATTGCAGAAAAGGCATCGAGAGACAGTCACTGCATCGATTTCCATCTTAGTGGAAACGGACGGTCGGCGGGAATCGCTGGATCGAGATTGGCTGGGCCGGTGTGGCCGTCCCGCTACAGGATCTTTGGCATCTATGGAAGTGTCTTTCATTCCGTCGACAATAGCCGAGAACTCTTCTTCGACAATAGTTTCTGGAGAGACCACGTTCGGAGGCACATTTATAGGCTCTCCCATCGAGAATGCACCACTAACCACGGACGCCGAGTCGTCCAGATGGCCTCCGTTTTTCCTCAGCAGCGCTTCCTTCAACCTATGCTTTTGACTTCCCATATGATTTATAAAGGCATTCTCGCTATAGTATGTCTTCTGGCACGCAGTGCAGGTCTTCTCAAACGTCGCTCTAGCCGCCGCCGCTGAATTAGAAGCCTGGACGCTGAGAACCTTTTCCGCAAAGGTCTCTGAGGACAAGGGAGGGAGAGATGCTACTCGACGCTTCAGGTTGTATCGGCTGCAGAGCACGGGGTCAGCCTCATGGAACAGAGCGACAGAAAAATCTAGCGCTACTTACTGCCAGTCGCTCCGCATATGCGTTCTCTGGGCATCGCTGCTCCGAAACGCTACCTGGCAGTTGTTGCATGTAAACGGATGGGTGGTGGGAGCGCCCAGGTTGTCTGCGGTCGAGGAAGGCATCTTGGCGCAATAAGGAGTACTGCGAATGTATCTGTGCCAAGGTATGTGCAGAGAAGGAGAAATCCCAGCTCACACGCTGTCGCAGATTTGGGGGGAGGGAAAGTATTGCCCTCTTGTACTGTACGGCGGGCGGGTTGGTTGGTCGGGTTGACTTATCAGTTTATCAGCAAGAAGTTTGGAATTTGCGGGCAAAAAAATGACGTTTCTGTGGTGCTGCCTTACAATACAATACTTACACAGCCCTAGTTTCCTGTCAGTCAGTTATGTAATATCCCGCCCCCGTGACTGCCAGTCGGATGACGATAATGCGGCGAGCTGGCGTGAGACCTGGCACGGTTGATGGACTGCAATGGCCGTCTGCTTTCTTCCACCGAGACTCAAACTATGATTTCCATTGAGCCGTCATGACGAGGCTGCATGGGGTTGTCAGCGGCCTTTCTGACTCTGGACATAGGTCGATCGGAGACGACAGAGCTGCTCTCCGCTTCTCGAAGCTTCCTCCCGGGACTCCAGAAGTCATTCTCAAGAACACGGTCATCGTCAACGACCCCGCGAGAATATTATCCCGGAATAAGGATGAGCGCCAGCGAAATTTCAATCTTCTTGTGAGGAGGTACAGGGGGTTGATCTTCACCACTCTTGGGTTGCGCGAGCTGACGGATGTTTTGCTCTCTAGATACAAGACACAGCTTCTTCACGGGTGCAAGGAACCAAACTGTACAACTCCTACCTGTCTGAGCTATAGAAGAAGAAGAGCCGCAGACAGGCCGTTCCGGAATTTCAATGATCTGAGTGCTCGAACGCTTGCGTGCTATTTAGCTAGCCAAGATGATCCGGAAGGGGGACTCTGTGGGAATGCGCCTGCAAGAAGCCTCGAATCCTTCGCACAGGAAGACACAACATGGGCAACAGAGCGGTGGCCGCCACTTGCCTGGGAAGCTCGGACTCATTCGCCTCATCCTCGCAGACCACAGCCCCTGAAGGTCGTGGAATCTATTTCGTCTCAACTGAAGAAGCCTGACAGCCAGGATCCAATACCAGACAAGCCCAAGGTTTCGAATCCACCCGAGCACATCAAGAGTCCCATCCCGCAGGACCGCCCAGGTGTCATACCGCAACCCAAGACCCCGAAAGATCCCAGGTCTATCACCCAGAATCTGTTCGACACACTCGCGCTTCGCATGATAGAGTGGCTACCATTAAAAAGGGCTTCCAACACCCTTGATTCCGATTCCCTGGCGGGTGAAGGCGATGGCTCTGGCCATAAACCGGTCCACGCTGATCCATCTGCCTCCCCGGTAACAAGGCAAACGTCAACCAAGGCCCAGAAACCACCCATAACAAGGGAACGGATACAGGCTGAGAACCCCAGCGTTTTGTCCTCACAACCGCCTATACCTCCAACGCTTGAAGTTAAAGTTCCAGGGCAACCGGTACACCGCCTCTCGTTTGGCGAACTTGACCGTTGGAAACATTCCCTGAGATCTCTGCCGGATGACATCGCGAAGACCGAGCGGAAATCTACTCCGAAGCTTGCAACGACCAATACACCAACAGCCACTTCGCGATCCTTCCCATCACCACCGCCTCGGAAGCATCGTTCTCAGAAATACAAACAGACCGAATATCAGACTGATAGCCAACGGGACACGAAAACAAGATACCGACAGCCGGCTCTCGATAAAGCTGAAATTTTACCGGATCCCCTCCAATCGGGTTCAGCTGACCCGCGTTCGCCACCAGGGCTGCTTTCTCCCCCCTCTCCACCTCTGAATGTAGACGCGCATCATCAAGCCCAGTTGGGCTCGGACATGGAACCACAGATCGAAAGCCTTTCAATGCTATCAAAAGATATAGTTGATAGCTTGGGGAAACTGATGTTCGAGACCAAAGAGGAAAAGGAAAACTGGAAAAACGAAATGATGCATCTGGAATCGCGCGGGTGCATTGAACCTAGGAATTTGCATTTTGCTACCCCCCGTCAACGGCAGATTTTCCCCTTTATCACCCAAAGTTTGTTTTTCGTTCTTAGCAGCCCAGAACTACTACGGCGTTCTTTCAGAATTACCCCTGAGACGTCTCGGAGCGACAACAGTACCAGTGCAGATTTAGATATAGACACACAGAATCTAGAGGGCGTTTTCCGAAAACTCTACAGCATTTGTCCCTGGGAGGCCACATTGCATAGCTTATGGATGTGCCTGGAGGGACTTTTCGTTCCTCCAAAAGAATTTTCAACATCTAAAACCCATCGCCGATTTATTTGGCGCTCTACTGCAAATAATGTTTCCCTGCGGAGTGGCGAGACTTCCCGCGATAGCCCATCTGCATCTCAAAGCCATATCTCGGACTGTGATGCCGCGCACATAGCTATTGTTACTCTTTTTGCGTTGGCAAGCTCCATCCCTCCTTTGGACGCCCAAGCATGGCAAGTAATCCGTCGAGTACGCTCTACTGGAACAGTTCTACCTGACTTTGAGATGCGAAAGGTTTCGGAAGCGACTGCCGGCCTCCTGGCCGAGGCCACGGATAAATTTGAGCATGACCTAGCTCTACGGCTGATGAATCGCCTGGTTCGTGCAATATCTGCTCGCCTTGCATTTCATGAGATTTCCAAACTCAAAGGCCCCCCGATTCAAAATGTAGGGAGCCTTGGGAATTGGAACCCGGTAGATCTCATCATAACATCCCTACAGCCATGTATTTCTGCCAAGCATGGATATTTAGATTCATCATGTGGTGTATACGAGGCTGAACGTCAAACAACTATTCCGATGGTTGCAGTTGAATGGCTCAAGGGCCTTCTGCTAAAAGAATGGGACGGGAAGCCCGAAATACTGAAATCCGGCGCTGCTGGCGGCGCTTTGATGCTATTGGCATCGATGTATCACCATAGAGCCCAGCTTGGTTTGGTGCCAGAGGATTTTTATACCGCTTACCTTGGGGACAACCTGGATCCCTTGCGGATGCCAATTGAGTGGATGAGTTTTGTCCCCAACAACCGCACAATGCACATTCTGTCGCATCAATTTATGTTTGAGCCCTCGGCTTTAGTCACGTATTTTCGCGCTCTCAATTTTTCGGCGATGGCCAAATATTACGAAACTGCAGTTGGTCACTCTCGACATGTAGCTCAAACCGCATTTAGTCATGCCCGGGCAATAGATGATGACATCGGCCTATTTGCGGGACTTAAGCGCTCAGTGACGTCTTTTCTCGTTTTAATCGTTCGGCGAGACAACGTACTGACGGACACTCTCAATCAGCTCTGGAGGCGCGAAAAGCAGGAGCTCATGCGGCCACTCAGAGTTCAAATGGGAATGGATGAGGGAGAAGAAGGTGCTGATCAAGGGGGTGTTCAACAAGAACTCTTTCGCGTGGTCATGGCCGAAATCCTCGACCCTGCGTATGGAATGTTTACCTTGAGTGATCGAGACCACATGTCTTGGTTCCAACCATGCTCTTTCGAGCCGCTCTATAAGTTTGAATTGGCTGGTTTATTGATGTCTCTTGCCATTTACAATGGTATTACTTTGCCCGTGAATTTTCCCGTCGCATTCTACATGAAGTTGCTTGATTTCGAAGTCAAGAAGCTTGATGATATAAGGAGTGGCTGGGAAGATTTGGCAAGAGGGCTCAGCGAGCTTCTTTCGTGGAGCGATGGTGATGTCGGCGACATTTTCTTAAGGACGTACGAATTTAGTTTTGATGCTTTTGGAAAAGTTGTGACTGTGGATATGACTGCTGTCGATCGAAGTGACGCATGGCCCCCTGCAGAACGAAACGTGACTTGGCGCAAAGAAAGGCTTAGATCGTTCGCCTCGTCCTCAGACAACGATGATGCCGACAACCTTGATTCGCTCGACAACGGCGAATCTATGTTGCAAGATACACCCAGCGATAGTCGTTCGAACCGCAGGGATGGACGTCTATCGGGAATTTTGAAAGGATCTTCGTCCAAACTACGCGAACGACGCGTTCCCTCTCCTCCCGAACATGAAGCACCACTTGTCACTAATGCCAACCGAGAACAGTTCGTCAACGATTACATATTTTGGCTGACTGATAAGTCGATTCGGCCTCAATATGAGGCGTTTGCTCGCGGGTTCTACACATGCCTAGACCGAACGGCCCTCTCTATTTTCACGCCTCAAGCGTTGAAGTCTGTGGTCGAAGGAATCCAAGAGATCGACATGGACGAGCTTGAGAAGCACACCCGATACGAGGGCTACAACCCCGAGGATCGAGTAATCAGAGATTTTTGGGACGTTGTCAAGACGTATCCCCAGGAGAAAAGAAGTCGACTGCTGGAGTTTGTCACGGCCAGTGACCGGGTGCCCGTTAAGGGGGTTTCTAGTCTCTTATTCATCATAATGAAGAACGGCGTCGGTGACGAGGTATGTGCTTCGATTGATCATATACTGGCCTTTTCCTCCGCTAACAATCATTTCCGCAGCGACTCCCGACAAGTGGTACGTGTTTTGGCAGACTTCTACTCCCTGAGTATTCTTCACGCCAGGCATTAGAAGAAAACTTCGACAGAGCTCTGGAATATTGCAAGGGGTTTGGCGCCATTTGATCAGGTTTGGGTGTTAATTGGTGGGCCCGAGCGCTTTGCGGTCCTTTTGCTTTACCTTGATTCCCCGTGCTCTTTATTTATTTGTTTATTTTCTAAAGCAGTTTCATTGACAAGCACGAACATCATGCAAATAGCTATAGAGGTGTGAGGGGTTATGGAGCATTGTGGTATATATTACAGAGCACTCGAGTAGATTGAATCAATTGATGTTCGCGTCTCAAACCGATTTGCCGCTCGTCCAGTTCGCCGATAAGATGAGTCAGCAGGTTTGCCCTTGGGTATGCCGTGGCTGGCCAATCAGAGCCGCTCTTCCCGCCCCGCGTTCCGTCGTGACCGCAGGGCGGAAGCTCATTTTTCGAGTTTTGACTCAAAAATGTGTCATCACCGGTTTGGAGAAGCCATTATTATGAACTCGCGACGAAACCACCTTTGTCATTCTTTTCCGGCATCTATACTCTTGTAAACCACGGTGGCTTTATTCTGAAGCTATCCCTAGCGTTGAAGTATTCGTATACAAAAGCGCTCGCTGTGATATTTTGCCGCCTCCTGACAAGACCCCGCACCCCGCTCCGCCGACTCAGGGGGGTCGGAGCCAGGATAGACGCTCTTTTGTTTTTTCCCTTTTTATTTTCGCGAAAGCAATCGTTTATACCAACTTTAACCTGAGTGCACAATTCCATTGCTTATCCTGGGGGCCACAATCCGCGATCATTTGTTCTCCGTCCTTGGGTGCTTGTGTGAAGAGTAATTCCGATCTCCGCACCGTTTAAACAAATCAACCTCCGAAAATGCCGCCAGTCTTGCACTGTGTTCGGCACGCCCAGGTATAGTTCTATCTAGTTACAATATTTTCCATAGACCGCTTTGATCTCCTTTCCCCTTTTTTTTTTTTTTTTTTTCCCCCCCTCTTCCCCTGGAGGCTGACATCATTTTGGGAAACAGGGCTTCCACAACCTTAACTATGCGAATCACATTCTCCCCGATCCCCTCCTTACGCCCCACGGGGAGACTCAATGCCGGAATCTCCTTGTGAATTTCCCTTTCCATGCTAACGTGGAGTTAATTGTCGCTTCACCATTGAGAAGGACAATATACACTGCGCTGTTAGCTTTTGAAGTACCGTTGAGGGAAAAAGGATTGAAAGTCATTGCCTTGCCCCATGTTCAGGAGACAAGCGACGTGCCATGTGACATAGGGAGTGACCTTGAGGCGCTGGCGAAGGAAGTGAGAGAAAAGGACCTCCCAGTTGACCTTTCGCTGGTGATGGAAGGCTGGAACGACAAGGTGAGTACTTGTCTTGAAAGGTTTTGAAAAAAAAAGGCTGACGTTAGTTGCTGTTTTGTTAGACTCAATCGAAATGGGCGCCGAACGCCAAAGCTATTTCGGCTCGCGCGCGTGAAGCGCGTCAATGGCTGAAGTCAAGACCTGAAAAGGAAATCGTCATGGTATCCCATGGTGGCTTTTTGCATTATTTTACTGAAGATTGGCAGGACAGTACGTTGTACACAGGTATGTTGCCATATTTTTATTCCCTCCCTAGCAATTGCCCTTGTCCAATCCTTGTGTGCAATTCCCGTTTGCGGATCGCTGGTTCTTACCGGCGAATCCCCTGGGAGATGCAATTGCGATTTCATGAATTGTCGTCTTTCGTGCTGTTTCCCTTTACCTGGTACCCCAGTTGCTAGTTTGAGAAGAAATAGAGAAAAAAAAGGAATCCTTGACCAACTTATCATTTTTCTTCTTTGTTCGTTTCACGTACAAAGTCACGAAGAAGAAACCTAGCCCGAATAATTATACTAATCTCCGTCCGTCGCCCGTGTGGCCAGGCACCGGCTGGGCAAACACTGAATTCCGAACCTACGAGTTTACCGCCGAGATCCACGACGACGATTTATACGGACACAAAATCGACGGGGACAATGCTTCCATCATGGAAACGATTGATTCCAGGAAACGACGAGGGAGGGCTGAAGCGCCTGCACCGCGAGACTTGCAGAAGCAGTTCTTTGTGCAGGCCATGAGGGGGTGGGAGAACCAGCTAATTCAGAACTCTGTGGACGAGAAGGAGAAAGAAGAGATTAAACAGAAGCAGCCCATCCATGTGGATGCGAGTTGTTAATATGCACATGGCGGGGTTTTGTGTCTTGATTCATTCCGCACTTGTGACGTTATTTTTACGGCCGCTAGAGAAAGGGACGTATAGACGCGATAGAGGGTCGACGAGATACTCGAATAGACCAGCAGCTTACTTTGGAAGGTTAAATAATGTTGAGTACACAGCTCATATTTCTTGTTCCAAGCTGATGTGCGTTCGCTGTCAAAAAAACGACGTTTCCGTTGTTGCGGGTTAACGACGAAACGAGTTCATGTCTGGCGAGCGGGTTACGTAATTTCGGCAAACCACTAGCGTCGGGACGCCTGCGCCTGGCAGAATTACATTCAGGAAAATCCGTCCATAAATACAGCTTTCTTCGCGACTGTGGGATAATTGTGGAAGAGCCGTATGACTGCTGATCTGAATATTCCTTCACGACAGTCCAAGGAAGATTCTCTTTGGAGTATCATTTGCTGCAATTCTGCGATGGTATGAGCGCAGTACTGTAGTTTGGTGCCCGTTGCCCCAAAGGCGGTGAGAGAGTTTATCATCGGATCTTATCTCATCTGGAGAACCGAGCGGTTAATCGCGGCGTTTGCGCGGTGCGAGGGACACCAAAGCTCTTCCCACCCATTTCCCCCGACAGACGCAGAAACCTACTCCGTAGACACATTCAGAATACACCCGGGGTGAGAGAAGAGGCTGTGATAGCTTTGATCTATAATTCTGGGTAGACAGGTTGAAAAAACAAAAAAGGAAAAAGAAAAGAGAAAATAAGGAACAAATGGCCTCCGCTCGTCATGCCTCTCGCCGGCTCCTGGGCTCCCTAGGTTCCTGCCGCGCATACTCATCCCAAGCTGCCCCCGGTGCACGCCTCAATCTCCCCGTCGACTATAAGTCGACTCCCCTTCTCCATCACGCATCGTCCACGCTGTCAAATAACCCAGAATTACCCCAGAACGCTTCCACAAAACGATTGAACCTGTACCAGTCCATCAACTCCGCCCTCAGGACCGCTCTCGCTGCTGACGAGAGGGTGCTTCTGTTCGGCGAGGATGTTGCCTTTGGTGGTGTCTTCCGGTGCTCCGTCGACCTGCAGACGGAGTTTGGTTCTGAGAGAGTGTTCAACACCCCGCTTACCGAGCAGGGTATCGTGGGGTTCGGTATCGGCGCCGCCGCGGAGGGATTCAAACCCGTAGCTGAGATCCAGTTCGCGGATTACGTATTTCCGGCTTTTGACCAGCTCGTCAATGAGGCTGCCAAGTTCCGATTCAGAGAAGGCGCCACTGGTGGTAACATCGGCGGCTTGGTTGTGAGAATGCCTTGCGGGGCTGTTGGACACGGTGCGCTGTAAGTGGCCCTTTCGCGGTGATATCTGGTAAATTAAAGCCTCCCGAAGAAATGTGGTGCTAAATCTCTATTTTAAGATATCACTCTCAGTCTCCGGAATCCTTGTTCACCCACGTTCCCGGCTTGCGGGTTGTCATCCCAAGATCCCCAACGCAGGCCAAGGGCCTCTTGTTGAACGCGATTCTCAACTGCAAGGATCCAGTGGTCTTCATGGAGCCGAAAATCCTTTACCGCGCTGCTGTCGAATACGTGCCAACCGAGCCATACTACCTGCCCCTTGACAAGGCGGACATTGTCAAACCAGGAAAGGATCTCACAGTCATTTCTTATGGTCAACCGATGTATCTCTGCTCCGATGCCATCGCCAAAGCCGAAAAGGACTTTGGCGCGAGCATTGAGCTGATTGATCTCCGGGCAATCTATCCCTGGGATCGAGAGACCGTCCTCGAAAGTGTCCGCAAGACTGGCCGGGCCATCGTCGTCCATGAGAGTATGATGAATGCCGGTGTTGGCGCCGAGGTCGCCGCTACGATTCAGGAGGGCGCGTTTTTGAGGCTGGAGGCTCCTGTGAAGCGAGTCACTGGCTGGGGCACCCACTGTGGTTTGATTTTTGAGAAGTTCAACTTGCCAGATGTTGCCAGTACGTTCATTTTCCTACTACCAAGCTCTTCCCCCTTATTCCCTTAATTCTTGGTGTCAAGGCTGACGTATTACTACAGGAATATATGATGCCATTAAGCAGACGCTTCACTATTAAAGGATATCCTTAGATTTGAGCATGCATTGTAAAAATGGGGTCTGGGGGGGTTTTGTTTTTTTTTTGGGCTTTGAAGCAGTGTGATAAGGAGATTTATATAAGTGATGCCCATTTCAAGCCTCCAGTGGTTTTTGTGCATGTTATCCGCCTACAGAACTGGGTTTTATGTTGACCCCGGCCAGCAATTTTTGTGTTCTTTAGTTTATAAGAAGATACCATGACCCCCTTTTGGGGGATCCCACTCTACATAGAGTTGAATGGAATAGAGACATCCTATTTTGCCCTACATAACTTCACTACCTATCTATCACAGGACTCGTATGTCATGTATGCGACGATGTACGGCGGCAGTACAGTACGTGATGTTGCCTAGCTTCCATGGCAACAAGTACTGTAACTATGCCGAGTACATACGTAACGCCGTGCTAGGACAAATAAACATTGAACTGAGCGGTTGCCATGCATGTACTGATATTTGCGGAGAAAATCTCCGTCAGCCGGTAGAAAGTATCCGCATACGATTAACGATGCCTACGGTTTGGAGAGCATTGCCGTGATGGTTACTATTAGGGTATATCACTGCATCGACTCGAGGCCAATTTCGATTTGCTTTGTATGTAATGTGCATCCTGTATTTTTTTTATGTCACGTTTCGGCTTAAGGGGTAGGCGAGTTCCGCCCATTAGGGGCGGAGCGGAAAGTTAATTTTAGGGGGTCATGAAATTTCCGCCAACCATACAAACAAAAACAACTACAACAAACACCGCCCTTCTCTTAGTCTGTAGTTGCTAGAAACATTGTAGAAAAAAAAGAAGATCAAGGCAAATAAATTCTGGCAAAGGCCTCTAATGCTGCTGCTATATAGACGTGTAGACATCTGCTCCGCCGCGCCGGAGCCAGGGCCTGTCGGAAGCTATATACTGTACGATTTCGCCGCGCCAGGAAGAGAAGTCAAAGGGAGATTCCCTTCTGGCTGGATATTTCCGTCAGCCTGGAGAAACCAACCGGGAATTCCCATCTTCTTTGCGTTTCCCCGTCACAGTACGCAGCAGCTTGTTTACATCGCGCTAGGTTGTAAGCGAGAGGTTCCCTAGCAACATCTCGCATATAAATTCTCTCTTTCTTTCTCTTCCTCTTCCTTCTTTCTTCTCTTTCTTCTCTTCAAGTTCTCAAGCACTCATTCACCTGCTCCCCAACTTCTATAAAGCCATCACTCTCACTCTCACTCTCAAGCTTAACAGCTTTTTTTTTACTTCTCTCCCCTTTTTTTTCTCCTTGAGAACTTCTCCCTCGGATCCAACGAGATGGGGCTTCTCGAGCTCCTTCAATCCCTTGCGTTGGTGATCCTCTTTTTCGGGGGTCACGCCATCGTGGACCTTCCACTTTGGCAGACACCCCTCGAAGAATGGACCTTCGTGGACTTCGAGGCGATTGGCCTCAGACTTTTCAACACGGTCATGTTCATGGCCGTGTCGGCATACTGTATCGGCGGCCTATGCTCCGGCATATATGGGCTGCTGATCCCTGTAATCCGCGCAGTTGCCGGCATGGCTCGCGCCGTGACAAGTCTTGCGAGTGAATACTCGAAGAACGGTGCAAATGGTTCTGCTCTCCTCGCCCTGAACATGGCCAAGGTAGCTCTGCTACGCCCCTGGGTCTCTCGCCTCGTCGAGCTGCTGGTCCTCGGCGATGAAATAGCAATCGTCGCAGTTCTTGTTGTAAGTTGATTCCAAAACCACCTTCACATATTCGCTTCCTCGAGAAACAAGCGTCAAAACAAAAAAGAAAAAAAAAAAAAAAAATGCTAATATATATCCGACCATCTTTAGCTGCCGGCTGTGCTCTACTACGCATCGGTCAACGTCGGTGGCCCGGTGTTCGCTTATCTCTCCGGCTTTATTGCCGGAATCGTCACTCCGGTCGATGTCGACTTCGATGGTTGCCCTTATGGCGTGACCCGGTCTGCATTCGACCATCATAAGCAGAACCCCAACCTTCGTTACTTTTGCGATGGGGAAATCGATGGCTTCGACGCGCTAGCCTGGTGGACACAAGCTCAGGAAGATGTTACCTCAGTAAGTATTCCCGTTCTGACTTTCTTCCTCCCCCCCCCCCTCTTTTTTTTTTTGTGAAGCTTGACTAACGATTTTGTTTCTTTCTCCAGACCTGGGAATTTTACCTGCCAATCTTTATTTACTCGGTCACGGCGATGTTCTGCGTGTTTCTAGTCGCGATATTTGCTTTTGGCCGCCAGACGCAGGTTGAAATCGGTACCCAGACGGACTCGACTGGCGATCTGAAGGGAGACAGCAACGGCTTGTCAGAAAAGGTCGCCCAGTTACTTGCACGAATTCGGGAACTCGAGGGCTGCAGGGCTATCTCCGAGTCCGTCGTTACACGCCTCAGGGGACAGATTCAGCTGTCGGACAGAACAGTCCAACAGCAGAAGATCGAGCTTGGGGCGGCGCGAAAGGAGCTCGGAGACCTGCGGGCAGTGAACTACAGCCAACGTTCACAGTGCCAGGCTCTGGCCGAGGAGCTGTCGAAGGCGTCTGATGACACCTCTCTTAACCAGTTGCAGCAGCAGCTGGGACAGGAGAAGGGACTGAGGATCCTTGTCACGTACGGCTACCTGGCGCTTCGACAACTTGCTGGGACCTTCGTGGAGTCGGGGCTTGGCGAGCGCCTTCTCTTTTTCACCCGTGAGATTGAGAACAAGTGCACAGCCATTGCCACCGGGGGGACCAGAACGGTTGAAGAGGTGCAGGGTAACCTCGGAAACGGGTTGCTGACCCTGCTGGAGGAAGCGTCGGCATACGCAGCCGAAATCCGGTTAAGCAGACGCGTGGGACAGAATCGTGGCAGCAGCCAGGATGTTGTGCTTTTGAAGCGAAAGCTGAGAAAGTGCAAGCGTCTCGCGCGGTTTGTGAAGGCCGATTCTGCGGCCCGACAGGACCAGGCCATTCAGTTGGCAAAAGCAGGGACGGTTGGAGAGACCAACTCGGTGGACGACGAACGCATGACGCAGGAGCTTGACGGTTACAAGCAAGGGCTCCTTTCCGTGCGTCGGGAACTCAACGACACCGCGCAGAAGCTCGGTAGTCTCGAGCAGCAGCTCGCCGAATCCCGGGCCCTGAACGAGTCAATGAACCAGGGCTTCACGACAACGATCGCCGAGAAGGTGACTGCACTTCAGAAGCTCCGCGAGGAGCTGACGGTTGCCCTTCAGCGAGAGGCGACTCTCAAGAAGGAGATAGTGCAGAGGACCGAGAACGAGACTGCGCTCCAGAAGCTCCGCGAGGAGCTGACAGGTGCCCTCCAGCGAGAGGCGACTCTCAAGGAGGAGGCAGCGCAGAGGGCCCAGCTGGCGGAAGGCCACGATCAGGCTGTTGCGAGTCTGTCCGCAGAGAAGCAACAGCTGACCGCCCGCATTGAGGAGTTTGACCTCAAACTGGGTGCGGCGAACTTCCGGTACAGCGAGCTAGGTCAACGGGGGTCACAGCTCCAGCAGAGACTGGAAGGGTTGACTCGACAGGTGTCCGAAAAGGACCAGCTGTTGGCCTGGCTCCGGGTGGAAAACGACGGTCTGTTCTCCAAGTGCAAGGGAGTCGAGGTGGAGATAAGGGAGCTCCGCAATGAGCAGCGGAAGGCGAAGAAGGAATCTGGCAACACGGTGTCGAACGCCGTGCGGATGCACAGAGTCCAGCTCGTTGAACAGCAAAACGAGATCGACGACCTTCAGCGCGGGCTCCAGAAGGCCGAGAAGGACCTCAGCTCTTCGATCGACGAGGTCGCCAAGCGAAAGATCGCAGAGCTCGAGGCGCAGGTCGAGAAGCTCACGGTCCAGCACCAGCAGCAATCCGGTACGGAGATTGAGCTGCGCAAGGAGGTGCAGGACCTCAAGGAGCGACTCGACCAGATCGGCCGGGAGAAAAGCACGAAGAAAGCAGTGGGCTCCGTGTTCGCCGACCCCCAGAAGGCACGGGCCCAGAAGCTGCAACGGGACGTCCAGAGCCTCCGGCAAGAGGCCGAGGTGATGGGCACGATGAGAGACCGGCTCGCGAACGAGATCAGGGATCTCAAAGCCAAGTACGAGCCACGGAACGACAACCGCGAACCCCAGACCCCGCTGACGGTCCAGGGGCTCCAGCGCATCCTCCAGAAGGAGAAGACCTCCCAGGGTCTATCCCGCCCATGAGGATCCAAAGTTCCGCCAATGTGGTTGTCGAGAAGGTGTTCCCAGGGGCTTCGTTTTTATTTACGAACCTCTTGTGTTGAGCAATTCGCGGCAACCGACAAAGTTAACTCGTCCACAGATCCAACTCTCTCTTTTTTTCTTTTTTTTTTTCGCGAGCGATCAGTTTTGTAGAGAATGTTGTTTGACAAGCGACAAGTTTTTAAGCTCCGACTGACTCAGCGCCTCTCACCCGACTTTTGGCTGTCACGGTGCGCTTTTCGTTCGTCGCCTCGACTCTCTCTACTCTCTACTCTCTGCTCTCTCTCTCTCTCTCTCTCTCTCTCTCCCCCGTTTCTTCGGCTTTTCTCCTCTCCAAAAAAAAAAGGCATCTTCCTCGATTCTGACTCGCCTAGACGGCCTGTCTCCGGCAACATCTCAGCTTTCTCGATTGCACCTTTCCGTACATTTCTTTATAGTTGCGCAATCCTGCTGAGATCCGAGCCCCCGAATCCTCCTGTCGACCTGCTGCTCGCCCGCCCCGTATCGCCCGCAAGCTCGTTTCTCGTGTCGACGTGCGACCTCCGATATATAAATTCCTGCAATTGAAAATTTAAAAGAAAAATAAATAAAAAAGAAAGAAGGACGCCCAGTATTTATTTTGAAGCATTTTGCAAGCCGCGGTTATGAAATTGTTCTGAACCAGTCTGGGATACAGCGGACTTTCGATGTCTTCCAATCACCATGCGGTTAGAAGGTACTTTGGTCTGGGGCTGATCAAGTTGCTTCTACCACTTCTCGCCAGGCTTCCGATCGTTACAGGATTACCGATATTCTCTCCAGCTCTAGCGACGCAGGAAGATGGCGAACCCGTGAATCAACCAAGTTTCTGGCTGTACTTGGGGGTTGCAACGGCTTTGGTCGTTGCCGGTGGCGCTTTCGCAGGCCTGACCATCGCCCTCATGGGCCAGGTGAGAGAGTCTCTTGATTCCAATTTCAGTGTCCGTCCCCAGTTAGCTTTAAAGCTCCAAGCTAACCAGTTTTCCTTGTTTTCTCTCCCTAGGATGAGATTTATTTACAGGTGATCAAGACCTCCGGCGAAGGCGCCGAGAAGAGGCATGCCGAGAAGGTCCTGAATCTGCTGAAGAAAGGAAAACACTGGGTCCTGGTTACGCTTCTGCTGAGCAATGTCATCACAAACGAGACACTTCCAATTGTCCTTGACCGCTCTCTTGGTGGCGGGTGGCCGGCAGTGTTAGGAAGTACTGCTCTCATCGGTATGACTCTCGACGAGTTGCTCTCTTTCCCTTTTTTCTTTTTTTTTTCCCACCCGATCTAACTCTCTGCAGTCGTGTTTGGAGAAGTTGTCCCACAGTCCATCTGTGTTCGCTATGGACTCCCTATCGGCGCTTGGATGGCACCTTGTGTCCTTATCCTCATGTACATCATGTCTCCGGTCGCATGGCCCATCGCGAAACTCCTCGACAAGCTTCTCGGCGTTGACCATCGGACCCTTTACAAGAAAGCCGGACTGAAAACCCTCGTTACCTTGCACAAAACACTTGGCAGTGCTGGAGAACAATTGAATTCCGACGAAGTGACCATCATCAGCGCCGTGTTGGACCTGAAAGAAAAGCCCGTCGGCAGTATCATGATCCCCATGGAAGACGTGTTTACAATGTCTACCGAAACCGTTTTGGATGAGAAGATGATGGACCTCATTCTTTCGCAAGGGTATTCGCGAATACCGATACACTCCCCAGACAACCCACAGAACTTTGTTGGCATGCTCCTGGTGAAGATGCTTATCACATACGACCCCGAAGATTGCAAGCAAGTCCGAGAGTTTGCCCTAGCTACACTTCCAGAAACCCGAGCAGAGACTAGCTGTTTAGACATTGTCAATTTTTTTCAAGAAGGAAAATCTCACATGGTGTTGGTGTCAGAGTTTCCAGGTGAAGATCATGGAGCGTTAGGTGTTGTGACTTTAGAAGATGTTATTGAAGAACTTATTGGAGAGTGAGTGTCGAGTCGAATCTACTACCCCCCTAAGGGATACGCGATTCTAATGTGAAGCAGGGAGATCATCGACGAGTCCGATGTTTTTATCGACGTCCACAAAGCCATCCGTCGAATGGCCCCGGCTCCCAAAGCTCGCGTCCCCAAAGGTCAGATCGTCACAGACCCACCAGACAATCTCGGTGCATTGCAAAACGGAGACAGCGAAGCAGCCTCTACCGGCCACAGGGGACCCGACGCCAGCTCGTCAGGGACTGGCGACTTACAGGCTTCTCGGCGAAAAGGTTCCATTGGCGACATTGGATCTCCCCCCCCACCGATATTCAAACTGAGAAAATCAAGCACACACGATGCTGTCGAAGGTCCAGATGCCGCTATTATACAACGTGGTGCCACTCCAGAAATCCGCGAACACCTTAAACACTTGGGCCCTTCGAACCTTGCCAGCAGACCTCGTCAAACACGCTATAACAATGTGAAAATCAAACCTGGCAGTTCCTCTCCCTTGGTGTCCGCCGTGGATTCACGGCTGCAATCGCCGGACCCTCAGCGCAGAATGTCAGAAGTTACAAGCTTCAGTGGAAACACCGGACCTGGTGGTGGAGTCAAATCGGCCGGGAAATCCGCCAGTGACGCTGTTCTGGCCCTGAGAAGATACGGAAGTACCACCGAGGTTCCCAGTCGACGTTCGACCACCAGAGACACCGTGCCTACTATGAACCGTGACATCATCAACGTCCGAAGTGACCTGTTGCAGCCGGCGCCGCATCGGCCAAGCTACCGACAAGGCTGCCTGTCTCCCAGCGAGGCTCCAACCCTCTCCGCAGGTGGTACTACTAATTCGAGTCCGCTAAGCCCGCCGTATCTCGCACATGGCCCCGCAAGAAGCGGAAGCATCACCGAACAGGTCGTTGACAGCAACGGTATTCGAAAGGTCATACTGCAAACGTCGGACACTCACCCAGCATCTGGCGAAGAAGGCAAAGGGCACAGTCGTCAACCTTCTGCAACGCAAACGAAGCCTGTACCTCCTCATGCTGCTGTCGAGCACAATAGCGATGACGAAGACGGTCAAAACGAAGCTGATATTTCTCAGAGTTCCACGAAACAAGACAAGACGAAGAAGAAGAGAAGAAGAAAGAAAAGGAAGCCAGCGAGCTCCAAATCAGGTGATGGGGCGGTGGATGAAAGACAACCCTTGCTGGGGTGATTGACATTTTGACAGGCGTATAAATTTTTTGTGGTGGTCTCTACGGTTTGAGATTTCCGGGATAGAAAGGGATTTGATGGGTGTTTTTTGTACTCTATATGGAGGGTATTGGATTTGGATTCGGGAGTATGATTTGACTATCGATGGGGTTTCTTTTTCTTTTTCTTTTTCTTTTTCTCTTTTTCTGTTCTGCAAGCGACAAGTGACAGGATTTTTTTTGGGCCTGTTCTGTTGATGTATTTCTAGCAGGCCTTTTTTTTCCTTCGATTTTGATTTCTATGTCTTACTACTCCATGCATGTATTTGCCAAAACGATGAATGAAATCTTGCTTGGCCCTTTTTTTCTTTCTTTTTTTTTTTTTTTTTTTTTTTTTTTTTGGACTGTTCGGTGCTGCTTTTTTCCACTTGCCAGGTCTACGGGTCTCTCACACAAAGGATCCTCTTAGTATTGTCGGGTCATGAAAATAAAATCCGGGCTTTGCTGTGAATTTTGCACAGCGCTCTCGAACCGAAACTATTGAATGCCTGATCATTCAATTATTGGCGGAGAAAAAGGCAAAAAAAAAAACAGCTTTCGGAGTTAGTTAGGTACCCCGGGGAAGATCGAAAATTCAAAACAACAACTTTATTAAGATGCGACAACATGTTTTTGGTTTAGATTCCCGGCGCTGGCGGCCGCTTACTTGCGCCTCCGGGTTGGCTACCAGGCTGTGTGATTCGGGGATGTTTGAGACAGCGTGCGTCTTGCAACATGCATGCGCGGTCATTGTCCAAAGGGTTGGGTGGACATTGTTATCATGTATTGCTTTTTTTTTTTTTTTTTTTGAAAAAAGGGCATTTCATTCATTGTGCGTGAGACACATTGCCGTGAATAGTCGCAATTTGGCCGCCGCTGGCCGGGGGAGATTGGGAGCAAGGGACGTTCTCTAGTAGTTAAAAGAAAATCATGCTGGACGACGCTGGATTTCAAGCTTGATCCTCGGCGCGTGCGAGGTTTGGAACTCTGGGGGCGGCACTGTATTCCAGTGGACGCTGCTCATGCTGTTGGCGGGACTCCAGCAGATTTCCTGTCGATCTTGCTCCGGCCCGGCAGTCTGATACACCTGCAAGCTGAGCCGGGGGAGCGACCGGGGGAGTGATTGGCCGCCGGGCGCTGGGATGGCTGCAGCCCCTTTTCTTGGCTCCTGCGACGTTGAGGATCGATCGGTGCGTGAAATGAACACTCGACGAGCTTGAGAGGACATCATCGCCCATTCGCTCTGCGTCCCACACCCATCATCATCATCATCATCATCGTCACCGTCACCATCACCATCACTCTCCCTTTTATCTGCGACATTTGACTGCTCTGGGGGAAATCTTTCACTCTCTCAAGATCCTCCGCGTTGCAGATGCCAATGCCCGGTCAATCATCGCGACAACCGACGCTCCTTTCTCCACACTAAACTCTTTTTCCCCGTCAAATTCGACATGCAAGAATGAGACCGGCCACATTGTCGCCGGCAAACGATCATTTCAAGTCATTCTGCTTGTCGACTATTCACCGCCGCTCTTCTGTTTCGCGTTACTTTCCGGCACACAGTACCATTCGGTGCTGAGGAATTCCCCTCGTTTCCCCTTGCAATTTGCCTATATCGCGTCAACCCCGCGGCTGGTCCGAACGGTTGTCGCTCGCGATCATTACTCTCTCTCACCTGTGATACGTGACTCTCCGTCAACACTCTCTCTCACCTGCCCACAAACCGCAGAGATACCTGAGAGGAAGGGAAAAGAAAAAAAAAAAAGTTAAATAAATAAACAGGCCAACATGGGCTGTTGTGGTGACCGTCACCGCGATGATGATCTGATTCACGTCAAGGCCGAGCAGAAATGGGACTACATCGTGAGTGGTGCCGTCTCTCAAGCCGTTCAAGAATGCTAATCACCCCCCCGTGTTGCAGACTCTGACAGACTTCCGATCGACCTCTTGCTTCACGTTCCTGTCGTACTGCATTCTCTACCTCACCATCATTAAATCGTTTGCCGTTTATGGAGTCGACACTTTTACTGCTGTGAACCTGTTGGCGTTTTCGCGCTGGGCGTCTCAGATTAAGCCAAAAATCCCCTTTGGAATTTCGAAATGGATCTTCTCCGGGTGCATCATTCTCTCCTTTGTCCTTCTGGCATACCGTTGGATCCGTGCCATACGCGTAATTAAATCTGGCGGAGTTGCTCAGAGCTACCTTGACCCGATCGCCGTTCGTGTTCAAAGTACTCGAATGGGAAGCGAAGGCCAGGGTTTCCGCCGGTTCCTCGTCTTTGCAGAATTGACAAAAAGTAAGAAAGGAGCTGACTACGTCGCCCTGTTCACCTACTTTAACTTTGAATGTGAGTGCAAGGAAGTTTCGCCCTTTTTTCACAGCCCACCGACGGGGGTTTTGAAATAGTTTTCTCGCTGACCATCGCCGTAGCCTGGCTGCGAGTTATCTTTGCCGAAGGCCCCCGCCAAGCTATCAACGGATTCACTCTTTATTCTGTAATGGAGCTGCGCCTGATCCCGATAGGAGAGAACGCTCCTTCTGACGGGACTCCGGCAGTGGTACAGTTCTTCAACAACGTCGAGGCGCTGGCCGAGAAGGACAAGCTCCAAGCGACCATCTTATTCGCCATGCTTTTCACATTCGTCATCTGGGTCTTGTCGATTTTGAGTTTAGCGTTATCGCTGATCATGTACTTGCTGTTTCTGTGGCATCATATCCCGAGTGAAGACGGTTCGCTCACGGCATATTGTCGACGGAAAATTAACACGCGACTGGAGCGCATTGTCAAAAGAAAGGTCGATAGAGCTCTTGCCAAGGGTCTTGCTCTTCAGGATCGGAAACGAACGGATCTAGAGACAGGCGTCGAGAGTATCAAACAACAGCCGACGTTACCCACCTTTGACTATGCGAGCAGCAACCTGTCAAGTGTGCCGCCTATGCCAGGCCTTTCTCGACAGACCACGGCGACAACACTGCCTCCATACTCCAGAGCGGCCCCGTCCGGCAGTGGTGGGCAATTTGGAATGGACCGTCAGCCAACGCTGCCGGATATGAAATGGGAAAATCAACCGTTGCCCACGAGCACTCCCGGACCGGGCACTCGAACGTCTGACGATACTGCATCGCTCGTAAACAACGCTGGAGGATTTGGGTATACCGCGCCGCCCAGTGAAGCCTTGTCATCGCCAACTGAACGATACGGAACTCCTTTCTCTGCTTCGATGAGTGACGTTTCTCTTCCCGGCGGCCGGGCTCGTCGAACTCCTGCCCCTTCCATTGCCCCTTCCGTGGATCCATATGGACGGGCTCCCCCGAGCCTGCCGGCTCCAAGGCTGCCAACTCCGAGAATGCAGTCCCCGGCTCCACGAGAAGGCTATAGTTTTGCAAGGCCGCCCCCGCCAGCTGCCACCGTCCCAGAGCGATCCGTGACCGCTCCCATACCAAGTGTCACTCCTTCGCCCAGTTCTTACCGCAATTTCACTCGGCCATGGCCAGCTCCCACCCAAGTTTCCGGGCAATCCTCCATGTCTCAATATTCAAACGCACTTCCCTCTCCGCGGCGAGTAGGAACTGCTCCACCTTCCCAAGGCTCGCTGCCGTACAATCCCGGCCCCCGGTTTTGATGCAGACTCGATCGACTCATACAAAATTCAAACGCGGGAAAGCCTGTCTTGCGTGTGGGCGAATAACTGTCTGCATGTGTTCAAATAATACCTGACTCCTTTCTTTTTTCCCCCTCCCCCCCCCCCCTCTTTTTTTTTCCCCCTTTTTTTTTTTTTTTTTTTTTCCGAATAAAGTTATGTACCGATTCTTTTTAACGGCTTTCCAAGCGGAACATGGAGAGGCAGGCTTCTTTATTTTCCCGCAGTATGACTCGTGCTCTCTCTGCTCTCTGCCATTCGATCTTATACCCCCTTTTTTTTGCTCCCCCTTTATGATTTCAGATTCAGCATCTCCTTTTTTTTTTTTTTTTCTTTCCCGTGTGTACTCATGCCTAGTTTATCGCGCATCTTGTCATCGATTGATATACGCACCCCCTTTTGTAACCTCTGCTGATGAGGAGTCATGGCTTCCGATGTAATTAAAAGAAAATCTGCTTAAATTCTCCCTGTCTCCAGCATGTTATCTATCTGCGGATTTGCTCAGGATAGTAATGAAGATGGTGTGTAAATGTAAATAGTTCTACGGAGTCGTTGAATCGCGTCCCATCAGAGGCGTAGATCGATTGCCGCCACAAATGCCAGTACCCAGGATCTGCATGGGAATTTGACAAAAATATATCCCGGTTTGATGACTGCGGGGCTCTTCATAGTTAGTTATCTGGCTCCTAACTAGCTACTGATGTTGTCTGATATAACTGCATACATAATTTTTTGGTGGGTGACGCGCGATATTGATCCTTTCGCAGTCTCGCGCCTTATACTCCGTAGTGCAGTTAACTACATAGTTAAATAGTTAGTTAGACTTTCCCTCACGCAAAACAACCCCAAGCGGCGAGCGACGACGACGACGACCAGCGCGTCCTATCATGTCCACTCTATGAATAATCCACCATTCATACCCGACATGAAAAGCTTCCACAAGTGAATCTGCCTGAATACGAGAGCAAATGGCACTCCCAAGCCAAAACTCCTCTCCTGTCAAGCTACCGGAAACCTTAAACGGAGTCCACGCCGAACAAGCTATACTTACACCAACGCACACAGATCGGTGTCGCCGTTGTCGATCCGTTAGCGACAAACACAGTACGCGACGTGGGAACGCCGCGTCTGGGATCTCTGGTGCGGACGGTCTTGGACGACGTGAAGATGGTGCATCACAGATTGGTCTGCCAGCGGGACAGGTGGTCGATGGGGTGCTACGGGGGAATCTGGCGGCATCTACAAGGCAAAATTCTAGGAATGAAGACAGTGATGATAGTGGTAGTGTCACTAGAGGGATGAAGGGTGATTTACATGGTCTGGGCGCCGGGCGAGCGGCAGATCTAAATATGAAGAACGACAGGGGTGCGGGCGGCACGGTGGAGCAGCAAGGACGCGCCTGGAATCGGGATCCAGGAAGGAAATTATCGAGCAGAGTGATGGATTCTGATCGAGGAGCGGAGAGACATATCAATGGCCTGGGTATAAAGGCTGGTGGAGAGGACGCGAAGGGCGTAGAGCTGGGTCGCGCGGACATGCAGAACGCGCCGGTCAGAGGCCAGGAGGAATTCCCTCCACCGAGCGATGACAAGCTGCAACCTCTCACTCGAGTCGGAGAAAATGCCTCTTCGGATGCTACTCCGAATCTGCGGGGGAAAAGCACCGAAAGTATCGCAGAGAATACGACTTCGAATGGCGCTGCGTCTCCCCCGGAAAGGCCAGCTGTCCAGATTGAAAATTCCGCCGCGGTTGGTCCGGAACCCCCGACGACGACGACGACAGCATCAACCAAGCATCCTCTTCGTGACAGTGTTGGCTCACCTAGTTCTCGTCCGCGAAGTCAGACTCTTAAATTATCCTCTGAGAAGATCCGCGAGCTTACCTCTGCACCCGACTCGTTATGCTTGCGTTCCGTTCCTGCGGACATCGATCACAGAGCATCGAGAGTTACCTCCGTCGGCGAACGAGGGCCAGTGCAAGTCCCTTGGGCAGAGAGCGAAGATGGTGATAGGTTCAATACGGACACAGATAATACAAACATGGGGCTAGCTCTAAATGGAAAAGGAGCAACACAGAATGGCAGTGTGCGAAGAGAGAGTGGCAGTCTTCGCCAGAGAAAACCAGGAACTTCGAAGCAACGTTATGCTGAGCAGGCCTCCGATCATTCTGTACAGAGCTCGCAGGAGCAGCATTCCTTCGGCCGACAGCGGTCGCAGACGGCAAGGATAGCATCGACACCGAGTTCCTCCTCGCACCGTTTGCATTCTCCTTTTGGAGTTGATCGCCAGTCGAATAATTGGATGTCGAAATCTAGGACGGATCGTCGTGCGCCCGGTCGTTTGAATTTAGAGGATCCCGTTAGGTGCGGACAGTCCGCTGCTGAGCCGCCGTCGCCGGTGCCAGCGGCAATACCGCTCCCGCCGTTCTCTATACCTACTTATCTCCAACTGGAGCTATCCTCTGAACGCCCATCCCCTTTGTATATCCACCAGTCTCGCACCAAGGACTTCCCATACGAGTCGTCTCGCGTGAAGCTCGAGCGTCTCCAGAACTTTCTCCTCCTCCCTCCATCTGTTGAACAAGTTCTGCTTTTCGGAACACTAGCGTGCCTTGATTCATGGCTTTATTCCTTTACAATACTGCCATTGCGATTCTGCAAGTCGATACTTATTCTTTCCCAGTCATGGGCTGTCAACCTGGGATTGGAAGCACAATATATATCCTCCTTTATCGTTCAGGGACTCGGAAGGGTCTGGAGAAGAAGGAAACGCAGTCGCTCCACCGATAAGAGGTGCAAGCCTGGATGCGATGGTGATTATGACTCCCTTCGTGTGAAGGAAGCAACATCAAGCGCTATCTCATCTCCAGTGGATGACAATCCTTTCCAAGGGCAGGATGTGAAGAGTCGCATGGACGATATCCAACGCCGCATGCATCGTCACCGCAGATCAAAATCCGTTCCGTCTGCTTTGCAGCCGAACGACAAGGCAGACATCCTCAAAGGCTTGCTCATGATATTCACTTGTACCATTCTCTTGTATTTTGACGCCAGTCGGATGTATCATTGGATTCGCGGTCAAGCCGCGATCAAGCTATATGTTATCTATAACGTCCTGGAGGTATGTCGCAGCTAACTTGAGATCGGGATGTACGTACTAATAGGGCATAGGTCGGGGACCGACTTTTCTCGGCTATTGGCCAGGACGTCCTTGAATGTTTGTTTTCCCGGGAAGCGCTGGAGCGTGGGCCGGACGGCCGCAGTAAGGTCCTCCGGCCCTTCTGGCTGTTTATTTTAGCTCTGTTCTACACTGTGATACACTCAACCGCGCTTTTCTACCAAGTAATGACGCTGAACGTCGCCGTCAACTCATATTCAAATGCCTTGATCACGTTACTTTTATCAAATCAGTTTGTGGAGATCAAGTCTACCGTCTTCAAGAAGTTTGAAAAGGAAAATCTTTTCCAGCTCACATGTGCTGATGTGGTAGAGCGATTCCAGCTATGGCTGATGCTGATTATAATCGCATCAAGGAACTTTGTCGAAACCGGGGCTGTCACGTTTGGAAACGCCCTGGCTCCATTTTCTAAACCCAGTCCGACCCCAAGCACTAACAGCACCCCTCCGGCCAGCCCTCCAATGTCGGCCACTTCTATCCTTCCGCAGTCATTTACTCTCTTTCCATCGTCGATCTTCTTATCTCTTAGCAGCGTGAATTCTTTCCTTCCTACGATAGGCCATGTGCTAGGTCCGTTCTTAGTCGTCCTCGGTTCAGAAATGCTGGTGGACTGGCTCAAACACGCATACATTAACAAGTTCAATAATGTTCGACCTTCTATATACGGTCGATTTCTCGATATCCTCACAAAGGACTACTATACAAACGCATTTGCCGACCAGAACCTAAACCGTCGTTTAGGGTTGCCTATTATCCCTCTTTCCTGTCTTTTTTTCCGTGTCTCGATCCAAACATACCAGATGTTTTTAACGGCATGGCTTCCTCAATCACCATCTCTCACGACACAATCAAATACTACATCCCTCTCCTCGATACATAGCCATTATTCCTCAACTTCGACGGCTAATTTACCTTCCTCGTTTCCCCTACCAACGTCCTTAAGCCAGATAGGCACCATCCTGGAAACCGTAATGTCACATACCATGCCATCACCTGCCACGTTTATACCCGTCTTCACAGTTATCCTCGTACTACTCCTCTACGTGACTCTTCTCCTTGTCAAATTAATCCTGGGAATGACTCTACTCAGCTTCTCCCGAGCAAGATATAAGCGGATGAAGCTCCATGAAAGAGAGATGCTACACCAGCAACAGAAGCAGACATCGTCTCAGGGCACTTCGATTCTCGCTAGCCAAACACAGCTTCTGAGTCCACCGCCCGATTCCGCACCGCCTTCATTCTCGATTTATGCAAACTCTAAGCCGGACCCGACCGGTGACACTGTGGAAGGCAGTCGTCGGGTTGGAGGCTGGGGAGCGGTCGAAGTTGGTGAGGGCAGGAGGAGGTGGATCTACGCTGACGATCCGGAGGCGTTGAGGAAGTTAAAGGAACGGGAAGAAAGAGATACCAATAAGGCAGCGAAGAGTGTTGGTGGGTTACATGGAATTGGAAATATACGGAGGTATGAGATGGTTGCCAAACGGATTTGGTGATTTGGCTGTTAATTATGTAGATGTGATATTTGTACGCTATGGGGTACCTTGTTTGTGATGTATATATAGCGATTATTTATATCCTTAGCACCCCTAAAGGCAGCTTACATCAATATTCTCGACTTGTTTTCATAGGATGCTTTGAAAAAAAAGGAAAGAAAAAGAAAAAAGAAAGGTACTTTGCAATTTGATATCTTCAATCTCCGATGTCGATGCTAATTCCCCGCCCATTTCTAGGATGGCGCCACATATCAAAAGCATGGAGTACAGAGTATGGAAATGCCCGCAACCCGAAACTCCCGAGAAAAAGTTTCCTCAATATTTTACTCTTCATGGGCCGGCAAACTGCCACCTAACTCCCTAAACACTCTCCTGAAGATCTCCCTGCTTCGATACAAGTTTTCCACCCGCAACCTCTCATTACTCAAGTGTGCATTGTCACTCGCCTGTCCACAAGGTAAATGGGCAGCAGGCGCATTAAATTCTTTCTCCAGGAAACGGATGGTAGGAATAGAGCCTCCTTCGCGAATGTAGATAGGCTTGATGAGCTGTGGTGCTGTTTTCCGATGGTTTTCAGACGTCTCGTTCTCCTGTGAATGCGAGGGCTGATTTGGATCGGTAGGATCAGTGGTAAGGGTGGATGAAGTGGGTACTGGGGATAAGTGTGATGATTTCGCTTTCCGGCCGGATTTATGGTTTGGAACGGAGGACGAAGATGCGAGTATTCGCTCAATTTTTGACGTAGAAGCCAGGCTATCGGAAGAATTCGTGCGAGGGAGCCCCGAATTGGATAAGTGTCGGGTCGGAATTGGTGGTGGGTAGTTGTTGTATTTTCTGCTCTCCGTGCTCGCTGACCATACTGCTGTGACGGCACGGGAGAGGGTTTCGAAGAGTTCGTTGCCCGGATCACCCAGCCAGGGGTCTGCTTTCCCGGTGATCTCAACGGTGAGAATGTTTTGTGAGTCGAGATCGGCAAATTGGGTTTGGGCGTAGTCGATTAAGTCTTCTGCCACTTTATCTGCGTTTTGGTTTGGCACGAGTCGAATGGACAACGTGGCTTTGGCTTTGCGTGATATCGTAGTTGTGGAGCTCTTGCAGCCTGGGATTTCCACTGAGTGGATGGTAAGTGATGGTTCGCGCCAGCGATGCATCAGCGAGGCTGTGAATGATTCGACATCTTCAATCTCTGGATGATGTGGCAGAAGCGCTTCCGCGATTGCATCGTACCGTTGTTTCTCAATGGGGGTAAGGGGCAAGACCGGATCCTGGAATCCTGGGAGATTTATTTTGCCCTTGGGCCCGACTATCGTGCTTAGGAGCATAGTCAAATCCTTGAGTGGCTCATCGAGTAGTGAACTTCCATCAATGCCGCTATGAAGATCAGGGTGATGACTGGCAACGATTAGGTTTGCGTGGATAACACCTCTCAATCCATACGTTAGACATGGTATATGGTCGTCAAGCCAGTAGCTGTTTGCCAGGAGTATCCAATCAACCGGTCCAATCAAGTCTTTGTTCTCCTGGATCGTCTCTGCAAAGCCTTGAGACCCGGATTCTTCCTCGCCCTCGATAAGGAAGACCACGTTGCACGTCAGCTCTTTCCTTTGTGTTAGCTCTGCTGCCGCATATAGTGCAGCCAATATTGGACCTTTATTATCCGAGACGCCACGTCCATACAGAAACCCGTTGAGGGATGTTAGCTGAAATGGGTCAGTATTCCACTTGGCCTGGTTGGCTTCTGCGCCGACAACATCATAATGGCCGTAGAACAAGACTGTGCGATCTAAGGCATTCTGAGAGGTGGCAGGGAACTTTGCAAACACTATCGGATTGGTATTCGGACCAGTGGTGAGAATGTTTGTTTGAGCGCCCAAGTAGATGCAGTGTCGACGTAGAAACGCGGCGCCTTGATTGCATTCTCCGGAGAACTTGGGCCGCGCTGAAATTGTCTTGTATCCAACAAACTTGGCCAAAGCATTAACCAATTCGTCTAGAAACGATTAGTACAGACTGCCGGTATAGCAAAAGATGGTGAAGGCATACCGTTGCTGGTAGCTGGAATTTCATGTGAATCTACAGGGTGCTCTGTTAAGTCCCAGATTGCAACGGAATTGTCGTTTCCGCCAGTCGCATAGATCCATCTATCCTTAACGACACCTGCAGCGGACGCAAGCATTGTTCCATCATGTGCTGCCCAAGACCCAATTTCTTCGAAGCGGGAGTTGAATTTCTAACAACAATAATGCAGTCAGAGGCAAACTTTTGAAAAGCGAGCCAAGGAATAGAGGGCTACCTTAACGATACCATCGCCATCGCCGCTTACAATGATCCCTTTAATAATATCGATGGCCCAGAGATCTCCAGTGTGGCTGGTAATTGTTTTGATGATCTGGCGAGAATCCAAATTCCATATGTTGATGGCCCCTCCCGTGAGTCCGCAGTATAAGAACGGGCCATCTACTGCAATCGACAGGACGGATTCGCTGCCATTTTGCAGTGAAGCGATTTCAGTGGGCGCGACGTTTGTTCCTTGATTGAGCTCCCACAACTTAACGGATCCATCACCAGACCCGGTAAAAAGGACCTCTCCGCCAGACTGGCATTCGAGAATCCCACGAACGAGGAGCATGCAATACACGTAGCCATTGTGAGCAAAGAGCTTGTGTTGGTCTCTTTTAAATGTAAGGGTCTGACCATCGTATAGAGCATTCAGAGACTGATTGTCTGTGCGTGCCGGAGGAGCTATTCCGCCAGGTCCTCGCGAGTCAAAAAATTTGTGTGTCCTGCATGAAGGATGCGTTGCAATTTGTGGCGGCGGATGGGCATCCCGGAGCAGATTGCACCACTGTAGAAAAAGGTTCAATACCACGGAACTCCCGGCGAAGACAGAGGACTTACTTGAAGACTGGTATTTTGGCCTCCACAGTAGATAGTTTTTAGCTCTGATGAATATGCAACGGTGAATATGTCCCCCACGTCGTGGTGGGTGTATATTGAATACAAGCGCTCAAAAGTGCTCGTCGACCAGACCTTCGTGTATGCAGGTACGTCAATACAGCCTGATTCTGCGACGGAGTGTTCGAGTTGAACCTACGTTGACCACAGAGTCTCCGCCGCTCGAGAAGAGAAGATGTCGGTCATCAGAGAGATATAGACCCAGGACACTCTCTTCATGAGCCTTGACTGATAAAACAAGTTCATATGTGTCCAAAGACCATGCCTTGGGTATTCTTAATTAGCGCTCCGGTTCCATCCCAGCAAGGAATGCATCAAAAGGGTGTCTCGACATACCACAATGTCTCCACCTTGCAGCCCAGCAAAGACGCATTCTTCATCAACGACCAGTGCTAAGACGGACCGTACAGCATGGACGCGGTGGCCAATGGCACACTCATTTTTTAAGTTGGCTGTGTTAGATGAAATTGATTGTCGAGGTTGAGTTGTAGCGATTCCATCATCACCGTCCGTCGACACTCCGACCGCTAAGTCATCCATGTTAGCAACATGCAGTACGCTTCGGAGTGATGAACCGGATGCAATTCGCAGCGGAGATTTTTAGCCAACGCGGAGGAGTCACTTTAGCGTTTTTCGCCCTCTTTCTTTCCGCCCCGCCAACATGGGAGCGCGAGTGGAGCCGCCAAAAGAGGGTTTTGCTCGAAGCCGGGAACGGATTCAAGCTCGATCCACGGATCATACTGGCTTCCCCGGAGCTAACCCCGTGCTGTACAATACATACGATTGTTTTTCCTCCCCCCGACGAAGTGGACAACGAGTAGCAACGTTTCAGGCTTTCAACGGGGCAAAGAAAATGGTTGGACTTGACTCACCCGGCTCGTGGCATTGGCTCGAGTCCATCGCATGCGGCGGCCTTGAAACAACCCAAAACGAATCGAATTAGCAAGTTGGAGGAAGCAATTGCACCGTTTTCTGTCTCTTCACTCGGATGTGATCTATTGTCACGATATTGATGATGCCTTTTTGCACCCTGACTGTCCAGTTGATTTTACTTGTGAATAAAGAATGAGTCCGCCGGCTTTGACTTACCAGCTGCCCAACTTCCCTAAGCACAGCCTTATCAAAGGCGCTCGAAGTTCCTGACACTCCATTTGCAATGGTAAACGCCCTTTCATTAAATTACTTGTAGACAGTAGCTCAAGATGATGTGATGGGATCTGAAAATGACAACATCCAACAGCCGTCACGTGTATGTATTTAGCAAGTCATTGCACAGACCTCCCCGTGCAGATGGAGGAGATGGATCCTTATGAATGATTGGCACGTGTGAGGGAGAAGAAATACAAAAGCACCAAGTTCCAATTAAGTTGTGTGTTGAGATGCTATCTTCTGCACTCATTGGATGGGCGGCTCCGTGCAGAGTGTATGGAGAATCCCAGGGCGCTTTGAGCATCATGTTACTCTCTAATCTTTCCAAAGTCTTAATTTCTGCATTCAGTTCATTTAAACAAGAGGCTGGGAGATCAACGAGTCGAAAGAGCGGTCAAATCTTACCGCGTGCCTCGCCGGCTCTGCATGATCGTTAAGCGGCCCACCGCTGATGGGACAACGCGTTTGAGACAAAAGCTGCAAGCATTTTCGCCAGCAGGTCGACTGACAAGTGCTGGGAGACAATAATCGATGGGGGGGTCGTTTTGGGCCCAGACAAGAGGCATTCCTGAAAGAGGCCTAAGCGGTCTCGTCTCTCAAACAACATTATGCTGACGGTGACACCATAAAATGAGGCGAGATGCCAAGACTCCATCACCAAGAGTTGCTTAGAAGTGGGCTCAATCGACATGGATAAAGTGGACGCAGTTAATACGGTGATATTCTGAGGCAAGAGATGAAAGCAAGCTAGGAGATGCACTCCATATGTATTTCTATCTGTACAGAGGAGGATAGAACTGCCCCTTTGTCTGTCTTGTATTAGGACCGAGTCATAACTACTCTGTCTGATGGTGAGAATGCGGGTCGCGAGCGAGCTGATTCGAGGCTTCGTGTCTTTCTTTTCCGATCCCTGATAACTTTTTTTTTCGGCCTTTATCTGTGGCTGTGCAGTAATGACGATGTGGCTGGTTTTGCATCATGCGCCACTATATGCTGATTGGCCGAAGTCCCGATTCCCAGCCATTTTGTTTTTCGTTCTTTTTTGGTCGCTTTGCTTTGTCGCGCGGCGATAGGGCAGCAATATCCCTGCAGAGATACCAGAGTCTTCCCCTGGTCGGGGCGCTTTTCCTGACGGCGGGGGGAGCATCGCAGCCGCGATTTGCTGGCATGTGGTGATTGTTGGGTGCAGGCCGGTCGGTGCCTGAACACGGCTCGGCCAAGCAAGCATTTCCCCCTCGATGATGAGGCGGGCTATTTTAGTGGCATGCAGGACACCCTGAGAGGCCACGGCTTTGGGCTGCTGGAGTTTCACCCATCCACTGCTTTCTTCACCGATTGGTACATCCATTTTCCCTTTCGACAAAGTGTCTCTCCCGGCCCGACCCATGTTGAGCTGGTCAGCATGCACGTCCTTTTCTCGTTATTAATACGGAGTGCTGCGGAGACGTCACTTTGAAAACTCGTCACCACTATATGACCGCATCCCGCCGGTCATAGATCTTCTCTTTCCTTTCCCTTCACCACAAATCCCAGATTATGGCCTGCTGAATTATTATTGTCTATAATCTGTCTCGCTGTACATTTTTTTTCCCGAAGGCATCGGCGATAGTGGTCAAAGGTTACAAGCTCTGTTGAACAGAGACGTATTTACCAAGAAGCATATACCCAGAGCCTTACTTTCAAGATGCTTCCCTTAGGAGAGACAGTCGCTGTCATTGACAAGTCCGGGAAGGTGGTTAGCTCGGTAAGGTTGCCAGTCGACTTGTCTATCGCGCTCTTTCGTAACCCATGTTCTTCCTCTAGAGCAAGCACCTTTTCGGTGTCTTCAAAGAAGCCAGATCCGCCTATCGATCTCGAAAAGCAGAGATCCACGCTGAGCAGCGTGCCCGACAGGCTGAGCGGGAGGCTCGACGAGCCATAGCTAATTTCGAGTTCCAAGACGGCCGGTCAACAACTTCGTCGAGGCGCCATAGATCAAAATCCGTGGTTCGACACGGCGATTGCTCCAGCCGCTACCATGGAGAGCCCCGTAGGCCTTACGAGGATCTACATTCAGTTGCATCCTCGCGTCGATACGGACAAACAGAGCTAGCGCGCCGTCACACATCGGGAGAAATTGGTGTTGCCCAGCCACCACCACACCTGCAGCCGACAAATCGCTCACATTCCGAACCGCACATCGATATGGATCTTGCATATGGCGAATTCCACCCGTCATCCCTCGAGCGCCTTCAGGCTCAAGAGCCGGATCCCGAGCTAGATGGTCTAGTGGGCAAAGTAAAAAGCCTACTGATCGAGGCAGACTGTGCTCACCATTCGGCGTCGGCTACAATCGCACACTTACAAAAAAACCCGGACGCTATGGCCGCCGTTGCTCTTACGCTCGCAGAAATCAGCAATCTCGTAAAAAAGATGGCCCCAACGGCGCTAGTTGCCCTCCGGAACAGTGCTCCAGCCGTCTTTGCACTTTTATCTAGCCCGCAGTTCATGATCGCCGCTGGTGTCGGGATCGGAGTAACCGTGGTGATGTTTGGCGGCTACAAGATCATCAAACAGATCACAGCCGCCAAGGAGGCCAGTGCTCCCGAAGAGCCGCAAGCCCACATGGATGAGATGATGGAAATCGATGCTTCCCTCAGCCGTATTGAAATGTGGAGACGTGGAGTGGCCGAGTCCGAGGCCGAAAGCTGCGGCACTTCGGTCGATGGGGAGTTCATTACGCCCACTGCAGCTGCTATGTCGGGTATATATCTCCCACAGCGAGTTAATGACTTGCGAGAGCCCGACGATGCATCGAGCTTTTCTCGACACTCGAAGACGTCTAGGAGCTCTAGACGATCAAAGTCTTCGAAAAGCGGGGAGAAGGATAAAAAGAAAAAAGAGAAGAAAAAGGCCTCGACTCAACTGAAGCTCCTGTTTAAGAAGTTATGATTGTTTTGTCTTCACCGTCACGATATAATAACTATACCCCACGTTGTTCTACGCTGCAGGCGTTTGGCGGCACTCTTTTTGAATATTTTCTATTTTCTACTTTTTCTTTTTTTCTTTTCTTTTTTTTTTTTTTTTGAATCTTCTTCATTTACGCTCCTTGAGATTTCTGCATATATGTTTCCAGCTTGACGTTGTGATGACCTTTTTTAATATGTTCCCTAGAGCAGCTCTTTTGATATACAGCATGCTGTTACCCACGGGCTCTGTCCAGATTCATGTACAGTCCAATCTTTAATTTTTTTTTTTTTTTTTATTTTTTTTTTTTTTATTTTATTTTTTTTTCTCTATGTGTTTTTGCTTACGAGGTTATTTTCTCAATGAATGCCCACCGTGATATGATATGATATGATTTTCTTTCCTTCCTTGCCGGCTCCCCGCCTCGCGCCCGTTTCCGCCGCGTCTTTCCGCCACTTCCCCGCACGCACCGCCCCTATCTTATCAGCACGTGACGAAGGACGTCTCTGCAACTTTTGGGAGAAAGTCGAAGTGAGCAACAGAAGAAAGGTTCAAAGGAGAAGACGGTGCACTCTCGAGACAGTTGTATGGTATCTAACTCTACGCGTCTGCTTTTACCCTCTAGCCAGTCCCAATGACTATTCCCAGCTCCCCCACCGCTTCGCGTAAGGCCCGGCCCTACGGAGCCAAACCCCGCTTTAAACCTGCGATTATCCTCCATGGAGGTGCAGGAAACATCGAGCGTTCGCGCATCCCCCCAGAGCTATACGAACAATACCGGGCGTCGATGCTGGCGTACCTGCGGTCTTCGTATTCGCTGTTGAAAGGCAAAAACGATGGGAGCAAGAAGCCGTGCGGACAGGGTGTCGATTGCGGTGGAGATGAGGAAGAGTATGCGGGGTGCTCTGCTCTTGATGCAGCGGTCCATGCGGTCAGTTTGATGGAGGATGACCCGTTGTTTAATTGTGGACGTGGTAGTGTGTTTACGACCGCGGGCAGCATTGAAATGGAGGCGTCTCTTATGGTTTGCTCAGTGGTGCCCCCGTCGTCGTCCGGGGACGGGAAGGATACCGAAGACGAGATCGACATAGCCAGGATAAAGCGCGGTGCAGGAGTTATGATGGTTAGAAACGTGCGAAATCCAATCCGTCTGGCGAAGGAGGTTTTACTTCGGAATGGCTATGATGAGGATGCTGGAGGCGGAGGTAGCATGCACTGTCAGCTCTGCGGACCATACGTGGAAAAATTGGCGAGCGATTGGGGCCTGGAATTCAAACCCGATGAGTGGTTCTGGACGAAGAGGAGGTGGGATGAACATCGAAGAGGGCTACAGGGCCCAAAGGTGGAGGCGACGATTGACCACGATGCCGAAATGGATCTGACGTCCCATGACGGCGATAGATATCTTAGCCAGGGCACCGTGGGCGCCGTGTGTATGGATCAATGGGGCAACATTGCTGTTGCTACAAGTACGGGTGGGCTTACGAATAAATTCCCCGGGCGGATCGGGGATACCCCCACGCTAGGGGCAGGATTCTGGGCCGAGGATTGGGATGAATCTGGCCAAGAGATGCCGAACGACGGTGATCGTCCCGGGCGCCGTCGTCGTCGTCGTCGAGCGGCAGCCGTATCTGGTACAGGAAATGGAGATTCATTCCTCCGCGTCGCAGCCGCCCGGACAACCACAGCGATGGCGCGTTTCTCGTCAGGCCATGTGTCTCTCGACGAAGCTTTGACAGCTGTCTGTGGTCCGGGCGGAGAATTGCAACGTTCGGCAGGGGATAGATGGGGCAAAACGGGTGAAGCAACTGCAGGGATGATTGGGATCGAGGTTGAGTGGGACGGTGACGGAAACAAATCATTACTAAAAGGGAAAACCTCGTTTGATTTTAACGCCGGTGGGATGTTCAGGGCATGGATCGAGGAAGGCCCAGATGGTGAAGATCGAGAGAGAATGATGGTGTTTAGGGAGGAATACTACCAATAGACCACAAGGGGTAAATACGATAAATATCGCATAGATTCATTGTATACAATAATTAATGGATAAATTTTCACCAGTTTACATACGAAGCACCTCTGCCTGGTTCGAGGATCAAGGGTCAATCGTATGCACAAATTAGTTATCCAAGCATCCCACAAGGTTGAAAACAGTAAAAAACCACCAAGTCAACAACTCGACATCACAATGGAACTGTGAAACACCTTGGAAGCTTGCCAACCGTGGAGTAACTAACTTAGCTAGTTAGTTAACCAGTTAAGCAACAGAACTATGGATGGTTGAACCAAGTTAACATGGCAAGCCATAGTCTTGCCTCGGATAGCCATGTCTCATCGAAAAACGGTGGCTTGGACATCCTCGCCGTCCTGCGACGCCCCGGCGTGAAGTCGACGACTGTCTTCCCCCGACAGCCCTTTCTAACCCGCGACTTCTTTCTTACATATATCTATCATACTTAACTTCACGATGAGTGCCCCCGTTGCAATTCTCGGAGCAGGGACGCAGGGTCGGCGTCTTGCGTACATGGTAATCCTTGCCCCTCATGGTTCAACAGGTCTCGGTTGAACGGATGAGTTAACACTCTTCTTCACAGTGGTCTTCTCGTGGCCGTCCTGTCCATTTGGTTGATGAGAATCTATCCCAGCTGCAGGATGCTCAAAAGGCCGTCGAGCAATTCAGAAAAACCGACTCCAAAAGCGAGTACTTATCCGGGGAGCTTAAAACCTTTACCTCAGAAGACCTTCGAGCCGCCCTGCAGGAAGCATGGCTCGTTGTCGAGGCAGGTTCTCCCCTATTTGACATTCCGGATCGTATTTTATTCGGCTGACTTGACAACCCCATCTTCCATCAGTGTGTGCCTGAGCTGCTGCCCTTGAAACGAGCTGTCATTGAAAATATAGATGCCTTGACAGGGCCCATGACGATCATTGCATCCAACTCGAGTAGCTTTACGATCACTGAGATCGTAGCGGGACTCGAGCTTCGGTACCCCGATCGGTTTGTGAGCTTGCACTCATGTGAGGACGATTTACTCCCCTGAAAAGCACTGTAAACCACAAACACACTGACAGACGATACATAAACTCAGATTGGCCTCCAGAAACTCCAGGTCTGTGAACGAGGAGCCATGGGCTCTCTTCCCATTCTATTCTTCTCCTCGAAAATGTCCCGTGAGTAACCGCGGTAACTTCGACACTGACGCCGAAGCTAGCAATTGAAATAATGGCCTCTCCAAAGACAAAACCGCTTATCATCCAGCGGCTGATAAGCGAGTGCAAAGACCACGGTTTCTCGCCGTATCATGTCAAGAAGAACTCTACTGGTTATATCTACAACAGGTAATTTCATACTCCACCAACTTGCTTAATAGCTGAATTCATGCTCCCTGTAACAGGATATGGGCGGCAATCAAGCGCGAAGCCCTTTCAGTAGCGGCAGAAGGGGTAGCTACTCCTGAGGAAATCGACGCGATATATAAAGATGTTCTCAAAACGCCCAAGGGCCCTTTTGAGCAGATGGACGTAGTGGGTTTGGATGTTGTATTGGATATTGAGGAACATTATGCCCAAGAGCGGACCGGCCTACCCGAAACACCGAGAGAACTGCTTCGAAAGATGGTTGCCGAAGGAAAATTAGGTGTGAAAAGCCGCCAGGGCTTTTATACGTATGACAGTGAAGGGCGGATTGAGAAATGAGAAGGCTATTACCAGCAACTGTGTTTCGGTGACTAAAGGGAAGGATGCGTTTTGCATCTATATGTTACGGAATTGGAGAAACAATGGTCTTACACAAAGCGAGACGATAGCTTCGGCGCTCTCTTGAAAGCTGCAATGTCTTCTCGAGCCCCATCAAAGGCCAGCACCTTTAGTGGAGTCCTTCACAGATTCTTATACAAATCCATATCAATATATTTCAATTCATTCCATAGAAGATAAGCGAACGACATGCAGGCAAATCAACTTTCAGGCGCCTACCCCATCCTGCCAAATCGCTCCAATGACTCCCAGTACCACTGGGAAATGCTGGCTTCTCGCCCCTTTTCCGTCTTCGACTGCATAGATGGTAGAGGTGAGAGCATACGCTGGCCGTTGCCATAGGGAAAAAGGTGCCAGGTGTGGAAACGGGATTGTGCCCCAGGTTGACCCAACCGCGAATACTGGCGGCAGCCGCCAGTCAAGTACTGGATGGCGTCAAGCCTACGGAACGATAGGAACAGTAGCGTGAATAGCTACATATTTAAGCCATCCTAAAAATCACAGAATCTCTCATATAGTGAATAATATACATGCAAATGCAAAGGATTGTTTTAGCATCTTATAAGCAACCGAAAAACATATCCGAGACCATGGCAATGATGCAAAACCCGAGAGCAATCGGACATTGGTAGAACGCCAAAACATAAGTCATGATATTATATTCCAACAAACCAGACAAGCATAGCTCCTCAAGAGATGTAATCTGAGCACTATTCACAGAACCTTGACTTTCATCCATTCGCTCGTACCAACCCCCAAGTTCAACCCGTTTCGCTCCCACCAGCGTCGAACTCGATCTTCAGCACCCGACACGGCGTCTTCCAACGCTTCTTCAATGTCGCAGGTCTTGAATTCAACCCGTAATCCACTTCGTCGCCACCACTCGAGCACATCAACATGACCATTCTTCGTCGCACCGACAAGAACCTGGTTGTCAAAAATGATTTTCGAACCCTTGCGCCTGTACCACAGCTCTAACACGGGAACATGGCCATGTGTGCTCGCAATACGAGCGACAGATTCGCCATGTGAATATGGGATGCCAGATCTATCCCACCACGCAAGCGACGCCGTCTTGCCAGACTGCGCCGCCAAAAGTACCGATTTTCCTATCTTCAAAGGGACTGGATCGGAATAAGCTGAAGATTCAGAGATCCTTTTCCACCAATCGAGGACAGTGATTTGACCCTCCGCAGACGCAGATTCGAGCGCTCGTTCGGTGTACCGAAGGGGCAACCCGGACTTTCGCCACCACTCCAGGACGTGGATAAAGCCGGCTCGCGATGCTCCGTCGAGAGCATCCGGAAGGTAATCGTTCGTCGGCAGATCTGGACAATTTCGCCACCACTCTAGAAGAGTTGTATTGCCATACACAGCAGACGCTCGGAGCGGAAGGCTAGATAGCCGCGGTGTCGACCAGTATAAATCAATTCGGGACTGGCAAATGTAGTCGAGGACGTCCGTTCGACAAAACTTAAAAATTAAGTGTGCCGCGAGGTTGGATAGGGGCTTCCATGGAGGTGCAGAGGAGAGGAGTTTTGTGATATCGCATAAAGGACTTCGAAGAATCGTGTATTCAAGGGAAAAATTCGTTGATGGGCAATCAGCTTTTGGAGCAAAAGCCTTCCAGTGCTCTGGCATTGGGATTCTGGCGTATACCCCAACTGCTGTCGATGTTTCCCAGTCACCCAAAGCCTCAAAAATCATGGTCAAAAGTTCTGGCGGAAGGACAGGAGCATTTGGGTCTCTGGAGGGGGTACTGCTTCTCCTAACTGTACTCTCTGATCGATTTTCCAAGACTGTTGCAGTGTCCATATCATTTTTAACGAGATGCTTGTCCATTCTCCCCCCTATTACCGCTTCATCGAGGGAATCGATTTTGTCCTCGGCGCCGTTTACGTTAAATGGCCATCCAAGCCCTTTCCGGACCTCTTCATAGAACATCTCTCGTCCTTCCCACGGAACTTCGACGAGAGAATCAGGGGGTTCAAATCTAGACAGGACTGGGGGAAGTATTTTCACCCAGGGCCAGAAAGTGCGAATCTGATCTAGTTGTCTTCCGGTGATGGGGGATTTCCACTCAAGCAGCATCATTTTCGGCACGAGCAAGATTGTCTTAGATATATCCCAACCCCGGAGAATCGTCAGTGTAAGACTTGTAGTTAACCCAGAGACCATAGACCCAAGAGTTCCTGCGTCAACTGGCGCAACGATGAGAACATCTGCCCAGTCTGCGAGGCTGGCTGCTGTAATATTCATCCATTCCCTCCTGCTGCGGTATGTTTCTGACTGTGGAATGTCTGGATAGTATAGAAGGTTGTCCACGCCGTCAGCCCCATCGTTGAAATCTTTATCTGCTATTAAACGAAGCTCGATATCCGGGTCGCGAAGAAGGGAGCGCATCACCGTGTCGGAGAAAGGAGTGTTCGTGGATAATAGGATGCGATTGTGATGCCTGCTCGGGGAGTTCAATAGCCTCATTTGTCCCACATTCATTGTACCGCTAGCATGGGCGACAGGCTGTTTCATTTCGGGTAAACCCGAGTTATCACCAGCACCGATGTTACTCATATCTCCAGTCTCCGAACCTGAACTCATCGCCGCGGGCACGCCGGTCGGTTGCGTTTGAGGATCATGGGCTCCGAAATAATGCGAGTCGGATCGGAGTTTAGAGTCAACAGCCATTTATAACTAGACCCTCCTCTCTTTTGAATTGAGCTTCCTTGTTAACTATATCCTGGTTTCGACGTCTCCTGACCGCGCTCTACTGCGTCCAACAATTCGAGGATTTATCGAGGCATACTCTTGAGGATTTTAGGCTTCCAAATATGAAATCTCCTCCGTATGGCCGCCCAATGCAAACTACCAGTTTGACAAGTGGGACGCCGTCTTGCTTTCTTTTTCTCTTGATATCCTGTCGTGTAGCCAACCAGTGCTCGCACGTTCCCTTTTTTTTTTTCCTTTTTTTTTTTTTTTTTCTGTGGCTGGGCGAGTTCGAAAGGACTGACTTGTGCTCGGACCGCGTGGGAATTGAGGAAGGCTCCGATAAGGATATTGCGAAGCGAACTAACCTGGCCTGCGTCCGTGGGAAAGAAACGGGGGATCAACGGGTGGTGCCACGTTCTAATATATCTTGCGCCGCTTGGAGAGAAATCTTTCTGCGGCGATAATTAAGGACTGGAGCGGAATAATTAACTTGCTTTTGCAATCAACGGAGAGGCTGTGTACCTAGTATATTTGAGAAGACGAAAACTATTATCGAGTTTGTCTTTCCACGCCGGATGTTCAGAGGGGAGTTTATTTGTGAGGAAATAGTACGTAGGGGGCGCCGATGATGTCGATGAGACGACAAAACAGAGTTCAAGTGCCGAGAAATTTCCACTGGACAAGCGTCGAACTTCCAAGGCCAGTTCAGCGACGAAATGGAGCCCTGCGCCCCGAGGGCCAGCGAGATGGAGCATCGCCATCAGCCAACCACGTTGCTGTTCCTGACAACGAGCTATCGTCTGCGGGCAGTTCGAGCGCAACCAAGCACGGATAATTAATCATAGGCTAGTAGTATCTCATTGCTATCTATGTATTTTGCAAAGGCCCAGACACTCCACAGCTTTTTGGTTAACCCTGCGGGTTCTCAATCCATATATCAATCAACAGAAAAAAGCTCATTTTCTTGCCAGATTCGCATGCAGTTTGTGTTCTCTCATTCCAAAATTCACCACAACACCCAACAGAGATAGGGCCAGAGTTGTTGCAAACACTGCCCTCAGGGCATCCATGTAGGCATCCAGCACACCTGGCAACCAGCCCTCAGGGAGGTGATTGATCTCATCCAGACTATCACGGATTTTCGGGATCAGGCGTGCTGCCTCTTCGCGGCCACCGAACCGCGACCACAGACCAGACTTGAGGATATTCTGAAAAACGGAAGAAGCGATACTGATACCGATCGAGCTTCCAGTGCTACGGAAGGCGTAGGACGCTGACGTCACGACGGCCTGGTGTGCGTGGGCAACGGCGGATATCAACGCTACCAGGGTGGCGGTGATCATGCCACCGTAACCGAGCCCAGCGATAAACAGGTACAGGAACGGCGGCCAGGCCGGCGTTCCGAGAGTGAAGGTGTTGAAGAGAATGGAACCCACAGCCAGAAGGATAACGGACACATAGCTTAAGAACAAGTAACGACCGGTAACACGCATCAAAAGTCCCAGTCCCAGCGACCCGATGGATGTTCCCACCGCTTGGGCGATGAGTCGTGCACCAGCCTGCGTTGTAGAATATCCCTGAATCTGGAGGTAAAGCGGCACGTAAAGGAACACAGCGAATATCGACATCGTACCAAACCAATTTGTCAGACAGGCGGAGAGGACAGTCCGATCTGTCAGCAGCCGAACGGGGATAACAGGCTCAGAAGCCACCTTCTCTTCAATGTAGATAAAGACGAAAAGGAATACGCCGGACAGCACCAACGAAACCACAACGATAGGATGGCTCCATGGCACTTGATTGCCACCGGTGTTTATACCGAACAAAAGCAGGACCAGCGTCAGGACCAAGGCTCCTGCTCCAAGGAAATCAACCCTCCGCCAGCGTGAGACATCGGTCTCTTTGACAGGGATTTTGATCCTCCACCAGACCAAAACAGTAGATACCACGATAAAAGGTATCTGGACCAGGAATGCCCAACGCCAGCCCCAAGTATCATTGACCCAACCCCCAAATACTCCTCCCAGCCCGCTTCCCACGCCATAGCATATATTGCCAATACCCTGCCACAGTCCTCTTTTGCGCAGCGGGACAAGATCGGAGGTAACAAAAGTCGCAATGGCCGTCAAGCCTCCTCCGCCCATTCCTGCCACCACCCGGCCGAAGATCATTACCCATTCATCCTGGGCAAGACCACAGATCAAATTTCCGAGCCCAAATAGTACGTTCGATACTACGAGGCCGGTTCGACGTGAAAAGATATCGGTTAGTTTCCCGCTAAGAGGCTGACAAGCGGCGTTCGAAATCAGGTATGCTGAAGCGAGCCAGGAAAGGAGGGAAAGGGAATTGAACGACGATGAAATTGGACCGGAGATCGTCGCAACAACGGTGGCATCTTTTTTGTCCGGAGAAGATGTCAGTCAGAAGCTTGCTCTGGAGCGTGTTAAACTGGCTCAGGAGAGAGGCCTACCCAAGGCAGCGAAGAAAACCCCTAGCCAGATACTTGATTGAATGACAAGCAGCTCCTTGGGTGTTGGTTCGTCCGCCAGAGGTGCATCGGAGTCATCTGCAGCAGGCGGGGGTACAGCCGTGGGATGGCCGTTTTCCACGGCCGCATTGTCGCGAAGGAGTGGAGTTGTTTCTGATGATTCTGCCATCTCTTGCAAGATATCCGTGCTCTTGGTCTATTCCTCCCCTCTTGGTTCCTCCTTACTAACATTCCACTACCGAATTATGGATGCGTACTGAACTGCATGGTGCTGGAATTATTTTTGAGACAGGTCAGCCGGTGAGTGATAGTCCCGTTCGTATCCGAGGATCGGGTTTCGCGGAGTGGGGATGCTGGGGTGCAGAGGACTCAGAATATCATCCTGCAGAGTGCTAGTTAGTATCATTGTGCGTGAAGGGGCGGTATGTTAACAATTGAGCGGATCCAGAAACTGACATTCCATTTGATATAGTTATGACAGGAGAAACGGTTACTTCTTTTATTTATGTGTTGTATATGGAGTATAAGATAACTTTACACAGTTTAAAGGATTATTAAAGCCCAGACATTGGTGGCAAAACTTGGGACGTTTTGACGGGGCCGGCCGCCTGGACCGCCCGGTGAAGATAGGCTTCAACACGCCAAGGCACCATCCTGGCTGGGCTCCCTTGAGCGCCAAAGCTCAAGGCCGGTTTGGCGCCTTTCTTCTCACCCACCGCAAACCCACGCCCCTCCCTCCTTTTTCCTCCTCTGCGTCCGTAACCCCATACACCTCCATCTCGAGAGTCAATTTGCTTCTACACCCATCTATCACGCGTTCTAATCTCTGCCGCACTTCATCATCGGTCTCCTTTCTTGTCTGCATTCTTCTCGTCTTATGTTCTTTTGAAGCCGAAGTGCTGACCTTGACCGGAATCTCGTGGCGGACTGCCTCCAGCCGATGATATCGGAAGAGAGTGAGGAACACCCCAACAAATTCTACCTGTGCCATTTTTTGCCCTGGACAGTTAGGGGACCAGCTGACCAGGGCAGATAGCTTCCACGGGGCGGCTGGAAAATCGTGTTGTCAGAGTGATTTATCCAGCGGGAGGGCCGGAACAGCTCCTCGTCAGGAACAAATCTACCGCTGGCTTTGATGCCGCTCTGACTTGCATCTCTGTTCTGAACTCGATGGCCAGTGTGCTGGGTCTCATCTTGAGGGTTCAAATCTCTCCATACCTCTGGTGCCATGTGCAACGCCGCACTGTTGATATAAATGACAACCCCGCTTGGTATTTCGGTTGTCACTGCAGACTCGCCATTTTTTTTCATCGGGTTCACAAGCTGGACCGCTTCTCCATTTCCGCAAAGGGCTGTTTTTCCGATGTGAATTACAGGTGGGAAGAGGCGCAATACTTCCAGCATAAAAGCAAGTGTCCGAATAGCTTTGGGGAAAATAGTGGAGTATTCCATTGAGGCGTCTGAATCTTCGGGGACGATTTGATCAATCTCCTCAAAAAGCCACTCCTGCCAATGTGGATAGGCTGCTAGAACCACGAGAGGGAACGAGAGGGCATTCGCAGATGTGTCGAATCCAGCAGCGTTGAAAATGAAGAGATTTCCTACAATCTCATCTTTGACAATGTCCACCCTTGTTTGATGTTTGCATTTGTTGATACGGATTGATTGTTTCCAAGTTCAGATGCAGCAATAAGCTGACTTATGATATTGATCTTTGTACTCGGCTCCTTGTCGCTGGAACCATGGAAACTGTCCGTTACTGGCGCCTCTTGACCGAGCATATCTCTGAACATTCTCGGGAGATGCCGGACTGCGGACGCCAAATCTCTCATTTCCCGAGCTCCTGGAAGAAAGAAAGGCCAATGTGAAAGAATCTGTTCGGGCACTAGGGTTGCAGAGACGAGATTCGCGAGAATCATTTGAAGAGCGCGGTCAAATTTCAACCTGGAATCTTCATCGTGGTCTGCCTTTGCAGCACTGCTCCTAATCTGTCTCCCGTCATCTCTCCAGGGCCGAGTCACACCCATACCGGCCCTACTCAGCACATGGATGGTGATCTTCTTCACCATGTCAAACGTCTTGTAAGTCACTCCATCAATCACTCGATTGGCCTTTGTACTTCTCGATCCTATATCACCAGGCTTCGATTCGCCAAACTCCTCTATAAATCCGGCAGCTTGCCTCACGCTTTCGTCAAACACAACTCCGCTTATCTTTTCATTGATTACACTTGCTATGATCTTTCTCTGTCGCGCCCAAACCGCCCCGCTTGTAGTTAGAACATTGCTCCCGAATTTACTCATCATCTTATTTGCGATCTCCAGCTGCGAGAAATCCTTGGGTCGTCGCAAAACATCCATCGAAACATCGGGATCACAGGTCCAGATTTCCAGTCCCCGTAGTGTTATCAGGGTATACGTCTTCTGCCCGCCAACAAAGTTTTTAAATGGCTCGAGCTTTTCATGGAATTCATGTCCGAAGATACAAATGACTATACGGTTGTAGATGAACCTGGGAAGATAGCGCTTTAGAAGCGGGCGTACGATTGGGGAGATAATTATCCATAAGATGTTGCTTTGGTCCACGGGGACGAAAACGATGGGTAATCCGATCTTGCGCGCTCTTTGGTAGTTTTGCAGGAGCTTGAGTAGGATTGCGAATATATACAGGATGATGCTGGTGAAAATGATATTCGTGAGAGATACGGAGGCCATGCTTGGACCTGAACTGCATGGATACGGAGAGATCAAGGAAAGCAGGGAAACGCGGAGTGCAAAGCAGTGAACACAGAAATTGGGAGGACAATTGTCAAACTTAAGCGACTTGCGGGAGCGCCGGAATGATCATATATAATTCCAACGGACAGCAAAACAGCGCGCATTGGTTTCCTCGACGATGTGGTTGGGAGACACCCTGTCAGTCTCCCCTCGCTGTTGGCTCTTTTCACTAATAAGTTAGTTACAAACGAGCGGTCGAGAACCCGAGATCGACGGAAATTCAGGCGAGCGAATTCCGGTTTTCGAGGCTGCCTGGAAGCTTGATCCGGGAAAGGGGGTCGCTTTTCATTCGGTCTTTCACACTGCGGATAGGGGAAAATTATCCTGGGGCTGTCATTGAACAACTGAAAATCTATCCCTTTATGATAGCAGATTGGAATATTCTATCTGTAGCTGTAGTGAAAGGAATTCGTAAAATCAGAAATAATCCTTCGAAAGCGATTGTCACTGTGAGACTCTGGCGCAGTGAACTTGTTAACGAGGACTCTCACCGGTTACTTTACAGAGGTCCTTGTCTTTCAGCGCGGCACGCGCCTCAGCCTACGGAGTACACGATCAGTTAAACTCAGCCGGAAAGCAGGGCACATCTATTGCCTACCTTCTGTGGTGCTTCTTTTTTTTTTTTTCCCCTATTTGTTTTGTTTGAGAGCTCTACAGTCTTTTTACTAATGGAGGCGCGATACTCAAGCAAGGGGAGTCCTTGTTCCGTTGAAATATGCAGCTGAATTGAAATCGAAGAAATCCTCCAAACCATGCTCCATTTCGCGCGCTAGCTTGTTCCTTCGAGCTCTTGGGAGCTGCTGGAAACCGAGACTTCTGGCGCAACCTGAGATTCCTGTGGATTCAAACGGTTGGACTACGGAGTACTGCCACCAAAACTCCTCGATATGGGGACCAGTGGGAGTACAGGCTCTCAAAGCTACCGTGTGTACGTCGACTTTTTGGCGAATAAACCCAGCCATAAAAGTTCTCTTTCTCTCTCCCCAGGAATTTTAGGGTGCATAATCTTTAAGATTGAGCGTAAAAGGTGAGGAATTGAGCGCAAATTGATGTTGAGACGTCGAATATTTGCTGCATTCTATGCGATTCCCACGAGAATTTCACTTTTGTTGACACGAATACAGAACGTGATCCCCTTCTTTTCTCAAAAGTCATGGAATACACAGGTGTAGGGACTAAGTTAGTTCGTTGAAGAGTTTAAAGAAACCATTTATTAAGCCGAGCTCCCATGCTCACCACGCATCTTTTTAATTTCCGACTCCCACATTGCAACCTGCAGCGAGTTAGGTAGTCAGTTGTACATACTCCCTTATCACCCTTCAATTTGAGAGGTGTCGCTCCGATTATGGCATTCACGTTGGCAAAAGCCATCATGTATCTGTACATAATGCAAGCTCTCCACGCCAGTCACCCGGCATAGACCGCTGGCCGAGAGAGAACGAGTGTTATATCAGAGTATGCATCCGGCCGCTTCCTCCCGGGTATCAATAGCCTTGGCGGAACTGTATGGAATCCATGGTTATCCGGACGGAACCCCAGACATTGGGTGACGGGAAAGAAAGCTTGGATGGACATTGGGTTTTCTTGAGCAAAATTCAAATATCTTGGGATAATTCCGATCGGCGATGGGACGTGAACATCGGCCTCACCGGCTGCCGACTGCCGCCGTGGTCACAGGCCGAGTCTGCAAGGCCACCACAGGTCAAAAATGGCCCACAGGATCCAAAGGTCACCGCGTGGGATGAAAGGTTATAGTATTAGAGTCCTTTGAGACTAAAAAACACAGAGAAGAGAGGTTGCAACCAACCAACTCCAAGCAAGAGAGATTGGTAGTTGCGTCTTGTATTTCAGCATGAAAGAAGGTCGTAATTAGCTGAAGATATGTAGTCAATGTGATGACCAGTTTCTCGATCACTCTCAGTTAAGAGTCAAGCAGTGCAGCATGCTGAAACCCGATTCATTCCACATGGAAGAACAACGCGAAAGTCGTGTTATGATGCCATGGGTGTTATGCTTCAAATGGTGCAACGAGCGACGTTGTGGTCCGTTCTCGAAACCGGACTTGTCAAGCCTTCCCGCACCCGAATCATCCGATGCTGGCATCCCTCAGAACCCACGATCCTTGCTTTTGGCCAACCTGCATGTCGAACAAATGGTTCCGCGACAACACAGTGTTTCTTGTACTTCCACTTTCCGACACGTCGCTAACTGGCCGTCAAGGGATACAGGTTTCGGCTACGAGCCTACAAATTGTGCGAGGACGCGCCCATACGGACCGCTGAATTTACATTGCTGCTGAGACTGTTTGTGGCTTGGAATTTGCACGGAGCACTAAACTACGGAGTACAGAAGATAACTTCATCCGATGACCACTCTCGCTGCGGGTCACACTCGCCCAATGCTGTGCAAACATCTGAGACATGGGCAGTTCAGGAATACAATGGAATACAACCCACCTTTCATTCAGCGGAATTTTGCAGCAACAGGTCAATCCTTGATCCACTGGCTATGATCCTCTCAGACGCATTGCTACAGAAGTCTGGAGCCAGGCGGTGGTGATACTGCTCTCAACCTCAGACGTCGAATCGCCTAGACTCAGCGTCCACCGCAGCCATTCCCTAAGGGATCGTCGCGTGTCGATTCGCTGCGACCCTTTCTCCAACTACCAACTGAAGGATGCGAAAAAAACTAGAATTTCGTTGAGCGGTTTAGTCACCGAAAACGAACTGCTTGAAATAACATCGCCTTTGTCTTTGATGCGGTATTTCAACGACTTCCATTTGCACCTTGGACCCGCAATCCCAGGGCTCATACGGAGTACAGGGCTTTCACCGTTGAATATTCCCGCCCGTCTACGGAGTACCCGGACTAAATCGCGAGCTGACGGCGCTTGTCTCAGATTTCATGCAAACCCTTCCATTTCCAGGTGCAGCTGATCAGAGACCAGTGCTTGCGCCGAGACATACATTTCCCGCGATGGCTGAGGGTCTTTGAGGGTTTTCTCTACCCGAATACCCGTATGCTACTTTTATTTTTAGCATCATGACGTTGAGAATTGTTCCCACAACGACGAAGTATGCTCTTTTTTCGCTCTCATCCGGCTGGGATAGAGGCGAAAGGTAGCTCCAGAGGATCCTCCCCTCCTCCTCCTTCCCCCCCCCCCGCTCTTTCTCTTCCCCCTGTTGCACGCCCCGAAGAACTATCTTCACCGGTTGGCTAGGAGATCTAGAACATCCTGCCCCTCAGGTGATGCTAATTTGAGATTGCATGCAATGGCCCGGAAGAGGTTCTGAAGACATTTGTGATATTTGCGAAGGTCTATTATCGGAATTGCTATCACACTTACCCGGTTGCAGACCGGGAGAGGGCCTGCGTTGAGGTATATAAACCTCGATCATGTCTCGCCTGGAGCACATCCTTCTCATCACATTCCCAACGGATATCACGACTAAGATTTAATCAGAACCCTTGAGAAACTTTCTTATACCTTCACCTCTCCGACACACTTCCTCCATAACAAAACTCTAAAATCGGGAAAGATGAAGTTCTCACTCCTCAGCGCTATCGCAGCGGCTGTCTTCGTCCCTTTCACATCCGCCACTCCACTTGCTAGCACGGCCGACCTCAGCTACGACACTCACTACGATGACCCATCCCTGCCCCTGAGTGGCGTCACCTGTTCTGACGGGGACAATGGCATGATAACAAAGGGCTACAACACCGCCGGCGAGATACCAAACTACCCTCACGTCGGAGGAGCTTTTACGGTCGAAACGTGGAACAGCCCCAACTGTGGAAAGTGCTACAAAGTGACATACAATGCTAAAACGATTTTTTTGACTGCGATCGACCACAGCAACTCCGGATTTAATATCGCGAAGAAGTCGATGGACGTATTGACGAACGGACGGGCAGAGGAATTGGGCAGGATCAAGGTGACCTACGAAGAGGTCGCCTCGTCGTTGTGCGGGTTGAAATAAAGGCGTATTGGGCGATGTGCCGCAATGCTGAGTGCGATGATTTGATATTTGTTTGGTTGAAGGGGAGGAACCTTAATGTTAAACGGTTTTCTTTACATTTGTAATGCATGTGGCGAGGGATATATGATTACTCGACTGGATTATAATATCTAATGCTAAATTTCGAGGTTTATCGGGGACTCCGGGTCAGCCTTTTCTTTTTCTTTTCTTTTCTTTTTTTTATGATATGCTCCGTGCGGAAGACTTAATTAGATATCGATACATCATTTCTCAAAGGAATATTTTGCTCATGCGGCTTTTTTCATCGTGCAGAGCATACGTAACTCAGAGAGTCCGATCCCAGAACAATCCAGGGAACGTGAAATCCCTCGGTCTTTGTTGGAGAAACGCAACACGGACATTAGAACCACACCCCCTGAGGTAACTAACATTTTGATGGGAAGTCAATTGGCTTCAGCTACATGTATATATCTGAGTACATGTCAAGTATTATACGCATGCGGTATGACAATAACAATGTTTAAAAACCACGCTTACTGCTTCTAATGTATAACTTCTGCAATAGAGTGTAAGCTCTATATGCATTGCAGGGTATTCCGAATAATCACGGCAAAGTGATTCAATACAACAGAGAGCTTGAGTGGCTGCGAAATATGTTCAAGGATAGAGGGTTAGATACGTTTTAGAGCATATTTTAAAACAGAAACACATAATACATCAGCAGCGGCATTATTCTGTCGCAAAACTAAGATCAGTGGCGCGCTGTAGTCTTTGGTTTTGGCTGAACGATTCGAGCCGCCCGAACCCAGCCATGAAGTTATCCCCGGCTTCCGGTGGGCGATCTTCTAAAGTTCAGCGACAACAGAATTATACGCCATATGTCCACTCTCTTCAGATAAGTACTAACTAGGTCTTAGTCTTGTCTCGAGTTTCAGCCATGGAAAACTCCCGATCTTTCCTTTGGACAATCTGGATCTGTCTTGGTTAGCAGAGCGAAAGGGTTTGTGCGCTTTCCAGGGGCATTTGGTATCGGGAGGTTAACTCGGCACCGTGGCGGATCGTCGCGAACCGCATCTCACGCAAAGCACCGGCTTTGAGCTTCAGGCGACGAAAGTCGGATAGACACCACAACTTCCTTCTCATAGGAGGGTATAAACTAATATAAGTACCTATAGAGCACTCCGTGCGGAGTCGCCTTTGATTCAGACGGCTCCAGGATGACTCCGAGCTGCATGCAATACAGGGCCACCCACATGTTCTGCTTTTTTGGGGATGTGGTTGCCACCCTGCAAAGTGTTTGCAATGTCCCCTGCCTTTCGTGCGCGAATCTATTGAGTCTTTTGAGGATCAACAAGTGAGTCGCATGTTGCATTGCCACCGGTTCTGCGAAATACTGTCTTGAACACGTTGCCTTGTGCATCGAGTTCCATCGGCAACTTGCCTATATTTGTGCGAGTTGGTTGCCCAACCGTTATGATGTCCTCAGTTGTGGATCGACAGCTGAATTCGATGTTGAGTGGCTAGCCTGTACTGTTCATGGCGCGGCTTGTTTTCCCAAGGGGACAAATCCGACCGACTCCACTTATTTCGCGCGATCCTGATGTACTCCGTATGGCTCCAAGCTTCTCTGGTCATGGGTATTGGATAGTGGTCGTTATCTGACTCAGTTGGCCCTTATTACTATTATTACCCGTCCTCCGCTTCGCTGATGTCGTATTGTTTATGCTGCACTGTTTTCCTTCCTTCCCTTCCTCTTGGGCGTCTAGTACATGCTATGTTCTGCGCATTCCGAATTGAAGCCGGATTAGGTAAAAAGGCCGGCTGAGAAGAAGATTCGGGTTAGGATTCCCGACGTGTGCGCGTCCCTGAATCGTCATTACATGCTCTCCAGCTCTTCCTGGCTACTCTATGATGCACAACACAAAGGCGATAGCATGGCAGGCTGAGCCAGAGAGTGGATATGAGATTCATGACCCTTTGAGTTGCCGTTTCAAGGTATCCCCGTTTGCTCCGATTGGATTCCATGGTTCGTGTCTTGCGCATTCTGTTGCGCATAATGGCAACAAAAAACTCATAGCCCCTTGTCCTAATTGTTATATCATCGAAATTATGGAGAGATTTTTTACCTTTAGCCGTCTCGACAGAGGTTTGATACCGGAGCTATGCACTTTCGGGCTATGTAATGCTTCACTAGCAGGCTCGAAATATGATACCAGGGTCTTGATCATGTCATAACCACTTCCAGTCTAGCAAGTTCCGCGTCATCCTTCTACTCCCGAAGCATAGTATATAATGAGGCAGCTCCTCATTGGAAATGATTCTGAATCGCAAACGCAGCACCCGGCCTTTTCTACAACTCTACTCATAATGAATCGCCTTGTTGTTGCCCTCGCCATCTTGGCTACGTGCACTTTTGCAGTGCCTATCGCTTCTACAGCAGAAGACCTTGCCACTCGTGCTGAAGAATGCCCTGTTTTGATGCAGGAATCCTGCAACATAGAGGTACTTCCAAATTCCTTTGAAGCATAGGCTATCTTTGCTTCGAGATCTAGTCCTAACGTTCTTTCGCAGTGTCAAGACCAGGGACGAGAAGCCGGTAACTGCATTATGGAGAAGGCTAAGTATATAAACTTTCTTTAGTGTGATACGATTTGCTCTCCTAGATTAATTCACTGGGAGTCAAGTTCCAAGTCGGACCTGGGGTTTCATAGCTAACAATACGGAAAGGAAGAAGGAGAAATGGTGTAGCTGTTATGGAACTTCTCGCGTCCGGAATAAGCGAGATGAGCTGAAGCTGCATACTCGAGATGGCCTCCACCATCTTGGCGAGGACGGTGATACTGAACGTCGCCCTCCACCTTCTCGTCGCCAATCTTCAGATGACCAGCGTACGAGGGAGAGCGGACGGACTTTAAATGCTCGGGACAACCTCCACCATCTTGACGAGGATGGTGATACTGAACATTGGCCCCCACCTTCTCGCCGCCAACATATAGATGATGAGAATACAACGGGAAGCTCGCATATCTTACAGACTCGAGATGACGTCCGCCTTCCTAGTAACACCCATGCCTAGAGCATGGGTATAGGGAGGAGAGTGGACGAACCTTCAGATAACACCACTCTAGAAGAACATTGTTGATGGTATTGACCGAAAAGAGGACCTACATTCTTCACTCTTAGAGGTCTCGGTCATTGCTATCAAGAATCAATCTAAACCTCTTACTTATATCAACCCTGGCTTAAGTATGGAATATCAATCCTCGACTCTATCCTATCACTCCATGTTCGTTAAAGCTAGTATCATAATGGAGCGGATGACATGTAAAGATATTAAAAGTCAATTTAAAATATTCTACCTTAGTATAAGTTTAAGGTGAATATGAACTTGTGTCATTCATAAATTGCATGGTTGAGTAGGGTCGTTCAATATCAATCAGGACATACATTCATCGTCCCGGCGCTCTCTAGCGGTAAACATTGCCAATTCAACTTCCTTCTAAACTTGACTCGGCCTCATCCTCTTATCCTTCAGATACTCATAGTCCGGCATCGAAGCCCTAACCAACCTATTTAAGTTATCCGCTACCTTTTCGCCAAACTCTTCTCTCCACTTCTTAGCCTCAATATCGATATCGATGTTGCCTGCAGCCTTGTCTTTGAGAACGGCTTGCGATGCCGCTAGGGTCGATAGCATCCTTTGCGATTTCAAGTTAATTTCCCCGTCGTCCTTAATGATTTTTGCCTCCCAGGTGAATCGCAGGCTATCTCGGTCCAAGCCAATTTTGTCACTAAGCTTGAGGACTACTTCCGGGTGGTTGATAACGTCATCCGCGTCGACGACGATGGGATATACGTCACGTTGATCCTCTGAATCACCTGCCTTCCCGCGGCGCTTGGCGTACCAATCGTATGTGGTGCGTGGACAGTAAAGACTCATAAGGATGTTCATGTCAACCCACATGTCATCATCAACCTCTCTGTCATCCATTTTACGGACGTCGACCATCGCTCGGTAGAATGATGGAAACATCAGAGCAGGATGCCGAATAAGGAAAATCGGGTTCCAGGTATCCAGAAATTCGTCCGGTAGCAACGTTATATTTCCTTCCGACCTGGTCAGATTCGTACCGTAGCTTTCGTGCACATCAAGGGTCCATGGGCCTTCGGTGACACCATCTTCGCCGTAGTGCAACTTGAACTGGTGTACCGGTTCCAGCAGTAGATAGCTATGCTCTTTGACGAATACAATCTTGCCTTCCTTCTCCGCCTCGGAGACGTGATTTTGCAAAGTATCAAATGCTCCTTGGTAGGCGTGGCGCATTTGAGTCCGTTCATCGTCTGTCCAGTCCATGACATTTTTTACTCGAAGGCCCAGTTTGTCGGACAAGAAGTAGCTCTCGATGAAAAAGTACCCGTTCAGCCAGCGCTTAGCAACCTGTGGCTGTTGGTCAAGGCCTAGCATTCGGACGAGGAGGTTAGATGCGGAACGAGGGTGAGACAAGAGAAAAAAACGGCGATCCCGCTCTGGTGCCATTGTGGACTGCAAAAGATTTTCTGAATCTGTAATGCTCCTGCTGAGATCTCCGTATAATGGTGAACTTGCGCGATCGAAAAGCGAGTAAAGTCAATTGGAACGGCCTTGAGGCTCTTGCCGGTATAGCAAAGCGGTAGAGAGCGTTCGGAGGGGGGTTCGAGGTCGTTTATATAGACAGCAAGTAGTTACCCACCACTCCTCCGTCGGTGGCCGGAGTGCAGTCTCCCCGCTCCTGAGTAACTCAGATAGTGACCGACGTCATCATGGGCCGTCGAGGATCCCTCCCTTTGCTGAAACAACCGCGTTCCCACCCTCCGTGTCGGGAGGATCTCCCGATCGGCTGCCCATGTACATTACCTTCAGGCTGTCGGAAGGAACTGTTTGTTGAAATCCACCATCAACAGGGCACTATTGGATGATGCCAAAGGTAACGACTTGTCGCAGTGAGTGCTAAGGGGTGTTGGTTTGATCGCACAACCAAGTTCAACAGCAGATCTTTTCGCGCATTCTTGACGCATTCGCAATTTGTTATGGAGTACTCCGTACATGAGATTGTAGCCAAAAGCCGTTCATCGGACAGGATAAACACGCGCGAGCCGGCCGTCCGTGGGATTCGTATTGAGTTTGCCCAAGAAAGCGTATTTTGCTGACACGCCCAGCGATCATTCTGATCGGTGTGGTGGTGAGAGCCATCAGATTCCGCCAGTTCACGATGGAACAGGGGTCTATGCAGGGGGTCACGACGACAGGAGCTTTCGGTTCTGTACACTGCTAGAATGGACGGGTAATTATCTCCGTGCGACCGGAAGACGGAGCAAAAGCAGCGCGAGCTGCCCTTTTGAGGCTTCGCTCAAAGGCCTCTTAAATTAGCTCGGCCTAGGCAGAGAGCGAAGACGAGGCGGACGGCCTTGCGGGAGCGCCCGGTATTAGTGAGCGGCGAAATTCTCGATTGTGCGACGAAACAACCAATGAAAACAAAAAAAACAAAGGGCCGGAAAGCTCAGTCATTCCCATGTCACTGTCCGATGACCATTTTTCGGAGGCCACGTTGAAGCAGTGACGGCTGAAGGCTGAAGAAGCGTAGGGGTGTCACTTGCAAGTGACCTTCACTTTCTTGGGCGGATGGCAATTTCCATCGCTTCCGACGCACTTTGTATGCCAATCCAGTACAAAGACTGAGCCCCAAATGGAGCCGAAACTGACTCCATATATCCGACAAACATGCCATGGACGGTGATATATAGTGGGATCCTCTTTTCACAATGGAATCGAGGCTCATTCCTTTCAGTGAAGCCAAGACATCAGTGAAGTGGACAGAGATTGACAAGTGCAACACCCACGTCCATTCCCACAGTGAGATTGCTGCTCTCATTCCAAAAAAAGGCCTCTCTCAAACGCAAAAGGCCATCCTTTTACACTAGGCTATACTAACACTGGGTGTTGCTGATCATGGACATTCAAGGGGTTGCAGACTGGCATATGTTCCAGCTCCCCAGGTCCCTGGCCAAAGAAATAACCGAGACTTACATTGTTTGGCGTGCGCGAGGGGGACTGAGCAAAAAAACACTCCAGGCCCTCATGGCTCAGTTCCCCAAACAAACGGTCTATGGCGCGTCGACCGAATCGGTCTTCAACTCGGGAAAGGAATGGTTCATGCGCCTCGACTTCTGCAGCGCCAAGGACGGCGAAAAGGGAGCTGCCCCCATCCACATCCTTGAAGATATCATTCGGGCGCTATGTTCTTCAGCACGAGCAAGACGCGCCTTGCTAGATGACCTTGACGACGACGAGGAGCGCAAGCCAAAGATCTTCCTCGTTCCATACAACAGAAATATGAATCCACATCGGGAATTCCGTGTGTTCTGCCCACCGCCAACCGGAGAGATTTCGTGTATCTCGCAGTACCGCTGGACAAGCCCATTTGGTGTGAAGGACCCTTTCGAGCAACAGAAAATTGCGTCGCGTATATTGGAAGGAGCCAAGGGGATCCATGCCCGCATCATACAACAGGTTCGAGAAACAGACGCCTGGATACTGGAGAAAATGCAGGAGGAGGGGTTTACTTTTGATGTTGTCTACGGACAGGCACAGGAAGTTTCACTGGTGGAAATCAATCCTTTCGGGGCCATGAGTGGATGTGGGAGCTGTCTCTACCACTGGCTGGAAGACGCGAGGACACTCTACGGTTACAATGACAAGGTCCAGGTGAGACTCGCGATCTAGCCTCCTCCAGTTTCTTGAAGACACCATTGTCAATCATCTGTCCCAGCGACTGTTTTCGCCTTGTGAGGAGTTAGAGCTATGAGCTTTACGGAAAATGCAAGAAACGCGAATTCAATTTTTAGTCAGTCTCTATTAACTTGTGATATGCCGATTCTAGAGTTATCGAATCGTGTTCTCAAGTTTCGTACTCTCTTAGACGACGCCGGGGCATTCTGTGGGCTGCGACTGAGCCATAGGTAACATCATGACGTGAATATGTTCTGCACCGCCAACCGAGATCACGATGGCGCTTATGAATTAGCTTGTCTGATACTCCTCCATGGACATCATTTCTCAACGCTGAAACATACGCTGTCCGCCACAGGCAGCAATGGACCTCTCCGATAAATGTCATTTCCTCACTTCGTAGTAAAGGGGAGCGTCCTTGATGGTCTCAATTCTTCGAAATGCTACCAGTGTGATTTAGAATATTCCACTAACTTCGCGGCGTCGGGTTCCTTTTCAACTCCGGGCCAGGTCATAAACTCTGATACTCAAATGCCCCTCCGGCCGATTCTACGTCATATACGGAGTACTTTTATGCTTTTCTTAGCCTTGTTAAAGCAAGTGTTAGTCAACCTTACAAAGAATGCATATGAACCGACAGTAATCATGGCTTCCATGTCCAAAGAGGCTATCACTTGCTCAATATGAAAGCCTACGCTGTGCTCAAAGGCTGTGGTGTTTTGCCTGAATTTCACTGAGGAATCTTCGTCCTCTCGTTGAACCTCAGTGGAGAATTCTGGAATGCAACCTAATCAGGACGGTGGTTAGAAACAGGCAGAAAGCATCAGATAGTTGTTTCTTTCTCGGATGGGCTCTGTCAGTGAGAGCCTGAGCTACTGTTAGGCTTTCTACGATACTCTAAACGCCGCTATAGCTGATAGAAACCCTTCGCCAAATGCGGGTAACTCTTTCAGTTGTTCAAGATTTGGTCCTGGGCGTTGGCGCTACGGAATGGAGCCCTCATTTGTACTGATGATGCACTCCATTATTAAAAAGGCAAGTCACTGACTGCATAAGACTATAATGAATAATAATGATAATAATATTAAAAGGCAATATCGGGCGAGTTCACGCGTCGGATTAAGGTTCTGCCAAGCCAGACGGTGCCTGACTAGCTCCATCATGTGACATCCATATTGGGGATAGTGCTTTCCCCACAAAAGTCAGCACACGGTGGTCTGTGCACGGGCCAGGTGCAGCTGCTCTTCCTGGTTTCATCGTGTCTCAGCACTCTTCGCGATCACAACAACAGTGTCCACAACCACAACCACCACGGCCAGAACCGCACAACCACCGCCCTCTGTCTACCACTGTCTCCTTCACAGGCCCATCACACTCTCTGTTGGACCATCGATTGCTCTGTGGCTCTGTGTCATATTTTGTTTCACTGTGAAAGTATCCATTACACCAATCACTAATTAGAACCCCCCCCTGAAAACTGCTCCGTATTCGTCCGATCTCGGTCCAAACCCCCTTTTCAAGTTCCGAGCTGGTAGCAAGATCCAGGTTCAACCACCCTCACCTTCACAATGCCAGGAGTTCGTAGGTGTTCCTTTTCTGCTTAGGGGCCCTTTTGGGCGGCGTGCTTCGGCGTTGTACTAACCAGGAGCTCCTCATCAGCCCCCGATGCTCTCGATCAGCTGAAGAAAGGCTTCAAAAAATTCTTCCTGCGCAGAAAGAAGAAGAACGCAACCAAGGAAGATGAGCAACCCGCGCCGCCTGCTGAAAACAAGCCGGCTGAGACGCCCACCGCGCCTGCGACCGAACCAACCCAAACCTCACCACCTCCTGCCGCTCCAGCGGCTGCTCCAGTAGCTCAGACTCCCGAGGCTACAACCTCGGGTGCCCCGGCCACCGAAGGCGGTGCTCCCGTTCCACAGCCCGCTCAAGCTCCAGAGAACACCACGGCTCCAACCACTGAACCCGCTCCGACACCGCAGCCGCCCACGCAACCTGCAGCAACCGACGCCCCTAAAGAAGCTGCTCCCAAGGAAGAGACTCCTAAGGAAGAGACTCCTAAGGAAGAGACTCCTAAGGATCCTGCTCCTAAGGATCCAGCGCCCGAGGAACCGGTCCCCGCGGAACCACCCACACAAGGTATGTGATCGTCAAACCTCGATGATGGGTTGGATCTTCTCTGAGAAATATCTAATGCCGGGTTGTTATTAGCGTCAGCCGCCCCAACTGAGACTCCCTCTAAGCCCGCGGAGCCCACACCGGCTCCTGAGGCGAAACCTGCTGAAACCCCCGTAGCCACGGAATCCGCAGCAACTGCACCCGCCAAAGAAGAGGAAAAGCCAGCGCAACCCGATGCCACGCCGGAAACAAAAGCACCGGCTGAGAGTGAAGCTCCCAAATAATCAAATGAGTACCTTAGTCGAATCGACATTACGTCTGCAATGGAAGGCTTGCTGATTGTGCGCCGGGGAACAGCCTCAGTGATACCACTAAGCGAAGTTATGATGGCTCTGTTACGGATTTTCTTGCCTGATACCCTTTCCTCCAATGTATATTCTTTTAGCCGTTTCGCTTGCTGTAAATTACATTTTGCGTAATGCCGGCTCATATTTGCTTTCTACCGATCCAGTGTCCCTTAAACTGTTCTTAGTACGCGTTGGCTTATCATTCTTCGAGTTCGTAGTCAGACTGAATGGAAGGTGAAAGCGATGTGAGCTATGAATGATTTATCGGGAAAGTTATGCTTCATGGATGTTTTTCAATTGGTGCTTTCTTCCCTCGACGGCGGGCGGAATAGCAATAGCTTAGTGTAAATCTCTAGAGACACAGGGCATTGTATCTCCCCTTCTTTTCCACCTAATCCGAGCCCTCGCTATCGCTCTCCGGTTCGCTCATCCCTTTGCGCGCCTCGATCTGGTTTTCGCCGTTTTCAGCACGCATGGCGGCTTTCTTCTCCCGTTCTCTCTGCCTTCGCTTGATTTTCTTCTCTCGATTCCGTCTCGTTCGTTTCTCTTTCTCTATTTCTTCGGTTGCTGCTTTTGCCGCCGCGCGCTTGCGGAGCACTATCCGCCTCTTCTTGCCTGGTTTCTTCTTTTTGGATCTTGAAGGCTCCGTTGTGGGTAGTGGCGTAGTGGTGGCGGAGGGAGCTGAGGCTCTAGTTGTGAAAGAGGACGGAAGCTTGAGATGTGTTACGCGCCAGGGAAGATGGCAGCCAGGCTGTTGAATCGTCAGCGGAGATGACTTGTATACGGAATTCGCCGCGCGGCAACACCCCGGGGAGAAGGGGGGCGGGAGAGAGTGAACAACGTACCCAGATTTCTGATTGCGCAGCTGCCAGTACTTCCTCCGAGGTAACAGCGACTTCAAAAAACTGCTCCCTAATATTCTGCCTCTTTGAATTTTTGGATTCCGACCCCGGGAATGCGGGCTTAAGGTCCTGCGCACCTCCACTAAACACTCGCATTACGGATTCCGGATCAGAGAAGTAATACTCCCATCCGCGAAAGGGAACAAGGAACCCTCCTTCTCCAGTACGGGCCGGGGTAGGTGAACGGAGCCTAATCCTGAGCTTTTGTACAGCCGGAACACGGGTATTCACACGCTCTCTGCCTTCAGCTTGGCCGTCACCTTCGCTGCGCTTCGCGGTGCTTCCATGCGGCGTCGCGCTTGGTGCGGCGGAATGAAAGAGTCTGAACTCGAATTCCTGCTCCTCCTCCTCTTCATGTTCGTCTATAGGCTCTAGACCTGTACCTATAGTCGTCGCACTTGTAACCGGAGGTGCCGTGAATATCTCGAGTGAGGAGTACGCTTTTCGAAGTGCGTCTGTAGCGTAGGCGGCTGTGTCGCTGGCGGCGGGGGACTGGGAGCGGGGAGAGGAGGGGGACTTGAGATCTTCACGGCAAACACTGCGGGATCATTAGTTGCGGATGCGATGCTGCTCTTGGGTACAATGAGGAAGAAGCAAGGGAGCAGGGCGCAGAGTAAAGACATGGTCCACCAGTCAATAGGACTTCTGCCGGACGAAAGCAGAGAGAGGGTAGGTAGTTACGTACCGCTTTGCATTGGGCAGCTCAAACATTTTTCTTTTTTCTTAAAAAGGACAACAGACAGCAGTAAGATGAGTGTTTTGTCAGTCGATTGATCAAATTTGTCGCTTGTTGAGTTCAGATATTCATCCGCAATCAATGATTCATTGCAGCAGATCGTCCGGGTGGTGAAGAATCCCTGGGTTGGCCCGTTGTGCCCCATGATTGGGCAGCCCCAGCCCTTGTGCTCCGATCCCTGGCGGCTTGTCACAGTAGCGTCAGTGCCAGTTCATCGCAGCCGAGAAAAAAAAAAAGACACCCCCTCAAAGGCAGGGAGAATTATAGTCAAATGTCCCTCCAGCCCCTCGAGATCGCGCACCCTCCTGCAGCTAGCAATCGGTTTCTTTTCTTCTTGACTGCAGGCGCGTGCAGTTTCTCTATCCCTCATGGGTTGTGATCCAGGCCCACTGCCTGGCTGAATCTACTCACTTCTTTTCCAACAGTCCTTAATTGTTGTGACTTTTTACCCTTGTGATTTTTATCGACATAGACAGTTACTTTGTAGCTACATCTAGCACTTTATCTGGTTGATTGAGGTGGAGGCGCTTCTCCGACTCCAGATTCAATGGGCATCTGCGCGTCTTGCCTGGGTTTGGCGAGACGGGAAAGTCATGACGTGAGGCTCCCCATCTGCATTGATCGCAATCATATTTTGCGACGTTGCGATCTCATTACCGGCATCCAGCTAACTTGATCGCGCAAATTCAGTCCGAAGCGTCACGGTTGCTAGATGACGATGTCTATCAGCCGGGCTATAGCTACGGTACAGTTCAGGCACAGCGTCACGGGCCCGATCCGGAAGACCTGAAGCGCGAAAGAGAAGCCTTGGAGGCAATCTGCCAACGCACATCGGAGTATGCCCTCCCGCGACCCCTTTTGCCCAGCTTCTTCTTCATCTAAGCTGATTCAATGCTCCGTGCATCTAGCTCCGTAATTGATATATGGGCCGTCCAGTCGCAACCATTAGTTCCTCCCGCGCAAGGCAGCACAGCTACCACAGCATCCTCCTCCCGCCTCCCCAGCAACGATCGAGCAAATGTGGTCTCTCCGACACTGCTGTCAAAAGGTGAAGACGCTTCGGCACTCGCCCATCCAACACATCCGCAAGAACGCGCAGATCGATCCCCGTCGCCCCTTCCAGGCGAGATTCCGGGAATGAGATATTTCGCATGCCGCGATGCCGGACTGGGAGAGGCCACCGAACTATCCGCCGTACCGAGACACTGGGGAGAAGTCGTCATGACGAATCGAAGAGGAAGAAAGAAGAGACCGGGTATCAACGGGACCAATGAAGATGGCACCACGGCGGACGATTTCTTCGGAGCATTGGTGGTGAAGTAGATTTTCGTACCAACGTCCCTGTGAACATGGGGGAAAAGCTCGCGTGGAGCGATGGAAACAGGATTAAACGAAGCTTCCAAAATAGCCCTTTTGACCGCACGGCAGGATCAGGCTACTGCGCTGGTGTCCTCGACTGCTACCTCGACCAAGTCGACCGCTCGTCATTCATTTTATCACATTTGTATCGTGGCAGATGATAGTGCCCGGAACCACAAGACACATTTCCTTTTGCAAATAACGCTTTTAGACTCGTCCCAGCGCCGTTATACATTCTAAACGAGGATGTCCTCAGGTTGCCGGTATTTTTCTCTATCGTTCTCTCCTGCTTTTTTTTATCAATACTCCTTTCTTTTCTTTTCTTTTTCTTTCCTTTTTTTTTTTTTTTTTTTTTTTTTTACTTTTATTTATTTACCTTGCAAGAGCATCGGAGTCAGTCTTGGGCAAGATGGATAGCGATGTACATATTCGGCTTTCAGTATCATGCTTCCCGGCATCAAAATTCCTTAGCGAACTACCATTTTTTTGGTTCACGCTTTTGAGCTGGTAACCGCACTTCATCTAATGAAAATTGTTCTTTTACACTAGTATCACTGTAACTAAGAAGAGCGAACTGTAGATTTATATACTACTTTTGTCTCAAGTTCATGAAGAAAACTACCCGGCATAAACAGGGGATCTTATTTATCTTATAAATCCTTACTACATACATTGAAAGACAACGCCGAAGAGCTTATTCAATTAAGACAATGCTGAATGCGACACCAGTGAAAAAAGAAAACTAGACAGATCAAAAGGCTGGCCAAATCAAAGCCGATGCATGCATCTTCTGTCCCCAGAACCTGGGTACTCCATTGGTGTATTATGCTTGACACCAGTGCCTAACGCCTATAGCACCCCTCCTTGAAAGATGGATCCGTCCTCATTTCCGAGAGAAAAGGAAAGAAAGAAACTTGAGAGAGAAACGAACTCCCAGATGCAGCAAAGTGAGTAGATGAAAATTGAAACGGGAGGGGTCACACGTCGTCCATCTCGCCGGCTGGTTCTTCGCCGCCAGACTCGTAGCTTCCGACTGAGCTCATTTCGTCCTCCTCACCAGTATCCTCGCCTGCATCGTCAGCGGCATCTTTACTTGCGTACTTTGCCACATATTCTAGTCAATGAACGTAGTATTAGCGGAGCAAATCGTTGAACGGGAGAAGTAGGCAGCATGAGGTATACCTCTGACTTTAGCCTCATATTTGCTGGGGTCCCGCAATAAGACGGCCGCAGCGTCTCCGTTGAGCGGATCGGACGGGTTTGGATAACGCAATAATTGTGGGAGGAAGACCTCGAATATGTTGATCATGTCATACATCGGCGACCATGTTTGATTGATGACGTCCAGGCAAACAGATCCGGACCTGGTCGCTTGTCAGCATGCAGTCGTGGTGTATCCCATTCTCAAGTGCAGCTTACAGTTCATCGATATTCGGGTGGTAGATACGGTTCACGAAGCCGATGCTCGGGCTCTTGTAAGGGTACTGGTCCGGGAGCTCCACATGTACTTTCCAGAGGCCACCGGCAAACGGTGCTGTACGGTGTTAGTAACGGAGTAGGATGGTGGCTCCTACAGGGATGACGCACTCTCTTCCGGACCTTTAAAGCGGACGTAGAATTCCTGCCTGCAAAGTGAGATTCCGGTTAGTATTCTTTGAATGCGGTTGGAAAGCAGTATTCTGGTGCACGTACACTAAATCGGGAAGCCTTCGTCAGTGATGCGTCCATACAAACATTTCAGGACCCAGTGACCGAGACTTACTATTGTCATTGACGAGCGTCACCTCATAGTCACTCATCAACCTAGCACGGTCGTACCAAGGTTAGCAATCCGGAGAAGCGTAGGGTCTCCCAGCGGGAAATTCGTAGAGAGGGGAGCAAAACGAAGGGGGTATTGTACATCCTGTTCACCAAATTAGCAAATACCTTCTGGCAAAGAGCAAGAAAAGAGGGCCTCACTTCATGACCTGCGGTAAGAGGACCCCGAAGACATCGGAGATGGCAGTCAGCAAACAGTCCCTTGAAGCACACACATTTTCAAGCCATTTGACGGTTCAACGCGGGGCATACATCTGTCTCAATTCTCCGCTTTGGACTACTCATCTTGCCGAAACTCCAATGGGTAAGCTAGACGCTTGCGGGGTTCTGATGACGATAGGATAAGTTTGTGAGTAACTTGTCACTCGAAAGCCGGGGGTTGAGAGCGTAAATGCGAGTTTATCCCAGGAGTGAAGTGAAGTGGGAGTCCTGTCGAGGGAGCGAACTCGGCGGGGTAAGGATGCAGGGAAGATTGTCAGTGCGGAATTGGGGGCACGGATCTGACACGGCTAGATCGAGCAGATAACTAGTCATTAATGGGAGCAATGTCAGAAGGAGTCTAGGAATAGTTAGGAGCTGTGTGTTAGTTAGTTAACTAGCAGAGCGTAGGCGACGATGCCCACCTTGAGACTCAAGGATCTGCAGGCGGTCGAGAAGCAAAAAAAAAAAAAAAGGCACCGGAGACGTTAACAGCGCAGCGACGTTGAAGAGGCAGAGAGATGACGTTGGGAGCGACTGGCTTTGGGTTGGAATTCACGCAGCCGGGCCGGCTTGTCGGGCAGGTGGGTAACTAACCACCCAACTAATTAACTCCTCCGTTCTCCGTAACATAAGTCCACTCAAGAGTCAGTTAGTCAGTTAGCCGGTCAGCCAGTTAGTTCGGTAGCAACGAGTTGACTCGCTGACTCGACCGCCGCCCCCGGGCCACCGCGTGGTTCCATTGGCTTTTTTCTCTGCAAGTCACACATGACCCGGCAGCCGGCAGTTCACACCATTCACAGTCACCGGCGATGGCGCCATCCTTGGTCTGTGCGGTTTTGCTCACGTTCTCGAAAGGAGCCATGTCATTTCATAACGGAGAGAGCATGATACATACACACACACACACACGCATACTTGAAAGCAGGGCATCAGATAGTTATATAGGGAGGTGTGATGCTGCCAGTCAGCCATGTTCAACGGATGAACGAAGCACAAGCGCTGCACCAACCCGCATCTTCAACAGCCAGACATTAAAGTCAAACCTGCCTTTCATATATATATACCACCCTATATCTGCTGATTATCGAATGCACAGAGTTCACAGACCAACCAAGGTCCTCAACTTCGACAGGCTAATTACCTTAAAAAAGATGACTCTCGAGTGACACCCAACCAACCATCCGCGGCTGCTCAGTAACCGCGCTCCTGTTGAAGACAGCATCCGTCAGCTCCGCCATCTCTAGCCAAGGAGAAAAGCCATGACGTGGTTGGGCTGTACATACCACCCAGTTCTGATATGCAATGAAGTCATCAATGGTCACTCCTATCATCGATGAAGGTCTCTGTGGCAATATTATCGACCCTTCACGCGACGAAGCGCGTGTTGAGGCCGGTGAGATCGACGGGGGTCTAAGAGTTGCCGCGTCTGATCCGGGATTCGGGACCTGCGCCGGGTATCGATCCTGCTCGCGTGAGTTCGGGGCATCGTTCGTCAGATTCTCTTGCTGTCCTCGTTTAAGCAGAAACTAGAGGACAGCAGGGGAAAAGGGTCACAAACATTTGTGGTTTCCTGCCCCCCGTTCTTCGATGAGAACCATGACTTGACTTTGGTCCACATCCGACGGCATCCCGAGGGCGCTTCATTCTCCTGCTGATGCGCTTGTTAGCAATGGTTCATTTCAAAGTGGTGAGGGGGAAATGCACAATTTCATCACTATCACCATCTCCACCACCGCAACAAAGCAGCTTGTTCAGGAAGGCCATGGTCAATGCTTAAAAACACTTTGTACAACCAGGGGCTCTAAGAGTCCGTGCCAGTGGTTGAAAAGGAATTCAGCAGTGTGGAAGATCTTGTTGACAAGCGTGAGCAATGACGTTGAGAAACTGAGGATGACAGGGGGTTCGTCGGTGTGACCTGGGGAGGCCAGGAGGCAAGCCGCTCAACAGCCGCACACATGATCATGGCTTACCAGATAGGGCGACAGCAAGCAGCTGCTGCAGAGACTTTGTTTTACTTTTACCGGTGGGACTTTACACCTCTCCTAGCCATCATCATCTAGGCCCTTTGTCTGAGCATGGATATACACATATATATATATCCTGCCACACGGAATGCTACGTTACCCAGCACCTCTATGACCCTGAATTAGTATTGGAGCACCCGAAAAGAATTGCACATAGGTCATATGTCTATGTAGCTATGATTATTATGAGACCGTATGGAGTGTGAACGCAAGGAAAATGAACCAGTTTTCCTTTGTAACCAAGTGATCTATGCAATGTTAAGCCACAAATCCGGCAACAACCTTATCCAAATCTTCTTCATCCAATCCCAAAAATTTATTCACAAACTCTTCTTTTCTCTCCCAGTCTGCGTGTAATGTGCCCAGGACCCAGACCAGTTCCTCTGAGCCTACAATCCCATTGGCATCTGCCTTGGCCTTTTCCTCCTTTACAAAGGATTGAGAGTCGGTACGAACCACCTTCCAGGACTGGCCCGTCGCCCGTTCAAATGCTCTCACAACCTCCATCTGCGTTGCACAGAAGCTCTGAATGTAAATGACCTTGTTCTTAATCTCTTCCGCTCCCGACTTCTCCAACACTTTCACCACGGCAGCGCCAACTTGCGGCAGCGTACTAGCGGAGCAGCGCGTCTCTCCGTCATCCAATACTTCCGCTGTGCGTGATCTTATATCGATATGCATGAACCTCAGGGCCTCAGCATGGAAGAAATGCCCGCAGACTATACCAGTCCAGGAGAAATTCTCATGGCGAGATGCCAGCTGCCGTAGATACTCCCGCACATCCGCCTTTCTCTGGTAGAGCGGCACAAGGTCGCGGGTCAGCTGGTCCTGGGAATCGCAGCTGCCAAAGTCGGCCGGTATGAAGTGCTTCACGCCAGCCGTGACGGCGGCGTCCGCGATACGCTTCTGGAGATCGGCCAGGGTGCCATTGACGGTGACCACGACTGCGTCTATACCTTTGAGCGCTGCGACAAGCTCATCGGCGGGGAAATCGTCTGAGATAAACACCGTCTGGACTGACTGTGGATAGGTCGAATTTGAAGTGGAAGATTTGCGCTTCAGAACCGTGACGTTGAAATGTCCTGATGACGCCAGGGCCTTGAGGACTGATGGACCGAGCTCGCCATCTGCTCCGACAATGGCGACGTTGTGAATGGGCATATTGGAAACAGATTTTGGGTATTCAGGAGGGGATTTAAGGAACTAGATGATGCTCTTCAAACAGGATCGAAGAGCGGGGGAGTAAGAAAGTCGTTTCTTTAGTGTCCAGTGCTTGAGCTAGTCTTGGTGGGACACTGTACGGCTTCGTAAGGTCTGATCCACAGGACCGGCCCATGATGAGGGGTGTGGACCTTGGAACTAAATGGGACGAGAGATGTGGCACCCTGAAGACAGGTTTCCAGCCTGTTGTTAAAGTTGTGGATGGTGGCGCCGAGAGCTCCGGTGTCTTGAGGTGATGATGAGTGCAACCAGCCAACGTAGTTTAGCTAGTTATTGTCCCTCTCTCAAACCATCAGCACCACCACCTTGTTTGACGGTAGCAATACCAACACCTCTCAATAGGGTTTCTTGCCCCTCAGCCCACCCAGTCAATACCTTCTTGTCTCTAGGAATCATGTCCGCAACTCCACCAATCCCGTCCCCAGGATCTTCCAAACCTTCCTCCCCGCGGTCCGCCTCCCGCAATCTCGGACTTAACACCAGGCAAGCCAGTCGGCCCCAGATCGGAGCCAGAAGAGATACCAATAATGGCTCAGAGTCACCGGCGGCAACGGCTCCAATTCCCGATGAGGACCACGGCGCAGAACTGCCATTGACAATGACGGCATCCGTCATTCTCACCGGGCTACCGAAAGATGCGCATCGAGCATTGGCGGATGTGGAAGTGATTGATGCGGGGAAAGGTATGCTTAACCATAATTAATGCTTGAAAATAATATATGATCCTGCGATAATCATTTATCGCCATGGGAAAAACTACTATATGGAACATGGTTGTATACATACGTCCTAATTTCTGTACCGAAAGCTGCATCTTGCTAAAAAGCGCATATGCCCAATATACAAAGCACCTGTATTCCACTCACAACGTTTACATAGTAACCGTCCGTTTCCACCCTCTCCCTTCAGCTCCAATCCTCAGAAACCGGGTATTCAAAATCAGCGCCTCCCAGAAATTCGAAACTGTCGTTCGATTCCTGCGCAAGAAGTTAGATTGCTCGGAATCGGACTCAGTGTTCTGCTATGTCAACAGCGTGTTTGCACCGGGACTGGACGAGAGTGTGGGCGGGCTTTGGAGGGTGAGCTGATGATCCCTTGAACTTATTCTCCAAGGAACCCTGTTTTGGAATTGATTTAAAGAGCTAATAGTAGAATACAGTGCTTCAAAACTGATGATCAACTGATTGTTTCTTATTCTATGACCCCAGCATTCGGGTGAGAGGTCCGGGGGTTAGGTTAAATTAGGATTCAATGATTCTGCAGCAATTACTGCTACTGGCGCTTGGGGTTGTCTATCTCCCGATCGTCTTCCAATTTGGAATCGCATATACGGGGCAAGGAATAGCACCCTCGCGGTCAGTTAACGTGCATTGGAATCAGTCTTGCTGGTATGACACCTGCATCCTCGCAGGAGACTGAATAATAAAGATAAAGTCTGAGCTCCAGGGAGAATGCAAAAATGATGACAGCATACGAAGTTATCAAGAGGGTTTGTTACAAATGTTACAACACCACCCCCCCAAATAGCCTGGTTATTCCGGCACCCCTCCGCGAAAAATCAACCCAAAATAACCTGTTATTGTATGCATGTATATAACAGTGATGAAGAACAGGGAGAAAGTCCAAGCAATCATGGAGTATGTATTTATTTGATGTTTTGGTATATTTGAGAGGTCTAGCTGGACATTATATCCAAGAAGAATAAAGTATAAGTAAAAAGTTATCAACAGAGGGGTATTAAAGAGAAAATGTATGTATGTATGTATGTACGTCATTGTACGAATGGCGCGAGACCAGATCCATCGCAACACGTCAACGACAGCGAAAGGATCAATGATGCTCATCGACAAACTTCTGGAATTCTTCCACGTCTTCCTTCACGGAAGGATATGTAAATTCCTTGGACGGGTACTCTCGACTCTTCACTTCGTTCCTGTACTGCTCGATAGCCCTCAGACTCTCACCCCACACATCGCCATACTTCTTCACAAATTTCGGCAGGAATCTCCCTGGGGGGAAGTTCCCAACCATATCCACCTGCACGAGCACTTGGCCCGAGCAACCATTACCCGCGCCGATACCAATTGTAGGTATCTTCAGTTTCTTGGTGACGATGCTCGCAACCTCGGCAGGAACGGCTTCGAGAACTACCATAAATGCTCCGGCATCCTGGACAGCCAACGCATCGTGGAAGAATTTGATCGCTTCCGCGGTGGATTTACCCTGAACGCGAAAGCCACCCAGAGCATTTTGCCGTTGTGGGGTGAGACCGATGTGGGCGACGACGGGAATGCCGGCTTGGGTTATTCGCTTGATTGTCGGTGCCATATCGGATCCGCCTTCCAGTTTTACAGACTGTACCCTGCCTTCTTTGACGAGGCGAATGGCTGTCTGGAGGGCCTGTTCTGGGGATATTTCGTAAGAGCCCATGGGCATATCTCCAATCTAAGTAAAATTTGCAAAGTTAGATGCTGTAAAGCGATAAGAAGAGGAGGGGTAAAAAAAAGACATACAGTGAACGCTGTTGTGACTGCCCTTGAGACGCTCCGGCAATGCAGTATCATCTCCTCCAGGCCGATCTCACTCGTATCCGCCATTCCCAACGCAACCATGGCAAGGCTGTCGCCAACAAGAATCATCTCCATGCCCGCCGCCTCCGCAACATGGGCGCTGGGGAAATCATGGGCGGTCATCATGGTGATCGGCTCGTTCTTCTTGTAAAGCGATTGCAGAGTCTTGACGGTGACCTGCTTTCTAGGATTGATAGGTGCTGCCCCCATTGGGGAATGGGAGCTCTGGCGCCTCTGATTTTGTTGCGGGGTCGGAGACCTCAGCGCAAGGGGAGCAAACACTTGTGAGGCCATGGACAGCGTTGCTCTAGGCCTAGCCATCAGGAGAGCCGGACGAGCCGAGCGCACCACGTGGGCAGGAGAGCGGAGAACCATGGTCTGCAGCGCGCTCTGTGTTTGTGTTTCTTCTTCGTCTTCGAGAGAGAGACGCGGAGAATTGGGTTGAAATCAGGAACTCAAAGAGGGGGCGTGGCGGGCAACGGAGTGTTGGCGATGACTCCAATGTGGAGAGGATGGAGGAACCGCGTCCATTGCGGCCACAGTCTCAGCTTATATTTGTTGCCTGTCGAGGGGGAATTTCGAGCGACGTGCTGGTATATGCAGCGTAGACAGGAGAATATTTTCGGCCATCGTTCACCTACTTAACCGGCGGAAGTCACGCTGGCCGAGGCAGGCTAGGCTCGATCCGGCTAAGAGGTCGTGTGCCCGCCGCTGAATCCGAGATGTTTTTACAATATGATATGCACAGAGACGGCGATGGATGGATGTGTGATTCTGATTCTGGAGCAACAGCGTTGTATATTTGTCTGTTACCTAATTCACTACAGAGTAGAACACTTTTTTTTTTAATTTTCAACCTCGTTTTACGAAAGAAAAAGGAAAAATAAAATAAACCAACAAAGAAACCCTTGAGCCACCACCACGCCTATCCAATCCGCCAGTGCATTGTCACCCAGAAAACAACAGACTTATCTCTCCTTAGACTGTCGTGCCTCCTCCATTACATGTAATAGAAGATTCCAACCTCCCAGCCCGTGATCTTCACAACTGGATTATCGCATCGGAGATATGAGGCTGAACCCCACCTGAAGTCGCCATCTCGGAACGAGGCCTCCCAAGGATACCGGATTTCCACCCGCGTAAGGGTATTTTCAAATCTCGAAATCAGCTGTCGGATCACGGCGTCCCATCCATCGTCTATCCAGATAGTTGGCCAATAGGGCCAGTTGGGCCAGTTCTGCGTGTGAAATCGTCGCGGGTCCGTTGGCTGGAGCAAGACGTTGCATAGCCTGATGGTTTCGAGGCACGCGGGACCGCCAAAGATCGGCCAAGTGAAGGAGTGCAGGTCCAGTCTAATATTAGACAAGGTCAAAGATCGCAGGCGGGGGAACCATGCTCCTGCGAGTCCTAACGCGAAAGGGTTTTCTGGGCAGCGAGGCGCCCTTCCGGGATAGGCCCAGTACGACATGTCGAAGACCGTCACGTTCGAACACTCAGCAAGGAGCCAGGGCACAAAGAAAAAATCCCCGTAAGTGTCCTCGACAGAGAGGCGAAGATTTTCGATCTCGGCGAGAACCTCGGCCAGCTGAGCTCCATCGCGAGGATATTTTCCGCGAGCTCCAGTATATCGCTGAACATCTAAATTTCGAATTGTTGTGATACCGCATCGCCGCAGGGTGTTCAGAAATGGTATCAGCTCAGTGCTGCTTGGGCACATCCTTACAGTCTGAAGGTTGACTATATCTCTGCGCGCGGCAAATGCAGGGATGGCATCTCTAAGTATCCTCCATGTCCTAACACCTCTCACACCTGGAACAGCAAAGATAGTGCCGAATGCGATGCTGCGAATAGTGAGATTGGAAGAACGCGTGTTAATGAAATCCTGAGCTCGCTGCACCAGGTCGGGTGACATTCTGATAAAAATGTTCCGAAACAAAACTGTTTCGACCCAGGCAAAATCCTTTGACACAAGTCTCAAGTTCGCAAGATCACGATTGTTCAAGAAGAATGCAATTATGAAGAATATTTCGAGCGGCAATTCAAGAATGTTTTGGATGGGGCGTCGAGGTGCCAGTGCCATAATGCTACCACATTGTTAACGCGACACACATTCAATTATGGTTTTGCACTTACAGTGTTTCTTGTGGAGCAGCCATTTTCAGCAATTGGCTGATAACAACATGCAAGATGGCGCGTCACTCGTTGCAGATGTGAAGGGGATTCTGCTTCGGGAGGACAAGGAGGCTTTTCTGGCCTTAGAAAGGCAGAGAGGACAAGACAGCACCACTTCGGGAGGCTAAGGAGGATAACTGGTCTTAGAAGTGCCAGTGAATGTTCAGGAATGCCCTTTCGGGCGGATAGGGGGGGTGAGAATAGCCTTAGAAGAGGAAGTGAAGCGACAGGATGACAATTCGGGGGTTTAAGGAGGTGTCAAAGGCCTTGTGGGAGGAACAGCAAAGCCAAGATAACAAAGCAACGCGGTCAAGCAGGTGAAAGGGCAGAGGCCCTCCGAAACAGCGAGTTTTCAAGCAGAGAGGCCTAAAGGAACCACCTCTCCCTATCGACCTAGGGTTTGGAAGGGCTCACTATGGCGCTGTTGACGCGAGATGAGATGTGCAGAAGCAAATGAGAAGCAAAGCAACCACTCAACGCGCTCAGCAAGTGAGTGAGAAGGGGATCACAGAAAGAAGATGGTGCTGAGAGTGAGAGCTTTTTTGGAAATGTAAATATTACTAACACTTCGGTATTACCCGTTGTGTGAAAGGAGGATACAGACTCCTTTCAGGGCACGTGAATCCCTGGGCCCTGCATGACATAAGGTCTCCTAGTCATTCGGGATATTAAGAACAGAATGGTTACTTGTTTAGGCCTCTGAATAGGAGGTCTGTTGAGAGGATAGGTGAATGGGTTGTGGAAAGGCTTTTGGGGACCTAGTTGACCTTGCTCTCCTTTTCCGTGGATAGGGATGCATGCGATGGAAGAAAAATAGGCATATCTGTCGAAATTATAAAAATATAAAGAGCTAATGTTTCCCGAAAGATATTCAAGCTCCGAGAGATCTCGTTTATGTACAGCAAGCACGGTGTTTTGTCATGGGCATGATTTATCCCATATGCAGGACAAAAAGGTAGAGAAGAACGTCGCCTTGGACAAAGATCTGGAGAAGATGGGAGACACCCTCGATAATGACCGGAACAAATGTCTCGAGATAAGAGGTGGGATAGAGGAGCAAAGGGGTATGGATACAAAAGGTCAAGCTATAAGACCGCCCATATGAAAATAGAGCAATGCATAGGTAGACTTAGGCCAGACGTAAAGCCAACAGAATCAGATTTGCGACCGCTACAGAAACAGGAGATATGCAAGTACAAGTGCAAATCTAAATACACCAGTGGGATTCTCTCTCGTCCTCTTAATAGCTACAGTGTGGCCTAGGATCGTCAGCTCAGGCTGAAGCCCCATGGTCCAGTAGCAATACAGGCGTTACGGAGAGCCTTTATCAACAAATGCGTGGAAGCGTAGCATAAGAAAGTTATAAATCTGATTGCTAGCGCACAACCCGTAATCAATGATAGTCATAATCAGCAGTGTCCATATCCGGGTCATACTTTTCCTCACGCTCAAGCATCTCCAGTACTGAGTCCAAATCGATCCAGTTTGCGGGAGTCATCGCGAATTTCCTATGTTGCCGTGAAACAATATGCTTGAAAGAGCTATATTAGCACATGGCACTTCTCAGAAGAAGAAAAACAAACTCACGTCTTCAAAATCATCGAATTTCTCTCGGCAATTTTCGCAGTACCCTGGTTTCGGGTCTTTCCTACGCCTGGAAGTTTGTCCTTTAGTCGTTTTCTGAGTTTTGCTGTCTGTTGTCCGAATCTTTCTGTTTTCTGGTATTGTGGCAAGGTTCTCCAGGGCCTTGGCCTTGGAGGCTCTCGTGATTGGAGCTCTGGCGGTGCTGGTTGTATTTGCAGCATCCGCGGATTTCTGACCTGCCGCTAGGATCCCATTGTTTTTCTCTAATACTTTTCGCTTTAATTCATGGATTTCTTTACTTGTCCCTGCCTTGGCGCCTGGCATCGCGGCGGTCGACGAAATCATTTGGGATCGAATTGCTGATGTAATGTTAGAGGGCTGGATTCCCGACGCAGCTATTTCACCACGGGAATACGCTCCGAATGAGATGGCCGGAGTCGTCCCAGCCCCAAGATTCGTGCGAGGTAGTTCGCCCTGCCTAATTGGCGCCCTTGTGTTCTCTATATGTTCAGCCACCTTCCGACGACACTCATCCTCTGGAAGCTTCAAAACCGGCTTTTCAAATGAAGGTGGAGGCGCCATCTCTTTAACTACCTTAGAGACAACGGGGTTTTCCTTGATCGGGGGTTTCTGCGCCTTTTCTTGTTGAGCCTTGTCTCGCTTTTCCCCATTTTTGTTCTGGGGCTCTTCGACGAAAGGGCATTTCCCCAAAGGAGCACTGCGAAACTGAGGCCAAGCACCATCCTGCCTCCTTGCAACTTTGGGGTATTCCCGAATCATGACGGGGCGAGTCTTTCCAAAATAGTCGTAGATGTAAATGTATGGGCCTTTAAATGGAACAAGGTCCTTTGGCCCGACTAATGAATCACGGTCAGAGGGCCCGTGCAACTTTTCATTCCTTAAAACCGCGGATAGATCTGACTCGGCCTTGGTCTTGTTTGCCGTAGCATTATTGCGAGGAAAATGTCCGGTGTATGGCAGTTCGTGGTCACGAATAGCGCAAATAAAACGTTGCAGTTTATCCAGGGTCCATATTTTCATATTCATCTGCCGGGCGCGGTACAGGATATCCACACCCCCTCCGAGTTCTCTCCTACCATCTGTATCCAATGTCCGCTTATCTAATGCACCTCGAGGCCGAGCCCTGCCCTGTTGTGACTGGCCGACTTCTGTGCTATTTTCTAGGAGAGAAGGGTTAACAGTATCGGTAGAAGCACCCGCTTTGCGGGCCTCGTTTGCTGTACTTGCTTCGAAGGACTGAGGAGTCTCAAGGTCGGGAGGAATGGGACGGGCGGTGACAACGTGTGTTACATATTTTGAGAAGAACCTTTCATCGCTCTGCCGAGAAAATTTTTTACAATTAGAACACAAGCGTTTATTAGAACGAAGCAATCGCCCAAACTTACCCCTCCAAGACGCGTTATTTCTTTTGCCCATTTGTGTCGAACCTCCTCAGCAACGCTATCGAAATAGAAGACGAAGGTCGGAAACACTTTTAGATAGTGCTTTTGCCATTGCCGTATGCTTTCTGCAGAATCCGTCGCGTTTTTCTTGGGCTTTGACATAGACTGACTGCTCTGCTTTTCCCTCGCCGCTGCCAATTTCCGCTCAAATGCAGTCGGCTGCGCGTTATTCTTACGCGCAAAGAGCTTGGTCTCGGCAGGCTGGCACACGAACTTTCGGGGCGATTTGGGATCGCCATCCCGGTGGAGTATCTGCTTCTTAAGAGGAGGTTGAGCAAGGCCTTTATCGGCTTGGGAGTTGAGTGGTCGTGATCGTTTCGTAGCTAGGAGGCCGCCTCGATGAGGTGAGTTGGTGGCATTGGGGACGTCGGCCAAGGGGGGCCGTCGGTTCGACATTGAAATGGAAGTCTGCGGGGAGGGCATTAATATAGTTGCCATGTACTTCGAACTTTGTATAACAGAACAACGCCCATGAAATACAGAGAGACGTGACTTGGGAGGTCAAGGTGAGGCCCGAAGGACGAATGGTGGGTGTCTCGCGTCCTCGTGCACACGAGAGGAGCTCAAGAATCGCCCATAATAATTGCAACAACAGAATTAAACGTGCAGGATTAACGGAGAATGGAGTTCAGCTCCTTTCGATTGTCCCTCAGAGGCGGTCTACTCCCGTCCTTTGTGGAGTAAACACACTCGATGCTTGGGACGGGTCACCATGTTTTGCTCCCTTCACACCCGCGACTTGCTGAGTTACCACCAACCAACGCTGCACTGTTCTTGGCGTCGCGCATGACCGCGTGAGCCCTAACCCCTTTCCGGCTTGGATCCGGAGCTAATTATTCCGGCATCCGTGTGACGTCAGCCATGAGGTCGTTCGCTGCGCTTTTACCCTCGCAGCCCACCAGGGTCAAAAGCGTCATCGAGCCAGTCCACTCAATTGAGGGACAACCGTTGCTGAGCTAGGGTATGGAGAATGGAGTACGGAGTACGGAGTACCCAGGCTTCATCTCAAGGCCAATCCATCTTTCTACATAAGGTACTGCGTATGGGGTCAGAGCTGCATCCAAATAAACATACATTCTACGGGGGTACGCTAGAAGTCTAATATTTTAAAACATGATACATATTATACTATACAATTGAAGACGGATGGTCTTCACCGCCCCTTAGCGAAGGGCCTCGATATCGTCGACCTAATTTAAAAGTTAGCGATAAGTAGGACCCATTGGGATATCCTAGTGAGGTACCTCTTTCACCGCCTCCGTCGTCAAGACCAGTGGGCTCTCGTCACCCACGCAGACACTATCTTCAATTCGTATCCCAATCCCTCGGAAATGTTCTGGCCACCTTTCATCGTCGGGAATATAGATACCGCTGAAAGACCTGGGTGTGAGAGAACAGCGCGCAATTTGACAAAAGATCGGGGAATCTTACGGTTCAATGGTCACACACTGTCCCTTCAGAAGCCCATGGCTCCTCGAATAGTCACCCGTATCATGAACATCCAGGCCAATATAGTGGCCGACATGGTGAGGGAATAGTGTTCTAATCGCCTATGAACAGAAAATTGAGATTAGAAACCGAGCGCCACGCTCAAAGACACAAGGCAGGTCTTACGGAACGAGGCAAATTGAAACCTAGGCCTGAAAGTTCCTCCCGGAGTCCGCGTTCGGCGTATTCGTGGATATCGTCCAGTGACATATTCTGAGATTCGTGGCACAATCCCACACACTTGCGCTGCACATTCAACACCGCAGCGTATAGGTCCCTCTGAGGAGGAGAAAATTTGCCGTTAATCGGCCACGTCCGTGTGATGTCTGATATATAACCACCATATGACTACATCTTGTCAGTCTGTCCAATCCTTATGCTCCTGGAATGGGAAAGGAACATACACCACCGCCGTCAACCAAAACCAGATTGCCGTTCCTATCATCATAGGTGAGCTCCACGGACCGGGAAGTTGTTACGGAAGAGCAAACATACCTAAGAATATCATCGTTTCGAACATAATGGATGCTAAGAGCATTCTATAATGGTCAATAAAGGCAAGCAATGAGCCGGAGTGGAATTGCATCATACCTGACCCCCCGCGACAACAGGAACGAATGCTGACTTATCGCATCCACTCATCTTGAACCGATACTCCAAAAAGGCATATAAATCCTTTTCACTGGAAAAGGATTGTTTCATAGCGTCTGTAAAAGCTCTTCCGGAGGCTTGTCCAGCTTTCCTCATGTTGGCAATCTCCGAGTCGCTTTTAAAGACTCGAAGCTCGCTAACCAGTGGGCTTAATGGCTTGATCTTTGAAAAAGCCGCTGCCCTATTCGCTGTATCCGCGTTATTCTGGATACTTGGGAAAAAGCGGGAAATGAGAGATTTTGCGGAAGTTAGCCCCTTGACGTCGGTGTAGATCTCCGATGCGCCCGAGACGATTTCTGGGAGGATGTCTTTGATTCTGTCAATACTGTCGGTCTATTGTAACTGCCTTAGTGAATAGTCCATGGAATGGAATGAGGAAGCCTACTTCATCTGCATTGAAGACGTCGAGGGCGGCTCGTGTCCCAGATCTAGCGCCCTGCCAAAGTTCTGAGTGAGGGTCCTTTTCTCTTACGTAGAGATGGAATATATGATCGCCATCGGCCCCATTGTTCGCTTTAATCGATCAGCACAATTCGGTATCCCAAGAGCACTCGAAACTCACCAATAACAGCCAGAGCGCCCGGCTCGTTAAACCCTGTAACATCGTGGGATCAGACAACTTTCCGCAGCGAAGAGTTGGGCGTGGGGACGTACCGGTCAAATAGAAGAAGTCTGAGTCCTGATGATACTCATAAAATACGCTCTTTGACTTATATTTCACGTCGGCAGCCTTGATGATAGCGACCGCATCCTTTGGCAGCTTCGCCGCAAGTTTCGCACGCCGGTGTGCATATTCTAAAGCGGTAATCCCGGGTGTTACTGGAATTACTCCATATATCAGCGACGAAGTTCCATCTTACAAGGTACAGTGTTCAATATTGCTCACGTTCACCAGCTTTTAATATGTGAGGGTGTGTTTCGTGCAGCGGTTGACCAAATTGGAGGTCCGCAGCGGAGATTGAATTGTATCGTCGGGGAGCTTGCCGGGCCTCTACCTTGGAGCGAAGGAATGGTTTTCCACGGCATCGAGAGAATGAGGACGAATCGAGCACATTTCGGACATTTCGGTAACAGTGCCGTGACAAGGAGTACCCTGCCGACATTGTTCAATTCTCTCCGTTTGAACAGGAAGAATTGAGGCCGGCTCGACTCCCGAGCTCTGATGGCGATGATGGATCGATGATTGGGACCTTCTGGAAAGCCGCATTAGCCAATCAGGGAACCTGATTAGTTAGTTAGTGAACGTCTGATGACTCAGCTTTGACTGTGAATGTACCGTGAATCTCGTGTGCTGGTGCATGTCATTTGCCAGCTAGAATTTAACTCTTACAGCGACTGATCACGGCTGCCAACTCATGCTGTGCAGAGTACGGAGTATACCACTCACCATATAGAGCCCCAAATGTCAAGACACTGGTCTGAATATATTATGACTTAGCTTAAGGGCAAGTCAATGACAAATGATGCAGAAAACTTTTGGAATGGGGCACATGCGTACTGAAAAGCTCGCGATTGTGCAAAGAAAAGAAGGGGATGAATTCATTAGGCTGGCGAACGGAAGACGCATTGGAGGTCACATTAAAAGTCGCTCAGTGCCTGAAGACCAGCTGTGGCCTTGTATGGTGATGGGTCGACAGTGTCGGACGAAGCTGTGTACCAAGATGCACCATGGAGTTCCGAGTTGGAGGAGGCGGAAGAAGAGTTTGAGGAAGGTTGACCATGGCAGAACATCTCAAAATACAGTTAGTAGGCACTTGAACTAATGACTGTAGAGGCTTCAGTCATGGATCTCGACGCTTCATGTATGTTTCAGAATAAGCATCTGATCACTGTATTTGGTTTAAGCTCCATTCTTCCAGCAGCAAAGTATTTTGTCGGGCATGTGGTCTTTAGCAGCAAAGACTCCTGCTTGCCTTTTCCGACGTTGACCTTCAGGCTTCAAGTCCTCAAGATAGTCCTTGTATTTTCGAGTGATTTTGGCTTCGCTGCACATTATTACCGGCAAGAAGTGGGAATGGAGGTTTGATTTCTTCTAGCTACGTGAGTGTGCTAGTCGGTCAGCTAGTTCCATCTTCTCGAACAGTTATTGGGAATGATTTATGTCTCAGCTTACTCCCAGTCACACTTCTCCAACAGTAACTGTGCGAATCAAAATGTGGACGTGGTATCGAACAAGTACGCACAGCACTCTAAGAGGACAAAAACTTCTGTGGAGCTCCTGACTGCTAGCTTATTCAACTACTCTGTAGTTAACTGACTACCTGATAACTTGTCTTCAAAAGAGCCTCTTCGGCATGATATGGCATCTAGTAAGAAAAGTAACGACACCAGAAGCAGAGACCACAAACCAACCACAAAACATTGCAAGAAGTGATTGGAATACCTCAAGGCTGAAAATGTCGATGTCCAACTCCATCCCATAACCCAACTCATACATACGATTCCTATGTCGTGGCAGTTAGAATACACAGCGCAAGCTCTATAATCCTCGCTCAAAACCCAGGCCGGCCAGAGAAGTAAGGAAATCAAACAAGAGAACAATTCATGTCATCGTAAGAGAGTGTTTCAATTCATCATAACCTTGTGCGCAATATCAATATGAGTATTCAACAGTTAATCCTTAGCTTTCTTGGCTGTAGGCTTCTGTCCGTAACAAACAGTCCTAATGTTAAAAAGGAAAAATGATATAAGCGCACAGCACATTTGGTTTGGAAGCGGGGAACTCACACATGTTGCCATGCATGAACTTTAGGGTTGCGTAAATCATTGCGTATATGGGCTGTCAAGACCTGAACTTCCTCCAAAGTCCACTGTCGTCAAGGCCTTGGTGAGTGATTGTCAAGGTAAGCCAATCACTGGGCGGGCAGACTCACCCCAAGGTAGTTTGTGAAAAGAAAATTGGCCCATCCGTCCAAACCTTCTTCCCAGCCCAGCTTGTTATACAGCCCAATCTCTTTTAGTTTAGGGTCCTTGGGCCATGTGCCAATGGGCCATTTGAATGTCCGCTTCTTGACATTGACAAATCCCGCCGACTTGATCATGTCCGTCATCTCATCGACAATACGGAAGGACTTTCCAAATACGTCGCCCACCTTGTGAGCTAAGGGTCCCCAGCGCTCAATCGCCGTTCCCTTCAAGGATGAATCGTCTGACTGTGCCACCACACTAATCTCAGCTTGCTCAAACCAACCACCAGGCTTTAAATGATCAAGCGCTTCCTGATAGAGAGCGGGATAGTCCGAACTGCAACCGTAAATACATCGTGCATGTATGTAGTCAAAGCTTTCCTTCCGAAACGTCCATGGCTCACAAAAGTCATCGATCTGGAATTCCAAATTCGGCGGGACCAGCGTCGGCTGGATTGCAGAAACGTCTGTAGCGATGACGGCTGCAGACGGGAATTCATCCGCAAAGTCCATCGCCCATATTCCTGTCCCTGTACCAAGGTCTAGAACCCGTTGGGGATTGTCGCCTATGGGTGCCAGGAACGTACGTCCTCCAAAAGTGAGATTAAAGACATGATGGAAGAGGTCGAGATTATCGGAGGCCTGTTCGTCGTTCGGGCCCCTGGAATGTTCAGCCTCGAGGCCTTTAACTGAGACGAATCTAGCGACATACCAATATGTTCCATATCTCCAGCCGTTGTATCTCCTTCCATTCTCATATACGTGGCTGGTTATCTGGGAATAGAGTGAGGTGGTCCCTGATGCCACATCACTGTAATCCCCGTAGGAAGAGTCGACGTCATCCTCGATCTGGATGATGCCGTCCTCAGCCTGTTCTATAGGATGATGATCCATTTATGACCGGTTTTCAGCAGCCTAGGTATAGTGTTCAACCCGTAACAGAAGTAGCCAGCTTCCGGTCAAATCGGCCCTTCCGTAGGCTAAACAGCGATGAAACAGATCAAATGAAATACCGCTTGGCCACTCAATTCGGCCCGTCGGAACCGGAAAAGTTTCGAAAAAGAAATCTCAAAAATTGGCCAAAGGCCGTGGAACAGTGGGCACGAGCATTATTATGCCAGGGCCAAGGAGTTGTTGTTAAAAAGGACGGCACAAATAATAATCCATAGTGAGCTATGGAGTACGGGGTACATGGAGTCATAACCGCGAACCGAGATCACGCCGTCTCACCGAGAGACGTCGGGTAACGATCCTGGTTGTTTCCATTATAAAACAAATGTAATTATGGCCTCGCGTTTGGAGGACAGGGGCAAGCATTTTCTTTCACTCGTGAGTTGACATCCATGTCGAAATGCTTTGGCGTGATTCGTCGCAACGCAGAAAACGCGTTTCGATTTCAGAACCCTTGGGTAACGTCTGAATCCTTTCGCATTTCCAAAGAACTTCTCGATCAAATGGATAAAGGATATGCACAACACTAACTGAAACTTGGATTTGGAGAGGGCCGTCTTTATGTGTTGTTTTGGGGAGATGTAGCTCCTTCGTTGACAGGAGGATGCAACCCGACAATGGTTCAAACTTCTTCAGGTGGTTCCTTCGTATCGGCCAGGAGGGCTCTGCAAATTTGAGTTCCCATTTCCCCAATTTGTCCCTCTTCTGCGACGCTATTTTCTGAAAGATGGAGACGCCATCCTTGAAGCGCTGCAGCATAGCCAAGGTTGCCGCAATCCGCACGCAGTGCCAAAGAGCTGGTGGAACCCAGTCAGTGGCAATTGATTCGCCCGCAAGATCAGATCGCTGGCGTGTTTCGGAGTTAAATCTCTGTGAAAGCGACCGGCGAACTTCTAGCCAAACACAAAAGGACCCAAATATGTGTTAGCACCTTCGGGCTGCGCCCGGATCATGGGCCACCCGTTCCCCTGGCTCCCCCAAAGCGGGCTTGGAGGGGATGGAGCCCGCGGAGAGGTAAAAGGACGAAGTGTTGTTAAGGAGCTTAACAGAACGTCCCTGCGGCCTCTTACCTCCCTCTAACTTTCTTGAGACAAAACCGAAGAATGGCTGCTCCCAGAGGCAGTCTCATAAGTGACTGATCGCAAAAAAAGCCCGTCATGGAAACCCCAAGTTGGGCGTTCCTCTCTCTGGGGTTTACCCTGTTAACTGCTTACATTGGCTGGCTGGTGTTATCCAGATTGTTTTGGAGCCCCCTTGCAAGATTCCCGGGGCCGCGTCTCGCCGCCCTGACCAACTGGTATGAGTTCTACTACGATGTTATCCTGCAGGGAAAATTCACCGAGCACATCCAGGATCTGCACAAGCAGTATGGTATGAAATTCACCGTCGCATGGGCAGAGCAGAGCGACTCTGATAACACTTGGGCTAGGACGTATTGTTCGGATAACCCCCTCCGAGCTGCATGTGGACGACCCGGACTTTTATGAGCAGCTCTATTCACGAAATGGGAGGAGGGACAAATACGCGTATTTCTCTGGTCGTTTTGGATATGCGAGTGACTGTTTTTCGACGATCCACCATGATCTTCATCGTCTTCGGCGCAAGCCCCTGGGTCCTATGTTTTCAACCCAAAAGATATCGGAATTTCAGCCTGTTATCCGAGCGAAGGTCGATAAGCTCTGTCAGAAGTTGTCAGAATATAGCGATGGCAAGGTCATAACACTAAATCGAGCGTGGATGGCCTTGACCACAGACATTATCACCGAGTACGCATTCGCAAAATCCTATGATCAGCTAGATTCTCCAGGTTTCAGGGAGACTCTTCACGAAGCATTGGTCGCTATTTATGTCACTGGCCACTTCGCGCTTCACTTTCCAGTCGTATTTCCAATCTTGGATGCTCTGCCAGAATGGCTTGTTCTGAAAATGCAACCGGACCTTGTCTCGGTCGTCGGGATGCGCAAGGTTAGATGCTCGAGGCAGACTCTCTTCTTGGCTCTTACTTATCCTCGTATTCCAGGACCTGGCGCGTCGGGTAAACAACATCCGGAACGGCGTAAACGACTCCTATAAGACAGTTAAGCACCGAACGATTTTCCACGAAGTGTTGAATAGCGACCTTCCGGATGACCAGAAGAGCGACGCACGCTTGGGAGACGAGGCACAACTTATTGTAGCAGCGGGGCTTATCACAACGTCGTGGGCGTTGAGTGTGGCGAGTTTTCACATCATCAATGACTCGTCCGTGTCGAAAAGGCTCCGTGATGAAGTGAATCTAGCTCAGTCAAGATCTGAAGGCCCGTTGGACTGGCGCACGCTCGAACAGCTTCCTTATCTGAATGGATGTATTCGCGAGGCTATCAGACTCGCTCATGGCATAACAACTCGCAACCCCCGTCTTGCCCCAGACTCGGAACTGGTATATGGACAATGGGTGATTCCACGAAACACGCCGGTGTCTATGACGAATGTCGATACTTTGATGAACCCAGAGATCTTTCCCGACCCGGAGAAATTTGTCCCTGAGCGCTGGATCGAGGATCCCACTTTGGATCGGTATTTTGTGGCTTTTGGCAAGGGTTCACGGCAGTGCATGGGCATAAAGTATGCAAGCCCTTTCTTTTCATTCTTCAGGTCTTCGGGAGAAGCTAACGAGGGTGTCCTAGCCTTGCCATGGCCGAGCTCTATACTGCAATAGCAATAGTGTTCAGCCGGTTCACATTCGAGCTGCACGAGACTTCACACTCTGACATTGTTATGAAACACGCATATCTAGTTCCATACCCGAGGTGGGATTCGAAAGGGGTGAGGGCCATCGTACATTCGGTCAATCAACCGTGATCCGGGGGCTTGGGTCGTATTCGTTGTGTCAACGGGTATATGGGACTCGGGCGTCAGGACTAAGAAGCAAGGATGCACATCCGATATCCTTTACAGAACATCAAGTTAACTCCCGTATCCGAAGTAGTAACTAGTTAATCTAACAACTTTGAAGTCTTTGAACTTTTTGATTCGAAATTTGAATCGGGTGGGCCAGGTACCTTGGCTGCCCCGACGAACAGCCAACGCGAGCCAAAATAGATGGACCTGGACCCTGGTTTGTCGGTCTCCCCGCGCGACTCTGATGGGTCTCAAGCTTAACCAACGATGTCACTCTTCTCGTGGTGGTGGGGTCACATCGTGGTGCCTTTGGTGCGCCCAGGGGTCTTTTCTTTTCCCCCTCCCTCTTTTCCTTTCCTTTCCTCTTGTTCAATTAATATTCGGGAACAATACCGCCTCATCCATGCATTTTGCTCTTTCGGTTTTCTGTTTGGTTGGAGATCCTCCTATCACAAAGCTTGGTGTCGCTTGGCTTCCGTGTTGCTAAGCCGTGGTTTCATCAAAATGCCGGCCTTGAACACAGAAATGGCGCCTACGGCCTTGAAATTCTACACTCATCGCGGTGTGGACCTTCTCATCTCTCTTCTACAACTCCAGCTCCCACAGTCCGGCACACTGCTTCGGCGCCTTCAGCACGACATAGTTCGCAAATCGCCAACAGCTTGTTACTTGGCAACGTTCCCGCCTACTGACGAGCAAGCTTCAGCCTCCCATCCTGCTTCGCCATGGCTGGTTGCATATGTAGATTTGTATGCGTGGCCAGGGACTCAGGTATGGTTGTACTCCAGTCTCCAGGCCGAGAGCAGCACAGTTCCTGGGCACAAGTCGACATTCAACTCTAGCGATGCCCATTTGACCGCAGTTCGTTCGCAATTGCTAAGCTTAATAACATACTGCTTTGATAAACTTCTTCCAAGGTTTATTTCTAGTCCGGAAGCCCAAGGCACATCGGCGAACGGAGGTCATGGAGCTCATCCAAACCGTCCGCCGTCTAGGCCACTTACGACGATCTTACTCGGCAGTGTGCACTCTGGTGTTGTAAAACTCCTAGAGGAGTCAATAGGACTTATGAGCCGTCCCAGATTCCACATACCCCAGCCAGATTACTGCGTAAAATATTCCTTCGCTCGCTCCGTGTACGATCCGGTGTCCAACGCATCCTCCTCCCTTCTCCCCCCGGGATATCGATTTTGCACACGTGACGGTGTAGAAGGGTTCCAGTCGTACCACTATGATCTTATAAAGAGTCGTTCTTTCATAGTCCGCCAGAGAAAAGCCTTAGAAGACATGGCCAGCGTTGTAATGTATCACGACGGCACCGGAAACATCAAAGAGAACGGGCGTGATTGGGAGCATGGCGCGCAAGAAATGCCCGTGGGCTGGGCCTTTTTAGGTTACGATGCCAGTCTCGTGTCACTGCATGTTGAACAGGAGCATAGAGGTCGTGGATTAGCAGCTGCCCTTGCGAAGTCGGTGATGCGACGAGGGATGCTGGACAATCGCCAATTCTTTTTTGGAAAGGGGGATGGCGAGGAGCGATGGGCGTTCGCTGACGTGATGTCGTACAATGATACCAGTCACCGGGTCATGAAGAAGATGGGCGGCGAATCCGTCTGCACCGTGTCATGGGTCTCCATCGAGCCGTGCACCGACGAGCATCGCATCGGTGATATGGCGAAAGGCATCCAATGCTGAAGAGCAAGGAGGTGTTAACGACGGAGATGCAATGCTCGCATCGGGTCTGTTATCGCTACCTGCCGGTGCCTTCTGCGAACTGGAATCGTTAAACCCTTGCTATCTGCATTGTATCGTGCTTTCATGTCGGGTTCGGCACGACAGGGCGCTCGCTCGGCATCTACCGGGCAGGTCCAAAACCAGCGCCTCTCAGATAAGAGGCTCCAACACTTGGCCACGCAGCCCTACACAGGGTGATCGTCTCCTGCAAAACGGGCAACACCACCGTCGGATCACGCCTCTTGCCCACGGGCACTGTACACATTCTGCACAGAGAAAATAGAATTGGGCTACTCCGCACAGCCGATAGGCCGGGCAAACCGAGACCTCGCATGTAAATACTCTTTGTAGCTTAGAGCCCTCCGCGGTTATCTGGTAAGCGCGTTGCTTCCGGCAGTGTGTAATTGGCCAGATTCCCGTGGATGGCCGCCCCGCCGCTGCGGATCCAATCAGATCACTGCAACTACATAGGGACCGCTGCTGCCAAGCGTTGACGGAGGCGGTGGGGTTGGCTTAGAGGCAGATTGCCCGCTGATAGGCAGTCTTGTCGCGGGGTAGAGAGGATGGCGTCGGCTGCCAGTCGGCTTCCGGACATTACTCATCGCATCGCGAACCATCTAAAGGGCGCAACAGGAGTCATGGCCACGGATGATAGGAACAGCCATCCAATATCGCTTTAATCTCCGTATTCTACGCGGCGTCGGGGACAAAGGTAAGCCTTGGTTGTTTTCTCGACACCCACACCATGAGTGTGGCATGCTGATAAATCAAGGAGCAACAGGATATAAACATCAATCGTGCCCGAATTGAACGAGAACATCATCATAATACAGCACAGATACACACACTCTCTCTCACACACATACTCTCTCTCGCTCTCTTGCTTGTCTTCAGAAGCCATATTCTTGTCTTTTTTCCTTGACATACAGCAACCATGGGAAAGTCACTGGTATACCCGAAGCGGGAGAGCAATACCATGAACCGGTATAAGCATAGAGGTAAAGAGCATCGCTTCTTCCAACACGTCATGCACTCCACCAGGGATTTAACAATTCTCAACAATAGGGACATATGATCTTGGTCCTATCCACTCCATCATCAACAGCGCGCCTGTTTTGCATGTTTCCTTCAGCCCCAGTCCAGATGACCCATTCCCCGCCATTCTTCCTATGATCGGCCAAATGGGTTCATTCGAATATCCCTCGTCCGGAATAGACGACCCTCTTGAGTGCTACCTTCACGGATACGTTAGCTCCCGGATCATGAACCTGGCTCGCGCCACAGATGGCAAGGGCCTTCCTATCTGCATCGCCGCGACACATGTGGACGGACTAATTCTCACCCTTACACCCAATTCGCACAGCTACAACTACCGCTCCGCAGTGCTCCATGGATACGCCACCCTGGTGACGGACGTAGAAGAGAAGCTGTGGGCGATGAAGCTGATCACTAACTCAGTGGTGCCTCAGCGATGGGAGAACACCCGCATCCCACCGGACGGCGCAGAAATGCAGTCTACCACCATCCTCAAAGTCAAAATCGTCGATGGTAGTGGGAAAATCAGAGACGGTGGCGTGTCCGACGAGAGAAAGGACAAGGATAGACCCGACGTCACGGAAAAGGTCTGGACCGGTGTTGTCCCCGTTTGGCAGACGTTCGGGGAGCCGGTGCCGGACGGGCTCAACAAGGTCAATGAGGTTCCGGAACATATCAGTTCATATATCGAGCGGATGAACGAGCAGAATCGAAAGTGTGCATTTGATGCGATCAAGGTTCCATTGCCGAAGGAGGAGCAACATTAGCTCAAAGGCCGACAGTGTGAGGGTGCTGTGTTTGTAGCTTCAATATACCTTTGTCTCCAAATATGCTTAATTTGTTTGACGGTTTTGTCATATTTTCGAGTCATCGTCAAAAATATCCCGACAGTATAAATGCGCCACATCAGCGCAAGCACAGCATACGTCCCTGAAAAGCGATAATCCCGGCTTCTGGGAGTATCGCAGGACGGCTGGGCCTATGAGTCTAATATGAAGGGCGTGTTGCGCTGCGGCCCTCGAATTCGAGTTCAACCCCAATCTTGGCGCCCAAAGAACCTTGTTTGCTATGGAAGCTTTAAGCCTCTCGCAAGCCGAGAAAACTCCACATGTGGAGAAATCGTCGCAATGTTCTGGCTTTGTCAAATCTCCAGCCGTGTTTGCATCTTTGGAGGGCGATTATTTGTTCGTAGAGCTGCATTCCGAGCCCTCCGGATAGTGCTCCAATGCCTAGACTGGGGTAACTGTCTCAGCGGCGTGGCTACCCCGCATCTGTATGGAAAAAAGCTGGGAGTCAAATGGGGTGGTATGCATTGTGTCAGCCAGCAATCTACTACTTTCCGTCCTCTATCTTCGCAGTTTTCCTTCACGAGTAGGAATCTTTCTCATACACCTAGAGCCCTGATCAAACCTGTCTCTAATTATCTCAGGGCCTTCCATTATACACCGTCGGAGGGTGTTCCGCAATATCACCATGGCGTCAGCACCGGGAGCTTCTGTGATACCAGAGGCTGACCTCCTCTCATTTCGAGAGCACCTCAGGTCCAGCAAGCGTGTTATGGCCGTCATAGGCGCGGGACTTTCAGCGGCATCCGGTTTACCAACGTTCAGAGGAGTAGGAGGACTGTGGCGACGTTACTCTGCCGTCGACCTGGCCACGCCGGAAGCATTCAATGCGACGCCTGGTCTGGTCTGGCAGTTTTACGGTTACCGGCGACATATGGCATTGCTTGCTAAACCAAATAGGGCACATTATGCCCTCGCAGAGTTTGCGAAGAAGAATCCAAACTTCATCGCATTAACTCAGAACGTGGACGGTATGCAAAATGACCGCAGCTGATACTTATTCGTGGATGAGAATGCTGAATATAATCGCGTTGGCAGGGTTATCTGAACGAGCGGGCCATCCCGAGTCCCAAATCCAACGTCTCCACGGTTCTCTATTTACCATAAAATGTGCGAACGAATATTGCACCTATTCTCGTGATAATGACTTCACCGACCCAATTGTCCCAGCGTTAGAAATTCCGAAGATACCTTTTGGAGTTGACCCATACCCAAAGGACCATACTGGAGAAAGAGCAGGACAGGCGCTCGAAGATGCGATGAAGTCTAACGCAGCGGGTCCCGGTTGGGCACCTGGGAGTGGAGAACTGGATATTTCAAACCCCAATGTTCCTATCCCTAATCTGAGGGAGGAAGATCTCCCGCCATGTCCGGAGTGCTCAACTGGCTTGCTTCGACCTGGTGTCGTCTGGTTCGGCGAACCTCTGGTCGAGGAAACTATCAATACCGTAGAAGATTGGCTTAAAAATGGCCCTGTTGATCTTGTCTTGGTGATCGGAACCAGTGCGCGGGTCTTTCCAGCCGTTAGCTACATTGATCGTGGGCGATGCAAGGGTGCTCGCGTTGCGATAATCAACATGGATCGAACCCATTTGCCTCGAACCGGAATGAAACCTGGCGATTGGATTTTTGAAGGTGATGCAAGTGCCATTATCCCTGAGCTTTTGAAAGAGGTTGTCGGCGAGATTGAGTTACCAGAGAATCAATAAGTCCTGGGAAAGCACGAAAATGAGGTTTAATTTCCAAGGCTTTTCCGTTTTGGTCGATATATCCGGGCGTTTTGATCTATTATCCTGTTCAATTTTTTTTTTCCCCCTTAAGAAAACGTGACTTCTTGCGGAGATCTTTGCGCTTACCTGAGGATGCAGCCTGGCGTTTCTTACGGAGAAACAAAATGGGCTAAAAATTACCAATAATTAATAGAAATTGACCCAGCATCCTTGGAAAAGAAAAATTATCTTGCAATTTGTACGGAGTAATGTGTTCTATTGAAAACATGTTGAGGGGCGGAAGGGTCAAGTACATTGCATGCAAAGGGGTTCAGCCCTTTCCATTGTCCGTGGCCTAGCCAGTTTTCCTAAGGCTTATGAGCTATAAGTAAATCTCTTCAACATGGTCAATGTACAGCAACTACCACTCAAACATTGCATTTGCAACCAGTAACTCTAGAGCCTCTACCTTACCCAAGAGGTATAAGTGGCATCACAAGGTTGCAGGTCCACTGCACTTGGGGGCATAATAAGCGCTGTGGTCTTGAATATCCAGAGCCATACACTAGGAAATGTGACAGCAGCAGCAAACAAAATGGAGAGGAAACGTGAACAGTGCATGCTCTCAGCAACGAATGATGCCTGATACTCCGTGGACTCGCGGAGACAACAAACGTCCAACGCCTCTGTTTGTGATGACTAATCACCTTCGTTGCCATGGCATCAGCCTAAAACACGCGCTGGAGCTCGAGCAAGCTTTCGTTGCATCGACAAGCACATAGAGAGCGCATTTTTGCTCACCCATCTCTCATTTATGGGTTGATATAACGCATGAGAATTTCCTTCCAGGTGCTTGCTTGAAAGCACTTACCTTTTGAGCAGTCTATCTCCAAGCCCGTGAGCCATTTGTTTTATTGTGAGGCTTGGTAGTGAATTGGCTGTCACAAGGGGCAAATTTCCGAACGGCCTCACCCTCTTCGAGCCCGTTTCTTTCGCTGCTATATTGTTGCAAAATTCTTAAATTTACTGGATTTTGACCAGAATGGTAAACGAGCGTGAGCCGCCGAAACATCGGCCAGGATCTATGGGAAGTGGAGAGAATCAATCCCAGAGAATGGTTCCACCGGAGTTTGGAAAGCCCTCTCTGCTTGGGTCTAACAGGGGAAATCCTTTCTACATCCCGAAGCCGAACAAAGCTCGCCCAGAACACCACAGGCCGGCGACAAATTACTCACAATCACAGCAATCAAGGGACAGGCGTACTGTTGATCCGTTCCAAGTGGTGAAGCCTTCCTCCGCGTTCACGGGCTACAGGTCCTCAAACATACCCGATGACGACGACGTGGTTGAAATAACTCGCCCTACAAACGTTGTTTGGACCACTCAACCGAGATCGAAGCCGTATTTCTCCTCTAAACCCACCCCGTCGATTAGCAAATCCCGGAGCAATTTGAAGAACTTTATAGACTTGACTGCAAATACTGTTGGGTCAGCGACGGGGCCCTCTGTGTACGATGATGATTCTCGGGCGATAGAAGCCTACTCGTATCTGGATAGCGCGAAGGCGAATGAGAACATCAAAGCGTTGCTTGAAGGTGCATTTGAAGACGAAGATGACAAGCCCCGAACTAGACTCCGCAAGAAAAAGATTCAGACCCAGGTTGATGAATTGGCGGACAAACTTCAAGGGATTAACGTCAATGAGCAAAACTCCATCCAGAAATCTGCAAATGAGGGCGAACCGCCAAAAGAAGAGGAGGACGATGAGGAAGAGGAGAATGATGGAACTATTGAAGGTTTAAAGGTCACACTGCTCCCCCATCAAGTTGAAGGTGTAAGCTGGATGAGGGACAAGGAAACAGGGCTGAAGAAAACTAGAGGCGTGCTCCCCAAAGGTGGTATTTTAGCAGATGATATGGGTCTTGGGAAAACCGTTCAGACCATCGCACTTATGCTCACCAATCCAAGGCCGCCTCCCGGAAAAGATGGTGAAAAAGATAACCCCAAGGATAAGGCGAAAGTCCCTGATAAAGTAGGGAAGGGAACATTAATTGTTGCCCCGGTGGCCTTGATCAAACAATGGGAGTCTGAGATCGAAAGTAAAATCGAGTCAACCCGTCGGCTGAACGTCGGCGTTTATCATGGTCCAGGTCGTGCAAAAATTGCTACAGATCTCGCAAAATACGACGTTGTTATTACAACATACGGCACTTTGAGCTCTGAACACGGAGGTTCAAGCAAGACAAAAGATACGACAGATGGGAAACCTGGATGTTTTGGAATACACTGGTATCGAATTGTCCTTGATGAAGCCCATACGATCAAGAACCGCAACGCGAAATCCACACAGGCCGTATACGCGTTGGACTCACTGTACAGATGGTGCCTGACTGGTACTCCCATGCAAAATAACTTAGATGAGCTTCAAAGTTTGATCAGGTTCCTACAGATTAAACCTTACGATGATCTCGCTGCATGGAGGGACCAAATCTCTCGCCCACTAAACAACGGTCGTGGCGGTTTGGCCATCCGACGATTGCAAGTCTATCTGAAAGCCTTTATGAAACGACGAACAAAAGACGTATTAAAGCTGAACGGTGGTCTCGATAACAAGAGCCCAGATGATGAGAAGGAAAGCGATAAGCCATCGAGCGGCTTTCGAATCACAAAGCGAGATGTCATCAAAGTCGAGGCTGATTTTACAACGGAAGAAAGGGAATTTTACAGTCGTCTTGAGGATAGGACAGATAAGAGCCTGGAGAATATGATTGGCCGTCATAAATTGAACTATGCCAGTGCTTTGGTGCTGTTACTCCGTCTTCGACAAGCTTGCAATCACGCAGATCTTGTAAAGGGAGATCTTGCTCGGGAAAAGGATGCAATTATTGCCAATGGTAACCAATCAAAGGGCTCTGAGGGAGGCGATATGGATGAGATTGCCGACATGCTAGGGGGCCTTAGCGTTGTTAGCAAGCGCTGCGATATCTGCTTGATTGACCTAACTTCAGAGGAGACCAAGAGCGGTGCAATCAGGTGTAACGATTGCGAGGCTGATCTGAAGATTCATGTCGGCTTGTCGAAGGACAAAAAGGCAGAGAAGCAGAGAAAGAAGAAGCCCAAGGAAAAACAGGTCTGCGTGGAGGCCGCCGAGCAACAAACCGCGAGGCGTCAAAGGAATCGACGCGTTATTCTTGACAGTGATGACGAGGATGAAGGTGAATGGATTGTCCCTGAGAATAAGCGGGTAACAGAGGATCTTGGGAGAGCTGGAGGGACAGATGACGAGAATGCTGAGGGTGGTGGGGAATGGATCGGCTCCGAAGACTCAGAGACTGGTGAGGATGAGGAAGATAGTGCTCAACTCGACGACGATGACGATGTAGACGAGGAACAAGACGATCCGGACTACACCGCGTTGAGGAATCTCTCATCCTCGACGAAGATCAGGCATCTTCTGAGAATATTGAAGCGAGAGGCTGGAGAGTTTAAATTCATTGTCTTCTCCGTTTTCACTTCCATGCTAGATAAGATTGAGCCATTCCTCGAGAGTGCAGGGATTGGCTACGCGAGATACGATGGTGGAATGAGAAATGGCCTTCGAGAAGCTAGTCTTGAGAAACTCAGACACTCGAGTTCCACTCGAGTGCTTCTCTGTAGTTTACGAGCGGGTTCATTGGGGCTGAATCTTACAGCTGCCAGTAGGGTGGTTATCCTAGAACCATTTTGGAACCCAGTACGTATACTCCAGCCCCTTGACCCCATTTTTGTATCACTAGCATTTAACTCTATTGCAGTTCGTCGAGGAGCAAGCCATTGACCGTGTCCACCGTCTGAATCAAACAGTGGACGTGAAAGTCTACAAGATGACCATTAAAGATACCGTCGAAGAGCGTATTCTCGACCTCCAGGAGCGCAAACGCGAACTTGCCAGTGCTACCATCGAAGGTAAGACCGCGGCGGGGAAGCTCACCATGAACGATATGCTTGCCTTGTTCCGTCACGATGCGGAGGCGAGGTACGTGGAAGACGAAGGGTTGGACTTTTCTTCCGGAAAGGGACGGCTGTTGGAGTCCAGGGAGGTGGCGGAAGATGCGTTTGGGCATCTGTCCTTGAGTGGTTCTTTGCGGAGTTCGTCTTTGAATCCGGACCAGAACCAGGGAAGAAGGGCTTCACCGCCGGTTATGGAGCGGGATCTGAACAAAAACAGGAAGCGGGTGCAGGAAAGCTCTGTATACGGGCGGAGATGGTGACGCAGGTGTTTCGTTTATTTGAAATTTCGGGTACTGAACCCATACTGTCTTTTGCGTAACAGCATTGTTTGCTGGGTTATTAGATTTGGGGGGGCCGGCGTTTGTTTCCGGATTCTCGAGGCTTGGTGGGATCATATCGAACTGTGGTTACCTAGACTTTTTCTTTTTTCTTTCTTTTTTTCTTTTTTTTTTTCCTTTTTAAATTTAAATTTGACATCACTTTTCTTTTTCTCTTCGCCAGGTTTGTAGCTATCACTCTGTAGTTGACCGGCGCAGGGTCTTGGATTGATTGACTGAAAAAATAACCGAGATGGGAAAGAGGCCCATGTGTCTTCCGCAAAACTCTCCAATATTCCTGAAACGATTTACGCTCCACCGAAAACCTCTCTAGGTAAAAGATGTCCGTTAAGAGAAGCCCCTGGTTTTCTTCCTCTGACACACGATGTCGATGCACCGTTCTCCACCATGTGCTGGCGCTATCCAGGGTGGGGAATCTCAAGCGAACATAGGGCTGAAACCATCCAGGGTGTCTGACAGGCGATTGGATCATTTGTCCCGTTTTTCTTTTGTGGGGGAGGAGAACTACGAATGACGCTGGGAGGTTTGAGAGAGGTGTTGGTTTCGTTGGGGGGGAGCGAGAAAGTTGCATTCATCGCGAGGGAGACGGATAGGCTTTTTTTGCCCTCCTGTGCGGAGCATAGAGGATACAGCAAATCTGAATTGACAAACAGGGGATTCTCATTTCGGTTGTTGTTCCTTGCGAGGCACAATGCTTCAGCACGGCGCCATTTTCTTTCTTTTCTTCCTTTTCTTTTCGTAACCCGCCCAATGTTTGCGTCTTTTTCGTTTGTTCTCGATACACTTTCTTTGTCCCCGTACCGAGTAAGGTCACGTACATCGCCTCACTGCGGACGATATTATTGGCCCATCTGCATGGTAAAAGCGGTGTGGATTTGTCTTTGTTCTAGAAGACTTCTTTCTCGCGTGGCCAGTGTGAGTGTGTGGGTTTGAAAGGCGTGGATGGCTTCCTTCCACGTGTTGCGCTTCATTTATGCAGGCTGCCTTGCTTGCATCCCTGCAGAGTATCTTGTTTTCTTTTTTTCTTTTTTTTTTTTTAATTTTCCCTTGTCCATGAAATTTCACCTGTTGGATCTCATGTACCGAACACACTGTGCATCATAATCAGATAATTAATGAAGCCCAAGAATGTACTCCGTAATGAAGCATGGGAATCCATGCGGGGTGGGGATGCAGGTTGGCCGGTTTTTCCCCGGCCTATCAAACATGAAAGGGAGATTTTTTTAGTGGACCGAAAAATTGGGATCTCCCGAGCGGTGAAGTTGGGGTATTTAATTGTCCATGTTCATATGGAGTATGGATGGATTTTGTTTTCTAATTCAAATAAATGAAGGGCATGTGGGAGGGAACACGATCTTTGTACCTTGGACGGAGTACTCTGTACGAAGTACCCCGTATCGAATCTTGTAACATGGCACGAGGCCGGGGTGCAATCTGCTCTGTTTTTAGATGCATGTTTGATGGACACTCTCTGTGCCACATTTGAAAAACAATAAAGCAGCATACTATTTTAATTCATATGCTGCGGTCGGTCAGTAGACCTGCAGTGGGAATAAGGACGAGGGATTAACTGCATGCCGGGAGCTTTGTTCGCGCTTCACGGCACACGGTCCTTGAAGGTGTTCTCCTTGGATCTTTTCTGAGAGAGGGTATTGGAGATGCAAAGAACCACATTACGCGACAGAATGAATGGGCTTTAGAGAGGCCGTTCATGACAACAGCAGACAACTTTGGAGATCACCCGAGCAATTGAGTTGAGCGATCACGTTGCACGGAAGGCGTCTTCCGCAGTGCTTGATAGGAAATAAGACTTTTAGCAAATATGCATAATGAGCACAGGGGGGACAGTTTTCCTTTTAACTTTTTTCTTTTTTTTCCTTTTTTTTTTTTTTTTTTTTTGGAGGAATGGTTTCAAGGAGCCTCGAGCGAAACCCTTCCCCGATCCGCACACAGCTGCACACATGACAAGATGGAACAAGAGATCTGCTTTTCTTTTCTTTTCTTTTCTTTTAAAAAGGGTTGGGAAGATCGACTCGAAACCAAGGGCGAATCCGCAACAATATCCCTTGCAGGTCAGATACCGAATGCAGTTATGGATAGCGAGGTTCCGGTACCTGAAACAAAGAAAATCTGCAGGTTTTCAGGAGATGAAGAAATGGTCGCGGAAGAATGTCATGGATACATCATAATGAGCGATGGTATCGGGGTGCCTGATTATTGGAACCTCAAGGAATAACAAGACCAGACCCGGTCCCTGTCTTGCTCGTCAGGGTCGGGACACTCCTGATAGGTGAACACTGTGTTGGAACTGAGACATCAATTCCATGTGTCATAATTTTTTTTTTTTTTTCCTTCGGTGAGAGGCGTACAATTAACCACATTTTTTTTTTTTTTCTCCCTGCAGGAAAAGATGATTAGAGCAGTGATCCATACGCTGCATAGAGAGTTGAATTCGCTGTTGTGCCAGCGAGTGCCGATCGGCGTGCTTGGATCAATCTGGCTTTTTGAGGCGCGAGTTGGTGAGTGGTTGAACACCGTTTCGCTCTCGAACAATCAGATTTTCGGCTGGGTCCCATTGTATATTTTATTTTTTTCCTTCTTTTCTGTTTCTTCGTAAATATTGTCCTTTTCTTTACTCGGGAGAGGCCCAATTCTGGGACGGCCAGGCCGCGGTGTATATACTCCGTATTCGAGAATGATTCACGACGCAAAGCTCCGGAACGCCAAGCGGCTTGGCGCCGTAAGGGTATCGTATCTGACAAATACTTTGTGGGCATGTGGGCGGCGAGGGACGTACCAGCACGTATTAGTGTTTCAGCCTGGGTGGGCTTGACCGGATAGGGCTTAGTGGAAAGCCTTTTTTCGGTTAACTGAAAACGTGGCGCCCACGCGGCGATCAAAAACAGCGCAAACCAAGCCAATGACACAGGGCCCAGCGTGGTTGTCCACAGCACCAAAAAAAAAAAAAAAAAAAGAAAGAAAGAAAAAGGAGAAAAAGCCCAACCACGCGCAGCGGGCGTCGCTGCTCTTTTCGTTTCGGTATATACGGCGTGGGGGCAGAAGGGGGATCATCCGCCAAGTCGTCGTCCCTTTCGTGCTCTGTTCCATGATGGATTTCTTCCTTTTCCCTTTTCCTTCGTTCTTCCACTGGTGGTTCAAGTCCAGTCCATCCCGCAAGGTTTGACGGCCGGCGGACCGTAATCTTACAGCGATTTCCGTCACGTGGGAATCCATCACCCTCCCGCCCGCCGGTTTCTTCCAGCGGGAACCTTGGTTGAGATCGTGCAGAAAATACAGTGAAAAACAGGGTCGAGGGAAACACAGGGAACAGGCGACGGCCGCCTCAATTCGGGTGGTTTTGCCTGCTGTCATGATTGGTTGGGCTCCCTGCATGAAGTCTGGATCTGTTTAGATAATTCGTAGTCATCAATCAGGATTGAATCGAACTGGCGATCGGCGCGTGGTTTTTTTTTGGCCACGCTCGACGGAAGGTTGTTAGCACCCGATACGAGCTTCTTCTGGCCTGTGAATCTCTACAGTATCTTTCACCCACCCCCCTGCTGCTCGTGAAAGAAAAAAAGGTCAAAGCCTAAAAAGTCGTTTGGTGGGGAGGTTCCGCGCGAGTGGACCACCACCGATCCATTTTCCTCCAAGCCCGAATCTCACTCGCTCGCCAAACCAAAAGCGGTAACAATCATATTATCACTTTTCTCCCTTCCCCCCTCTCCCTCGCCCCCCGTCAACCACGCTTCGCCGCCGTCCCATCCTGTCCTCTCGGCGTCCGCTCCGTCCAGCTCTTCTCCTTGTCCCAATTCCCCCTTTCTTGCAGAGAGCACGTCCTGTCACCACCACTAGCAGTAGTTAGTAACCGGCGGGTCGCCGCAGCAGCATCAGCACCCTCGCCGTCGATGGCTGCAGCTGGGTCTTTTTCCTTTCTTTCTATCTCTCCACTCCGCCAACCATTGCCTTAGCTTCTGCATCCGCCATCGCCTAATTCTTTTTTAGTCCCAATTTGTTCTCCATCCTCCTAACTTAAGACCCCTGCCGCCAGCACTGGGTCATGTGTTGATGGCTCTTGTCCTGAACTCTTCTCCTTTCAAACCACTTCTCTTCCACCCAACAAGGCTCCAATCCTCGGCCGCCGCTCCTCAGTGCTAAACCTTCCGTTCCCACCTTGCCCACTTCCTGAGGGACTGCTCCCCAGACCTCACTTCCGACTTCCACCGTCCGTGTGCCACTCTTTGGAAGCTCCATCCACCGAATTTTGGGGATCCCAAACGTGAGCCCCAGACGCCTTTTCACCCCCGCCAATTCTCTGAATACACCGCTGTGGTCCCCTCAAATCTCAATCTCTCTCCCCCTCTGTCTGTCTGTCTGGCTATCAGTTCTTCGGCTGCCTTTGTCTTTACTCTCTCTCTCTCTCTCTTCCCCCCCCTCTTTTCCTGTCCTAGCGAACCTTGCCCCTTGTCCATTGCAGAAGCGTAGTGACGACAGTTATCCGCTGTGCCACTACATCCTTTACTTCTGGCACATGTCAAAGCCGCGTCACGGTTTCTTACGCTTACCGCTCCGATTGCTTCTTTAGACCTTTCCTTGAAACACCTGATTTTCCGGCCTTTGCTTTCGCCAAAGTCGCTGATAACGAACCTACGCTTCCCACGAAAGCTCAGTGCTACGCTCGTCTCACCAGTTTGATTCGGATTTTTCTCAGAAATTCTTAAGTGCTGCACGAGAGTTGCCAATCAGGTAATGCAGACGCGACGACGCGGCCACTAGTACCATTTGAAAACAAATAAAGTTGCCGGCGAGGTGAAGATGGGGAACACTCAGACAAAGCAAGCTTCATGCGATGATGCAGGTCCGTATAAATTGATCAGGGTATTTGGGGGAGGAATCAGCTGCCTCCAAGATCAGCCATTGATTGGAAGGAGACTGACCTGCTGAATGATGCAGTGAACCTGAACCACTTCCGCCTGTTAAGGGTTGTTGGGAAGGGCGCCTTTGGGAAAGTTCGAATTGTTGAGCGCAAAGACACAGGCTTAACGTTTGCTCTGAAATATATCCGGAAAGATGAAGGTAATGATGGATCCTGTGTCCGTATACACCAACCAATTACTTACTCAGAACCTACCAGTTGTCCGATCCGAAAGTGTCCGCAACATCATACGAGAGCGACGGATGCTAGAACATCTAAACCATCCATTTCTGTGCAACTTGAGATACAGCTTTCAAGATATCGAGTACATGTGAGTGCACCTGCGGCTGGTGCCTTGAAACAACGCCCAGTCAGATCTGACATATATTTTTTCCTATTGCAGATACCTAGTAGTAGATCTCATGAACGGCGGTGATCTTCGATTCCACATCTCGAGAAAGTGCTTTACAGAAGAAGCTATCCGATTCTGGATTTCAGAACTAGCCTGTGCTCTGCGCTACATTCATGGCCAGGGAATCGTTCATCGAGATTTAAAACCAGATAATGTATTGCTTGATTCCAAAGGCCATGTCCATCTGGCAGACTTTGTAAGCCCAACACTCGTGATACGTTTATTCGGCCGAATTGCTTATTGTCTTGCAGAATGTTGCGTCCGATTTTAAACCCACCAGACCTTTGACCAGCAAATCAGGTACTCTTGCATATCTAGCGCCAGAAGTCTTTGACGGCTCTGGTTACCTCAGCGAAGTGGATTGGTGGTCACTTGGTGTGACATTCTACGAGTGCATTTACAGCAAGGTAAATGTCTCCTGCACGTTGGTTACTTCTTCTGTTCCCGCATTGACCCCGGACCAGCGACCTTTTGATGGCCGAAATCACCATCAACTCGGCGAATGTATCATGCGTGCACAACCCAAGTACTTCGTAACGAACCCTCCTGTCACCGTTCCATGCTTACACGCCATGGGAGCCCTGATGGAAAAAGATCGATCCAGACGAATCGGAGCTGTTTCATTCGAATCTTTCACCACCCATCCTTTCTTTGCTGACATAGATTTCGACGCCCTGGAGAGACAAGAGATAAGCCCCATTTTTGTCCCTTCGAGCGATAAAACTAATTTTGACGCCACGTATGACCTTGAAGAATTATTATTGGAAGAAGCACCCTTGGAAGCGAGAGCTCGGCGACAAAAGCCCCGAGCGGAGCTCAAGGAGGATGCGACACCCAAGGAGATTCGAGAAGATGAACTTTACAGAATAATAGAGACGATGTTCGAACCATTCGATTACACGCTGGTGAAGTATGAGGGGTATGTTCCATTGACACCAAACTCTGATTATGTTCGGACACCTACTGACTTCACCCTAGAACTGCCGCTGCCGCCATTGAGGCCTCAACGTCAGTACTTCATGCTCACCCGATCCCCCAACACCAGCTGAACCTTGCTTTTAGTAATCCCGAAGAACAACTTCCCCCTACCGTACCCCGTACAAACCCGGCACATTCCCGACACCCTTCTCAAGCCCGCTCCGGTAGCGTTTCGCCGTCTCTAACCGAGAAATCATATAATCCATCCAATGCCTCCGACACATACTCTCCGCTCGGCGAAACGATACGGTCTATAGCGTCAAAAGAAACCAACGGACATAGCGGGATTCATTCAGCATCACCACCTCCTCCACTTCAACGGCCACCTACATCTCAACCACAGAACTACCAACCCCCATCTCTTTACCAAAGGCACCCAGGTGTCACACGCAAAACGAGTAAGGGGGGTGGAGTGCAGATGGTCTTGGGAGAAGCTGGTAGCTGGAGTACTCTCGCTGATCACAGTGGTATCAGTGAAGGAGCCAAAGGAAAACCTGCTGCGAATGGCGGAATGTTCTCGTTCCTGAAGGGAAAGAAAGGTCGAGAACGAAGTCCCAAACCCACAGAGCCAGGAGTACTAGGGAAAGAGGGGGCTAGGCAGATTATAAGCTGATGCCGACCGGGTTCCTGGATCTCGACTGTATCGGATGTATGAACGTGGGACTCCAATGAGAGACTCACATTTCACCAAGACTACGTGCGAATTTTTCGCGCGTCTCAACTATATTGTTACTCCACAGATGACGCCGTACCCTGACGTAAGGCCGGCCACCCGATACCGCTTCTACACTCCACTTGCTGCACACTCATCCCTACATCTTATTGTTCACTGCTTCCCTACGCAAAAGAGCAACGTCTACTCCGTACATCACGAGGTTATGAATTTTCTGGGGAGCACAAACATCTTCCATGTTCATATTTGGCAGATGCGTTTTTGCATGGATTTGACATAAAACATTGGTTTTCTTTTATCTCATCATTGGCATGGATTCGGTTGGTGGGATGGCGGTGCACGTTTCGTTTTACTTTTCCTATGCTGTTTAATAGACGCTTCGTGGCAACTTGGGACCTTCTCGTTTCTTTCCCCCCCAAACTTTCTTGTTCTCTTCTGGGGTGCTTTGACACTTTTGCGTCACTCTTATCCTCCTGGTGCGCCTTTTGTATGCTTATAGCGCTTGATTATACCCTGGTTCTGACAGCGAGGTTTTCAATGCTCGTTTCCTTGATGCTGAAAACGGGCTAGCTCTTCTCTTCTTTTCTTTTCTTTTCTTCTTTTCTTGACTTTACTTTGCATCAGCTATGCCTCAGCGCGCTATCGATGGTTATTTGGATTTACAGCATGACGGACTTGTATTCTTCTCCAAGTGGGTTTGATTGGTTTGCGTTTGATTTAAGAATTATCAGTACATACATCATATGTAATTCATCGACGTGTATTAATCCAAACATTTTATCATCCTGGAATCTGAAGAGCCCTGTAGGCGATTTGAGATGCTTCCCCATCCATCAATACTCACTCCCTCAGTTCGTCTTGCCGGCGCCAATTTGCCAGCTGTTTGTTTGCCATGACGTCAAACTACCATCATTAACTAACGTATTCCACAACCGAGCGGGACAACCAAGCGAGCGGGACACCAAAGTACACCTACAAATCTCAACTTTTGCTCTCTTCTATCTCAACAACATTGTTGAATATAGACTTTAGAATTTAGATGTAGAGTATATGGACACTTAATAAACAGTATTATCAATTTGATTTATTTAACTCTATTATTTGTGAAGATACTTTGATATATGCTAGTAAAAAGATAATAAAATACTATAACTTAAGAAATAATTATTATATTTAAATAATTCTTATAATTTACAAAGTTTATTATATCTGTATAGTATCTTCTTCATTTTATAATGATCAGACATAGACTTGTTAAGATATAAGAGAGCAAAGAGTTGAGATTTGTATGCGTACTTTGGTGTCCCGCTCGCTTGGTTGTCCCGCTCGGTTGCGGAATACGTTACATAAGCTATCAATTACGTAAACACTAACCTGTGGCGGATGTTATTGGCTGAGCCCCTGGAATGGAGTTGGATGTAAACATGTTACCTGATCCGTACAGGAACAGTGTCTGATTGAGGCAAGCGGGCGTCAATTCATCTCTCTTGCTTTCTTTGCTACTCCGGACAGGGCGGAGAAAATTATCTCGACAATACGCTCTTTGAATAAGAAGATTCGCTGCGTCGGGAATATTGGCGAAGCGAATTGACAGGCAATTCCAGTCATTCGATCGCTTTCGACGACGGCCAAAAGCAAACAAGGGAAACTAACTGAGGAACCCTTCGATTACGATTTTTTGACATTCCAAACCGATTGTGCCTTTTTAAAGAAAGACTTTGGTTTTTGTATCGCGCTTTACATTTTGTCGACTTGGGGGGTGTGATATTGCGTATGCCGCAACGTTCGCGGGATCATCACCGCGGCTACGAACCAGAATGGGAGGACCGGCAGAAGAAGCCAGACCGGCACAGATATCGCGATGATAGCTATGATTACGAGTATGACGACGACGACATCATTGACGCTGAGGAAAGGCGGTATGTTGAACCCCACCACGGTCGACGGCATCAGCGGCGTGACGAGTCTCGCGCGCGAGCGCATCGTCGCTATGATTCCTACGATAGGTATGAGGATGGTGGTGTTGACGAGTATGATGATAATGATGGAGGATACGACGATTATGGAGGGGAGGAGAGTGAAGTTATCGTTGTAGATTCAAGACCGAATTTTGCGAGGCCGCCGAATGTTCGGGCCAGTCCCAGACGAGCGAGTCCGCCGCCGTATATGGGTGGGAGAGAAAGATCCAGACAGCATAAGGCGAAGGAGTCTCCTGCGACGTCGCCAGCTAAGAAGAGAGATCGAGAGCGGGATAGAGAGGGTCATCGAAGGAGGAGAGATAGCACGGCGGATGAGGATGGGCCGGTCGGGGCGAGGTTAAGAGAGAGAGTTGCGAGAGAGAAGTATCGTGAAAAGGACATTGCAGATGTTCGGGCGCGAAGTAAAGATGAGCGAAAAAGATCGGTGCAGCGGGACAGAGCGAGAGAGAGAGAGCGTGAGCGTGTTCGCGAGAAGCATGCCAGCTCTGGCTCGGCGAATAGTGCGACCCAGCTGCTGAGCGCGGATGCATTATCGAAGTTAAATAAGTATAATGCAAAGAGGGATGCGGCTGAGCGACAACGTGAGGCTAAAGATGAACAGAGGAGTCGTGAGAAGGACAAACGGCGCAGGAAGAAAGAGGGCTTCTTTGTTGGCAAATCTCGTGATCGCGGTACGTCGAGGGAGGGAGGGAGAGAAAAGAGCAAGAGAAGACTTGTATCTGGTGCAATGATGGAAGAAGGTCGTGGTCCAGAATTAAGGGTACGAGGAGGTGGCCGACATGGACAAAAGTGGAGAGCGGACGACAGATATGGCGGAGGCGGAGGAGGCGGGGGCGGAAGAGGAGGGAAATGGTTCAGCAACTGGAGTAAGAAAAAGAAGATTTTGGTTATCGTTGGAATTCTTGCATTACTATTGATCATCATCATCCCGGTCGGCGTCGTGGTTTCAAAGAAGAAAGATGATGAAGGTGGCTCAGCTGGGCATGGGGATGGGGATGCCCCTTCCAACGATAACCTCAAGGAAATCGACCGCGATAGCATTCCGGTAAGTCATTATTTCGAGTGTGGTGCGGTTTGGTATGGTTAATGTTGTTGTAGCAAAGCGCCAGAGGAACGTATCTCGACCCTTTTACGTGGTATGACACTGCAGATTTTAACGTGACATACACGGATGAGACTGTGGGTGGGCTGCCGGTGATGGGCCTGAATTCTGCCTGGGACGACTCTGCGCAGGCGAATGAACACGTCCCACCTCTGAATAAGAGGTTCCCGTACGGGAAGCAACCTATTCGCGGAGTGAGCGTTGGGGGATGGCTTTCACTCGAACCGTTTATCACTCCATCGTTTTTCAAGAAATACTCTGTGCATGACAATGTCGTTGATGAGTACACCCTCACCCGGCGCCTCGCCTCCTCTGCGAAACCTACCTTGGAGAAGCATTATGCTACCTTTATCACAGAGCGATCTTTCAGAGAGATACGGGATGCTGGGCTGGACCACGTTCGGATACCGTACTCTTATTGGGCGGTGAAAAAGTTCGACGATGAACCGTATGTGGAACAGGTTTCGTTCAGATATCTCCTACGAGCGATCGAGTATTGTAGGAAATATGGACTGCGAGTTAGCTTGGACCTGCACGGATTGCCCGGGAGCCAAAATGGTTGGAACCATAGCGGCCGTCACGGAGCCATCGGCTGGCTGAATGGGCCCGATGGGGATAAAAATGCTCAGCGGTCTTTGGATATTCACGATCAGCTCTCCAAGTTTTTCGCGCAGCCACGCTATAAGAATGTCGTCACGCTATATGGCCTTGCGAATGAACCGTTGATGCTGAAGCTACCCATTGAGCCTGTGATAGATTGGACCAAGAAAGCAGCAGAGATCGTTGAGAAAAATGGCATGAAGCAACACATTGTTTTCGGAGATGGGTTTCTGAAACTGTCCAAGTGGAAGACCATACTACAGGATACTGGGCACAGTCTCCTCTTGGATACGCATCAATACACGATCTTCAATACCGAACTAATTGGCTTGGAACACAAGAAGAAGCTCGAGTTCGTCTGTGACGGGTGGGTGGAATTGCTAAGTGACAGCAACTCAAAGGGAACTGGGTAAGGAAATTTCACTGAACTACATTTAATTATGCCATTGGATATGTGGCTAACTGCATTATAGTTGGGGGCCGACCATCTGCGGTGAATGGTCCCAAGCCGACACGGACTGCGCCAGGTATCTTAACAACGTCGGCGTTGGCACCCGCTGGACTGGTACCATGGATAGCCCCAGCGCCAAAGATCAAGTTTCTGAACCTCTTTGCCCTGCTGCCAAGTCTGGTAACGGGAAAGCATGTAGCTGTGATGGCGCTAATGCTGACCCTTCTGAATACTCGGATGCGTATAAGAAATTCCTCCTGACGTATGCGGAGGCGCAGATGTCTGCCTTCGAAAAGGGTTGGGGGTGGTTTTATTGGACATGGGAGACCGAGTCAGCGGTGCAATGGAGCTGGAGAAGAGGATTGGAGGCTGGCATTTTGCCAAAGAAGGCGTACGAGCCGTCGTTTAAGTGTGGAGATACTCTCCCCGAGTTGGGTGATCTGCCGGAGTACTATTAGTGCTCTATGGTGTGTTGGAACTTGTAATATTTATTGTTGGAACATGGTCTGGAGAGCTGGGAATGTCTTGCATTGCCTGTGATATATTGGAGTTGTGATTTTGCTTCATTCTGCGGGTCGGGTATTAGCTAGGGATGGTTTGGTTTGGGTATAATCTGTCTGACGCCATATTTGGCTCTGAATTTTGTTCGATGTTTCCTACAATACCCAATGCTCTCCTATCGGAGAAGTGGCGATGCTTGTATTGTTTTGATCAAGCCAGGAATAATTCACTTTTTTACACCTGGACGTGACAGGATCATAGCCTGACGTTTCTTCATACACTTGAAGACCTCAATTAACTCTTGGGTGTTCTTCCAAATATGCAATATCCATCCATACCCCCATATCGTGTCTCACATATTATTATATTATATACAGCGTGTCGATGTTCTCCTGAGGTCTAGATTGCTTTCAGCCGTCATGGATCATGTCTTCATGGAATGGCATCGATAGTTTTCGCGTTAATTATTACCCCCTCAGTTGCCTTCATTTGGTACACCCACGATCTCCACAAGCTCGGTCTCAAAAATCAGTGTCGAGCTGGGCGGAATGGGTCCCTTTTGTTTATCTCCATAGCCTAGCAAGGGCGGGATGGTAATCTTTCGCTTATCACCAACACACATGTTACGGGCACCTTCATCAAAGCTTCGGGGTGGGAAATTGTTTCTTATTAGCGAAATTCCATAGAGATACTGATTACACAAAGGGCCAAACCCCAGCTAATACTGCTAATACATACCCACGAATCACTTTGTTCGCACCGAGTGGAAATTCCAATGGCTCCTGGCCAATGCTAGAATCGAACTCCGTGCCGTTGGTAAACGTTCCGCGATAATGTATCTTGATCGTATCACCAGCCTGAGTCGGGCGGGAGCAAGTCTCTCTGTGGGTCAATTCGATAACGAGATCGGCGCACTCCAATGCGGCAACGGCCGTTATGATAGTAAAGAGAGAACGGAGGCGCATTGTGATAAACCGTCGAGTTATATTATCCGGATACTGTTGATGGCTTCGTTCGTTTTCGTGGATCCGCCTGGAGGAGTTTCTGCATGCGGGAGGTCATCATATATTTAAGCTTGCCACCAGATCAGGTCAATCGTATGGAGGATGGGTCCCCGCTTTCCAGGTGCTACATGGGCATGTAACTGAGTCTGGGGTAAATTGACTCCGGAGATGGCCAAGACTTTCGTACCGCACAGAGACAAGGTGATCCATGTCAGCGGTTGATGGTAACCCGCTTGCATTGAGCGAAGCCGCTCAGCATCGGACCCTTGCAGATGGAGCCTTGCTTGCGAAACGATAACGTTCCGTACGCAGTACATACACATCCAAGAGAAACTGCGGCTGTACTCCGTACGGAGTAATTATGATGGGCGCAGTAGTTCTGGAGGATTCTCTTTCGCACTCTATCCATCCAATTTCATGGAACGATTGGCTTTCAGAAGGAGACCCGGAAAATAAGTCATCGCTACAGAAGTGGACGGTGTGTTGTTTTGCCGGCGCCAAAAGAGAAGTTCTGCGAACCTCCCACTGCAACAAAGTACCCTCTTTGTATTCCCCTCGGCAGGCTCCGTATCGCGGAGATTATCATCATTCCGCAAGATGAGCGTCTCTTGTCTGGATGGTTAGCTGCGGTCAAGCTTAATTTTGCACGAGGCTTGGCGCCTTGGTTGCGTTGATCTTTCCGCCTTTCAATTGACGATGCAGAGAATGAATTTCGCTGTACTCCGTAGTCAGCATGAGCATACGCTGGGAAAGCTTTCTGAAAGGTATGCTTTGACCTTTTGTCGGCATTTGAAAGCTGCTTGATCAACCCTGAATGGAGTACATTTAGTTACAGGGGCTGGAATGAATCCGGGCAAAGATTTTCTTTTTTTTTTTGGAAACAATGCTCAGGGGAATAATGACATAATCTCGGATTAACTATCTAGCGTACGGTGGACGTAATAAGACAAAGCGCAAATCTAATTATTCATCGACAAGACAGGACAGCTCTTCTCTATTGGCCAATTTGACATCACCAGAGAACCGATCAACGGCTCGCGACTCACGACTCCCACGCCACTGCTTTCTTTTTGCTATCTTTGTTCAAGAGAACCTGCAACATGCGGTCCGACATCGCAGCTTGCACGGGCATTGGAGGTGTAGAAAAGAAGAACGCTTTAGTGTTCCACGTCAAGCATTCGACCTTGGACGCTGAGCCTGTCACATATCCGCCCTGGTGACCAAATGCATCGAACCACGAGCCGGCCACAATGACTTCCACTTCACACTGCAAGGGCCGAAGCGCGTCGTTGAGGAAGTTTACGCCATGTTTTGCTTCCATGAGGTTGAGATACCCAAGAGACTGAGGACCGACCATCCCTAAACCGTTCCGGTCGTCGAACATGATGGTGGCGCCAGTGAGGTTTCCAGACCGTTTGACTTTCGGAGCGATCTTCCGGATAAACGTGTGCAGGTCTAACGGGATGCCATTTCTGACTGTCTCAAAGTACAGAGTGGCATGAGCGTTCTTGTGGCCCGTTGGCAGCTCGATGTCTTCTACCGCATTGTAGAAAGTAGCCGCAACTTGTTTCGACGGTCGGTTGAGTCGAGCACCAGCCAATACGCTGTGTGGTGCATTATTTGGTATGAAAACTCGGTTCAGGGTCGAGCCGGATGAGCATGGCTGGACCAGTGCCGCCACTGTGGAACCGAGCGTGATTTCAGCATCGCCGCAAATCATCCCTAATATATGATGTTAGCACGGATTCAGTCACACCTGCCCTCTCGCGCGTTGGGTTAGATATCTTACCTCGACATTTACCGGACTGGGCGACAAGACTAGGGTATAGATTGGCCAGCCGGCGTTCAAGTTGGATGAAAATGTCGAATGAGCCATAAAACCACCTAGCGCTGCAGGGGCCGATACCGTATTTCCTTATACTCTCCATGCCAGTCCGCACGACTTCCGTATTGCCAGCCAAGCCCTTGGTTGAGCCGCTCAACTCGATCACATAGTCAAGCATATCACTGTCGACCGAATTGCTTTCAACCTCCAGCATTGAATCCTCGGGATCCTGTTGAGCCAAAAGACCAGCGTCAAAAGAGATGGGAGAGATACCGTTGACGCCTACCTTTTGACCAATACGGAGCATCGTCCCCAAAAGTTTATAAATGTCCGGCCAGGAGGTGGTAGCGAAGATGCAGACACGAATTCGACAACCCCTGTTTGGTTGTGAGCAATGGACCTCTTGACATATCGAGACCCAGATTTCTAGAGACACCAGTGACTTGGGACGGTGCTTACCATAATGGGGTGGCAGGTGGCACACCACCTGTAACGGCAACACCCTCCTTCAAAGCCTCCGCATGGAATCGTATTACTTGCCGTACGGTACCTGGAGTGGGCACCACGTCAGTCTTGATGAAGTGGATGTTTTTGTGATAAAATTGATCTTACCAACGGGAAAGCACACAATTGGTGAACCGGGTGTTGAGAGGATCCGAAACCCTGCGTTGCCCAATGCGCGGCTGATGTATTCCGATTTCTTGCGGAGCAAGCACATACGATGCCGGATCAGTTTAGGTTTGCTTAGGAGGTTCAAAATACGCAGAAGCACCACTGTGGACAAGGTTTCGACGCCGCGCTCTTTGAGGGTTTCGCCCTGCTTCCGGAGCTCCTCGGCGAAGACACCGTTGGCCAATGCGAAGCCTCCCGTACACCCAACCGATTTGGAAAACATGCAGGACATGACGTCCACTTCTTCTAGCGGGCATTTGTATCCCAAGTCTTCCCAATGGTTGAACGAACCACGACCCGCAGATCCTAAAGCCATGAATGAATGCGCTTCATCCACCAACAATGCGAAATTATACACTTTTTTGAGTGCTAGTAATGCCGGACCTGGAGACACAGATCCCTCCATGCTATTCAACTCAGCTGTCAGCACATTCCTATTCTTCCCAGGGGATTTTCAGGACCGCGCTCTCACCTATAAATCCCTTCAACAGCAACACAAACCAAAGCGGAAGGGTCTTGTTCACGCTGCATGCGCAATTTATACTCGAGGTCAGTCAAGTCGTTGTGATCAAATTTATGCACTTCAGCTTCCTTGTTGAAGAATGCACCAGTGAACATAGAATTATGGCTGTCTCGGTCGCATAGAAAGACCAGCTTTCGGCCTTGACTGCGAGCGACCCCGGCAACCGTGGCAAAGATTAATCTGTTGGTACTGAAGCCAGAAGGCGCAGTGACGCAAGCATCGCAACTCATGTACTCGGCACACTTAGCACGAACCCTCAGTTCTAGAGCGTTTGGTGCGGGAGCAAAAGGTAGCAGCTGCAATGCCGTTTCGATAATCTCTCCCGATCGATTTTCCAACTCTGTGAAGCCGCCATAATTGTTTGAGGCACAGTTGATGATCTCCACCTCTTCGAAGGTGGATAAATCGGTGTCTTCTTCATATCTTCTTGTCACATTTGGGGGGATCATCTTGACATTGATCCGGCTGTACGGCCCAGAAGTCACAAAGCGAGGATCGTGTCGGCCGGCAGGGAGGAACTGGGTGATGTCAGCACTGCTGTTTCTATTATGAAAAGTTACACTTACAAAATAGTGGGCCATGATATCAGACTTCAATACATATCGGAATGGTCTCTTCTCGATGAAATCGCTCCAGACTTGGGTGAGAACAAGCATAATGCTCCAAATCAAGAAGAGGAACTTCTCAACTAAAGTCACCGGAGGTTCGACGGGTCGTGTGAAATTGACCTTCTGTGGACCATTTTCAAGAGACCCGGCTTTGGAATCTGAGACAGCCAATTTTGCTTCGTCTGCATCTTCAGTTGGCATTACGCTATGTTCTTCGACAAACGACGCGCCGCTTTTTCGTACGAATTGAATACCTCCCCTTGGGAAGCGCCGTCTGAATTTCGAAATTCCGAGCATGGTTTATGGTGACGCCTGATATTATGTTCAAATACTTGGATATGGCAGTCTATCAAGAGTCCAGGCGTTAGGCACTCCCAATGGATGCGTTTTTGGATCTGGTGTGATTTGAGGATGCACCATCAAGGCCGGGTGGTCTGTATGCTTTTTATGTCCTCCCGCAAGCACCTACTTGCCATGATACAATCAATCTACATTCGCCTACTCCACATCTGTTGGATATCTTTTCCAGCCCTATGCAGGGGGCTAGACGCTGCGGTGTAACAAAGGGAAGCGGCGCAGGGGTTGTACGACCATGCTGAAGGCCATGATAGGGTCAAAGCCTGCCACAGCTATGCCATAACTTCCTGCGATGGGGCACTTGCTGCAGTTGGAATCCATCACCGTCATAACGCTTTCCAATCGCGATTTTTTTTTACGGGTTATCGCGATTTCGCCCGCCTCATAGCCCGAAACCAAATCTTATCCTCGGGCTGGGTCGGGACGGCTTGGGTATGCCTGGATACGTACAAGGTTTGAGACAACGGAAGTTTAGCCACGATTACCATGGATTCGACGGTTATTCTACCAAAAATGGTTGCTCGGAAACCCCGGTGGCCCCGTTCTAAGCAGCAAATAGCATGATAAAGCTAGATATACTAACATTTCGCATAGTAACGAATTGAATCGGGGCTTGAGATTGGGCAGCGGCCTATTCCTTCTGAGAAAATGACTCGTTTCGCCGAGTATTCCATGTTCTATCAGCCCAGGAGTAACTGTTACTTTCTGAGTCCACGCTTCCACAGCATCATTGTCTCCATTTCCTAAGTACAGCCTTGCTATCTAACAATATTCCTACTCTCGAGATTTCTGCACCCTTTCTCTTCCATATATCCTTGTTTTTCTGTCGAAGATACGACGGAAAATCGGCCATACGACCGATGCCGCTATGCACAAGAGCCAATCCCATACGTAAGACTCTGCTGGACTTGGCCCTCGCATATTGTTTAGCAACAGCCTTGTCTGCATGTCTAGAGCAATAAAATATTGGTTTTCCTTGAGACCGTCAATGATACCTTTGGCCACTGCATAGGAAGTCATGCCGTTTTTCTCATCATCCGAGCCCTCAATCTCCTTGCAGAGATCCGGCTTTTTCTGCTGCTCCTTTTCGAATGTCTCGGTAAAAATAGTCCCTGGAAAGGAACAGTGGACTTGGATGTTGACGTGCGATTCGTACATCAACACCTCTTGGCGAAGGGTATCAGCCAGTGCTCTGAGTGCTGTTTTAGTCGGAGTGTATGCCGCATAGCCTGGAATTGCGATGAAAGCAGCAGTTGACCCTGTGAATATCAGATGCCTGGGCTCTGACCTTTTGGGCTGGTTGATCCACTGCCGAATGAAGGCATGGGCGACAAACGCGGATGAGAAGTAGTTCTTCTCGAAACAAGACACGATGTCCCGCGATGAAATATCGGCAAAAAAGCCAACTTCTTCAGCGCAACCACCAGCTACGCAAAAGACATATCCAGGGGAAACATCAAGTGATTGAGCAAACGCTTCAATCTAAACCTTAAGCATCAGCATTGTTTTACCTACAATGTAGGATCTAAAGAAAGTTACCTGCGAATAATCCGTAAGGTCAACTGATCTTCCGCAGATCTTTTGGTTTTTCCGAACTTGGAGGGCGACTAATTCTTGCTCCGTGGCCTCTAGGCGTTCGCGATTGCGAGCCAGAATGATAACATCAGCACCTGAGGAGCAGCTGTCAATGGCGCACTGTAAGGGAAGGTTTGGATATACCCACCAGCTTGCACCAGCTGTGATGCCAACTCACGCCCAAGCCCAGCAGAACCCCCTGCAATTACTGCTACCTATTGCGTTGTTTAGCCCAAAACGCTCTCCAACTTAGCAAGGTGCGACTTACTTTGCCGTCCATACTCTACAACCGATTCGATGTTAGAGCGAGGTGACTTAACAAGTGGATAGAGGAAAGAGAAGATTGTCTCAAGGTGACGTCCAGCACTTTGATCCTTTTTGAAGATTCAATTTGTTCGTTGGGGCCGAATAAAAGCTGGATGAGGAAATCTTTTAGAATTACATTACGAGGCACAGAGTACAAAGTATGTACATTACACAAATCTGCAAGGCTAGAAGTGTGTTGATCAGTTTAACATCGGGCTTTCAGCCGTACGGACAAGCTATTTTAAGCATGCAGAACTCAGCTTGTTTAGAGTCGTTGCAAACAAATAATGAACTTTCCCGCTTTTGAAGCACTTGCTGAGGGATAAGTTCTAGGTATGAGCAAGGAATAAGAATGTCACCGTCGAACATAGCCCTTCCGCCGACCTAGGCTCCATGAAAGGTTTCATTGCAGCTTGAATTTTTATTCGTGCTGAATAGTGACCATCTAATGCAAGCTACAGGGTTAGAGCTGAAAACTGCTTGTTTTCTTGTGCGGCTAATGACTATATCTTCCGGAATAATATATCCAGGGTTCCGTATTTAATATCTCTAGGTTACCTTATTTTGAATCCTCACTCGATAATTCTCGTCTCCTCAGCTCTTTCAATGCCCCAAACGTTACTCAAATAGGAGGACTCCATAAGGCTGATGGCTGCATTGGAAACTGGACTTGGCAATCCCTGCATCCTGCATAAAACCACCGAAGCGTTATCAATGCACTACCACTCGATTGCGATCCGAGGGGGGGTGGGAGACGGGGATTCATGTTGGCTGTGAACCACAAAATCGTATCCAACGAGAAAAAAGCAAGTTCTAGTGTGGCCGAATTGGGTCCAATTCTCTGAGTAACTCCGGGGTAGCCTTTCATGCCGCAACGTGTCGGGGTTTGCCGCTGGAAATCGTTTCGTGTTGAAGTAAAATCTTCATTGGAATCAATGGGTCCGCATTTTTTTTCTTTCGGCGGGCCGGATCTGCATATTTCGTGAAGTGGTAGGTCGAGTTTGCAGAAAAGATGAAGGGATGCAGTCGGAGAATGTCTCGATTTGATCATGTTGCACTGCTGGCCCTGGGTAGGGGGGCGAGGGAGCTGCCCCGAGAGCTGAAGAATATATATATGGTATCGGATATATACGATCAACCATGATATATTTTCTTAGGTACCTTTCTTCCCAGCAATTCATCTTCTTTCTCGGGAGACTCGATTCTGAGAGACTTTGATTGGCATTCTCATGGTTCATTTACTATTTTGCCAACTTTGGGCTGGAAAATCGCTACAATGAACTTTACGTTTTCATCTAATAAAATGATACCCATAGTCACGGCGGAAAGCAGCCCTGATATTCGAGCTTCATCTCTCATACCGTTCATCTCTGACAAAATTCTTATTGTCGTTCTTCCCGTTGCCGTTTACTGGTTCTTTTCCCTAATTTTCCAAGCTTGTGACGACAATGGCTGGCTCTCAAAATATAAACTCCATACCCCCGAGGAGTTTTTGAAGCGAAATAGGATTCGCAAAAGGGATGTCATCCAGGGCGTCCTCATCCAACATGTGTTACAAGTTGTCGTGGGGATTGGCCTGGCATACTTCGAACCTGATGAAATCGTCAATGAACAACAGAATATTGTTACGTGGGTGCAAAGAATTCAGCTTGGGAAAGAGTATCTTCCGTCTTTATTTGCGATCACGGGTATAGACCTACTTAGCCTTGCTGAGAAGGTCAAGCTGCCAGCCCAATGTGCATCTGCTGTCGGATTTGCCGGGTGGCAAGTGGCGGTTGCTAAGACCATTTACTATGTTCTTGTAAGTCATGGTATTCAATTCCTAGTTCAACAGGGCGTTGCTCCTAACTCCGTAGATCCCCGCGTTCCAATATGCTCTTGCGGCGTTCTTCGTCGATAGCTGGCAATATGGCATCCACTGGTGCATGCATAAGAATAGGTGGCTCTATCGTAAGTCCATGACCACTGGCGATGATTATCTGGTTATATGAAATGAAGCCAGCGCCTAAAAGAGTCTAGGCACCTTCCACTATAGACACCATCAGCTCTATGTGCCATATGCTTTTGGTGCTCTATATAACCATCCACTAGAAGGCTTTGTGCAAGACACGATCGGCTCTCTTCTCGCCTTTAGGGTGGCTCAATTAAGCATACGCCAGGGTATCTATTTCTTCACTTTCGCGACGCTGAAAACGGTCGATGACCATTCGGGCTTCCTGCTACCGTGGGATCCGCTTCAGCTTTTTACAGACAACAATGCTCTGTATCACGATATCCATCACCAAAGCTGGGGAATGAAGGTAGGAAAACTTGCTTCCTGGAATTAGGAGTAAAGAGTCGATTTCCAAGGCTAACGGGTCTCAACAGACTAATTTCTCCCAACCGTTTTTCTCGTTCTGGGATAGGGTCTTCGGCACTATCTGGAAGGGCAGTGATACAGGAATTCGGTATGAACGCGGACGGCAGCTGGCTAAGCAAGCTCATGTACTGGAAATTGAGGGTGTCGCGAACGGAAGTTCGGAGTGAAATTCTGCAAATGACTTTGAGAAGGGAGAGCCTATTTTGAGTAGAGCATTACTGTTTATAGGATTGCAGATATTGTGCTGGAAAGGTGATATTATCAATATTGTAGGGCGATATAACTCCGCTATAGAGCTAGCAGATTTTTGGGTGTTCAGTATACGGAAGATCTACTCTCCACAGGGTAATACAGTTGTGAAAATAGATTGCTTGACTGAAAAGTCTCTTCATCGAAATCTGACTAGAGGGTATGTATATGAGCTGAGCCAGGGATGTCCACGCAGCAGCGGATCTTAAGGGATACCGTCAGGCCAAGGAGTAGCCCATTTCCAGCACCGACATAGCCACAGGGATACCAAAAAATCCACACAACGCAAGGCCAAGTGCACGTGTTGAGAACATTGCAGGGACTGGGGAATCTTAGGTGGATTCGAACCAAACGTACGGAGTATGTGCGTATGTGTGTGCTTTGGAACTGATGGGAATATTGAACCATGTCCGTGGTCGGGCTGGGCGGATCGAACACAACAGGGTCAGGATTGTAGAACCAAAAGCGAATAAGAATTCGAATACGCAAACGGGGCTAACTTTATACATGGTGGACTTGGATGATGGTTAACCTAACGGGCTGAGGAACTTAGGAATCACAAACCTTTGTCAACCTCTTTAGAGTACATCGTGGTTACACCGGCCTCCAACCTCTCGACTCGAATCTTCCAAAATCCGCCGCAGAGTTCTCCCAATGATTTGTAGAGCCAGTGGTAAACTGGTAGCTGGATCGCTTTGCACACACTTTGTAGGATTGAGACCTTTGGAGGTAGCTAGTTAATAGTGATGAAGTCACGGACAAAGTTGGCTAGTTAACTTAGTTATTTTTAGATTGCGGCTTGCAGTGGCGTCCGCCCAACATCAGTCCGTTGGGACGGTTCTATGAGGTCTCCGGGCCACAAGGTCAGCTCCCATGCCTGCAGTGATTCAGCCGTCCACTGTTCTTCTTATGTCTGCATGTATGCCTGCTGGGTGCGTTAGTCACCTGAGGATGAATATCTGATTCGGGTTCAGGGTTCCCGAGAGCACTGCCCGTCATAATGAAGAGGTTAATATTTTCCAGCACCATCACCACCATCATCGTCATTATCATCTTAATAATTTCAGTTAACTTTGCAGTCAAGCTAACTGGCCTCCGGTTCAGTCAATCTGTCGGAGCTGGTTTGAACAACCAACAGGCTCTTCAGTACTTTGATTGGCCAATCGAATGGGGTTTTGATGATCTGTTGTGAACAGTATGTAAAACACAGGCAAGGTGTCCCTGATAGGGCTGATGGAGTGTTGAGACAAATTTCTACAGCCTCGTGTTATAACTCAGTGCCTTTTCGCACATGATCTGCCTTTAAGATTAGTCCTTGCTATCTTGGCCACCAATATTTGTGAGAAATACCTGGAAACCTGTTCCAAACAACTAGGTCGACAGGATAACCGCGATGGCAATCTTTGGTTGGACTTATCCCTCCCCACCCCCGGCGGGCTTCTGGAGTCCAAGGACTTCGACAATGAAGTGAGTGGATTCCTCGGAAAGGAGAGCTTAGGTTCTTGAACGCTTCCAAGACTAACTTGATGTCAGCTTCTGCGAGCTTGTCGGTCACCCTCGTGTTTATTGGGTTTCAATGAGTTCCTTGAAATTGTTTCATGTGCTAACCTGTGTCTCTGGCATATTGCTGGCGTTAGGATTATATCGTTACACCATACATCGCAGAGTTTGTCAATACAATGTCAAACCTTGCGTATTGTTAGTTCTTTCTTCTTTTTCTTTTTAATAGCTTACCCCGCTTTTCTATTCTCAAGGTCTAACATGACATCTGTCAGTATATCTCGCGTGGAGGGGCCTGTTCTGCTCTGAACGACGGGCAGGGGACTACGCGATTCTCTTAAGCTATATGCAGCTGGCAGGAGTGGGTGTCGGATCCATAGCCTTCCACTCTACACTGAAGTTCCCGGCCCAGATAGGTCTGCTGCAAGGTCCCTGTTGGTTGGCGGCCAGGTTTACTAATATGGCGGGACATCAGTTGATGAAATGGCAATGCTATATGCTACTGCCACCGTCATTTACGCCGTATTCGCATTTAGATTGAGGCCGCTGGTTCAGCTGATGCTTGGCCTCTCCTTTTTTACCGGCTCACTGGTTATTACTATTCTCCACATCCAGCAGGAGAACTCTTTGGCCCATCGCGTTTGCTTTGCCCTTATGGTCATCGTGGTGGCCGCGCGATGTACCTGGTTGTTACGTGGTGTCGGAAATGCAGCCATTCGATCAGAAATGAAACGCCTTGCTCTCGTAGGATCAGGTAACTTGGGTGTCTCCATTACTTGCACTGGTACAAAATTTTTGAGCTGACTCTCTTCGAATCCAGTTACGTTCTTGGCCGGCTTTCTTCTGTGGTTGATTGATGTTTTTTCGTGCGACGACCTTCGAGGCATTCGTCAAATTTTGGGAATGCCCTTAGGAATGCTGTTGGAACTCCATAGCTGGTAAGGGTGGACGTATTTTCTCTCCTTTTTTTTTTTTTTTTTTTTTTTTTTTTTTTTGGGCGATACGGTAACGATTCATCTAGGTGGCATATTCTTACTGCATTCGGGGTATATTACTATCTCATTTTTGTCGAATACATTCGTTTACAGAGCGGCGTGATGGATCGAGGGGCCGTTGTCAGGCTTTCGCGAGACTATTTTTTGATACCTCGTCTTGTTGCTCTTCCCGAAAAGCAGGAGTGAAACGATTGAAGATCGTAGAATGACTGTTTTTTTTTTCTTTCGCTGGGTTATGGCCCCCGATTACGTCTTGGAATACATAGATTGCCTTTGTGTACGGAGTATTTGACATCTAAAAAGATGCGCCATGTTTTAGAGTATCCGGAATGGTCGGGTCTTAAACTCGAAATAGTTAAAGCTCCGAAGTCAGCCTTACTTCCTCCCGACCGAATTGGAATCGGCACTTCAGAATGGACATTGGACATTGGCTTTCATCCACAGGACAACGTTCGTACGTTGTGGAGTTGTATACTAAGTGAAGATTCTCTTCCAACGTGTTGAATATGCGATATGATTGAACGATGAAAGGCTCGACTAGGCCTTACCCCCATTCATTGCCACATGAGAGCCATGGACACCCCCTTAAGGTGCAACCACATCTTCCCGGCAAAAGGTGTGACTGCCGACTACGAAACACAGCAATGTTCTAATGTGGCCGGTTCCTACAGGAACTCGTCCTCAGGGCACGATATCCTGGAATATCCTGACACTTGCGATCTTGGCCAGCCACCGTCGGTATTACAGCTTTCTTCAACCGACCCCTTCGTACAAGCCCCCTGTGGATCAAACAGTGTAACTCTGTTTGGACAATGTCTCTGTATAGCCTTAACTATGCATGTGGATTCTAGACACGGCGCATTTTCTCATTTGAAATGTTGTAGGCGTAATCCATACGGGGATTTTGCCATGGATACCTGCGCCACGACTTTGCATTAGATTTTGATCTTTCATTTTTCCTATTAACAAGATGGTCCAAGTCTCAAAGCTAAAAGGAAAACATAGGTACCCCTTTTAGGACATGATCTCGTTGATTGCCCATAACTGGTTGCAAAGATGTCCAAACCGCTTCCGCCAGTACCTACCTTGAAGGTATCTGAACGATTTTCGGATGAAATTCAGATACTGCCTCCGTCCTCGCAGTTTGACATCGAAGAACCCGCAGAGCCCACGAAGAGATCGAAGAAAGGATGGCCTTTCAGACTCGCCTTCTTCGCTCTAGCGACTGTGGCATTTGCCAGTGCCCTCGACGCGACCAGTCTCTCAGTTGCTCTCCCGGTATGTTCATAGGCCCAAGATATGTATCCATTTTCAGTGTTGATCCTAATATGTGTCTTGCTTGGGGATAGATCATTGCAAAGGAACTTGGGGGAACAACACTTGAATCATTCTGCGCTGGGGTTTCGTTCCTCTTAACTTCGATTCTATTTCAGCCGGTTCACACTGCGTTGTCGGATATTTTTGGCCGCAAGCAAATTTTATATTGCTGCATTGTTCTGTTTGGTGTTGGCTCGCTCATCATCGGCTTTTCCAGGGACATGAAGACGTTGATTGCAGGCCGTGCTGTCCAAGGCGTTGGTGGAGGCGGATTAGAAGCCCTTTCGGAAATAATTCTCACTGATATCACCACGCTCGCAGAACGTCCACTCTATCTGGGTATCTTGAGCTTTGTTTGGGCTGCCGGCTCAGCGTTTGGTCCGTTGATTGGCGGTATGTTCGCAGAGCTTGTTTCCTGGCGCTGGATTGCCTGGATCAACTTGCCAATCCTAATTTTCCCTGTTGTGCTGGTACCACTATTTCTGCGCTTAAAGACAATCCCGGAATCGCTGAGAACTAAATTCGCCAAAGTCGACTGGATTGGAATAGCCTTGTTTATCCCCGGCCTCACGCTCTTTGCTCTGGCTATTACGTGGGCTGGGAGCTTGTACCAGTGGACTTCTGCCGGTACGGTTGTGCCGCTAGTATTTGGGATACTGCTATTGATTGCGTTCGGGGTGTACGAAGGGTATTCGAAAACGCCTCTGCTTCCTTACTGGCTTTTTACGGTCCCCACTCGCTGGGGTGCATTGCTCGGAGCTTTCCTACACGGGCTCGTTCTTTACACGGTTGTGTTCTATGTTCCAATATACTTCGAAGGTTCTCTCGGGCTAGAACCCATATCTGGTGCCATCACTGCGTTACCCCTTTCTGTGGGCGTCTCAATTAGCGCGGTCGCTACAGCATTCGCAATTGAATACATTCGCCGATACACATGGGCAGCTTGGTCCGGATGGCTCCTTTCGACGGTGGGAATGGGGCTGTTTATTTTATATGATTCACACACTTCGGTTCCGAATCGGGTGGGTCTGCAAGTTGTTGCTGCTCTTGGATTAGGGATCCTTTTCCCAGGACTTGGGATTCCCGTCCAGGCTGCGAGCGATGAATTACAGGCAGGGATTGCTATGGGGACATTTGTTTTTGCTCGTCAGCTGGGCGCCGTCATAGGTGTTGCACTAGGCTCGGGTATCTTTGCGAATAAGTTTGCTGCCGAGATCAAGAACGTCAACCTACCGGGGCCGCTAAAAGGCCTAGCAGATGGATATGCGGCTATAAGCATGATCCCAACCCTGAAGACTTTAGACCTACCTAGAGTTGAGAAGTTGGTTATCCTTGACGTGTACACCGATGCAACAAGAACCGTATGGATCACTATGACTGTCATCTCTGGAATTGGGCTGCTCACTTGCTTCGCCATCCGTGAGTTGACTTTGGAGAGGACGGAGACCGGTAGACAGGCTTTTGAAGGGTGATGTGTTGGGAGTCTGATTTCATTCCTTTCTTTTCCTTTTCTTTTCCGCAATATTCAACGCCGAACTTCGATACGGCCTAGAATAATAGATGTGAGACCCCTTTTTTACGTGAGTCCTTCCAAAGACTGAAACCCCGGAGAAGGTGCCGGGCCCTTCCAGCCCGACGTGCAATCTGAGACCAGCGAAATGATGTATAGACATCCTCAACAGCTCAGATCGTCTCGAGCCTTTGAGAGCCGGGGCCGAGGGGCAATTTGGCAGGTTTCCTGTTCGGCAAGCAGGCCGAGAATCTTGGAAGACTGGGTTCCGATCGGCCGTCGGTTTAAAAGGCCTACGGGAGTACGGAGTAGTTATGGACTATACCTGGCAAGTCAAGGGATCCTAAATAAGACGGTTAGATCATGTAAATCTGAGCAGAGCCTGAATTCCTGGGCCTTGTGTATTTACTAGCAGTCGCTTGATAGCATGAAACACATTGGCTTGCTGGAAAAGCGATAAGTTGCTCAGGTGTGAGAACAATAGCAGGCATTGGAACCAGTCTCCGTGTTGTAGAATGGGGTGGCTTAAAGTTGCTGCCGAATATAATAACGTATATGCGCAGTGCTAGAAACTTTGAAAAAGAAAAAAGAAAAAAAAACCAAAGTCCGGGGTAACTACGGAGTACTGGCCGAAGTTTGCCCTTGGTACTCTCGGCCAACTGGCATTAGTTAATGCGGCAGTTACAGAGTATGCTGCCTCTGCGGTCGGTTTCATCAGAGCGTGCGGACCATCCTGAAGCCCGTCCAGCCATGATTTTCAAACATTAGTGCTGCAGATGTCGAAGAGAACGATACATGCGAGTGGGTTTGATTCGCCAGCTCGAGGAGAAACCATCGATCCATCAGTGGTTGCATTGAAGAAATTGAAACGATATCGAGCATGAAGGATCACAGAGCTCAACCGCCGCGCAGGTCTCCTACTCAACAGTGCTGCCATTATTGGAGCCGTTGAGAATAAGCTCGCTCGACGGGAAGTGCGCACGCGAGAGAGACAGAGACAGAGAGATAGAGGGCGAGAGAGATACGTTAGTTATGTCCCTCCATCTATCTGCGCAAGGCTTTGAGAACGTTCGACAGGGGCGGTCATTTTGCTAGAAAGGGTTTTCAAGCTTGGCCCCCGGGGGGAAGATCGTTTCGCGACGAGTTCCGCTGTCTTTTTCCTTCTCACCATCGACAGTTATCTGACCCATATCTACGGAGTCGTCGCTGTTACTCCGGTGCCTTGCTTCGAACAGAGAGCCGGGAAAGCGAGAGGGGAATTGCAATTGAATTCTGCAAAGTCAACTTCCCAGCCTCGTTGGCGTGTTGAGTCGGCACCTCAGAGCGTCCACGGAGAACCCGTAACTAACGAATATCCGGATTCTTGATTGGCCGGCGACGTGGAAGACGGCGCTGGTGCTGGCGATCCCGCGATTTTGTTGGTGTTGCGCCGTCGTTAGTCGTGCCGTTCGAACGGCTAAGGCGAACAGTGGCGGTTCAACCGCACAGGGGTCTTCCTTGTCGCCCCATGCGCAAAACCCTCCACCTCGACCTCGCAGAAGCAAACAACCGGTTTGAGCACAAGGGCCAATGCAGGAGTCGCTTTGTTTTTCCCAGCAGCGCAATAGCTTATCACACAAATGTTGGTCAAGTGGACTGGACGAGGCTGGATAAATTTTCGTTTGTCCAGTCACAACCACTGCACTGCACAGCCGGCATGGCCCAAGCAGCACGGGAGTTGGCGAAGTCACTAGGCTGGCAGCTCCCTCTCCAGCCTTTTAGGATGTGGGTTTGCAAAGAGTACCAGCGGTCAGTGGGTTTCTGGCGCTGCGGTTAGTGAGGATACTGCATGACAAGGCCCAAGCGCACCCATTCTGCTGTCCTTTGCCCTTCTGACACTCTTGGTGACATCTCCAAGCTGTTAATTTTAGCACTGGCTTGTTAGTCGATAAATGTGACGATCTCTCGTCCCCGCTCATCGTCAGGCTGTGATCGCCCTCAGCGTGTGCAATCTATATTTGCTCCAAGCTCCAGGTCGAAATTTCTTTACCCCAAGCCGCTCTGCTTGCTGAACCCCGCCCAAACTGTCGCTGAAAGTCTTCTTGCTCGCTCCCAGCGCCCAATTACAGTACTCCACGGCATGAATCCATCACTATAATATTTGCGCTGGATCCTTGCCTGTGCGCAAACTCAACAATCCTGTCGTTTGTGAGGAATGGAGTCACCGCCGGAGCCAAGCTCACGACCGACGATATCGCAACCCGATGCCGTCTTCTCACGGGGCCGGAACCCCGACCTTTCGCGGTCGCCATATGAGCGGATTCCTTCGGTTGACGATACTCGACACCGCCGTACTTCACATTCGATCAGTCCAGAGAGAGCCCTGCATGCCAACCCATCCAGCATGGTTGGCTTAGGACTTGGTAGTTACGGCGATGCATTCAGCAATGTCTTCGATAATGGATCCGATCAACGCTCCCGCAATCAATCGTCCTCGTCAAGCAACGCTCTTCATGGACAAGGCCGCGACTCACCGGATGACTTAATCCATACATCACGAAATACCCCATCTGAGGCCTATCTATTATCTTCGTACCCTATCCATCTCGAGAGTTCGCCTACCTTAGTGCACAACACCCCGACGTCGAATCCTCCAGGCGAAGGCGGCAGAGGTAAATAGAAATCTATCAAGTTAGAGATGCGATCAGCTGACACAGGAATGCAGGTCACTCAGGCAATATTAAATGTTCAAGTCGAAAGAATGTCGTCCAACGACGCACCTCATGGTTGTCCATCAGTATCTTGATCCTCGCATTTTACTCTACTGCGTTTTCAGGCATATACCTCGTCGTCGCATGCGTCAAACCGCGCTACGGAAGACGCGTCGGAACGGATGGCGGACTATCACCGTCTACAGCGTCATTATTAAGTGCTCTCTTTGCTAAGACGATCGAATTGTCGTTCGTGACTGTGTTTGTGGCCTTCCTAGGACAAGTGTTGAGCCGCAGAGCTTTGGCGAAGCGATCTCCCGGTATTTCTATTGCAGATATGTCGATGCGGAGCTGGATAATGCAACCTGGCACCCTTTTAACTCACTGGGAAAACGTTCGTTATTCCGCCATGACTATTTTGGGCATGGCCGCTCTAACTACTGCATGGATGGCAATGTTATATACCACTGCAGCTGAAACACTGGGTGAGTCCTTTTCCTACGAACAGTCATACGTTGCCGCTCATACTCCCTAGTCTCACCAAAACTCAAATTTGGACCGACCGAAGACACCACGCTGTATGGTCAGGTAGCGTCGAAGTTTGCAAATAAAGACTATTTAGCCAACAAATGTTTGACACCTATTACTCCTGAGATGGACCCGTTAGAGTACGGGGGCACCTGTATGCAACTTACGCATGTTGGACATAGCTACCACAATTACCAGCAGTACCTTGCCGACTGGGCAACTATATCACGGTCCGGCAATCTCAGCTCCCGCGCTTTATCGGAACGGCCATATCCAACTGGGACTTGGTATGATAATACCACTGTTTCTGGAGAGTGGATCGATGTCCAAAATATGACAGAACTTTCGAGGAAGCACGGAAGAATGGTCAACATTGCTACTGCTGCCATGCCGCATGCTGGAGTATTCATAGCCTCAAGAGATCCCCGTAACAAACTGCGACAGCCATCTGACTTCGCCGGCTTTGGAGAATTCTACATTTCTGCTTCAGTGGCGTCTCCTGCTATCCAAGTAACTTGTGTTGGCATGACTGAAGATGAGCTGACTCCGATAATATATTCGAAATGGCCCTATGCTCAGAAACTCAACTTCTCAGCTTGGCCGGCATCTGCGCCGAGTGATATTCCTACTTCCCCTGATATGCTGAATGAAACAGTTGTCGATGACATATTTGGATTTGGTAAAAAGGGAGATCAGCAAGCTCCCATTTTTCCAAGACTGCCCGCACCCTATAATACGATAGTGAACGGTTCCGGTCGCTATCCGTTACACTCTGTCTATCTACTCGGCGCGTCACCTCCATCAGAGACGAGTTCACCATATGTGCTTTGTAGTATTAAGGGAGGGACCACATCCAAATGCTCAACCCAATACCACGCTGCAGCAAGTGGGGGTAAGATGGGGGTTAACTGCGAGGACAAAGATGACGAATTGGCGTATCATCGAACGGCACATAAGTCTAAGCCCTTTTTGATCGATCCCGATTGGAAAAATGTAGCGTCGAACTGGGTGAACTCAGTCAGTTTAGGAACAGGCATTACCGACGGGCATTCGAGCAACGCTAGACTCCTCATGCAGCTAACCGGAGGCTTTAAGAATGAGACCAAGGAGTACTCTCTCAATCCTCGATTACCCTCATTGGCAGAAGCGTTAGCAGCCATGGGAAGCTCAACTCTCTTAGAAAGCACAGAAGGTGCCACTTTTTCCCAGTACTGGGAGTACGGTGAAAGCCCGGTAATTGAGGATGGCAAGACTGTCTACGAGGATTTCCCGGCTACTATTCGCGTCAGCGAATACGCATCTGGCGGCACATATTCCTGGCAAAAGATTTTCTATATCGTCCTTGTCCATGTGTTTTTGACCAATCTTGTTTGCCTGGCGTACATGTACTTCGATATTCGGGGTACCCAGGTAACCGACTTCACTGAACCCCAAAATATATTTGCCTTGGCGCTGAATAGCCCATCGAGTGTTCGATTACAGGGAGCCTGCGGTGCCGGGCCTGAAGGCCGTCAGCTTAGCGAACGGTGGAGGATAGAAATGGATGAAGACGACGAACATTATTACATTACCGGAAAAGAAGGGCATGAGAGATCCAGGAATCAGGCACCTGGCCACGATGCTGCTGGTGATGTCGAAGGATCGCCCCAGAAATCCTCACTTAGCCCAGCTGTGGCCGAGTATCGAAAGCTTCAAAAGTCGAGGCATTCGTTTACCCTATTGTCGTGATCTGACAGTCTCACCCTTCTACACTAACTGTCCCTTATTATACCCCTGAAAAGTGCTATACATTTTCATTTTCATTTTTCATTTTTCTTTCATTTGGGGTTCAAGGTGAACATTTAACTATATCCATGGGGCTCTTGTGAGGGCCAAAGATTAAAACGATTACGTGACGGTCACAAATTTTATGATAGCAGCAGCGAGATATCTGTTGTCCAATACTATTATTCCATAATTATCCAAATCATCACCACAACATAAATACCTGGTGCTGGATTCATCTAAACCCTGCATGCACATTTGAAGTGTGGCCTTACTCATGGATCAGCCCGCCCTGCTGAACAAAGGCATTGGCAGTGAAGGAAGGCAGTCGAAGTCACAAGGATGAGAAGTAACCTCATCATCGGACAGGGAGTATCGACTGTACGTGGCACTTGACAGCGAAACAGGCGACCTTCCTTATCAAAAGGCCTTTCGAGAGTATGTGAATTTGTACTCTGCTTTGCTGAGGAGTGATGCTGTTATTGACTTATTTTGAAATTGCTCACGTTTGAAAACACTAAATTATCAAGTAAAATTATAATATTTGATATGAAGTACGGAGAACGGAGTATTATTTTGACTTTTCCGGGGGTATGAGAGCGGAGATGATTGCCGCGAAAGTACGCAAGTCAACCAAAGACTCGGCGATAGTAGAGGGTGTGGTACGGAGTAAAGGCCTTGAATTAGAAACGGGCACAATCACCAAAAGGCGAAGACATGGACCATTGGGGCATGTTCCCCTGGGCGGCTGGTCAAGGATCATCAATCAGGTTAAACTGCGCGTCTTGGCGCGTCGGCAAGCCGCGTCGAATATGAAGGCCTTCAGCCTAGTTCCTCCTGCGTACTCTGCAGGACGTTCCAGGACTCTTCTGATAGTTGTCCCGACGGCATTTTTCTATCCCGCACTCCCCTCAAATTACTGAATGTACTAACCATGATCCCTGTCCTTGCTTTAATGGGCGTATAGGACTCTGTGATAGGGTGGGAGCTTGCGAGTCGAAGCTGGACATATACCCAGCTTGTTTCATTCCCGACGAGGCCCAGAAGAGCATGTTTTCCGCTTGCCGGTGATGTTTGCAGACATAACTTATCTCTCACAACGGTGATGGCCTGTTTGCTAGTGAAAATTGTGTGGGAGCTCTTTTGTCTATTATAGGTTGCCTGAAATTTTCTCCAAGATTGGATGAAGGGCACGCCTGAGTTCGACTGCGGTAACTGGGACACCTCTGGTGTACACAGAATACAGTAACACTTTTCTGTCTGTGAATGGTTGCAGGATAGAGCGATATGGAGGACTCATGCCCGTATCTTGTCTTCTGCACGACTTCCCAGCGCCAGGAGGCCGTTTGAGACAGGGTCAATTTGCACGACAACCAAAGTGATAAGGCCTTCAAATGGCTAATGAGTTTCTATATGGCAGACCAGCATTCGGTCCCATTTCCACTCATCAAAGCTTGATTTACCCTGTAAGTTGGGCGTGATCGTCTTGTATCTAGGGGCTCGGGTCTCTCGACCTTCGGCTCCCTTTGCACGGTATTGGTTTTCCCGGTGAAGCTATGCCGCAAGAGGCCAGCGCATACCCGCGGAGAGTGAGTTGCCCGATTTGGCAACTTAACACGACACTTCTCGACTGGCTTTAAAAACCCCCTCCCTCTTCAACCTCTCTTCATCACCCCCTATCTTTCACTCGGAGCTCCCTGGAACCCCCCATCCTTTCGGAACCTTTGCCAACTACAGCACAGCAGTCCACGTTGACGAGACCGTCAAATTTTTACCCGTACGGGTGGCTGCGAAGTACCTAATGCTAGTGAACTTCTTCTAAAGCGGGTACCTGGACCATCGACTTGATTATAGTAGCCATGGATCAGACAGCAGATCTTGAGAACCGGCAGCTCTCACCAGCTAACATTGATGACAATGTAGGGTTATCTCCCACCTCAAAAAAGGTCCTGGGGCATTGTGCAGTGAAAGTTGTGACCTCTCCAAGCAAAGATTTTCGAACTCTCATTGCCCGTCCGCCCAATTCTAGTCTTGATGGCAACTCTAGTTTCCATTTTGCCCGACCCACCCACCCAGCGCCTAGTTTCTCGATCAGACCGCTGCCGCGAGCCGCGAGAGGAGATGGCGGAATTGGGAGAGGGATCTCGGTCCCTATAGCGGCAAACATAAGTGCCATGAGTAGCATGGAACAGAACTCTAGCCAAAAGTGAGTTTATTGCACCGGAATTTCTGTCTGGTTTTATGGTTAACCCCGTTTTTCTTAGTGATATTACCCCAACGGTGGAATCTACCGAAGGTGATCTCGGTAATGAGCCATCATCCACCAGTCCGCAGCCGCAGTTTGAACCAATGCAGGCATTTGCAGCCACACAGAGCTGTCCAAACGCTAGCCCAGATACCAATCTATGCATTGATTCTCAAGCACGGGAGGCAGAGCCTCGTGTAAGGAGCAAGCGTATCGCCAACAGTTTAACCAAGGAAACTGGTAGCTATACGCCGTCCTTTCTTCCTTTATTTGGCGCAAAATTACTAACATAAATCGTTGTAGCCCCTCTTATGAGACATGAACTACCAGAATCTGTGAGTGACAAAGACAAAAATAACACAGTTGGGCCCAAGATTAAATTTCCCTTTAGAAGCTAGTTATCTTTATGCCTCCAGATGAGTGACTTGTCTGGAACTTTGGTTACTAAATTCTCTTTATCCACTTTCACTCAGTTGGCTCCAGCTGGTGCTAATAATCATTGGGAATCGTTCTTGTCAAGGTTCGCCAATTGAGTCGTGCAACCTCTATATCATCCAACAACAATCCTATGCATACCAGCGAACCGAGACTGAATAGGGAAAGATGCACGTCTCACAATGAACGATCCGCTCGGTCTTCATCTACATCAGGGTCTACGACATCCAAAATTTCAAAGCAGCAAAGGCTACGGACTCCAAGCCGTCTAAGTAAGGATACTGGCAAAACCTCAAGCCTTCCTTCCCAACCGTCTGAAGAAGATTTGTTTTATCTTCTGATCCACAGATTAAAGAAACGCGATCAGGTAGAAGCGGCAACTGCGGCATTACGGGAAGAAACGGAGAAGAAGCTTAGAGAAGTCAATGAAGAGAATGAAGCGTTGAAATCCCAACTGAGGGAGGCAGAGGATCGTTGTCATGCACAAGAGACGCAGAATACCGCACAGAGGAACATTATAGAGAGGTGGAAGGTCAAGCTTGGAAAGGTTAAGAGTCTTGTGGCCATCATTGGAAATGATCATGAGATTCTTCGCAAAGATGGACACTTTCTCAAGTCAGCACAAATCGCACTTGTCCGGGGGAAGCATCAATTGCAAACAGATTTAAGGCACCTGAAATGTGGTACTGACCATTTGAGCAAGGCCATAACCCAGCAAAGAGCCGAATTAGCCAGCATGCAGGCTAAGTTCACCGTACTGGAACAGTCGCTGGCCTTGAGGGACAACAGACTGGAGAATAGCGAGAAGTTACTGGAACGAGAGAAGAATCGTACCTCTACACTCGAAGCATTTATCCGAAATCATTCAAATAGAGGACTAAAACAAATAGCGCTACTCCAGCAAACTCAAACCGAAACCGCCTCCAACGTTGGGAATCTTGCTGAGAGAATCAAGAATTTGTTAACAGAATCACAGTCCACCATCAAAGCGGAGCTTGGACTTCAGTTAAAGCCCTGCCTAGAAATTCTGGAAACGCTCAGTAAGCCGGAATCCATTGACCTGGCCCAGTTAGCCCAAATCGACAAAGCATTACGGGATATTTCTATGAAGTTCGTTCCCTGTTCCTTTTTGTACGGAAAGGAGACTTACTGGGACCAGGGTAGATTCTCAGAACCAAAAAACAGAGCTCCACGTAGCCAGTGGTTTCGACGTACAGAATCAGCAAGCCTCCAGAATTATCCAACAACTTAGTGATATGCGTGTCTTCTTTGAAGAATCATTTACGGCTTCGATCAAGCTAGCTGACACCAAGCAAACTAATGGAATGTTACAGGAAAAGGTAAAAATTGCAGAAGCAACTTTAGCACAAATCAACGTTGAAAATGCCATTTTAAAAGAGACTGAAAGCATCCTTCGAAATGATGTCAGCGCTCTCCAAAAGGAGGTAGAGTCCTTGCAAAACCAGCTAGCCGATGCTTGCCAGTCGTCTGAAGATCGCCATGAGCTATCCAAACTCCGGATACAATTTAAAGAGATTTCTGCAGTATTGGATGATGCAACTGCAAAACTGAAAGCAAAAGAGGAGGAGGTGTCCAAGCTTGAAGCCGGTTTATCTGAGACCAAAAGTAGACTCCAGAATTCTGAGACGCAGATCGTGAACCTGGAGACCGAAAAAGCGAAGTTTGAAAAGGACACAATCAGTATCGAGAACAGGGTCAGGGCTGAATTTACGAAGGCAAGTCTGCTGTCAACAGAGCAAAATCGCGCATGGTTTGAACAGCAATTGCATCAAATTAAACGTGAAAAGGCCACTGCAGAGAAAAGTGCGAATATGCTCAAAGAGCAGACAGCGCTCCTGAAATCAAAATTAGTGTGTAATTCCACCATAGCCGGCGGAAAAATTGCTAACAGTAACCAAGGCAGCTGCTGGAAGCTCACAAAGTGAGCTTGAGATTACTGTAAGTCTATGCCTTCCATGCATTTATTCTGAGCTAACGCAACTTTCAGGTTACAGAAAACGCAAAGATGATAAACGATTTAGAGAGTACCCGTCAGGAAGAAATCGCAGACCCGGATGAAGTGGTATTCAAGTTAAAGGACGAGAAGGCTTTTCATGCCATGGATGCTGAAGAAGCGAAGTCAAGTCTCCAAAGAGCTCTCGCAGAGAATGCCAAAATGAAGATAGAGTTGGTTGAAGCGCAGAGCTGGATGGAGAGCTCCTGTCAATTATCTCTCCTACAAGAAAAGTTCGACCTCATGCGAGACGAGAGCGTTCAAAAGGATGAAAACATAGCGTTTCTAACGAACGAAATAGCGACGCTCAAAGACAATGCAACCGTTATAGAAAGATTGCGGGAAGAAGCTGCCCAAGGAACGCTAGAGCTTAAAGACTTGCGGAAAAAGCTAGAGGATGCCCACAAGGAGAATATGGAATTGACTGAACGCCTGAAAAGTAGAGATGATGATACTGCATGCCGGACTGCAGAGTTTGATTTGTCCAAGCAGGAAGAGAATATGGTTAATCTTCACCAAACCATACAAGCAAAAGATAGCGAATTGCGAAAACTGCAAGGCAGGTTAGATCGAGCGGAGGAATCGTTGACAAAGATCGAGGGTCTATTACGCCAATTTAGTATCCTTGGTGCTAATGATCTGCTAGTGCAGTCATGGGTCACGCTTGAAAGGCGGTTGTCATACTTTGCTCGTTTGCAGGAATCCAGCGAGATGTTACTGGATGCCGACACTGATGAAGTATCTCTCCAAGGATCAAAAAGCACCGGGAAAAGAAAACGCATCGCAAATTTGACCCCAAGCATTGAAAGAAAAACTTCGCCTCGGTGCTCGACCCCTGGGTACAAGACAACTAGAGTTGTATACCGTAAAGAAAGCATTAGCAGGAGTATCTCTTGCTCTCCTTTGAAACCTCAGGTGCAAAAACGCTCCGCTTCTAAGAAAAAACACACCCGAATTACCACGCCGCGCATTAAGCCCTTCTCCCAAGTTCAGTGGGATCTCGATGGTCGACGCAGTTCACCTTCGCAGAGTATTGATTATTTGAGCAATACCCCAGTGTATGAAAGCTGGAGGGTCGCCAACATCCCCCCGTCGACACCAAAATTACAACTGGGCAATAGTAGCACACCCATGACAAAACTTCCACCTAGCCCAATCAAAGACGTGAAGGTTGAGTCGCACATGATTCATCGTAATTATGCTGATGAATCTCTGCATGCTCCCCAGGAGAAGAACCAAAACCTAGAAGAAATAAAAGGGTCGAGTCAGGCAGAAAAGGGACAAAAGCTACCTAAAAGCATTCTTAAAGAACGCGCACTGCCAGCCCTGGCCGGGAGAGAGGACAATGAAGTGCACACTTCGTCGAGAATGGAAAGCCAGATGACTAAAGAAGCAGGGGCGCCCGCAGTTCCTAGGCGCCAGACACGCGCTTCCTCGCAATATTTCAAGTCATCGGACAACCCGAGCACCATTTTATCGAGTAGCCGACATACATGGGCCATCACACAATCAGCGGAATCATCTATGAGTTATAGAAGACCTCGGCGGTATGGAAGGAAAAAAGGTAGGGGATATAAATATTCTCTACATCCGGGTAGCACCAACCCGAAGCAGGAGAACTGTACAACAATAGGTTCAAACAAGATTATCCAAAATAATGGGCGGAGAATAAAGAAAGTTTGACCGGAAACCCAGACCACACACGAAAATTCGGCTGACGGTAAGGAGCATTAATATATTGCTACATGGAAAATTCTGCATTTCAAAGGTATGGTGCTTGCATCGGTTAAAGTAAAAGACCACAGGAGGGAGACTTCTGGTATTTGAAATAAGATATATGAGTAACTTCCTATGAAAATAACAACGCCGTCTAGAATGCCGGAAAAGAGGTCTGACAACACAGAAATATAAGTACATAATATACATACATATACGCATATGTAGAGGTGTGTTTTCCCCTCACCACAACCCCAAAAACGCCCGCCAAGTGTATCATTTCATTGGATGCATTCAGGTAGTCACGAATCAACGTGGCCCGACAGCGTATTTCGTCAGCGAGGGCATGTATCTCGCATAGGCATTCGAGATATGACTGTAAAGTATCGCAATAGACGTATTTCGAGCCAATTATCCAGCGTACATACTGCCCATCCCGCTTTCCGCCGTTGTGCACATAGACTCGATATCGGCCCTGAGACCTCGTTCGATAACCTCGATACTAGACGAATACAGCATAATCGCATGTCTATTTGCCGCCGCGCCTGGCTTCCAAGAATAGTACCTTCTTCTTCACGACGGGATCGTATTTAAGCATGCTAAGCGGTCTGCTTGCGCGTGGTCGGACAAGGGTCTTGTAGTAGCCGGTCATGGCCATGCTGATAAGGCGAACGGCGATGGTGCGGGACTTGGCTAGCATGCAAAAAACACATCAGTATGGGATCGATCAGGTAACTAGTTAAGCCTGACCCGGGAAAAACTTGGAACGTCGCCGGGAGAAATGCGCCGGAAAGTCATTGCTTTACCTCTTTTGGCCATCTTTGTGATGGGCGGCCCGGGAACGGTACGGGAAGAGACAAGATCGGCAATTCTTATCAACTAGACGGAACGGAATGTCTCCTCTAAGGCGCTGCTCTCAACTCCACCTGAATTCGGATAGCAATTGAATGACCAAATACAGTGTATCGACCATGCACGACCAGGTGTAGGTTTTCTGCGATGCTCATGGAATGCTGACTAACGGTTAGGTATTTTCTCGCTATCACGTGACAAGCACCCGAGCGCTGACGGTCTGCAGGGCGAACTCTATCCCAACGTCCTCGCATGAGCCGATCCATCACCGCGGAGTTATGGTGAACACTCTAATCAGCCATTGGTCCACACAAATGAGTAGGGATGTCATTGTCAAAGGCCTCACATTGGAGAGGTATCTGGGTTGGTCTCTTGACTGTCCACTCTTGACATATCGAGTATTCCCGGCTTGGAGAGAGGAAAGATCCTCATAGCCTGCTGTTATATGCAAGTGAATTCCTGTCCACCTGTTCTTCCAAACTACCAGGAGAAAAACATATGAATCAGCAGTTTCCTCTTCAAATAAGATGTTTCTATCCTGAATAAAGCTTTGTGGTCACATAAATTGCTTATGTACTCCCCATCTTATGTGCTTGGTACCTCCTTTCAAGATCTACGGATTCCTTGACCTCTCTTGAGCTGTTGGGGACCCTTCCGGTTGCGTTTTCATTTTAATGCCTTCTGGCTAGGTTTAAGTTATTCCATCTGTGTCGTCGGAGACATCCCGGGAGGTGAACCTCGCTGCGTTTGTTCCTAATTCTCCTTTTGTTGATACAATTTTCTTTCACCAAGACTTTTACTTCAACTCCTGCCTTACTAGGACTTTTCGATGCCAATTTTGTACTCTTTCGAAAAAGTTCTCACATATATCAGCTCAACCCCTCCTTTATCTGTTGTCTTTGTTGTGATCTTCTCTCCAACTCTTGGGGACATGCCTAATTTTACATGACGGGACTCCATTTTACTATGGATCTGAGGTTTCTGCCCAGTCCTGGTTCATGGATCTCCATGGCGTCTCAGCCTTTTCTTTTCTTTGACAAATGGTTCGTAGTATATTTAGCCTTGCAACGATCTTTTCAATTTTTCAATTTTGTCAGGTTTTCTTGTCTAAATTACAACTATTTGGTATAAGTTTTCAAGCGGTCCTCAAGTTGGTATATCCTTGTTCCTCAGTTTCATTAGGCTGTGTCTTGAAGTCTTTATTCCCTGATTACCATTCCTCTCAGAGAACATCTTCCTCATCACAGTTTAGCTCGTCCTGCTATTCTAGGAACTTAATCTATTTGATTGGCCATGATACCCACCAAGTGTACAAAGAGTTGAGTGAATACTTCTTGTTCCGTGGGTGAGGAAGGGTGATCTAAAGTTTCATTTTGAGCTTAGATCGAGTATCACCGAAAACCCCAAGCCCCCAGCTTATCCCGGAGCTTACCTCTCCTCCCTGGCATCAATCGGGGAGTGCATTAAAACTCAGAAAAAACAAGTCAAGCGGTCTTTTACAGGAAAACATCGGGAGCCCAAAAGGCACACTTCTCGAATCTCTACCTCGAGAATCACCCAAGATCAAGAGCACTCCGAAGCAGATGGATCAAAGAGCCATAAGGAGGGCAAAGATCAAGTGTCAAGAGCATTAAACCCCGACTTGAAAGACGAGAAGAGATTGGATGTTGGGGAAGCGAAGAAAGCAGCTAGTCCTGCAGCTCAAGAAAATCCTTTCGAGCAAAGCCTTACGGAACGGAAGTACGCCAGGAAGATAAGTCTTTTATTACGTACGCAGTCGACTCGAGGTGTATAAACCCCGCTGTTTGGGTTCTTTGATAGAATGGTTAGTGAAGACCCAGAGAATTGAATTTTTACGAGTTTATTTATTTTCTCTTAATTTTTCAATGAAGCACAGTGAACTCTGTATGCATTTTGGTGGTACTCGAGGCTCATGACTCATAGAAGACCCCTGCAGAGATGCCCATCATGTTGGCGGGAAGAGTTGTTCGGGGTTGCCGGAGCGCGCTGCGCTGACCCCAAAGGTACTTCCCCAGGTTCAAAATGTAAGAAGTATGACGGAGTACATCAGAAGCTCCAAGAGGCATCTATTAGTTAAGATATCCAGTTCGTTTACGGAGGACAACCGGCAATTCGAAGTGAAATTCAGGCAACGACCATTGGTTGCTCACGGGACCTCTCACGATTCGACTGGGCATCTAAATATGGACTGAGGCTCGACGCTTTCACTCGCCCCCGAAAGCACAAGCCAAGCACTGCCCCACGCCAAACGAACCAACAGAAATCCCGGTCAAAGCAATGGTGCCAAGAACCAGCTAGTTTGGAACCAGGAGGATGACGTTGTGGTTAACTGGATTGGGAATCGGAAGGAGTTCGTGGATCGGCCATCTTTCCCTGGCTAGTCCGAGATAGTAAGAAAGGAAGAGCCTTATTGTGATCAGTTTAGGCATCATGGTTCAAAATAAATTTTATCGGTTTTGGGTGTTTGCCCCAGGGGGGTGAGGTTTGGGTTCAGCTGGTCAGGGTTTAGCCAAGCGATAACTTCCAACGAGTGATTGGTGGTGTTGGCTGCTTGTTTTCGTTATTACTCCGTACGGAGCACGGAGTACATTTATCAGAGATGCAGGACATACTACTCCGTACTTTGTACATCATATGCACACCTTCTGCAGCTCACGTCATAACTTGAGTATTTTTCTTTCCACCCTTTTTTTTTTCTTTTTTCTTTTTTCGGCTAGGATACTGATTAAGGGTCGCTACGGATGGAGCTATTGATGCGGGATGGAAGACAAAGTAGCAGACAAAGCAAATTTATTTAATAAATGTCTGCAGAGGAATGCTTTTCCTCCAGCTGTAGTTACATAGTTGGGCTGGTAGGATAATATACACAGCGTATGGTACATAAAAGTACAAGTAGGTATCTGGACATTAACAAGAGCAGCACAATGTAACAAGCAACAATGTTGGCAAAATATGCTGCAAAAGACAAGTCTCCTCTTTCTTGTCTCTCTTTATTCTTCTTCCCTTGTCTGGAACTTTTCTCTGTTCCGGACCTTCTCATCAATTTCTCTCCTTGGGGTCAGGGTTATAGACGGTGCCTCCAAACAACCCCCCCACATGTGACCGAGCGAAAAGCGCATTCAGGCGGACGTGATCATTCCAGCTCGCCACCAAAGCAAACTAACCGCCTTGCCAAATAAGGGAATTTTTGCCGGAACGGAAAAAAAATTGGCGTCGGTTGCCCGGAATATTCTTTTGATTAGAGCGTAAAGCTGTTGATAAAAGTTCTTGGATCAATCCCACAATAGCCAGGAACGCTATAAGAAAATATGTTTGGCGTCTTGAAATTGAAGAGTGTCGCGTTCGAATGTGACCCCGAACTAATTCATCGGAGATACTGATGAGGAGTCTTGATTCGAGGACCAGTGTAGTGCTTTTCGAGAGGCTTGACAGACAAGTCTTCTTTGTACAAGGTGCCGCGCAAGTTGCCATCGTCGGGGCGCTTCTGAATGGCCTTGGTTTGCTGGATCGTAAGAGCCTTAGAATCGTCACGATTACCAGGTTGCATCGCGACAGGCGTTTCAAGCATCTGGGGGCCCGCTGGGGTAACGGGCGTTGCAGGTCCTTGCTCAGCGTCACTTCGTTGGTCGTGGACGACAACGCGAGCCTGTGCTTTCTTAATCTTGAGGCCGTACTCAAGTGCACGCATCAATTCAGAGACAGCCTCAAAGTTGGCTGGGATTTCGATTTCGTGGACAAGACCGCGGTTTTTCGCCGCGACGGAGTAGGCTTTGCCGTTGTGGGTGTAGACATATTGAGCCATGTTGGTGACATGGCGAGCGCCGCGTGCGCAAAGAGACTGGCCGGTTCGGAGTGTTGTGTAAGGATGGGCACATGGAGCACAGTGTGAGGCGTGGGCGGCATAACGCTCCATCACGTACCACTCGTCATCGAGCGGTGGGCGGGCGACGGGCCCCTGGGCCTGGGGGGAGCAGGGGGCGACGAAGGACGGCATTTTGAAATGGTACGAGGCCAGATACGATGGGCTAGAGAAGAGCCCCTTTATAGGAGTAGCACTCGGAGGGGAGAAGCGTGCTTCGCGCAGGTAGAGGTTTCGCTGCTATGAATACAAAGTATACCACACCTTGTTGCAGACTTCGCAGTTTTCGAGTTCCAATGGAGAATTGCAGATAGAATGCAGAAAATGATTGATCAGCTCTGGAGCAGCGGGGAGGGGTTCGCAGCGGTATTTGTAGCCCCAGGACCATCCATATCTGATGACTGCACCCCGGCAAGTGTCTGCGCACCCAGGAGAGCGCATGAAGCTTAGATCGCCTCCTGACCAATGATGGCTGTGGTGGATGGAGGGTTGGGTGCCTGGGTTAGCGGTAAAAATAGCCCACCGTCATCCGTACGATACGGTCACCGTGCACTGACGTCAGATGATTTGGCGCTTAAACGGACTTGATACGGCGTAACGATACGGTATCCGTCGACAGGCAGATGGTTTCTCCGTCCTGCTCTGCCTTGCAGTGACGCTAAGCCCGAACGGGCGTGGCCGCTGGGCCAAGAGTCAAGACTCCGGGGGGAGTTCGCGGGAGTCAGGCGGCTGCTGCAATGCTGGCTGGTGTAGAGCGCTCTCCACACAACTGACGTGAGCGACCGATACTGCCAGGCATTGAACTGCTGGCCTGCGCTCATGTTTAAAGGGTATTTTGCTCTTCCTCCGGCTGACCCCGACCATGTTCTTGGTGTTTGGCTAGAAGCATAGAGTTTGTCCCGGGATGGTTGACAATAGGGAGCTTTCGCCAATGATGACACATTTCACTAAGAACCCTAATAATGCTGTCGTTTCTGCAGAAAACGTGAGTCGACAGCATTGCCCAATGAGGACTTGATGTCGGCTGGCGAACGGGTGGCGAGGAGGTGCACCCCAGAGAGTTCGTCCACCCCACTGCGTCAATGACTCAAGCCATCACTTGCCCAGTATCCTCCGATAATCCTGGGCTTGCACTCCTCCTCACTCTGCTCCTTCAAGACCCGCACCCCGCCAGCGTCTCTCCGTTCTGGCCCCGGGTAAGGCTGTGCTGCCACTGGTTTTAGTCTCTGATTAGTTCGCTTGGAGCCACACTTGAGGGCCGAGAGGCTGTTCCAACCTACACGCTGAACAGACTCTGGGGGCTCCTATTCAGGAACGGAGCTGTCAAGAGCGCCTGGCTGTGCACCTCTCAGAATCCTGCCATTACCGTATCATTGTCTTGGATCTGTGGTCGAGGTCGTCTTCGCTGTTGTCCACTTTACCGTTCGTCCAACTGCCCACACAGCCTCATTGCGGCTCGTTATGCGCGCTAATCCATAATCAGCTAGACCGTCCGCTCAACAGCCGCTAGTCCTGTCTAGGGAAAGCTCAGCAAATCAGCCATACCTCCAGCCACATATCCAGCCACAGCCGTCGCATCTGGCGCCAAACTTCATCCCGTCGTGTTCGCTCTCATCCAACAGACACCAACCCAAGACTTTACTCCTTCTTGCAGCCAATGCAATCGCAATTCAATTCTATTTTGATGCCCATACATTGGTGAACCTTTTCCTGATCCACGCTGGTGGAGACCTAGAATTCGACCACCAGAACAGGGGCTGAAAGTGACGACCTGTCCCTGTGGTACCAACCCCTTCTCTGCCTGTTGGTCTATACCAATCTCAATTCCTATTTCCACCATTCTGGACTCTAGCTTGATCATTCAAGGTCAGGGGCTGTGCGTTTTACGATTACCCAAGGCTGATCAGAATTGCCCGAACTTGGATCGTTGACCTTGTTGAGACATCCCCTAATGCCCCTGGAGTTCCATCTGGCGCCCTCCAAGCTTTCTCTTGATAGCGGGAGCGAGTGGTTTATTTTTTTGCCACTACAAGCGGGCGTTTGCCTTGCGGCTTGGTAGATTCCATTATTCACCCAACCTTTGGCCTTTGAGGGTTTGCTCCATACTTTCTTGGCATATATTGTGATACCCGCCGAGGCCAAAACGTCCCCGGCGGATCTTTGTCAGAAGCTGGGTGACACCGTCATGGGCCTTGGAGTACGGATGCCACTTGCTGTTTTTGACGAGCAGGTGAAGTGCCTCTTCCAACAGACCATACATTCGGGATCCTTGTCTCCAACAGGGATAAAGTGATGAGGTCATCGAGTGCATTCAACAACATCATGAACAGAGGGTCTGCCTTGTTGCCTAGATGACTTCCATCTAGTAACTCATGATCCTTCTTTCTTTTTTTTCTCCCTGTCTGCTGCCAAGAAAATACGTTCATTGAGCCGTTTGCACTTTCACGTCAGTGGCAAACCTGTTTTTCCTTTTCTCCCTCTCGGCCGTCTTTGGGGCAACAATCTACAAGGTCTGTTGGTATTTCACTTCGACATCGATGTCTAGTCCTTCTGGTTCTCCAATCACGAGGCTATAACGGCATTCACTGCGGGATACCGTCACGTCACATGTACCGTCACGTCACATGCATGCCATTTCTGACCATTAAACCACCAAAGCCTTCCCAATACAGGCCCCTTGCTTTGGAGCAGCTGTCTCTTTTCCGCGCTCAGTTACGGACTACGCCTTCCCCGAAGCCCAGACATCCCGCTGTTTCTTGGAACAATCCCATTTTTTTTGCTTTGGCGCCATTTCCGTCTTTCTTAGCTCCAACCAATTATCCCTATCAACCTCTCTAGGGGCGGAAATGCAACGCCACTCAGCGTAGTATACCCAATCTTACGACTTTCGGCGCCCTAAGACACCCGGCAGGATAAACCCCCTCCCCTCCCCTAATGATGAGCAGGGATCTCCGTTCATGTGAGGGTAATTGCAAATGCTAGACTCCAAAAGGGAATACCCTACTCCGTGGTGCCGATATATCTCTCCATTCCACAACAGGATTGGCTGAACCCCAAACGCTCTACCTAATTTTCTCCCTATTTCAAGCTTATAGCTGCTGGGAAATCCCAAGAGGGCCAAGAGGGTATTCGAATCTCCATCCTTGTCAAATAAACCAAAATATGTTAAGGATATCAATCACAACTGGAAGGAGTATTTCCATGCAATGTATATACATACGTCTCCAAGCCTCGACGGCAGGATATTACAAATCCAATTCAAACCCTTAGCTCCGTCCCCTCATAACTTCAAAAGACCAGAGTCCAAACAACAAGTGCGCAGCGAAGAAAAACCGAACTGCCCTAAAGTGGGTATATAGCAAAAGGGAAACATCGAATGTAGAAACACGACATAGGAATAAAGACAAAGACTAGATTCGAAATGTTTATAGAACAACTCCTAAAAACTCCCTTCCCTTCACTGCAGTAGATATGTGCCAGGGGAGGACATCGTCACCTTGTGCGTGGAAAATTCCTTTTGTCCTTGCCAGAGTTACGAGGTCACGGTATACACGCAATGTATCCTTCAGCACCATTTCGCTTGGAATGCGGGAGTGAGTGAAAATTAAGTTCACGCACAATGAGGCCAGTCCCTCCGTGTCGCTAGTTCCATCGCGGCGACGGAGAAGGTATCCGCTGGCGAGTGCTGGGTGATAATTGGCTAGAGAAGGTGAGATATTGACGCGGTGGGACAAAGTAATGGACCAAGTTTCCTCTGTTTTGTCAATAAGAATAGTTTCAGAGTCGGCAGGGTCGAGAGATTGTGCGATAGGTGTTTGTGCTTGTTCAGCCGACGATGGGGGAGGAGTAGGTGCGGCAGCGGATGGGTCGGGAGAAGGCATGCTAGGATTTGGAGTCGAGACTGGGGTCGACGTGGTGGGTCCAGTCAATGTACTCGGTTGGAGGGGTGGAGGAGGGAGTTTGAAAAAGAGGCAAGGCTTCGGATTGACACTGAGCAGCGTTAACTCGATTTTAGTGGGCTTGGTTTGGTTATGATGTTGTGCCATAGACACCCAAGCTATGAAAAGGAAGTTAGCCGAAACTTATTTTTAAGGATGGGCATCGCCTTGCAAGGTATTACTGATACCTTCTGCTTCGTCCAACTCCAGGGGTTCATCCTTGACCACCATAACCCGCCAGTAAGTATGGGATTTGCCAATGATATGCCGTGTGACGCTCCATATGTCTGCTCTGATTTCAGAGGCTGGTCTAGAGATGGTGGAGCCCCTTTCACGTAAGCAGTAGGTCATTGTCAACTGATCTCTTCCTAAATTATCCGTCCAGGCAGCCGTGACCCAACGCTGATCGATGCTCTGAGAATATGCAACATGGATAGAATGCTTTTCGGCCAAAGGAGACCCGGAATCTGGTGTAAGCTTGAACGGAACAATCTTGGGAGCCGGTTTAGCCAAAGTGAACGGTGGTGCACAGCCAAGAAGATCAGAGGAGCGGCTTTTAGGAGGACAACGAGAGTAAACTTCGAACGCTAAATGTAGATAATCTTGTTGAGAGGGTACCACAAGCGAAGTTAAAGACGCGATAAAATCTAAGGGAATTATTTGTAAAGCGACCTCGTTAAGCCGAATAGTATGCTTTTCAAAATTGGACACGTATTTTCGAAATAGAAAAAGAAACGCCGTACAAATATCGACGACTGCGGCTTCATACGGAAATGGATTGGCAATATATACGAGTATGTTCTCGCTACCTGGAGGTAAACAGGAAATAACATCACCTATTGAAATATTAGCAAACATATGTGAAGTTCAAATAAGACCCTTACCAAGATGCTCGCATGTAGTTTGCAATCTATTCATAATCGCTGTATAATCATGAATACTTGTGCACTCTAAACCCCATGGAATTAAGCCCTTCGAGTCTTGTGGGCGAGAATGTTGTCCAAGGTTGGCACTTGAATATAGCAAGCCCATCCTAGCAAGAAACGCGTCTGCACCTTCCTCTGCGCTTTCTGGATAGATACAATAGGCAAGGATGTCCTTTTGGCCTTGTGTAGGCTCGAACCCGAACGGCTCCCAGAAGAATATGGCGGGAGGAAGAACTTCAAGCTCGCCTTTCCCACGATGAATCCTTATATGAGGAGGATCTAATTTTGACATCGAACCGACGGTCAGATATCGGAAATCTTTCCGCAGACCTTGAATTGAAGTGTCAACGTCGATGGCCGTATAACGCTTGATGTCAAAGTTACTAAACTTGCCATACCAGCTATCCTTACTTGTAGAACTGAGGGGTAGAGCGTTCTGTTGGTCAAGCCCAATCGAAGTGCGTCTCTCCAAAACATGACTCAAGCTAGACTGGGTGACTTGGTCCACAACGATCTGTGCAACCTGGATCAAATCATCTCTTCGGAGAAGTACTGGGAAACGCCCGCTTGTTGACGTAAAATAACCATCTAAAGTCCAATCGATGGCCCTGAAAAGAAGTGTCCGTAGAAATGACAGCGTATTCGCGTCCATTCCCGTATTCGAGAATTCGGTATTAACCGTCAATGGCTCCAATGGAGACGGCGTAAAGTCTAGGTCCTTGAAGCGCTGGCTATTATCTCTTGAGGCCGAAAGTACGCGGAGACCACGGTTAGAATAATCTAGAGGGGTAGTCTCAGGCTCACTATCGTCCTCGCTAGACTCAGCAGAAGAGTCTGAACTAGATTGCATGCCACTCTTCAATCGGTCTCTAGACGAATCTTCCATGGGAAGCGCACGCCGTTCTTCATTGCGCCACTCAGGGATACCAACTCTGGGTATATCTGACGGATGCATTTCCATCTGATCGCTCTCGGCGTTGGGGAGAAACCAAAACCTCCCATCCAATTCGTATTTCCCATCCGAAAGACTGAGTTCCTCTCCGAAAGACAAGGGTTCGTAGCCGCTCCTGGCCTTCCGGTTTGTTGGGTGTTTGTCAAATGACGTTGTGGTAGGAATACCAGAGTGGCCTGAGAACAAAATCTTCCTAATAATCGAAGGGCTGAGAGGTTGATGGGGGGTTGCGGGTGTGGGGGAGATAATGTTTCTAGATTCAATAGGTAGGTCCGCCTGAACGTTTTCCTTCGGGCTAGAAACAGCGGGAGGAACCAAAACCACACGGTGCTCGCGGTTCCTCATAGAATCTTTCCTTTCTTCTGGCTCTGCTGAGCCCGCGGGACGCTCAACCGCATCGTGAGATGTGCCGGCAATGTCGAGAGCGTCCCGGTCGTGGGCCCCATGACTATTTTGAAGGCTGGTATCAACTCTGCCCATTGATACATCAATACTGCCTGGGAATGCTGTAAAATCTGGCTCGTCAAAGAAGTTGAAATCAGCCTCTGTGATTTGCTTTGGAGCAAAGTCACCATCAAGCTCATCGAACAAATCGTCATCTGCAGTTGTATCATACATGCCTGATCCAATTTCCAATGCAGTGGTCGTTATATCAACCGGCGGTAACGAATTTGACGTTGACTGACAACCCGCACCTGATATGTTCACATCAGAACGCCGAGATGTATTTTGTGGGTGAGCATGGCTTAAGCTGGACCCGCCAGGAAGAGTCAGTATATCGGAGGAACCAGCAGCAACCAGGCCGGTTGCGGTAACAGCACCAGGTGGAGTTGGATAAACAGCTCCTGCAGACAAATCCGAAAAATCAAACTTTCGAGCCAAACTGGCAAATATTTCTGAGCTGCTGGTTTTCTCCGTAGTTCCCGTAGCCTCAGGTTGCATTCCTTCCGCAACGTGTGTCTCGACAGCCATCTGATCTTCTGGCGATGTCCTGGTAGTCATTTCTGTAACCCACTTTTCAGCCAGGCTCAATGGGTCCAAAGTTGCGGCATCAAGATATTCAGCTCTCTTATCAAGCGCGAGACATTGTTCACTGGAGCGTTTGAAGCATAACCGAGCAGGCCAGAGAAATCTTTTATACGCGATTGACTTTCTATTCTCCCCTGCTGTTCCACCCAACCGAGATTCGAACGGATTAAGTGCTTCCACCTCGATCCATGTTTCCGTGTCTGGGTCAAACGAACCAAGCCCAAACATTCGGAGTCTTACGCAGACAGCTCGTTTCCACTCTCTTAGATGAAGAAGGTTTCCTCCTCCAGGGTATTCGAACTCGCCATAGTCACCAACTGACGGATCCCACTGGGGACCGCTTGAATGTCCTGGGTCTGCTCCGATATACCGACAGAGGGACCCTGTTGGTGCAAGCCATATGTCTTCATGTAAGGACACATCACTTATACTATCAGCACCCGCGATCGTAGATAGTTGCTGCAATCCCCACTGTGGGTTGGTACGCCAGGATATAATGAGAGATTTGAAACTAAATTCAATGTTAAGGGTCGAGAGAAGCGATCTAGGCCCCAAGCTTGGGTCGGCGTTAATACCTTGACCAAGCTTTTCGTCAGGGGCTGAGGTGGTAAATAAAGCTCTTTTCCCAAGGGGTATTGCTCCATGTAATTGTGTCGCACGGAGGGAAAGCGAACCCGCAATGGCAGAGGTGAATGCTTTATAAAACGCCGACGACGTCACAATTTCTCGGTTAATCGGACAATCCTCATTTGTATTTGCAAACTTTTGTTGAGACAATGGAGAGAAAATAGTTCCTTGGGGCTCCGCCATAAGGCGCTTAATGAGATATCCGAGTGGTGTAAACTCTGCATGGAATTCTACATCCCAAAATTAGCACACCGTATGACCTAGGATGTTGAGACTACATCAACTTACGCTTAAATGTAATCGCCCCAATTTGAAGGGTAGTCAAGGAGCAGTCACTTTCCAACACAGAAAATGGTTGGAGTTGATCAAATTCACCATTATGTGAAAATACCCACACGCCATTTCCACCCGGAATAGCGTCAACAAGGCATCCTTGGTCCCGTATTAAAAGGATTGCAGATTCAAGTTCGATTGCAAGAGCCGAACTTGGACCCTCTAACACACCAGCGCCAGGGGAAGGTAGCTGATGGGATTCAATGTAATATATCTTCCAGTGTATGGTGGAGTATATTTCCTAGAAATATAAGTCGGCTTTGAAGCAAGAGATCAAGCGGAACGGAGTTAAACTTACGGTCATCCGAAAATTAGTGACCGCCCCCGCTGGGAACTCCATTATGCATCAAGTTGTCCTTATCACCACGACTGGCCGCCATGGAAATTGGGTCGCATAAAGGCATATAAAATAGGAAATGGCGGAGATTCATTTCCAACGCCAAACAAAGCACCTCTGTGCCTATCTTAAAGAATCGAAATACGCTTGGCTTCCAGCGTCCTCATAGAGTCTCCGCATGGTCGGGAGAACAGTCTGTGATGTCAGATTGCCAAGGCAGGAAAGGTCTGCCTATTATGATCACAGCTGTATAACTAGCACGGGCGGCGCTTTTTATCCCCGAGAATAAACAGAGAAACCCAGCAACGGCAGTGTTATGGGGCAACATCGACTCGGCAATCCATGGACGCGAGCCTTGGAGTCGAGATGCGATGTTTGATATCGGATTTGAAGATCTTCGGCGCCAAGGACCTTAATGCCGTACCATACCGCATCTGGACTAGCACCCACTTTGAGCTCTGCAGATCTTGGCATCAGATAATTATTTCGATTTTTCGTCGCAAAGGATATTTCTACCTCTTGCCGACACGGACGGAGCTCAGTCTACAGGCGTGCGTGCTGCAGAGATGAAGCTCACAAACCACTCCACAGTTCCGGTTTATACTATCTCTGGCTCTTCTACCGCACGCCCCCTTCCAGAATGGCTGGCTCGGAGGCGGAAGCGGAGCTTGAAAGCTGACCCCGAGTACGCAAACAGGGTGGAATTGTTGCAAGACTTCGAGTTTGAGGAAGCCAGCCAGTGTATCCGAGTCAGTGAGGATGGACAGTGGGTAATGAGTACAGGTAAGATATTTTTTTTTTTTCGGGCCCCCTGTTAAATTTCAAAATTGGATGATGTAACCAACGGGGCAACAGGAACGTACAAACCCCAGATCCATACACACTACCTACCGCATTTATCCCTCTCGTGGGCGCGCCATACTATTTCTTTAAATACAACCTTTCAAATTCTTTCATCGGACTACTCAAAATCCTTACATTTACAGGCGGACCGTTCGTTGGAATTTCACACTCCCCAAGGCTGTCATTATACGACGCGCTTACCGCGATATGGCCGCGACCTAGTGTATGATAGGCAGTCGGCCGAGGCGCTGGTTCCTGCCGTAGGAGTCAATCAAGATGGTATGGGTGAAGTGTTCCGACTAAATCTGGAACAGGGGAGGTATATGCGGAGCTACGAAGTAGACGTCGGTGGCGACGATTTCACCTCGGCCGGAGGAGGGGCTTTGCAAGGTGGTATAAATACAGGAAGTGTGAATACCGGAGCTGTAGCTGAAGAAAGTCATAATATGTTGGCATTTGGAACCTCTTTAGGAACCGTGGAACTATGGGATTCACGAGCAAAGGGGAGAGCTGCAGTACTTTTACCCCCCTCGGATTCTCAGCCTGGAGAAGGGAGATCCGAAATTACAGCTCTGCAGTTTCACAGATCTGGTTTAACTCTTGCGACGGGTTCCTCTCAGGGACTTATATACTTATACGATTTACGTTCGCCAGTGCCTTTGCTTAAAAAAGATCAAGGATATGGCTATCCCATCCACACACTTAATTTCCTTACACCCTCGACGTCCACGCGAGAACAAACAACCGATCCAAAAATTCTCTCATCCGATAAGCGGATTATTAAGATTTGGGATGCAAGGGACGGCACGCCGTGGACATCAGTCGAACCGGCGGTTGATATCAATTGTGTTGCTTGGTGCAAAGACAGCGGGATGATATTAACTGCTAACGAAGGAAGACAGCAACATGCCTTCTTTATTCCTCAGCTTGGTCCGGCCCCGAGATGGTGTGCGTTCCTGGATAACCTCGTTGAAGAGATGGCAGAAGACCCGAATGATCCGCATGCGTTTAACACTGGTCAGGCGGGCTCTGTCTATGACAACTACAAATTCTTGACAGTACCACAGTTACGGTCTCTGAATCTGGACCACCTTATTGGAAGGACGTCGCTTCTCCGACCATATATGCATGGTTATTTTGTGGCACAGCGGCTGTATGAGGAGGCTCGCCTTATTACTAATCCATTTGTTTGGGAAGAAGAGCGTGCAAAACGGATCAAGGAGAAGATTGATAAAGAGCGTGAAAGCCGCATCCGCGGAAAGAAGAAGGTTGCCGCAAAGGTCAACAAGAAGTTGGCTGAGAAGCTTCTCGAGAAAGAGGAGCGCCATGAGAGACGTCAAGCTCAGAAAATTCTGGCACAAGGTGGTGATGAAAGCAGCGCCAAACCCGAGGCAGCCTCTACAGGAAAGGGTATACTGCACGATCCTCGTTTCGCCAAGCTATTCGAAGACGAAGAATTTGCTGTGGACGAAACGTCGAGGGAGTTCTTAGCTTTGAATCCAAGCAGCGCAACTGCCCCAGCCGAAAAGCGTGAAAGAGGATTAACGGCTGTCGAGGAAGAAGCCATTGACGAGGTCCCCGGCTCGAGCTCCGATGAATCGTCGAACGAGCATGAAAGCCCTGCCAAGCCTAAATCATCTACATCCATATCAACAGCTTCCTATAAACGAACAAAGCGGCCTCAACCAAAGATGGAAATTTCGTCATCTTTTAGAACGGCCAAGTCTCGCGATCGGTCGTTTGAGTCCCGAGTCCAGAAGACGCGAGCTAAAGAGCGGCCGGCTGCCACTAGTCGTGCAGTTGGCGAAAAGACCGTTACCTTCGCTCCTCGGGCTAAGTCGCGCGTAAAACCGATGGCAGAGCCTGAAAGCAGAGGATCATACCGCTCTGCAAAAGACCGCCGGAGTGCATCGGCGAACACTTTCCGAAAGATGTGATTCACTGGCACGTCGAAGCAATTTACCACAATAGATCACGAGGCATCTACCTCCGGAGCATCGATGCCGTGACGGCTTCCTTCCCCCGTAGATGGATCTACCATTGGTGCTATGGCACCCTTGGAATCTTAGACGGCGAGAGCAAGTCCGCAACTTGTTCCCCAGGCAAGCTGCAAATTTTGTTATGATGCGCATGAGCTTCGAGGGAAGTTTGCTACGCCTTCAAGTCCCTTCTGTCAGTAATCGACGATATATATAGGCTGTGTTAAGCATACAATGGACGTTCCGGTATGACGACATCCTGGAAGTTCTTCGTATGTCTAGGCGCTTCGGGCCGAATAGGGAACGGAAACTCCTTTTTTTCGACCGACCGGGAAAGAGCTTAGAGGTATCAAAGGCCCTGCATCAGGTATAGGCGAGAAAGAGTCATGCAGGATTCAAGGACCACGCGAGGCTTCTCGCCAGGCATGTGCTGGCCAGTGAGAAAAAGACATCAAACCTGAAGAATTATCGCAAGTAGAGTATATTCCATAGTTTACCTGCCCGTACATAGCAACTCTACGATAAATAAATCGAAACCCTTTCAATAGCTTTACATTTGCATTATTCACACCGTTCATGATATATGGCCGACCGCCTTTGTCCCAGCCCAGATCGGCCCAATAAATGGGTCACGTGTCTATGACGGGATCGGGTTTACAATTATGCTGGTAATAGTTTTCCGCGTGTGCGTTTTCGGTGCAGGAAAGAGGAGCAGCCAGAATCCGGGTTTGCTCGTCATTTCTGGAGCTTTCAGTGCTCAGAGATATACAGGGACTCGTGTAGTTAGACTTTCTTACTCCGTAGACTTGAAGAGGCAAACGGGATAGCAGCTTTGTTTGGCAAACAATTATATGCTGATGAGTACTATTTCCCGGTGTGGATCTCAACAACCGCTGATGGTGTAGTTGGCTATCACGTTCGGCTGTAAAGGAGTTCCCATGCTACCGAAAGGTCGCCGGCTCGATTCCGGCTCAGCGGATACAAAACAAAGCATTTCTTTTTTGCTTTTTATTCCCTGGGAGCCGATGACGGATCCTTTTTTTTTTTTTTTTTCACCTTTTTTAAAACGGTGTGATACAGCAGGATAAAACAAAGCCCTCTGTACTCCCTCCTCCGTACTGATCACCGCATTTGGTGCATGGGGCTTGTGTCACGCTCGCCAATCAAGCAGAACCACCGACCGGGTTATACTTCCCAGTTCAGCCATCTTTTCCCCATCCGCTGACCCCTCACGCTCTGCTACTCTTGTTCCCCGCATGGCAGTCTCCAACTGTGTCTTTGGGAGATATATACATAGAGCGAGAGTCCAGGCCTGATGAAGACTCCTGGTCTTTTTGAACGATGAGACCTCTACCATTGATAGACTAGATCATTAGCCGTCAGCATGCCCAAATCGGCACCCGTCGAGAAGTTCTATCTGCAGCCAACTTTGCATTCTCCAAACAGCCCTTTGCCTGTGCTACTATATCGAGGAATACTTCCCCACCCCATCAACGAGGAGTCGACCTCCGAGTTTCTACAGGCCAACGGTTGGGAGAAAAGAGTGAGTGCGCTCTATTCTTTTCCCCGGGTGCACCTCTAATAAAAAATACGTTTGGATTTCTGACATTTGAGCGTCATCTGAGGGGACATGGGGCCACATCGCGACTCATCATTTCCACCCAAATACCCATGAATGCTATGGTGCGTCCTTTGTCGTACACTCAAACCGCCTGGTATTATACAGCAAAAGAGAATGGGAGTGGATGTGGCAATCGTTGTCATCATTGAAGTCAGAATCAGTAATGCATATATCCAAATTTAGGAATTTTCCAGGGTTCTTCGACCCTCATCATTGGCCGTGGAAGATTCGACGACGAGGGCGGTGTCTACATCCCCGTCAATACGGGAGATGTAATTGTCCTGCCTGCTGGAACCACGCACTGCTCTCTCGAAAGTAAGGGAGACTACCGATATGTTGGTGTCTACCCAAAGGTAAAAACGACTAAATATCTCTTTCGGGCTTTCCTGGCAGAATCCGGTCAGCTTTGACACTTGAGTAGGGTGCACTGCGATGGCGAAATGAATTTGGCAGAAACCCCATTGATATCAACACTCAGAGAAAAGAAATTTTAAGAGTGGAGATGCCAACCCAGGACCCGGTATATGGGAAAAACGGCCCTCTTGTTCACCTGTGGAACGAAGCCTTGTTGGAGTATTCGGCAGGAGGAGCTTCAAAGCTGTAATTCCAGCAGCCTTCGTTTGTGATTAAGGCCATATGTCCTTTTCCTGCACTGGGGCCGAGACTATCCTGAAAAGAAGGGGTTTTGGACGACCTCGAGCTAGATCAAGCTTTGTAAACTTGTTTTAATGCTGGGAGACCTCATTTCTGCATATATTCTTATTTGACAACATTCCTGGCATTGATCCGTTTAGAGGGCTCATAAGCCAACATTGATCTTAATAGATGCTCAATGCAAGACATCTCACCCGGGCGAATTTCACGTCACTGCACCGCTACCTCGTCCCATCGTGCGTAGTCGCTCATTCAGCGATACGGGAGGTCGACAGCAACCAGAATTCTCACACCGCAAGCTGTCTTCATTGTAGTAGTCTCCTCTCTTCTGCCAGCTATTCCACCACCCTTCAGGAAACGACCCGAGAGTGCCCATATCTCTGCAATTACTTCATTCTGATCCCCAAACAAGCGGAAGAACAGTGAGTCTTCGCCGAACATCTCATAAATATTGCAGCCTACAGTCCAGGCATGGACGGCTGGACCTAGAGGCTCACGGAAAAGGGTCCCCTGTGGAGATAATAGAACAGACATTTGTACATTGTGAAAACATGTCCTTTTCAAGGCTCTTGGATTTTGTTTAAGGAGTTACTCGCTTATGTTTGATTTGGGGTATGTAGTTGTAGGTTGCACGCCAGCTGTCAAATCTCCAGAATCAGCTGAAGTTGGTCGCCGGCACGAAGTGTTGGCAAGCGTAGGCAGCGCAGGTCTCTGAAAGGTACATTTTTTTTATTAACCTTCATTTTAAACCAGGCACTATTCAATTGAATAGTATGCTTTGCGCATAGAACAAGCATGCCCCTTGCGCATGCCATATAATAAGCTGCTATATACGGACCTGATTCCATTAGATTACTCGAAACAAGACTGGCTTCCTGTCCGACTACTCAGAGATATCTTTGAGATAATGTAGTACTCAATGTTATTAGGAAACTAAATACACAATTCCTTCCGTTCTCCGATTAAATTAATCCAAAAAGGGCAAAAAAAAAAGAAAAGAAAAGAAAAGAAAAGAAAGAAAAAAGAAAAAAAGAGAGCCTGCACCAAATACAAAATGGATGCACAAAGTTTCAAGCGGATGTTTTTGCCTTGCAAAGTCGCTTTCCTGTATAAGGAAAAAAGGTAGTTATTTCCTTTCAAACAATCCTGATATCAGTCTATTGCCGGCATGCGGCTTCAATACGCAAGCCATAACAAACGCCAGGAGGAGAAAAGGATGCAAGACTAACCAGGTGGAACGAGAGGCGAAAATAGAAACAGAGGAAAGGTTCCACCAGGGATCAAACGGAAACTCCGATCATAACAATTTCAAAAGAGCCGACCAAATGCTAAAGCCAAAGCAAAAAAGAAAAGAAAAGAAACAAAGCAATCTGCCTCCGCAAACACATCAAACATAGGGACAAGAAATATTCAAAAAGGTGAAATAAAAAAGATCCTTGAAGCAGTATACCTCATGAAGAATCTCACTGGGCCTATCTCCGGGGGCCAGTAGGCCAAGAAGGCATGTGCCAAAAATATCGAATGCACGCTAAGCTCGACAATTCCAAGATAGAATCTCGGAAAAAAAAAATATAAGGAATAGAAAACTTATAGGGACTAGGAGCGGGTAAGATATTTCTGGAAAGATTGCGGAAGCCTGGTATCCCGTCAAATGTCTCCAGCTGATGTTAACTGTGATCCGTGCATATGGAGAACCAGAGTGGACATGGGTGCTACCTCAAGTCTCAAATCTAGCGGTAATACGGGGGTGATTGTGATGAAATAGCGTCGTTGGCGGTGTAATTCGTGTTAAAAATGCAAGAAATAGCTCGAATGACGTTCCCCATATTCAAGACCAAGCGCGATACCTGCCACGGGAGACACTGGGTGGCCCGCCTTCGCTGCGCGTTTCGGCAGCGGGTTACAACTCCGTAGACGGCGCACCTCCATGATCTGCACCAGCCGTGGTAGCTCCCTTCCTTCCTTCTTCTAAACTCCGACGAGAAGCACCAAAATCGCTCATCGCGAACAAAAGGGGCTCATCTTCATCCATGTTAGCCGGTGTGCCTAAATGTCGGTTGAAGCTGAACCTATGGCTGCTACCACGTCGAGTATCGGCGGGGACAGCCGTTCCACCGTTGTTACCACTGCCAATATACCCTTCTCGGTCCGCATCTGTTACGTTCGGTATTGAGCTGGCGCGCCCTAGACTGCTAGCGGCGGAAACATGGGGCTGAAGGTGGTGGAACGATCCGCGCCCACGACCATGGGCAAAGCGGGGTTGATATTGGCGAGGAGACGAGGTCCCTGGAACGTCGTCGATTCTCGAAGGGGATTCATCCACGATCGACTGACCCGTACGCGTATCTTTCTGGTTCTGTTGTTGTAACGCATTTGTGTCTGATGCGGGGACGGATGACTCTTGTTGGCGTACTAGTTCACTGAGACTAAGCGTCGATCGGTCCTCAGCTCCCAAGCTCAGACTACGCATCCCAAAAGGTAAAAAATCACCCAGATCATCTTCAACAGGAGGGCTTGAGCGTCTCTGAGCAGCAGAGCTGGATCGGCGAAAACTAGGGATAAATGGACGCGGAGAAGTGGGGATGTCAATCGCATTCGCGGTAGACTCGTCGCGTTTTAATCGAGGTTCATCGTTCGCCCGCTCTTCAGATGGAGAGCGACGAGACTCATGGGAGAGACGATGTCTTCGCTCGTGGCGATCCCCATGAGAATGGGAATAATCGACGACGCTGTTAGAGCTTAGACGGGAAGGAACTGCGGGAATGTGCTGTGTATGAGGTGAAACTGCTTTCCCAGGGGAGGAGGAAACGGATATCGAGGCTCCTGCCACAGACGTGGCAGCATTGGGAAGCTGTTTGCTAGACGATATGGACGATGGTTGAAGGAGCAGAGAGGACGACATAGAATCTGATAGTACAGCGTTGGAATCCCGCATCTTTTGAAATCGGGATAGAGCAGCGGACGTTCTTTTCGTGTTCTTATCCAAGGATTTAGAATCTTTCTTAGACAGTAAGTCCTTTCCCATCTCAAGCATCTTGAGAAAGTCCGAGATATTATCTTCGTCCGCCTGTAGGGACCCTGAACTTGTAGTAGCCGGGTCTGCTGATGTTCCCGAGCCTGGGTGCACAGTCGAAGAGCTCACACTGACTCTGCCACTGGAGTTATTATCGTCGTCAGTTTTACTGGCACCCCCAGAGGATAGTCTACCCCGTCGGTGGCTAAACGAGCTGCTGTACTTTGAGATGGGGGCAGGTCGCGGCGAGCCGGATGTGGATGATGCTATCGCACTTTCTGATACATGAGCCGATCTTCTAGATGTCGTGGGTGTACCGTGGGGAGGGGGCATTTGTCTCGCGCTAGAAGTGATATCCATCGGCCCCACGCGTGGGGCTGAGTTTTTCGGTTGGGATCCCACTGGGCTATCAACAAGAGCAGGAGAGGCAGAGAGAGGAGGAGCCTTGAAGGGCTGGATGGATATTGATGGACGCCGTTGGATCAGATGATTGCCTTCGCCAGAGAGCGCGGCGACCCGACCTGCTTGGCTCGGTCTTGGGGAATGAGAAGGACGAGTAGGGGAGCTGGGCGAACCGGCTGCTAGCTCTCTTGCGGCGCGCAGAGCTGATATAGGGCTAGCTCCTGTGGTGGCGCCGACCTGGTGGAATGTTGACATGCTTCCGTAGGCTTGCCCAAGGTCAGGACGTCCCACATCTCGTTTTTGCACAGGCAAGGACCCATGCTCCTGCCCTGCGGCGGCAAAGTTGTCTTCTGACGGCAAAGAGGGCTTAAAAAAGCGCTCATCCACTCCCATAAACCTAGAGCTCAACAACGTCTCCGAATCGTCTACTCGGAAATCGCAGTTGGTCCGATAAGTAACCAAAGCAGAGAGAGGACCAGCAGGAGAGTCCGTCACGCCGAAAGAATAAGTATCGACCACTGGGCCGTTTCCCGGATGTAGAGGAACGGTCAACGGATCGTTGGTTGATCTAATTTGCCCTCTGGGCCCCTGCAAGATTCGATACTTCAGCGATAGTGCTGGATTAGGCCGTATTTTCGAGTGACGTTTCGAGTATTTCCAAGCTGGGAGCAATTTAGAATAGGCATATAGGGATCTGAACACGACGATGCTCTTTTTATAGACAGTAGGAAGTATACTGCCCATATCTAGAGGCAGGTCATCGGGGCCGGGACCAAGGTCAATACGCCATCTTTCTAAGATGACCCCGCTCTTTGAAGTTCTAGAGTTATCGAGACAGCCGTAGGTAGCAAGGGCTTCGACCACATCCCATCGTTTGCCAGAGACGTCGATGATGACCAAGCTTTGATTGTTCGTCAACTGTGTAAGATCCAGGTAGATCTCGATGATCAGCGGAGGCGGTCGACTGTCGGTGCAATTGCTGTACTTCCAGACGCCCAAAGAGTCCTTCAGGTCTTCTGTCTCGTTAACTTCCACGTTGAACTAAATGGGATGAAAACCATGGTCAGCGTATGCAGGGGAATAATAGTCTGGAGACAACGGCCACTCACCCATTTATTTGTTCGTATCACGCCGTGGTATGTGGCGGGGGAAAGGTCTACCCGGGAATGTAAGATGACGAGAGCAGCCTTTGTATGGTAATTCTGCATTTTTTTTTAATTTTTTTTTGGGCATCAGTTTTTCAGGCTGCCAGATGGAACGAACGGCAAAGGGCAAAGGAGGGAATATCTAACCTGGATGATCTGGTCAAGCTTTTGGGACGGGGATTTCTCTGGGGACTCGATGGTCTGCTCTTGATCCGAGGCGTCCATCTGTCTATCGATCCCCAGGCCTCTGGAAACGTTTGGGCCGAAGCGAGCGGTGCCTCGATCGCGGGTGATCGGCCTGCTGGAGCTGGGGTGAGGGGAGGAGACGGGCGATGCCACCGCTGACGAAGTTCTACGATGTTGATGCATGGTGATGGAAGGTCGAGCGGA